TTTGCACTGCAGATTTCTCGACCAGTATTGTTCGGTGACATGCTGACGTTATTTCTGTGGTTCGAGAAGCAGCCTGCTGCAGAACGATGGGGAAATAGTGTAAGGATCAGGCATTGTCAGAGGTGTCGTTTATACTTTGTAATCACCTAAATATTCCCTTCAAATCCGGGTCAGGTCAAGTCTATCTAGACTGAGTGGAGATTTACTGAATCTTAATCCCCCTTGTTTGCTTTGGCTTTTCGGACGTTTTACTATGCATTCACTTTCCAATTTTGAAATGTACAGAACTAGATGAGCATCTTTCGGCCCACCGGCCCGGGTATTTCGTTTGAATCCTGCTGCTTCGTTTTTCTTTTCTTCGTAGCCTTGGGTACCAGATGAATGCCTGCCTACCCGTATCTCGCTAGTGGCTAGCATCACTTTTTATGAGACAATCTGAACCGATATCACCAATAGAAGCGGCTACTTATCAGGCATGTGAACCGATAGCGACGTCGCGTGGAATCCTCTATCTCTGAGATTCTTGTTTCTGGACAATGGCGTTGTTTTTCAGTCACTGGAAAGCATGGTGAGGCATATTTTCCTTATCCACTTCAAAGCTAACTTTTCTCAGTCGTGTAAAACAAGAGGAACGCAAGAAGCGAATCAAAGACTTGGACCCCATTTATCATGAGCCTTTGAGCAAATACGATGTCGAGATACTCCGCCGACCGATAGCGGATTTGATTGCGAGTGTGCAAAGTGGAGCATGCGACCCGGTGCGTTCACCTTCCTCCTTCCCAGCTCCATACTGAAAGATAAGACGACATCAGTCCGATATCCTGGTGGCATACAGCAAGCAAGCGCTAAAAGCTCATGCTACCACCAATTGTCTCTCTGAGATCATGATTGCTTCGGCGGCAACTTGGGCGAAGCAATGTAACAGAAAAGGACCGCTAGCCGGAGTTCTGGTCAGCCTGAAAGATGTGAGCACCTCCTAGGTTTCAGTTACCAGGTACTGAACTACTACTTCTCAAGTTGGTAGGCGTCAAAGGATGGGATTCGACTATCGGTTACTCTGCATGGGTTGGGCATCCCATTAAGGAAGATGCCCCACTCATTCGGCTTCTCCGAGACGCGGGTGCCGTTCCATTCGTCAAGACAACGATCCCCATCACCCTACTCTCATTCGAATCGTCATCGGATCTGTTTGGTCGCACGACTAACCCACATAACCCTGCTTATTCTCCTGGTGGATCATCTGGTGGCGAGGCAGCTCTACTTGCATATGGCGGGTCGCGAATAGGTAAGAATAGTCATCATGTTCACAGTTGATCACTGATTTGCTTCTCAGGAATCGGAACAGACGTCGCAGGTTCTGTACGCACTCCTTCCCATTATTCTGGCGTCTACACCATCCGATCTTCGACTACTCGATTCCCGAAGGTGGGAGGGGCCACGAGCATACCCGGCCAAGAGGGCGTAGCAGCAGTATGCTCTCCCATGGCGCGCACTCTTGCAGACCTCGAAACCTTCTGGAAAGCTGTTGTTAGCCAGAAGCCTTGGGACTATGACTATACTGTGAGTGCTGGGCTCGATGATCTGAACTCGTTATGGAAGATTTTTCCAGTGCATGAACCTCCCGTGGAGAGACGTCGATCTCAGCAAGAAGAACTTGAAGTGGGGAGTGATGTGGGACGACGGTCTGTATTTTTACTTTTACTTTATCTTTTTCTTATCATGGTTCTACCGTTATCAAGGTGTTGTGTTGCCTTCTCCCGCGTGTAAGCGAGCGTTACACTCTGTTGTGGAGACGCTCCAGAATCACGGACATGAAGTATTTATGGTGTGAGTATAGCCGCCTTTTCTTCCATCTGGAGCTCATATAATGTGTCCAAGGCCCGCTCCAAGCCCGTACGAAGGATTGAAGATTGCCTCTCAACTTCTCCTTGCTGACGGAGGTCTGTTCTAGTGTTCGTTTACTGAATGAATTCTTACATGAATCTTAGGCAAGACGGTCATGCAACCGTTCCAGCTGGGTGAAACCAATGATCCAGGCGTCAGACAAGCTAGGATCATGTTTGCTCTACCTCACTGGATACGGCGGTTGTATGTGTGGTATCTCCGTTACCTACGTGGTGATGAGGTATATGCGGGGCTAGTGGAGGGATGCTACGAGAAGAATATTACAGAGTACTGGCCTTTGGTTGCACAACGTGAGGCTTATCGCCGGCAATGGTTTGATATGTGGAACGAGTATGATTTGGATTTTCTGTTGACTGTTCCGAATGCACTCCCGGCTGTCCCGCACGGGGGCATGAAAGAGGGATTCAAGTCTTGCGGTTATACGTTTTTATTCAATTTGGTGGGTGTCACTCGATCTCCTCTGGAATTGGACGCGTCTGATCGATCGATGCAGCTGGATTACAGCGCGGGTGTTCTTCCGGTGACCCATGTCAATGCGAAATTAGATGTGCTGAAAGGATTCAAAGCGCGGAACGCTGTTGAAGCTGGTGCTTATCAGGACTACGATTCTGTCGAGATGGATGGGCTACCCGTCGGTGTTCAAGTAGTGGGAAAGAGATTTGAGGAAGAGAAGGTCATGGAAGGGATGAAGCTGATTGAGATACTCTTGAAGGAAGATGGCAAAGTATACAACTTGCTTAACACGTAAAGTATTCTATTTGATGAGGTGCTGGGGAGCTTTCCGTAAGTCTGAATGAGCCTACATATTGCGTTTCATGGTTATTAATGATAGGAGAAAATAAGCAACAAGTTGTCGAGATCCGTTTCTCTGGTGCGCTCACTCCTGTTGACTCATCGTCTCACCACCCGCTCGGCTGCTTGCCAAGAACGCGATAGTCGATAGTCTCTCATTGATTTACCAGGGAGAGCCCTAATGGGTGGGATCCCCCATTGCTCGTATACTTAAACAACTTGTTAGAGTCTCCGACTAGAATTTGCATGCGGCCGTATTGATGGATGTGTCACAATTTTCTCTTTCCTTATCTCTTTCGCGTCTCGGGCCGTGAATAAGCTTCCAGTGCACCTTCCATTGTCCCCTTATCGTTCAAGCGCTCTTATTAAGAGCTATGGCAACATTCATATCATTTGGGGTGCATTCTGCGTCTTTTACTTCGGACTCAAGGCGCACGTTCCCGAAGGCTGGCGTAAGTGAACATGTCATTGACAGCTGCCAAGCAAATACGGTGAGTTGGATGTCTGTGCTTCAGAAACATTATTCCCAACTCTTTGCCAACGAAGAGTTCGCCAGCGTTCCTTCAATAGGATTGCCGCAGTAATATTATTTAATTATCATACCCCTATACCCCGCGTTACTTTCACCGCGGAGCCCCGCAAAACTCAAATGTTCCATGATTTTACGACATGACCCGAGAAAATTAACGACAGGTCTAGTGGCACCCGAAGTTGTTCTACGACAGTACCGCGTTGCCTTCACGCGTTGGCAAGGCCAGGAGACTTGGCGCTAGTAGGTTCTTGAAGGATTCATGCTTTGTATGCTTGGCGCCTGTTGTACTGGTGGTGCAAGCACTGTTGCCCTTCTAGGATATTGGTGATGGCGGAGTTCCGTCCCTGTTTTATCGGAAGAACATGTCAATCTTCATCACGGTCTAGCCCAGCAGAAGGCTTTGATAGAAACAATACGACACGATACTTGCCAGAAAGTTTCGCGCACTCATATCGCATATCGCGGGGACGAAAGAAGACGTAGGGATGCAGACGGGATAACTTTGTAGACGCCGTGCCGTTCGAGTCGCGTAGATAAAGCGAAGCACGACGGTTGCGGATCCGGGCGCATCTAGACGCTGGAAATTGAGCGGTGATTGATCAGGCATCTTTGCCACATAAAATTAAGGATCTCTCCCCGCATTCAGGTCGGTTCGCCTTCCCCACAGCTGGCGGGATACACTCTGCAGCGTTGCGGGATCGGTCAGCAGTCAAGTCAAATGGCGATGACACTGACAATGCACGATCACCAAATCGGGAAGGCGCCAGAAAGCAATGACAAACACTTTCTTGCCGAGCATGAATTCAATCAATCTATCCAGTACGTTACCAACCTTAACCTCCCTTTTATACCTACCCAATCTCTTTACCCAGCATTTGCTCGTTTTCGCGCCCATACCGAACCCCGTCTTTTCCTTTCTACTGGCTCACTTCTGATCTCGTTCGCCAACACTCATCCCCGCGTTTCGATACCCAGGATCCGACAACGGCCCTTCGAGATCCTGACATGAGTTGCAATGACAAAATGCGCAGCCGACCTGACGCTCTCCACTCTCTGCCTGCGACGACGATGGCCCCTGAAGAAACGCTTGAGTGGAATTGGGACGTGGAGCATTCAGACCGGCGACGAGAGAAACAGGCAGATGCTGCTCTTCATGGCGCATTGCCATTTCTCGTTGACAGATCCGTTCTCAAAGACGTCGTCCGCGAAAAGTTTGCTACTAACCCCGCTCGAATCATGTTTCTGAGTGCAGGTATGTGGCCGTGTCTTATTATAGTTAACAGGTCGCTTATCTTTACGTCCAGGAACTTTCCACAAGGCTAGGACTCTTTCCCGCCGTTTCATTTTCGCCAATTCTCACGTTGCTTGTAGGCTTATCTCGTTACTCTCGTCGATGGTAGACAAGTCGTCGCCAGGGTAGCTCGTAGATTCATGCCTCGACTGAAGACCGAGTCGGAAGTCGCGACAATGCAATACTTGCAGCAAAACACGAATGTTCCGGTCCCGTTTGTTTACCACTATGACTCTAATCCGTATAACCGGCTCGGTGGAGAGTACATTCTGATGTCAAAGGTGTGCATTTTTGCCCACAGAACCGCGTGTATCCCAACCACCGACTCCATATTTCCAGGCACCGGGAAGGCCCCTTGCCGAAGTTTACCATTCACTGGGCTATAATGATCTCGTCAATCTTCTTAGAAACATCGCTAAGATGGTCATACCACTCTTCGCTCACCGCTTTCCCCAATTAGGATCGCTCTATTTCGGTCCGAGTCCTCCTTCAACTCCTGCCCTTTCGAATGCGGCGACACCCAAGGCGGTACAAACCTATTACTCCGCCTTTCCGTTCTCATCAACACTAGCGATGTCCACTATCGCGTCCCCCACTACCGCCACCCCCAATTTCCATGCCAAGAAAGAGTACCACGTCGGTCCCATCATTTCATGGCCATTCTTCGGATCCCACCGAGGCGACTTGGCCCATCCTGACGAAATTAATCGCGGTCCTTGGACGACATCCGAATCCTATTTTCAGTCTTGCACAGATAGGGAAGTGAATGGCGTCATACGCGAAAACGAAGGCAAATCCGCACCCCACAGACTCCATCTTGACCCCGATGAAATCATATCGTCGCGCCACCATCAACTACAGGCCCTTCCAGGAGACCAGAGTGACGACAGTGACGAGTGGGATTTGGAGGAGAGTGAGGCAGAGTGGGACGGCCCTGGTGATGCAATGTATCGCGATTATCGGAGGATGCAGAGAAGTACATTCTTGATCGCCCATCTTGAACAACGGATCGAGCGTGTTCAGGCAGAGACCAACAGGTGGCTGAAGCTGATGGAGAAGTTGGCCAACAAAGTAAAGAAGGAAGGGCCTTCTCCGGAAGCGGAGATGTTTGGACTTGACTGTCACGACCTAAGTCTGGAAAACGTGTTTGTGGATATTGAAGACCCAACAAAGATAGTGAGCGCCTCGCATTCTTATTTTTTTTTTCTCTCTCTCTCTTAGCATCATATCTTTTAGACATGTATAATTGATTGGGAGTCAACTACCACTCGACCGCTCTGGGCTTGCGCACATCTTCCGGCTTTCCTTCAGGCCAGTCCTTTCACCGCCAAGCTTTTTCGCGAGATTGTTGTGGAGATGGCCTCCAAGAACAGGGACCAAAACGCGTGTCTCGCAAACGACTGGCTATACTACGAAGCCGCTGGCACGCGCTTGCGCATGGCTCACCGTTTCACTGAATGGGACGGCTGGGAAGAGGGCTTAGTGGACAGCATTTTAGGTCCTGAAGAATCCGAGGAAGATTGGTTAAATGACCCTGCAGTTACTCCCGAGCCTGAGTCCAATAGTGCCGGCGCTGCAGGGAGGAGAAAACCTTCGCTGAAGTTACCGCTGCCTTTAGAGAAGGAGTTGGAGAAAGAACAGATGCTTAATAAAACGGGAGACATATGCGGCGGCCGAGGTGGCGAGCTAGGAAGGAGACTCGAGGCGTGGCTTACAGTGACCCAGCAGTCACAAACAGGCAGGTTTTTGTGGGAGCATTCGGAAGACGATCATCATGATGAGTTACCAGTGAAAATGGACGGGCTAGTAATTTGATTGGGACTCTGTAGCGACTAATGGTAGGGATTGGATCCATTCACCTTCATCTATTGCAAGCTTTCTATAATGAATGTAGCATCTATTTCCAAGAGTCCTGTACATCTACAGAGATATAATTACAGACTGCATCAATTGTAATGTGTCATGAAGAATCCTTTTGGGATCATAAGCTTGAGACCAGGTTACACATGTATAATCCTACCCAGATTTTCCTGTTTTATTCAATCAAAACTACTCACTCTCCTTTACACCTGGCCTGGAAGCACCTCTGTCAGCGCCCAGGAGTTCAAGGTGGTGCGATGACAGGTGGACGCAGCGTTGCGATACTTTGCATGAAACTCCGCTAACTAACGATGTCGACAGTATCACGATGGCTTGCGCGAATCTCGAGTAATTCTAGATCGTCTCCTGCCACTATTGATAATACTCTTGTTGCGCAGTCAAAGCTAATTCTGTGTACACACCGGATTGTCCACCGTTGCTTTCAGGGTCCATACGGACAGGTGCTGTGAGTCCAAGCCTCGTAGGTGGGTCAACGAAGGTGGATATCATAGGGTATTCCGTCACTGTCGTACTCAGCGAAGTACGGAAAAGTTTTGGATCCCTGATATTTAGCATAAGTCGTGAGAGCATCGTACTTGAAATTCTGCAAGTGAGGTACTATCAGTCATTGGGTACAGATTCATCGGTAGTACGTACACGTTCGTGAATGTCGTAACTACTCCTCGAATGAGGGCCTGAGCGAAAAATAGATTAAGGAATATATAGATTGGACTGCAAACAGGAACAAACGTCTCCCAGCTGCCGGTGAGAAATGGTTAGCTTGGTTCTTAGTATGACCGTCATGGGACTACCAGACTCACGAAGAAGGTCAATATATTGGCAAGATTGGAGGCAATAATGACCCTGTTGCGATGATTATCAAGATATGACAGCTACCTGAGGCTCCACGACTTGCCCAAAATAAACCGAGCCTGCACATATTTCTCAGCGTGACTATTGGACTAATAAGAACGAAGGCACTAACCATCTCTCAGCAGAAGAGTGAGCAAACTAACCCCGCCAGTTTGCTGAAGCTTCAGTGCCTTGTGAAGGGTGAGGGTGAACACCATGATGTCGAACACTAGCATGCCACACCAGGCGGTTCCCAGGCCTGATGTGATGGATATCATTATCTTGGGCAGACAGAGAGATGGAGATGGGCACGAACGCATGGCGCTATGACCAAAAGTAGTTGAACAAAATCATGAAGCATGAGCGGCGTACGTACGAGTCACGAGTCAGCGATGTAGAACAGCCAATGAACGGAGTGATATCGGCGGGAGTCTCATCAGGACTGGATTTTTTACCGGACGCGACTGCGTACTGACAGAACTTGACAAGTGGTTCAATAACAATGACAAGTACTCACAGCGCCTAAACCAATAGCCGTAAGGGTAACACAAATTTGAATGACGAGAATTTTGCGGCTTCGGTCGTATAGTGCATATGTGCGCATGATCAACATTACTGGAAGAGAAGATCGACATAACATGATGGTTAAGGCGGGCTCTGCACACCTGCGACCACGATCTGAACAATAATAACGAAGTATTGGTGATACGTCTGAAGTTTTAGACACCTAAAGGCGTGTCACTGAGCATCTGGAATCATCACGAGCAGACCACTGACATCTTCGGAGCTTAAGCTCAACATAGGTCAAACACAACTCGAGCGGTGCAGGGCTCACCTGAACTTTATTAGGAGGATATCCTGTCCAAAAATATTCCACAACGACAGGCACATGCCCGAATATCCCGAGATAGCGGTTCAGATAGAAAAAGAAAGCCGCCCAGGAGAACGCCCCGTGTACCCAAAAACGTGATACTTCCATGCCAAAGGTGAGAGCATAGTCGTAGTACAGTATCGCTGAAAGAAATGGTTAGTACCAGGTATGACAGAAAATGTCAGCCTGACATAAAGCCACAAGGGAAAAGTAATAGTTGACATTCCTACACCGGGTTGCGCGTCAAGTGGAAACGGAAATGATTATTGAATGACGCACAAATCTTCGTATTCCAATCGGAGGCTGGCTGAATCAATCATCAACATTGGTGGGTCTTTGGTCGAGGGAAAACATGGGAATCTTTGGGAACCTTTGAAGGGTAGTGAGCCGGGGCGTGTTAAATGGTAAAGGGAGTCGGGAAGGTAAATATGTTACGGCAGAGACAATTTCCATCGGCTTCGAGTCTTGCCCTGTTCTGATCACTAGCGATCTGATCTGTCTGTCATGACGCATGATCATCACCGCTTTCAATATCGCGATGTTCATAACTGGGTGGACATGAATGCAGACCGTTCCTGTTTCCAGCTTGAACGCAGATAAAATACTAGAATTGTATCGTCAGTCGCGACCTTCCTATCCCCCACTATTGAAGAGGACAGTAGAAAGACACAATATACCACGATCTTTGCTGAAGGTCCCGGTGCCAGTACCTGAGGCCTGAAGGGAGGACAGGCACAGTCTACACAAAACATCAGGAACATGAATAGCCTTGCGATTATTCTGCACAACTACCGCGCCTGGACCGTCATCGCCAACCCCGAGAACAAACGAAAATCTGTACCACAGTAGACGGCCGCATGGTTCAATGTCTTGGTCGGCGTCTCGAATGCAAAAGACGCCGACATTGACGCGTTGTATTGGAACCAAGTAAAAAGCAACGCCACACGCTTTAAACGGTCGATTCTCTGGGCTAGAAACAGCGTAGGGAGCCATTGGCGTAGGCCTCAGGAGCAAGTAAAGAACGGCGGCGACTCTGGCCCAACTAGCCATGGGCCATACCAACTATATGGCTGCCAACGAATGGCAACAATGGCAATTGCGAGAGGTTCCTTCCGGGATATGTCGTCCGTCTTGTGTTTGCACATATCATTTGCCTTCCATTGGATCACTGATGTTTGAATGGGCGGCTTCATTGGGCGACAGCGGTCATGCCGCCCAGTTCAATGTTACGTTGGTGCCATTCGGCTCCCAGGTTATCCCTGTCCGTTGTATTTCAAGTCTCGCCGAACCACCTTCCATGCATCTGTTCGACATATCACAAGGCACCGATGTGTGAGTCCAATGACTTCTTTTCCATCTGGCTTCTCACCATATTATTATCACAGAATGAACGCGCCCATACCAGCCGTCTCAGGCCCTTTTCTGATGAAGTACTGATCATTTTAGAGAGGTATTAGTGCTTTCACACCAAGCAACACTTTCAGGGATTTGCTCAAGATCTCCAGCGAACCCGTCGGCATCGAAGCGGGTCGAATAAGATCGCCTTGCCGAGTTGGACATTGAGTGTCAGCCTGTCCACAACATTACTACGATTACATGGATCGACTTTTGCCCAGCTCTAGAGCCCACTGCGCATAATCCAACTCGGTGGGCTGGGAATCTCTCGATACTCATTTGTCCGATATTATAGGCCTTTTATATCATGATTACCGTGTTCGTCCTCCGGTTGTTCAAGTCATCTTGTGCTCCGTTTATTGTTAGCATGCATCATTCATTTACTTACGAGTTCGCTGTCTATTATCATCTCAGGAGAGGTAATCGGGGATAGGACATATGCCGATCAGTTCGATAAACCATCGGAGACCATTTCTCGGATACATTTGACCAACTGGTGTCGTGATATCGGCAGGCGCCTTTGGAAGTGGAGGTTCAACGGAGATGGTAATGCTCCAAAAAGACGTCCGAAAGTAGCTTATTGTTTTTGCTGCCCTTGTGGGATCGGGCTGATCTGCTATTCCATGTCGTTGAATGAGCTCATCGCTAATGGACTACAGGACGTCCAGTCAATGCGGTATGCCGCTTGTGGGTTGCCTATTTCATTCGGTGGAGGTGTGGTCATTCATTTCATTTTCAGTGGCCTCGGGTGTGATAGTGTTGTTCGACCATCGTGAGTACCACTCCGGACTATTCTCATGTACGAACTGGACCTGTTCTCTATACAGTGATTACAATTGATGACGAGGTAAGCTTTCATCTAATCATTCCAAGTACCCACTTCATCTAATCTTACTAGGTAGAATTGGTTTGGGTACGTGCTACCTAGGCCTAAATGCGGGTGTTGATGACCATCCATATAGAGAGGCCACTGGTCAATAGGCAAACTCTTATTCATAATTGTAAGTCTTTATCTAAGGCTGCGCTGCCTCTCGACCGATGTAATGATTTGTCGTTACTTCAGAATCGATATTACACATTTTTATCTGTCATGTGTGTTTGCCTTTCAGGATTTGATCCCCGCCCTAATGACTTTTTCTCTCAGCTTCAATTACTATGGTTTGTGGTCCGCCGAACAGATCACAACTTTCTTATGTAGACGTAATTCTCTCATAGGTCTTTTCACGATGTCGCTATCTGATTCGGTAAGGGTTGGCCTTTTAACACCTTCGATGAGTCTCTGACTAGTTTTTTGTTAGTTGTAAGTTTTCGGGATTTCATGTAGACCGACTGTAGGATGCGACCTTTTTACATAGTTGTATGTTATCCTTGTCACGAAGTCTTCGGCTACATCTAATCCCGCTGAAGGTCACCGTTTCTCCCGGTGGCAAGGATGGACAGGCCTAATTGCGTGCATGATAGCGGAAGGTCCATCTGCTTTCCGTTTTTGCCAACACACTCTTATATATGGCAACACAAGTGATTCTACAGATGCGGCTTTACGCATTGTATCTCCTCAACAAAAAGGTGCTGGCCCTCATGGTCACGAGCTTTGTTATAAGTTCAGCTAGCGCAGCGGTTATCATGGGCCTAGTTCTGTCTAACATAAGCAGTACGTCTTGATCATCCTTCAATCCGAATGACTGTAAACAGGCTCGTAGCGGTGTCATACGCCCTTCCAGGTATCTCTATCTGTGCCCTGAGCGGTATACCTGATTACTTCTATGCTTTCTGGATTCCGATAATCGTATTTGAGTCCATGTTGTGTGGACTAGCGCTGTTTCGGGGATACCAAATGTTCAGCTCCGATAGACCTCTCTTCAGCTCTGGACGGCATCTCGTTAGTATCCTCATCCGAGATTCAGTATTCTATTTTGTCGTGTAAGCACGCCACTCCTTCCTTTCTTCCTCTGTCTGATCAACTCTACAGCATGTTCGCAACATACCTCACCAATTTACTAGTCTGGACTACTGCACCAGTAAGAACTCGAGATCGAGATATGATAAGGTATCATCTGACCACTTCCACAGGCTGACCTTCTTGAAATTCCCATAGGATTTTCCGTCACGTTTTCATGTGTCATGTCTAACAGGATCATCCTCAACGTTCGCAGAGCGAACGAAGAGGTTATCGAGTCCAAAGCTACTGGTTCCCCTAAAGAAGGTCCGGATAAGGCCGTGGATCTACTTGGTGACCAAGGATATGTTTCCCATACCCGTGTCCGATATTGAAATGATGCAGTTACGCTCGATGCGATCCGAGCATACACAGCCAGTGGTTGTAATTTGAATCGTTCTTTGGCCAATAAATGATCGATTCGTTTTGCCCACATTCATTTTGCAAAATTTGCATCCTCACCGTCCGATCTCGACCCTACTAAGATTCTATCATGAGGAGCCGGCCGGACGGTCAGCAAGCGCAGAAGTGGGAATCCCGGTGCGACCAGACGCTTATCATACTTGAGAAGGCTGCTTCTTCTCCTAAGGCGCTACGAAGAAATCGATATCGAAAATTTGGAGAAGGCGATGTTCTCGATAAGACATTCCTATTCCTTGGTATCAACTTGTAGATCATTTATCCATCATTCGGGTAATTGTAGCACTCATGGGCGGCGTTGACTTCTACGTGGAGATAATGCAGCTGTTTTCCAGGAATCAACAGTGCAGGAGTCCCCTAGGAGTCCCGTTGATATGCACACAAATTTCTGGAAAAATCTTCTCCGGTCTCTCAGCATATGGCCTAGCTTAAAACTCTTCGAATTACAAACAAACCATGAAACCGATCGGTGGACCGAAAACTTGAATCAACGGCTTAAGTACGTACAATAATTTATGTCTCTCTTCTCCTCTCACATGCATGGACGCATCCGAGATGGTGGGAGAAGACAATGGAGATCTTCATCTCCTTAGGTCTCTCCTACGTCGTCCGAATGATGGATCTTGCCCCACAGACGTAACCCAACTTTTGTAAAATGATCGGTGGAACTCGGAATCCCACGATCGTCGGACCAATGCTCATATCCTCTGCTTCCGCTCACCTGGTAGCACACGAGGTTCTGATACACCGAGGGTAATTACTGTTTTTTCATCATGGGCAGTATGTTGCGCGTTAATCAACAAGATGTGTCAAAACACGGGGACAGATTCTGGAAAAAATCTACAATTACAGCGCGTCAGTCATGTGATAATGCACATGACAGATAACTAACGGCAAACTACTGTATCAACCCCCCCCCCAAAAGGAAGGGGTCGGTAGAAAACTGTTAGCCCTGGAGGTTTTCGTGCGCAACCCTGTCTGATCATAGAAAGGTATGAGGGAAACAAAATAATGGACTCACGGGGGATTGAACCCCGGACCTCACACAGCAAGTATTATATAATGCAAAGCGTGCGCGCTACCACTGCGCTATAAGCCCACAAGGGATTTTGCGTTATAAATATATAAAAGAGCTTTTTTCAATACTACTATTCATGATAGAATATTCTTCTTTTAGTCTATCTGTATCTGTTGACGCAAGATGAGTGATTGGTAGTCAAAAACAATGAGCTTGTTGTATTCACTGTAACTTTTCCGCCCATATTTCACCGTCCCAAACTGCCTCGACACGCCATTTCTCTTTATCGATCCACTGATCCTTCAAAAATCCATCCCACCACTTTACATGGATCTCGTCATCATCATCAAACCAGTATCCAGCAACTCGCGGATCTGGGCCTAGATATTCATGCCTGGAATGCATAAATCAGCTGGATTCATGACCTACCGCAACGATGATTTACCGTTTGGAATCGATCTCGTCCGCATGTACAAAGTTTGCAGATACCCCTCCGCCATCCCATCTCCCCAAATAATGGGTATGCACCAGCTGATTGATATCCGAGCCTGGATAAACAATTTGTGTTGTTTCTCCGTCCTTAGCCATGTACGACGTAGGCAAATGTATCCTTGTCCGTTTGCTTGCCACCATCTTTACTAAAGGCCAGCGGTGTACTTCCCAAGCTTTAGCACGTCTTTGGTCTGTAAGCCTCTGTAGTGACTCCTTCTTCTTCGATAGATCGGGAGGGGATTTTTTGGCGTCGGGACCTGACATGAAAATTTGAAGTCAAGCACTATATTCACTCCCCGATCATTACTGGGGCCGGGGCGAATCACCCATCTCAAAGCTGGGACCTGTACATATATATTATGAGCCATTACCGTTCAATAACTTGTGATAGCTAATACTGGAACAAATAATTTCTAATACAATCTGTTTGAAATAACTAACTAACAAAGAGGTAATTCGTACGCTGATACACAGTGCTAATAGCTACTAAACAATGTCCTGGAAAACTCAACTTCATGCAAGCGATAGTAATAGCGATATATGAAATAAGAAAAGACTATGCTCCCTCCGTAGACAGACCTTGCTGCTGCGAGAACGAACCAACAAACGGCGTAGTAGGGCTGAGAGTAGTTCCAGACCCGCGGGAAGAGTAGGTCAAGGCGGGCGAAACAAGAGGCGGGGATGACTGCTCGACGTCATAGACGTCGCGGTCAGGGTCCGGGAACACGCCGTGGGGGTATACATGTGCGTCATAATCGTTCTTGAAGTCGTCACCCGCCTGGATATTACTGCGATGATGACGAAGCATAGCAGAGTTACCATTATTATTTTTCAGGTCACTCGTGTAAGAATCGTTGCTAAACAGGTGGTTGCTGTTTGGGTGGACGTTATTTTCGCCGCTGATAGAATTTGCGTATCTGTGTTGTTGGACGCGCTGCGAAGTCGCACGTAGAATTTCCGAGGAGATATTCCTCGATTTTGGAATACTCATGCTGCTGTGCTGATAGTGACGAGAATGATGTTGTTCTGCAGAAGGAGTCGAAGTAGAGTGCGGAAGGGTCGAGGACCGAACGTGAGCCTGCTGGTTAATGTGCTGATTACGATTTGACGATTGCGAAGGGACGTGAGAGGAGTTCTGAGAGTAGGATGAGACATGGGAATGAATCTGGTCAGCGTCACGGTCACCAGGTAGACGAGAGCCATTCAAGTTGGACTGGTGAGTGTTGCCATTCCGAGTCTGCCCGCGTAGAAAGTTCTGCCCTTGTCGCATCGCTGACGAAGATTGGAACTCTTCCTGTAGCGCAGGGAGAGCACCGTTCATCACGCGGGGAGAGTGGTATGCGTCTTGTCGCTGAGTCTGTAGCTGAGGACGTGAGATGGTGGAAGCTGATGTGCGAACACCCCTGACACCCACGTTATAGTCGGTGGGCTCTCCTTGACATTGTGCCTGAATTTGAGACAGATCCAACCCCGTTGGGCGACGACACTGGTTTGCTAGATTGTTTCCTGCGGCATGGGCCTGCAAGATATATTCCTCCGTTGCGGTGAACCCATTCCTGGCTTGAGCAACACCACCACCGATGACAGGGTGGTTACCGTATCCCAAGTTGATGTCGACGTTACCAAGGGCACTGCGAAGGCCTGCCATTTGAGGGAGACTGCGATGGTGGGCAAGTCCATCCGTGAACTGATCATCAGCACCGCTATAACTGCCGTTGTTACGAAGAGTATTGATCAAAGCAGCAAGCTCTTGACTCTGAGCGGCAGAAGAGAGTTGGCCATACGGTGACTGTTGAAGGCGACCACTCATAGGAAATCTTGAAGAAGCAAGGGATGTATTAGAAATGATGGGTATATCATTGCCTCGATAGCCAAATCCAGATGGTATAGCGGCATTCGAGGAGAAGTCGCGGAAAGGAGGATTGACAAACGTGGACTGATCATAATCAATGCCGATGGGGGAAGGGTTTCCGCGACTGCCTCCAATAGTGAAAGGAACCTGCGAGCGCAACTGTTCTCGTCCGTGCAGGTTCAGGAGAGCAGCTTGGGCAATAGTTAGCCTCGATGAAGACTGGTCGTCGTCCTTCACAGAACGTTCAGTACGCTGGAATGATGCAGATTAGACCCTACTAGACAAACAAAGAAGCTACTTACACGTAACTCGCGCTGCTCAGATGTATCGGCAAAACGAACGGAAATCCGGCTCCCGGGGTCGTTCCAGCCTCTCACCATACGTCCATGCAGACGTTCGATGACTTCTTCGGCACCGAGACGAGTATCCAGTCTGAACAGATGCATGAATAACATGAAGGACACGGACGTAAGTCTGAGACCAACCTCACAAAGGCTATGATTCGCGGAGGATTACTGAGCCTTGTTTGGAAGAATCTGCTGCTCTTGATCCTATGAGGAGAGACTAGGGCACCTAGTGACTAGAGAACGACCAACATCACGTTGTACATATGTTGGAAGGTACGATAGACTCACGGATTCGTCAATGCTCAATGGTAAGCTATAATTTGCATAAGTACGGTTGTATATCATCAAAACAGCGTGAAGCAACTTACCCTTCCATGTAGAGGTTTGTGCTATTGGGGTCGTGAAGTCTTTCCATTTTGGATTTAAACGAATCGTCATCACCGTGAACAGAGGAGGCTGAATGACCGGAGGAGATAGACGGGGCCCGGGCGTAAGCCGTTCCAGGAATCTTATGAACTTGCTGTTGACGTAGATTGATCAATAAGGGTCAGCGAACGAAGATGAGGCTAACCTTCGAAAATGTTGGATGCAGATTCCTGAAGCGTCTCAAAGATTCGATACATTTTTCTGCGGCGTCAATCGTCTCGAATCTGAAAAAGAAATCAGAATATGTTTGGAAAGGGAAGCATATATGCGCACAAAACAAACCCATATCCACTCTCCTTCTCCCCTACGTGCCTCGTGAAACTTCTGACGCTCCTCACAGGGCCAAAAGGTGCAGCAAGCTCGAAGAGTTGGTCCTCGGGATAATTGGGCGGTAGTCCGTTTATGTACACGTTCGGAGTCTTGTTGGAATCTTGGTATAGATCATCTCTATTGACATTCTGGTCTAAGGGGACAGGCACGGAGCCGCTACCTGTTACCGTAGTGCTGTTCATATATGAAGACGGAGCCGCTTGATGAATTTCGATGTCTGGCAAAGGAATGTAGATCGCCTTCTTCGATGGAGCACCGGGCAAGACCTCCGGAGACGACGGAAGAGCGGATGGAGATGCACGGTCACCTCGATGGGGGGACGTCGTCACATCCGTGATCTCGCCCAGCTCATGGTCTGCAAAGAACGCGTCAGAGAGCGTGAAAAAGGCATAGAACAACACGTGCCAGAGATGGAAGCGGTGGCTGAAGGGCTTCCAATACGAAGTGAGCGGAGAAGCGTTCCTGCGTCCTCCGAAGCAGAAGAGCCGGTCTCTGCTTCCTCCAACCCGTCCCGGTGCTTGTAAGCGCGCCAGAACTGGCTAGGGCTGCCCAACGGCGAATGGTACGAGGAACGAGACGATTGGGTTGTCGAAGGCGTGATTTCTGATAGCGAAGGATTGCTGGAAAACGAAGCGAATGTTGAGATTGATGGAGCTAATGTCAACGAAACTGAGGTCGATGTCGAGGAAGAGCCTGGCGAAGAATGTACAGATACAGAAGATGGAGAGTTGGAATGGATCTTGTATCGAGAATTTGGTAGAGAAGATGGTACAAAATCGCCTGCGTTGGGATTAAGAAAGCCTGTAGATGAAGAGACGACCGATTCTGGAGGAGAAGGAGGTGCTCGCGGTGGTGGAATCGGCGTGGAAAGAGAAGAATGTGGGGAGCCGGACATGATGGAAAGCGGCCGTATCAATATAAAATGGAAAGAGACAAGGAAAAACGTCGATAATGTCGGTAGTTGAAGAGAGCTTGAAGCTGGTACCGCAGCCGAAATTGCGTACAAGGTACGTTATAAAGATAATGTTAAAGTAGAGCTAGTTCGAGTAGTCAACGTAAAGGGCAAGGGCGAATAAGCGGGTATGAGTGCGGACGGATGTGAGGGTAGGGAAGAAAGGGGAAAACGGATCTCCTTTGACGAGCCCCGACTTTATAACCAGTGCGATGGGACAAATAATGACCTTTTTGAGCAATTTGGGTCATTTTTCTGGGCAAATTTTCGGGCCTTGCTTGACTACGACGCGTCGTGCGCTTCATAGGAAGCTTCGATTGCTCGGCAGCCATCGGCAGCGCGTCTCATCGACCGATACAGGCTTCGCGACCAGCTCCAAAAGGGAACCCACCGGTGAGCCGGGTGTCCGAGACGTCCGAGGATGTGCGACGAGACTTAGCAGATCCACCTGTCGTACTGGTAGGTTCGTTCGGGGACATGGTCTGGACAGGCGGGAGCCCATGTTGCCACGGAGATACACATAGATACACCTACATGAATTGATGTTAGGCGCAGTGGTCAGAAATTGTGTATGAGAAGACTTACCTGTGCAGAGGAGCTAGCTGTTTGTCTGCGACTAATGCGGAACGTGCAAAATCCTACCCAAATGTCAGGATGGTTGTGGCAGCGTTGCTTCGAGCTTACATCGCAAGCAACGTGCCGTGGATAACAAATATACTGCACTCAAGCCCTTGCTTGAGTCGTTAACGAACTCAAACGCAGCTTGCGGACTTCAGTGTTCTTCTCAGTCGTTTCCAGTACAGAATGTCCGCAGGACCAGTCGATACATCAATTCCCTGAATGGTAATGCCACAATTATTGAAGTAATGAGTGTACAGCAGGTATCATATGTATTCCCACTGGAAACAATCCTGTATCAACAGTAGTGAGTGAATGATGCGAACGCCAATGAAAGGAAGCAGACCATGCAATCTTCATCCTCGTCGACAGGTTCAGGAACCTCTCTTCCATCTTCCCAATCTTCATTGAACAAATTGTCGATGATCACCTTGATAGGATGATTCTGAACGCTGACGCTCCATCGCAGCTTCTTTACCGTATCATATTTGATGAGTTTCCCCAGATGACAACGCGATTCCAGCGCATACCCACTCGTCGCACAGGTGGATCCAACTCCCGTGCATGTGCCCATCGGGATCGGCTAGCATGGATATTTGTTGTATTAGATTCGATTCGAAGATGCGGGACAAGAGGACGGACATCACCGGTATTGAAGACATGTGTTATGTGTTGCGTTGAAGGCTGCCCATGGGGTCAGCATCGATTAGAAGTGAAATGGGAAGAGTTACAGGTGAAGGCAGATGCAAGCGACGAGCCGCCATCCTCTCGCTGGGAGCTTCGAAAGCTACCACCGGCGCGCCGAACGTTGTTCCTATCAGCGAAGCCAAAGCTCCACCAAGAGAATGTCCGATAAGCCAAATATTGGCTTCGGGATACATATACGAGATGTTGTTGTAAAGATTCTGAGCTTGCATTAGAGCCTTAGCTCAAAACATATATGCGAAACATACCGTCCCGATAGGATAGAACAGGCTCTCCTCCACCAAGGTTTCCTGGACGCAATCTAAACCGCATTTATATCCTCCTTGGTAGCATCCACAGACCGTTGACCACGTAGGGCCCACCCTAGCGCAGCAGCACGAAAACAGAAGGTTGTCATTCAACTTATCCTTGACAACTGTTGGTCCACCTCCTAACCATGGTACTGACGTGCCCTTAATGGAAATTACGACAGTAGACTCGTCCGTAGACACAAAAACGTGGCCGCGGAGGCCATCAGCGTCGGGCTCCCATCCATAAGAGTATGTCTATGTAGCATTAACGTAATTGCAAACAAGAGTCGGAAACACGACACATACAGCATTCCACTCGTCCCCCAAATCATACCATTCTTTGTCCTTTGGATTAAAGTAGGAATTCGACGCCATCTTCGCCAACTGCAGCAGTGTCTCTCGTTTCTCCGTATGCGGCCCGGTCGTCGTCTCGCTGATCCACGCCAGCGGCTCTATCTCGTTCTGCAACTCTCTCATGCTGTGAAGTCTGGCACTGGAGTACGCAGTCCGTGAAGATGGTTTATGGACGATTATAGGTCTTGTATCGACGGAATACGTCCCGGAGACGAAACCAGACTTGGTGGCGTCCGAGAAGACAATCCTCGACCCGTTTGATACAGAATGTGTATGTCTCAGTTGGAAGTGCAACTCATTCGTAGGTGCTGCATTGTGTGAAAGGAATAAAGATACCAGGGCTTGGATAGCGGTAGGAAGGTACGACAACATGCGCGAAGGTCAGTGAAGAGTACAGCATTGCTCAGTTAGGCAATCACCGCCCGGCGATCGAGAATTCACACGCGGCTGAATACAGTCATGTCACGAGACTAGGCTCAGCTCCCAGACAGTCGCTTTCCTTGAGCTACTCCGACGTTCACTCGATAACAACACATTTATTATTCTGTGCTCAGGTTCGAAACCCTAGAGCAACCCAAGAGTCCAGACACCATATTTCCCACCTCTGTTAACTCCCGGCCTGCAAATCCAATGCGTTTTCCCTCAGTAATAAGTGTTACATCCTTTAATTCATCCGGAATGGTTAGCTGAACATTATTCCGGTTCAGTTCTCGTGATAATGTTCATGAAGTACAGCGGTCCGGACACAACGCTTCCATGACTGCCACATTGCCGTCTATATCCTGCACGTAAGTACGGAAACAATGCAATTCGGCCCGCTATAAGGCCTAAAGCTCAAGCCATGTCATGTTGCCTGTCTCGCTTCCATTATAAGAGACTCTGCAAAACTTCTGCAGCCTCCGAATTACCATGAAAACACTATTTGCCCTTCTGACAGCCCGTCTTGCCGCATTGACGTACGCAGTAGCCCAGTTACCTACGTCGCCCTTGGGACCTGTCGTCAATCTCGGATACGCGATGTACATTGGGAATACAACTTCTCCGACTGGACTGGAAGACGGACCGGTTGTTTTCTACGGCAATATTCCTTACGCGCTGCCGCCAATTGGTGACCTTCGCTGGAGGGCGCCACGTATGCTGAATGAGAATGGGCAAACAAGCCAGACTGTAGACGCGAGGGATTGGGGTCCGCCATGTTTGCAACGCCCAGCCATGGTAGGGATCGGTTCAGAAGGTTTGATGCTACCAAGACTGAAGAATTAAGCTAAATAGGTGCCAGATTGCCTAAAAGTCAACGTGTGGAAACCAAGGACAGCTTCTGAGGGAGATGCTCTTCCAGTTGCCGTTTACATTCATGTTGGTCTTCTTACAATGATATCAGCAGTAGTGCCCGAAGTTAATTTTTTATACTTCTAGGGAGGAGGGTTCTATGCTAACGTAGGTTTCTCTATCTCCCTTCTCTTTTCTGAATTGATGGTATTGTAGTCACCGCAAGGATTTCCCTTGTATGATTAGGTAGAACAACAGGGCAAGCTAGTTGGCGTTTCTATCGCCTACCGCCTTGGACTTCTGGGATTTTTAGGCGGCTCTCTACTGGAAACCGACGGGGATTTAAATGTTGGATTACTCGATCAGCGTGCTGCACTTGAGTGGATTCAGCGACACATATCCAAGTTTGGCGGCGACCCAGACAATGTTACCATTTTCGGAGAAAGTGCGGGAGGTGCTAGCATGATAATGCAAGTCACCGCGTACGGAGGTCAGCTTTTTCTGTTTTTTGTTTAATTCCAAGCAACAGTCTCTTCCTCAGGTACAAGACCAGTTCCTTTCAAACGTGTGGTGGCACAATCGATAGGCTTTGGGCCTACACGAACTGAAGCAGAGGTGGAGGCCACTTTTAGTGAGTTTTTCAATATATGTTGTTTGCAAACCTCACGATCAACCAATCAGCCTCTGCTATCAAATTCATTGGATGCTCGTCACCTGCCAATAATGTCATGCCATGTCTACGGAGTGCGTCTCTAGGTAGATATCACTAAAAAAAGCTGTGTCTGCGGCTAACCTATTTACCTCCTAGGAGCTATCGTTAGTGCCATAAACCGCATTCCGGTCACTCAACCCTCTCAATTCGCTCCCGTCATCGAAGGCCCGACAGGTTTTCTTCCCGGTCTGCCATCTCGCTTGATCGAGTCTGGTAATTTCAGCACCGTCGAATTCATCGGCGGACACTGCACAAACGATGGGCGAACATTTGCCGGCGGACCTCCAGAAGACTTTGTCACAGATGCCGATATCAAACGTTTGGTATTCTCTAGGTGGCCTGCTGTTGTATGCCTACTTTCCTATATGTGCGTCTCTGTTCATCTGACTGACGCTATGTACAGTCGAATGCCACAATTGTGAAAGCATTGGCGCTGTACCCTTCCCCACAGATCTCGGGCAGTCCTTTTGCGACCCAGTACGATCGCGCATGGACGATGGCTGGAGAGATAGTTTTCACATGCCTGTAGGTCGCCTTTGCAAGCACATCTTTGTCGCCGAAAGATTAGACACTCGTAGAGACTGGTATATGGCGGAAAATTTGGCGAGCAGAGGTGTGAAAAACGTATTTTCTTACGCGTAAAACGTCCTTTCTGTTTCTGTTTCTGCGAAATTTGATGTTATTGTCTAGGTGGGATGCTCCTAACACTGTGCTATATAACGAAAACCCTTATCTGGGTGCCATGCACACCTCCGATCTCTATTATCTATTCTCCGGTAAGTTGTTATGATTTCTCAGATGGGGATGTTTGTTTAGCGCTCTATTGACCAGGTACCAAGTAAGTTATTGATGGTGCCTTGAAGCCGTCAACTCGGACATTGATGAAGACACCTCAGCACATTCGGGAATGCAGGAAATACTTTTACACCTTTCAATGCCGTCTGTTGCCCCTCCGTTCTCGGTGCATTTTCTTTACCGACCTCTATTTATTTACACAGAGTGAGGCCACACTCTCACGGGAAGCCATCAAGTACTGGACTTCGTTTGCTAGTACAGGAGATCCTTCATCGGATCAAGATGTGCATGTACCCCTCTGGAAGAAGTATGTTGACTCAGACGCTCTTCGGCGGATGGTTCTCTCCCGTGGAAATGATACAGTGACGGTGTCTCAGATGGAGACAGTCCCTGGCGATGAGATAGCACGATGTAGGTTTTGGATGAGCGAGGACGTGACCACTGAGACCCGGATATAGCATTTCTGTCAAATGTCGAATCCATTTTGCGTTACAATAATGCGACAACGGCCTATGTCGCGGACTCACAAGGGTTCATGTGTTTGGCTTCAGCCGACCGCTTTCCCAGACTATGCCCTTTGGGGCTTACAATTCTCCGTTATCCACGGTCATCTAGCCAAAGGCATGCGTGTTATCGGAATCAAGCGTGTGTTTGTGTGCTCAAACTACAAAAGAATGGCTGCATTCCGCCCCTCTCCTAGCAATGGTCTTGTTTGTTTTCCTATTTCTGATAAGATCGACCTTCGCATTGGAGCACTTCATGTCGGACCTGGGACCTGTCGTTGACCTGGGATACACAGCTTTTGCTGGAAATGACACGTCTCCAAGTGGCATACAACATGGACCAGTCGTCTTCTTCGGGGGTATTCCCTATGCTCAACCACCGGTACACGCTCTTCGGTGGAGAGCTCCTCAACTATTGGATGAGAGTATTGTCACGAGCGAGATCGTGGACGCGAGGAATTGGGGACCGCCTTGTTTACAAGTCCCAGCAATGGTGGGTGTTGGTTCAGAAGGTAGGGACTTGGATATTCTCTATTTCCGACTCCAACTTTCTCTCTTGAAGATTGTTTGACGTTAAATGTGTGGAAGCCCAGAAATGCAAGCAAAGGTGATGAACTTCCTGTGGCTGTCTACATACATGTGAGTCATTATCACACCATGGTGTTGTATTTGCTGTTGACGCGTTACTTAGGGCGGAGGATTCTCTTCCAATGCGAGCTCAACTCTCTTCATAAAATTATACAGAGATCTAATCAAAATCCCAGTCGCCTCAAGGGTTCCCATTATATGATTGGGTCGAACAACATCACAGTGGATTGGTTGGCGTCTCCATCGCGTATCGACTCGGGATTTTAGGATTCTTAGGCGGGCATTTGATTGCCGCCGATGGAGATTTGAATGTCGGCCTTTTAGATCAACGCGCGGCTCTGGAGTGGATAAAACGAAATGTACATAACTTTGGTGGCAACCCCGACAGCGTCACTATATACGGTGAAAGTGCCGGAGGCGCAAGCGTAATGATGCAAATTACGGCCTATGGCGGTATGTCAAAGTCTGTCAGGATATTCTACTTAATGATCTTCGTTGGCAGGAACGCGAGCCCTCCCCTTCAAACGAGCAGTAGCGCAATCCATCGCATTCGGGCCCACACGTACAGATGTCGAGGTCGAACAAAGCTTCAGTCAGTGCTGATCATACCTGCCACGCCCGGCATCATCAATGGTTTTTGACAGGTAACGTCGCGCAACTCGTCGGATGTCCGTCGCATGGCACGGATGCTTTGAAATGTCTTCGAAATGCATCTCTTGGTTGGCTTAACCTGTCAAGTCTTGTAAAACATTGTTCAACGATCACTAGGTGCTATCGTCAGCGCAAGCAATCGCCTTCCGAGCACAGAACCTTCACAGTTCGCGCCAGTGGTAGAGGGACCGGCAGGTTTCATGCCTGGGCTTCCAACTCGATTGATAGCATCTGGAAAATTTATCCCTGTGGAGTACATTGGAGGCCATTGCACTGGAGATGGTCGTACCTTCACTCTCGGCCAGCCCAGTGACTTCCAAACTGATGAAGATATCAAGAAATTACTCCTCTATTGGTGGCCAGCCCTTGTCCGTACTACCGTGTTATACTTATACGCTCATACCTTGTCTAACACAGATATTCTTCTGGCAGTCCAACGCTACCTTATACAAGACATTGAAATTGTACCCCTCACCAGATGTTCCTGGAAGCCCATTCTCCACGCAATGGAATCGCGTGTCGACGATTGCGAGAGATATCGATTTCTGGTGCTTGTGAGTATGCCCCATTTGCCTCTAGTGTGCCAAATGGTTGTGATTTGGTAGAAACTGGTTTCTTGCTGAAAAATTGGCCGATCACGGCGTGGATAACGTGTATTCTTATGCGTAATTACCTATAAATTATTTCACATTTCTTCGTGCCCTCATCTCCAACCTAGATGGGACGCACCGGACACGGTGTTATACGAGGCCCAGCCTTATCTTGGCGCCATGCATACTTCGGATGTTTACTATCTCTTTTCCGGAACAAAGTGAGTCTAGGGTCGACTCACAATCCTGAATATCGATGAAGCGTTCCTATTAGTACATTTGGAAATGCGGGTAATACGTTTAACCCATTCAATGCCGTCAGTGTTCCCATTGTCCATGAAAGCCGCTTTTAATGACATGACATAGAGCGAGGCTATCCTTTCCAAAGAAGCCATAGCATATTGGACAACGTTTGCTTCAACCGGAGACCCGTCTTCGTTCAAAGGTACTGCTTCTGCCTCCTGGGAAAAGTATGTCGTGCGTAATAGGACTCGACAACGGATGGTCTTCATTCGAGGAGACGATACAATGACTGCGTCACGGATGAAGACAATCACTAGCGTTGAAATCGATCGGTGTAAATTTTGGATGAGTGAAGATACAATAGCCGAGTTGCGAATCTAAAGCAAACTTCTTTTATCCTGTCGTGAGACTCTTAATCAACAGTGCAGGAAAGTTTTGCTTTGACTAAATAATCATAACTACAGTGCATCAATACAGAAGAGACGGCGTTTCAGAGCCAGCCTGAGGTATGACAAGGAGCTGTAGTGTCAACGACAAATGCGTTTGGATTTCGAATTTCCCGCTCCTACACAAGTTCGTGTATCGCAGAACGAATGATGACTGAGAGAAAGAGAGAACTGCCGACGATGTAAGACTGAGTGAGTCCCGCCACCATAATAACATAACACAGCAGTACACAGTACCGTGGCGGACTACTTACCCCTCGACGACGAGAAGTTGACAACTGGCATCCAGGAAGGGGAAAGAGATGACGGAATCAAAAAAAGGGCAAGCAATAATATCATTTTAACGTTGATGTTTGATCGCGATCACTTGGCAGTCATCACCTCCGCAATCTGTGCTACTACTCTGTGCGGTGCTGTAACCTGTTACCTTAGCTCTAGTAAAACACAGCTGGCCTCGAATCACGGTGATTTCTGGTGCTGCGGTAAGAGCTAGGCCAAGAAAGGCTGGACGTTGGACCTACCTAATATCTTGTTCATCTGCACTTCTCTTCTTGACTTTCATCTTTTCTTCTCGTCAAATACTAATTCGAACACACCCGACGCTTCGCTCCCTTCGGTTTTTTTCGCCTTCCTTTTCCAATGAGGAATGGTATCTGGTTCACCAGTCTGGCGCTTGCGTTTCGCTGTACGGTAAGTACTGGTCCTTCATGCGGATCGTATTCTGATTAACTTGTAGTTAGGCACCCCTCTGGCCTTGGACACCGGATGGGATATATTCGCTGTTACTTACATTGCCGAATCCCTTCCTAGCCATTGTTGGGAGTTTGGTATAGCTGCAGAGGCCTTACTCGAGCTCTACTCACCCATGGTCTCTGTCTTTTAGCCCCAACTCCTTTCCGGCCCAGGTGATAGACCCTCAACGAGTCAAAGGTCTCGCGTACGCGCCGAATAAAATTGTGCTGGGCACGGGCGCCAATGTGTTGGGTGACGGTAACGAAGCAGTGGGAGATCCAGCTAGCTTAGGCATGTATGCGTGGTTGCTCAGCAAGACTAACGACACCTATGAGCAAGCCTCAGTGGAACAGATTCAGTACCTGCTGGAACAGGCACAGAGATACCAAAACGAGTCTGGCGCCATCAGCCAGAGGGTCGATGTCGCGGAGTTGTGGTACGTCTTTTAATCTCGCCTTTATTCTTTCGGCTCATTTCTCCCATAGGGCTGACTTCATGTACATGGCTCCACCCTTCATCGCATATTACGCCGCAGATACTGCGAATGAGAGTCTGCTTGAGGAATCCTACAAGCAGCGCGCTTATTATCGCGAATCCTTCAATCTCAGTCTATCAAGAATGAGTCGTACTGCGGCGTATGGTCGCATATAGTCGGGCCTCAGCTACCTCGTTGGCGCCTAGCCCTTGTCGTAAAATCCTAAAATAAAGTCATCAAGCCCAGTCCATGGTCGAGGTTGGCACTACAAAATCTCTACCTATCTTTTGGCCGATAGAGGGTGATCGTGACAATGCCTGAGTCCTTTAGAGGCAAGTCCAGATGCATCGTTGATGCTCCAATTTGTCTGTCTGAGGCAATGCCGGTCAAAGGTCGCTTTGTTATCGGAACATCCACTTTTATAATTTTCAACTGTCAGAAAATACTGAAACTATGGAATCGTCAAACATGGGAAAGCGCATGACAGATATTTTGGCTACTTGTGACGGCCCGGCTGAATTTTTCTCTATTTCACTACCGGCGATGCAAGATCTCTCTGCCCGTTGAGTCCGCTATTTCTTCGCTCTTTCTCGTACTCGCACATATGCTTTTGCAATTCATTGTGTTGCCGCTTCCAATGTCCTCGCTGCCCTCTCTTCCACTGAATGTTCCAATTATGGCGATGATGCATCAGATTTGACTGATTCTTTCGGTTCGAGCCGCAGAGTAATCAGTAGGAATCCTCCCTGCTACTGGTATGCGGATCCACCGCAGCTCATCTTCATCTCTGCCGTTTACTCTGCGTCTCCCCACTTATCTACTGCTACAGCTGGTTACGTTCGAAGTTTGACTCTCCGCAAACGGTTCATCAAACAATCTCTCGTAGCTCACGTAACTTTACACAGACTGAGTCTGCGTAATCGTTGCCATCGTCTCTCCGGCCCCGGCTCCAAGTTCAGGAATTGAGCTCAGGCTCGCTCCCAGATCTGTTGTTCTCGACGCGCGCATGGGCCCTCCTTCTCCCACCGTTGCCGGGCCCGCACCTATTCTTACGTACGGGACCTACGCCTGCTGATTGATTTGTTCTGTCGTTCGTCCTCGTCGGACGTTCCTTCGGCCGCACACTACTCTTACGAACAGCGCTTTTTGAGTAGTTCAACTCATCAAGATGACGACGAAGGATCGCTCTGGAATTTGACATCCGGGAATGTCGACCTCGGCAACTCCTTACTGTGACACAAGTATGATATCGATAACGCGTCTTCCTTCTGCCTATTTATCGGGGCTTGCGTGCACTGAAGTCCTGTCCAAGCCAATCTGGCATGTTCAGTGGGCGTCAGGCGTTTCAGAGATTATATTAAATTGAAGAGCCGAATGTGTCTTGGGTCTACTCAAATAAGGCTGACAAGATTAACTGTTGCTTCCCTATCACGCTCTTCATCCCAGAAGGTCACATACGCCATGTACACCGGGTCCGCTAACTGATCGACAACGCATCCTTCTGTCTGGCTTCCAAACGTACACTTTCGAGTATCTCAGAGCTTGTCGTCTTCCGGCGAAATAGATGCTATTGCGTTTTCCCGACTGCATCCTTGTTAATGATGATCCTGGGCCAATAGAATGCTCGAATTGCAATATGTGTACGTCAGTCCGAGCTGGACAGGCTTCTGTTCCACCGAGTGTTCCGAGTTTCGCCACCTATGCACCTTCCTACACCTCTCTACGCCTGCAGATAACTCTACTGGATGTTATTACGGCGAGTGCAAAAAAACCTTCACAGAATCAAGACGTGTGTTATTAATGATGATTCCTTCAAACCGAAACTACGAGTGTCGAGAACCGAGTTATTTGAAACGACATTTCCTGTTCGTTGTTACAGATCTGACAGGTTACGCAGTGAGCGTTTGTTATCGAGTTATAATACTTTGAGGACTAAAAATGCAGCCCTTCTATACACACCGAATCGGAAACCGACTTTCGGCTGCAATTCCACCCTGAAGCCGGTATTCGCACATGAATGCAAAGCTTCTTTGATATAGTTTTTTGAATCTAGTTCACCCTGTGATCTGCTTCCCCCCCACATTTGTCGAGTTCTAGGCCCGTGAAGGGAGTGGACGAAGGTAGCAGATCACTGCCGACTATTCAGCTTTTATAGGGGTTTCATCTTCGTATACGGTTCGAGTTGTCGACGGTTGAGTCTTTGACGGTGCTTGGCCGGCATGATGTTTGTTGAATTGAGTGAACGGAAATCGGATATGTGGCACGTGCTACGTGAGCATCAGATCTGGAATTTGCGTCCGGTCCCTGGAACTGGACCCCTGGAAAATTTCTCCTATTCTTAACTTAGCCCCGTTTGATAGTGTCCTTAAGAGATTCCAAGTTGCTTCCTTCGTCCGTTTACCATCCATCATCTTCCGACCACCGTTATCAGCTCCTGTACTGCTACAGGCAGCATCGCTACTAGGACTTGCCCAGCATATTCACACAGGCGACTCATGCCCCGACCAAAAACAGCCGTATCGCGCCCCCATCCCACGGTCACTTTCGATGAACCCGAGCATACGCTGATGCGGGTGCGCTCCGAGGGATATATGGGGCCAGCCCTTGGGGTGAATGTATACAGCACCAATGCTAGTGCGCGCACAAGCTACACGAGGGTCGACCTGGCTGTGGAAGGGGATGGAACTGGGTGGGTGGGTGAGGAGGGCCGGAGCAGTCGAATATGGAACGACGACTTTGAGGACGACGAGGAAGGGGAGAAGCGGGATGTAGAGGGCGAGGACGGGGACGAGGACCAGGGTGGCGAGGCAGACACGGAAGGCGGTGACGTCGGTGACGATGAGAAAGACGCTGGTGATGACGATGACGAACTGCCCAATATCTCACTCACCTTCCTCCTGCTATCCGGGAAGCGCCGAACGGTGTCTTTTAATCCAGAAGTCACCGTCAGGCGAGTCAAGGAGCTGATGTGGAATGCATGGCCGCATGGTCAGTTTAATCCTTATTTTCCGAGTATTTTGAGCTTATTTGGGGGCCGCTTCCTTCTCTCTTCCATCCTCGGGTCACTTCTCTTCCGCCTACACCAATAATGCCTTTACCGACATTGAACATGTTGGGCGCTGATTATTGAATCATCATTGACGTGACCCCACCATTGGCCCCGAATACAGACTGGTCCCCCGAATCTCCGCGACCGCCAGCGCCATCATACCTTCGTATCCTGCATCTGGGGAAAATATGGCAGGACGATGATGTGCTCCAAGGTGTGTATCGCTGCTCTAGTTTTATCGTTCTACCTCGCTGAGCCCTCCTGGACAGCGCACAACCTTCCCATCAATACTCCACCGACATCAGCGACTGACCCTAATATTCCAAAACCACCACCGACAATTGTACATCTATCGATACGACCGTATACAGCTGAAGATGCAGCAGATGAAGCCCTGAGGAAAAATGGAGTTGGGCTTTGTGTGCGATTGGGAAAGGGGATAGATTGGGTCAGGCAGAGGCGACTAAGAAGAGCGACGCGACGGCAGGAACAGGAACAGGAACAGGGGCGGGAGCAGCAGCAGGAGCAGCAGGAGCAGGAGCATGGAAGGGAAGGAGAAAGGGAACTTGCCAACACAGAGGCAGAAGAGCAGGTCTGTTGTTGTATTATCTGTTAGTGGGCAATTTCTTGGACTCTGGGGACACTCGCACACACATTGCTATTATACTACATTCACCGGGATCTTGTTATCTATTATATTGTACATCTACGAGGCCATACAACAAAATTGCATGTCAGATTGGAATGGATATTTATTGGCTGAGAATACAAGGTGCTGGTAGTAAGAAATAGGGGACAAGATGGGGATGAGCTGTAGATTACATTATGAATCTATTCTACAGAAATCTCCTTACACATTTCCAAGTCATTGGTCTTTCTATTCAGCTTAGTCTGGCACTTGTCAAGCCGCCAAATAACCAATAAACGTCACGATAGCAATAAACACTCAACGCTCAGTTGCAGCGCCCGAGTCGGAGAGCTTAGATTCGAGCGAGACCGTGATGGCTCTCTCTTCTCCGAATCCGGGACTGAAGCACGCGTATAGCAATACGGCAGGTCCCTCGAGAACGTATGGACGCGGAGACGTTATTACGAGTGGGAACCCTTGGATTCCGTACACCCTCCTATGAGTAATGATGGAATCGTCACCAATTCCGCGACACATCCTCCGTCTCTTGGAAACGGGAAAATAATACTGATGATGTCGCAGGTCTGTAGGATCCGACAGTCGAATCCCAAGTTTCTGGGAATGGTGCAGACCGCTTCTCATGTACGGACGGATCTCGTCCAGTTGGCCAACGCTATCTGTAGACGGTGCAACCGGAGCCAAGGCTGCGACCGCAATGACTCATCATCAGAGCAAGATTTCCCTCGGCTAAGAGTTATGAATAGATCCAAACCGCTTTATGTCCTTCAGACCAGAGAAAGATCCCGTTTCGTGGATTCCCATCAGTAACAGCTCGAGAAAGGTGGCAATAAGAATAGGATAAACCGGAACGCTTATATGCGGCGACAAAGCAACGGGCATCCGGCTAGGAGGTCCTGATAGCGTTTGTTTCCAGGGGCAAGAGTTCGGCAGCAAAAAAGGTCCTGGAATTGAAGTAATGCAAGTGTAAAACGTCGCAGTTCTAAACACAGTGTTGTTTTGCAATCGCACACTCGACTCATCTCCGTCGGCTTTTCTTCGACGATAATCTCAGTAATCTAACGCTTGGCACAGTCGAACGAGTGCTAAGTTGCACTGAGTCTGCGATTCGGAGTCGACAGCAGCACCAGATTCAGGCGCCGGAAAAGAATCGCTGACACCGGCAGCGCCCGTCGACGCGTCAACACGAGGCGATGAGGTGCATCTGGAGAAGTGAAAAACGGACGTTGAACGTCTGAAAAAGGAGTCAGAGATAGTCAGATAGGATACCAAGACCGAACTTGAAGCAAGTTCAGCAATACTGCTGTGCGAGACGGGGCTTTCGATGACAAAATAGTTAATAGTCAAGTAGTAGAAGGACCATAGCGTCAGTTGAATATGTTGCTGGACAAAAGGAATCTGAATCGACGCTCTGACGCGAACAAAGAACTGTAAGCTTCAAAAGAAAGTTCACGTGCCAGCCCTGAGCATTTTATCGGCGACAACCTACGCCGCGTCTCTCTAGCCAATCGACGCTTTTGTATCGAAGCTCACAGCGTATTCTGTATCACTACAAATGAAAGCCTGAATCATGTACAAGTCGCGCACGATCAGTATTTGATTTTGTGCGTCGTTTTTTTTCCCTTGATAGTATTTAGCCTCAACTTATCATGTTTTAATAGTGAAAGTATTGCCGTCCCCTCAGTTTGGATAGCAGAACCAGCTCAGAACTTTTATCTGTGTCCCCGGCTGGGGAATAGGTGCCCCTCTAAGCCAGGGCACTATACTCTAGCTATGACCGCACATCGGAGCTGTCCGTAGCTTGCAAGCACTGATGCATCAGGCGCGATGATCGACACGACTGTAGGTATGCAACGCCTCCCGACTTAATCTACCCTCGTAAAGAAGCTTGTAATAACTGACGCCACCTGCAGCCAAAACCCCAAGGGCACCCAACTCAGTAACCTCGGGTCGGGCCGACTTTGTTTTGCCTCGTTCCATTCTGTTGCCAGGTTTAATCCCGCTGGTTGGCAACAAATGTCAAAGAGGATTCGGATCCTTATATTTGCTCGTATATGACTCTGAGATGACCATCGTTTTCGGCCTCCTACTTCTCAGGTGTAGTTTCGTTGGAGCACGAAAGCTTGTCATAGTATCAACTGGGAATTCACAGCAAGGTGACATCTTTATGCTTCTTGGCTCGTCTTCGTAAAGCTCATAGATACCAGCAGTTATCTTGCTCCTCATAGTTGACTCTATTCTGTTCTTATGCACATCTTGGGGCCCAAGGACAATCGACTACAAACACCAAAGCCACTGGTAAAAATGCCAAAGAAGCCACAATTCAGCCGGCACCACTCTACAATTCCATTTCCCATCCCACTCTCCCAGTCGAGCCCACCAGATCATCCACGACGAAGAGCCTTCTCGTTTTTCCCTTTCCTATTCAGTGGTCGGCGGAAGGCATCCACCTCGACAACCGTGTCTTCCTCGTGCTCTGCATGTTCATCGTCCCAAAATACCTCTGACACCCAAGCCAACTCCCCGCGTGTTCGCCAGCTCGACAAAGCTACACGAATGCTCGGAGAAAGAATCCCCCCGGAGCTTGTCCTAGGGCCGCCCAAGAGTCCTCAGCACCGCATAAAACCACACGTCCCTCTCCGAACGCGTAGCTCATCGCCGTCACTATTTCCCCCGACCCCTCGGTCCAACCCAGAGCCCCGACATAAACGCAGCTATCTCAATATAGTTCGTTCCGGTCCACAAGTCCCAGAACCGGAGCACTCTCCTAGCACGTCTAGGCCACCATCTAGGACGTCAATGGAGGAAGAAACAAGTCCTTACTTGTATGTCTACTTTTTGGCTCTCCAGACGCGAAGCTTAGTCGTTGTAGGGATACCTTTACCAAAACTCCGCCGCCCGGAACACCGTTTATTGGCAGTGCCGTGAACTTAGATTCGGACTCACATCTCGGATCCAGGAAGAAGTGGCAGCAGAGCTGGAGTGGCGAGTGGAACGTAAAAGATATGCATGAGGTCATTGGCAAATTACGGCATCTGCATTGAAGCTGAGCTAGTCTACATAGCTATGCAGCTGGGCTGGACTCGAAAAGTAGTTTCCAGAGGGCTCGAGCTTGTGACGATATTTATGATGCAGGTAAATAGTGCTTTATTCCAGTAGAGCTCGACCTGTAATGACCATTTAGATTATATCCTACCGTTAATCAGCTCTGGACCTACAGCTTGTTCGCGCTGATAGCATCGTCCTGAGGTAGTTGAAAATTCCAGGATAATCACCGCTCTGCAAAATTACAGGCTGTTGACTCTGTGTGTGCTATAAGAAAATGCAAGGCACCTCAATGTAAGTGCACGTAGTGTAATGAAGCGTCAACTAACAGAATGCACTTCTAAACGAGGTGATGAGAAAGGCGACACTGATTTCCGACCAAAAGTTAGACGACCTTCATCCTACAATGGCGTAAGCTCAGGCATCCGCACCGAGGGTTCTGACAAGTGACGAAAAAATTACACCATTAGCCCTGTCCCATTAATAACACCCTATACAGAAAAATTAATCAAACACCCTACTTCGTAAATCATAACATTAATAACCCTCTGACCCACATCAGAGCTTTGACTTCAACAAGTTCAAAGCTTTCCCTCAATGGGTACGATCAGATCATACATCTCGCCCATGCCCTCAAGGGCAGCATAAATCGCATCGGCAACTTTGACGGGTGATTCCTATAGCGAAATCATTAACCACTAGGCATGGGACCTTCAGGAGGACACCCACATAAACACCTCCGACAGAGAACCTCGTTCCCGCAAACGGGAATTGTATCAGCCGTTGCACCTCACTCCAAACGACCCATGAGAATGGCGCATGACATGGGAGGAAAGAAAGGGGGGCGGAGGAATATTTTCCAGGCTGGTATGGGCCTTTCAGTGCCACGCCATTGTCGGAGAGACGTATCAGAGAGTTCTTCTGCTTTATCGTTAGTGATTTAGCGTGTATCGGCTTGTTCCGATGCGTACGACAAAGATCTCTCTCATCCATGTGTCCCATTTGGCCCATGGCTTATGTGAAGAAAGGTATACGCGCGCGTCGTCGGGTGAATCCCATTCCAGTTCCGAATGGACGGGAGCAGGAGGCGCGTCGCCTTCGTCGTAGATAGCAGGATCAACGAGAACCATCCCCTCGTAGGGCGATGGATCTTCTGGTGGGAAAAAGTCTGATGAGAGAAGGCTGCATCCGACTATTGTTAGTTTGTCAAATTCGCAATCAGACAACGCCACACACCAAGCATTCGCGCCGTCTCCCCAACCAATCAGAATGACGCGGTGCATCCCGCCATATGCATCAACATGGGATAGGAATATGCTTTGTCGAAGGGCAGCGAGGGCGTGAGCGTATGTCATCGTATCCGAGTCTCTGTCTTCAGGAGCGTCCACTGACCAGGCCTCGATAATCTGTAGTGGCGATCCGGCAAGGCGATTGTGCTCGTCGTGCGCGAAAAGACGTAGCAAGATGGGCTCGTACATTTCCTTGACACCAGGAATGCCATGGGCGCACACCAGAACGAGACCAGGAGTGCCAGCATGCGTGGGGATACGGTGTCGTGGTTTATATCGATTGGCACGGAATGTCGCGGTCGACGATGGGAGAGACAGCTTGTACTGGGTGGTGTCCATGTCAATGAAAGGGAGACTCTGAGGGAGATAGGCAGGAGTAACAGCGGCGGGGCCGAATAATAAGGAAAAGTCGGGCTGCGGCGACTGAGAACGACGGCGAGACGGTGGAAATGATAAGAGCTGCCGTTGAGGATGTCATGGGTGTTGTGTGAGAGAATGTCGCAACCGCTGCAACGGGACCTGACTAGACTCTCCGGAAATCGGGCCGTTGTATTTTCCCGGCCCGGGATTGTTGCGATCTGGTCAAACTATAAGTTTCATGCAACACGCGCCCAAACTTAACGTAGCAACTTATTACAACCAACAACGACCGGGAAAGCCGCTTTATACGTAACGATCTGTCTCACTCTCATCATGCCTAGATTATATATGTATCTTCAGTCTCCAACTCAAGCATCACTGAAACAGATCATGAAGTTCATCTTGCCAGGTACTGCGGTGCTCCTCCCCCCTTCATTGCCTTGACCTGTTTCGGTTTAAATCTCAGTCCTTGCAGAGTCTACTTGACATTACCATTTGCTACTATATTCTCCCTCCCAACTATGCCCTTTCTCCCCAGCCCTGTTCAGACTCATACACGCTCTTTTCGACACTCTATCTTTTCTACGCGTACATCAAGGATTTTCATACTGTTCATCTTTTTTGTTGTGCTCGCTGGCTCAGGTACATTTCACAACCTTCCGTCAGTATCTTGGACCAGACAAAAAATGGTTGTCCGTGGACACCTGGATTGACCATCCTCATAACTCTGTGGCGATCAGTCCCGATAGCTCCAACTACAAGAATGTTTCCTTACCTATACAACCTGTTCCCCGGCCGCCTGATGATCCGGAGCTTCTGACTCTGGAAGAACTAAACGAATTGGTGTCAACCACGGAAGGGTTCTTTGCAAGAGATTGGAGTTTGAACCTGGGCTGGAATAATGTACGTGGCGACTTTGTAAATATGGTCCATGCCAACGTTAGATCAGATGCGGTATATCATTGACTCAGCATTACTCCAAGCAAAGCTTCTTCACCGGACGCTCATTCTTCCCTCGTTCATCTATGCACGTGGCTGCGAGTACGATATGTGAGTGTAACTTTCTTGTCTCAGCCTCTCCGTCCTTAAGCGCAATTAAAGTCATGTATGTGCCGATTACGCTTCGATGGTTAGCAAAGGGTACGCGTCCTTGATTGAATTCAAGCACTGCGGCAATTAACTCCGTCCTGTACCCCACAGGGAAGTATTGAGAAGCAATGAGTGGCTCGGTCTTTCCATTGACCAGCAGATGGCCTGGGTTCTACCCATAAATCTTATGATCAATATCACTCATCTTCGTCAGTCGCACCCAGTCATTACTGTATCTGATTACCTTCGCCTGCACGGTCACGAAAGCGACGCCGAAGCTTCCGACGGTCAATGGCAGAGAGTATCCTACCATTTGACAGAAAATGTGCTCACGGACAAGATTCCGCAGCTGTATGTCATCGAAAATGAGTGGTATGACCCACCAGAAACCGTGAGGGTTGATGACGTGATCGAGCGAAACGATGAAGAGGAAGGAGGGGTATATAGGACACTGAAGGACGCCCTCTCTGACAATCAGGTACTTCTAGATTGGGGTAAAGCACAAGAGCTGCTGGGCATATCTAGTGACGAAGATCTCGAGAGGGTTGTCGTTGACAACGGATGGGAAGTGGTATATACTTTCAAGCCCCTGTGAGTTCTTCTCGTACCGCAGAAAAGGATTGTTGACTGATACATATGAAGATTGGGGATGGAATACAGCAAAGCAGTAGTGGATCCGATACGACAGATTGCGCCTCGAAAGGCGTTACGCGGATTCAAGAATGATTTTGAAGGTCGCAAAGAAGAAGTTGTGCTACTTGCTGGAGAGGTACATTACAGACGGAACCCTGTGTGTTCGTTACTGTTCGGCTGTCTCAAAATACCTCATTTTTCATGCAGGGCTCCATGCGATTTACAACGCGTGCTGCTTTAGATGGATTCGTTGGTTTGGTGCTGGACGACGTCCGCAGGATCGACGCTGTTTCAGCTCTTGCGGATGCAATGGTCGAGCGCATGTATACATTGACAGAAGGGAGACTCTGGATGGCGGCGCATATGCGACGTGGTGACTGTGAGTAATCCTTCAGCTACTCTGAGTATGTCCTCACAGCGCTCAGTTGTGAGGTATAACTGGGTAATGGAGAAGACCCCTGAAGAGCATATAACCAGGGTCAAGAACCATATGAAGAAAGGCAGAAACTTCATTGGAGCACTGAGAAGAGGGGAAGAGACTTTAAGGACTAGCGATATTCCAGCATCGCTACAAACTAGACCAGACATAGACATTCTGAAGAAAAAGGCGCCATTACCAGGAGACTGGTACGTATTCTGACCTCACTGAGCCAAAATATCGTTAACTGATGAATACCGGGTTCTATGTTGCGACGGACGAGCGGGACAGAAAGGTCTTGGAGGGATTCCGTGATGAAGGCGCAGTCTTCATGGATGATCTGCTCACCATCCCGGATCGTCGCGGCGAGCTATCGTGGGCACTGATGCTTACTGATTTTCGTGGCTTGGTGGAGCAAGTCGTTTTATCGCGCGCTGCGTTCTTTTACGGGCACGCGATGAGTTCAGTTGCTGGTGGTGTGATGAATCTACGAGCCATGAGGGGGATGGATCCCCGCACTGCAGACGTGGACTGACTGGCTGCATTGCACTGTCTATGTCAATCAATAGATTGGGGTCTACCAGTTGTTAATGGAGCAGTTGAAACTTGTTCGTTACCAAGCCATATTTATAGAGTAAATTAACCTGAAACTGTTATCGCATCGTCTTCTTGAATTAAAGCCCGTAAGGATTACGGTATTCCGAGTTCGGGGTAACACGTCGGCGCGTTCATTGAGTTAGCCACCATTACTTTCCTCTTGTTAAATCAATGCTCTAGGGTTATACTTGAAAACATCTAGTCACGTTTGATCCTATCTCAGTAGGTAGGTAGAATTATACAGCACGGTCATTTGCTAAGCATACACATAGTGGATCACTTTCTGTCCTTTAAATACCACTCCAAATGAGGTCTTCGTCAACCAGTACCTCCGCAACACTCATCACGTCCACAGCATTCGCACTTCTAGAGGCACATATCTGGAACAACCCCTTCTCCACCACCCAAGCCATCAGCGCATCATTATAGAATGAGAACGCTGACTTGTCCAAAGTGATCTCCACTTCTAATGACTGCCCTGGAGCGAGTATCTCAGTTTTGGCAAACCCTTTGAGTTCGCGCTTGGGACGTCGGTAAGAGCATTCTTTATCGATAACGTATAACTGAACGACATCTGATCCCGGTAGCGACCCCGTGTTCGTGATAGTGAGTTTAGCCGTGGCGTGGATTTCAGTCAAAGCACCGGTAAGCTTAACTTCAAGCGGGGACCATTCTGTCGAAGGAATCCCCAATCAGCGGCATTCAAGAAGATGAGAATAAGAACGAACCAAATGTGGTGTAGCTCAGTCCATGACCGAAATAGAACATCGGTTCCCGCTTAGTTTCTTCATATCCACGGTATCCGACCTTAATGGTTACTCAGTTCTTCTGAAACCGTAGACAGAATTATTATGATCAACTCACAAAGATACCTTCACCATATGTCACTCTTCCACTCTCAGCACCCCAATTGAGATGCGCTGTACAGTCCTCGATGCACTTGGGAAACGTGAGGGGTAACCGGCCAGCGGGATTGACTTTTCCAAAGATAACATCCGCGAGGGCATTTCCTATTTCCTTGGTAGGGAATCCCGTACTAGGAAGGAAAATAGGACGCACCACATTCGTTTCCGGCAAACCATGCCTGTACCATGGTGCTTGCCTTGTCCACCCAAGGGAACGCCACTGCAGAACCCTATATAGCTGCATTCAGTAAACTTGAGCGTACACTAGGAACGCCGTAAATTTTACCGATTGGTTGACCACAACCGTACTCTGATTCGCGATGAGTAAGCGTCGCAAGAGTTCATCCGTGAGTCCGGGAAGATCCAACCCTTTTCGATCGCTTGCCTCGGCCTCCCAGTCCATATTGGTTCCAATAACACATACCACAGCATCAGCATCGCAGGCGAGAGAGACAGCATCATCAAGAGCTGTGGCAGGGTCGATTTTGGGTGCACCAGAGACACGAAGTGCAGCCATCATGAGAGGAGGCTGTTTCATTTCCCTTTGGTCGGAGGAGACAGGAAGTGGCGTCTTTCATAAGCAATCATAATCAGTGCTGTAACCAGTACTAGAACGGGAAACGCACATTGGTGTATTTTACGAATATCTCGTATGTTTGTCCTTTAACGAGGTCCGCAGTGGCAGTCTCTTCAATAGTTCCTAGTCCTTTGGGGAGGATCAACATCGGTGTATTCACTTTCAGAGTGAAACTTGCCATAGAAACTATCGCCGGGAGTCTGTGGACGGTTCATGCCATTATCCACGATCAACTTCCCATCGAGGCTCATGGTCGCTCGTCCAACCAGCGATATGCCCAGTTCGAAGGGACCACTCTCGTGTGCGGTAATATATCCACAGAGTAATATGTAGAAATGCTCTGCTAAACCTACGGCATAATCGTGAATGACACCCTTAACAACTCTTATTTAGCTCACACCTTCAGGTTTCTCATCATTAATACGGAGGCGTGTTGAGAGGAGAGTGTACGTTGAAAGCGGAGAAGCCCCAGTGTCAGGGTCGGAATTGTAGAATGTCGCCGTCCACTACAATAATACGGTCAGGTGGACCTTTAAGCAATATGATAGATGATGACTCACGCCATCTGTGCCATCGGCGGTCTTGATCCATCCGTCAAGCATAGGGAGGTATCGATGTGCTGTGTAAAACGAAATCAGAACGAGCCGAGAAGACAAAGAAGGAAGATACCATAGCATCCTGGTGAATATACGACATCGATATCTGTTCCCCCAAGGGCCGCCTCGATTCCCTCAAGGGGTGTCACGATATAGCTACTGAGCAAAAATGCTGAGCCACCACCACTGACGGTCCTCGTCTTAGCATTTGGTCCAATGACCGCGAGCTTCCTTATTTTATTCATATCAAGAGGCAAGACTCCAAGATCATTTTTGAGTAGAACTATACTCTCCCCAGCCACTCTCCTGTTGAGGATAATGTCATCAGGAGAATCGAGCTGACGCTCGGGGAGCATATTGTTCTTAACGATTGATGGGTCTGCAAGTACAGCACGCTGAACGATTTGAAGGATGGCGTAGACTCGCGAGGATAAGGTGTTGAAAGATATTTTACCAGCATGAATGAGATGATTGATGAGATCCCCCCTCCAACGCGTCGGCCCAGGCATTTCGAGATCAAGTCCAGCGGCGACAGCTTCTGAAGTAGAATAGGTACCACTCCTGAAGGAAGATGCTGATTATTATGTTACGGTTGAAAAGCTCGATAGAATATGACGAACCAGTCACTCATTACCATGCCATTAAAACCCCACTCCTCACGGAGAATAGTTTGTAGTAGTCGGCGGTTCTCTGAACCTATTAAACACGAAACAAAGTATGTTAGAGCCCTCCGGTAATACCGTGAAAAGAAGGCACACAATGAATCCCATTGACGCGACTATAGGACGTCATGACGGCCCATGGTTTGGCCATCTTCTGAGCCAGCATGAAAGGCATGAGGTATATTTCGCGTAGAGCTTGGTACCGTCAGTTGTGATAAGGTGAAAATGGGAACAAAGACGTACCTCGCTCTCCCACACGAATGTCGACAGAAAGTCGCTCATGTTCCATGTCGTTGCACACTACGACAGTTGTTATTACCTGAATTAAAATGGAGGGAATGACAAACCAAAATGCTTGATGACAGCACCGACGCCGTTATTTTGAAGGCCAAGTATGTAGTTAGCAGTAATCATTCCAGAGAGAAATGGGTCTTCGCTGAAACTCTCGAAAGCCTGCCAAACGTCGATCGGTCTCATACCAAGGAAAATAGAAGGGAGACCCACTCTTCCGTTCAGCGGATTTCGTTGTATGTTACATGTAGGCGCTAAGAGAAGACTACTTCCCTTAGCTTTACATTCGCGCGCCAATAAGCCTCCCACTTCGTTTATTAGACTGATGTCAAAGGTCGCTCCAAGGGCCGTTGCGCATGGAATACACTGGGATGGAGTGGGCTATCCACTGGTCAGTACACAAGTATGAAAGAGAGAAAAGCCATTCACCAAAAAATGTGAACTGCCCCTCACACCATTTGGACCGTCTGAACATTTAATATGGGGTATTCCAACGCGCGGGATAGGCGTCGTTGTCCACCAGTCTGGGCCAGCAAGTAGAGAAATTTGTTCAGCAACAGTCAACTTGGAAAGTACATCATGGAGGTTTGCTGTTCCATAGGATTCGAGGTCATAAGGAAGCATGTTTGTGTAAAGAAAGAAAGGAAGGCGATCATGATCTATGAATTCGTCTCACTGCAAGTGCGGCTCGGAGTTTCCGCGGACACAGCCCGTTCGCCCGATGGACGGATGAGTCCAAAAAACGTTGAACATTCATATTGAATCTTCTTCACCATGACCTGCGTCTGCTAATTGCCCACGGCCTAATCTCGTTACCCTATCTTCCTATCGTTCGACCTCGTCAAAACAAGGTCGAAAATCGTTTTTGATTGCTGCGGGTACTTTCCCCTGAAGACCTTCTGAATTTCTTAAATGCAAAGCGGCGCTTAATGGAAATATCTCACTGCCCCACGATGTCGTCACACGAAGACAGTATTGACTCGAAAGAAGTTAAGGTCGAAGACCCAGTCGCTGTGGCAGATGAGCAGGCACTTTCACAATACACGTTCACGGAGACGAAAAAGATTCTACGAAGAGTGAGCACGCCATTAGCTCTCTTATGCCTCTATGTTTGACCTCTTCCCCTTCAGATCGACTTACATCTCCTTCCTCTTCTCATGTTAGCATATTTACTCAAGGTTAGACTCTCGGTTGGCTCTTGCGTATGGTTTACTTATACATTCCTGGATAGAACCTGGATTCCAACATTGTCTCCTACGTTAAAACTATCAACACCGGTAAATCCACGAATATTCTTAAGCAACTTCACATGACTACGGACCAGTATGGTTACCTGTCTACTGTTTTCACGGTACGTTCACCCTTGCTGACGCCGTGATTCTCGTAATATTGATATAATTTACCAAGTGTACTTTCCTGGCCTTTGAAGTTCCCTCAAACTTGATTCTGAAATGGTCGACACCTCGGCTGCACTTCTGTCGCATCATATTCTTCTGGTACGCCTTCCTCAAATTTTAAGATGAACTAGAGCTAAGCTTTCTACTGACAGGTCCGTGGCTGCATGCTGCCATGCTGCGGCGACAAACAAAGGCGGTCTTTATGCTGCTCGCGCGTTTCTCGGTGTCTTTGAGGCCGGGCTTTTCCGTACGTCGCGTCGGACAGCTCCTGGAGATCGTAATGCTAACTACTATATCTCCCGCATAGCCGGAATCCTCGTGCAAATGACATTCTGGTACCGCCCAGATGAGCTCGCTATCCGAATGGCCATGATCAATGTCCTCGGACAATTCAGTAATATACTAGATGCTTTGATTGCCTATGGCCTCGCGTATATCGATGGACGACACGGTCTGTCAGGTTGGCAGTGGGCTTTCATCATTGGTGAACAACGTTCTTTCTAGCATAGTTTTTGACTCCTATCTAACTCTATGACAAGTCGGCTGTATAGGCTTCGTGCTCACAGGCATCATTTTCTTATTTCTTCCCGATTACCCCGATTCTCCTCAGGGTCATAGACAGTTCCTCACTCCACAGGAAGGCAAGTTCATAGTCGATCGCCTTCCTCCCACCTCACCCCGCCAGTCTGATGCCAATTTCAACTGGGATGATGTCAAGGCCGCGTGCAAGGATCCGCTTCTTTATGGATTCAGCTTGATCATGCTTTGCCAACAGACCGGTATTGCGGGAGTAAGTTTTTATTTTCTCTTATGCTGTAGTCATATTAATCCCTCTTTTGTTATAGTACACCTTCTGGCTTCCCTCGATTATTGCAGGATATGGATTCACGACTACGACGAACGCCCAGCTGCTTAACATCCCTCCTGCCGCTATTTATATTATATCCGCTCTTGGATTTGCCTGTAAGTCATTCTTTTCTCACCTGGAATCCATGCTGACGACTTCAATCTCTAGGGATTTCTGACCATACTTTCAAAATACCCCGGCCTGTGTACATGCTTGTCTCTCTCGTCGTCCTTATCGGTACCTTTATTGGTCTCACCGTGTGTCGGAACAATGCAGGGCTGCTGACGCTCATCCTCCTTACCGCGATACCCTACGCAATATACCAGACGATGATATACCCATGGCGTTCCCAGAGCACCAAAGGATCCGCATATGCCTCCTTTGCGTTCGCGTTCCAGAATAGCGTGGGCCAGATTGCAAGTATTTTTGCTGCCCAGATTTTTCAGTCCAAGTATGCGCCAAGATGTGAGTGTCATATATTCCTTTTCACAATGCTAGATCTGAATTGTCGTATAGATACCATCCCCTACATTGTGTGCATCATATTCTTTGCACTTGCATTGCTTGCAGTCCTCTTTACGTGGTATTTCAGTCATGATATAGAGAAGGAGAATAGACGACAGGCAAAAGAGAGGAGATTGGTGGGGAAGGTGGATAACATCGTCGTCGTATAGACATTGATGCGTTGTTAGGTTCTCTATTCTATCTTCAGAGGATTTTGTAGCGGATATTTCTGCGGTTACGGTGTGCCCATATTTGTGGTTTCACGTTTCTTCATTACTGCCACGCGTCTATCGAGGCAATATCTCTTCCTCTTCTTATTTTACTTAGAGCCATGTGTGAAGACTACGAAAATGTTAAATGCCCTCATGAGATGAATAATAGACCCGACGTGTCATTTGAGCTGTCGTAAGTACTTCTAAACTATCCGGATGCAGGTTTGCCTAGAAGCCGCAACAGAGTTCGTCCGTCGACCCTTCCGTGGGACTGCAGACCTAGTTGTAAAGGCATCAGATCAATCCGCAAGTATATGACAAAAGACAGGATCGGCTGGGCGCGAGACAGGAATCAATCAAGACCTCGGTACCGAAGGAATTTCAGCATGAGTAGCACCCATTCCCAAAGCCGAACATAGCCAATTCAGTAATAGTAAATACACTAAGCTGAAAACGTCCGCTATTTAAGGAGAGTACAACAACATTCTTAATGCAATCAACTATCCAATATGAACTATCCTATATTCTCTACGTGGGGAATTCCTCCGAGTCAGTCTCGTTATCATAGGAGTATTCGGGATTGCTGAACACTGGAATCTCCAGCTCGTGACTGATTTCCGCCTCGTACGTTGCCACACTCTGGTTCGAAAAAATGCCTACCCCAGCGGTTCGGTGAAGATTGAGCATGAGCCGGGATATCAACGTTACAGATACGCCGTGATACCAATGGGGTATATATTAATTAACACGAGAAAAAAGGACGTGGACGGCCTTACCTACTGGTTCAAGAGGAAATACCACCTCTGAGCAAAGGCTTCATTATCAATGATCATGGCAGCATCTGATAATGCAACAGAATGGAAGAGGTACCCCTGCTGGCTGTCCACCTATTAAACCAAATGTTATAGGTTTCAAAGAGGAAAGTGAACGTACATAGTAGGTGAGAATGTTGGAAAGCGTGGTTAGCGCCATAGCCCTAAATGGAGCCTGATCATCAGGAAGCGAAATTGTACATGGAAGGGAACCAACGCATAATAAATGGCTCCTGCCATTGCAGCGGCTTATCAGTTAACTAAGTCAGCCGTCAAAAGCGGCAAACGTGCCATCTCTAAAGATGAGATACAAAAGAGGTATCTTTTCTGATCTATTTATATATACCCTGTAAAAGGTGAGGGCGAAAAGCATTGAGTCGTAGATGAAAAGTGCCCCTTATGCAGATGCGACACCTGGCGGTAAGTTAATAAGTACGTGTCCCCGCCAAGGGATAACATGGAGGTAGACTGACGGATAACTCTATGATGAGAAAAGAAAGTCGGTGATTATCCCGGCTAAACAAATGAACCACAAATGCACGTTATGTGCGACAAATCGATATGACATCCGGATTCCTCCCATCGGTCGCTTTTCTGGTCGGTTAGAGACCACTTTGAACAGAAAAGAAAAATGAATAGGCGAGATCATCATCAAACGGGGATAGAACACACACAAGACACTCCAAAGAGTATCACTCCGCTCCCGAGCATGTACATTAATATTCTGATGCTGCATGCATACAGTGCATAAATACGCATGGTTAACAGGGCTTCGCAGAGTCAGGAGAAGGGGTTCTAAACACGGGATGAAGAAAGGACTTGCCGCATACGACGATTTGGTTAGCAGCGAGCAGAATTTGGCAATAAAGCGCGTAATTTTGCAGCTGCGCAAATCCGTCAATAGCTGTTATGGTGGCACGAATCAGAAAACGGGATACCTCTAAACATGAGTCCTGATGAATAGTCCAAAGACAGGTGTGAACAGCTCACCGTTATTGATGATGTCGTAAATCCCAAGATCGTGACAGTTATGTTTCCGAAAAAAGCAAAGTATCGGTTGGCGAAAAATAAATAAGAACCCAGAGTCTTCGATTTATTCCAGAATAGACGTAGTTCATCATCTGCAGTCAGACCTGTGTAGCATGGCAACGGGGTAATAGCTATACCGATGGTTATCAGATGGTCCCAGTACAGAAACGCTGAAAATGCGACACACAGAGTGAGATTATTTGAAGATACCCATGAAACAGTCTACAAGGATCGTCACTAGATCATACTGAACAGAGTGAACGGACTTACATTTGCCGAGCCTGCTCAGTGGAATCCTTGTCATCCATGGGAGTGAGAGATTGAGTCATGCAGTTGTCTCTCAGACCCTTTTGACACCCAGATATTGTTGAACAGATGTGAATGTTTATACGTTAGCAACATTGACAGTTGGTGGATGACGAGACACTACTTAATACACCTGACGCTCAATACCGGCACGACTTCCCGAGCCACGTGGCCAACGTTCGACATGGTCAAATTGAAATGACAGCTGGGTCCGATCTCAATTTGCACCCGAAGAAGTGCTGCTCCTCCCAAGATATATTATTTTTCTCTATGGGCCTCGATATAGAATCAGATCCGTGGCGGAGCCGGGGCTGCTTAAAACGACTCACTGCAGGTAAATACGGAGCTGCGCCGTTTAGTTGTGTCAAACTTCTTTCTGGTGCGTTCCGGTAAGTTCTCACTAGAACCGCCCGCATAGCTAAGCTAATAAGCTCTTTGACATCCAGCGACGGATCGCACTTCTCGGCTATATGATACTACCTGGACTCACCTTCTACGGCTGAAGGCTGGACGCTTTCCCACTTTCTCCCCCCCCTTTCCCCCCCCCTCTTCGATCGGGGAGTTCAAGGATACTAGATACTAGCACTATCCCATACTTGTCAACACTCCTAACACGGCATCTCGATGCTTGGCGCCCCTGCTCGTTTGAATCATTTTCTTCCTGACTACTCACACTATGTCTGACATAGTGTCGTCCACTGAGGAAATGCACGTATTTATTTCCTTCTTCTGTGACTCAAGCACTAAGATACTTGATGTAGATTATTTCATAATTACCTGCACATGATTGCTATGTGTACGTTCGATCGCGCTCCTTTGTGGTGGATATCACTGACGTTAATGACCAGCTTTCGTGTACTGGGATCATTTCGTTACCCTCGGTCCGTCTTTTTCCACTCTCGTTCGTTTGCAATATTCACTCGGCGCAGACACAGAGATTGAGTATCTATGGAAGCAGCCCCAAACACCCAGTGCCAGATTGTTCTTTCTGAACAGATATCTCTCGTTTTTTGGGAACATATGTGTAACAGTGCTCGCGTTCACGACACTATCAGTGACGGTGCGCAACCCTTCTCCAGTGATTCAATCGACAGCTAATAAATTCACAGAGGTACGCTCAGCCGAGTTTCCTTGTCGGCTTAATGTTAACATCATCAACCCAATCAGCTGCCAACATTACAATCTGGTCCGCCAAGTGCTATTAATTATCAGTCAAGTTATTGTTTGCAGTCAGTGTGCCACACTTTCTCAGTTCAGTGCTCACGTTTCTTGCAGTCCTTTTAACGATGCGGATATACGCTATTTATGCTTGTAGCCTGCGTATTCTATTCTATATGGTGGCGAGCGCCATCATTCTTACCGGCGTTTCCTGCGTATGTGCTAGAATGTCTTGTCAAGAGGTCTGTTCTGATTCATGTCCAGTGGTCTCTCTCCGGTCAAAAACATGTCAACTTTAAGCCCTTATCCGGTTGTCACATTGGTTTGGATCGAGATACGTACGTCTCGCCGTCGGTCCGGTCCTTCATCGGCTAACTTGGACTTTTTAGCGCCATTCGTAAGCGGTTATGACTGCCCCTACTTGGACAGCGCATGATTCTTCCCACAGGCATAGCAGCAGCGTGGGAGGCACTCTTCATATACGATACCATTCTTTTTTCCTTGACGCTCTTCAAAACATACAAAGAACGACGGAACCATATTACGCCCGACATTCTGTCCCTCATCCTCCGAGATGGTGAGCAGTATTTCACTCAATATTTGCAACTCCTGATTCGGAGGCGGATTTGTCAGGCGGTATATACTTCGCGTAAGGCTGTCTGTCTTGTTAGGATTTCAACTTGAACCGTACAACTATTCCCGCAGTGTTATGGCCCTTGCTAATTTATCTAATATTCTTACATTTTACGTGCGTTTTTTTTTTTGCCTTCGCATGCCAATCACTTTTTGACTGGTTTATATTGCCTTTTCTGAATTAGTTAGCTCCGGTGAATAACACTTTCCTTGAGCATAATCCTTCTTATCCATTACTTGTTCCGTGGCAGCCGTTTCTCCGTGGCTCTCTATCATCCTTTGCCAGTTGGTATGTTCTTACATGTCATCATCTACCAAGGCTAAAACGGTCTCAGTATTTCTGTGACAATGATGTCCCGACTCATGTTAAATCTGCATCAGACTGCAACTATTGGAATATTCTCAGCAGGCTTTCCCACTAATGACTTGACATTTCGAACAGTCGAGACTGCTACGGTACAATTCGATGATGATACAGAATTGCAAGATTTTCCATCAGAGTCATCTTATCGACCTATGGACTGTATTTAGATTTCGCTTTGTTGTGTATAGATAGATTGTAATCGCCAAAGTGTAAGTGCTGAGACTCCCACGAAGGGCAGCAACATTACATGCTTCAACATCTCGTGCCTACGGCAACTGTATTGCAATAGCTATTTACTTCTTACCAGCCTTCTTTGCTGCCGTCCTCGCCCGATTGATCTGCTTCTTCCAACCGTAGCACTGGTTGCAACCTTTGATAGCAGTCAGCCCAACCCAGTGGTAGCGAGAAGGAAAGTCTCTAACCTGTCAATGCATGCTTCTTGCACTGATAGACACCATCCTTGTTTATGGTGGCCGGGGGACATTCGATGCCCTCACGGTCAATAGGATCAAACTAGCATGAAAGCACTTTCAACAATATGAATGGAAAACGGAGAAGAAGAATTACTCCAAAGAACGCATCATTCTCCTCCCTTCCATCGTACCCACAGACTGCACACTATGATCATCGTCAGACGACCAAGGTAAGCGGGGAAGAAGATAAGCGACTAACCACTTCCTTGAAATGAGTACAGAAATACGCATCGTTAACTTCGATGGTAGCTGGGGTAGCGACGTCAGTGGACATTGTGGAAGAGAGATCGTGTGCGTTCAATGGGATGGTGGTGGTATGGTTCCAAGAGTGGTTGGGTGGGAAAGAAGAGCATACTTCGTGGGGTCTTGGAGCTGTCTAGAGTCGAATGTGGGCCCGCAGGTAAAGCATCATATGACCAGCTCTCGTGGCCAAATATTCCAGGAGGGGCTGGGTCTTCTGAGTTTCGCTGTGCACTTTCTAGGTCTCGTGGCTGGATGAGATCCTTGAAAGTTACGTACTGTGAACCTCGAAAATGGGCGCTACATCAACGTGTTGTCGAATTCGTTGAAGTTTAGCAGGGAATTCTGTACCCGCTAAGTCCGATCTCGCTGAAACTTCTCGCTCACATGTTCCCTGGATCAGGTCAAGTGTTTACCTGTGCTCGTATACAGCCGAGTTGACCAATACAACCGTTTTTACGTTTGAATTTCAGCCTTCCAGTACCAAAACTGTCACGAGCATGGAATCCATGGCTTGGGTACGCGGCGATCATGTGACCTTGTATCGGCCAGTAACTTGTAAAAATTAAAGTTCTCGCCGGTGTTGTCACTTCCAGTAGTTTCGACTCCTATACCATGGATGTCGTCCGACATACTTGGTAATTGGTAACTGGTGCAGTAGCTTCAGCTATCGCCATTTTCACCAAAACTCATCTACGACGCTAACTTCCATGGGAAATACCGGGGAAGATGAAGTCAAAATCCGGCTTTTTGGTATCCTGTGATCGCTGACTCGCTGACGGGCAACATCATCTACTAACTCCAGCTAACCCCTTTTTTCAGACCCCTAAGTGATCGATTCGCTTAGGCGGTTTACCTTCAAGTTTGGCGACAAGACAGAAGACTCCTGGAGCTGGATATGTACTCACTGTAATGCATGCGTTCATTATAGCTTTGAATCACTTTGACATAGGATTATACGTTCCGCCGACCTTCATTCCCGAAGATCCGGAGGCAATCCAATCACAAGGTTAGGATGATAAAGACCGGGAATTCAAGCTACACTCAACGCGTACCTGACATGAGTGTGTATAAATGCTAGAAATACTTGCCTTACTCAACTACTCATGGCTTCTACCAAGGGCGTCGCTTTAATCACTGGTTCCTCACAAAGACTGGGAAGAGCTATCGCAGATGATGGGTTCGATATCTCTATCAATGACAGCGATCTAGCCTTGAAAACTACAGACCTTCACGTCCTCGCCGCCGAAATCGCCGCGAAAGGACGGAGATCGTGTGTCGTACCAGGAGACGTTTCTGTTGAAGTCGATGTCATAAACATAATAGACCACACTGTTCAGGAATTGAGAGTATTGAACGTCGTTAGTGACAGAATTTCTACGTAGGCATCGATTATGGCACTCACTATTCCGTGATGTAGATGGTGGCTGCTGGCGTTTGTATTCCGCGTAGTATCGCTATGAACCCACCTCTGTGTCACTTAGACGATCTTTACACTCGCTTAGCCTCCACAGAGGATTGGAACCACACCTTTACGGTAAGCGGACGGGGAACTTTCCTCTGCTACAAGGATGCCGCGAAACAGATGATCAAACAAGGTCTGTTTATCCATTAAATTCTACTTCAACAGCTGATGTACGTGCACCAGGTTACAGCAATATAACAGCTTAGTGCTCCAAAGGTGCCATCCGCCTCTTTACACAAAGTGCTGGTTCATTGGTTTCCTTATCCAGGTGCATAGCGTAAGTACTGATAATTTCCATCTCAAAAACGTTGAATATGTTTCTGCAAGGCCCGACTTGCACCAATATGCGTGCATTGTCGAAAAATCTTTTGACCATGGTCTGATATTCCACTGCTTCAGTTAGTGACCTTGGTAAATCTACAGGAGACGAACTGGCGTTTTACGATTCGGTCGGTCAGCGTTCTCTTCAGTCGGGTCGCACTGATTAACAGTAATTTTGATAGCACATTGCCATGAGTCCGATGGGGCAGCTCCTAGAGCCTACTGACATTGCCAGCATCGTATCCTATCTCGCCTCCAGCGAAGAACGTCTTGTGACAGGTAAGTGATAACGCCGTATCAGATGGAAACTCTCTGGGGAACTGATGTGCAGATCAAAGCGTGAGTCAAAGCCTCGATCAGTAGATGGACACGGCTCATGCCTATCACGGATAGATGTCTGTTAACTCCAGTTTGTTTTTTAAAGCTGTTTTGACGTAGTCTCATAGTAAGATCATGCTATGTAATAAAGTCAACGGCGATGATACATGTATATCTCAAACTTTCACTTCATTGTCTCTGTCCTGCTCAGCGGAAGCTATTTGCAAGTGGTGAGAAATACCGTCCGAAATTACCCCTACGTCAGTAACGACGTTGATCTAGAATGCACCATGAGAAACTTTCATGTAGACTGCGGGTTTTAAAGAGAACGCAAATCTCACCATATCAAAGCCTTCCCGAGACCGTTTCGCAGCTTGCTCTCCTGATGTGCAATATATAGCACTACAGGCCATCCAAATGAGCGTAGTGGAGGATGTTCGAGCAAGGTTAACTGACCACTTCTTTCCTTCCGAATGAGCTACACGAAGTATTTCCTTAATTACATTCTCAACACTTGGATGTGGATCCGGCGACGGTGGCGGATAGCCAAGAGATATAGACAGATCGTATGGACCAATAAACAGCACATCTACAAGTCGTCAGTCCGCACCGCGAAGTAGATGGAGTTAACGCTACCAATCCCGTCGACAGCGGCTATGTCTTTCATATTCTCCACCCCTTCCTTGGTTTCGATTTGAACCATAACAGTAACCTCTTTATTCGCCAACTCAAGATACTGTGGGACCGATACACCCCACGTCCCATGGGTGAAGGGGTTCCCAAATCCACGCCTTCCGGCGGGAGGAAATCGGCTGTCCATCACGATTTCCTTGGCCTTCTCTGCTGAAGACACCTAAACCGTTGCCTCATTGTACTTAGAACGTAAGCACCTAAGAAGTGACAGAATACCATGGGAACCAAAACTCCGTGGGCTCCTGCGTCGAGGGCATACTTGATTTGCCAACTGGTACTCGAACTAATCCCAGTGGCAGGAACTCGCACCAAAGCACTAGGAGGTCCATTTCCTGCAGAATGTATGGCCGCAACGCTCTCGGAGACACCAGGATGAAGTGGCACTTGGCCATGCTCGCAGTCTATCATTACCCATGAAAGTCGGATGCTAGCTTGAGCTACCGTTCGGGCATGAAAGTAGCCAGGGAGGGATATCCAAGTGCCAAAAGCCGTTCTGTTTGACCTGAAAGCTTCACGAAGAGCGTGGGTCGTCATGACAGTTGGGGGGAAACCTCTAATTAGGTAACAGAAGTTACGAAGTATATTTTTAAACCGTAAGGACAATCAGACCTCGAAACTGAGGCTCTAGGGAGCTTGCCTATTAAAGTCTTACCAGAAAACCACGAAGAAGGACGTCCAATTGAAGACCTATATAGCGGAGATAGAAAAATCTCGAAGGCCGGCACCGATCAAGGGTTTTGCAGCGCTGATCGATCGACACTCACTGATCCCGCGGGAATAGATTGGATTCACTAGCTAACTGGAGGTTGAAGCTAAGATAACTCTCACAACCCAACTTTATAACAATACAACTGGAATGGAAAGTACTATCAATAAGCTCGGATGGTTCACTGTGGTGCAAATAAGTTAACTAACCTGTATACTACTATCCTCATTTAAGAGTACAACCTGCCACCATTGACCGGTATCTTGAAGTTATGGTAAGCTCCAAATGTTATGAAGTAGAATATAGAAATAACCGTTTGACTTAGGTGGTAGATCCCATTTTCAATAAAGAGTAGAGGCTGAAAGTGAAGAGATTCGTACTCGTGACGAAGCGAGCGTCTCTCAGTGAAAGGTGAGAAACAATACCAGCAATATCGGAAGGTTCTCCATTATTCCCAGTGGACTCTTGTTTCTTTCCTTGTACATAGTTAGAGACCAAGAAGTGCGAACGCAGCTTGTAAGCCACTCACCTGCTCATAGAATGCGTCTACACCGCCTAGTCCTTGACCGACTTCAGCCACTGTAGTGGAGGGTCAGGTTGTGACATAGTTGAAGATAAACGACATGAACACATACTCATAAGAATATCGATTGCGCCTATTCCCACGTCACCTACGATATTAGGAAACAAGCATATGGCATGGTAAACCTGGAGTGTAGAAGTTTACTGTGATCCCATATTCTCCAAATTCGGTAGCTAAGGCGGCATGGAAAGTAAGTCGCCAAGAAAGCACAGATAAAGACGATGAAATGAGCAACCTGCACAATGCGTAAGACCTCTAATGGCGAACTTTGAGGCACTGTAGGCACTAACGTATCTTCCACCTATACAGTTGGAGCATTGACATTTGGATGGCGGGTGTATTGCAAAACTAACCTTGCTGTCCAAGGACCGAAGATGCTCCGATAATTCGACCCCCAGACCCCTGTGTAATCATCTGTTTGGCAGCAAGTTTGTAACGAAGGAAAACACTTCGGGCGTTGACATTGAGCACACGATCCTAGTCCTCAATCTGGGCTAAGGAAATTTGAATAATTCATTCTTTTCCATGACGCCAGTACAACGCACTGTCCAGGAGACGCCGCCCAAAACCCATTCCCGCAGACCGGACGCCCATCAAAATACGGACTGAAACGCACAACATACAATTGACCTAGCTCTGCGACCACTTTGGTCACCATAATTTCCACCTCCTTCCACACAGACACATCAGCAAGAATTATGCAGGACCTCCTTCCCTTAGCCAAAATTTCTGCTGAAAGCAATTCCAGGGCTTCTGATTTACGAGGCAGGTCGTTGATAGCCACATCGAAGCCATCGTCAGCGTATCTGAGAGCAATCACTTTGCCAATTCCTTGGCCGGCACCGGTCACGATAGCCACGGACATGGCAGGGGATCAAGTAAATTCATAGACGCGATTTTCGAGTTTTAAAGACCGCGACCGAATGCCAGCCAGAGATCAATCATGGGTAGCCTGGGAACCGGAGCTGCAAGATGCGGAATACAATTCCATGTGTCATATCCGGTACTGAATGTCGGCTAGAAAATCTGATAGATGGATCATATCACGCGGCGATTATGCTGCTACACCCTGGTATGACTTGCGTCGTGCATGATTAAGCCAATGGGTTTATAGCGTCAGATAATCAAAATGTTACATAGACAATTTGCATGCACTTCACAAGGGTCACGATTCAATCTGGGCCAGCCACTCTCTAACAAAAGTAACATTTCGTTTTCGTTCCTGTAGTCATGAAACTGCTGTCAATGGAGATAGTTTCTGCCAGTGGATAACATACCTCAAAATGACTGAGCTTTCTAATCCCCTCCGAGAAATGTGGAAGGGAATCTATCTTGACGTCCGTCCGTGATGATAGCGATCTCGTCTGCTATAAACTTTTCGTTAGTGAAGGTGGAGTTATATGCATACAAGCTTGGCGTACTGTTTCCCTCATTAGCGACATAGCGTCTAGAGCGTCCCAACTCTGAACGATAGCGTTCAGAATTTTATCCTCTATACCCGCGCAAGAATCTCGATGCGACATCCATGCCTCGACATTTTGCTGGTAGTCTTCTTCGCCGGCGATAATGCTCCTGCATCCAGAGCACACCACGAAGTTGGAGTATATGCCACGTACTGCTATCCACGGGTCATCAAGAAGAAAGTTGCGACAAATTTCGGGGTCAACTTCGAAGCTATCAAGTGTGGTAAACTGTTTGCTGACGACGAATACAGGATCAGAGGAGAGAAGAGCTTTCATCTCAAGATAGGTGAAGGTAGAGAGCTGAGCAGGGGTTAGTGGGTGTAAGTCGTTAAAAGCGGCGGTGGCGTCGGGGGAAAACGAGGAGTCAGATAACCTGAAGAATGAGCGTTCAGTGAACAAGAGGAAGAATGTCGACACTTACGATGATTCATCATTTGCGACCTGCAAGGCTTGTTCGTAAAGAGAGAGTGCCCGAAGGCACGGCACCGACAACGGAATGTCGCCGTTGAAGAAGAGATGGAATTGATTCGACGCCGGAGACTCCAATTCACCTGCATATTGACGAGCGATGTACTGAGGAAAAGAAGTGCACGCTGATGTCGAAGGTATATCCATGATCGTGGTTAGATGTAAAAAAGTTGAGTGGCGGACGTCTGGGTGGCATTGTGATTATGTCAATGACGCGTCCACATCCCCCATCACTAAGACCATACATCACACATGACTGCGTCAAAGCCATAGATGAGGATGGCCTCTGGGGGGCTGGCCAGTGCACTACCACAGGTCCAGAGCCTATATCTGATGGCAAATTCAAACCCAGTGCATTTTCAAAGATTTTCAACAACCTGGGCGGCGAGCGCCACACCGGGAGTTGTTGTTTCAGTCCAGGCGCCCCTGGTACGGAATTGCTACCCTCGTAGTAGGTTGCCCTACCTTTCCTTTGGGCGACACACGCGATGTAGCAGGCGCCGTTTGTCGTTTCCAGGATGCAAGCCAGTAGATTTTCGATGATCGTATTGATCCGATGAACAGTAACGCTCAAAACCACACCGTTGCCGCGTCATGATAACTGTTTCCCTAAATGACAGTCTAGCTTCCGGCCATCAGCACTCAACCTAGGCATTGTTAACTCGGATAGGAATAAAAGTTGCCTGCATCCTAAATAAGAACATTCGTAGGGATGCTCATCTGCAGCAAAACCTCGAAGAGGTAAACAACTGACGTCAAGAGTCTTCTGGTCAATGTCGTAGCCGAGGCCGGGCGTGTCGCGTCTCATCATTGCAGCGAGCATAACGTACGCAGGAGTTGATCAGATACATAGGGTCACTCGTCGGTAGGGATAGGCTTGCATCCGGCCAAGAAGACATTCTCCCGGTAGCGGTAGGATTGAAGCTTTAGTTGCAGCAGATCAGACGACATACGTCGAAATGGACCAAGACCAGAGTTTCTTTCTTCACGTTGAAGTGCAGTAGGAAATGCAGATCATCTCGGATGACAAATATGGTGAACATTGTCACAGAGGGGTGCTGTTACTCCAGCTGGTAGGCCTGATGAATGCTATGAACAGCGTTATCAACAGTAACAACTGCGCATACTTTAACGCACCTGGCACCAAGCATCACTGTAAAAGTATAATGCTCAATGTAATGCTTTTCTCCGACCAGAAACGAATTATTGTTGACTACTGAATCCAGGTTAAGTACGTGGTCGACGATATTAAGAGGCAGTGAGCGGTGCAGTTTTCCCACGACTCTCTTTTCCAGTATTCGCTGAAATCTTTCAAGCAGAGTAGCAGTCGCTGAGATTTGTTTCATTATTTTTTTGCAATTTACACATTCAGAGTATACTCATGAAATCTTTAGATTGATAACTTCTTGCTCCAGGGTCTGCGCCTGCAACGTGAATGAGTCCTAGCTACGTCTTTGCTAGTGCTGGACTATCCTGCGAAGAACTCGTGTACAGACGTTATCGTGCACTGGTAGCACCTCTTGTTCAAATTGAACTGCTGTTCAGCTTCCCTGATAGAAGCGGCGAAATAATTAAAAGACGGCAAAGGTGACAAACGAGAATCCAGCTGCCAGTCGTGCGCTCAGGCTTTCCTCGGTGGCACATACAAGCAGTCTAGATACGTTCAATATACGCTCTCCAGGTTCACATTTGTCGCGAGGCTTTGGGATATCCACGTTCTCGGGGATCCGCTTTTGCAATTCTTCCTGGATAAATGGTTGCCCAAATCTCTTATCCCCCATGTATACGTATGAGCATCGAGCCTGTCCCTGTCTCTTTCAAAACAGAAGGGGGTCTTTAATCGCACTGTCGTAACAACTAGGCCCATTTATATTGCGTTGAATGCGGCAGGCTCTTCCTTCGAGAACAGTTTCTCGGGCAGGTATATGTTCAGGGGCCGTCCTAGACAATCCTCACTCAATTCTGAAGTACCTTTCTTCGATAGCTCACGGCGGCAGAGGAGAGAACGTAACCCACTGCGGCTAGTGTCTGAAGAACTTTTGCACACAAAATGGACTGCGTCTCCATTGCCAGGCAAAGTCGGACCATAATTATTGCGAAGAGCGCAACAGGACGTTCGTAAATGGCCATGCTCTTCTTCGGGTATTATTACTTACAGTTCCTTGCCATATGAAAAGGAACATTTAATATCTGAGCTGGCATTTAGTTTCTTCCATTCACTGCTGACCGTCGTCAGTCGAGCATCACCTTCGCAAGGCGACGTATTATGATCCTCATATTTGCTTGCTGGCGCCGGGTGAGGCCTATATTCCAGTCTTGATCGATCGTGAACGTCTTTTCGTTCGAGACACCGCAGACCAATGCCCAACCCAAGCACACATTCAAAAGCTATCTTGATATCTCTATATACATACACAACATTCAATCCATATGCAAAGAACTACTATACAAATTGCGATAGACATGATATAGATATAAAGATGGTCCTAAGTTATGGACAAGTCCTTTTAAAAAAGACGAGTGATATTGATTGGATGACGCTGACGAGAGAGCAGGATAGCGGCCGGTATAGAGTACGTAGGATAGACAGGGAACATGATTAGCAGGCAAGGACATGCTGGATGAAACATACATCAGTACTAAGACAGCAACGTAAAGAAACAACATACCAGTGAGGACAACAGATACAAGACAAACCGAGTAAATCAAAGAAAAAATATATATCCCCGCCGTTTTACAGAATACCTGAGTCCTTCAGAGCATTCTGCAATATCGTCTCCTTCACTGCGGCGAACACTAACCGTACGTTCGTCGTATCGGTCGCTTGTGTCAGGCTAATGATGGAACTGATCAGACACAATTGCATGATGGTTGCGGGGTGATCACGTACTGGGGATACACACTGAGTCTGGCTCGGTTCGCTTGCATGAACCGCCAGAGAATGTACTTCGCCGCCTTGTTGACATCATTTCCGCCAGTATACTCGGGGAAGTATCGCTCAAGAGGCACCTGAACAGAAGTGAGAGGACAGCACAAAAAATGGCGAAGCTGAACACACTCTTGACACTTTCATCTTGAAAACGTCGATCTTATTCAAGAAGAGAATGATAGACGTCCGAAGAAACCAGCGGGAGTTGATAACCGACTCAAAAAGGACAAGAGATTCGGCCATCCGGTTCTAGATAATTGTCAGAAGGTGTTGAAATGAAAAGGTGACATTGACGCTCACCTGATTCCGCTCTTCCAGCAACACCTGATCGTACTCGCTCAGCGCCGTGCAAAAGATGATGGATGTTACGCTCTCGAAACAATGTATCCATTTTCTCCGTTCCGAACGTTGACCGCCAACATCGAACATGTGTATTCTAGATGCACGTTAGGATTATAAATAGCATAGGGACCAAAGAACATACTGGAGCTGGCCCATGTTGAACCGCGTTTCTGTGATGCCTGTTGTCTTCGCCCGTGCGCGCAAGACATCGGTCTCGGTAGGCCTATATGATGGCGCACCGATGCGAAGGACTTCGGTGAAAAAGCTGATTGATGTCAGTATTCAAAAGGGGTAAGCGGCGACGAAAGTATGAATGCATTCACTATGAGGCGCTGTCCATAAGGTAGAACTCGCTTGAATGTTCTTCCATCATTGGCGATATGATGGGATCTTGCCATAGTTGATGGATGGCGTCTGCCATTTCGGGTGAAAGGGTGAATGCAGTAGTTTCGTCGAGCCGGTAGTCGAGAATTTTCTCTGCCAGTACCTGAGTGGCCATGAGTTAAGACACAAAAGGGACATCGGGGAAAGACGGCCAATGAGAAAATGCAAGGAGGTTCGTAGAATGGTGGACAGGGAGGGAGTTAAATGAGAACATGGTGTAAATGTGGGGTGAATAAAGGCAGATGCAGAATGAAGGATGGGAGTTATATCCGTGAACTGTGCGTATTCAAAATATGAAGAAGAAAAATGAAGGCGTTTGGAACGAAAGAACAAGGACGCACTCGATTCGAGTAATTCTCGCAGTCGACCCCGATCTTCCTCATAGCCTGAACGATAGCCTGTGCCGACTCCAGCACATTTTTATACACCGTTCCTCGATACGAATCCAATTCCTGAGAGGTAAAACCGCCTTGATGGATAATCTTCATTTGCTTCACAATCGTAGACTTGCCCGACTCCCCAGATCCTGAACAATGAAGGCACGATATCAAAGAAAGGCGCGATTTGAAAGAAAAAGGCAACAGACCCAACAACAGTATCTTACACTCCTTTTTAAATTTCTTGCTGTCATCCTCCAGCTGTTTGTCTATCAGATCTGACCGTGCCTTCTCTTCTTTGTCTGACTGGGAGGCGCAGTTGCCCATCTTGCGCGGCGGTTCAGAGGAAGCGACAAGTGGCGAAAGAAAAAGAAAGAGAACGAAAGGGTGCCGCAGGGAGAACAGGTGTTGGAGAATCGAAGGATGACAGTAATGACAACGGGAGTGATGGTCAAAGTACAACAGCGGTGCCTGGGAAATATATATGCGGATCTACCCGGTTCCGACGATAAGATTAGATAATTCACCAAAATTTCAAAGTACAAGGACTCTCTCGTATCTATGGAAAATACTGATACAGGGGCACTGCTACCAGGCAACATGCATGAAAGGCTATCGCATAGGATATATCTTGTAAATGTGGGCCCACACAGGTCTTACATACACGTATAATAGAACGTTAACCTTAAAACTCACGGACATAGGACGGGATCATCATCGTCGGAAGCAGACTCTGATCCGAAATTTGAATCCACACTTATCTGTAGTAAATAATACTCTTGCAGTCATTACAAGGAGGGGACTGTGCTCCTTGGTTTGGAATCTAAATACAGATCATCCGTGATAGTAATAGATTCCTCAGCTAGAGTTCCGTGAGTTGTCGATGCATGAGAACTAGGGTATGACCCTAATCATATGCTTACCTGGATTGAACTGGAAGGTCGACAGCTGAGTGAACTTGTGAAGTAATTGCACACGAATAATGAACATCTGGCCTTCTCACACTGAATACTTCAAGTCAACTGATCTTCATCAGTGCCGGTTAATCAAGAAAACGAACTGCAATCCTGGGGCTGGGCTCGAGGTGCCGAAGGAAGTGTCGGGACCTATACAAATGTAGGAAAATTGGGCTGAATACAGCCACTGCTCTGCTCTTCGTGAGAAGACATAAGCCTACAAGCTTTCAAACACCGGAAAAACTTGTGTGAACATCCGCGGGTGCCGGAGGAAAGAAATTGACAAGAAACCATATAGCTCGCACCTAACTCGAACAGGATACAGGAGGATAGATTGCAAAACTCATAGGACGACCACATCCTCCGAGCCCGCAAGAATTAGTTTGTATCAGCTTTGGACCCAGCCGGTTCCGTTCGCTGGGACCTATGTCTCCAGTCTCTCAACCACTTGAGTGGACGTCCATTTCTCTTCTCAAGCACCAAATCAATTTCCCTCAGATGCCACATCACCCACTTCGCCCTCAGATCCGTCCCTTCAACGCGTACACCGCTCGAACTATCCTTGACACCTAGCGACTTGTAGATCCGCCTCAGCAAAGCAGTCTCCAGATCACGTTTATCGGCTTTCACCGACGCTGCTGCGAGAATGGACAGCGAAACGATATCATTCTCAAGAGGCCCGAGCCGATAGATCGGAAAGAAGGCCGCGGTAAGTATGAGGTTCTCCAACGGTGCAGAGGTACGATGCAGAGTGTACAAGAGCTGTTGGGCGGCCGGACGAGTGAGTTTCGCCTGGTACAACGGGAAGTTCCCGAAGACTTTGAGAGCCAGCTGGGGACACTTAAAGTCATGGCATCGGCCTATGAAATAAGGTAAATAAAAGGTATATATACGATACAATAGACTTACGAACGAACACATCTGCGGTAGAATTCTTCATCCCTCTGCCATTATATTTGACCCAAAATGGAATGAGATCAACAATGCTTGAAAGATGCTCCGTCGTAGTAGCTAGGTCCATGAGTCGATTGAGGCTCGCTATTTTCACGTATGGTGGATGTGTGAAATCGGGATTGCCCTTTTCTCGTAGCCTCGGAGCGACGAAGTCATACAAATTGGTATACTCTTCCGTGCGCCGCGAATCATCCATCCCTTTCCGTGGCGTAGGGGCAGCCTTTTTTGGTTTTTGTGGCAATACTTTCGTTTTTGATTCTTGGGCCGATAATGTCGCATCGCCAAACAAGTCACCGTCATCGGCGTTCTCGCCAAAGAGCTCGTCGTCGACATCGACGGATGCTGCCTTCGACTTGGCCAGCGCTATATCGGTGAGTCACTATGGGTGCATAGAGGTACAGATCAGGGTTACCTGAAGGTGAACGGTGAATGTACCGCCTGCATTGCAGAGATTGGCGGGCAAGGAACCTCGCGCTAAGCAAGCTAGTCATGGGAGAAAAAAGGAAAAGGAATGAGTAAGAGACTCTGACTCAGGGATCATAGCAATCTTATCAATACACTCGAAGATCTTATCTTATAGCCCCTATCTCTAACCTTTTTTTTTTTTCTCTACTGTAGAAGAAACTACCTTGTCATACCCACAAAAGTTGCACCTAGCACTTGACTTACAATGCTTTCCATTCTACGTAAGTACGAAACTCATGGCATCTTTGGGCCGTGGTAACCACAAATGAAGATGATCTTCAAGTTAGTTCGGGTTGCATTGGCGAGCAATCAGCATGTGTGTTGCGGAGAGCTCTTACCGCCGACTACCCTAACTGAGCTTTGTACCTTTGCGTAGCCTTTCGCTTGCCGATGCTCGAGCCAATACTGGATGAGTCAGTGTAACTTGGTAACCAATTCAATAGGACGTCCTACTAACTTTGCCCACCCTGCGCCGTTGTTTCGAGAGTGTCGTAAGTTATCTGCGGTCAGAGGTAGGCGCAGGCAATACAGCATTCCAGTGTCCCATTCAGATGGACGGAGGGCCTGCGCAGCAGCATATTTAATTGAATAGATATAACGCAGGCTAGCTGGCCCGGTTAGTGGGTCGAGGTTTTTAAATCTGCTATCCCCCCAGTATTTGGTAGGCATTAACGTTAAGTACTAGTCCCAGCACCTACTAGACGCGTAGTTGTCGTATGTGGGTGCGGCTGCCAAGAATCGATTTGCAGAAGATCTTTGTTGCTCCGGAAATCCGACGTGTGCAGTTTCAAATACACCTCTTAGTTTCAAACGCCGCAGTCTCCTGATCGATAAGTACGATGTACCTATGCGCATGTTGCTAAACTCAAACAAGAGACCCACGTCTGAGCTATTCCACAAGGTGGAGTGATTATAAAGAATTCTGTTACTGCGGGACAGTATGCTTATTGGTCATCATGTTGTCGCTACGGTCTTCCGACCCTGAGGCAGATTGGCGTAGCGGAACCGTAGGCTTGACATTTTGTTAATGGAAATCGGGGTCGGGGGTCCCAAGGCTTGCACGTACCGGATGAGAAATCAGCACTCCCGGAAACAAAGCTGCGGTGAGCAGACGAGAGGCGTATACAGAAGAAGGGTGCACTGGCAACTGTAGCAACGGAACGGAAGGAAGATGAAATTGAGACGAAGCGGACAATAAGATATGTCTCGAGATCGCGTGGACAGAATGAAATGCCGATAAATGAATGAAAACCTGGGGGCTAGGGTCAAACAGACTTTTTGATGGTTATCATTTTCACAATGCAAAGGAGAGTGAGTCTAGGAGAGTTGTTTCCGGATTTCACGGCTGGAAAAATCAAAGACGGATAAAGGCAGGTAGTTGAAATAACACGGAGAGAAACAAGGAGACGTTCATTAGCAGAGTCTCGGCCCCAAATTGGAGTACGGAGGCCGCTTGCAAAGTGGCAACGTCCACGCCGGTTTCGGGGTGATGGATGCTTGTGGTTCCTTTTGCCATGGAGATAGGCTTGAGGAAGGACTGCAGGAGGAGGTAAGTAGGTCAATCCCCGGTATTATTTCTTCGTTTCTGGCCCTAAAAAGCAAGAAATACCATAGCTGAAGAACCTGGGCAGGGACGCGTTGTTGTGGTATATTGAAAGCAGAGGGCTCCGGCGGGGATAGCCGAAGCTATTGTGAATTTTGTTTATATGTCACCGCAGCGATGAATGGACTGGAAGAGAAAATGACCCACTTCATGGTGGGCTCGTCGTACCAGCCGCTCGACGTTATCGGTGAGGGTGCATACGGCGTCGTCTGCTCAGCCATCCATCTACCGACCCAGCGCAAGGTCGCTATCAAGCGTATCACTCCCTTTGACCATTCCATGTTCTGCCTCCGTACCCTCCGCGAAATCAAGCTCTTGCGCCATTTTCACCACGAGAACATTATCAGCATTCTTGACATATTGCGGCCACCGTCTCTGCATGACTTTACCGAGGTTTATCTCGTCCAGGAGCTCATGGAGACCGATCTGCACCGTGTCATCCGTACCCAGGAGCTCAGTGATGACCATTGCCAGTACTTTATATACCAGGTCCGTAGCCATGGTTTCCCTTTGATCCCTTCTCACTACTCTTTAGACTCTTAGGGCGCTCAAGGCGCTTCACTCGGCAGACGTGCTCCATCGCGATCTCAAGCCATCGAATCTGCTTCTCAATGCCAACTGCGATCTCAAGGTGCGTCGTCTCCAATTTTTTTGGTCTTCTGTTCTGATCACCTCGTAGCTCTGTGACTTTGGGCTCGCTCGCTCGGCCCGGCCCCCACCCAACGTCGACGACAGCAGCACCTTCATGACCGAATACGTCGCCACTCGATGGTATCGTGCCCCAGAGGTCATGCTCACCTTCAAGGAATACACCCGTGCCATTGATATGTGGTCCGTTGGCTGTGTTCTTGCAGAGATGCTCAGCGGAAAACCCCTCTTCCCTGGCCGCGATTACCACCACCAACTTTCTATCATTCTCGACATCCTCGGCACTCCGTCAATAGACGACTTTTATGCCATATCGTCCAGCAGATCCAGAGAATACATCCGTGCATTGCCCTTCAGGAAGAAGAAGAGCTTTTCTTCATTATTCCCCAAGGCTAATCCACTGGTCAGCCTTTGTCTTTATTTCTTTTCACCTGCTTATCCAATATCCTCCCAGGCTATTGACCTCATGGAAAAGTGCCTAACTTTCAGCCCTAAACGTCGAATTGAAGTAGGCGAGGCACTCAGGCATCCGTATCTTCAGGTACGTCTTCTCATCTTCCGATTCATCACCCATCTCACGTACGTCTAGCCCTACCATGATCCACAAGACGAGCCGACAGCAGAACCTCTCGATCCTTCTTTCTTCCACTTTGACAATGGCGCCCCCATGCGAAAGGAGGAGCTCAAAGGTCTGTGCCTTATATGTTCTCGGTTCCTCCCATCTGACGTCTTGAAATAGTACTAATATATGAAGAAATAACACGCCCATCAGGCCCTGACGCTCCTTTCCCCCTCGGCACTTCGTATTCATGATAGATACCATATTTGCAGGACTTTTTATACGGTCGTGCTCTTATATATTGGGGTTGTACTGATGTATTGCGATATGATACCAATTATTAGGCTTATTCTATTGACGCCCAGGGGCTAACATACGATATTTTGGTTGCTCGAAACAACATTCAGCATTTCAGTGCCCTTAACAATGTTCTCTGACGTGTAGTATTCCACTTAGTCGAAGCACCGCCATGTGATCCGATAGCGGACATCCCTAGCCAACGGACTGAAATTATCGGACATTCCGGTCACGATGAGACTAAGTTATCAGCCTCGCAATAAACTGAGTGATGATCCTTCCATTATACCGTAAGAGAGTGTTGGTTACTTGTAAACCAGAATCCAGATCAAATTAAAGACGTTACAACTCCTCCGCGAACTTGCTCTCGACCTTGCCGTCCCCGTCCTGAACATGTGAAGACTGTCCTTCAGGTGCCTTCTCCATTTGTCGTTTACTTGGCCTTCTCGGGACGTCTGCGCCTTCATCCTTTTCGGCCGGATATCCATCACGATCTTTCTTGTCAATCTGATGAAAGATCTAGTAGATTGAACAATATAAGAAAGGAAACTCACTGGATAGCCCTCTTTCTCAGGATGTGAATAGCCTGGAGGGTTGATATCTTCCCCGACGTCCTCGTATTCTTCTTCTTCCTCCTCTTCTTCGACGCTGCTACCCTCCTCCTCCTCCTCTTCTTCGCTGACATACCCCGCTGCTCGGACAGCAGCAGCAATTGGTCCACTCCGCTCCATCTGCTCACTTGCTACTAGATACCTTGCACACAACATCCTAATATCATTCCACCATTCCATCATATCCTCTCGGCTGCGAGAACGGAAACTCCATGCATGTTGATTAGCTTTCAACGGGTTGAAGCTTCCGCTCTTTGTCGTCCCCAAACCATCTTTTCGTTCCTCTATATGAAACTTGTGGCTCTTGCTCATATTGGAGCTCGGAGGGCCAAGTGTGCACGCAGGAAGAAACAGGGAGAACATGGGTGTCTGAGCTTCATGAGGATCACTTGACGCGTATTCATGCAGGAATCCGGCCGGTGTAAGTACAAAGTAGCTTTCGCGATAAGTTCGAGTAAACCGTTTCTTACGTTCGAGCAATCCCGTGTGCACCGCGATGACGCTCGGATCCTCTTTACTAGGGTACATGATGGTCTCTTGATTGCGCAAAGGCGTGTCGGGGTCAAGGAGGTGATCAGAACGTGCACTGAACGTAATCCATTCCCTGTCAGGAGCAAGAGAAGACATTTGCGTTCCTAAACTTCGCCATGTTTCTTGTACAGATGACGACATGCGCGACTGCCATTCGTCGAACGTCTGCCAAGCGCTCTGAATGGCACGCACTATGCCTTCTTCGAAAGTTGCTGAATTTTGTTGCATGATAATGATAGATTTCTGAAGAAGGTTCTCTTCATGGACCTGCTTCTGTAGTTGGCGGATGACAGCGGTGTTGGCTACATAGCTTAAAGTAGTTTGAGCATCAGCATGCTTTGAATGAAGGCACGCACGGATCAGTTTTTGCCGTAACGTTCATAGGCGTATTCTTGTATGCAGAGATATTGGTAGCGAGTTCGGCAATGTAGCGCGTGGAAAGTTCCCTCTCTTTGGCAACACTAGTCGCAAGTCTTCCTGTATCGTTTTGAACGTTCTGCAGGAGATTGGTGACAATCCGACAGCGGGGGATGTACAACGCACCTTTATATGAGCCTTAATCTCTGTCTTAAGCTTCTGCAAATGCTGAACAATGGAGCTATCGATAGTCCTTCCAAGATTCGCATGTTGGTCTGCAATGACACGCGTCTTGTCACGAATGCCATAGTAGATATCCTGACAAGAATTAGCTGCCAAAGCACTACTCATTAGTGCAGTGAGCGTACCTGAAGCCCGCCTTCGCCCAAGAACTGGTTGCCAGCTCGGAAGGGAACCTGGATGACGGCTCCCAGCTTCGTCAATTCCTTCGCAGTGTTGTTCTCGATGTCCGCGATACCCTGTAGGCTGTCAGTCCCCGCACACAGCAGCAGTGGAGACGTCAAACCTCAAAGTAGGCGATGAGCTGCTTTACGATAGCCTTCCATGCCACAAAGCGCTCAATGAGCACGTCGGACGGCTTCAAATCATGAGGCGCTACGTTTTTCTTGATGAGTGACTGGTTGCGAGATATTGTCGAGCCATTTCGACTGGCGCGGGAGACGGAAGTCGCGCGTGATATTGAGCCCGACTCATTCATGTTGATTTGGTGGTGGAGGTAATGAGCAAACGTTGAGGCGCAGGGTATGCCAGCTGTGGAGGCTCAGACAGCGGGCGGGGAATGACATCACTTGTTTACGTCACCGTAGTCGCGTGATAGTGCTTACTCTTGCATCGACGCGTGCCCAAATGCTGCGTTTCCATTGCAAGATTGTGAATATACGAAAGCTACTGGAAGCTGTCCAAAAAAAAGGAATCCCATTCATGTCATAACCCACTAATTCGGGGTAAAATACTACTCAACTATACGAAGACTAGAGTATATGTACAGCGCGGAAACGAGTTTGTGTGATAGAGTTGAAGGCATAAACTACTAAGATATGTTTTCTACCTGCTTACGCAGACGTAACGGTTGGTCCCTCCTTCTTCTCCTCTACACTGCTGGTTCCACTGTCATGGTGATGTTGATGTACATGATGAGGTTCCCGGCCACCAGTCGTCACACCAAGGGCATCGCTGTCCTCACCAGCAAGCTCCTGCTCTAGTCCAACGTAGTCATATGCGAACTCGCCCATGTCATAGTCGTCCATACCAACTGCCTGGGCCTCCTCTGACACGTCCTCGTTGAGACGCAAGCGGCAGCCAGGGATGAAGTGCATAATCCAAAGGATGATTGTTGTCATCACAAAGGAGTACGCAACGCCGGAGACACTGTCGGCGAGCTGGTACCCAAGCTGGATATAATGGTGATCAATCCAACCTCCGTTGATGACAGTGATGCCATCGAATCCGGCGACCGAGGCCTGAGCAAAAAGTGCGGTCAGAATGTTTCCGACGATGCCACCAATAGCATGGGACGCAAAGATATCGAGAGTATCATCATAACCGAAGACGAATTTGAGCTGGGTGGCAAAATTGCAGCATGTGCCAGCCATAACTCCAAACAGTACTGCGGCGGCTGGACAAAGTCATTAGCAACAAGCAGTAGACGGGAAAATCGGTCACGTACGGGATCCAACGAATCCGCTCGCGGGAGTAATTGCCACTAACCCCGAAACGGCACCAGAACAGAAACCGACTGCTGACCATTTCTTTTCCAGACGGTAATCCCACAGCATCCATGTCAGCCCACCGACGCTAGCGGCGAGGTTGGTCACTATGCAGGCCTGGGCTGCCCTCAAGTTGGCACTCAGAGCACTACCACCATTGAAGCCGAACCATCCAAACCAGAGAAATACGGTGCCTTGAGACAAGTATTAGCTTCGACGACAAGTCAGTAACAGAAAGGACTGACCTAGAATGACGAAACTCGTGTTATGAGGTTTATATGATAGCCGCTCAGTCCCCCAGCCCTTTCGCTTGCCAAGATAGATACTAATAGCCAACGCAGCTGTTCCCGAGGAAATATGGACCGGAGTTCCACCAGCGAAATCGAGACCTCCCATGATGAAGGCCCATCCATTCGCTGACCAGGTCCAGCAAGCTATGGGATCATAGACGAGCGTTGACCACATGAAGACGAATACGGGAACAGGACCCAAACGTCCCCGTTCTGCAAAGGCGCCGGCGGCGAGCATCGGGGTGATTGCGGCGAACATGAGTTGGTACACGCAGAAAACGATTGCAGGTATGCGCGCACTACCCATTGAAGGAGCGTCAAGGACGCCTTTGAGACCAAAGTATTCTGCCAAGGAGTTAGACGATGCGGGAACGAGTACTTTTAGAGACGTACTGAGGTCTCCAATGTATTTGCTACCAGTCTCACTGAAGGCGAGTGAGTAACCCCAGAAGAACCACTACATGACTCATTCAAAATACTGATCAAAAGGAAAGTATTGCGTACACACTTGAAAAGAGACAACGGCCAAGATCATAACGCCCATATAAATTTGACCAAGTGCATTTTTCCTCCTCAACAGTCCTGAATACAGGTACCCCACTCCGGGGATCATGATCCACACAAGCGCAGTGGCTGCAAGAGTCCATGCAATGTCACCATTATTGTAAACGTGTACGACGCCGTCTGTGTCTGTCGTGGTGAGAGTACCGGCTGAAAATAGGTCAGAAAATTTAAACGAATGGAAGAAAAATTAGAGCTTACAGGCGTCGTAAGTGACGTTGACCATCGTGATTGAGAGGAAGGAGCGCAAGAGGGAATATACTTAACAACATTCCGAAGACGACCTAAATTCCCGTTTGGAAGTTGAATTGATGACATAAGCCCTTCTTTATCGTCCAATAAAGAACCATGGGTGATCGGAATGATCGCTTGGCGTGTGCTTCTGTTCCTGGTTCTGGCCACGAAATCACGAAATCCCAAAACGACAGAGAAAACATCGCCGAGGGGAACTTTTATTTATTACACGCTCACATTTATTCGCTCACCATGATGAATCACATCTCACGACCTCAACCTTTCTGTATGGACACCGCTGTGGACTTTAACTGTACTTCAGCGCCGAGATAAAATTATATCTGGTAAGCTAGCGGATCAACAGGCCACTTCAGTCCATACCAACATATGCTACCTGCGTAGGTCGCTCCATGAAGCTAGAGTGTGCCAAGGACGGCGCTCCACATTGTCGAAAAGGCCCCTGTGGTCCAAAGATAAGGAAACGACGGGGATTGGAAAATGCTGGCCATATTGAGATGAGTGGGATGACACGTAAATTGGATCTGGGATCGTTCCGATATTCAGTCATATTATTGTATACGGGACGCCGCCGCGACGTGTTGATCTGGGATTCAGGAGGGAGAAAGTTCCTGTTTGAGAGGGGTGAGGCCTGAGGTTGACAAGTGTAGGCACAATGCACAAGTATTCTAGACGAAGACCATGCGCTACCTGGGGATGACAGGTGTAGGACATTAACGTTTAGGTACGGTTAGCTGATAAGAAGCTTGATCAATAGTGTGGTTTGGGCACCCAGAATGTAGGATACCAGGGAAACGAGCACACAGCCAAGGAGCTCACCATCGCAAAACGCCATCAAAGGTCTAGATGTCCATCAAAGAAAGGTGAAATGGGAAAACTCGTACGCCGGCGTCAAAGGAGGAGTTGGGAAATACTAAGTAACCGATGCAACCCGAGCTAATTCTACGTCCGAACGTCTCCGAACCCTCCAGTGTATTAAGTTCAAGCATACTAGAGCATACCAGCCGGAGTGCATTTGAACTGGTAGAGATCAGTATTCGTTCCGTGATTACGCAGCGACAAGGTCAACACTTGGATGGAAAACAAAATTCAGTTAGATGTGGGACATCTGACGAATGTTGAACTTTTGAGTATCTCTGTGCACAGCCGGATCGAATATGACCATACTTACCGCTGACGGCGCGTCAAGCTATCTTTAATGATTCACATGGGATAAGAAAGTCAGAATGATCTTCGAGCATGGAATTATTGAGTATATTCCTGGAAACCACAGAGCAAGAGTTACTTAACTCGTGAATCGAATGATAGATTGGAAAATCGAACTACGCTTTTCAGGGTATCACGTCGGAGCTACCGGCCCGCTGACCCCGGCGACGACGTTCGTTCATTAAACATGATAAGTAGCATAGTGAATTTAGTTTTCCTGTGCACTAGTACGTTTATGTTAGAAGTTTCAGGTTCCCTTTTTGCCTATTATTATCATGGTGTAAGTCTGACATCTGTCTGATCGTAGTCGAGCTTACGAAAAGCTTTATCTACTCGGACTACTATCTGCTTGCGTGTACTGGCTCTCCTCGTTATGTCTTGGCAGCAAGATATCGACTTGTGATTCGCGACTTCTTGCGTTATGTAACGCTAAACGAAGGGAGGCTGTTAGGCTTTGCGACCATGAGATGATAGAAGGATCTTGATCTCGTCTGCGCATGCTATTCATCCGTTCCGCCGACCAGATGTCAGAGATCGAGTGGAGACAGCGGGCCCGCCCATCCCTGAAAGATAAGTAGCCCTGTTTCCGTATAGAAATATCCTGCCTCCCCTCTCCTCTGGTAAAGTTACGGCGTCCCCGTTGGTCAAACTAGAGGCGGCTCCTTATTAAATATGAGACTGAGTCCCATATGGGATAGTCTAGGTCATTTATGCTCGAGGATGGTGGAACGGAGCCACCGACAGCCGCGTATCGTGTAAGGCCCTCCCTCCCAATCCGCCATGGCCAAAAATGTCTACCATATATGTAAAGGAGGGCCATTCACCCAATGTTGACACATCGACGGCTTGTTGGTTTGCTCTTTGTAACAAAGTTCCTTTACATTCCCGGAAGTTCCGGTTGTTTTATCTTCGTACGTACATATGAGTCTGGTCTACTCTCAGTGCTAGTCTCTGACACTTACCTCTACATTAATTTCCCATTACAAGCATCAGCATTGTGTTTTCCGGTCTTGGAATCACACTGGAAAAACAAGTAGAACATCCCAAGGACCAAGGGTTCTTAATAAGTCTTCTGCGTTCAGTGGAAAGTGGAAGTCCCTGCTCCCATCGAAAACCATTGCCTGACGCGTTGCGTAGTCTGGACTCAAGACATGCATTTGACTACCCTGCTTGCAGAACGTACGGCGTCTGCAAGACATGGACTGAAGACGATGATCTTGGTCTTACTCCTTACTCAGTCTCCCTCGCGGTAGGTTCCAAAACTTAACCCGTCGGAATGACGGTTCGATAGTTACCAGGACAGAGAAATGACAACTCGGAGCCCACCATGCAACAGGCAATGGACGCGACGTTGCTTGAAGGCAATAATCGTAGGTTTGATTGCATCGGTGGCGTCAACGTGCAGAGTGATTCGAAATGATGATTGAAAGTAGCCGTCGATGTTGTCCGGCAGCTCCTCGATCCCAGACATCCAGGTCGCGATTGGGTTCTTCGAATGAATAGAGAGCATATATCAAAAGGCGGCACCGTCGACATATGTGACATGAGCACGGTCACCTCCGAGGCATCCCAATGCTTGCTTGCGAGTTAGCGAAATTCTTGTCGTCTTAAGAATTCAATCCTTGACCATTTAGGATTAAGCATGTACTTCCAGAAGAAATAAATGAACGTTTACCGGCTGCTTCGAATGGGCTGCTTTAGAGATGTAGGTGGCGAAGAGATGTGTGAGTTGTTTCAGCCAGTACGAAGACGTGGACCTCATGCTACATCCGACATCTGTTCGCGTCTCCTTTGCTTTATCAAGAAGAGCGGATGGAACTGAGGTGCCACGTAGACTGCAATTATTCTTCAATGCCATTCTCATACAGCAGAGCATCAGTCCAGCATTTGCGTTGGGTTTGTCCTTCGAATGCTACGTCTGGCACCTGCTTGAGGTAAGAATCGCACTGTTTCCGTCCAAACGTTAGGGTACTCGCTCGTCGCCGTTGTCTAGCAGAACAGTACTCTATGAAGAGAGCCGAATTAAGGGAAATCGAACAATGTGATTTGCCACGCGTGCAACTAGGAATCTGTAGCGCTAAACGATCGTCTGACTGTGGGAACGGCGTCAATGGGAATATAGCGCCACTGTTCAGTTCAGCATTACCTTGCATTGAACACCGCAATGGGTAGATCGACCGCTGTATTTAAGGAGTTATTGACATCGAGGATTGATATATAGTGAGCATGACATTGACCGACGTCGACGGTCATCATGCATGTCCATGTCGGGCCAAAAATCATTTATTGTTCGGTGGCGGTGAGGTCAAAGATGCAGCGAGCAGGGTTACAGATGCAAGAATGATGTTCAGACAGAGCAGTAGGCTACACCAATGAGCAAGCCCAACGCACCGTCCGCTGATCGCCGACAACGGTACGAACTCACGACGGCGCTTCCACTGCGATGAGCAAGGGTATCACGTCGACGGTCGAGCAGCCCGCTGCTGGCGATACATGGCAGTATTCGGTGAGCGGCGCCCATTGATGTATTAATTAGTGCATTAGCTTTAACTTGGGCCGATCCAAGCTGCATTCTGGATAGAGACGATTTTCAGAGTCAAGACAAGATATAAAGGAAGGATAATAATTGGGATGCTTGCCAGTGACTGTCCCCCTCAATGTTCTTTTTCCTGATGCACTCTCCTTTCACCAAACCACGCATGGTCCGATTTGTGGACGTCGTGCGGATCGAAGGAAAAGAAGCAGCGTCAGCGAGACTGTCCGTTTCAGGCCCGACGGTCAACAACCCCCAACAACGCGGTAAAACTGTAACAGCTTCCTGCTCATCGCTGCCGTCGTCGATGGAACCTGAAATATGGGACGACGAATTCGAGCTGGACGAGCCAATTCCCAGTACCAGCACGGCGCCACCCCGACGGACCTCACATGAACATTCCTCCGACGAAGACGACTTTGGATTGTGGGACAACGAGGACCGTACCCTCACTGCTCGTTCGTCGCGAAAGCCGTCGACGCCACCGCCGCCAGTGCCGCCACTTTCTTCGTCGCTCCATTCACCCACAGCTTCGCTTTTCTCCGCACCGTCATACCATGCCAACAACTCATCCACTCACCTCCGGCCGACGTTCTCTCGGACGTCTGCTTCGACCCTAGCACACCTATCTCCTTCACCGCCTATCGCACGACGGAGACTGAAGAAGAAGAGCCGTCCTCCGGAGACTATGGGAATGTATGAGATGCAGGAATTTACTGAGGAGGATTTACCGGCGGCACGAGAGAAGGACGACGATCCTCCGACTTTACCAACCGTCCTGACGAGAATTGGGAGTGTCAAGTCTAAGTGGGGCATCAGACGAAAACGAGCGAGCGCGACACCGAGCGAGGTTGTTCGTGAAGAACGACACGGTGCGTGCTACAGTTATTCTGCTATATTCTATCCAATGATCTAATGTATCCGTAGATACTTCATCTTCATCATGGTTCGCCCATCCTCCTTCAATAAACAAGCGAAAATCAACATCAGGATTACCTGCAGACTTAGAGGCTGAGCTGAATGCAACACCCACCCCAAAAGAAGGTAGCCGCAATTGGATGGGCAATGTTCGACGCATAAGTCTCGGAGGCAAGCATAAACGGGGTATATCTATTGGTACTCCAGGTATTTCAGGTCCTGACATTCCTACGGTGGAGCCACTACCATCGTCTCCCTCAAAGGTAGCTTCACTAGGACGGACCATCGCCCCGAGCACCGCGCCTGTAACACGGCGAAATTCTCTGGGTGACCTCAAAATTCCCGCTCATGTAGCTCAGGCACAAGTTGGCCTACGAAGGGATCTGGGCCTGGTCAAGGAGTTTGCACAGAGCGTCGACGGTATGGCTTCGTTGGCATGGATTTCAATTTACTGAAACAGTACCAGAACTCAAGTCCTTGCAAACCAACTACCAAGCTCTTGTTACTAAACTCGATCCTCTTCTCGCTCAATCCCCTTCATCTGGTCCCTCATCTTTGCCCTCTATCCCTGTTTTCCATACCCGTGAACGATCAAAATCGAACGCGAACCATTTCACATCGGAATACTATGTCATCAATTCGAAATATAGAATTGCTTGGGAATGTGCCGATATTCTCGTTGATCTAGGGACCGGTGCGCCGTCGACGAGTGTCAGTGCCCCAGCCATAGCCACCGCGATGACCACACGAAAAGATGAGCCGCCACCATCCCTTGCCCCGCCTATGGCCTCACCTACTTCTGCCTGGCGCGCTTCCACTGGCCGACATGATCTCAGTCAACGTCAACTGCAGCTCCTTCAAGAGATGCTGGCTTCCCCTGAATCCCATCATCCAACTACAATCAATCGCGAATGGCGCTGGGGAGACAGCACCATAACGCTCCCGTCACAGTCAGAAGAGTCATCAAATCGAGCTCCCGAGGACGATGCTACGAAGAAAAGACGGGGCAGTAGACTTGGTCTGGGAGGGCTGAGAGATGTACTGAAAGCCTTGAAATGGCATCAGCACAACAATCACCACCACCACCACCACCACCACCATGATCAGCATCAGCATCAAAGCGCAAATCAGTCAAATGCATCACTGCACTCAAACGGTATTGATAGCCATTTGTACCCTCATGCCAGGCTTCCAACATACGGTCGTCGGCGCGCCAAGACGTCGAGTGAGCCGTATGAGTCATATTCTTCTCTATCGAATGTGCATGGAAAGCCCGCGTCGAGTCCGAGAAGGCCCCCTCTCGCCTCTATCTTCCGGATTGGATCGAGCAAAACTTCAAGTTCCAAATCGAGCAGCGTGGCTGGGGGTGCAGATGCGAGTAAAAGCAATCTCAACTTGTCCTTGGTGCCTACATCGAGCTCAGATTATGGGTGGGATCATTTCGATGACCGGGAAGAGCATGGAGATACCATTCGTGTGAAGAATCGGTTATCGAATGTTGAGGAGGAGGCGAGGTCGAAGGGGTCTTCGCAGCCTGGACCATCGAGTGTGATTCCATCTCTTCCGAATGGATTTACATCCCATCCGCATGATGGATATGTGAATGGATCTACCAGACCGCCGCTGCTTCCGCCGTTAGACATCAAAGGCAAAGGGGTGCTGAAATCTGGCTCCGTGCGCTCGATGCCACCAACTCCTGCGGTAGCAATGACCCCGGAGAATATCAAGCCCTTGCTGGAGAATGCGAAGGAGGTAAAGAGGCGCCTAGAAGAGTGTATCGAGGAGCTGAGGACGCTGTTGAAGAAGGTCGACACAGCAGAGAAGTAGAGTCATATCTGTATCATTTATCATTTGGTTTTTGTGTGATGCATTGCTTTCGGTTTAGCTTTTGTGCATTAATATTATTTCTATCGAAATAATCTGGGACGATTATGTCCAACTTATAGTGGCATTTGGTGCTTGTCAGTGTGAAAACCAACCAGAGTCAGGTAGATTCCTCTGTGGCTCCATCAGCGTGGTAACCTGGGTGCGTTTTAGCATGCATTTCCATAGTTCTCTGATCCACTTGGAATCGTGTGCTAACACCTTTATGACTATACGCCGTCGGTCAGGATGAACTTCAACCGACTTGTGTACTGCAGCATCATAAGCTCTTGTCGACACGCTTTAGCCCTTTCCGAACATCATGGATACTTTTGCCATATCCGACGAAGGAAGCCATTCCGGAGTCTTCACATCACATATTCGAGAGTGGGTTCGATAATTTTACGCTGGATCTTCAAGCTAGCGAAATGCTGTCTCAAATGATTTCGAAAGAGAAAAGGCTACCTTAGCGAATTATTCGGAAAGAAGATTGCCCTTTCAGTCTACGCCCTGTGATTTTAGCACGGCTTTACACCAACCTGACTTTTGTGATGCCTTCTTCACGCGTCGGATTTCGAACTAATCACACTTTTGCATTGTGTTTATCTCCAAGAGGTTCAAAGGAAGACATCTTACTCGCATTTCAACAAAAACGTAAACGTAAATATGCGCTCATGGCTCCTAGACTGCATTCAATGGCTCCGGGTAACCGCTTGTAATGGCAAGAATGACGACGAGTTATAATCCCAGAATCACATCGTCACGTAGGGGTCGAGGCAGGCCTCACACGTAAACGAAGTGAATATCAATCAAGATCTATCATAAAGAAGATACTTCAGTCTGAAACCAACCACGAATGGAAAAAGGTATCGATATTCCTGCTAACCGTATTGTTTTCGTTAATACCTTGGAGTGAAGAGAGCTTGCCCATCCTCTGTTCTGATAGGATGCAACCGCAACAAAGGGAAAAAAAAAACGCATGCCAATCTTATGTTATGGCACATGCGAAGAGAGAAGGCCGTGCTAACTCGGTGGAAGCTGGGAGCACAGTACTAAGTCCGTTGCAACGGTTCAGAACTATGATGTGTCGATTAAGAGCAGCCGGATTCGTTCGCGGCCAGCCCGTTGTCCGAAAGGCAGTAGGAACATAGTCTTTTTATGTATATCGAGGATCGTCCTTAACAACGAACCTGTTGACTCGAAAAAAAGTCTGTAGTTCCGGATTGGGTTTGTTCGTGCTTGCCGTCCTCTAGTCCCGCTATCTATACTGATGCGCGTTTGCACAAGCTCGGTTATACATCGTTCTTGACTCGTTAATCTCGGTCTGTACTCCTATGCGTAGCGTCATTTAAGTTTACCCCCGTAAGGCTGTTCAGCTTCAACTTTCTGATCAACATCATCATTCCAATCTCGAAGCTTCTCGCCCAGAACATACCTTCAAGAAAGAACAGAGCCAGAATGCAGCTATATGTCTGATCCAGTTCATCCGCGAGCGTGCATTATAGCTGATTAGAGAGAAAAGGAGTATTTGAGCATCGCCTGGAAGGGACCACCGCAAAAATGAGCAAAGAATCGGCATTGAAAAGAATGCATGTACACTTGGAGAAAAGAGAAAGCGGGGGTATGTAGACCAGACATTAGAGGCCTGATGAGAAAGCGACAGTGGGTCATGCCAGATGTTCCATTAGCCGACCTCAGGCGGTCCAGCAGGTCTGTCTTTTGGCTCGCTTCCTTCGTCAGATGGGTGACACCCTTGTCTATAGGATGTGTCGTTGCTGGCAGGTTGGCCTACGCCGATCCCACCTTGAAAGTCATGCTCATCGAAGGTATGCATAATACCTCATCTGCCTGTACATTCTGTGGCATTCTCTCTGTGCGTCTGTCCAGGAGGAGCCAACAACCGAGATGATCCTTGGGTATACAGGTAAGTTCGGTGACTGTTCGCTTCTGTCGTAGACTAAGCTACGGTTCACCAGACCAGGAATCTTCGTCAAGAATATGCAGCGGGACGGGATGCAAGTTACAATCGCCCTCGTAACAACGCAAATGATTTTGTATTGGCATCTACGAGTATACCAAGAATTACGTCGTCATACCCAAGTTAACAAGAACATAAACGTTCGCCGTTACAATGAGGAGCCAAACCGCTGCGCCCAGCAAGATGGTGGGTATGCTGTTACTGAAATTCACGGAGCCTCCATTGTCATTTTCCACCGACATAACGCGTTTGTGACTGGTCAACCACAAAAGGGGAAAGACAATGAAGGGCAGAACGATAGATAAGACGACCTGGGATGCGACCAGGAGGGTGTCAATACCGCTTCTGCCTATTGCTATAGCGACGGTGAGCGCTGGTACAAGGGATAGAAGACGGGTGATAAGCCGCCTGAACACGGGTGACAGGCGAATGTTCAGAAATCCCTCGGACACGGCCTGACCTGCCACAGTGGCGATGAGGGATGAAGACTGGCCGGAGAAGAGGAGAGCGACGGCAAAGAGGGTGGCAGCGGATGGAGAGACGGCGGTGCGAATAAGGTCATACGCGTCAAAGAGGGAGGCAGAGTGGGCGGTGGCGGGATGGATGGCGCTTGCGAGGATGAGGATGAGGGAATTAATTACGACCGCAAAGCAGAGGAGGGAGAAGACAACATCGGCGATGCCATGGTACAAATGTAGCCTGATGAAAGAGAGCGAGTTGCTAGTTGATGTCTGCGGTGGGGAAATGTGTGACATACGGAAGACGGACCGGATCCGCTGTCGGAGCATGTCCGGTTTCTCCTCCTCCTTCTCGACAGACTGGGCTGTTACACGGTCCTGTGTTGCTAGAGCCGAGCCGAGGAAAAGACTGTGTGGCATGACCGTCGCTCCAAGGATGCCCACTGACGTATACAGAGCTCCGTTTTTGAATATGTACTTTGAAGGTACATACCCAAGGAAAGCGTCGGGCCAGTGGACGTTGACGCGGGCAATGATGATGCACATGCAGATGAGGACAGCAATCACCAGTGCAGCGATAATAACTTCGAAGACGCGCACGGGTCGTCCGCGAAGGGGATCACCGAAGGCGAGGATGAGAAGGACGTCAAAGGCGGTGATGAGAACGCCGTGCCATATTTCGAGGGCGGGAAAAAGCAGGCACAGGGCAATTGCAGACCCGAGCAGCTCAGCCAGGTCTGTCGCTACGATCGCCGTCTCCGAGATTGTGTATAGAGGGTATAGGAGGAAATATCGGGTTAGAGGGCGAGGATAAAGCAATACCCGGCAGTGCGAAGCCAAGTCAACGCCAGTTACGCATCCCAGTCGATGAGACGATACCTAATCGACGAGATCAGTACGCATATACCCAGCTAACGAACTGCCAACACACCTGAAAGAACACGGCAATCAGTCCAGCTAAGAGGACAACAAAAAGCAGTCGATAGCCGTACGACGACCCTGCTTGCAGATCAACCCCCCAGTTTCCTCTGGAACAAGACGCTAGGTCGTCAAGAGCTGGGAAAAATCAGGGAAAAAGGCACTCACGGATCAAAATACGCTACTGCACAGACCAACCCGACACCTGTGTGCTTTTTAGCGTGAATCCAAAGCGTCGTCGAAAGCGATTTGACAGTGATGGCCATTGAGGTCAAGATGGGGGGTGGCTGCGGCCATATACAGGACCAGAATGGGGTGAACCAGAGAGAAGGAACCCAGAAATGTGGAATTCATGACGCCTCCGCGAAACGAGTTAGTGGTAGACCGCAACCTTGCCACGTGATGTCCCGAGGATGTGTCACTCCGGGTGTTTTAGGGATTTCGCTCGGAATATCCATGCTTCCGGAGCGTCGGGATTCCCCGTTTTGGCTGTTGGCGGCTAGGAACTGGCGCACGACCGTGTGGCTTGTGCCTCACGCTGGACCAAAATATGGCGAATCACAGCCTCAATGTATATATAAAGATAACAAGGGGATCCGGTAGATGATATCTTGGACGAACACACTTCCGGTACCGGTACTTTCGCCGACGGATGACAGTTTTGGCACAGAGTCACAGAATACCATCTTTTTACCAAGAAATGGGTACGGTAGAACCGGGAAAATGCATGCGTTGGTTTGAACTGACGGCAAAAGAAAATATCGACGTGATTTGCCGTTGGGCTCGACCTTGCATCCAACTTTATGGTCGCCGTATCGTTCTTGCGACCTGAACAATCTCTTGGTAATACCCGGTGAGTATAAATCCGATTGCAGTGACGTGAATTGCAGATCGTGAATACGATTAACTAGTTCACCCGCACTGGCTGTCACAGAAGAAAGTTGTTAGTAGACGTCTTAGTAACTCCTGTCAGTCTCGTGTTTGTCTCACCACTCTCAGTAGGATTTCTGACTTGATATTCGGTTATGACCGCATTGTGGCAGAAACACAAATTAGTAGCGTCGCTGCAGTCACCTCGGGGAAATCTCAGGGTATTGTCGTGGTCTGACTGCGGCCCGACACATACTATAAAGCTAGCCAGTTTCATCTCCTTCATCCCCATCCTTCACCATGAACAACACAAACCCATATGATGATCCTGCCATCCAGCACGCCCTGCAGCTCTGACCACGAGTATGTATACGGGTGGCATGTGTGATATTCCTCCCGACGAGTGTTATCTGTATTTCCGTGACGCAGACTTCTTCTTCTGTTTATTCACAGTTGTATAACCCCTCTACAGTTCTCTTAATTTTTCCGCTACTACTCAAGGCGACCTCGCCCGCCTCCACAAGGCATGCGACCCAGCCCCGTTCGGACGCAGTAATGAGACAGTGCTGGATGAGATATATCGCAGGGCACAGAAACTCGATCTTTCGTACTTTGCTACTTCCATGTGATCAGAGTCGAGTCATATAAGCTTAATGTCTACGGTGAGGCAAAATCTCTCGCTCTGATTTCGACTACTCACTGACACTCTTGTAGGCGAAGGCGCTCTCTTCAAGGCACACAAGGATACTCCGCGTGCTCCGAACATGTTCGGCTCACTTGTCCTCGTGTTCCCTACCCCACACATGGGTGCGGCGCTCACTCTCAGACACAAAAAAAGACTTCGAATCCTATACCTTTGACACGGGCACTATTCTTGCGAACAGCCCCCCCACCTCTCCCTCGATTGCCTATGTCACATTCTACAGCGGCGTCGAACATGAGGTTTTGCTTGTGATTTCTCGCGCGCGCATCACGCTCACGTATAACCTTTACTTTGAACAAGCTCCTAGATTTTTCGGCGTGCCGGATGCCAAGCATACAATACTGAGGGACTCATTGAAGCGATTGATGGAGGATGAGACGTTCCTGCCAGATGGCGGCTGCCTAGGGTTTGGGCTGAGGCACCAATACCAGCTGGGGCATGATGGTTCTGTCCAATCCCTTGCTGGGAACTTCGAGGGAAGTGACGCAGCGATTTACTCGGCGTGCACAGAACTCGGGCTGAACGTGATGCTGCAAGTGTTGCACAAGGAAGAAAACGGAGAGCGGCTCTTTCTGAGTAGGGAGGGACCATCTTTTGATCTCGAGGTGGAGGATATCGATGATGCGATGGCGGAGTCTATGGACGTAGTTCAAGAGGAGTATGGGGAAGGGATGGTATGGGTTACCGATGCAGGCCAGAACTTGAATGTGGTCGCGTATGGGAATGAGGCGTCGTTGGCGTACATCTATGGTGACGTCTGTTTGCTTGTTGAGTGGGAAAAAAGGAACTAACGCGGTAAATAACGGTTTAACAATGTGTATAATCGTAGTATCGCAATAACTCTAATTCTCTTCAGACTCGGTAGTATTCACTCTATAAACAATCCGGAAATTCATCGCTTGCTCTGCAACCCCTGTAAGCTATGCTGCATCTTCTGCGATTCTTCGCTGATATATTCCACGGTGTATTTTAGGGTCCGAGAATTGTGTGCGACTCACTGGCTTACTATGGAAAACTGTCCGTCAGTCAGCGATAATTTTCGGTTGGGGTCGGCATTTAAATCCAAAAACAATCCAAGCGGAAGTTGGCAATTCCCCAAAGTCCCCGCTTTGTACCTACTATTTTGTGTGAACTAATAACGTGAAGCTACGATTCATAGTGTTGTGCAAGGTGCACCAGCTTATCGAGTGATAGATAAAACCAAAATAAGCTCTATACTGCTGATTGGTGTTGCAGATGGACCGATATCCGGTCCCATAGTGTTTTTTTGTACAAGTCATAGAACTTGGACAGAACCATCACGACCGTTGGACCACTTCCATGGCCAACGGCCAACTATGTCTTCTTTGCTTGCTATGTTATCTTTTTCTCAAGGCTTATACTCTTAAACATGATTTTTGAATTTTGAACTATACGCGTGTTTTTTTCCGAGGAAGTCGAGGTATCTCTGACGTGTCAACTCTTTCTAGGTACCCAAACGCCTATAGTAAAATCTCTGCGACTCACTTGAAGATGATCCAGCTGTATGGCAGACTCATGCATCGGTCAGCCATCTTCTTCTGATCCAAATTTGCCCAATCGCGCATCCACGCGTTTACTGTTGACAGTTCATGAAGAAGCGGCGAGACAGACTCCAAAGGGATATGTCCCTATCCAGTCGTTTTATTCTCAGGCATCCCTCATGATTATTGAACACTCTGCCTCATTGGCTTGTTAGACTTGCTGTCATCTGTGATGCTTCATTTGTGCCACCTGGTAATTCCTTTGTTCCGTGTCACTGGGTCCTGACTTCGTAACGACGGCGAGGACTTCGTAATCGGGGGTCTCGGTCTTCTTCACGTACGGAACAGCTTGCTGTCATGATTTTCTGCCGATGATTTCTCAGAAAACGCGCCCCACGACTTGTTGAAGTCATCTCTATCCATATTCCACGTTAATGTCTCCGTACAACTGTAGCTCTGCGTCTTTCTCTGGTATTTCCCGCATCATGTTTCGGTGATAGCTATCCGTGACCTAACTCTTGACGAGGCCTCATTCAAGAAGGAACCCTGACGGGTCGTAGTCCGAATCATTTCCGAAACTTTGGAGTCCTCTTTTCTTTCCTAACGATGTATTTTTTTCATGGTTGCCATTGGGTGGACCGCGCGTGTGCCTCTCTGTTGACTCAGCCTTGCAAGCCGTCTTATCAATCCCTTATCAGATAGCGATCTCGGGTCCATCGCTGCATAACTCTTTCGGATTATCTGTATCTAATTTTAGCCCAACTCAGCATGAATACTTACCTTCCTAAAGATTTCCCCGTCTGTATTCCCTGCTCTTCCTTTATGCTCCTGATGCTAGGAACCTCAAGCTACCGCCTGGCAATCCCCAAAAGTAGCTGATCCTCCCACCTCATTTCCGTTAAAGCACCACTTTGCGTGCCAACTGGGATTCCTGCCAGTTATCCTTCACCTGCTAATATGCCCCCGCCCAACTCTTCCTATGTGTCTTTGGCAACATCGCCCAACCTGGATCGCAACATTCGGGTTGCTCGTGCTGCAGAATACCCCAAACAATATTGGTACCTCATTGCCAGTTTCACTGTATTAGTTTCTCTCTGTCGTATCCTATCCCTGGTGTATGCATACACTCGCAGGTCCCAGGGTCGGTCAAAGGTCTGGCGTCTATTCTCCGCGATTGTAAATGTCTTCCGTATCCTCGCATTTCGCTGGACGATCCCTTTGGGTCGTTCACATATTATGAATCTTGCGGAAATCTTTCTCGGGGTTATATACTTGGCTGCCATGCTTATATGGACCTTGATTAATAGTACGCCGCTCCGTCATCTTCTATCTCAATGCTTGCGTACTAATCGACGTGCAGCGACGGCCACAACAGGGCTCAAATTTGATCCGAACTATTGGGCGAACCGGGCTGGGACAATGGCTGCATCACAATTCTCGCTACTCGTCGCGTTAGGTATGAAAAACAATATCGTATCTTGTGAGTCCATGTCTACTCTCTTATCCGCTTCAATGAGTTGACTTTTAATCACGCAGTTTTAACGGGGGTTTCATTTGAGAAGGCTAGTAGTAGCTTTATGTTTTTCTTCTTTTTCTGAGACTGATTTTTCGTTTCATATAGCTCAACATCCTCCACAGGACAGTAGCAAGAGCACTATGTGTGGTTGTATGGGTACACGCATCAGGAAGGGTCGGTATTTTTTCATATCATATGTAACGCATCTTTCTGACCCTCAAGGTAGATAAAGCTCGGGTTAGAGAAAAAGTCAGTCACGGTGACACCATGGCCGCTATTTACCCTCTAAAGATAATCTTCTAGGACAATAAGCCCTTCATTACTTCACGAAGAGCGGTGGCTTCAATGCGGCATCCTGACCATTACCTCTCTCACAGTTTTGTCGATCTTGTCCATCCGCCCCCTCCGTAGTGCCGGTTACGACATCTTCAAAATTGTACACTTTATATTTGGATTGTGAGCGGTCTATTTCATCTCCCTGAGCTCGTCAATAAAGAACGCATTCCAGGATATTCCTTCTCGGCGCATACTTCCATATTCAAATTGAGTCCCAGTATGACTGTTGTTACTATGTCCGCCTTTGTGATCGTGACTGCCTCCTCTTTAAGGTTAGGTCACTACGTTTGGCCTGCGATAGTCCTCTGGGCTCTGGATCGTGTTATCCGTTGGGGCCGTATGCTGCTATTCGTGCAGTTTTCGTCCCGTAACAACGCCTCTGTCGACGTTCTATCACCACACTTCATACGTGTGATCGTCAACAAACCCAGGTTCTTCTACTGGAGCCCAGGACAGTGCGCCTATGTAACCGTTCCAAGTATCGGTCTGGTAGCGCACCCGTTCACTATATCGAGCGTTGACACGAGGAACGAGGAGGATAAGCTAATCTTCCTCATTCGCGTCCATGATGGATTCACGAAAAAGCTTCTGCACCACGCTGAAAACGGTCAGAGGATGAGGCTGCTGCTTGATGGGCCGTACAGTTCTCCACCAGTGACAAGAGGCTTCGATAGCGTCGTCTTGATCGCAGGTAACTCGTCCCTCGCTTGCATCAGAACTGTGCTGAGTGCTATCTCGCAAGGTGGTACCGGTGTGGCTTTCACGTTGCCTCTCCTGTTGGACTTATTACAGTATGTTACATCAATATTGTTGTAGTCAATCTCACAGATTATACAGGCGAAGTAAAGAAGCGAAACCTCTTCCTTGCACCAAAATTCTCTTCATATGGGCGATCCGCGATGCTGGTACGTTCTCGGCGTCAGATGACTATCATGAAAACTAATGATCGAAATTAAGACCACATCAATTGGATCTCTGCACCACTAGCTGATGCGTTGAGCGATCTTCCTGAGGGATTGGACGTCGCTGTCAAAATCTACGTTACAAGATCTGCTACGCGCCATGAGGAACTAAGTGAGGATTGGGAAGACAAAAGCTATGGAACTGATACGCCCACCTCCGAGAGGCTTGGTGGCAAGAGCATTTTGACGGCGAACACGGTCGTGAATGTCAAAAAAGGTGAACGACCTGATTTTCCGAGCCTGTTGCATGCAGAGATGTCGAACGTCAGGGTAGGGAGGATGGGAGTCAATGGTTGGTCCCTTCTAGCCTGGTTTGGAGGGCCTTGCTGATGAACTTGATATACTTAGTATGCGGTCCATTCGCCCTTACAGAAGGGGTCCGTAATGCCCTCGGAGTAGTTCAAGTCCGTAACGTCATGATAGGCCAATTGAGTATCGTGTTGCACGTTGAGACATTTGGGATGGTCAGCGCCGAAGTTTTATCTTGACATGGATTTCATTGACGTGTTGTCTTCCTGCAGTGAATTGAATCAATCCGGTGTCAGTTACGTGATAGTATGCAAACATGTATTGTACTTTCTTTCCTTTTTGAAGATATATGGCTGGCCAGCTATAATAAGACAAAAACATTGCTGTTCATTTTGGGGCTAATATTGATACAACTATATGTTAGATCTACTTTGGTCGTGAGCGGACGTTATATAGTTCCTACGACTATGCATGCGTGGGTGAGGATAGGAATGGAACAGAAAGAGGGCAGTATTATTTCAGCACTGGGCTGAGTAAACCAAGCAAGAATCAGCGGAGAATAGACATCGAGCAAGCAGTGTACGTCAGTAAGTGAAAGAAAGCGGACGAGGTGGTAAGGCGCGGATATATGCAAGGCAGACATTAAGAGAAATAAGGAGTTGGATAGAAGAAATAGATAGAACTTGAACAAAGACGAATTCAGAGCAACGGTCCGACAACGATTATACGTACACTTTGGCAACAAAAATGACCGATCGCTTGCACTACGATTACCCATCCATGCTGAACAGCTCTCCATCATCGTCCACGTCATCCCGTGTTACAACTGGGCCACTCAAAGGACTCAAGGGCCCACCAGAGGACACAAGACGGGGTCGATGAGAGAAAGATCCCGTTACATTCCTACCGGGACTACCAGTGGACGATGAACCCCTCGTTGCAGCAGCAGCGGAATATGATAGTTTCGAAAACGAGTCCAGCCCATTGTTCCCACTATTTACCCCCGCAACAAGACTTGGCGAAAGACCCGCCTGCCTACTGGACCAGTCGTCGGACGTATTAGTACCGTAAGGTCCTGGGTTGAACACGTTCGTGAGACCTGGTGACATGCTGAATCCACCGATACCAGTAGATCCAGGCGAAGCGACGGGAATGGGTGGCTGCGCGTGAATGCGGGAATACCCTGCAGCAAGACCTTGAGGAAGACTCTGACCTGGTGCATGAGCATGTAGAGCGCGTGCATTGGGAGACATCAGGTGTAGATCTTCCGGCTGGTGTTGTTGTGGCTGGCTAGGTATTGGACGACCGCTAGGAAGATAGGTGTCTTGAGAGGGATTAGGATTGGGGGCGTGAGAATCGTAAGCTGCCTGGCGTGATGAATTGAAGCTAGAGAGCTGGGAAGTACCGCCACCTGGTCCCGACTGTAAGTAATTTGATATCCCAGCGGCGGTGGCGCCTGGCTGGGAGAAGATGGGATTGCTGGTGTTGCGGATACTACGTCCCGAAGCTCCCAAGGCCGAGGAACTGTTCTGTTTTTTTGACTGGAAATAGTGCTGGTGTAATCCAGGCAAGAATGCACCACTTGCATTGCTTGGCGCCAAAAGCGACTCCCCATCGCCAAGTGGATCATACGAACGACCGCCAAAGCCAGATGCCGCCGACGTGAATGAGGTGGGTGCACCATTGCCAAATCCAAGACGCGTAGGGGATGATGGCAAGCCGGCCGGAACAGGCGGAACAGGTGGGGCGCGCGAAGCGTCTGACCAAATGGAGCCCACGTCACTGAGTAACGAAGGAGCGGGAACAGAACGCGAGTGACGATGTCCACTCGTCACCACTTGTGGTCCATTAGGAATAGGAACACCTAATCCAAGCTGACTGTCCCGATGTAGAGTTTCTGTCTGCAATCCTTCACTCTGCTGCATCTTTCTTCTGTTGATCTCTTCGGTCGTCAGCAGCTCCGAGAGCGACCCAGGCAAGAACATTTCCCCGTCCGTCACCTTATCTTCACCTCGTGAATCGTCATCCAAGTCAAAGTCCCCACGACCGAACGCATTCAAGTTCGAGCTGGGAACATGGCTGGAAGAGATGCCGCCAACGTCAGCATTCCAGGTATTGCGACCTCCGAAGCTACCGCCCATCGTTAGACCTGTACCGAGGCTGGCAGCCAGACCAGCTCTTCCTTGCTCTCCAGGATAGTTGAAAAGCACCGAAGATGTGTGTGGAGCAGAAAATGGGGACGAAGACGTGAAGTTGCTACCATTGAGATTCCTTTGAGCAGGTGATGTTCCTGGAGAGAAAGTACCGATGCCATTGCCGTTTACGCGAGAATGGGGTGACGCAGCGTTGGGGCCTGCACGAGGTGGTGAACCAATCGGACCAAAATCGATGGGAGGTTTGTGTGGAGACAAATTCGTTCGTCGAGGCGTGGACACGGGAAGGCTGCCGGGGGAGGAAGAACTTCCGTCAGGCTTGGACGGTTCTTTTGGTGCAGGCGCAGTAGGGATAGTAGGAGTAGCATCTGCCTGAGCCGAAGCGGGAGGAGTCACGTCGGAGTCTGGCTTCCTCTGGGCTGGAGCATCAGACAACTTGGACGCTTCCTCCAAAGCACCAAAGGATGAGAAATCAGTGTCCTTGAGAGCCGGCGCTGGCGCTGACGGAGATATACTGGCTTTGAGCGACATAGTAATGGGTGGTCTTGACGATGGCAAACCACGGTTAGGCGCAAGCGAGGTACGGGAAGGAGGTACTTGGCTATCTTTCCTGCTACCCCGACCGCCCTTCTCTCTCCCACCACCTGCAGCCACCTGGGCAGCCTTTTTGTTCTTCCTATCCATGGTCATAGGTTGACCAGGTAGAATATGAGCAAGTGCACACTTGTGGCCAAATTTGCAGTTGCCCTTCACGAACCAAGCGCAAGTATCCTTCTGACCTCCCGGCTCTTGAGAAGCATGCGAGAAAGGGCAGGATGAGCCGGCGGTGCATGAGCCAACCTTGAAAAATTTGCAAGGTACATGTGAGAGATCTTTGGCTATTCGAATGAAAAAAATGAATATTTTGCGGAAGAAAGGAGGATCAACGCCGCACCTTTCGACGACGACGACTTTGCTTGCTTAGACCCTTTCTCGGCTCTGTCCTCTCTGTCTCGCTCCTTCTCTTTCTCAGCGTCGAGATTGGACGACGAGTCGCTACGGTCTCCAGCCATGATCTGGATATTTTACAGGCGCAGTGCAGTAATCGCAGAGGGGATAAAAAAGTGATAACGGCGAGGTGTAAATAGAAGAGATGGGGTAAGCGGGTGACGTTTCTGCCGTGTAGAGCAATACAAGAGGAATACAGGGTACAATGGGACCAGCGAGAGTCGAGGCGAGAGCGGTAGACGGACCAAGAAAAGCAAGAACAGGCACCTGAGCCGTCGCGCAAAACAGGCCACGTGGGATTAGGTAACCCTTTTTCGGCCGAGTAACCAGACCACCGTGCAGATCCTGCATTCTGGTCAACGAGCTGTATTTCGGCTCGTCGTCTGTAGGTGCCTATATAGAAAACTAATGTGGTGCTACACCTATCTCACTTCCTCATTCCTGGCCTTGTTTCCGTGGATGCTGACCCCAAAATACCTACAGGCTGGACACATGAATGCTTCCCCAGAGTGCCAGTGACGGACGGATCCACTGTAAGAATATAAAGAGGGACGAACATTCTGTGGTGGATCCGTCTCATTCATCCATACTCATCGTTTTCAGCCTGAGCTAGGCTCATCACTACTTTAACTGTTAGGCAGTAGGTGATGATGATATTTGTTCTATTCTGTGTCTTGATAACCCTATTCTAGATCCCTCAGAGAAAGTAATTTCTGAACTACTTTGACCGTATTTCCGGGAGAAGAAAGGCTAGGATGCCATGTAGTTGTCCCATTCGAATTTACCGTGTTCGACCGTTTCTCGGTCGATCCAAAGCTCTCTCTGGCAACCCTGACGCAAATCTTCATTCATTTTCTCAGCGATCCATGGATTTAGACGGTTAATCAGCCACGCCGAGTTTCTTTGACAAGTGTTCCTCCTGCGCAATTCTTCCTTTGTGGGACTCGGAAGACTCGGTAAGAAAGAGTCGTGCGAACTTGCCGATATGCCTACGTGTTGTGATAGTAACTGTTACGAAAAGACAGTGTCCGGGCCCATTGGATCGACCGCGTTTGCTTTGCAAGAAGCGTCAATGAACCCGGCTCACCGGCCCGACTCACGGATGTCGATGACTAGGCCGCATCTGCAATGCTGCGCGATGCTAGGTGGAGTCTGGACAAAGCCAGCAAACTATCCAAGGCCGTTCCGGCGCGGAAAGTATTGGATATTTTTGCGCATCTATATATTTAAAGTCACCAACGAAGAACGACTCGACGCGTCCTCAGAACCTACTCAGTGCTTACTGTTCGAAACCGAAGTTTTCCCTCGGGCTCGGCTAAGATTCTCATCTTCGGAAGTGTTTAGATAGACCTCTTCTACAATGCCTTCCCTTCCGAAGGTAAGTGCCACGAGAATACAAGGAATTCCTTCCAGACTTGTTAGATGTTTCTGTGAAGCTACTCCGTCAGCTCATTGAACCGACCGACACATGTACAACTGAACAATAAAGCGGAGCTGACACGGCTAATCAATGATGAAGACCTCTTGGAAGCCATGTATGTGAAAGTGTTGACGGAGTGGAAATCATGACTGCCGAGATTCCAAAGAGAACAGATGCGAAGTATATTCCTTAACACCACACATTTGCCGCTACGTGGTGCATATGGAACGCGGTGACTTGGGCTCGTGCACAAGGCGCAACGACGTGAGCAGAAGGAACTGTAATGCCAGAGATCCGTTTGATTGATAAGTATCAACGCTACCGTTTTCAGTAACATTCTGCTGACTATTGGGCTAAGGGGACAAGAACTTGAAGAAAGTGAAGTGTGTCCCGCTTCCTCGTATAGAGTGGAACGGGATGTTCACTACGCAGTTGCCACTCAAGTGCTGATAGTATACTATACTATCTCAAGTAGAAGAACGGATGTATCATATCGCTTGCAGATCGTCTTTGAATGAACTTGGGTGAAGGTAATTGATGCTGAGAAGTACCAATACGACCGGAATGGTCAGGGAAGCGTCGAAGAAGAGAAGGTACGCGAGTTGAGTGACTGAACACATACAGCGCAAAGGCCCCGTTAAGCGGACCGAGGGTCCGATTGCGGGACCCTCTCACGTGACTGGGCCCAAGTCCGCCTCGTGTTTTTTGACAAAATCCGTTGTTTAGACCTGTCCTTCACTCATTTCATTGCCGATGGCGCTGGTGGTGTCGCCACCTTGGCTGCAAGAAGCTACCAAAAACTCTACCACGACATGGCAGGTAGACCTGGAGTCATTATTTCATCACGCCAAGGACCGCTTTCCTGATGTTGTATGGGAAGTCGGGATAGATGACCAGACGGAAGAGGTGTGGGGACACAAAGGTGAGTGCGAGGGCTCTGATGATGACAATATGGTGCTGATTTCAGCGACTACAAGCTATCGTATATGCCCGGGCGCCTCCCAGTTTCCAAAGTCGCTACTTCAGTTTCAAACCAAACACCGCGCCTTCGCCTCTTGGTTACTCATCACCAGTACCCACCACATCGGCACTTTCTCTTTCTTTAGGACTCGACGTTCCCCATCTTGGTGATGATGGCTCTCGTGCTTCGTCGCCAATGCGGGTCACGTCGCCAGCGCCTTCCTCTATGACGGGTACTATTCTACGTTTAAATACCCCAATCAATCCCGCTCTTTTCTCCAACGAACTCGAATACCTTTATACCGGCCAAGGCTTTGGAGAGGCCTTTGAATTTCTTTTTGATTCCCCGGAGTCAAGGCAGGAAGGCGATGCTGAAGAGCTACGTATCGATAAATTGCGAAAGGACCTCGTTTTCATGTGGAGGTCCCGACTATATTCTGACGTGCGTATAGAGCTCACCGGGACGTTCTCATCGTCCAATCCTGAACACACAACTGCCATCTTCTCTTCACACCGATTTATTCTGGTCTCGCGATGTTCCTACTTCCACACCGCCCTCATCTCGTGGCCATCTGCACCCTCTAAATCCACCTCTTCTGATCCTCTCGCTCTTTCACTCCCTTCGCCGCCATTTACTCCCGCATCACTGCATTTCACGCTCGGTTTTATTTACACGGGCACCCTCGTCTTTTCACACCGGAGTTACGATCTTGATACCGCCTTCCATATCCTCCGATCTGCCACTTACCTCTCGCTTCAAACTCTCTATGATGAAATACAAGCACGCATCGTGCAAGAGATGATGCACGGGCTCTTCCATGCATTCCTAGAATTCTCTGAGTACGAGCGTATAACTGGAGGTAAATGGGGCACAGGCGGATGCAGGTGTCGCCAGTGCGCCCGGCGCGCACCCCGTGTCCTTGAATTCGCACTATCAGATGACGTTAAGAATGCTCACCTTGACCGTGGAGCCCGGCGAGCACTAGTTGGTCTCTTCGGCGAGGGATGGTGTACATCAGAGTTCTCAGCTCTCCCGCAAAAGATTAAAGATAATCTACTCAAGGGTGTTGGTAAACGGACCACCCCGCAGAATGTCTTTGCCTTGCTTTTTGCCGCTGAGCATGCTCTCGGAAAGATAAATAACGTCATCGATGCTTGGGCAGATTCTGTCCGGGATATGATCCTATTGGGGCGAAAGACGATTGATAATGTATTGGCGTCCCAATCTGACGCCTGCTTCTCGCAACCTGACTGGCTCGAGCTGATGGAGACGGACGGAGTGCGATTTGAGGACGGCGAACGCGTTGATTGGATCATGGCATCCGTTAAGAGAGGGGTGAACGACAAGAATGCTGCTATTGTATATCAGACTCTGGTGTCGAACATCTTGCTCCGTCCTCATCCAATAGAGAGCGACCAGGCAATGCTCCCTGGAACGAGCCACGTACGTGTTCAGGTCGAGCAGACTAGATTGGATGTTATATCTTGGTTACGCAAACGCTGGTTGGGAGTGAGGAATGAAGGCGGATTTGAGGGACTAGAGGGATGGGCTATTAAAGAAATAAGTGATAGTGAGCATAGCCGTTCCTTTTAACTATTCTTTCTCTAATGCCGCTTAGGTATTGAAATATCTGTTGATGATCTCGTGAAGCCCGCCTTCAATGGGGCTGCAAAGAACGGTTTTCGAGCTTCCGTGAACTCTCCAAAGGATGCCGACAAGGACAGCGACATGCAGTCTATGCGTGTAAGCATCCTCTCTCGCAATCTCCCGACGCGATCGAATGCATCCATTACACCTTCCGTGCGGAGCGTGCGCACAACCGCATCGAGATTCTCTGTTGCTTCCACTTCCACCTCTGTCTCATCTCCACGGCGGAAAGTCACAGATCCGCGACCGGATTCTAAGCTCACTCCACCCAAGTCATCTTCACCTACTCCTACTCCCTCGCTCAATGAGCCAGCAGAAGAGACAGAGGCTCGCACAACACCGAGTGCACCGTTGCCCAAGAAGATAGTTGGGCCCTCATCTGTCTCTTCACGACGGTCTCTGGTATCGACTTCTTCCTCACTATCCAGACCAAAATCCACAGCATCTGTTGCATCCGTTCGGACAGTCAGGAGCCACGCTTCGACTGTGAGGAAATCAACACCTGTGTCGAGTTTACGACCGCCATTCTCAATTGCATCATCACGACCGAGCTCTCGAGTATCGACTGCAAGCACGAGCACAACGAATGATGGTGCAAGCACGGCATACAAAACGGCAACTTCGCGCTCTCGGAAGAGCTCGACAGCGTCCAATTTGAGTACTTCTTCTGTCAGGACCACAAAGTCAACGGCTAGTATGATCTCAAAGTCGCCATCCGCGAGGAGTCCAGTTATTAAGAAGGCGCCGTCTATAGCGCCGTCCATACGCTCGACTACGTCAACCACGTCAACTGCCAGGAGAAGTATTTCAGGAACACCAGGGAAAAAGGAAGCAAAAATTCATGTGCCCCCGCTTCCGAAAGCGACGCCCAAAGCTACGCGTGCGCAAAGTTTGGCGTCAGAGCACAAGAAGACGGAAAGCGTGAGCAGCACCAGCAGCAGCGCGTCGACACTCAAACGCAAGGGTTCGTCGGATACGATCAAAACCACTTCTGCTTCACCCAAAACGCCACCTACTGAACCCGCTTCCGCCGTCTCATCGACTCCATATTTGTCTGTGTCCCCTCAGGCGAAGGGCGCGACCCTAGAAATTGGTATCCCTTGCATTATTTCCTCGCGGCGGAAACGGTTCAAAGCTTACGCTCGGTACATTGGGGAAGTCGAGGGCGAGGCAGGAAGCTGGGTCGGTGTCGAAGTTCCTGGGAATTTCGTTGGCGACCTGGGTGCTGAGTGGAACGATGGCTCCTGGGGTGGCGTCCGGTATTTTGATATTGGAGGCGGAGCAGGAAGCGAGTGGGGGGATGGATCCGGATCCGGATTTGGAGGTCGACGTAAAGCCGACTGGGTACATATGCCCAGGAACGGGAACGGGACAGTCCAAGGGGTAAAGAGACCTGCTGAAGGTATGGGAGGGCGGGCGAAACGAATAAGAAGCTCGAGTCCAGCAGGCAGTGATAGCGAGGCGGCTGAGAGTCGAGGTTTGTTTGTGAGACCACAGCAGGTGTTGTATGTTGTAGATGCGATCGATGGGGATCTCTAGGGACAATTTTCCGTTGATAAGTTTTCTTTTCTCGTTTCTCAAGTTATATACTGCATACCACCATGGATTCCAAGTATCCCAACCCTCCTTATTCTGCCTTTTCTCTGTCCTTTGTCTGTTCCTTCTCCATTTAGGGGCTATTACACTAATTCTCGCATTGGTATACTTAGTTGACACGCTCATTAAATCGACGAACAACTTATTCTGCTTAAGTAGAACCAAACCTGTACTTGCTGTGATGTCAATGAGAGTTATTTCCAGACACAGTGGATTCATATGAGCAAGTCAACTTCAGATTAGCCTATGAGCACGGAGTAGCGTTGAAAAGGATGGTCTGAAGAAAGGTAGTGGTGTTTTCTTGAGTTCCTTCTAAGATTTGTACATGTGTCGATCGTGCGAACCCTGGATTATTTGTCAGGCTGTCTTCTGTAGGGTAATGGACTTCTCGACGAAGCTCATTGCACGTCGTGACGGCACAAGGAATAACATATAAGAAGCATTCCTTTCATTTTATTGCCTTCGTTCAGACCGTGACTCAACAGCCATACATATACGGAACCGAATCCATCAATACAGTGAGTACTACTACTATTGATTGACTATTAAGAAACGATCAAGAAATTACTTGCACAAATTGCCCTGATTATCTGACATGCTCATGTCTGAGATCGCCACAATACCAAACTTGAAAAGATAACAAACAAATACGCGACTCGGAGAGGTGGAGATTTTGTGGAGGTTGGAGGTGATTGGGAGTCAAAACAGCAATCATCATTGATGACTCGAGGAGCATATGTTATGATAATTGATAAACCGGTATAAACTTCGAGCTTTTCGGTGCAAGGCTGATTCATTCAACGCTTGTGCAAGAGCTTGTCTCCCTTCATTCAGTGATCGAATCCAGTCATACTTAATCGCGCCGGTGCCAGTAAATACGAAGGTGATGACTAAAAACGGAGACTCCGCTCTCCACCTGTGTTGCAACACCAGGTGGTGTCTCTATGTGCATTCCAGCTCTCTTAAATCTGTAACATTGGTGGGACGTCAGAGACTCAGTTTGCAATTCGTACCGGTTCGAAGTGAAGTTGTGATTGAATGAAGCTCGGCCACTTGCTATCACCTCCTGAAGTTCAGATTCTTGAGATTCAATTGATATTTCTGGGGCGTATAACACAAATGTCCCTCAGAAATCATCTGAAGACTGGGAATAGACATATATATCACAATTTCTCATTTGTCGCTATAAATGGCTCAGAAGGTGCCTCTAAAGGGTGTATGGTGTCCGAACCTTTCTCTTCTCTCTGTCCTTTCTCATCCGGCTTGCCTTTCCGAGCCTCTTGACCTTCAACAAACTCAATAAGCTTATGTTTGAGCTGCTACAGCGTCTTCTCCGGGTCCCTAGTTCAGTCCGTTCTATCGAATAATGGCGGTAGATTTAGTATGTACGTTGTAAAAGGAGCGTACAAGAATATTGCAATTGATGATTGCATAAAATGCATCAACAAAGCATAAAAACATAAACGTCGTTTGTCTGAATAAAACTTTCCCTGATATTACAAGATGGAATGGAGGAATATATCCAATTCAAGTTTTCTTCCCCGACACTCGAAAGGTTGTCAGCATTGGAACACTGGAGGCATATGAGCACGCTATACCTTTATGCATTCGACCTCTTCTCGATGATGGTTTAGATCTGGAAGGCTTGACCCTGGGCGTGAAAATCAGCTCATCGTCAGAAGGCACAGAGGTATTAATCCTGCGTTTCTTTCTCCTAGCCGAGGCCTTTGAACTATGTTTATCAGACACCACTAGTTTCGAGTCATGTTCCTCGTCACTATCCGCAACAATGATAACAGACGGGGACCTCTTTCGCTGGATGGCCGATGGGCCAGGCATAGCAATGGAAGATGGATTAGCCTGTCGAGGGCTCTTGAGCTTCGTTCTTTGGGGCTGACTAGGCGAACAGGTATGATCTGTGGTAGGGACAACGGCATTCGAAAGACGAAGGTTGGATGCCATGCAATTGGTCATTTCTGTTGGACACGGAAAAGGTTGACTGGAAGATGAAGCAATTTGGGACGGGGCCAGGTCAATGAATGTCGATGATCGAGTAGATTGACCTGGCTTCGAGGTTCGTTGGGAGGTCGAAACAGACGAAGAGCGCTCGTTCTGGATTTGTACATCGAATTCCTTTAGTTGAGCTGTAAGAAGATACTTTTCATTAGTACTTCGAAAATGAGAGATATAGATACTGCTAACTTTCAGTGCCCTTTATTTGCTCATTAAGCTGAATTTCATCTTGCTGCAAAATCCTCCCTACTGAGAGTTCGGTGATCTCCTCTTCTTTGGACAGACACAATGCTAATGAAACATCGCCAAGGGCTTGCGCGACGGCGAACCACTTGCGCATGGAAGCTATTAAATTCTGAGGCGTGGATAGCTTCGGTTCTGGAACCTGAATAAGCGCTTGAAGGTCGCTACTAGGATCCCTGGAACTCAGTGTATTGGCCGTCTTCTTCAACTTCTCTTTCATTGGCGTGAGCTCCTTCAGGGAAGACACCAAGCCTTTCGTGAAAACAATAGCGTTAGTGTCTGTATACGCCAGGCCAGCAATACCAAGAGCTGCTTTAATCTCCGTCCACTCTTTCACAGCTGATTCCTTGGCTTCCTTCACTCTCGACAGCTGGGTGGAAAGGGTATCGCGGTGTTCCCGCAATGCATTCCCCTCCTTCTCCTTCGAACGGCATAGCACCTCCCAACCGCTGCCGGCAACCGCGACGTCAGATAGAATGTCTTTCATGATGGTGATGAACATGGTGAGATTGAAGGGAGATAGTGCGTCGGGCGATAGAGGTTCCTTCGTGCTCTCAGGCTTGCCCTGTATGGATGCCAATGCTTGAGAGATCGACTGAGCCTTTTGTCCCTGATTGAAAAGGTTTGTTACATGCGACCCAATTTCCTTGGACAAATAAAATTTAGTATCCTCTTGGACATATTCTAGTCCAATCGTCCCCAGCGCGTTCTTCAGTTCGGCAAGTACTCCTTGGGCCTGGGCGGCGTCGTATCTGGCCTGTTTTCTCTCTACGTCGGCTTTCTTGTAATCTGCTCGGATAGAGTCCAATTCTCCTTCGAGCTTCGTGATACGCTCAGTTAGAGTATCACGTTCCCGCTTCTGCTCAGCCATCTCATTCTGGAGTTGTTGTACCTCTACCTGCGTAGCTGCAGCGTGTGACCGCGCGTCATCTCGATCCGAAACGAGTGAAGTAATCTCTTGCTCTGATACCTCGCTAGATGTCTTTCTCGAGATATCGGCGGCGCAACGAAAATCCGAGAGTTCCTGAAGAAGTTGCTGGTGGGTACAAAGGAGTTCTGCAATTTCCTCTGACGCTTGGTTAGCCCTCGCCCGTGCCTCCACCAACACACATTCACGGGCTGTCAGCGCCTTCTCGAGCTCTGCGGTACGAAGGTCCTCCGACGTCTTTGCAGCTTCTAACTGCAGCTTATGTGCCATGTGGATGCTGCTCATTGTACCGGCGAGTTCGGTGGAGAAAAGTTCCATGAGTAAGTTGGCGCCATTGTTGATAGATGTAGAACGAGGCGTATTTTCTTGTGGAGCTGCTGCCGGGCTGCCTGCAGTTTCGTCCACCATGGGCATCTGTACAACAAATGAGTAGGCGATACTTAGTCGGCCGAATTCCGCCGAAAGTCACCCTTCATGTCCGGAAACTTCGGCACGAATGCCATACCATCAGGCAGTATTAAACGCAACAAGTAAACTTTCCACCAAGACGTCGCGGTGGTGGTACTGGTCCTAGATGCCCTCCACTCTTGTCTCCAGTCTCTCCCTTTTGGAGGAAGCTTCAGACTCAGAACATTCCACTTAAGTTCCTTTTTTCTTCGAGTTCGTACTCGAGACTTCGCTTCTTTGTTAATTCACCTCTACCGGCGATGTCACTATCCTGCTTCAGCACTTTTGCTTGCGAGGAGAATAACAAACTACTAATAACGCAAGTCGTCGTTTATTCCGAACTAGTTCTAAAAATGTACTTTTATGTCCCTATTTGCTGTAGCATATTTGGGACACCTACAGATGAATGCAATACGGCGGGTTATCCATAATCAAAAACCGCGGTCAGAAGGTCCAAGAGGTTCCAAGGGGTAAAAAAAGCACAGAGATGCAGATTACGAATCCCAGACACGGTCACACGGATATATATTACGCGGGAGGGAAACGGAAATCCTCAACCGCTTTTTCGATTTTTACGAAATCTGCTGCGCGTGTCGCGTTCGATGCAACAAGGGGCATGACTCGTGACCCCGCAAGGTGCACGCGTTTACAAATGGAGGCTAGCCTGACGCGTCAAAATGTGAAATTAATAATGCTCAAAACTTTTCAGATCAGCGGTACTCAACGCTTCAAGGTGCACCTGGATTCGATTTTCAACTCCACCTTCTCTCAGCTTGACTGTTTTCTGTGGAATAAATCTGGCTTGAAGCCTACAAAAATTATTCGCTAAAAGTGCATCGCGCCCGAACCCCTCTTTCACCTCCACATCGATCGCTCAAGAGGGGCGAAGAGGGGATCAGCTGAATCCCCTAGGTGTACCCCGTGGGGTAGGGCTGTCTCACAACGGTACATGTATCGGAATCCCGCAGGGGGGCATGGCCATCCGCCCAGCTCTAGCGCATCTAGAAGGTATAAAAGGGCGTCGGTCGCGTCCCAATCTTCGCCAATCCACTCCTTCTCTTATACACTCCCGAAAACCAAGCTTTTATCTATCAACAATGCCCAACTTCCAGATCCCCAAGGTCCAGAAGGTCGCCATCGTCCAGAAGACTGGCGGCTCCATCGAGATCAAGAACGACTTTCCCGTAAAGCAGCAGAACGAGCTTGCTCCCGGTGAATGTCTTATCAAAATTGAGGCTTCAGGTTCGTGGATAATTTTTGTCACCATTTTAACGGTTCTGAGCTTCTTTCTAGGGTGTTGCCACACCGACTTGCACGCCGCTATCGGTGACTGGCCCGTCCCTCCCAAGACCCCCTCATCGGTGGACACGAAGGTGTCGGCATTGTTGTAGCTATCGGAAACAACACCACCGCGTCGTATGTTTACTCTCGCATAACAATGGATGACATTTCCTAAGTTCTCGATAGGCCTGTTCAGCTGGGTGAACGCGTTGGAATAAAGTGGCTCGCTGACTCTTGCTTGAACTGCGAGGACTGCCGCAAAGGCCGCGAACAGAGTGAGCACTTGGTATCTATTTCCCTGCCATCAACTGACTCCCTCCTCAGACTGCTCTCAGGCCAAGTTGAGCGGTTATACCGTCGACGGTACCTTCGCCGAATACGTAGTTTCCTACGTCAACCATGTGACCCCCATCCCAGAAGGTTTTCCCTCCGATGCTGCTGCTTCCATTCTCTGCGCTGTACGTTTTTCATTCCTATGATGGTATTAGTCTTTTTCTTATATCAGTTTACAGGGTGTCACCGTCTACCGTGCCATCAAGTACAGTCAAACAAGTGCTGGAGACTGGATCGTCCTTCCTGGTGCTGGAGGAGGTCTCGGACATCTTGGTGCGTCCCCTTATAAACTTTTCTGTTGGATATCAATTAACTGTCCTCATAGCCGTCCAATATGCTCGTGCTCGTGGTCTCCGCGTCATTGCTATCGGTATGTCCCAATCATACTTTTTTCCAACATATGCTAACTTCTTTCGTAGATAGCGGTGCCGAGAAGAAGAAGTTATGCTTGAGCCTCGGTGCTGAGGTGTGGATCGACTTCAAGGAATCCAAGAACATCGTCGACGATGTCAAGGCCGCCACCGGTGGGTTCGGTGCTCACTCCGCTGTTGTCACTGCTGCCCACGTAAGTTAACTATTTTTTTTCTTCCTGGATTCCCATCTGAATTTCTCTTCTAGAGCTCCGGCTATACCCAGGCCCTCGACTATCTCCGTCCCGGTGCTACTCTCATGGCAGTCGGTCTACCCGGAACATCCACCTTGAACGCGTCGATCTTCTTCACCGTCTTCAAGGTACTTACTCTCACCTCCGCTCCATTCTTGCCCGTCTGACATATATATGTCAGAGCATCAGTATCCTTGGATCCTACGTTGGAAATCGTCAAGATGCCCGGGAGGCCCTCGACCTTGCGGCTCGCGGCCAGGTGAAGGTTCACTTCGTCACTAAGGACCTCAAGGAGCTCCAGAAGTGAGTTCATCATCCTCTTTATCCTGGCAGGTGTTGATTATCCTTTAGTGTCTATGATGGAATGGCTGCCGGAAAGGTTGCGGGTCGTGTTGTTTTCGACCTCAAGAAGTAAAGGATCAGATGAGAAGACAATAAGCTAATGTAAAATTATCATTTAGTATTTATTCTACATTTCGGAGTGAAATCATTGACATTGTACACTACTTGTCTGCCTCAATCTTCCGAGTCTTCTCCATCCTGCTCTTCCTTGGTGGGTCTATCTACTAATCTAATTATTTCTCGATAAAAAGTCGTTTTGGTGTCCTGATCTTTCTCCACATTACTGACCAGTCCGTAACCGGGACAACAATACCCTATCGTGCCCGCGACTTCATAATGGAGATTACCTCCTACATCAACGCCATTACTTAAAATCTCCACAAGACTCCACATTCCTCTTTCGACGCACTCCACGGCCAAGTCCGTCGTACAGGCAGGGGGGAGATCTTCAAAATTATCCTGTCCCGTAGCATGTACCGCTATCATCATTTCTTGCGACACAGGTTCCAAGTACCTCTTCAACTGGGTGAGCGATCCATTTGCAATCATGTTCCGCAGAGCATTGGCGCAATGTTTCAATGAGTCGACGTTCTCTATGTCGATGGGAAATGTGAATCTGCGGCATGCGAGTGCGGGGGAGACAGAATCTGCGTAAACGGGTAGAGAGTGGTACGGGTTGCTGAGGGAATTATGCACAGCGTACTGCAAAAACAATTCGCCTCGTCTGTAAATTAGGGTGAGTGTTTGATATCGGGAATGGTAAGTAGCTGTGGTCCTTACGGTGAGAGTATCGCATGCTCGAGCATATACCAGTAACTCATTCTTGGGACAACTATCATTGCCTACGAGATAACCATCCGATCAGATGAAGTTCATGATTACCGTGACAGACACCCACATACCTGAACGATGGCACATAAATAAAGTAGCTCCGGAGGGGTGTCCAGAATCTCGGAGGAGAAGTCCGCGTAGACGCGATCTCCCAGCTCTGTGTTGGTAAACATGAGATCCAATTTGGAATCGTCCCTGGAGTAGTACATTTCGCGGGGGGAGAAATGCATTTCTTGGGAAGAGGTGAGGGACTCCATTATGAGGTGATTGGAGGGTATTGGAGTAAACGTGTATTTTCGACGCATCTTTATATCCTCATCGACAATTAAATAGGCTGAGATGTAGAAAATAATAAGCCTGCCATTAACCCGACAACACAGATCACTGAGAGATAATAAGCCTGAAAGTGACATCCGGAATTTTGGCAGGCCATGACAAAAAGATCTTCAGTTCAAGGATCACAACCTTGGACGTATCCGAATAAAAGGATATCAGGTACATTGCAGGTACATCAAAAGTACCGACTTGCTAGAAAAGATGTATATTAAAAATTAGCTGGAGAATTCAGAAAAGATTCAGGCATGTCAAGAGTAAGAATTATATACAGAAACAACAAATATATGTTTGAAGGGAAAGTAAGCCGACGATCAACCTTTGAAACCCCACAGCTGTATTTTTTCCGCGTTACTTCTTCCACAAAACTATCCTACAGACTCAAGGTGTTGAAAACTAGATACGATGTAAGTATACGTCAGAGAACCGTCCATAGTAAGATACTAATGATCAATGGGTTTAGTGGGATAAGCAAAGAGGTATCAAGATATGCAATAAATAAATGACTTCTCGTCGCCAAGACTGATTGGAAGTATGAATCAAGAGAAAATACCCTGCGTCTCACATGATAACACACTCCTTGTCCTCGGCCTTTGCGCCCTGGAAACCCATCTCCGCAAACGTAGTCGGACCTGATGGTCTAGGCTTATCCTGCGCAGGAGGCTGTGGCGTCGCAGCTACGCCACTGGGAATTCTACCTGCGGCCGGACTAGCTGTTCTTCTCCCAATTCCCACTGGCGACTCCGTTCTTGGTGGTTTCAATGAAGGCGAAGGCGAGGATGATGTTGACGGGGGAGCCGAATTGAAACCCGGATCTGCAAGTGAGTACCGGTTTCGTCCCTGCATCTGCTGGGGTTGCAGGCTTCCGCCGCTGTTCCCTCTGACTGGTGCAGGCATGGGACTGTTTGGCGGAGGCATGCCAATGCTGTTCTGACGTGGTGCAGGAAGTGCCGACTGAGGCATATCGATAATCGTGTTTTTGCGGATCACTTCAACGACGTTGGGATTGCCAGTGGTCGTTCCACGGCGATGGCCTTGGGGTTGTGCTTCAGATTTCAGACGAGCTTGGGTTCGGGTCCGTACAAGCTTGGATTCGGTAATGACATCGTGCTCCTGGCGGGAGAGGGGAGCGGGACGTGACTGAGTAAGAGCATCCAGTCGGTCTCGAGCATCAGTGTTGCCATGCGAATCAGCCTTAAAGGGAGGTCAGAGCAAAGGCAGCCAAAAGGTAAACCAAGCTTGCCTTTTGGTACCAATCGATGGCCTTGGCGACATCTATTGGACCACCTACGCCAACCTCGGCATAGTAACCCATAGCAAATTCAGCGCTTGACAGCCCTCGCTTTGCAGCGCGCTCAGCAAAGACCCAAGCTAAGCTTTCGTCCTTCTCAAACGAACCTTCTGATCCACACAGAAACCATTTCGAAAGTGCCATGTCAGCCTCAACCTCTCCCGCTTGTGATGCCTTGGAGTACCACTCGACTGACTGAAGAGCATCGAACTGCCAGGGGTGTTGGGCAAATTCGTATGCATGTGCAAGCTTGTACTGGGCGGGGGGATAATGAAGATAAGCAGACCGCTCGAGATGGGTACGGGCTTCGAGGGGTGGAGAGGAGCCAGTGGGTATGAGAGGCTGCAGAAGGGCTGGTGGAACAGAGACAAGGGCGAATTCGTTGAGAAGAAGGAGAGCATACACGTATGCAGGCTGCGGCGTTTCAAGAGAGGAGAGAGTAGCTGCGCGCTGTAGGAGAGGTAAAGCAGTCTGAGGTGATGCAGGAAGACCAAGCTGGCCTAGCAAATGAGCCATGCCCATCCGCTGTTGGGATGATTAGATTGGATCAAAGAAGAAAGTGGAACTGAACGCACATAAATGCTAGACTCGACACCGAACTTGACGCCACGTTCGAAACAGTCACGGGCATGGGTCAGATCGTTGAACGATTCGTAATCTCTACCCAAACGGAACCATGCCTTGTGGCATCCTGTACGAGCAGCAGACTCGAAATCCCTGAATGCGGCACGTGGATTGTGAGATACCTGGTCGGGGAAAGCACCGCTAGCAGCGAGCGAAGCGCGCAGATACAGGGCTTCTGGTTGCGGCGACTGCGACGAGGCGAGTGACAGGATAATTGGTATGGCATATTGCACTAGGCGGGAAAGATTTGGGTCCGTTATGGTGACCGGCCCAACCAGGGGCTCATTGGGCGCGGCATGAATATGCCTGTCTACGAGATACATCACGTCTCGGCACCAAGCGATACGTAAGGCAGGATCGTGAGATGGCTGTTGCACTGTACCCAGAGCAGAATCGAGCGACGGTATCGTGGGAATCGGGGCCGTGAGGGAGGTCTGTGGGGGTGTGAGAGGTAGGGGAGGTCTCGCGAAGGTGGAGAACATCGATGGCGTCCTACCGATGGCAGTGATGGATTGTGATACGTCTACGTTGGAGGGCGAACCAGGATATGGTAGAGCAAATCCAGGATTATAGTTTATTGACGACGACATTGCAGGAGGTGACATTACACGCGACATTGCGTCTAGGTCGGCGGCAGCGCTGGTAGCTTGGTGGGCGCGGGGAGCGGGGAGAGGCGTCGAGGCGTTGATGCCGACCTCGTAGGGATGGTACCGGATTTCAGGCGGGTGTGGCGGGAGCGGGGGGAGTGGCGGTGGTCCAGGAGCGGCGTCGTCGTAGTCGTAGTCGTAAGGGCGCGGAGGTACGGGGGGCAAGGACATCGTCGTCGTCGGAAGGAATTTATAACCATCTATGCTTGGCCTATATTTGGCAAATGGTACTGCCACACAGGGACGGCCGGTTTATTTTTAGCTACTGACAGTCATCGTGAAACGTCCTTCCAAGAGAGGCTTGCTCGGCCGGATTATTAGTTCTAATATTATTACTGCTGTGTGTTCGATGTTCAGCCGCCTCGTTCGTCAGCTGTGCTCAAACGTTCACATACACAGACCAAACCGAGATCTCCTTAAGGGATGAAGATAAAACTTGACCTGTAACCATATCGACGGCTATGTACCCGACCTCCTCCCGGCCTCCTCTTGGCCTCGTCGGTCAACGTGGATGCACCAAAGATCAGGTCATAATTAGTCTATCCACCTTAACATCCGAGTCTGATTATCGGAGAGCACGAAGAGCAGTTGTGTTTCAATTTACATAACAATTTCGTTGCTCTAGGTTTGAGGCTACAAAGGTCAAATCAAGGTGCTCGACTGATGGAACCGGGGATTTGGCCCTGGAAAACTCTCACGTCTTGTCTCGCTACCCTGGGGACCATCTTTATCCATCTATTATTGGGCACCGCCCAGTTGTTCTTCCATCGATGGGCCCTGACTTGTCATTATAGACCGGCACCTTTCCGCGCCCATATTCCTATCCAAACACACGATTAAGATCTGGACATTGGGCTCGCAGTCTTCCTTTATATAGATCCCGCATTCTAACGTTTGCTATTCAAGCAAGACATGCCGCGAACATCGATCAAGCAGACTTTAATTTCAGCTTTGAAACTAGCCCACAAATCGATTGTGTCCCGGACGATATATCATTATGTCCCTCAAATTTTACCGCAAGACCAGTGGCGAAACTTACTCTATGACATCTATCTGATAAGCGGTCAAACATCTTTTCATCCCTCCTGATTGTCAAAGGAAGTTCATTCCATACAGTTCGATTAGCTACAGGATATAGGTGGCATTACCCGAACCTATTAATCATTTCCAGTGAGATAAGTGTGGGAGTAATAAGGTGTAGTAGTCAGCGGTGATATAAATACATTGGAGAGCGACAACGAAAACGACAAGAAAGCAAACACAAAAATAATACATCGTGTATAGTAGTATGTATAGCTGTACGTTCGTGGATGTAGGTTCTTCTGGCTTCAGGGACGTTACAAAGCACATGTCAAGTCTAACTGTGGCGTTCAAGTCCAAGAATATAGAACCTACAAAGACCTCAGTACCTTTTAAGACGGATCATCCCATGATCGCTTTGTACCAGGATACATAGCCGTTGGCCACTGGAAATTCGAATATCCTGCATTGGGTTGTAGGTACCCCCCATCAGGCGAATAGAACATTCCCGAGCTCATGGGGGGCCTCGTGGCAGAATATCCCTCAGCATTCGTATACTGCACAAAGGAGTTGCTGAACGATCCCCCAGTCGACGGGTAAGGAGACGAGCAAGAGCTCGATGTGAATGAACTCCGAGTCGGCGAGGCCATATTTGTGTCTCGCTCCTCCTCTAGCCCACGAATTTCTTCCGTCAAACGTTGGTTTGCAAACCGCAATTGCTGCAATTCGTATTGCCAACTTGAAGCACGCGAGGTATCGAGGTCAGCAAAGAGTGTCACAGCACCCGGAGGACCGGCAGAATTGGAGGCCATGGGAGGCCCGGCACCTGACGCACTAGCATAAGCAGTTCCGTAATTCGTGACGACTGCAGCTGAAGGCAGAGGTATGATCTGGAATATCAATGGAGGTTCGCCCACCCCAGCACCGGGTGAGCTGCCAGTACCGTAGAGAGAGAATTGCACGTCGATACTCCGCCCATCCTTGGTCCGAGCCCTACCTCTGCCCCTTCCTCCACTACGATAGAACATACTGTCGATGCCTTCCAAGACAGCAGCGAGAGGTTTCCCGACGAGCTCAGCTTCTGACCAGCCCCATTCGTCTCGCAATCTGAGCCGCCGGCCTCGCGAATGACCACTGCCAACCATAAGAACAACGCCGTCACTGTTCATCGTACCCCACAGACCGTCTAGAGATGAGGCAGAGGATAGAGTTAACGACGCCATTGCTCTCGACCTCGCGCAAAGTACGATGGCTTTTCTCCCCTTCCCCGGCTCGACATATAGTCTTCCACGGCATTCCATCCAGACATACACGCCAGCCTTAGTCTGCGCTCGGAAGAGTAGGTCAACTGTCTTGGGTTTCCCGTCTGAATCTGCAAACTTGCTCGAATCACCTTGACCATGCGATGGCGTAGCCCACGAGGAGCTCTCCTTCAGTTCTCTCATCAGCGGAACGACATCTGCTGCATGGCATATGTCGCCGAGAGCCTTTCCTATTAGCTCCTCGGCAGCGTACCCGAGTACATGCTGCACCGCAGGAGCCACATAAAGGAACGCCCCCTTGAGCGAGACGACGAGAAAGAAGTCAGGTAGATGTGAAAGAAGAGAAAGGGAGAGAGGATGGTTAGAATTTCCGTCTTCTGCCTTCTCGTTATTTGATTCAGAGGCCGATTGAAGGATAGACTTTAGATGTGAGGACATAACTAGTGGTGGTATGAAGTTCTTTTTGGCCGATCCCATACATAGAGTTTGGAGATCGCCAGGGGGATGTAGCATGGGTGAAGGGGGATAGTTGACAATATAAGACCCATCCTTGAGCTTCTCCAAAATAGCATTCGGCTGCTCTGTCAGATCTACCTGGAAGCCTACGTGGTACACAACCTCGTCCTCGTCGCCGTGTGCATCGTTGACGCCTCCACGGATGGGAATGACAGTCACAAGGTTGATAAATGCTCCTCCACCCTTGCGGTAATTGACAATAGACGTCTGGCACTCCTTATCTGCGCCAAGGCTCTTCTTAAGATGAGCAACGGCTTCATTACTCGTATACTGTCGTTGTTCGCCCCTTCTGACGCGACCGTCAGGGCTTTGCAAAAAACGGCAATTCCTCCCTAGAATCTCCCGCTCCGGGTATCCTGTCAACTGGCAAAATGTTGGAGAGCAATATACAATGGGATGGTCATGCCGCCGAACGTCAACAACAACGAAAGATGATGCAAGGTCAACTGGGCCTAGCGTGACAGTGGGGTTTGGCCGAGTAGCAACACGGGCGAGTACAGAGAGAATATCGAAACCTGAGGTAGAGTAAACAGGAAGGCCAAGGGCTGAAGGTGCGCTTGGGACTGATGTGAATGTTACGGGTGAGGTATGGGACGAGACTGGCATAACCATGGCCATAGGCGGCGGCTGCGCTAATGAAGCCTGGGGACTGGCCACAGGTATTGATGCTGGCGAGGTCATCGACGACGAGGATGGAAAGTCAAACGGTGCAAAACGCGACTCCCGCTGCATGTCCTCGACCTTGTCTTGGGGCGCCAGAACCGTGTTGTAATTCTTCAATGTCGAGTACCTTGTGTAACAATAAGTGTCAGCGCCCACTCCATAGGAAGAATGACATACGAAGATAGCGCGGCGCTGCTGAACCCGTTGTTCTCCATCCACGAACCTTCACTGAGCATTCCTGGAGCCAAGACCTCAGCACCTCCGCCCGGCGCTAAGGTTGGTGGACCTGTATACATAAATTGAGGTACCTGGATAGTAATCGGAGGCCTGGAGGAAAATGAGGAGATAGAGGTCATTGAGTCGTACATCTCTCGATGGTACTGCGCCTCCCTGACGAACTGGTCGCGTCTGTAGACATTGTCCATTTTGAGACTGCCGACGTCGGTCCGGTGGTCGTGGAAAGACAAGCCAGGAAATGATGATATCAGAAAATCATATTATAATTAGGTAAGCTCTGAAATCAAAATCGAAATCAAAACCTGTTATTTTTTGCGTCCAATTCGAAATGCAGTTAAATGTGTATAGGTGGCCAAAACAAAGACGCGTTCAACTCGTCAATGTCAGAAAACATATAGCTTAACTACACTTTAAATTAATATATGCCCCCTTTCCCCTGAGACCATCCATGTGTAGATAGATGGATCAGTGAATATAAGGGCAAGTAGCAGGCGAAGAAATGCAAAATGGAATAGGTACTGGATTACCTCCGAACTAGCGTATGCACGTACATATACATCTAGACTTACGCCCTCAACTGGTTCTTCAGGTTCTGCTCAAGAGGGCCCTTAGGCCTGATGAACTGTACATAGGCACCATCCCTGAACAATTCGCATCAGAACAGCTTCCTATAGACGTAAGAATAGGTGACACTCACTGCAACACCTTCTTGTCCGCCTTGAGCTTCAGGTAATCGGCCTTGTCGACATTAGTAAAACCCCACTTCTTAGAAACAATGATCTTCTGGCGGCCAGGGAACTTGTACCGAGCACGGCGAAGTGCTTCCATAATGACAGGCGCATTAGCGTCCTTGCACCGGATGGACAGAATGATCTGGCCGATGTTGACCCGGGCAACAGTGCCATAGGGCTTACCCCAAGCACCACGCATGCCAGTTTGGAGTCTAGAGACTCTTAGTACACCAAACGAGACCACAGCAAAAGCACGCACCGATCGGCACCAGCACAGCTCAACATCTTGTTAATCCGAATGACATGGAAGGGGTGCACGCGGACACGGAGATGAAAAGAATCCTTTCCGCTGGTCTTGGTGACGTACTTATTGGCACAAATACGGGCGGCTTCCAAGGCTTCCGAGGAGAGCTGTTCATATTCATCGGAGACGAGGTGGCAGCAGAAGGGAAAGTCATCAACGGAGGCACGCTTCCTGCCGAGGTCGAAAATACGGATCTGAACAAGTCTAAGTAACACAGCTCATGGGCGGGAGAGTCATTAGATATACCTTCGGATCCGGGACACCACGATTGTACCTAGACTTGGGGTATGGCTTGTTCTTGCAGTAGCGGTAGCAGCGAGCTGGTCGACGACCCATCTGTGAAATATAATCTTGTCATTAGCATTCAGCCGTCCAACGAGCTCCACCAGATATGCGAGCGACCGTCCCAATTTGCGTCATCCAAAGTTGGCCCAACCGAATCCAACCTTCCCAGCCTCCATCCACATGCAATTTTCAGCCAGAACGCAGAGGAACAGCGCTTACCTTGGATTTCGAGTCTGTCGGTTGATGGGGGTGGATAGATGAGCGTGCAGCCGCCCTTTTATGCCTACAGGCTGGATGAGTAATGTCGTCGCAAAACTGATTGGTGATGCGAGTCGGAGTTCGGACCTTCAATCGGAGTTTTCCACAGCCACCCGCATTCGGATCTATCAAACCCCGGACGACTAGTTCACTCTGCCATGGGCTGGTGATGTCTTTTATTGCACATTTTGTGGCCGACAGACTGACCTTGACATTGGGATATTCTTATACTTTCTCGCGTGCTTACGGTATACACTACTACGAATACACACAAGGACCCCATAGTGCTTGTGCTTCTGTTTACTGCAAAACCTGGCCTGTTTGACTAGTGACTCCTCTTCCCGGGCCTCTTGATATACACTCGGATCTCCGACTGTCACAACGGTGCCAATTCTTTCAGGATTTTCATCCAAGGCTTGTCTTTTCTGAATCGAAGCTTCCACGAAATGTAGGATCTGAAATTGGGGTCTTCGAGGCGAAATTGAAAGCTTGAAAGCGTAGCATGATACAGCAAAGATACTGTCGAAGCATGCGAACAATAGTTGCCACCACGCGACATTTCCCCGGACAAAGAGATGAAGTCAATGACCAAACCCGAACACACAACATCCTGGCCTATATAATCCACAGACATAATGCCTACTTGTTTGTTCGAGCTTATTGTTCAGAACATCATGTCGCCTGTTGCTGTCCAGTTGACGACCTACTCCAACGCTGGTTCCAACGACGCTACCTACGCCGACTCTCTGATCTCGCGCAAATCGTATGCCCGGGATTTCTCCCTGCGCTCCAGGTCCGGCTCTTCAGAGGAGATAATGGTCGCGTCGCTCAAGGAACGCAATGCGACGGTGGTATCCAACAAGTTCATGATCAAGGCCAAGAGGTCCATGAGCATCCGCTCTGCAGCTACCACTCCCACTTTCCTCCGCCTCAGGCGTCCCTCAGACGTCAACAGACCCCCTTCACCTTCTCTGCCTTCGCCGGTCGTCGACAGACTTAGACGTCAGAGAAGCGACTCCACGGCGCACAAGTTCGTCAAGACTGCAGGTGTCTTGCTTCGATTCAAGTCTGTACCTAATCCACAGGGCGTAGGAAACGACCCCAGTGTTCTTCGAGCTACCTCAGCGGGCTCTGCTCCGTCCAAGCTGCCTTCAACTCAGACGCGTCCCGCCCGCTCACCAACCGCGTCACATGGACGCCCTCAGAAAGTGGAACAACTTTCGAAGCCGAGGCGACAGAAGTCCTTCGCTACCTCTGGTGATGTTGAGATCCAAGACGAGGACGAGGATCCCGAAGAGGACGAGGTCGCCAAAGAGTCCAGGCTTCTCGTTTCACGCATGAATCGTCGATGGATCCTTGAAGAATGCCGATGCCCTTACGACAAGAAACAGCTCGGAGTCTGTGTTGTGAGTGATCGTTCTCATACTCATCTCCTCGTTGAAACTGATGTACTTTTAAAGATGTAAGCCCGCCGAGCACCACGCATCTCTTCTGCGCTGAATTATTACTTTCGATTCTTGTGGATTTTTTAAATTTGCTTCATCTTTCTTGCGCCACCTTGTATTGATCTTCCTCTGAGCCAGTTGCCACCAGTATGCCATTTATGCTGTTTATGCCATCTATGCCCATCTATGCTCCCTATGCCAATCCCGGTGGCAGCCGCTCTATCATATTTAATCGATCTCTTCGACATTGATATTCGATTGTCTGTATTGCTTCGACCTATAGTTTTGTCTGTACTGTACTTTTGTATCACGAACCGAATTTCTTCATTTGTTGTTGCGCTCTTCAAGAGAGACGATCAGGTTTTGGAAACAACTCACCTTTGGGCAGTGGAAATCCATGGTACAAAACCAGACAATGTGATAATTGCAGAGAGCCTGCAGGACAGCTCGGAAACACCTGCTGGAAATAACATTGGTCAACGTGGATTTACGAAGATGACGCTGATTACTGCAATTAAGTAGGAAGAACATTCAGCAATGTGCTTCTCCACATTGGTAGTATAGAAATGATCATACGTAGTCGGCTGATACATGCGGTACCAGAACGAAACGCTGCCACCGCAGAGTTGAGAAGTTGAAGGGTAAATGCACCCACCGATATCGTCGTCGTTGAACCCAGGTCTGTTGATTAAGTTGTTCCGTTGAGCTTCGTCGGTGGTGCAAAAGTGATCGACGGCGGTAGGTGAGTACATGAGATAAAACGGGGTGGTACCGGGAGTTCCGAAGTCGTAGATGCGAGCAGCGTCCCCTTCGAGCTTCCAACCGCTGGCGACGATAGGCGATAAGATACATTTCGCGAAAAACCTATCCTGGTTTATGTACTTTGTGAATTGTGGGACCGCCGACCACTGCTAGAACATGAGCGAAGATGCAAATTATGCCCTCGGAACATGTCTCGAAAGGAATGGAAGGTCTGTCAAGGTACAGTAGGAATGTTAAGTTTATGTGCTGACCGGACTGAGATTGTTGTGTTTTCTGTCCGATATTGATGAACTACTTGACTTTGACCTGATTTTTGGATCTTGGACGAACGTCCTTCATACCTCGAGTGTCTGTATGTTCAAAAGACGAAACACTGTCCCTGCCAGACTTGTCCCGGGTGAATATTAAAAAAGTATGTAGCACCCAGCCAAACCCTGAGGTCTCTCTTCGTTTATTGAGCGCCGTTTCCAGATAGGAATTGACTATCCTGGGAAGGCATCATTCAGCTAGTAATCCAACATAACATTCGAAAAGCTGACTGGAAGCCCGGTCCTCCCAGGACAAATGCCTTCCTATAAGCAAGCCAGATGAACCGTGAGAGAACCAAGCCTGGGAGACGAAACTGAGTTGCTGCGAGGCCAATACATCTCCACTACCTATGTTCAATGCAAAGAATGCAGCTCCGGGAGCTCGAAGACTCAAGATAAAGTCAGGGTCACCTTCGGACTCAATGTTAGAGTTGGTTGATAGTAGTCTCCGTTTTGTAAGCAGAGCCAGTATAAACTTGCGTGCTTAAGCCGTACTACTTAGTAGAATCTTGAGAATTCTAGAAGAACTGTCAAGCCGGCGTAAAGTTGAAAGATGAAGCGAAAGCCTGCTAGGATTTCGTCTTCCGTATAGTATGCTCATGTCCTGTCCTCGGTCAGATAGAGGCTCAGTGGTCAGACGGATTTAGCGCTATTTTTAAGCGAACACCGTTAGTACCTTATGCGCGCATGGACTTGACATCTACATACGTTTTTATTGCTTACACACATCTCCGAACTGATCCCAATGGCCCATGCGGGTGATGTGCTCTCACTGAAGAATAATATAATGACAGAGCCTCAGCGACCCGTGAGCCAGCACTTCAAAGCAAAACTTGACGAACATAACACACACGGATGATCGAGTTCTGGAAGCGCCTGAGGTCACATATGTTTCTCCTTGGTGCATACTACACCTGTATTCGTCGAACCAGTCCTTGAATACTCACAAAGCACTGTGGAAATCATGTGAATTGTGATGTTCATGTTATCTCACCCTCTCCGCAGGCGAAACTGATAGAAATAGAAAGATTCGGATGTCATGTACTTAATCACGGTCTACAAGGAACTACCATCACCTGTGATGCAGGTCAACAGTAAACAGTAAATACTCTAACCAGATGGATTCGACGTACTGCAGTCAAACGGGAAGGACATAGCATCCGGCAATACCCACCCTTCAGTCTGGGCCGCGGTTTTCTCTCGTTTGCATTCACGGTGTAAAAATGATCGCGCACCGTAATTATACAATCTGTAGAATGGGACGCTGCAGCACGACACCGATGTACCCAACGACACCCTCGTCTTGATACCTAAGTTCTGAATCGCGTTGTTGCGCTCCTTTACATCTGTGGGGTAGCAATGATCGGCTATGATGGGATGATATGCGCAATACAATAGTATCGTGCCGGAAGCTTGGGAACCAAAATGAAAGCCGTGTCAGACTTAAATTGGTAATTCAACATGGTGATAGCATTCTCCATTTTCACGGCGCTAGTTGTATAAAAGCGCTTCGTCGTATCCTTAGAGGAGAAGATTCACTGAGTAGGTATTCTGAGGGCAAAAGATCAACGTCGAACCTGACAGTGGAGAAGTGTCTAATGGAATAGCCTACCTGCATGGCAGAGACAACATCCAAGGAGAGGAGGGCGATGGCGCAAGACGCTAGTAAGCCATTCATGATCAAAGGGCATCCTAGCTTGAGGATATGTATTCAGAGAGGACACACTCGCTTTATAGTCGGATCGAATGGCCAGTGGTGATGGAAAATGAAAAGAAGAAGGAAATATTCTAGGATAGCCCTCCAGACTGACCATCACCATAACTGTCATTTCGTAAAGTCGGAAGATGTCGTACCTGCACGAAATATTGTCGGGTTTCTGAATCGAGGGAAAGGGTTTGAACGCAGCATTTCTTCTTGGCACAAATGCTCATATCCTGGGTTCAGATAGAGATCAGATACATCTTTGGTGGGCTAGATTTAGCGCGATCTTATTAATTCGAACACAAACGCCATCCCCTCAAGTACTCAAGGGCTTGGTATCTACAGGCATTTTTCTTGCACATGCCATGCCGCTCGAACCGATGTGACAGATTGATGAACGCCATGCGTTGACATGAGAGGTACTGCCAGAAAGTGTGGCCTCGACCTGGTGGCACCCATAAGGCCTCGATCATTTTTTATCAGTGCGCGCTTCATGGAGTGGTCAGGCTATGTTGCCAAGCAGGTAACCTCGGGGGCCGATTTGGAGAATCCTCACAGAAAGAAATGCATCTAAAGATATTTCTTGGCTTGCCGACTCCAAGGAAAGAATGTCAACTCCCCATGAACACCGAAGTACAGCTGCAGACTTCCTGGAACATCTGGCTATATTTAAGTACGTGCGAGCGGTTGCCATACAGGTGCTCTCAGTGAGCTATCGAACAATGAAAGACTGTTAGATGTGGGTACGACTTGAGCGGAACTGGCCTCTGATGCTGACTACTATGATGGCAGTCGGGTTCCGGTGTTCTGCATTTCTCAAGATGGATTTTGTTGGCATTTAAACTGACGTGGGGGAAAGGGGGGGGTCCAGCGTTGTGTAAATATGCTGACTTCAGGGCATATTTTGAGCTATACATCCTCTAACACAATTGAAGGATCTATCCATTGCCCCCTTCGCTTTTCTGTCAGTCACCCTGCACCAGTGTCCACATCGGACACGAACAGTCACTTTTTTGGGTCTCTGCAGCTCTCAGGATATGAAAGCTGCCGATATATCATCAAGAACAAGTATTGTCCCAACGAGTCTAAGCTCAGCTTGTGACGATGTAAGCATAAAGGTTAACGTCGGGATCCACCATTGGTGTTGATGGCGAATCACGGCGAAGTGACTTGCCATGTGGACCGGCGCCCGCTAAAAATCCGAGTTCTCCGTGAATTGAAAACGTCCTTAAGTGGGTGACTTCCCACAGCATTTAGAAACACAGACCATTTTCTAAATCCATCAAAGTCCCAATTTGAAATCATTTAGAATTTATATTTCTAAACCGTAAACCAATTTAGGTCTGGAAGCACAAACAGCAATCAGTGAGGGTTAACTGAGGCAAAAACGAGAGACAAAAGTGAGATAGGTATTACTTTCCTTCAATCCTGGACTTTATAGGCCTCGATAGGTATCTGAAGCGGACTGCCTTACAAGTTTGTTACTACCATGAATTTCAGAAAGTTACCTGCGTCGGGTATGAAAAAGACAGCAGCCGGGATGGAAAAAAATGGCCGGTTCTCAAGAAAACAGCTGGGAAGTAGCCATATAGACACTTTTCAGGATCTTTTTAGGTCCACCGAAGATTCAATACATGGATACAAGGCTAGCAGAGCAAAAATGAGCTTTGGACTGGAATTGTGGCACTTCATTGGGAAAAAAGGGGTAAAAATAAGTTCTATGGACTAATAAGACAAGTTACTTGTCTAGTTCTTATGATTAACGCATCAAAAATGAAGACAGGCACGGCAGGACAGTGATAGGTACCTGGGAGGTGACGTGAGTGGAAGAAGACGCCTCGGAAACTAATAGGTCCAAATAGAGATCGAGATTGATCGGCATCGCTCGGCATCTCTGATTTAGAATTTAGGTTTCTAAACGCTGCGGGAAGTCACCCGTATTGAAAGGATTGAAGGAAAGTAATACCTATCTCACCTTTGTCTCTCGTTTTTGCCTCAGTTAACCCTCACTGATTGCTGTTTGTGCTTCCAGACCTAAATTGGTTTACGGTTTAGAAATATAAATTCTAAATGATTTCAAATTGGGACTTTGATGGATTTAGAAAATGGTCTGTGTTTCTAAATGCTGCAGGAAGTCACCCAATGATTAACAGACTACAATGGTGTACTTCAGGTTTCTGCCTTGTAAGTATTAACACTGTGTAGATCGCCTCAACTGTCTGAGCAGCAGGTTCAAGTCAGCATGGATCGATATGGCGGATCTGCGGGCCCAGGCGTGACATACGCCAGCTATTCATTTCGCCAACTCGGTAGCAAATACGACTGAGTATTTCTGTCCAAACCAACCGTAGTGGAAGCAAGGATCCCTAGATGTACCAGACAAAGCATGTCGAAGAGTCGAAAAATTCTTGGGGATGTCAATCAAGGTCGAAAACGGCACAGCCGGGTCTCAATGATACCCCGGTGGGTGTGGGGGTAAGTCTGGATGTGGTGGGGAATTTGTCTTGGCCTGCATCCGGAAACATACGGACGAAAGACTAACGGGCCCCCGTTTGTAATGAAACATGGAAATACATAGAAAGGAAAAATCGATCTGTAGGATAGTTGCAAGTAAAGGACGCTGATAGAAAGGATGTGGGTCATTGTTCATACAGGCCGGCAAAGCTGTAATCTGGCCCAGGCTAATGGAGCACGTGATATAGGGGCATGTGAATCTGGGGTACCCCGGAGTCCTCATCCGTTCATCTTCCACCGCCGTCACCTTCACCTCCACTGCCTGGATGTACCATGAGTTCGATGTTTCGCATAACCCCCAGCCTATGGGACAAGATCCACCATTTTGCTAGCTTTCCGCAGACCGGTGGTGAGTTGGTCATGTTTTTCGAGGATCCTCGGTGTTCACGCTTGTTGCTGCAGTGTCTCTACAGCAAATGGTCCTCTTTGGAAAGAATCCTAGCCAAGGAACTCTACTGAAAGCTAGCCAGTTTCTTGCGGGTACGACATCTTCTGTTTTACTCGGGAGAAATGTGATTCACGATCGTGTGCTACACAGAGGAGCTTCCCGTTCGTTTGGCTCACCGTGTCAAAGAACTTGACGAATTGCCACATAACCTCAGCGCTATGCCTTCAATAAAGAAGGTGAAGAACTGGTATGCGCAGTCATTCGAAGTGAGTTATGGGTATATAGTTATTCCACCTATCCCTCACAGCCAAGTATCGGCTAGGAACTCATAACGTTCCCGCAAATCGTTCTTCCACAAGATATTCGACGCGCTTTGATTGGAACGCGTGATGACAAACTCTCAACTCTTCCTGAACCTGTTCCGAACCCATCGTTGGCGCAATTAGTAGAAGACTATGCCAATAATCCTCATCTGCACAAAAGTTACAATGGTGGATCGCAAGCCTTGATGAATTCGAACGGAAACGGTGGCAATGGGTTCAATAAGCTGAAGCTGAGGGTTCCTATGGAGAGAAGGTGAACACCTTTCCTTCCTGGTCTATTCCTTCTGCAATACACATGTTAGGTACTATGCCAATACCGACAACATTGATTGGCCGCCTCAAGTACGGGACTATAATGCGCGCTTCACTAAAGCTCTGGAGGCGATAAAGAGTCGCCACGACCCCACTGTAACAACTGTGGCACAAGGTGTTCTTGAGTGGAAACGTAGCAAAGGAGAAAGAAACATTGGGTTGGACGTTCAAGCGTGGCTGGATCGGTTTTATCTATCACGGATTGGCATCCGCTTCTTGATCGGACAGCGTACGTTTTTCTTCTATGCAATATGCGCACTCACTTATGATATGGTTCAGATATCGCGTTGAACAGCGAACAGTCGCACGATGACTATGTCGGGATAATTTGCACCAATGCTAACGTCCACGACATCGTACAAGAAGCCATTGAGAACGCGCGGTTCGTATGTGAAGAACATTATGCGATGTTTAAAGGGCCTCCCGTTCAACTCATTTGTCCTCCCGACCTTTGCTTCCCTTATGTCCCTGGCCATCTTTCACATATTGTCTTCGAGCTCTTGAAGAACTCTCTGCGTGCGGTTGTGGAACGATTCGGTGTTGATGCGGAAAACGGTTATCCGCCTATAAAGGTAGTGGTAGTGGAGGGCACGGAAGATATCACCATAAAAATTAGCGATGAAGGCGGTGGCATACCCCGAAGTGCCATACCATTAATATGGACGTACATGTATACGACAATGGAAGGTCAAGGCGTGTCTGAAGATTTCAACGCGAGCGATTTCAAGGCTCCTATGGCAGGATTCGGTTACGGGCTGCCGTTATCAAGATTGGTGAGTTGTTTCTGTTTGCTTTGAGTACCGGCTCATGTCTCTTGTGGTAGTACGCGCGATACTTTGGTGGAGACCTCCGACTAATAGCCATGGACGGATTTGGGACAGATGTGTATATTCACCTCAATCGGTTGTCGAGCAGTCGAGAGCCGCTACCCTAGATGTGTTGCATCTGATCATCTACCGCATAGGACGACTTCTGATTAATAGCCCACCGAAATGTACTCTTACTAATATATCTATAACCTACTTCGAAAAACACGGAAAATTGGTATTCTAAGTTCCAGAGCTTTGAACGAAATTAGATTGAAGACATAGCATTCCTTATCCTTCTCACCCTTCTCACTTATGCGGGTCTTGGGACTGCGTCTCTCGACTCTTGGTCACGGTCCCCTTTCGTTCCTGAAGAAAAGATTCGGAGTGACACAACAGCCATAAAAACATTTACATAAGATCCTACTTATCTCTCGCATGGACACATCTAAGGGGATACTGAAGTCCAGGTTGCTTATGTAGCTAGCCGCATGTCAGAATATTTGTGCGTCGAGGTGACACGAGCTGAAAAAAAACAAGTAGATAAGCCTCTCATGCGTGACCGCATCAGACCTAGTCTGGTGAACTATCAGGCGGAGATGCATAGAATATGCCTGTCTAGGTATTAAGTTATCATCTCAGTAATGACCATCTAAGACGTCGACCAACGCAATTGGCGTGTCTTGAGTACCGGACCTTGAGTTAACGTACATATTCTCGAAAGAACACGAGGCTGATGACCTGGTCTAAACCGTGACGGCGCCAGATTTTCCACAGTAGAAAGAAGAACAAGGGAACGATAACCTTTCTACGTGTCCCTCGTTAATTTCCCGATTCAGCCACGTCGCCGCTCGGCTGTGTCGTCATTCGGGTCCATCATCGGAAACGAACCAGGGGTCCTATTCTAAAGCAGACACGAACCAGCGGGTCCTAGTCTAAAGCAAAACCTCTTGTCTTTCAACAACCATCTTCTCCACAATGTCGTCTGACGAGAGCTTCACCGGGAAACCTCCGCAGAAGAGATGGAAGAAGCGAAGGTTGCAAGGAGCTTGTGATGCTTGTAGGAGGAAGAAAAGTGCGTACTATGGAGCATCTGGCATTAGTGTGGTTTCACTAACTAATACCGTAGTAAAATGTCCGTGAATGGCGGTAGCATTTCTTTCGACGATATAGCATATTTATATGCGCATACATCTAGGCGACAGCAAGAATATGCCTGGTAATCAATGTTCGAGTTGTCAGGCATTCAATTCACCTTGTACTCATAACGATCCGCCGAGGGTGAGCATATTTCTATCGCAAGAATCCATGAATTCTTAGTGCTCATCTCTATAAGAAACGTGGACCTAAGAGCAAGTATGTTACCTCTCTCTAACCTGTCGGCATGTCTCAATTCATCTCAGTTATGTGATCCGTCTCGAGAAGAGAGTACTGAAGCTTGAAAAAATTTTGAAGCAGGTCAGCGCAGCCACACTGAACCCAATGTTCCTTTGTACACTCCTTAACTTTGTTGCAGTTCCAGCCGGACGTCACTATCCCTGATTTTGATGAACCTATTGGGTCAGGCACTGGGACAAGCAAGAATATAGACACTTCAAATAAGGGTTCTCCTTTATCTGATAGCCTTGATGCTGGAGCTGCCACAGATGATTCTGATACCGACCCTGACATGGAGTACATCGAAGTTATGGACCACCTTAAGAAGCTGTCATTGCACATGATGGACAACCGTTATTTTGGACCATCCAGTAATCTTGCATTCATGCGAAAGGCGTTCACGATGAAGAGCGAGCAACATGGTCAACAAGTCAATGTTAAAAAAGAACATTGGAAGAATTGGCAGACTCATCACGTACGAGATTGCCGTTATATGCGCCTCATATTGCTGACCAGAAACGACAGTGGGAGCAAGCAACCGTCCGAATGAGCCAGAAGACTTTATATTTTCCGCCCCCCGACCTCCTCGCGGATCTCGTAGAGCTGTACTTCACCCACTTCCATCCGTACATGCCCATGATGCACGAGCCAACTTTCCGTCAGTCTGTAGTCTCAGGACTGCATCATGTCGACCATAGATTTGGTGCTGTGCTACTCTTAGTATGCGCTGTAGCTTCAAGAGCGTCCGATGATCTTCGAGTTTTCTTGGAAAGCACGTCAGAACACTCATCAGGGTGGAGGTGGTTTGTACAGACAAGAGAGATGCCGCGAGCCCTGTTTGACATGCCAAGTTTGTATGACCTACAGTTTTGTTGCGTAAGACCCATGGCCTTCGCTTCCGATCTGTTCTCACTGTGTTCATAGCTATCGGCGGAGTTTCTCTTGGCTACCTCTTCGCCTCAATCAGCATGGACTATGATCGGCTTGGGCATTAGGTATGGTGTGGAGATGGGCGTACATCGACAACGACCAGAGAAACCTAGTTATGAAACCGAACTGAGCAAAAGAGCATTCTGGTTAGTTGCTGGTGTCGTATCCAAGCAAAAAATCTCACCTCTCACGCAGGGGATTATATCTACTTGACAGACATCTATGTTTGTATCACGGCAGACCGCCAGCAATTCGAGACGAAGAGTACGCCTACCTCTTCATGACGTTCCGTATCAATGCTAAGATGCTATGGCATCAGTTTTGACATCTCGTTTCCAATTATCTGCGACGACGAATACTGGACAATAAACGAAGATGGTTGCGAATTTGCGCAACCTCCAGGCGTGCACAGTAGGATGGATTATTACATCATGCATCTGAGATTGTGTCAGATTATGTCTTTCGCTGTGAGGACGATCTATTCCATCCGCAAAGCGAAGCAGACAGAGGGTTTAGTGGGTGTAAATTGGCCCCAGAACATTGTTTCGCAATTGGATTCTATGCTTAACAGTTGGATCTTTCGAATGCCTGAACACTGTGCGTATTATTTCGCCGTCATTTTCCACCTCTTTACACATCGTTTCAGTGAAATGGGGTCAGCATCGCGAAAACAGGACCTTCTCATACCAAGCTACATTTCTGTACGCGACATATTACAATATGCAAATACAAATTCATCGGCCGTTCATTCACAAGTCGTCACCACTAACTTTTCCCTCGCTTGCGATTTGTACCAATGCAGCACGATCCTGTTGTCGTGTCCTCGAGATGCTAAGAGGGGGTGGTTCTCCTCTCCAATTGTTCGGATTTTCGGTGAGCTTCACATTCACCTATTATGGATTAATGCTCATTGGCTCAAGATGGCAGCCTTTTCATCGGCTGTTATTCTTGCTATGAACATGTGGAGCACATCCAAGTCAGGTTCTACGACTTCGCCGTCGGCAACGAAGGAGATGGAGGATATCGATACGTGTTTGGTTGTATTGGAGCTTAGCGCTAAAAGGTAGGGCGTCTTAATCTTACGGAAATGTCTGCTTACGATGACACGATGACAGGTGGAATATCTCCGGTCGCTTAGTGTAAGATCTTCTCTGTATCATGGATCATTCTGTCGTTGAAAATGTTTCTCTAGGGATATCTTGAAAGTCATTGTTGAGGATGCCCCACCTTCAACCGAAAACCAATTCGAGGGCGAAGATATGGATTTCTCTTCGGGTGTCGCACCTTCGTTTATGGCTTCTGGTTCCAGCGCAAACAGTTTCTTTTTTAATACAACGTGGCCCACCCAACCCGGACCGACAGAAACGCCCGTCTATGACTATTCGTTGATGCAGGTCCCTGGCATGTCGTCGTCAGCCGTTCCCGAATCAACCACAGCTGCTTCTACCAGTCAGGAGCCAGCTGATCATGTCTTCTGTGTGAAAGGTCCGAGTACATGCATGCAGGACTCGAACACATTGAGTGATGGAGTCACGTTGAAGCTAGATGCCATCAATATGTGGTCAAACGCGCCTATGGGATTCAGGTATGTTCATTGCTGTCGAGACAAAGAGTGATTCTCATTCAGATCCTTACAGCTGGGATGACTGGGGAGAGTATATATCTGGCACGGGGACGTAGCAGCCGCTGCATCGGCTTGAGGTTCGTCTTTTGGAGTCGCGGTTCCGCTACTTCGGATGAAATACGCATGTACTATTAATGTTTTGCACTCATACAGTATTTAAGCTCAATCACCAGCGCAACATAATATGGCGAGCATAGATAGGTATCCGGTCTCCCTACACCGCTATAGGAATTCCTTCTTAAGACAAAGACTGATTTCGCCACAGCTGCCACATTTTCTGGGCTTGTCTTCGTAGACATCTGGATCTCCGTCTGCAGCCGGGGGATGCCTGTCGCCTCGGTAGACCGTTCCTCTTGGGGCAGAACTCATATGGTACCATCTGGGGGCTAACATCGACAATCAGTGACGTTTTGAATACCATGGACATACACGCACACATCACGCAGTACGGAACCCCGAAGTTGGAACTTTGACAGTGGCAAGAGCCTAAGTTACTCTCAGGTTAGAGGATGAGATCTCAAAATATAATAAGATGACGGTGCATGCCATTGAATGTGTCGGAGACGCAGCTCTCACAAGTTCTCTTACTTCTTCGTCGTCTTCGTCGTGAAATTTGTGGTTACACCCAGTGCAGCGGTTGGTGGGTGGTCGCTTGAGTGACTTCTTAGCCTCTTCTTCGGCTTTTTCCTGCATCTCGCGCATCTTGTTCATCGTTTTGTGATTGCGCCATTCTGCCTTTTGGCATTCCTCAGAGCTGAAAGGGGAGGGGGGGGGGAAGACGCGGCGTGTCAAAATTAATGATGCTAGTCTGAAAGGTTGAAAGGAACGTACCAGTAAAACGCGTATTTGCAACTAGAACAACGTAAATTTCCTTGGTTAAAGCAGTCTGAATCTTTACCTGAACTTCCACAGTCATGCGAGCCCAGTCAGAGTATTCATAGAAGGGATTCCATCGAAAGGCGTAATTCTGCATTTAAATAAATTATTCTCGGGTGTTTCCAGGCGTGATTGATCGTCCTGGGCCGATCGGCCAAAGATCACTCACCCCCACATTGTCAACGACGAGTCTGGATGTCTTCAGATGAAAGTGTCTCTCCCACACCGCAGCCATGGAAGAAGACCCGGCTTCAAGGTGCCTGTGATGCATGTCGGCAGAAGAAAGGTATGTTCAAGTACAGATCCTGATCTTCACTGACCTCTTCTCCAGTGAAATGTTTGTGTTCTTTTTTTGCGTCCTGAGTAGCACCTAAGGTGCGGTACTAGGCGACAGTGCGACGACGGAAGGAAATTCGTGTTCCAACTGTCGAATTATGAAGTGTCCGTGCACGCACAACATTCCGGCCAAGGTAGAAGGCTCCTTACCCGCCACCTCTGGTTTCGTTCTGATTTGTTCAGTAGAAGCGGGGCCCTAAAAGCAAGTAGGTATATGGAAAGGAAGCAAACAGCTAGCCACTGATATCTTTCAGCTATATTACAAGGTTGGAGAGGAAGGTGCATCATCTGGAAAAGATGATCCAACAAGTGCGTTAGTCTATTCATCGATTCCGCACCTCTCGTTAAATTTCCAGAAGAACCAGCCAGCATACGGCGGTATATCTAAGGAAGCCACAGTGGAAGATGTGCCTGAAGAAGACGACGACGACGACGAATCCGACCTCGAATATATTGAGCTTATGGGCCAAATCAAAAATCTTTCCTTGACTGGTATTGACAACCGATACTTTGGACCCTCTAGCAATCTGTACTTTATGCGGAAAGCTCTAAGCATGAAAGGAAAGCAGACAGGTATGAGTCATACTTCGGTGAAGAGCAAGTACGCGCATAATTGGGAAACCCAACCGGTTCGTTGTGAAACTCCTTCCACTTTACCACGCTGACTTTCTTGTGTAGTGGGAGCTTGTTGTTCTGAAGAAGACCCCCCTATTTTTCCCTCCAGACGATCTAATCGCAGATCTACTGAACCTGTACTTCACCTATTTCCACTTATACATGCCCCTTCTACACGAGCCTTCGTTTCGTCGCTCTGTCGCATCAGGTCTTCATCTCCGAGATCACCGTTTTGGTGCTATACTGCTGCTCGTGTGTGCAGTCGCCTCCCGTTATTCCGATGATCCGCGTATTTTCCTGGAGGGTGCTTCGGAGCATTCTTGTGGGTGGAAATGGTTCGTTCAAGTACAAGGAATGCCTCACTCTGTATTTGATGTTCCTAATCTTTACGACCTTCAACATTGCTGCGTGAGTTTTTTCTCATGCACCTTAAATCATCATCCTTAGCGTTTTTCAGCTATCAGCGGAATACGTTACAGGTACTTCGGCACCACAATCTTCCTGGACAATGATCGGTATTGGAATCCGTTACGCAATTGAGATGGGACTTCATCGCCGTTGGCCCGATAACCCGAGTATAGAGAGTGAGCTCAAGAAGCGCGCGTTTTGGTACTTGAGCTTTCGTATATCAATGCTTTTCTGGAGTCTTGACATAATCACTGGCAGGTGCTTGCTTTTACTTGATCGACATACGAGTTTCTACCATGGACGACCATCTGCAATTCGCGATGAAGAGTATGTAGCTGTATTTTCGATGCCCTGGTTCCTTTAACTTATCTCCTTAGCTTCGATCTGGATCTCCCTCTAGAAGTTGACGATAAATACATGGAGTCTTCTGAACCATTCAAGCAACCTCCTGATATCCCCTCCCGGATGGTATATTTCACATCTCACCTAAAATTATGCCAGATAATGTCATACGCTTTGAGTACACTCTACTCAATACGCAAATCCAAAGAAGCAGCCGGCCTTGTTGGTAACACTTGGGCCCAAACCAACGTCTCCGAGCTCGATTCTATGCTGAACAAGTGGTTTGACATGATACCCGATCACTGTGAGCCTGTCGATCCAATAAGGTCCTTTATTCAATTTTTTTGCAGTGCGTTGGGACCCCAATAGGTCATACGATGCTTTCTTTGATCAATCAGCATTGATATACACCGTCTACTACAATATGCAAATCCAGATCCATCGCCCATTCATACACAAGCCATCCCCACTATCTTTCCCGTCGCTCGTCATATGTACTAATGCAGCAAGAGCATGTACCCGGGTGCTTGAAGTTCAGAAACAAAAGGGTCACCTCATGACCTTCGGGTTCGGCGTAAGTCTTCTGATTCTGAAGGCAATCATACAGTCAATTTTTGTCGTAGATGGCGGCCTTTGCATGTGGCATCGTCTTGACAATGAATATGTGGATAGGAAAGAAAACTGGTTCTCGTTCACAGAAGCAGAAGGACACAGAAGAAAGTATTCAGAAATGTCTGAACGTCCTTGAGGCTTCTTCGAAGCGGTAAGCTATATTTTTCATCTATAGCCGGTGTCATAACATCGATTCATTACTTAGATGGAACATCACTGGACGTACCCTGTGAGCATATATAGTTTTCCTCTGGGTACAACTGACAGTCGTTACGTTCTAGTGACAGCCTTCTGACCCTCTCGGATTACGCACCAACCCCATTACAACAGGATCACCCTTACGGTCAGCAATTCGACATTATGGATTTCTCACTAGGCAACTCATATACGCCTTTGACTGCTGAAAACGCTCCTACTGTGACACACACGGCTATCCCTCTCTCGATACCCGAGTCGTGGTCTACTGACCCGACATCTTTTGGGCCACTGGAGGATGTCACTGCCACTTCTGGTTATGATTGCAATGTTACTCCTTCTCAAATTGACTCGATATTGGATGGAATGAACCAGGTCGCTGGCGAGGATGCCCTGGAAATGTGGTCAAACATTCCTTGGGGATTCAAGTATGTATTCCCGGTGTTTGCTCTCAGTCGCATTCGTTGACAATTTTCTAGCTGGGACGACTGGCTGTCTTACACATCTGAGATGGAAAGTGTGAGGCAGGCGTAGAGAAGAAACGGCTTATATTGGTGGAAGACTACTTTTCATACCGATATCTCAACACATCTTGGAACATGTGAACTTATGGATTATACCTGTACAGCAAGGATGGTGGAGAGATACATACGCTACATAATCGAACATAATATTGCTACAGCCAGAAAACGACGAAATGATAACTGTAAACGATCATGAAACGAAACTGACAACTGTAACCTTTAATTGGTTGACACGGGCACCATTTGGATGATTGCCTTCCTGATTGGCCTTTGGGCGCTGTCTATCGCATCTGGCAAGTACCTCTTTCGGGAGGGAATCCGCAGCGGCGCCGTCTTTCGTTGTTCTAGCAACGAACACGTTATTGGATACTCAGCGGCATCAATAACGGAGAAGCGACCGGGAGACGCAGGTATGTCAGGTGGTGGCAAAGGCCACGGAATATCACAGAAGGAAGATATGGTGGAAGTTGCATCTTCAAGGAGAGACGGACAACGGCGATAGAGCTCGGATTCCGTCTCATGGGCACTGTCAGGCACGATGAGCTTTAGGACAACATAAGGCGACGAAGCGCGAGAATGGTCTTCGGGTGTGGGGACATCCAAACTCCGAGCGGCCGAAGACCGAAGGTAGTTCAGCGTGTCTGCGGCGAAGGCTTCGTCCTGTCGGGACGGTTTGTCCCGCCATAGAAGAGGGGAAGGTGGAGGTGGCGGGGATTTGCTTTTCTTAGGCGGTGTCAAGCTCAACATATCGTCCCATCCTGAGACGAGGTCGACGTTCTGAGGTTTAGGCTGATAGTGGGACAGTGAGGTGCGACTGAGGGCGGCAGGAGTCGAAACGGCGCCCCGACTGCAGAAGTTAGTTCATCGCCAGTTATGTAACAGGGAAGTACCACATACTAAGAAGGCAATATTATATCCTGAGAAGGGACTCTCCTCGAAAGCCTGGGCGTCTTGCAAGTGAGCCACTTCCAATTTATCTCTTTCCCCATCTCGATGAACGAGATCAAAGAGATGAGCAGAGACACTGTGAAGACACCCCACCATGCAGCTTGGGCTGAGCGGCTGTCCTTCACGACGGCTATTGGGAAAACACGATGGTAAGTGTCCTGGGAAGAAGTTCTGGGCACGGCATAGGCTACTTGAGCTGCGATTATTACAATTGATGTTATCATTGTGGCAAGCGTAACCAAGGTGGTTGTGGCGAGGCGGCACCGGAAGCTAAATAATGTGAGCGAGGACCTCAACGATAGATGCTCCGTGAACTCCGAAGATGTAGAACAGTAAATGCGATGAAAGGTGAAACCTTAGCAACACTCAGTCATTTATTCAGACCACAGAAGGCTGTAGTTCTCACCTGAGGCCACGAAAGATATGACACACAATATTAATGATGGGATTATCATCATTACAAAGCTCAAGGCAGACGGGCGAATAGAGGCGAAACATCCGAAATTCTGAACGATGTCAAATCGGTGATATTGAAAGAATAAATCTACGCTGATTTCAACGTCTGCTGCAACAGACGAGAAGCAGAAGCGAAACTTACGGAGTATGACATAGAGCATGGGGACAAGAAAACATAATAGTATGTTGAATATCCGTCGTACTCTTTTTGTATACTTGTCTTCGGAGATAGCCCTGGTCGATGAAACGTCCTCGAGGTCCAGGGAAACTCTCAAAGATGCTCCTGCGAATGCTATATGCGACGCCAAAAGTATTCTTGATGCTACGTTCAACGCTGGAGTCAATTGATACCAAGATCACGGCGTAGTACTCACAAATATCACACCATACAGGTATGTGAATGTTCGTATTGTCCGCCCAAAGTATAGCATCAATTCCAAGAATGATATTGCAAAAGACGGACCAGAGAACGAGTGTAATGAGAGCCGCATTGGATTTGACAGGCCTGAAAAACACAAGGACTGCGAGAACGGCGACGAAAAAGAACGAAGCGATGGGAAGACCCACAAACATAGGGGGATACTTGTCGTCGAGAAACTATGGGGATGCAGTCATGTCCATATAAGAGAGAGATTCGGCGTCCTTAATAATCACAGCAAGAACAAGAGCAGAGTATGTCGTCCCTCTAATGGCGAAGAATATCAAAAGGAGCCGGAACAAGTGAATATCCATTTTGAAGACAAGGATGCGATGAAATGACATTCATGAAGGAAGTGTACTTGAAAGATGATGTGAATAGTCCAACCGTGTTGTCCACAAGGGTCTATCGAATAAACTAGTGCACAAAAAAGGCAATGTGAATACCTAACTCTGGAATGCGTCCATGATAGCCGAGGAGCCGTATCTCCGGATAGGGGTGTCAACTAGCTGAATAAGTTCAAGCCTGTTACTGAGCCTCGAAGATTGGAACTCAAGTCTCGTGCATATGCGGCAAAGGTGCGGGCTGGTCGGGTAGGATGAGTTGAAGGCGAAGTGAACTCCATTCACGATTCAAATATACGTGAGGGGTACCAAACTTGTAGTTAGTGCTTTATCTTAGTTCTAAACGTTCCAGTATTATATCTGCAGCTAGAACATGATGAAGTCAGTATCAGTCAATGAAGACAGGGCAAAGCTAGTTAGGCACCTAGTTCCCCTATGACATAAACAGTGGCTGGCGTAGCTATTCGTCAGAATGGGTAAAGATAAGAAGAGGTACAGGTCAAATTACCTTGTGGATGCGCGGAAAAATGAAGAGGAACGACAGACAGATCTGCAACCCGAATATTCGTGGTTCCATACACCTGTGAACCGAAACTGATTAGGGGAAGAAAGCCATAGCACCGCCTGCACTCATACCTTCAGCTCTGAGTCTACGACACCGCCTTTCTCACGAGGAAGCATCGATAGGGAGCCGGCTACATCTACGCATATTGAGCTTTAAGAGGAGTAGGTGAGATTGCTTGTTGACATACGGAACACAGTACTCAGGGCCTTTTTCAACCAAGCTCAAGAGGTCTATGTCAGAACAAAAGGAGATCGTCTGTCAATACACAAACCTATGATCTCCTCGTCAGTTTGGACTTCGGGTCCAGGAACGACCTCGGCAGCTGAAAGGGTTTCATTGAATAACAATGATACACTCATACGTCGAAGAAACACACCAAGCACATCTTTGTATGGTGCTGTATCACATATCTTGCGAATGTATTTCACCATGTCGATCAACCCTTGCAAGTCTGTGGCGATATAAGTGAAATACCATAACAAGAAGGCCGTTGTTACCGATGTCGTGCTCGAGATAGTGAGGGTCAAATATGGGGTCAACCGTAGGATCATCAGACTTGACATGAACAGTTCCTCTGGAGAAGGTGTAGTTGGATATCGGGACTATGCTGTAGTACCTTTTTCCAGGTTCAGGTGGTCCTAAAATGACAGATTTTCAGTTGTCAGACAGATTGAAACGGGCCATAGCATACGTAGGAAACTCATGTAGACCGGCATACCGAGGAACTCCCAACCAGATTCCTTCCGATCCAGTCTCTCAAGCATCAATCTATATTGGTCAACTAAGCCCGGATGGTAGTTCCTAGCTTTGATGTTCTCCTCGATAATGTGTTTCTCATCGTCAATCAACTCGGCAGCACGAGGAGAGAATGAGTGGAGGGATGCCAACGTGAGGTTAACGATACCCATCATAGATACGCCTTCGGCTTTGGTGCTGCAAAGGGTTAATGAAGTTGTTTGATGTCGTGATCAAGGACATTACAAAAGTTCGGCATGCTCCTTCGCTTGCTCCGGATCGCGTAAGAGGTCAAATGTCTCGTCAGGTACATCGTCCTTTAGTTCTTTATGAAGTATGAGTGCAGGATGTACGCGTACGTTCTGCTACATACGTACGGGATACCATGCCTGCACATATGTGATCTTGAACATTTTCACCTACTCCGTGGAGAGGCAGCTTCACCGGGATACCAATGTTTGATAGAACTTCAGGGCGACCGATGCCCGAGAGCTCTAAGATTTGCGGTGATTTGAGTGCTCTGGAGCCGTCTGATGAACGAAGGTGAGGAAGCCAAACACCAACTTGACTCACCCGGCACATAATATGACTTCTTTGTTTGCATGAGCAAACTGAAGAGCAGTCTCCTCCCTGCAAGAAAATTCGACGCCAGTTGCAGTGAGAAGAGTCGCCTCAGTCTTCGTGATCAGCCTGTGCGCATACGCCTTGGTCAAAACCAGCAAATTTGGGCGTGATAGATTTGGTTGCAAATACGCCTAGAGCATCTATAAGACCTCTACGCCTCGTACAAGATTCCTGACCCACCGTAGCAGAGTAAGTGCGGGTATGCTTTTCAGGATCGACTGTGTTCAGTGCGATGTGTGTACCACTAGGCTGATTGGAATTATTTGGACGGTAATCACGCGAGTTCCAACAATGAAAACTAACCTCTCCGCGATCCTGGCGGACATATTCGTGAGTATTATCTCGGAAGAATGAGCAAATAAATAACACACTGGTGCCGAAGCCAACGGTACACCGAGGTTAAAGAGGGTCTGATCCAATCGGAAAAGTGGTGAGCTTGTGGAGAACAGTCACGTACTTCTTGCAACTTGAGCTCTATATCAGAGACATTTTGGGGATGGGCTATCTTGAGAGGACCTATAACATGATGAGAAATTAAAGACGTCAAGTGCGATCACTGGACTGGACCTATCCCCCGTGGGCTCCGCCATGTCTTCATGGTGTTACCGTCGCGCTTAGAGACTTGAGGCGCCGAGGATTTCAGTGGCACGTAGCTATAATCAAGATCATTGCAAAGCCAGAGGATGGACTAAAAATGAGCTGACGATGCTGCCTTATCGCAATATTTCTCGTACGTTTCCCAATTCCATCCACTGTTCCCTAGCCTTTCCCAATCTAAAGAGCAGGTAATTAATATGAAACCGTGATGACGCGAACTCACCGTTAATATCCTCAGTGGGAGGCTTTGACCAGATGGCAAAGTTCGTCGCGGAAGATCCACCAAGCCCTTTACCGCTACGTGAATTATTTCATTATTTCGATACGATATACCCAAACGATATGGACTTGCCGTGGCCAAATGCATTCCTTGCCGTTTACAAACTTCTGTGGAACCTGCGTTGTGAGGACTGGATAAAAATGATGCAAGAAAGGGAGTATGCTAGATGGCGCGCACTGTTCTGAAACTCCATCCGTACTGGGGCCTACCAAACGTGTGACCGTATTGGCCAGGACGCACTACGACGATGGTTCATCAGACTTTGGATGTACTAACTGGCCTCAGCACGTACTGATAAGAGAGTCATCCAAATTGGCATCCCCAGCCTCCAAAACGAGGACGGACAGGCTGGCGTTTTCGGAGAGACGCGCCGCAAGAATCAAGCCAGCCGTCTGTTCAGTTCGTCAGAATCGCAAGGTAGGGATGAGGTACAACCTACCCCGCCACCTAAAGAACTGTCAGAGCACGCCACTAGTATATAATCAGACAAAGCTCACCGACTACGACATAATCAAAGGTTTTGCCGTCCACATCGCCAATTTCTACGAAAGGCATGATGACGATGAAGAAAAAGAACGGAACACTCAGCTGTTAGGATTGGAATTGATTCGTAGTCCCGTAGCGACTATAAGTGGAAACGTCGCCATATGTACAGCCATAACTAGCTACGTATTTCCTAGATTACATACAGCTTAGTTATTACCATAGGTACATTGGTTGTATTTAAGTAGCTGTAAGTTGGCTAATGAAACCTCGCCAGCTTCTAAACCGAACTCTCTCTGGTATACTTTGGACATTATATTTGGAGAAGAGACAGGAGAAGTGAATTCTCACATCAGCGTCAACCGAAAATTTGATATCATGATACATGTCTCATTTGCATCCCCATTGGAAAATGAACAACCATCAGTGAATATGAAAGGTAGAAAAAAATCAGTTAGGTGTAAATTCACCAAGTTCAACACCTGGGTCCTGCTCAAAAAGGTCGGGATACATATGTCGACAGTCACATGACATGGTCTGTTCTCACTGTCAGGCTTCGACTCAGTCCCGGCAGTGGCTTATCTCTGGCCTGCGGCGCATTTCAGGTCCTTCAAACTAGTCGTTCAATATACAGCAGACATTCAAACTTCCACTGCGCCAAAATTTTAAATTTAAATTTTTACCTCCGTTTGCCCCGCTTACGCGACTGTGGGGATATAATACATACAACAGGACTTTCAAGGTTCCACCGGGCCAAAAATTTCGTATTCTTATTTAAATATTTTCCTCCGTTGCCTACGCGTCTTCTGTGGGATATAATGCTATAGGGGCGACTCCCAATTAAATAACTCCAATTCTATCCATACCCGAGACATGGAACACCGTTTTGAGACCCAAATCTCCAGGTCTGTAAAAATTTTAACCCTTCTTTCGTCTGGCCTCATTTCACCAATGTCCGGTCTAGACGCTGTCTATGCCCGCTTCAAAACCGAACAACCGTGCGTCTTCTGTTATCTACTGCTTTTTGGTCGCTAACCCAATATGACATGAAGATTTATTCCATTAGAAGTTCTCAAGGGGGATTTAGAACTTGGATCTATTGTTTTTGGTTTCTTTGTGCGTTTTTCAAGCGTGAGTACGAAGAGGTCAATTAAAATCCGAACACAGATTGGCTTTCTTTTGTTCACCGTATGGGCTGGCTATCGAGAGACTATACGAGCTCGACGAGTAAGCCACCTCTTCCTATGTAGGCTGCCAGAAGCCTAACAGCTTTTAAGTTTACAGCATACGTTTTCATGATATGGCTCGAGATTGCAGCGTGAGTTCATTTTCCCACCTCCTCAAGTCTGTCTGACTGTCTGGTCTAGAAATATTACATTTGCAGTAAGTCGATACGCGCATGTCAATTATTCATTTACATAACTTAGCACATCTTCAGATCGTTTCTTGGGGATATCTGTGAGTCGCGACTAAACTTCTATTATTTCTGGTTGCCGATGAACACAGGATTAGTATCTTTCCCCCAGGGATGCCAGTCTTTCTCATTTGCTCAATTTGTTGGATTTGCCAAGTATGTGCCTATGTCCTAAGCGGTGGCCATACTGATTACGCGAGTGTCTAGGTAACCTGTCTGATGTTCATCATCGTCAATCGGATATGCATTCTATTATCAGTACCACTGGAGAGAGCAAGTCGTTTTTAAAATCATGTCACCTCGTTCTAACGTTTAATTTAGAATGTTCTAAGGGCTGCTGTCGGGACCGTCTTGTTATTGATAACTGTATCATCAGCGTGCATTTGTCAGTCAATTCGATCATGCAGTTTCCTGACGCTGATGGTGGGCCCCAGGGATTCCAGCACAGTTGCAAATTAACGCAAAATATATCAGGGTACGTTCAAAGTTGGGCCACCGCTCACTATTCTGTTCTGATATTCGTATTCAAATTCTCAGGTGAACAGTTGGTGAGCTCTTTGATGTCCACATCAATATATTCTTTCTCATATGAGACAGGTGGGATCGAGTCGAAAAAAGTTTGTATTTCTGTAAGCGCCATTACCATCCTATTGAAGCGATGTGGACTAACATGTTTAGGTCTGGACTTGGCTTTGAACGTCATTTTTGTCCGGACAGTCAAAAGGCGATTGGTTGACCGTGGTTTGAGGAAATACGATCACATCTTGCTGTTCGTTTTGCTGTCTCATGTCACTGTTCTGTAAAATCTCATGAACCTTTATGTAGCTTTAACATACGCATCATCAGCGTCTCTATTGCAATGGACGTCCTCCTAATCAGTATGACAGCTCTACGAAATCCATTCGTTTACACCCAGGTTGGTCGAGTCAAGCCTAACATCAATTTCTAACACTCATCCATTGGCCAAGTTCCACCCCGTCACATATATCATCAAGCTGAGAATTGAGATGGTTATGTCTCGTATGTCTATCAGGATTCCAATCCTCGCTAAGCGCTTACCCACATCAGGGCTCATCGTGAGAGTCGCCCAATCCACCGGCATTCAGTTATATGACAGAAACACTGAAATTTCTTCGGGAACATTCAGCACTATGCGTACCCAACCTCCTGTGTTAGTCTTTACATTTTAGCTCTTACATAAATCGTACGTACTCACGACAGAGTCATATAAAGGGCGGTCCACGTCGATACACACGTTTTTACCCATTCGGAGGCTGGGCCTGAAGTTGATGGTACGTCTGTTTTGCACCTTTTTACTGGTCCTTCACTGCCTTTGTAGATGTGGACGAGGTGCAACCAAAGCGGAGAAGGAAGTCTCTCATGTCTACCTCTTCTTTAGGACTTGATGACAAGCCCGTCATCGATGCTGGCTGCGCCAGCACTGTAGTCGAGCTGAAGTGACCACAAAATTGGATCACATCCATCACATGCTCGGTTGAGCTGTAATTATGGCTAACTGACCTTTTCATTGCTTTGATGTTACTTTTGGTGCTTAATGGTGTCCAACAATAATGTTTTTTGTTCAGTTGAGGGTCGCGGATTGCATGATCAATATAGCCACTTTTAAATACAACGAGAATTCCTACAAAAGCGTACATATTCTGTCATCCTCTCCCTTTCTACAAACCCATGTCTCGTCCCACCTGCTGTAGCACGTCACACCCCTTGTCTCCCCGTCCGCACATGTGTGGCTCTGTCTGATCAAAGTCTATGATTCGAATGTCTATGCCATCTTCATCCGAGTAGAGCACATTCCGTTCCGCAAACTAGCAGCGTACGTTGGTCAGGAATAATACAGCTGAGTCGAAAATAAGCACCAACATCGCCGTGATGTACTCCACATTGATGTATCTCTCCAAGCTTGTGTAAAATGTGCATCCTATCATTAATCAGCATACATTTTTTAAAGGAGATATGAACGTATACCTTATACCTTTCTCCAAGTGATCGAAGCGCATCGGAAGCGTACCGCCCCAATATTCTAATACGAGACACGCGATTGGCTCTCCGTCTCCATCGACGGCCATCCCATGGCTTGAATCGCACAAAAAACCCATGAAGAAGCCCCAGAAATAAGGAACGGCACGGCCCTGTACGTGCTCAAGATGAGCACTGTACATATGAGCTTCGTGCAACAGCGCTGGTATGAGGTCTTCTCGTAGGGCAAACTTTAAGGCCAGGTGGATGGGTGGCGATGATTTTGAGACCGCGACGCCATGAAATATTGGCGAATCTGAACAGTAATCATCATGAGTGGCTGCATCCACGTTCACGCTGAGGACTACAGGGCATGAAGCTGCCAAGTTTGAGACACTGCCCTTCTTAGCAGCCGCCGTCTTTGCCCGTGAACAATCGCATCTACCCAAGGCGGGTGCAAAATCTGCTTCAAATCGCGTCAAAGATAATTCTTTGATGTCCCAGCCAGGCCAGTTCTCCACAGGGAACGAGATGCGGAGCTGCTGGTGCTGTGGTGGCAATGGCATCCGTTACTGATAAAAGTAATACAATGTCCGGGGGTCAGAAATTCGGAGGTGAGCGCGGTAGGCTTGACGTGGTGAAGCGCCGAGAATGACAGCATACAGTTGTAGTTGCCGCCAAAGTCGATGTTCAGATAATAACTGCACTTTTTGGCATCCAGTTCGGATCACCGGTCCGGACGGTGCAAAAGAGAGTTGCTCGCTTGGAGACCCAAATACGCCTCAAAAAGTCAATCCGATAAATCCTTTCTATTCAAACTTCCTCAAACCTACATTTATCTCGGGGGTTTTTTTAAATTCTCTGACAGATAACGGGTTGTTTGTAGGGACAGGTAAAATCCTCCACGAATCAAATTCTTGACCCGATTCAGTCTTCCATGTCCGCACTGTTGAAGACGAGGTTCAATTCTTACTTCTACGCGGATGGTCGGGAATAAGTGGGATTACAATATCCCGTATTTCCTCACGTTTGCTTCTTATGTAACTTGGGTGTACCCCTCGCTTGAACTTCTACTATCGATTGAATTTTTCTTGGCGAGCCGCAGGTATAGCACTTCGCCAGCTTCTTGGATTCTTTCTCGGAGATAATACATCTCGTCTGACAAAATCCACACAGTCAGGGTCATGATTCAGCGCAACTCCTGGCCTTGGATATCCCATGGTTTGTTCACAAGAATTTCGGAGGGCTGTCGGAAAAATGGATGTCAAAGTCGAATCATGAGGCCTACTGTTGGAGTTAATGAGGTAGGAGCGTGGACGTGGTGAACGAGGAAAAAGTTTTCGGAAGAGAACGAACACTAGGATAAAATGTCGTAACGTTAATCTCAGCATTATGGTTGAAAGCTGTGTTATTTACCTAGGATAAAACATCGTAACATTACTATATAGGTAGTAAGTAAATATGGTCAAGGATAGATATGTATAGAAGGTACTCACATCTCAGCGTTATGGTTGAAAGCTGAGATGTGCAGAACGGTGTGACATGCCGAAAAAGGAAGGGATATCAAATAGGTAAGCGAACGTGTGCGTATCGTACTATTTCTACGTCTAACACCTACGTTATCGAAATTCCTTGAGTTCTTCGATCCTTTGATACGCTTATATATGAGCCTTGCAGTGCTTGACTATAACCGCAAATGATGTATTCTATTATCACTATCCTCGGAACGACAACAGTCTTGTTGCTGAGTTCTGTGAATGCTCTGGACAACGGAGTAGGACGCCTACCAGGTAACTCTCTACCTCAGCTCCGATTATAAAATATCCTCATGAGCCTTCTTAGTACTGGGATATAACAGTGAGCATTGCATCCCTGATGAAGACCGCAGCTTTGAACCACTGTCATGCAGCTTGGAATGCTTATCAAGTGAGATTCTTCCCAATTCATACGGTAGAAGGGAAAGCAACTCGACCTACAGTGTAACATTGATGAGGACCTCTTGCTCACGACTGCCAACCTCTTAAAATCGCTCGGTCTTCTTGTAAGTATTTAAAGAAATCATTCGGACCATTGCCTAATGCATGACGTCACTGAGGACGTTGGATATGATCAATTAAACATCGATGACTGCTATGCGGAAAAAAACCGCAGCGCTGGCGGTGACATTGTTGCGGGTAGGACTCTGTCGCCCATCCAACTTGAGCTAAACTATTCCCTCGAGCAGACGCTGCCAGATTCAAAAGTGGCATGAAGATCCTGACTGATCAGATTCACGCCCTGGGCTTGTAAGGGCTACGTCTTTGTTAATGGTATACTGTCCTCACAACTATCTAGTAAAACTGGCATCGTAAGCGGTTCTCGAATCACAGCATAATACAGCTTCCTCATTAGACATGCAAAAAAAAAAGTACAGTGATTCGGGATGGTATACCTGTGCCGGTTATCCAGGATCCTATCAAAACGAACTGAGAGACTTGACAACGTTTTCGGATTGGGGCTTCGACTATCTCAAGTAGGAGTTATGCTGTGAACTTTATTCTAGTATATCCTACTAATATGTATTCTTCTGTCTAGATATGACAACTGCGCTAGTAAGACAAGATACTCTGTTCAGGATCCGAAGACTTAATACTTTTCACCCTCAGTTCCATACGACGAGATCACGAGAGAGGGCATCGTTGGAAGTATGTATTTTCGGATTATATCGTGCCTGGGGCATTAATTCTACTATAGGATATCAACGTATGGCCGCTGCCGTGGTTCAAGTTCAGCAGTCCACTAAAAATAATCCTTTTTTACTGTCTCTCTGCGAATGGGGTTGGGTAAGCTCATCACACGGCTTAGTTACGTGCACATTGAATAGTTCTCCAACGTGTAGAGTCAAGTCTGGCTGTATGTTGAGCTGCTACGTCTTAGTACGTCTATATCATCTGACCTTCACAAAGGTGGGGAAAGCAATTCGGTCAGAGTTGGAGAGTAAGTTCATCATGTTTACGCGCAATTTTAAATACTTACAAGACAATTCGCCTTAGACTACCGGGGATATTGCCGCTGAGTGGAACTCACTTGCGAATATCATCAACGTGTAAGCTTGGCTTGACTACCTTTCTGATGCTTACGCTTGTCTAGTAATTCTTTCCTAACTCAAGCGACGGATTTCTATGGACGCAATGATCTAGATATGGTAAGAATGCGTGCGATACGACTTGGGCACATGCTAATGCCAGCGTAGCTTCAATTGTATGGGTCCGTCATGATTTTGGCGTCCTGAATGTCTGATTGGCTTGTAGAGGGAACGGAAACCTTACTTTTGATGAGTCAAAATCGCATTTTACAGCGTGGGCACTAATGAAATCGCCTCTGCTCGTACGTCAGGATCCTTGATGTCTCTGTGCAACCGTTGAAATGTCGTCTGTAGATCGGAACGAACGTGAGCTTTGCCACAATACCCTACCTTGATCCACAATTAACGTCTTGTCCAGCTTTCAGCGATCACAAGTGAGACGTTGAGCATCCTCAAGAATAAAGAAATTCTGGCAATCAATCAAGATCCAGTCGTTGGGGCTTCCATTGCGCCTTTCCGATGGGGGATCAACGTTAGTGTGTTCCGCTTCTGCGAAGAACTTCTGCCTCCACCACCTATTGCTTCCTCTAGCCCGATTGGACCAGCAACAGTAGCTTCCCAGCTCAGTACTGGAGCGGCCCTACCCAAGATGGAACCGTTTTCATGCTCGTAAGAGCCGACCTTGGTTCACTCATACTACTTGGGCTGATCGAAGTCTAGTTGAATACCCAGGATGAACCCTCTGCCCTATTTTTCAACCTGACCGAGTCCCCTTGGATTAGAGCGGGACGACAATACTCAGTCCGGGTACGCTTTTCCTCTTTCCCATCGTGGGAGCGAATTCACCGATGTGCCCAGGACCTGTGGACGCACACAGATAACGGTACCGCCGTACGTAACTTCACGGCATATGATGTTCCTGCACATGGCGTCGTGGCGCTTCTTCTGAAGGATGTGGGGGACGAACCGGATGGCATATATCCCCAATGCAGTGTGTGGTGGCAATGCATTGACAAAAACGGTACCCGGGTTGGTGGTTGACACGTCAACGACATCGGCATAAGAAAAAACGGCTCCGATGAATACAACAGGTACATATACAAGATAGGACAGCTTAAATACTGTTATAATTTGTGTTATAACTCCCTGAAATGACCGTCAATGATCGTCACGAGGGAATACGGTGGGACGTACATATCCGCGCGAGATTATCTCCGCTACCCGTTGCTAGTAAGTTACCTGTAGGATTTAAGTCTATTGATATTACTGCCAGGAGATACTTTCAATTGCCAATCATCATTGAAACGAAGATGACTCACCTGAGTTTTTGTGTCCTTGTAGCATACAGTGCATGATGGCGGTACGGGAGTCCCAGAATTGCACCCCACGATCTTTCGACCCTGATACGACCCAGTGACCGTCGTGCGAAACAGCAACGGAGAGAACGTAGTCCTGTTATCTCATGAAATCATAGGTTCGACACCCGGTGAAAAAGGATATACCTTATGTCCATTGAAATTCATGGTGCAGGGGCTAGGTTTATCACCCTCCTGCTTCCCTTTTGCCAGTCCACTAACATCCCAGTACTTCAGCGTCCTGTCGAGGCTTCCGCTTACAATGCCCTTCCCGTCCGGTGTGAATACAACGCTATAAACACTGTCACGGTGTCCACGGAGACGTTCTACCAGATTTCCAGTAGAGACATCCCATATCCTAACCACAGTGTCCAAGCTCCCGGCGGCTACCAACTGTCCGTTGGGCGAGATAGCGACAGAAGTAACACCGGCATCGTTGTTTAAAGTATCAGTATCGGTTATTGTCAGGACCTTTGAAAGCCCTCCTCCGTTCATATCCCATATCCGTGCAGTTTTGTCCCCGGACCCAGAAACTATAAGGCGCCCGTCATGTGAGAAGTCCAACGAGTAGATTTCCTGTTGGTGCCCATCAAATACATTCCGGATTCGTTTCTTTGCGATATCCCAAATCTGTGAAATAAAATGCATCGGTTTTTGATTCCTCATGTTCTGAGAAAAGAATCACCCACCCGTATTTGTTTATCTTCGGCACCCGTGGCCAGGTATTTGCCATCAGGGCTGAATCGCACACTACGTATGTACAAATCGCCGGTCTTTCCAGCGCCATCGTCAACGAGCACACTAAGAATATCCCATGATTAGGACCTAGGGAGTAAAATCGTTGAGCACAGAACTGCGTACCATGTTTTCTGTCCCGTCTTCACGTCGTAGATTTGGGCTGTTCGATTGCATCCAGTTGCTAGGTACTTGCCGTCCGCAGAGAACTGTACGCAACAGACCACCCTATCAATAATTCAGGTAAGAATCAATCAACATCCACACGCCTGTATGGAACCTACGTAGCATGTATCAAGGTGTGGACTAGGCTGATATCCAACGTTCTCTCGATCTTCGGATTAAACACTGCAAACCAATCGCTTGCCTCTTTTTTGAGTTCGGGTGGAATGGCATGCATATCCAAGTCAAGGAAGCTGGGCGCTTGGTCGGACATGGGAGGTAAGGCGCCTGAGGTTGAGCCCGAGGTTGGAAACGGTGGTGGTGGCTGAAGGCTGGCCTGTGACGGTGGGGAAGATGCTCTTAGCCCAGTTCCTGGACCCATCGCTACCAATCCCGGCAAACTCTTCGGAGTCTGCCCTGGAATGGGAGGCATTTGAGGACTGAAGTGGTCTGAACACAATATTCAAGTCAAATTGGGCGGTTAAGATCGAGGGACGGAGGAATACCTGTACGTTCGCCTTTCATACGGTCTGTTTTGGGACGTTTGGGATCTCGCTGATCCAGAGTACGTTCGCGGTCTCTGTCACGTTCTCGGTCTCTGTTTTCTCTGTCTCTGTCTCTGTCTCTGTCTCTTTCCCGATCACGGTCGAGCATCCTCTCACGATCACGAAGGTCACGGTCGCGTCCGTAAAACGCGTCACCACCATACGACGAAGGAAGAGGTCCAGATATCAAAAGATTTTCTCGAAGACCAGAGGTAGAAGATCCGGCTGCTCCAATAGAACCAGGCCCGACAACTGGATGGGGTGGAGGTCCTCCTGTAACTGGAATATTCTGCCGCAATGCATGGAGCTCGGCGCGCACACGGGTCAGTTCCTCTTCGTATTGAGACCGGACTTTCGTATGTTGTGTCTCCAGGTCGTAAAGAGATTGCCGGATAATATTAAGCTCGTTAACTTGAGATGACACTAGAATGAATCGTCAAAAAGGGGTGCCACTATCAACGGCAGATGGATCAACGCACTTTTTGTCTCATACTCATCCCTCTGCTGTCGCATAACGTTCAGATCGGATACAAGGTTGTCGAACTCTTGTTTTATGAGATCGAAGGATTCATTAATCTGGCCGTGAGTCCCATGCGGCTGACTGGGGCCAGATGTCGGTGGTCCCGAAGGTTGGAGGCTCCGATGCTATTAAAGAAATAATCAACACTTCAATCAAACAGCATTAAATTCGATGTAATGCGCATCTACTTGGAGGATCTCTCGGAGACAGAGACCCAAAAATTTCCGACAGCAAGGACACGCACATTGTAGATGGTTCCCGAGGACATGATTATCGCACAGTGCCGTTGAAATGGCTGAGTTCCGGAAAGAAGAGCGTCGACCGAGAAAAGAGGAGGTGGTGGGCGGGAAGGAAGGAAAGAAGATGGGTGTTGATGGCATTGCACCGATTTTATAATCGTGCTGAAGGGAATTCCACCTTCTCACGACTTGCCGCCGGTAAGACTCTTTTGGAAAAAATGTCGCCCCTGGTCGCACATGGCAATTCGATCGTGTAAGCTGAGTCCGGAAAATCCATTTATTCATCCTTCATTTTTCTTGATTGAGGAGCGCTCAGTGTAGGTGGTTATTCTTCAAGACGCCGGATTCGCACTCCTCTGTATAATGCCGTCCATCCATCATCGCCGTCTGATAAGCCCGATCTTGGACCTGAACCCCTCCGGATCTGAAATGATGCAGTAGTAGCTAGTATGATGCTGCAGCAAGGATAATAGGCCGTACAGATGTCAGAAGCGGTTAACCTCACAATGTAACTGAGGGTCCATGATCCAAGCACCAATACTACTGATCCAATAGAAAGTACGCGGACTCGGAGTCCCCGATTTGCCGCGAGGTTGATATAAGTGGAAAAATCTATTTGCTTATAACTGGTTCAGATTTTTGGGCGGAACCGACTGCATAGCGTAAACCAAGATGTAAAATCCGACATCCAGTCGTGCTGAAATACTACTATTTTATGTATGTTAGGTACTATGTGAAGGGAGCTGTAACTGATAGATACATACAGTAGATCTAGTTTCACTTCGTAAGGGTAACCCATCCCACCAAGGTACCAACAAGAATACAGGAACCCCAGGTTCGCCACTTCGAACCCCCAGGCTCCCTGGAATTTGAGGGGGTCGGAGACTGCCGTCGAGGTATCGGCTTTTCCTGGTCCGAGTTGCTTTCCCTTGAAATAGACGCTGATTCTGTGTCATCTGGCCGGCCATGCACTACGTGCCTTGACGAGACCTCTACATTTGCCACGCCCCCAAAGAAGTCGGTTATCAGAGTTTTATTCAAATGCCGGTGGAAAAGGTCATCTCGGACTCCAGGGTGCGACATGATTGCTTTCACATCGTATGAATCGAACTGCAACAGTCAGCTTCGCAAGCTACCAAAAAAGTGCGAGGAATTACCAAGTCAGCCATAGTCTTGCGACTAGTCTTATTGATTCCTTCCATGAATTCAAGGACGTGATGGGTGTAACTGTCAATGGTAGATACGCCGAGATCGTTGTCGTTTTTATACTATGTAACGCCGTTAAACCGACAAGAATTGGAAAAGCCACTGGACGCACCGAATATGAATTCTCTCCAATTTGCGACGAACCCGTAGCGAAGATATAAGGAGAGTACAGTTTGGAATACATGCTGGTGGCTTGGCAAGTATCAATCATGAAGAAGATCTCATTATATCTGTGCCGAAGTCAGTGTCGCTTGCAGTTATATGCAGAACGGTGATATCACCTTTTCTTCTGATACATTTGTTCGAAAGCGTCTGCAATATCGTGTGCACTGATTTCTTCACTATCTTGAAATTTGAGAAATTCGTTGCCCCCGTGGCCAGTCATGTAAACGAAGATGTTTGAGCGGTCGTCCGTTAATAGACGCTTAGACCGGGGAACAGAAGGTTCCATTCTGCCTGGGACAGTGAGTGAGATGAGCTCATGCGAAGGGCACAAGGTATTACCGGTCAAAACCCGAATGAAGTTCTCCACCGTTACTTCGTAACCTCTATAATCCACCTCGATGTTGTCCCCATATAGGTCAAGATCCCGCCCGGGGTTTGCGAAGACATTGGCAGGAAACTTATTCCTTGAGTTACACGCAGCGTCGTCAGCCAACATAAGGATGATATTTGAGTCCGGTATTCCCAGTCGTTTCACAGTGCGGTACCTGTGTTAAATTATCAGCAATGATTGCAATAGCTAACCTCAGTTCAGCATACATTCCGAGAGCATTAGCCATATGCTGCGGGTGCATTCGTTAATCCGCCTTAGTGGTCACAGAACGACTGCACACACACGATAATTGAACCAATACTTCGACGCACATACTAGGACTGCCCAGTTATTGGTATGTGTCAAACCAGTGGGCGTACTGTCCCCATTACTGGCAAAGAAATCAAGAATAATGTCCTCCTTCGAGCCAAATGCAGTCCAAGAGAAGCTGGAAAGAAACAAGAATAGGTGAAAGATGACGGACGAAAGCAACATGGGATCAGGGGACTGGCTATTTTGGGCAATTTGGTACAAATTTCCATAGAGCCTCTGTGTATTGTCGGAGTTTGAAACACCTCTGACCTCTGAACTCCCAAAAATGCATGGTAAGGTAAACTTATACCTGAATGTTGAGAATATACTCATCAAGCCAAGGTCTTGTTGCATACGACGATGACTCCCAGAGTGACTCGGAAGACAAAATTATGTCTACAGTGAATAAACATGTGAGATTCTTTGTCGTCGCCCTTCTCCATATCCGTTTCCCTCTTTGCTGGCTACCGTTTCTGTCTTGGTCAGGATGTATCACTGAAGACAAACGTTAACAATTCAGACCGTAAGTGTTCTCTGAACTGTACGTGATTTTCATTGACCAGGAGACACAGCGCGGAAAGTTACCAAGTCACAAATAATCATCAAACGTCCGGTAACGCAGCGCAAGAGCCATCCTAGAGCCCACGTATCAGGAGACATCAATGAATCGCCCACGATGACAGCCGTATCTGGACCATCAAGCAGCGCCAGCCAAGAGGCGTCTTCATCTCAGGCTCTCCATGATCCTGAAAATGACTTATCTTTGGTTCGACGCATCCTTCGGCTACCGCCACTGACGGGATTGGATGATTGGGGTATACCGCCCGATCCGACGGGTCCCTGTGATGCAGTCATAGAGGCATGTTGTTTTCTTTGTATTGATCAGCGGGCGTATTGACGTGTATTGCAGACAAAACTGGCACAGTTCCATGCGCTGAAAGACAATAGTAGCAACCCCAAGCACTTCAATGACTCACTCATGTCCAATCGTTCCTTTCGTAATCCTCATCTATACGCTAAACTCGTCGAGTTCGTGGATGTTGATGAGCGAATAACGAATTTTCCGAAAGAGGTCTGGGATCCTAATGATCTAGATGAGGAGTGGTTTGCTGATCGAATCGGTGCGTTTGCCTTCGAATGTATTGTCCAGGCAACTCTGTTCACAATGCTTCATTCTCTTCGCGCCCTTGTATCTGCCGTTGTTCAAATAATTTCTCGTACGTTTATTCTGCGAATCTACTTCTGGTGTCCGAAGCGGAGAAGCAGAAAGCTCGTTCGGAGCAACAGTCGGCGGCTCAGTCGTCGTCGAAGCGCTCGCAGGTTGATTTCATCAGTTCAAGTAAGACTAAGGTGAAGGAACCACCGCAGCTTCCTAGATACAATCCGTACAGTAGTCATGGTCAGAGCAGTAAAAAGAAGAGTCGATGGGGATGATGAGGCTGTCATTGATATTCATTTAATCTCGATAAATTTCTGTTGTCTTTAAGCAGATACCGGCGATTATCCTACATACCGGATTGGTGGTGAATATTGAATTTCCGTGATGCGACAAACAAGCACAAAAAATTTACGCCTAATTCGTGCGAATCAATGTATGTGCAGCTCGTCGTGCGAGACGGAGGCTTGGGTAAGAACATATCGTTATTGGCGAACAGCATTCATTGTAGGGCGGCGATAACTCTGTTTTTTGCCGTGTTTCATACTGAACTTCACCGGAGTCCGGGATGGCCCGGCTCATCGCCATCAGTGACAATCTCTGTGCGGAATCTTTTTTTATTTTATTATTCAAGCTTCTATACACAAACCGAGAATTACGAGACGGCGCCGAATCTGGAAGATACATGCAGTTGACAACGTTACTTGACATGGGCCTGGCCACGAAGACATTGAAGACATTCGCTCACAATGAACCGAATACCGCTTCAGCATGATTGAATGTAGGGTCGCAAGGCTCCACGTCTGAAAGGGGTCTTTGTAAGATCCCAGGGATCATCATTGTTCCATTTCAGCTTTCAAGTTCTTGCCCAATTAAAGATCCCTTGAATTTGTTGCGCCGAAGTGCCTGGGAGATCTGATTCAAGCTCAGAATAGGTCCAAATAAGGCTACCGGCGGCACATACTCGTGGAAATGTTCTACTATTTCTGGATGCTCGAATGTCCGGTACGACTTATAAGGAATCTGATCAACCAGAAATCCCCACTTTTCGTCGTCACCGCCACCAGTGCTCGTCGTTAACGACGCCATCCAGCACATATTCCAGTCACATCCGTTGTTGAAATTGAAGGAAAAAGGTCATAGGCGTATGTCGTCCACGATTTACAATGTATGTCTCTTTTTTGCCTAGGCTAGGAAACAGCGAATCACCAACGGGCACGGCGGCGGGCTCGCCATCATCGTGATCTCCGTCAACAAGGTGGACTTCTTCATACGGCGCGTTCTTAAGAGCGTGGACATGCTCTGCAACTCAATCTCCCGGTGTCTCGCCGGACACGTGTGGTCCTGCCCTTCCTATTTCCCAGCCGGCTGTTTGTTTCTGTCTCTTTTTTCTAATGACTCTCCCCATGTTGCAGCACCGAAGTCTCCAGCCCTCAGGCCCTTCAGCTCCTGGCCCTAGCCAGCCGATCAATCCCAATCGTTTGAATGAATCCTTTGAAATCATCAGGCAGGAATTCGATCTGTTGGCGTCGGACCTAGGCGTCGCACGCACTCAGAGAGACGAGTTTGAGAATAAAGGTGCGTTTTCTTTTGTTCTATCCGCTCCCCGTGATGGATGGATACGCTGGGTGCTCTCTTACTGTGAAGCTCGATTGGAACAAGAAGTTCATGTACGTTGCTGCACATACTCTCAACTTTCATGCCCTCTTTCAGTAGAGTATGAGGGATGGCTGCTTGTGCCTCAGTGAACAGCCTGAATCTTGCGTCGTCATTTCTATGCTCTGCATACGGAGTGGCTGTTTGTATGATCGGGCACCGAGTTCATTTTCTATTATTGTGCGTCTTCGAAAATCTGTTTACCAAATCGTCGGGCTCATGGTTTTGCCTAGTTAACCTCAGATCTCTTTATTCACAACATCTATCTATTTCTTTATCTGTACGTCACCGCTTTCAAGCCTCCGCAATGTCAGTATTGATGGGAATCCAAGGTCAACCTGTGCTCTGCTATGGGTGCATGTGTGAATATCCTCCGGCCATCGCCCGTGGTTCCATGCAGGTTTCGGCTTCCTCGTCACCGTGCCGTTTGCCGCCCCAAGAGTCAGCATATGGGTGTTGGCAGACTCTCCACCGACGCCGTCCATCACGGGGTTCCAGTTATTCCATAGTTAACTGACGCTTCTTTTCACAGTGTCAGGACAAGTCAATGAGCTCAACATCATTCGGCAGTCGCTGTACGATCTCGAAGCCCAACACGGCAAAATTCGCAAACAATACGAAGAGGAACTTTCTCGAACCCGCGCCGAACTTCATGCATTGCGCCAAAACCTCCCTCCACACGCGACGACACCTCATCCTCAGGTAGCGTCGGTTCCCGGTCCTGCCACCATAGGTCCTGGCCGCCCTTTCGACCCTTTCTTCAACCGTCCTCGAGATAGCAGGGAAGGCCTATCCGACCCTCTCGATCGCGAAAGGGAGCGCGAACGAGATCGGTTGATGGAGCAGCGGGATGCGAAACGTCTGAAAGCTGACCGAATGAAGCCAGAACGTGGAGGTATATCATTACCGCACCTCACGGTCCCAAAGTCTAATTTCTTGGCACCTATAGACATGTATAGCCCTTCGCTTCCCAATATGCCAAAATTACCTCCACCGGGCCAAACTATGTCTGGTCCAGGAATTCCGTCTATGCCAACTCAGGGATTACGTCCCCCGTCAGCCGCCGCGTCACCTATGGTACTTGATCCACCGAATGTTTCGTCTGGATCCCTTCTGCCCACCAATACCAGCGGTACGGGGAGTTTTCTTGACGATATTGACCCACAAAATGTGCCTCAAGAGTTGAAGAAGGAGGGTAGTGACTGGTTTGCGCTTTTCAACCCCAAAGTGAAAAGAGTTTTAGACGTCAATCTGGTGCATACTCTGATGCATGAGAGGTACGTCTAATCTGACTCCCTGGAGCCCGAATCTCGCTGTGATCGCCGTGTCGCTGATTTTCCTTCTTAAGCGTGGTGTGTTGTGTGCGCTTCTCGGCTGATGGCAAATATCTCGCGACCGGTTGTAATCGAACTGCCCAAATCTATGACACGAAGACCGGAGTAAAAACCTGGTACGTGTTATCTTCGTTCTTCTAACGTTATCTCACGTGTACTGTCAGCGTGCTCCTTGACGAAACCGTTGGCAAAGCGGGAGATCTTTATATCCGTAGCGTCTGCTTCAGTCCTGATGGGAAGTACTTGGCTACGGGTGCTGAAGATAAACAGATTCGAGTATGTCTCTGCCACCCCTCCGCATCTTTTCCATGGTATCAACTTTTCATAGATCTGGGATATTGCTAAAAAGCGAATTCGCAACGTCTTCGATGGTCATCAACAAGAAATCTACTCGCTTGACTTTTCTCAAGATGGCCGACTGATCGTCTCAGGTTCGGGTGACAAAACTGCGCGAATTTGGGACATGACGGATGGCACGTCTAAGGTCCTTACCATCAATGACCCTGATTCGTTGAATAACGATGCGGGCGTGACGTCTGTAGCGATATCGCCAAGTGGTCAATTTGTTGCTGCAGGGAGCCTGGACACAGTAGTGCGGATATGGGATGTGGCCACGGGAACGTTGTTAGAGAGGTTGAGAGGTCATCGGGATAGCGTGTATAGTGTGGCGTTTACTCCTGACGGCAAGGGCTTGGTTAGCGGAAGTTTGGACAAGACGCTGAAGTACTGGGATGTCAGTGGCCTGAGTGCTTCTGGAGTCAAATCGAGGAAGGAAGGCGCGAACGGCGGTTCTGTAAATGGACCCGGTGTACTGGTGAGGAAGGAGAGCGATAAGGCGGGCAGCCAGTGCACGATGAACTTCACGGGACACAAGGTCTGTTACTTGCATAGATATTTCTATGATGTACTGACGTTTGGGCTCAGGATTATGTTCTTTCCGTGGCTGTTTCGCACGATGGTCAATGGGTCGTTTCGGGATCCAAAGATAGAGGGGTGCAATTTTGGAATGCCCAGACGGCTTTAGTGCAGTGTATGCTCCAAGGACACAAGAATTCTGGTAAGTTAAAGGGACATAAATTGCTCTCAGGTGCTCATTATTTTGTTTTAGTCATCTCGATAGATTTGAGTCCATCGGGAAGTGTTCTTGCAACTGGAAGTGGAGATTGGCAGGCTCGGATATGTGAATTCGGTTTCTCATTACCATTCGAGTTACTGACAAATATTCTAGGGAGTTATACCACTAATTAATATCGACATCACGTTTTCTCGCTATCGCTTATCTGCTGTATATTCTCTTCCTGCATGTCCATGTATGATGTACGACCTTTTACTTACCTTCTTGGTTTACCCACCGAGATAATTATCCCTTCCGCTTTCTTGTGATGATTTTCTATGGGGTAAAGAAAGGGAGTTGGCCTGTATTGGTAGAATGCGTCAAGATTTGTGAAATAATGTTTACAATAGAAGAAATCTTTGATACCTGTTTTTGGCCCCGGCCAGATAGGGACCTATAGGCATAAACAACTAACCATCATGCGACTGCCGGTCTTGGCAACAACCTGTCATCCTTGACCTGGTCGTGATATCGTTTATCTGCTTTGTGTATCGCTGCGATATTCGTTTTCAATCTTCAGTGGGATTGGACGATACTCATCAGGAAGAAGGGCCAAGCTTAGCGTCAGATAAGCGTGTTCCCTTGTACTCGTGACTTAAACGAGTTGAATTCATTTTCGCCCACACTATGATAACAAACGTGACTGATAATTCTAAAATCATGTCTGGAACGAGGCCTCCAGCTGGCAGATGATTCATCCATTACCTGCTCCCTCACTGCCATGCCGGTCAAGGTCGAAGGTCACACTACTGTACTATCCCCGGACGGAGCTAGGTGGGCAGTTGAAGCGCAAGACCTGCAGCGCTTTACGGCGCGGGGCTCGGACGGGAATACTCACGGAAGGACCGATTACGAACAACCTGTCAAGAAAACCTTCAGTCGGCACTTGTTGGACTTGAAACATGGAAATATTGGGCCGCACCCGCACCAGATTCCCCCGTGGCCTTCATTGATGGTTCTTCCCCAGTTGGCCCCCTTCCACTGTGATGATCCCCTCGGTTCCGTACAGGCGAATACTGCAGAAGCGTGTCCTCAGCTTCTTATCGAATCTCAGGAGGCAGCGTCAAATTGGAATCGGCATGATGGAGGTGACCAGGTATGAAACCCATGTAGTCTTTGCCAACTTTTGGTATGGCTAAAGCATGCGAGGCAGTTGTTTGGTCCCGCTGTGCAGTTTGCTCAGCAGCCAGAGATTGTCAAGCTAGAAGAACACGTTCCGCCTGAATTGCTTCCCGAGCTTCTCTTAGTGGGGGACCCCGATGGGAAGACTGTCTTCTTACCGGAATATTCTTCTTCATCAAATATGAAGGTATACAAGCGAATCTTTCCCCGCCTTGGAGAGAACGCTATACACACCGATATTCATGGCACAATACACGCCACTCGGAAGCCACGGACTGCATATCTGGATCTCTCCTCTGCTAAAGACCTCGGGGCAGGTGCTGGGAGCCATTCCAAGGTTCTGCTCGGCAAACTTCGTCTACCTGAGCCTTTAGTAGCTCGATCATCGACTGGCCAATTCGAGGTAGCTGTCAAGCTGGCACGGTCCGATCACGAGTCACATAGCATGCTCCGAACTGAAGCTAAGCTCTATGATACATCTATCCCCCAATATCTTACTGGGGATTGGAGCGGGTTTCATTTCCTCGAGGATGCTGTCTATGACGGTGATGGTATAGTACCTGTGGCTGCTGTGGTCCCCAAGTTCTATGGGTTCTACATATCGGTGCATCGAGATTACACGGGGCTGTTGAGTCCTATCCTTCTCATGGAAGAGTGCGGAATACCTATTAATGTGAAACGATTGACGCCTAAAGACAGGTATGCGTGTTTAGTCGGTTATCAGATTAATAGATGCTTTATGATATGTTGCCATCCTTAGAGAACTCATATACTCGTTTGCAATCCGCATTCATCGATGTGGCGTATCTCAAGGCTCATTCTTCGATCGGAACGTGCTCGTACAGCCAGGGCCGTTAAGTGTCCCTCCGTCGCTGCGATCACCTTCTACTCCCAGCTTTCGGGTCATTGACTTTGGCAGGGGGGAGAGGCATGTGGACTTCTCGGAGAGGGAATGGAAGGCGATCTGTGAAGACGAGATGGTTGATGTCAAGGAAGCCATATACGGGGAATTAAAACGGATCACCAAAGACGTGCGTGGTGATGGCTCCGGAAAAAAGATTACCTTTGCACGAAAATACTGGTCTACGCACAAACCGATGTATGCTTAGCGCTTGGGCTTGTATGCCCAACCTCGGCGATTTAGCCATGCGCCACGTCGGTATCAGGGCGCAGGCCACCTTTTTTGGCGATAGCTCCCACGAAGAGAGAGCGCTTTTGTTTCTTTTTCCGGTCTTCTCTTGTCTGCTGGTGCCTTGTGGTCCTGAGATCGTCGACCCTCAGGCGCAAATACTTCACTACTAATCATTGTCAGACCCCTCTCCTCTTGTTCTTATGCTTGCTACCTTGATCAGCAAGTAATTGGTTCTCTTCAATGTACTGTCTTTCTGGCCCTGCATGGCAGTGTCATATGTGCGGCCACACTTGTGTTGCTTGGTGTGGCGCTGGCTCGCCGGGACATGATCCAATAATTGCCATAGTGATCCGTGTCTCATGTAGGCGCGTAACAGCTCCAAAAAGAAAACAAGCGTATAGAGGCGGTAGAGATATCATGGCTGTGATTGTCCCCAAGTGCTGTTGTTTTATTTTTTGTTTTTGTGGACAATGGTCGCGGAAGCATCATGCTACATAAAAAGATTCGAGCTGGAGAGCATCCTACAACTTGCTATACTCAATTTATCCCCATGGCTTCCTACCCTCTGCAACGGCCCCAGTATGTGCGCACTCAATGATTACCAATTTTTTTCTGAGTGCTTTGACAGCAACGATGACCAGAGTCATCATCATCATCATCATCGGTCCCGGTATGTTATATCTTCCTCTCTCCAAGACCGGACTTTCATCCTTGGACAGCATCCCTGTCAGACGAAGGAATCCGGACCATCGGCATGTCAGGTTTAGCAGCGCCCCTAATATACAATGTGTTGACGAACTCGTTCAGCCTCCGCCGCCGCCTTACTCTGTGAGAGTAGTGTTTCCTCATGACCCGCGAAGCTCCCAGCGAAAGCGGAGCAAGCATCCACCTGTCCATCAAAGCCAAGGTCCTAATGCTAATGGAAGTTTTAACCGACCGGCGCCAATTGTACATCCTCCCAGACCACGCAGGCGGTTGACAAAACCTCCACCAGACACCTTCGTACAACTGCCGAGCACTGGTCCTCGACAGTCCCGTCCCAGTGACTGGAGAGCAGACTATCGACCTCGTCGACCCTGCGGCCAGGGCGGGTGTTGTTTGTCGTCATGTTTTTCACTCCTATGCTGTGAGCGACTTGCTGCCCCCTTCAAGGACCTAACTGAAATAAATTAGCCTGCTTCCGTCCACGAAGCGTCACGCTTCATCCTATACTGTCTTGTGCTGTGCGTTCAATGTGCTACGACCTCCGGCAGAGCTATCATTCGATAATACTCTGGGGAAACCGCGTCCTAGATATAAATATCCTACATCAGCTAGCCGTTGACCCCTCGGTGAGCAAGATGCGCATTTTCCATCCTCTCCTTCCCTGGGAAATCACAGTCCGGGGGCACCGCGGACATGGTATCAGGATCATCGATGTCTTGCAACAGATTGAAAGTGCTTTGCATACTAATGTTCGGCGCCGTGATATCGACAACGTGGAGATCACTTCTGACCACAGAGCAAGAATCAATCTGGCCTTCGGGAGGCGAGTAAGTGGGCAGGCCGTCCAAAGAGTTGATTTCCTGGAGCATGAGTGTATGTTCACGGGGCTACAGAAGGTCGCCGGTAGGTCATGGCGTATGGAGACGTCGCGCTTCTGACAACTGAGATTTCGCGCCTATACTACACATGATGCTATACTTATCGTTGTTGTTTTGGGCATTTTATGATTGTCACGTTAAATAATGTTAGGATCACTTAACGACCAACTTTCGCCTTTCTTGTAAGCTGTGACTCTAGACGAAGGGGTGTACATACGTCCAAGTTACCCATGCACTTGAGAATTCTCTTATTTTGTTTTGTTATGGCTTCATTCATGGATTGAATCGATAGTCGTGAGGATAAAGTACGTTTCCTCCTCACTTCAACCTCTATAGCAGTAATGATGTGTCAGCACGGGTGCCTCAAGACTCTGGAGTGGTCGGCCCATGCCAGTAGGTTAAATGATACTTTCTCCGATACGCAGTGCCAGAGAGGGCATCATGACTCATGAAGGATACCTTCAAGTGACTTTAAGCGAGATTGTGACTTGGAAAAGAAAGGCGTCCATGCTAACTCGCTTAGTCCAGGATATATTTATACTGAGTCCTTGAATTGCTTACGCTGGCACCCAATCAGTGTCAGGTTAACTCACGTATTTTTGACCCTCAGCCTCATCTTCCGAGTGAGTATCAATCGCTGGTCACCTATACGGACTTTGTGCTGTCGTTCCTCTGGTGATCCAGCGGGTAGGTATCGAATTTATAAATTTACTCCCTTGCTGATCGTGGCACAATAGTAAAATTGAGGTCAAAGAGTCTGGTAAGCAAGCACATGTATCAGCAGAGTAGAAGAAATTCAATTGTACATATTATACAATACATAGGTATACGTCCCAACCATGGCGTATAATCCTGTTGTATAATCCCAGCGTCATGCTTCACTGCGAATCCTGGCTATAACGGCCGCCACGACTCCCTGCACGTCATTAACCTGAACATGCGCATCGATGATTTCGCTGACATCTATGTCCAAGTCTTCTATGCCGCCGACTTGTACGGCTGCTAGCTGCCGAGTGCCAGGAACGAAGATGAAGGCTATCGATATGTATCGAGGATCAGATTGTGATATATCCACTTTGTAAATGAGCCGCATTTCATTGTCAGAGACGTTGTCCAATTGTGTGAGGTTGATAATGGAGCGGTGGAGGGTCAGGGATGCCGTGAACCTACTAGAAGATAAGGCGGGTGGTATTGTGTCGGTAATAAGATACTGACCAGTCATATAAGGGCAGCCATTTTCCATCGTCCACATCCACCTTCACACTTTTTTCAACTTCAGCCCTTTGCATTCTCAGATTTTCAACTTCTAACGCTCCTCCCTTGACTTTACCCTTCACCTCCTTGACATTGTTTGTCACTTCTTCTATTTCATCGGTAAGCTCCTGCATTTCGACAATTTGGGTAGCTAGCTTCTGGTCCGCTGATTGGACCGTCAGTCGTGGTTGAGGATATGTTTGGCGTAACCTCGTCAGAGCGAGACGTGCATCTATAATCCTTTTTGATAAGTCCACGGCCTGTGATGAAGCTTCCTTGACGCGATTGAAATCTGGTGACCTGTTAATATCCGAACGGCAAGAAGAAAATCAGATGCACCCGTTTCGACCGATGGCGCCAACACCCTGATTTCTTGTTGCACCTCAGCCAGTCTCTTTTTAGCACTTTTTAGCTTCTCTTTCCTTTGATCATTAAGAACCTTCATATTCCTATTGTCTTCTGCCGTGACGATAGGCGCGTCGTCGATATTACTGACAATTGACTTGACATATTTGTCTTTGGCGTTCTGTTCCAAGTATTGAAATTTCAACTTCCGAAAAAAGGCCTAGCTCGCAGAGTGAGAAAAAGAGTTGCAATGGATTGGCACAGGACTTACAATTTGGGCAGCGACGTCCGAAGCAATGATGCTCGGGTCCTTCACTTCTACATCTTCTGCATCCGCTGCCGCCTGAGTAAACGTCTGCGAGTGATGAGCAATTCGAACTCTGGATTTCTCGAAAAGGTCCTGGAAGGCTTGGGCTTTGGCCAGTGTCTGCTCTCGATCCATCGGTTCAAGTCGAAGTTGTCACATGCGTGACTAAACGCGATGTGTCTCTAAATCGGGAACACGGCACCGAAATGTCACATGATTAGCACGTTATAAACGCGTGTCATTATGACACACTGTTGTCTCAACATTGCCTTGCGACATAAAACGGACTGTTGCCCACGTGTCGTTTCTCTCTCGTCTCCCACCATGGCCCCTATCAAATCCGAAAAAGTGGCAAAATACACTTACGCTGAGCGTCCGTTTTTAATCACTGTTATCATTGTCTCTTCTGCTTATCATCTTCTGCAGGTGTCCTTAATTCTATGACGCAGCTGCAGAGGGAGCACAAGAAGCAATCTATCAATTTGATATCACTCAGAGCGCATAGTAAGAGTTCTTTTTTTCTCTATGAAGCCTATATTTACTAGTTCCCTCAGTCAAGAAAATCGCAGAAAAGAAGAGAGACAGACTCGGACCGAACTGGTCGAACTGGGTAGGGAGGGCGGTTGCGAAATTGGTGCGTCGCTATCTTTCTTTCTTCTCACTCTGCTCACTTCGCAATAGGAGGATGACGGTGTCTTGACTGCGTCCGCGCCAGGATGCGTCATGCTTACACCAAGCGGAAAAAAGGCGTAAGTGCTCCAGTATTTTCAATCAGGTTCTTATAAGCCATCATTGTTTCCCAGAATCACTGCCGCACGCAGAAGCATTCTTTCAACAGTCCCACCTGGGACGTTTGGATCTCCCGCCCAGGAAGATCTCGTTACCAAGCTTGCCATCAAAGATCGGGGTACAAAGCGCCCTTTGAGAAGATCTTTAGCTGCCTCTGACGCCAACAGTGTTACTTCACCAAGTACAGCGCGAGTTAAGCGTATGCGTATGTCTATAGGAGAAATAACGCCTATATCTAAGATGACAAAGGCACAGGTGAGTCGTGTCAGCCACAACATAAGAGCTCCGCTCACCCACCTTCACACTTGCAGCTCAAGGTGGAATTGGCTTCTGTGAAGAAAGCTTATGAACTCGCTCTTCTTCGCGCTACCTCGCCACTTACTGATCTTAGTGATGAGGATGGTCGTGCCATCGAATCTGAGCGTTTTCATGAAGAGCTGAAGATGCGCGAACAAGAAATAGCTGTCATTCGTGCAGAGCTCGAGGACGCCCGTCGTCAGGCTGAGTCTGATGGAACTCAAATCCAAATGGCAAATCGCACTGAGTTGTCTACGCCCATGACTCCGTACCACGCGGAGCGGCTCCATGGAATGCATCCGGGAGGTGTTACCCGCACACAGTCGGGCACAATTATACCTGATGTCAGCAGGCACCCCACCCCGCCTAGCTCTCCACCAAGTATGGAGTACGGCAACATGGGGGATAATGATTTAGATATCCCCGATGTATTTTCCTTGTCCTTGATGTCTCGTACTAGATGCGAGAACGAAGAGAATGACCGAGGCAGTTGTGGGGACATTCTGAATGATGTGGAGCCCATGTCAATACTGAATGACAAGGCATGTCATTGATGTTACTGCATTCTTTTCTGACCTTTTCTAGGTCACTGCTCTTCAACATGATCTTGATATACGCTCGGAGGATCTCCGAAATACCACTAACATCCTCAATGAAAACCATACCGTCCTTGAAGAGCTACGAATTGACAATGCTACATTAGCAAAGCAAAATGATGATATTGCTCATCAACTATCTGACTTCAAGGACATGGCACAGAATGAAGCCCAGAAAAATGCTGCCCTCATCATCAGTCTTAAACATTCAATTCAAGAATTGCATTCTGATAACTCATTGCTAAAAGATTTCAAGGTTCGACTTGTCTCCACAAATACCACTCTCCTAGAACAAGTCAAAGAATTGGAGCCAATGAAGGAGGCCCTGATGAAGCTGATGCAGGAAAGGGACCAACTACAGAAAGAAAAGGATGAAGGCAAATCTGCCCTTGAAAGCTTGCATTATGGTCTGAAATATGCCCAAGAAGAGACAGCCACAGCGAAAGCTGAGGTTGGGGCTTTGTCACTCGAAAAGGTGGCCCTATTGATGGAGACCAACAATTACAAGGCTGAAATAGAGAAGGAACTTAGTGACCAGAGAGCAGAGTCAGCCCAAAGCCTCAAAGAAAATACCAGAATCCAAAAAGAGCAAGCAGAATTGAATACTTCTTTCGAAGCTTGTCGAATCGAACTGGAAGCAAAAGACATTCAGATCAAGGATCTTTCTGCTAGTTTGCAGGAAAAGGTTCTACTTCTGGATGGGTCCTTGGACAAGATCAAACTTATGCAAGAAGTTACGAATGATCTTCACAAGGAGATTGCATGCAGACATGAGGCGATGGAGTCTCTGCGCGATGAAAAAGATTCACACATACAGAAAATGGACCAAGCAGCAACTGACCTACGAACCGCCCTCAACATGGAGACCTCTCGTTACGAGACAGCTGCTGGCGCGTTGTGTGAGACGCAGGCTTTACTCTCCGACCTTCGTTCAGTCCTGGAAACGCAGATTGCAGCGACTGACGCTTCCCAGTTGTCGTTCCAACAAGAGCAGGTCCGAGGGGTTTCCTTGTGTGATGAGTTGGTGCGCGCTATGAACAGGGCTGAAGCAGCGGAGGAAGAGGTGACCGAGTTAAGGGCATCTAAATCTACTGATGAAGAGACCATATCGAGCCTCAAAGCCATGTTTGAACGCTTCAAAACTACGCAGATGATAGCCTTTAAGGAGTTTGAGGGTCAGGTGGGTCGATATCGGTTTATTTCAGGCTGACAACGATGTTGAAGGTCCGTGTTCTAGGTCAGCTCGGCGGGCCCTTCGCCCTCGCCTGTGCGAAATGCTGTGATCCGGTCTTGACGGGAAGATAGGTGGATAGTTTGAAATTCGTGGAATCGTCAAGGCTCCTTCTCCCCCTAGTATACTTTCTTTAGACGGACTCAGCATTATGTTCATTTACGTTCTTCAATTACGTACATAATCGTTGTATGTAAGATATGCGGAGATTTAACCTATGTCTTCATAGTACTATATTGACGTTAGTAGCGTTTCGTGTGTATGATTTCTTAGTTCAGCTATCTCATTTCCGACAGCGGCCAACATATGAGATTCTAAGTGACAGCGAAGTCAGTATTCGAGCATATAAATCTTGATATGCACTTGATGTGTACCTCCAAGGAGAACTCCCGGCGACCATTGACAGATGGCCGAAGTGCAACTTTGCAAAGTCGAACTACTACTGCTTGTAGCTGTGCCTCTTCATTCAGAAATTATATAAAATGACCACAGATAATAAGTTGCCCGGAAGTTAGTAGCAAAATTTATCTGTCGCCTTGGCAATTAAACCCTTTCCTCCCAACTTCCTTCGCTAGCTACGGTCGCGTGTTGTATTATTGTGATATGAACGCACTGATCGAAAAAAGGAGCATTTCATCCACTGAAAGAATTTTGTCCTTGTAATGCAAATACTTTACCTACCATCGTCGCGCAATGGCTTAGTCACTGCATTCCTAGAGCGTAGACGTAATGCCATAATGAGAAACCATGATCGTTTCAGTGCTTGCCATAAGTTGCACATAGGTAATCCGTTCCTGATCTGCTAGTCGGACTATGCATCCAGTCTGGACTGTTCAGACTCACATTTTGCCGATATTCATCAGGAGGACCTACAGGCTACTACGCTTCGTTAGTTGTCATCGTCATTTCTTCTACCACGAGTAATTTTCCCACAGCCATCAATGATTATCACGAGGCCAGGGTATCCGCCAAAATTGTACTACAACGAACTCGGCAGGAGTCGCCACAATTCGCTAATAATAAGTTCAAAGATGTATCATGAACGGCGGCGATTTCGGGGTCAGGAGTATCGGTATACATTTTTCTTTTCTTTTCACCGTCGGTTCTCAGTTGGCACGACGACTTGCCAAAAACTACGTCAGTAATCAGAATTCCAGCGTAAAGGACCTCAGATCTGTACCTTAACGGCGCTAGCGTGCGTCTGCGAGCACGTGTGCCTCGCGTGAACCACGCTGATCAGTCCACGTGGATTTTGTAGACCGGCCTCCCCATCTTAGCAACAACCCTTGCACTCATATCTCCTCTCTGTTAACAAGTCTTTCATCCTCGAGTGGAATTTAAGAGCCCTCGCTCATTTATATGCTTGAAAACTTGACCTTTTGGCCGGACAGTGCAAACGTTAAAGGTTGCCGGCAACTTGTGAAGGTGGCTGCTGTACTTGGTAGGGTCGTCGTTTTATTCTTTTGCAGGCATTGAAGCTTCCGAATTGGCGTTTGAGTTTTAAGCCATATGTCTTTCAGGCACTCGTATTGGGCATAGGACATCAGCGGGGCATGTTTTGAGAACCTGTCTACCGGGTTTCTCCTGGCAGTAATCCTCCGTACATAATGACGATGTAGCGATCAAGGTTGGTCACATCTTGGTTCGTTTTTAATTTTACTCATCTCCAGCCGTAGATCTATGTATCCATGGTTTTCGCTTGAATCATAACCTTTAAGTTTTTGTCTTTCGAGAAAGTGACCGTCCCATGCCGAACTGTATCTGGTCCCTGAACGTGCCTTGGGTAGTATACCGAAATAGGCCTTGGATACTCGGTCCGTCCTGGATTGACCTGGCAAGTAGTCAATACTGTTGGGGGAGGACTTGCTAATCCGGGCATCTCGACGGTCATCAGTACATATTTCCAGAACGGCTTGCCAGATGATTGGTCCTTTTCGAATAGTGATAGCGCACTGTTATAAAGCCGTTTCATACTCCAAAGGACACTATCGCTCTCATTTGTGCCCAGTCGGATAGTATTCAGGCGCGCAGGCAGCTAACCTCACCATTTGTTCATCCGACCATCATCCTGCTCACTCGTTAAACCCACTTTTGCCTTTCCTTACCTTTGTCTTACGCAGCCACCATCATTTGTTTTATTTTCCATTATGACATATCGTCTGCCCTCTAATCTCGAATCCTTCGTGCCCCCTCCTGCTGCTCAAAGTTCGGGCCCTACTTCTGCCCTCACGCATCCGTGGCGCGGGACGTTCATTGTCAGTGGCATGCGGGCCTCTGATAAAAGCAGCAATCAAGAAATCAGAGTCACCGCTGTTGAAACTGATGGAGATAAGTATGTTGTTCGCTTTTGTTATCGTAACGTCGCGATGATTGATGAATGTCCTACGTTCAGTCGCGTTCATACATGGCCAACAAACGTGATGTTTTCCCTGACGTCTCCATGCGCACTATCGATAATGTCCCAGGTGCAATCTTACATTCGCCAAAACAGAAACAGCCCCATTCCTTTGTGCACAATTCTTCCTGATCGTTTGCGCGACCCGAATACGAATGCTGTTAATCTCTCAAATTTCAGGAATCTATCTCGCATATTGTATGAAAACGAGATGGTGAGAAGAATTACACCACATTCAATCTAGAACATCAAAAACTGATCCTTCGGTTTTGTTTAGGTCGCTCTGGCGTCGCTTTCATCTGCTAGCACGCCAGGAACTCCCCAGGCTCCGCCTTCCTCGGGAATTCTGATATTTCCTGCATCCAATTCAACTGCCTTGCTCGTTGGGGCATTGTTCCTCGATGGAGAATCTTTCCCTGACTTTGTGCTGTCTGCGATGAAAAATGCCCGGGGTGATATGTCGCCTTCGTTTGCTTCGCCCAGCATCCCAATTTCTCCTTCCGTTATCCAAGCGCGGTCGCAGCATCGTTTATATCAGCAATCAGAACAAAGGGACATGATATCTTCCGGCCCGTTCCGCCCTTACGAACACATGTCGTCTTCGACATACCCGTCGACAGCGATGCGCTATCAGCACCGTCAGTCGCCATCCCTAAGTCCCGTGTCGCCGGTCGACAACCCTAACACGTCAATTGCCGGTTTTCACAATCGTTCCCAGCAGTACCCCCAGATGCAACAGAGTACTGACTCCGCTCAACGGCCTTCCGCTGGTCAATATCGCTATATGATGCATAATCTTTCACTACCACCCGTTCCTGACGAGAGCAACAATTATCCATCTCCTTATCGACACAGTGATTTTCCCGGGCCGGCATCCACTCCAGTGGATCCAAGGACTAGCTCTCAACCGTGGACGGTGAAGCAGGAAGGTGACGATCCTTCCGCTTTTTATCAGCATGAAAACAGCGGTCCTCATTCTCGCTACGCTTGACATTATTACCTTCTCCTTCGCACATCATGATTCCCTTCCGATCTTACCATTTGTTCTCGCTTGTTTTGACGTACTGTATTATCGCCTCGATCCATCAGGCCGACTGGCTGGATATCCCTTAGAGCGGATTGGTCCACCCGATGCTATCCCCTGTGTTTTTCTAGTTCATGGTCGTATACCCACTACGAAGGCCTGTGTAGCCAATTATCTCTGATTTTACCGACTTGCAAATGTATCATTAACTGCAACGAAAATTGTTAGGGCCTCGTACAAAATATAACCATGGTCCATCGCGCATCCCTATTGCATGTAACAGTTCCATATCATGCTCGGTTTTCTGAAGTAGATCCGCTACCCAAAGGAATACCATCGTCAGAGCTGAACATTCTCTTCTCCTGCTTGAACTGCCGACGTAGAAATACTAGACCGATCCCATAAAGGATCCAGAATACCTGCCAAAAGTTCAATCACTAACACTTATTTTCGTTGTAGTAAACGAACCACAACTAGAGCGAGCCATGCATGCTTGGCAGAATTCGGAACTGCATGCAATCCACCAGTAGCAAAGGTCCATTCAGTATACAGTCCGTAATGGACCTACGTGGGTCGGATCCTGATCAGTCAAAGCGAATGATCAAAACCCGGTTGTTGAAGACATACTTGATACGCAGCCAGCACCAGAATAACAAGTCCAAGAACAGCGTGCACGTAGTTCTGGGGCGGTCTTCCGTAAAACCAACGAGGTTTCACCCAGTGGATACTCATCCCCAATCCCAGCTGTACGATATAAAGTACCAACAACGCAAGCGCAACTTTTTGATGGGTATCCGTAAAATGCGAAAGTCCAAGCTGGCCAGCGGACTTGTGGCCAAGAGCCCACCCTGCAAAAATGACAGGAGCGGAGATGCATAGCTGAATGGCCAAGTGAACAGGAAACCATCTATACCCAACGTATGACTTCACCTGGAAGTGTACAAAAGATGCCACTCACCTATTCGTATAGGTCCTGGTGAAGCGAGGCACCAACACACCAATGGGAAGCAAAATTAAATATCCAGTCGTGCATAAAATGGCATGTGTTTTCAGCTGCTGCTCGATGGACGTTAATGGAAAATTTGGAACTTGGGACATGATGCTGATGACTGAGAAGAGTCGCAGCGAAGGAAGGAAGTAGTTTTCGTGTAGTAAAAAAATAGCGTGCGTGGAACGTTTATGTTCGTGTGAAGTCTCAGAGTGTCAAAGCTATGCATCTCCGTACCGTAGTGTGAAGTTACAGTGAAGCTGCAAAGTTACGGATGGTGTGATTGGTCGCCTGCGCGTCCTCTTTGTTCCGAAGGACCATTCGAGCACAGAAGTTCCCAAGACACATGAGACTTTTGTTCCTAATTAAAGTTAACCAACACGCTCGACGGCCAAAGTTCAGACGCTATTTCAACATTGCAGAGATGATTATACTGTAAAATCAAAGAAAATGTGACTTTGACATGCAAGACCGAAATACCGATAGAAACATCGATGAGAGAAATCACTGCACCGTCCGCCTCGAATAGTGTCAATATCTTGGTCACTCTCACGAGTGCTGCCCCATCACGCCGCAGCATCCTTCCGCCTACTTCTCTTCACAGGCGCAACTGGGACGTACTCCTCATCACTGCTATATATAACAGCGGCCTTCTTCGCCTTTCTCGGCCTCTTCGCGGGAGCGCCATCGTCCATCGCTTGTTCCCGGATTCGCTTGGAAGAACGCTCTCCGGGACTTTCCTCCTGGCGGATTTGAATGTTCGTTAGCTCCATTCCAAACTCTCCTCCCAGTGCCTCAGCAACAGCATCCATCTGTTCGTCTGACATCGGGCATTCCTCATTCACTTTCACCTTCCTCTCTTTCTTCTTCTTGGTCTTCTTCGGTGATGGTACATATGGCTTAGCATGATTCACAGCCCATTCAATATGGATAATCCTAAAAGTCCCAAAGGAGACAACACGCACCGATGGGACAAGACATAGTCAGCCTTTGGCTTTCCCAGGAGATAACGCATAAAGAAAAACATGGACAACGAAAAGTATCCACCTCTCTTTTAGCTTGATGTTATCCGGAACATAGCTCTCGGCCTTTCGGTAAAGATCTAGCGCTACTTGAAGATCGCCCCTGCATGGCAACATATTGAATATCATCGGATAACCAGGGGCGACGAAAGATCAGACATACTTATCAGAATGAGCCCTTGCAAGGGCAACATATGCCCTGCCTGTTTTCTTCTTAGACACAGGGGATAGTGCATCAGCGAGTGCCGTTTCCTTGTTGCCGCGTTCACTGCAGAAGACGTCAACGAATGGAAGAGAACTGGTGTGCTACGAACGCACAACTTCCTCTCGAGTTCCTGGAGCCGGGCTTTCAATTCATCATCAAGGTCCCTATGCCGCTTCAGGAGGGGCGTCAGCACGCCTGACGGAAGAGGAGCCGACTCTTTCCTAGGTGACCTGGACTTATGTTGGTCGGATACAGGCAACATCCTTGTCTCCCTTTCTAGTCTTCCCTTTTCTCGCTCCTCTAGTATCCGAGCAACTTCTGCCTCCACCGCTTTGGATATCTTTAATATAATGAGTAGACGTGACACTTGACGATCAACTTGGACTGACTCTTTCATCAATTTCCTTGTCCGTAAGACTAAGTCCCATACTAGCAGAACTATCTCCTTCGGCTGATATTCTGTCTTGTGACCCCGAGGACACCGTGATGGGCTGGAAACTAGCACTTCCGAATGTCGAAACACGTGGCTTAGGCAACAATGAAGTTCGAGAACGGGGCACTTGCGACCCAGAAGCTCGGGTTGGTGGGGTAGGGGCAATGTGAGCAAGTTTCGGAGCCGTATATTGCACTGTTAGTGCCGAGAAATGTGGTTTCGCTGCGGGGCGCAAATCTGACGTAACGAAGAACGGATGCTTTATTGTAACATGTTAGGTAGAATTGTGGGGCATACTTACCATGTTCGTTGACAACAGGTTTGTTCTCGACGTTCTTAGCACTTACAGCAAAGCTGAGAAACAGTAGATGAGACCTCAGTTCACAAGTTACAGGAGGACCCAGGCTTACTTTAGGGTGTTGAGGGTATCTTTCCTGAATTTTATGCCTGGAGCGATATTACAAATGAGAAGTCCCACAGATGAACCACCAAGAGCATCTTGCAATATTCGAGTGAGTTTGGAATTTCTAAACGGTATGCGTGGTTCCTTGGTATTAAGATTACGAACTACTTGTCCGAGGACACTTAGTGACTTATTGATGGCTGCGGATTCTTGCATCCGAGACGCGTCGTTGCCCGTATGCTGAGAAATAAACCCTTGAATTAATCTGCATGTGGCAGAAGCGAATCAAGGCAGACCTTATTGTTCTCAGAGCCCGCCAAATCTACTAGATTCATTTTTCCGGTGATAACTAAAGGATGTGGGTCAATAAACAGAACAAAACGCGACTGAGGGAAGCACATACTTCGATGCTGCTGATGGTCTGTCATGGTAACCTCGATCGTGAGGACCGCGTGTGAGCGGGACGACGCGTGGTTTAATTTCGTTGCTCCTACGGAGCGCTGTTTTGTTGTTCGACTATGATCACAGTTCTTCGATCAGAAAGGGAGAGGTTGGTGGCGTGGACCTTACGCGTAGATGTTGTCAAAGTCTTGGACAGACTGAAGGGGGATAGAAGACAGATTTGCAACAAAGACCTGCCCAGCGCCGTTCTCGCGGATGGGCAACTTGGGAGCCTGAGAACGAGCAGTGGTCAAGAGAAGTAAAGTAGTCGTTGTAGAGCTTTACGAACATTCTCTCGGGTGACAAGGAGATCGTACACCTCATCTTTGTAGATCTCCAAATAGGAGACCGAGAGCTGGGTATCAGGGTGGTTCAGGGCCGCTTTCCTTTCGAAGAGAGACTAAATGGTGACGATATATGAACGGAGCTCTGAAAGAATAAGACATTATGCAACATACCCGGACAACACGAGGAATGACACCTGGCTCCGATTTCGTTCCTTGCATGGTGTGAGTTTTGCCGGAGGAGGTAACTCCATATGCAAATATAGTGACGGTCTGTAGAAGCATACAGGACTCAGAGAAAGATGAGGCGAGAAAAGGCATAGTCGCGCACGACACCGCTGTATACTACATCTACCAATGGCTCGACGTCATTCCGAAAAATTTCCTCCTGAGTAGACGTCTGGTCGTAGCAACTCGAGAACCTGCACCCCACGGAGACTTGGATGAGCATAGTTTTGATGCTAGAAAAGGCGTAAACTGACGGAAACTTGAAAATCTGATCACCATTCGATGGATTCGGAACGGTGATAAAACTCTGAGTAGCGGCGGAACTGCTTGAGGCGCCGGTGTCGTCCAAAGAGTGGAATATTTTGATAGCATCATCGTCGACCTCCCCGCTAAGTCGAGGTCGTAGTCGGGCGGCAATCCTAATCTTCTGACCGTTGACCATGGCGGCAATGGATGACAAGAAACGACGACCCTGATACTTGACAACGTCACAGTTGACCCAGTTCGACGCGTCGAGATCACGTGATTTGAGGCGTCACGCTGATGTCACCCTACTTTCGCGGCACGAGCTGAACTGGCTGGACCGACTTTTCTCAATGAAGCCTTCACTGTCCATTTTTCGTGAAGTCCTGTATCGTCTTTCCCCCACGATTGCACGTTTTCAACATGAGGTCGTAAATCCAGACGTGACTTTGGCAGTAAATGGATTCATCAAGTCTATACGACGTCAGAAACGAGTGTCTTTCGCGGTCCTAACTGATGGGAGTCATGCTCAAGGCATCCAGGCGGTATTTCTTGATACATCCTTAACAGATGGGTATGTTCACTTTCCATCTTATGCATTCATATCTTGATCTGAATGCCAGGCTGTAGACTAACGAACGGGATGAGTGTACGCCTTACCGGCAAGATTAAGAGCAGCCCTGGCCAGAAGCAGGAGAGAGAGCTCCTGGTTGACGCTGTAGAGGTCCTAGGAGGATGTGATCCTGAGGTACTTCCCTGACTCTGCGCTGACCGTGCTTCTCAAATACGTTTTTAAAGACTTATCCCATACAAAAGCAGACGCTTTCGACAGAATATTTACGCGAAAACATGCACTTGCGCGCGCGGACAGATAATGTTAGTGCCATGCTAAGGCTACGTAGCCGTCTCATGCATTCAGTGATGAACTATTTTAATGTACACTCTTGTCCTCTCTTCCTGCATGATTCTTACTCATCAACATGAATTAGGCCCAAGGATTCCACTTCACCCACACTCCGATACTTACTGGAAATGATGCTGAGGGAGCCGGACAAACTTTCCGTCTGGCACAATTTGCGGATCCACAGCCCGACAGACCAAATGAGACCTCGGAATTCTTTGGTCACCCTGCACATCTTACAGTGTCATCGCAGCTTCATCTTGAAGCACTAGCATGGGGTCTGTCTCGTGTATACACGCTCTCCCCTTGTTTTCGAGCTGAGCGATCGCAAACGAACCGACATTTGGCCGAGTTCTGGATGCTGGAAGCCGAGTGGATGGACGTCAACCAAGAGGGCGTTCAAGGTATCTGTGGGCTTGTGGAAGATAGTTTAAAATCGTATGCATCCGATGTGATAGGCGGACAAGATGTCGACGTCCTCTGGAAGGATGTAAACGAAGTACGGAGGAAGACCTTGGAGGGTTCACTCGCCAAAGCGTGGGCTAGAGTGACATATGGAGATGCCATAAAAGCACTTCAGGACGCCAAAGATGTCACATTCGAGTTCGAACCTCGGTGGGGGCGCACACTTCAGAGCGAGCACGAAAAATGGCTTTCTGAATACTTCTTTGGGGGACCTGTGTTCATTACAGATTATCCCAGGGACCTAAAGCCCTTCTACATGCGAGCGAACGAGGATGGCGAGACGGTAGGCTGTTTCGACCTGATAGTGCCTTACGTTGGAGAGCTTGTGGGTGGCTCAGTCAGGGAAGAGAGAGTGGACGTACTAGAGTCCAAAATGAGAAAAGATGGTCTGGGGATGGGAAAGCATGAATATGGGTGGTATGCTGACCTTAGACGATACGGTGGCTCACCTCACGTAGGTTTCGGAATGGGATTTGAACGGCTGGTAGCCTGGTTGGGAGGGATTGACAACGTCAGAGAGTGTGTGCCTATGCCCAGATGGGCGTCTAAAATGTTGCTATAGCTATAGGTGTAATATCCTTCATTTCTCGCATTAGCAACTTGCCCTGACGATTTTACGTGGCTATACCATACAGTTCCTATCCCCGGTACTTAATACATTGTTTGATCATCAATACATCCTACCCAACTCAGATATTGCCTTGGTGTACGCTGGTGTTCTGGATTGTTGCCCTCCGAGGACTCGGATGGCGATTATCGCCTCCAGAAGAAGGTGAGACCTCAAAGAGTTTTTGAGTCCAGGATTCAGGAGACCGGTCTTTTCCGTTCTTTTCACTAGTTACCGATCTCTCGAGTAGGTGGGTAGCCTTAGAACATTTTTCCAATGGTTACCAGCACCAACAGACTTTATCGATCATTTCTGCGTTACGAAGCAGCACTCGAACGCGAATAGACCGCATCTGCTACAATATATAACATTATCGAAGCACCAAATAACATTGAGCAAAACTCCGTTTCACATTATTACGACGTGGTTTCGGGGATGCGTGAGATGCCGACTTCAAGAGCAGCCTGTGTCCTTTCCTGCACCACTGCTCAGACTTCATTGCTATGCTTCAGCAACGAGATATCGCCTTGGCCTCGTTGCTGGAAGCAGAATTGGTAGAGTTATGCTGGTAGAGGTGGAGAGAAGGTAACTTATGTACATATCATCCATATACGAAAAAATATGATATGCACCTAAGAAAATATTGTGGAGCAACCATACATATCGCAGCAGATACGGTCTAATGCACGCAAATGTTGAGAAGGCATAGATCCATGTAATTCGTCGTTCTGGATACGTACCCGCGGTCCCCGCAAGGAGATAAAGAGAATTCCGCTGACGTTCGGAAGAGCCCTATCCATGGCATGAGATACATACATCTTCTCTAGGGAGACACCCCGGCACTCGCAAGAACAGGCCTTACTCCTTACCTCCATAACGACGTGATAAAAAGAGTTACAGGCTCAGGGAAACGATGTAACACCCGTGAATCAAGGAACGAGCTTTTTTCAGAGGCTCACTTGGGTGGTCATAGTACAACGGGGCTGAATTCAGAAAACACAGAGAAGTATAGGAAAAAGACGAACACAAAGATAGCCATGCTTCTATGCATCCTAGAATCCCCTTCCTCTGCCGCGTCCACGTCCACGTCCAGGACCCCTTCCACGATCTCCAGGACCGCCCCGACTACCACCACGTCCACGGCCTCGAACGTCTTCTTTCTTTCTACCCTTTGGCTTCGGTGCATCGTCTACCAGCAGAGTATCCAACGGCAGCGCATCAGGCAGCACGAAATATCGCACGTTGTTCCCTCGGATCGACAACGAGTCTAGTGTCACCGGTTCCCGGTTTCGCGCAGTCATTTTTACAGTTTTGAGATGCGTGTTCATTTGCATATCAACGCCTGGGATAATAGATGAGCAGATAGTATGGATAATCGAGCAAATGACGCACCAGTGATTGTGCCGTGCACAACTGAACCATTTTTGAGTTCAATCGTTACCGTCTCATTATTCAATTTCATTAGAAATCTGGAGAAATTGATCAGAAATTGTTAGCACAAGATGGAATATCGTCCGAGAGATACACGTGCCTGACGAGCTTCATGGTGAATTCGAGTTTTTATCGACACAACCGGTTTTCCAAGCAAGTGTCGGAGTTTCATTTGTGTCCCAAACTAAGACGGTTACAAGCAACTGCAACGTGATCTAGCACTGCCACAACAACATTCTAAGAAAGTGTTCAACCACGTCCAAATTATTGTTATCATACAAGTCGTATTTCTCCCCAATAGAATTTAAAAAATAATGACCAATAATAATGGCGTAGAATCTGATGCGACATACACGCGTCCTAGAGTTGCAAAAATCATCACAATGGCTAGCCCATCCGACGTACATCCTGCTTACCTCAAACAATTGCAGACTTGACTGCTAATGGCTCGTTCTCAACCTCAACCACCGCATGCTCGAGCCAAGTTGATCAAGACTCGTGATTGCGACGTGCCGAGCCTCTTAAACGGTCAGCGCTAGCATAAAACTCCCAGTCGTCAAACAGCTATACCTGGAGATGACGACGCTCATCTTCGTCGCGCTAAAAATTACTCAGCTCGGAGAGATTTGTTACGTTACGCTCGGACTCACTTTGATGTCAATTGTGGACATAAGGAGACTTAGGAACTTCATGGAGCCTCGTAGTCGACAGTGGTCGTCCAAGTGTCATTGCGCTAGTCGTCTTTTATCCGGAACAGTAGCTTGACATTGGACTCCGTCCCTATTGCGGCGATGTCATGCGAACCGTTACAATTGACTGCAATGATTGGATTAGTTGGAACATTACTACACTATGGTCTGCGGCTGGCACCGTGAAAAGTAGATAGTACGGACCTTGCACAGGCACTCAGGAAGATGGCCAGTCTTTCCAGTCTTTCAGGACAAGTATATTTGCTCCGTCCGCCCCTACGGCCTTCTGGAGCGGTGCAGAGTTCGATTCCAGCCCTAAACTGAAACATCGAGAGCAGCGGTTTAACCGTGGTCCCGATTCAGTAGCTCCTACATTTCAGTTGAGCCCGATTTTGTATTTGAAAAAAATTATGCAGAATACAATCAGCAAGCAAAATCCTCCATCCACCTATTAGTGATGAGCGAGGCGAGAAAGATAAGAAAGGTACCAAGGAAAAGGTCATTCCTTGTTTTCTGAAGATCTCCCACCAGCCTAAACACCAAAGCATGTTTCTTATGAAACGTCTCATTATGACCGGCGTTAATCGAACATGGACCTACACAAAACATAAACACTATTTGTGAACGAGATATCCTGGGGCAAGTACGAAGGGCATCGTCTATGCGTCGCCGTAGCAGTCATTCCACACGTTTCGGCCACGAAGGGCCGGTTATTCGAGGTAGAGCCGTCACACCGAAGAGTGGCATGGTCTTCGACGACCAAGGTGTCAAGTTTGTTCAATAGTGCATGTAAAGATCTCTTGTCTGCGACACTCATATTAACGGCTTGACCGAATAGGGATCGGAAACCATCGACAGAGGAAATCAGAATGCAAAAGTAACTTCCGATTCAGTTCAAAGACAAGATGGTCAGTTTTTGATGGACCGACGCTAATATACCGTCTCGGATCTGCACAAGGATGGTGACGAAACAACAGCTATCAATGGATAGAAAGAGTACAGATAAAAGCTGAAACAAATGTTAAGCCACTGCAGCTGGCGCGTCTGAGGACAAAGAAGGATCCCCGTACCTAAACGACCCCTGCACCACCATACAACCACGGCCAGTCCTAAAGTCACAGCGAATATCATCACCTAAGACTCAAGACAAGGTCAGCGGGCCTCGAATTGCACCACTAAATCACGGCGTTAATCCAAAGAAAAATGAACGAAACAGCACATCGACGTACTACGTTTGGTTCTTTTCTTATACATGATTCGATGCCCGCATTCTCTGCAGCGAATAGGTTCACGAGTCTTGATCTCGTTCTTGGCACCACAGTCTGCCCGGTATGGTGGTTAGAATGGGAAGAGAAAGAGGATAACCGATTCGCACCAGCACACAGGTACTCCATATCTTTACTGAGAAGGGGCGGTAGGCTGTACGTGGGCTGGCTGGCAGGTGCGCTACCGAATTGTTGTTGTTGACTCATGGTGGGGCCTGGCTCTATATCGACAATTTTCAGTGCACCTTTGTAGAAAGTCCGCAGACGCGTGGGTGCTAGGCCGTGGTACCAGAGAGTGAAAAGGAAGAGTGACGCTGAAAAAATTCCCACGCCCCATTGCTTTTGATACAGCCGCCTCAGTTAGGATACAGTCTCCACAATATCTATTTGCAAAGCACTCAGCTAGGGCGTCTTCTTGGTGGTACATCCTCATCGACAGCCTATGTCCTGAGGTAGGTAGGTGAAAAAAATCCGGCTGCTGCACCGAAATTCGCAGGATCCCTAATGACTAGTAGAAACAAGCCGTCGCTATCAATGGTTCTTGCCACTGTATCCTGTCCAAATTTTGTTGTCCGAACAGACGGGATGGATTCACGTTTATCCGTCGGCAATCTGCGTATGATGTATACAACCGGATTCCGAGTAAGCTGGACTGTAAAATCGCTGATTAATACCACAATGTCAACCGCACCTCAAGGTCTTGTCTTCGTTCTTGTTGAGAACGGAGCTGCCATCGCTCATGTGAGCCTAGTCACTTATCACAGGGTATCACTGATCAGCACTCCATGCGAAGAATGGTACAACAACGAGCATGCACCTGCTCGTTTGACCGTACCTGGGTACATCACTGCAACTCGATATCAAGCGACAGATTCCCAAAAACCTACCTATCTCACCGTATACGATATCTCAAGCCCTGACGTCGCAGACAGCCCCGAGTACCAGGCACTCAAACACAAGGCTTCAGACAATGAGAAGGACATTTTGCCGAAGGTTCAGTTTCTCAGCCGTAGGATTTACCAAACGATTGGTGTTTTTACCCATCCGGCCTCTGTTTCGACATTCCCTGGGAAATACGTCTTGACAGCTGAGCTTGAAGTGAAGCCAGAATTCGAAGAGGAATTCAACAAATGGTACAACGAGGAGCACATGGGGTTGTTGGAAAAAGTTCCTGGTTGGCTAAGAGGTAGACGTTATTCCCTGGTGACGTCGGCCGGCCGTGGAGGAGCCGTCGGAAAGCCCGTCTTTAAGTATCTGGCCGTCCATGATTTCGACAATGGTAATTACTTGAAGACCCCAGAATGGGCAGCGGCAACTGACACACCTTGGCGAACGAAGGTCACGGAGGGTGTTCTTCTCATGGAGGTCCGTCAATTCGAACTGAACAAAATAATGGAAAAACCTTTATAGCGAGTCTACTTTTCCTTTTCTCCTTTCCAATGGAATAAGTTAACCTCCTTGATCAACAGAATGTATCGGGTCAAGTAAATTGCAATTACATTCAGTTAAATGTTATATATTTCCATGGAGCGTTGCTGACTTTTTCCCCTCATCTTGGAGTTTCTCATTAATTGCTTCTATCGATTAATGTCTGCCTCAAGAGGCGTCTTCTGACATTTTGCTGCCCTTCAATCTTATCTGATAACAACTAGAGGCTTGTAACATGGTCATCCGAGTACCTCTTCGATTCCCACCGCCGCGCATTTTCAGGTCTCACCTTCTGGTACATGTGCCATTAGCCACAGATGACTCATTTATGGCCAGATAACAGTATGTCTTTTATCTGATAAGAAATCTACTCAATTACTTAGTGCCTGTATCAGGAGGGGTTTTGTCCGCCTAGAGGACCGTCGACGCAACTCATCGGCCCAAAATGACTCAAAGTGTAGTTGTTTTTCCCAGTACTTGCATATTTAAAGTCCGTCATGAGAGGGGTTAATACGAAAATCCATGAAAATGTCTTTCGACGCCCGTGACTCTGCCAACCAGTTCCCGGACGTCATCGTCGCAGCACAGAAGCCTGATCCTGATCGAGTGATTCGCATAAGCCGGGCGGTGGAATATCCCAAGCAAGTATAGTACTTTATCGCTAGCTTCGTTGCTCTCGTTTCGCTTTGTCATTTTCTCTCTCTGGTGTCCACATATACCCGCACGTTGAAACCCATGTCGAAGGATGCTGCTGCTGCTGCTCGTGGACGAATTTCACTCCGACGACTCCCTCGATGCGGGTTATGAAATCTTTAAGGTCGTTCATCTTGTTCTTGCTTCATAAGCGATTCACTTTCCTTCTCGGCCCTCGTGAGACCGAGGTGCTTCGGCATCTTCATTCTCAGCGCCTATTTTCGCTCTAATGGATTAGGGTAGGTTCTTTCCGCATCTTCGGGCCTTACGTCTCCTTTCATTTACCTCCAAGCCGACTTTCAGCGGCAACGCCACGGTTGACGTTCTGTCTTCCCTGCGCCTCAAAGTGGTCAAGCCCATGTTTCTCCGTTGGGTTCCGGGACAGTGTCTACCTTACCATTCCTGACATCTTCTTGCTCCAAGCACTCCCTTTCACAATCTCGGGAGTAAAGACCATCGACGGTGAAGAGAATCTAGTTTTTTTGATTCGTATCCGAGATGGATTGACGAGGAGGTTGTTGGACAAGGCTCAAGATGGCTACAAAGGTATCTTAACATTTCTAGGTGGTTCGGGCGTCGCGTTCACACTTCCTTTACTAGTGAACGTCCTCAGGTGCGTCAGTATCCCTGGATTGCACCGACTGTAGCAACCAACTTGGTTTTAGGCAATGCAAAGCTGGTAAAGCGCCTTGGACAAGAATATTGTTTGTATAGGCTATTTGTGATGCCAGTACGCAGATTTTATTCAAGGTGCAGACGGCTTCGCTGATATCAGTTAAGATCATATACCATGGATTATGGATTATTGCATGACGATTTGGACAGCATCTCGAATGTCCAGGTCGACATACATATATACATCACGGAGATAGCGCAAGAAGCAGAAGGGGAATGGGATGACAATTCGGTGAACACTGACCCTGAAGAGAAAGCGGAGGACCTTCCGACAAGTTCCCAAGCCGGTGTCAGCGATCCCCTTATCAGTCCATTTGTCACTATCAGGAAACGCCAACGTCCGGACCTTACTGATATTATTCACCGAGAGCTGAATGCATGCAGCGGAGGGACGATTAGTATCAATGGTTCGTGCTTGTCCCCTCTTGGACTAATATAATGCCGATAATATCTAGTTTGTGGGACCATAGCTTTGGCCGAAGCTGTACGAAGTACTTTAAGAAAGCCCAGATGTATGGATATCATGAAGGGAGAGCCGAGTGTCGTGTTGTATGTGGAAGCCTTCGGAAATGCCGTTAGTGTCTAGTTCAACTTGTTGAAATATTACACTGATGCAATTTCTATAGTGGCAGGTCCTCGTGGCGGTTGGAAAGGGGAGTAATTTGGCTTATATTGATTATATTTTGAGACGCCTGATCCGTCACATCATGCAACAAGTTAATGGATACTTGAACGTGTACAATTATGGGTAACCATTGGGCCCAGAAGTCCTAGCCATAACATCAGAATGGAATCACAATTATTTCCCAAGTTGTAGACTCGATGTTATGGAAGAATCAGAGGGTGCGAATCTTTCAACCTGTCAAACTTGATTAATGTTGATATTCGACTGGAAACGTCTGTGGAGTTCCGCAGTCACTCCATGCTTTTGTATTGCTACACTATGATCTACACCTAACACGAATTTAAATCCGACGCTGTCTGAGAATTCAACCAGTACCACCCTCTTCGTTGCATGAATATCCAGTTGCAGACTTTCTGCGCCCGGGCTAACCCATAATATGATTATTTCTACAGGTGTGGCCTTTTTTCTCTATTCTATTCATTCGGCAGAGTGAAGCCCTTTATCCAAATGAGTATCACTCGAGGGAATGACGTATCGGGATATCAAACGAGTACCGACTGGGATGACATTGTTGCGAATGATGTCTCTTTCATTCATATCAAGGCCACTGACGGGACAAATGCATTGTTTCTGTACTTGCCTAGCAACAAATTGTAATAACTTGTCAGCATACACCAGCAGCGAGTTCGACAGTCAGTACATCAGGGCCACTAATATTGGATTAATTCGTGAGGCATACCATTTCGCCCATGGCGGCTCCTGATAGCAACACAGGGCTGCGCAGCAAAGTTCTTCCTTGCCAATCGAGGTTGTTCCTGCATATTGTCTTTCAGCGTTTAGCATTAAAGTATTCTCATATGGCTGGTCAGATGACGGAATAACTCCCGGGAGCACTGGACATTGGATGCATGCGTTTTAGTCCGGTTCACTCAACTAGCATTGGAACCCTTCCAGCTCGTTGGAGGTAAGGGGGACCGAGTTTTATAATATCACCGACCCTTTTTTTTTTGGCAGTAGGCTGATTCTGGAACGAATCCCGGCGGTCAAGACATTTTCGATGGTGATGCATCTGGCCTGTCCAGGTTGGTAAGTGCGAGGCAAATAGGTAGGTGCACTTATTGTCGTCCACTATGATCTTGGATTTTATATGCCATAAGTGTTCACTATCGAGCGCTGATCTGAAGATTTGTCTTGTGCATTTTTGGAATATCGGCGCGTGCTTGGAACATGCGGCCCGCCTGCCGACCGGACCGAGCGGATAAACTGCCACAGGAAATCAGCCTTAAATACGCTTTGGACCCCAACCATGGTGGCATTCTTTCCTTCTGACCATGGCTAAAATCACTGGATTTGAAACCCATGGTAGGGTTTTGTGCTCATCTATTAGATTATAGTTGACATTGTTCAGACGTGCGGTTCCCTACGTCGCTGTCCGGAGATGGTACCGATGCCATGTAAGTCCAGGCTCATTGATAGACCTTTTGATGTCATTCATGGCAGAAACGTAGGAATACTGACTGCGACTACTCGTCCGCATATGTTACTCTTCTCACGGACTCGGATCTGGTCGGTCATGGCATGACCTTCACCATTGGTCGCGGAAACGATATTGTGCGGACTATATGTGCTGTTTCTCCATCGTTAATGACTGAGTGCTGTTGCAGGTATGCGCAGCCATCAAGGAAGTAGCGAGCAGATTGGTTGGAAAGGAGACGGAGACTCTGTTCGCCGATATGGGGGAAACTTGGAATTTCATGATGTCAGATCCTCAGCTGAGATGGTACGTGATCACGAGTTATTTCCGACGGAAAATTGATCCATCCTAGGATTGGCCCGGAGAAAGGTGTTATTCACATCGCATCTGGGGCTGTGAATAATGCTGTCTGGGATATGTATGCCCGGTCCCGAAAGAAGCCTCTGTGGAAGCTCGTCGTGGATTTCACTCCGGTGCGCTTTCCATTTTCTTTATTATTCGTTTCTCATTTCTTGCCAGGAAGAATTGGTGAAATCGGCTGCCTGGCGTTACATTTCCGACGCGATCACGAAAGAAGAGGCCCTTGTCATGGTAAAAGAGAAAGCCTCCACGAAGCAGGATCGAGAGGCCAAAGTTCAAGAGCTCGGGTTCGTGCTTATTTATTTCTATGATTGATATCGTCTCAGATAACTCCCCATAGGTACCCTGCGTATGTTACATCCGCAGGATGGCTGGGTAAGACAGGCTTTTATCGACTAATTCAGGGCGCGCTTATTAGTTCCTTAGGATACAGCGATGAAAAAGTGGCTCGATTAACCAAAGAAGCCGTTCAGGCAGGGTTCAATCATTTCAAGATGAAAGTTGGAGCCAACCAAGCGAATGATCTGCGTCGAGGAAAGATCATACGATCCATCATCGATGATCCGCAATACCTTCCAACGGATGCGCCACCAAGAGATCCTAACAGTGATGACCTAAAAGGCAAAAATGCCGGGCCCACTGGCGCAGTGTTAATGATCGACGCGAATCAGGTGTGGGACGTCCCACAGGCAATTGATTACGTTAAGGGATTGACTGAGATTAAGCCTTGGTAAGTATCGACTAGTTCACGAGAGCCTAATTCTAATAAAGAACTCGAGGTTCATTGAAGAGCCTACAGCGCCAGATGACATTCTGGGTCATGCGGCTGTCCGAATGGCCTTGAAGCCGTACGGTATCGGTGTCGCTACCGGTGAACATGCTCACAATCGCATGGTATTCAAGCAGCTACTTCAAGCAGAAGCCATAGATGTTTGCCAAATCGATTCTTGTAGGCTTGCAGGCGTCAGCGAAGTCATCAGTGTTCTTCTCATGGCAGCCAAGTGAGGAACATCGTAGGGCTTGACTATACTCAGCTTATCACATCTCCGTTATTAGGTTTGGTGTACCCGTTTGCCCACACGCAGGTGGAGTTGGATTGTGCGAATATGTCATTCATTTGAGGTTCGTTTTGAGAGACTAATGTTTTTGCTGTACTGACTTGTGAACAGTCTAATCGATTATATTGTCATCTCGGGTACTATGGAGCGCAATGTTTTGGAATTCGTTGATCATCTCCATGAACATTTTGTGACACCTTGTTCAATCAATTCGCGTGGAAGGTATAATGTCCCGTCAAACCCTGATGAAGGTTACAGGTACGTTTCTTTCTCAGGTTGCGAAGTAGCTTCTTATGTAATTGTCAGTATTGAGATGCATAAATCAAGTATTGCTGAATACGAGTGGCCCAATGGTTCATATTGGGTCGGGGCAAGAGAAGGAAAGGTGTTGTAAACAAAGAGCTTGTCGCAGTAAATCCAAACATCTGCCATCAACTCCCAGTGAAAATCACAGGATATGCAAGAAATACATATTGTTTTCTCCATGTTACGCCATGACATCATGCATAATGCATCAGTGTCTGATACGGCGCTTGCGTGGGTCTCTATTCTTCTTTCGCCACGATGGTATCAACCTTTATCGGGGTTGTTAGTGTGCTGGTTTGTTTATGACACAGGTCCCCGGGAAGGAAATCGCCTGCATCATCCACTAAGTTACCGACTCTTTTGTTTAATACAAGGATCACTTTCGGATCATTACTATGCTGGCATTCGGCGTTGTTAGCGACCTCCTCTTCTTGTCTTCTCTGAGACTGTCAAACTTATCGTCAAAAATGTATAAATTTAGGGATCCATCTGGCCAACCACACATCACCCGTCCTTTGCGCTATCTTTGCTGACTCCTAGTCATCCAAAACTTCACCATGCCAACATCAATTGCAGCCTGCTTCCGCTCACATCGGCCACGACCCCTTCCGAGGTGTTACGACCAATTTTTTTCCTTCTCTCCCTGTTGAAGCATATCGAGATCGAAGCTTGACCACGGCTGCAAGCATTCTCCTTGCAAACCTATACTAGCACAGGAGTCACATCTTGATCGGCTAGACTATAGACTTGACTTTCCCACTTTGACTGAGCAAGGTCAAATAAAATGCTAACTGCGCAATCGCCTACGTGGCGGTCTCTCTACTATGACTAGCCTCCCTGAACACTTTCCCTTCTGTCACAGTGTACAAAGGCATGGGAAAACGAAAACTGGATTTGTATCAATGGATCTCTCTTTTGAGTTCCAAGAAGTCTTCAATGTCTACGCATTGTGGATATGGATCGAAGAGGTCGGTTATCTTATCTTTCTCGGATCCTCGTGTTTCTGGAAGCCCTTTCTGCTGGACGATACATTATCCAAAGAGCAACAGAAACTCGAGTGCGTCTACCTTCACTAGATCCACCGTTGTGATCTCATAGACCAATCAGCCAGAGACCCTGTGCCCATTGCCCAAGTCAATGTACACCAATCAGTTATACATAGCACTTCTTATGGACGCTTCATCCGGAAAGACTCTACTGTTATCCTTCAGGCGTTGTGCATGTCTCTGAAGCTCGGCGTCCTGGTTACTATATCTCAAGAATCTCTATCCACTTATGACTCCAATTTGGAATCCATCACTATCGTATACACTGGAACGTCTACAACTGGCGAACAGACCCTTCTGTATTCGATCATTTGCCCGAGGAGATGAGGACCAGGTTCGTTTGGGTGAATCCATCCTTCATTTCATTCCACACATCATTATTTCTCAAGCATTGTACAATGCCATTGCATAACACGGAAAATATTCACGTACTTAATATAACATAGAGATCTAGTACTTTATCTTTGTAACTTTGCTTCCATAGATACATAGATGATAACAACGTAACCACGTATTTATGACAGAAATGAAGCACGCAGTGTCTCCGGGTAAGGTGAGTAGAGCATGCCATGCAGCCTCGTGGGCGATATATAACCAAAGTGCCTGTAAAAGCTACCAGGGGGACCGCATTGCCGTGGGCTCGAAGCCTCCAGTCAGCTGAATGGTCGGAAAGTCAGGTCAAGACATCCTTGCTTAGCATTTGTGACTCACCACATGATTTATCTGTTTATGTACCACAGTGAGGACTGCACAAACGAGTTAGCATCTGCTGATTGATCACCGAAAAACACCTCACAGTCGACGTAGGACATCGTTCCATTGTTTTGATCTTCTATCAACATATCACTGAACTCGATTTCCGCCGCTTCCATGTTCTGTCTTGCCACTAACATTTTCGGCGTGTACCCCCGCTTCAAACGGTTATGCGTGATGATGTTGCGCACTTGCGATGACAATCGTGTTTGTAGTACAGGCAACCTCGGCTTCCAACGGACAGGTCATTATGTGTAGTGTCAGAGCTGAAAGGCAACTTACCAAGTGAATATCCAGGTTCAGCAAATCATCTACCGCGAAGAGATCTATAAGTATTTGTGGAGACACGCTGGCACCTATCCAAAATATCATGACCTCCATATTGTCTGCAGGATTTAGCAACATTAGATCTTTCGTATCGAACAAGGCCAAAGCCTACCAATGAGATATAACCCATTTGGCTCCATACACATATGGGTGTCTCTAGTGATAGTGGGCACTGTTATTTCCCCTGTAACGGGATCAGGCAACGCTACTTCATGATCGAGGTCATGCAATGCAATCATTGGCGGATAGACATGTTGGATGAGATTTCGAACGCTCGCGGACATCAATCGATGTGCGTAATAATTCCGCACGTCCGAAGACACGGTTCCAGCTTAATGCGGTTGGTTAGATTGCGTAGAGTAGATAGTTCAAATGCATACCTTTGATGGGCTTCGACTTCAATATCCCTAAAGTGTACATAGGCAACGATCTGAATGCTTCAGGTAGTATTAACTGGAAAAGGATTCAGCTTCGTCTTCCAATATTTCATATGTACCTGTAATCCTGACCTGCGATGCAGCTGTTACAGATGCGCATTTATTCCTATATCCAAGCAGCAATGCCGAACAGTTCTCCGTAAGGTCTTCTCGTATATGGGTCATGTTTGACTTCTTAGTATGCATTATAGCTAAAAGAAACACGTCAGCAAAGTAAGGGCAGAAGTCATTCTTGGGCTTACCCTGTCGCATTAAATGGCACACCACAGCTTCGTTGTCCGCGTACATGAACACATTCCCTGCCAGTTCTACCACTTGCAGGGCTAGATTGAGTACCCGAACACGACGGTCACCTTCCACCGTCGTGTACAACACGGCGCACTGGAGATATGCGTATTCACGAGTATTGAGTGACCCTGTGTGTTCCAATACGACCGAAAATGCTTTGTCGGCATCGAGCACGCCAAACTCAAGATCCGTGGGGGAGCGACGATGAAAGTTGCCGTAATATTCAGACACCCGAATGCCTAGAAAACCATTGACAAAAGCCCGAGAGAAGAAAAGAAGTATGGAGTCACCTTTTGAACACCGTACCCGCACCATGCAGTTGTAGCCAAGCATGCGGTGTATAAGCCGCTGTAACTGTGAACGCAAAACAACCCCGTCGCGTGTTGAATCGAAGCGGGGGTAAAAATATATGTCGCCGCCCGACAGAGACGACACGACACCTGCCTCAGCAATCAATAAAAGCGGAGAATTTGTACAAGAAACATACCAATAGATCCAATGTCTATAAATTTGCTCATTCCTAGAAACATATTCACTCCAACGCCATCCTCAGCGCACTCTTCTCCCATCTGGGTCCATGTTGGATCGCGTGGTTTATAAAGTTTCTTTTCCTGAGCTGTATCGTACAAATCGGACTCGTTAGGTTGACCCTGTAACGCGCCAGCACCTATGGAGGGCAAAATACTTTGAAACAGCACGACTTGGCCTCCTCGCCCTACCTTGTAATGAGTTGAAACAGTGGATATTGTTGATAGGAGGCCACTTACTAGAGCAGCTTGGCAAACACGAATGGCAGAGCCCAAAGCTGCTTCCGGGACATAACTGTCCGTGAATCGTCCCGGAAGGGCGTCCAGAAAGTTTGTAATGATATCCCTAAGGAAAGCGATGAGGATATGGAAAAAATGAGACATAGTGAGATGCACACTTTCGCTCAACTGGTGATACAAAGAGACCGTGATGAAAGGGAATAAATACTTCATCAATATCAGGCGCAATAAACATGGGGACTTGATCAGACTGCTCAGAAGCGAATGAAAACATGTGTGAAAAACTTGAAAGGATTAAGAACACACCGTTAGATCATAAAAATGTATCCACCTGTCAAAAGTGAAGATGGCAATTTGGCTTTCTGGGGGAAAGCATGAATCCAGCGGCATTCCTTCCTCATCGACACCTCCGTAAAGAATTGTTACTAGGGCGTTGCAAGCTGTCTGCAGGAAACCAGACTGGACAGCCTCGTTTGAAACGTCGAAAGCGAACACATAGTTTAGAGGCTGAGGTTGTCTTATCCCAGTCGGTGGAGGTTGCGTCGAGAAGTATGGCCGTGTCAGTCCCACAGGAGGATGGGAAGCCCAGTATTCATCAGGTACGGCAAAATCTACCGTACCCTTCAGTAATTCTGGGCGTTGCAGTCGATCCATCCTATTCCCATTTTCATCGAGATTGCAGAAATACTCGGCGGATACTGTTGAAAGTCAGTACAATTTATGTGTAGAATTAGGACAAGGGACCTTCTGTTTCGTGACCACAAAGATTGCACTTCCACCTCCCTCCACCTGACGTCCATGAACACCACGGATTAATGTATGTTCTACATCTTTCGCAACGAGCGGGGTAGGTCTCCACCAGCGGTACGGACTCCTCCTTGGGGTCGAGTTCGGCGAAGGGTTGGAACACAGCTGCCAACGGAATGCTACAATCTGACGCTAGACGCGATGTACAAGGGAACGCCCATGTTGACGCTCGTACAAATTTCGGCGATGAATTCCCTGTTACAAATGATTTGTTTACATCAAATCCACCATGAAGCACGGATAATACCTTGATCAAGTGCATGGAAGTCCGTCGTCGACAATGGGGCAAGCTGTCCGGGCAGCGTCATATAAGGCTGATTCTGCCATCTGTTCCGGTCCCTTTCGATGGCTTCGACGGGAGATGGAACCTGGGACGGCTCAATGCGAGGCCGTAATCCTTGGGCAGTGTCAGTCACTCGAATAGAATGCCTTGATAAGAGGCACCTTTGTATGAAAAGCCTGTAGTATGAGGAGGTTGCGGTATGTGGGAAGCGGGATACATTGACGAGAGTAAATAAATAACTAATTATCGCTATTCTCGCTCGCTTTGCCAAAAGCCTTCAGAGTAAATACAAAAGTAACAAATTAATATTTCATCATCCTGATCTCGATTGTTCCTTTACGTCATCTGAAGGATCGATGAGTATTATTTTCTTAATTATAAATCTGAAATTAATGATTAAGAACTGAAATAATAGACCCCTCCTTTGTACCGCGACTTCACTAAATGTCTGTTCGCCGCCGATCGCCGGGCTTTTACAGTAACCGATCCCATATCTTATCTCATAGACGAGCGTCAGATATCTGATACTCTTTCTCAAACACTAGCATCCCTTCAACCACAGGCTGAGCAGGGAAACAACACCAGAAACGTTCGGACGCCGATGTACATAATGAAATCTTTCGTTGCGTGCCATCGAATGTCGGTTTACCCAATGCAAACAAGCAGTGCTTCCTGGAGAAGCCAGGAAACTCGCAACCAAGCATTCACGCCGCCCTATGATGTTGTCAATTTCGAAACTGCACTGGTTCTCGATGCGAACAATATGCAAGGTCGCAAGGACCTGGCGACCGATGCTACTCGCGCTGATCATCTTGATCAAGACACGAAACACTCACAACCACCTCCACGACACGCTATGCCGTTTAATGAGAATGAGAGTCAAGGACAGGTTTAGACTCCGGAAGAGAGAGAATCATGTGGCGGATTGGCATGATCGGCTTTGACCTTGGTATGAGCTGCGGATGCATTTCAGGTTGTATAAGATATGGCTTGTAGGAACGTTGCTAGTCCAGAAAACTGCAAACCACAGAACAAGAGAATAAGACGAGATCACATTTTTGGACTCACGCACACGATTTCAGGTATTCTCGCCATATCAACGAATAGCCGGATTCTTCTGCTTTGTCAGACACGGAGCAGCTGCACTTTGTACAGCTTACGCCCCCTAGCTTGACTTATCAGACCAGTCAGATCGGGGGGTGATTGAAAAATAGTCGCTTCGCCTAACGACGATGGTGAGCAGGTTCATCGGTGTACGATAATGGCGATGATCCACTGAGCATGCAGGATGCAATACAAACCGATCCTGCATAAACAGAAACATCCTGAGGCAATGATGGAGAGAAGACTGGAATGAAAGGCTGCAGATTGGGTAACTTTCTCATTGTTCGGTACAGAGTCTTCGTAAAAGATGACGGGAAGCTGACACCGACATGACCTTGGAAAACGGTCACTATTGCCGTGCCAGCGAGAAGGCCGCTTCTGTGTTACAGTAGAACACCAAACCTTACATAGAATTCCATGCACCAACATCAAGATTTCTCTTCCCATCGCTCGTAGATGTCATTTTGTAGACTGGACCGGTATGCGGTATCAATGGTGGAGCATAAAGCGTCAAGATCATCCAGCGCCGTCAGGAGAGCGGTTAGTGAGGATAGGTGATCTGGAACCTATGTGAGCATTGGATTTCCATCCGAAAGATCTACATACGTACCATACATTTGAATGCGGACATGTATAAAGTTCTCGGAAGGGTGAGGGACGCTATTAGACGTTTGCATCAGCACAATGGAAATAATAAGAACGATGCGATATAACACCCTTGACGCGTCATCGGTGTGTTAGCCAAAGCGCCTAGAGCAAGTCACCATGGCTAATTGCCATCGCAGAGGCACGAACAAAGAAAGGAAAAGAATGGCATGAAGTTTGATGCATACCTGTATCCACAAAATTCGACTTTGGGACTAGAAATCCTAACGTCAAATGGGCTACCACGGTGACGTATGATAGAAATACTTTTTCATAATCATCCACCGCAAGGCATTTCCTATGGTGTGCGATTCGTCATGAATTTTGTATGTTGCGGCTGACATGTCCTCAGAGGCTCCGCTCATCTGGGCTGATTCATTACAGGTGTACACTACTGAAAGGTAGGCAACAATGCTTACTATTTGTACTTTGGGTATTAGCTCTGCCATCTTCCGGATAGAGGGCTTTTGTGAGGCGGCAGCGCAAGAAGCGACGAGTCGATAGGCCAAGCTCCGAAGATGAATAGATAAAAATTGGCTATTGTGCGCGTTTCAAAGTCCGCATTTTCAAATTGCGACCTCCTTGCAACTTTCTTTGGCCTTCATAGGACTCTAAAATTTCGACATCTACAACGTGAAGCTTCAAGTTCAGCCGCTGGGAAAAAAATGCGTCGACACCTTGAAGTCCACAAATATACCCTCGAGGAAGTATACTAAACTCCGAATTGAGACAATTGAGACGTATTGTGACATGTGATAAAACAATGGTTTGTTTTCAACCTTCATTGTGTGCACCCGGGCTACTGAAGGCGACACTTTTGTTGGCGATGAATGGGTCGACCTGATTCTTTTCGAGCAATATAAAGTAATTACGCTCGCTTCGTGATATTTCCATCCTCTCCCCCGTTCTTGCTATTTCGTTCAAAATCAGAAAGCTGGTTCTCGAGTCCCGGTGGACCGCTACATTCAATCCAAAATTCACATCCTTCTATGCCTTCACAACGACCTACACTTCCACCGATTCATAGCTTGGACCTTCTTCCTTTGTGTAGGGAAGTCAATGCTACAGACGAATCTCAAAAGTGTTCAGTAAGTCGGTGCCTTTTTCAGTAGCCTAACTCGTTCTGATTATGTGGATAGTTACGCCCTATACCACTGTATCAAAACCATCGTTCACAACGTCAAGCCTCCATCTGTTCTTCTACATCTTCACGAACACCGTCTCCACCACCTTTGCAACATCCTTCCTCAGCATTCTTGGCCAGGATTCGCTTTCGACTCGTTCCATGTCCTTTGGATGCTGCAGACGCCGTTGTTGTTGTCCCTCCTCCAGATGCTCCGTATATTCCGCCACTTTCTGCTCTCCGAACGTCTGCATGCTACGCTCTGCGTTCCCAGGCCCTTTTCCTCATCGGACCTGCTCTACAGCAGTTGCGTCAACCACATCAGCCCCTTGCCAAGGGCGCCAGGGTGCATCCGTACCGTATTCTTCGTAGCGGGGAAGTCGACTGGAGATCACCAGTATCTTCGGACTCAGATATGTCGATTTCGTTATGACGATGTACCCACACATACGCAGTTCGCATATCTCATATCTCCGTGCCAATTACTGTATCATCCTCACTGTACCACAATGAAGCTCTTTTGAGGGGTAGCAGGGGAAATGGTTTCCTACTACTCGTTTTCGTTGTACATTATCTAGTTATTGGTGTTGAAATTGTATAGGTTTCAAGTACTCTGCCATCCGCGAGCTGACATCTACCCATGTTCTCCTTGATTTGCTGATCTACTTTTGGGCTATGGCACATCGGGATTCATACTCCCCGATTCCCGTAACTTTACGGAACAGTTCAATATAACTTACTATATCAGCGCTTGTTGAAACTTGCCACAACTTACATGATCATTGGAGTACTAAATTGCGGTACAAGCTCTTCAAGGTCAAGTGTGATGCCGCAGAGCGTTGCTTATCTGTAACAGTAGCGGTGTCACCAACGGGGAGTGCCCAATAATTATGTATTCTGTAGCTGATCTTGCGTTCTTTACCTTTGGGGGTTGATGTCGGTACCAAGGAACAGGAACAGAGGATGGTCATCGTCCTAAAGTAGTAAAGAAGTTGCCATATGTGGAAATGGAGATATGACATAGCGGCACGCCAGATCGAAACGTGATGGTTGCTCAAGTCCGTTCACCTCTCACTGGCTCTCAGACTCTTGTCTGCCAACCGCGATTTTCTTCTCTCACCTTACTCCATCCACGTGTTATCGAGTGACTCCTCGCGCAGACGCTGACGTCGAAGAGTCGACCGGAGTTCCCCAATCAATACCGGAGTACAGTCAATGATTTTTGGAGGTTTACGATGAAACGTCTGCTTTGCTTGGACTTTTCAATATCTCAAACCTTGGCAATGAGCCTACGACGCTCGTCACGTCTCTCCGTTGTTCTTGTCACAGTCTACTCGCCGTTTCCCGGGCGATTGATCTGTCGGGAATTGCATGTTCTCTCTCCGCGCTCATAACTCTTTGCAAAATAGCAGTACGTTGGTCCGCTCATGCCGTCTTATCTCAGGCCCGTCGCTCTGCTCCGTTTATTGGAATGGTGTGAAACGAGTCAACCAGTTACTGAGGCTTAGATATTTCGGCTAGGTATGCAAGGCGGTGACTGATATATAGAGAGCAAAAAATGAAGTATTCATACTAACATGGCTTCAAGTTCTCGCAGGAGTAACACTTCTTCTCGCGCCCCGCAGCTTCACAAGGGCGGCGCATGCCTTAACTGCAGGCACCGGAAGATTGTAAGATACATTGTTGCATCCTACCTTCAGCCCACTAAACTCATCTCCAGAGGTGCGATGGAAGACAGCCAAAATGCGGGCAATGCGCGGCTTCTACAATTTTCCACGAATGCGAGTATTACGGTCAAGGAATGACGAAGACGCGTATGCTAGAAGAACAGATATCCACAGTCGAACGACGTATTCGCGAACTTGAGAATGCCCGACAAGCAAGTCCTGGATCGCCTATAATTTTGACACAACCATACAATACTCTCCAGCCGTCGCAGGGTAAGAACTTTCTTGAAAACTTGTTGAAGAGGCCTTATTTACAACTCCTCAGGCAATTCTCGCAATGAACAACCCGTAAGTTAGTTACTGGTCGTCCCAAACCGCATATATTGAATCCGCAGAAGAATATGCCTGTTCAAGTTCACCAAGTTATGTGGGTACAGTGTGTGTTATGCGAGTTCTACCAATAATTGGTACACCCACAGCTTGCAGACATTCCTTCGTCATTGCGCGGAACTTGGATTCTTCCTCTACATTCCCCATTTTGTCCAGTCGGCAACTAGCAGCAACCTTGTCGAACGACCTGTTGCTGCTCTACTCAGTGCCGCATACCTATGGGGGATCCATCTCTCCCCTTCCCCAGACATCGTGGCGTGGGAAGGTCTCTTTCTTGCTCAAGCTGTAAATCTTGCGTCTCAAGGACTAGCAAACTGTCCTTCTCATCCTTACGGTGTTATTCAATGCATCCAGGCCGAGGTACTTCTAGCTCAGTATTTCTTCCGGAATTTGAAGATGCTCGAGGGAAAATATCACACCAGCGCTGCAGTCTCCCTCGTGCTTAGCTCTGGGCTGCACAAGATCAGGTCTCAGAGCGGAGGCAGCGGGTCTATCCTCAGAGAAGCACGTGACGCTATTGAGGAAGGGGAGAGACTCAATGGTCTCTGGACTGTCGTGATCTTAAATAACTCTTGGACCGCTGTAGATGGATCTCCTTCCAACCTATCTGAAGAAGACTCGACAAGAATCGACGCGCCTTGGCCTTTGGATATAAATGATTATTCCAAGGTAAGTCTCTTCATGTTTCTGTGTTTGTGTGTTTGTTAAACCCTCCGAAAGCTCCCTCATCCTTTAGACAGAACCAGTCATACTATCCACAGATTCATGCGGGGTGAAGCTGACGCAGGGACATCCATTCTCGCACTGCACACTAAGGCGTCAATTTTATTTGAGCAAGCTTCGCTTTTCAAATCAAAGCTGCATCCTGGTGAGATTCACCCTTTCTTCATGTGAACCGTGCATTAGAAGTACGTTTATTAGGAATGAATAGCACGCAAGTTAATCACTTCAAGGCAACTTTTACTTCGTTTTCCAACGTCCTGGAACGCTTCATTGAAAGGCTGCCCACTCTTCAAGCCATGCTGGCGCTAAGCACGCCAGCTACCGCCATAATGATTCACACCTTGGTTCATGCCACTGTGATCACTCTTCATTTGCCTGTCATATCCTTGAACCCCAATTCTGTGGAAAGAATGGACAAGGCAGCTCTCGCTATAACGCAAGTTTTGAGCGCAATGAATATCACTGAGTTTCCTTTCCTCGACGCGATTCTTGGTGTGAGTGTTGATATGTGCGGTAAAGAACTGTTCCTTGATTTTACCTTCCATTTCACACAGGTCTTGTGGTCAGCCGCTTGTAGATTCTTGATCGGCCGAGTATCGTCAGTCCCTCAACCTCAGCAGGCTATTACACAACAGCTACTACAGATGGTCATAGGTGCTTTGACGGTGGTTTCACCTACATCGGCTTTCGTGGGTGAGTACTCAAGGTTCCGCATGATAAAAACTGCTCAAAAACTTGTAACAGATTACGAATTGAGGAAATTGCGCGGAAACTGAGCGAAGGCGCTACTGATAAGTTTCATCATAATATCTCAGACATCCATTTAACTTAACCAACCTCATAATTTCCCATATAAACACTCTAGCTGCACATAATACTTTTTCTTACCTGTAAGATCGAATTAATGAATAATGTCTCACTGAATTCCTCGCCTCGTTTAGCTTTGCAAATGCTACCGATTAATATCTCCTGCTGGCCTGACCGTTATCCGGTCATCCCTTCCATGCTCTACATATTGCGGCCAAGGTGAGCAAAAGAGTAGTGAATCTGATGTTCGACTGTTGCCCTATTGTTTCAAGTTGGGTCAGTGGGAGGCACGATACAACGCGGTCTCTTCGCTCTGTACCACCGGTATTCTGCTCGCAGGCTTTTTCACTTTCTTCTAGTCGCTCCCTTTCCTCAATCATCTCGCTCTCCTTTTGATCCGTCCACCTGGTACTTTTAGTCTTTGAGTAGTGTCTGGTTTGATGCAGCAGTTACTTCCACGCTGCTCACGCTTCAGGTCTCCCGAACACCTCAGCTCTCGGCTTCTCCTCTCCGCAAGTCTCGCTGACAGTATCTTCATACTGTCCATTTGTTGAAACTTCATCCCCAGTCCATGAGCAGAGGACCTGACCATGCTTTACATGCCGGTTTGACCCCCCCAACCCAAGAATTCACAGATTTCTTGACTCAGCACTGAGTACTGAGCACTCACTCATTCATTCCGCATATCTCATCATTATCTCTTTGATTCTCACTTTCATTCCTGCAGCTTAACTTGACCATCCTGAAACCCACTTACACTCATGGACCAATCCACCAATGTCACCTTCTGTGTACCCCGGCCATGTCTGGTCAAAGTCCTCACGTGGTCGTAGTCATTTCGAAGCCCAAGCAAGGGTATATACTAGATAACTATGTTCGACTTCGACTTGATCGATTTGGCTTCTCTGCGAATAACGTCACTTATCGGGCTTTTGGTGAGCATCCGCATTATAGGCAAGGTTGTGTCGTTTCCTGAGGCCAGCCTTTCCAAAGCTTATCACAGATACTTGACGCTGGCTAGATATCTCTTGCTGCCAGTGTCTCCTTCGGACATGAACAAGTTTGCACAGGCCCTACTTACTGACAGGTATGTCGAACAGATTATATTTCACGAATTCTCTTTGAATTCTTTGTTACCAGATTATCAACCATACAGTCAGATACCTTGTTGCGTGACAGATTCGCGAGATGGCGCGTCCACGATCCTCTTTTCCTCAGGGACCTCCAAAACCCCTTTTTGCATGCCTACCTCATTTGTAAACGAAGGAAACAAAACCCTGAAAATCATTGGGCTCATCTCTTCATGAAACACGGAATTCACGAAAACTCTGAAGCTTAATGATGAGGTGCTTGAATACAGCACGTTCACGTTCTCTAGTTTCCTTCGTAGACGGGAGAAAGATCGGCGGGTGTCCATGGCAGGAAATGCACCATTAAACCAGTGTGTGTCTGATCACTTTTCTTCACATATACTGGTGTGCTTGCGGTTTTTATTACATTGAGAATGACCAACCTTTCCTCGTTCTGGTGTATCGAAGGTGAGGACAGGTCATACTTTCGGTTCCACGCCTTTATCAGATCCGACGTCAGCGTTCCGGCTCCAGGAGGAACATTTCTTTACACCAAAGTGATTAGCGCGGCTTCAGCTTAGAGTAGAAGAAATTTGTACGGTGCAGGAAATAACTTGGAAGGCGCTGATAAGAGACTAGCGGCTGGGTGGCGATCGAAAGGGTGTGTGTCTGCTGAATACGAAAGAATTGTGAAGGACGGTGTCAGGCCAAATAAAGGGCTAGTGTGGAGCCTCTGGAATTCAACGGACTTGCCTTCGCTGATTGAGCTGCTACAATGTCTTCTCCCTCAGCTCATGCTTTCAGACCACGTTTCTTGTTCCGTCAGTTTCATAAATAACTGTGTAGGTCTTGCATACGGTTTGTTATATCCGTTGTAAAGGTAATAGATGTTGCGATTGGTGATGCACTGCACTATACATGACCGGAGTCCCGGACCGCACTGAGGTGCCAAATTAGCAATCCCCCTCTTCCCACTTAACCGAATATCCGTACTGTAACGAACGTGCTCGTCGAGCGTCTAGCAACAGTAATCATCTACTCGAAGATGGTGACATATATTACATTCAGCTCTTCTTTCCTGACTCATTTTCATGTAGTACGCAGACATCGAAAGCCTTGTTTTGTCTGGAGAGCTCTTCAACGGAACCTCGCGTTCGTCATCACCTATTCGGACGCCATCGCCGTCCTCGGATAAAGGATGGCACGACGACGAGATCGATTCAAGTAATGCCACGGTGCCTCCAGAACCTCAGCAGGATTCAATTGGGATGGGTCCTGGTCGTACTGGCGTCAAGGGTGTCATCCGCGACTGCCACGAGGCCGAGACCCTTGAACGGCAACGGCAGGCCAAGGAGATGGCAGAGCTTAGGACTCGAATGGAGAAGAGCAGTCTTGGGGGAAAGTCGTACTTGGAAGAGGAAAGAGAAAAGGCAGACAGGGGTGATGAGAATGTGGATCCATTGGTGAGGAACGAACGCGAGCGAAGAGATTTCTTTGGGATGGTAAGGCAGGGAAAGTTTGGACATTTGAGGGAAGTTGGTGTACGCACTTTTGTCCAGGCCGTCGAAAAGGAGGATAAAGCTGCCTGGGTCATCGTGCACCTCTACGAACCTGTAAGTGTCGCTCCATCATTTCCCGCTGATGCTGCTGAATACATCACATAGTCGTTGGACAGATGTTATTCTCTCGACGAGACTCTTTCTCGCCTGGCTCGATCACACCCAGACACTAAATTCTTGCGCTGTCGGGCGTCGGCCCTCGGTTTCGCTTCAAGTGGTTCAGCAGTGACCAAGTCAACAACGCACCGGCCGTCTCGTTCAATTCGCGAGGATGATGACGACCCCTATAGTGACAAAGACGACGACCATGACGAAGACGATTATGACTCCGATGAACAGAATCATTATGCTGAAGAAGATGTTGACCTTGACATGCTCCCCACCATGCTGGTTTACCGAGATGGACAGCTCATTCACAACTGGGTACGGGTGGACTGGGAGGCAGGAGCGGCTGGCATCGATGAATTACTCGAGAAGTGAGTCGGACGAAAAGTCTGTATGCGTTCATATCATGACCTTCACAGGAATCGAATATTGCGCCCAGCTGAATCCTTTCTTGGGAGAGATAATTTTGGTCTTCCGAGTGATGATGAAGACGATGACCTTCTTTGGGACGAGGAGAGATGAAAGTTCTGGTTTTCGAAAGGAATCTACTGTAGATATATCGAAGAGTCGGTAAGCACTTTATGCTTTACCTATTCGCAACTCGTTATCAAGCCGATATCAGATCCCACTTATATCTTCCCGCTTTGTGTATCCTTAGTGGCATGCAGGTCGAGTGTATCATCGGTTCAGGGATCAAAAATCCTATTCTTTGCTTGTATCTTGGCTCCACGTCTTAAATTCTGTAGACGTATCATCGCGTGGTCCATCTAGTATGTTCTCATCAAGTGAAACCCCTGATTTCTCGGCTGCGTTGTGCAGATCCATATTCATCTCTGCAGACTCGTTCAAATTGAACATGGCAGTTCGATGATAAAATTTAGGGCCATCTAAACCGTGCGCTACCTCCATTGTAGACGCGGCTCTCCTTGCTGTAGCTAAGACTAAATCTACAGCTCTTATGGCCACTTCATACAGGGAAAACAATTCAAGTACCATGCTACGACAGGTGACTATCTTTTTCTAGTCATTGGACCGATTGAGTTTGCATTGCATACTGATCTTTGAAAACAGACAAGTGCGCATCTAAGACGAAAAAAGAAGCCAATCCCACCCTGGACTCGGTTTCATGGGCTGTACTATGTATAACTCTGCTCACAGCCGAGGAAAAATCATCTCCGTCACTCCACATGAAACTGCCTTGCCAACCTTCTCCATGCGGAGCCGACTTCTTCGATAGACTGGAGTTGGAGCCCGAAGTCAAAGTTGTGTCATCAAAACGTACACGGATTAACTCTCGACTCTGCGGCAAAGAAAGAAGTAAAAATTGCGAGAACCCCACGAGCAGCCCTTATCGCCGATCAGCAAGGACACGATAGGTCTTGTACTCTCAACTCTACAATCATGACAATCGCGTCCGCGCCCTTCGATGTTGTCGAAGACGCCGGTGTCATCCTTCGATCTTCCGATAATGTTGAATTTTTTGTCTTGAAAAGCCTTTCTCTCTTTTGCTTCTTCTTTCTTCAGGAACCTATTCTCAGATGGCAATCCAGAAGAAATGAAGGAGGGTCTACCTGTCGCTCCGGTACCAGAAACAGGCAAAAATATTCGAACACCTTCTCTTCTACTATCCAGGCGAGGCTCCGTCACTCGAAAATATTGACGAGGTCATAGAACTCTACGATGCTGCTTCCAAGTACTGCATGAACAGTGTTGGGAAACGCATGCAGACCTCCCTCCTGAAATCACCGCTCATTCGTCAGGAGCCTGTGCGTCTCTTCGCCATCGCTGTTCATTATGATTGGCGAGAAGTATGTGAAGCAGCCGCTAAGAACACCCTTTTCCATCCCGCCAACGACCATCCAGCCATCGACGAGCTCAGGCTGATAAGAGGTCTTGATTATCAGCGCTTCCTGGATTACCATAAAAATGTGACGCTGTTGCTGAAGCCGTGGTGTAGAGCGCGTCTTCCTCGAGGCGCAACATGTGTTGGAAAGGAATACCTGAGCCCTCGTCTTCCTGGTGGTGCGCCAGCGGGCTGTGCTGCTCAGATGCGCGCTCCAGCGTCACGTGCATCTGTGGTTGATGCGGTACTTTGAGGATGTACCAAATAGGCTGAAGGAAAGTCCCAGAAGACCGTGGCGGATGATGATATTGTGAATAGATTGCTTAATATTTATTGCGCACCGTGTAAAGCGACAATGGTCACGGAAATGCGTATCGTCACGAATCGGCTGTGTTTCACAGGTACATTTGAGCACTTCTTAGGCTGGGCCTGCTTATCGTTTTACGCAGGTCACACTTGAACTTAGAGCTTAGCCCTCACATTGAAGCGGTATGACGCACACGGATTAAGTTGGTCCTAGTCAGTGTCGAGCCGATCACATAGTTAAATTTATAATGCACCATTTCCAGGCGACGCGCACAACGATTAAGCGTCGTAAGAGCTTTGCGCAACAAGCTACTGAAGACCTGACACTCATCGGTGTCTAAGCATCAGTTTCGGCACAAACCTAAAATGATGGTGTTTTAATAGCCCTCAGTAATAACAGTTTGGTTGCCTTGAACCCTGACGCGTGACGCCTGATCATTGCTCAAGCTGTAGAGATGTGACTACCATGTCTATAAAATTTCCAGTATCATATCCTCTTCCACCGTCTGCACTCTCCCTTTCAACTCTAATCCAGACATTGATGATATACTAGGAATCCGCGCTGCGACCTGGTATCTACAGCTTTTCGTAGGTATAACTACCTTCGCTGTCTCTCCACGTAGCGCTATCGATTCGTGGTGGGCTGCTATAGTAACCTCTCTTGGGCTGCAAACAGTTGTAATTGTGGATTATAAACAGCTGTAGCTTGTCGCTGTATCATGTGCTCATCATACTTGGCTTGCCTTTCCCGTTTTCATCATGTCTCTTCTATGGGTTCTTGTCATGGGGAGAGCGAATCTCTCATGGAAATTAAACTGGGTGCAAATGGTATATGCCGCATGTGTTACTTTCCACACTCTTATTACTTACCGCTCATAATAGTTCGCCCAACATCAACCTGTGGATATGTATCACTGTGCCCTCTTTTGGCAATGATCAGGTTAAGTTCACGCTATTCACCCTTTCGAGACCGACGGGATGGGTGCGTCACTTGGTCCTTTACATACATGTGTATCATCTGTTTTTCGTCGCGAACGTTCGTTGATCCTTGTCTACAAGATTGGCGTGTGAGCATAAGGGCTTGTCGTCCCATCTACTATTGGAGTAGTGTTTTTGTTTCTTCGCTTCGTCGCCCGCTTCCGCCTGTCCCTACGCGCCTGGTTGGACACTCGTTCGATACCCAGATTCACCCAAAAGCCTTCCCTCAGCCTTCGCGCTGGTGCTCAGTCTATGCATGGTGAAGCTAATAATATTTTCCAACACAGACATCGTGGAGGGTGGGAACGACAAATGGACCTTTGGACAGGTCAGCTATGATTCTAGTAGCAGGGCCATTGGTAACCTTTCGAAAGACAGTAACGGAGGAAATGAGACATACGAAGGGGAAACCGTTGGACCCACTGAGCAGCCGCGCTATTGGATATCATAAAGAGTAATTAGGCAGTGGGGGAGATCCGGAGAAGCAAGTCGTTATTCTTTATTTTTAATTTCTGAGGTTTAACTAAGTACTCCCCCCCGGTTGATAGTATATACGCACGCTCGAACACTGCAAGCTCAGATTGCGTGCTCCAATGTGCCGACTCCACGACAATTGATCGACCAAGAGCCCTGACAATGTGTATTTTGTTTCTGTTAGTATTGACCTCTGCGTAAGCAATGAATCACCTGCAAATGGGACTTGCCCCGAATCACAGCCAAGGGCTAAACATCCAGTTCTTAGTTCATACGGGCCCGAAAGAGCCAAGCAACAGATGCAGAAGCGACTACTACCTAGCAAGGAAGAGTCCATTCAAATGAGTGTCCGAAGAATGGCATAATTGATTTCGTACGTATTGAATAATGAGTTACAGAGCAACAACGGGTTTATCAATGCAATATGTAGCTCCGCGAAAGTGGCATCCGACGTTCCTTATGTCTTGGGAAGCGATATCTACATAGAAGGCCTTCTTCGGGAGATGCGATTATACTATTAGACTATTAGCGTCCGGGGCCGGTGAATGAAACTGTGTAGTACCTTTCATACACCCAATGCGAATGCCGCCGATGTTTCAATGGTATGAGTGCCAGTAGGTGGTGGAATAGGAGGGTAAAATGGTGACATAGTGCCAGGATTTTTTTGCCTGATATCAATTGTCGCCTATTCTTGTCAGGTTAATTGTGCCAATCCTGAGTTACGAGTCAAAACGTTCACCGTCACATTGCGATCAGCTGATATGATGAACGGAGCCCAACTTGGGTCTATGGTATAGCAGGCGGTGAAACGTGACGGGGTGCGGCTGCAAGACGGGGTATGCTAAGCTCTTACATTCTCAGAAGCCAGTAAAAAGTCCGCACAATGACCAGAAGCATACACAGTTAACGTTTACATCGATATCCAGCGCTGGCCTTGTGCGTGAGTCGTTGAAACCCTTTAGCTTGTTGTTGGTTGAAAGAGGCGAAAGAAAGTTGAATTATCTGGATCATAGAAATTTTGAAAGACACGTGATACAAGAGGGGTTTATCAGGAAATAGTGGCCCGAAAATCGGAATTCTTTTTGCATCACTCAGTGGAGGAACAAGTAGAAATGCACCAGAGCCAAGCCGTGGACCTTCTAGTAAGTATTCTCGGATATGAAGTGATAAAGTAAGAGCCTGCTCTTTTGACCACGGGATCGGTCGAATCTGAGATCTTCGTTATATCACCGTTGTCTTTACTAGATTGGGATTGATACACAGTGACACATGACCGCGGGAACTCGTCTCCAGTCTCCGTCGTTCTTAGATCTTGACGCCGCGCACGACGTCGACGACGACGTGCAAGCCATCATGGCCAGCGTCAACGGCCATTTCTCGTCTGCTGGCGACATGAAGTCTCATCTCCAGAGTCTCCTTGACAGCAAGGAGCAGCAGCTTCAGCAAGCCGCGACCTTTGGGCAGCGGGTTCTCGCCCAACGAATGGAACTCGAGGATCGTATCAGGCAGCTTCAAGAGGTCGAGGCCGACAAGACAGGTGACGAAGATGTTGAACCCGAGGCGGTGCAGAAATACCAGGAGCTCACTGACACGATGATGGGCTGGGATACAGAGAATGCATTACTTTCAAGTGCATTCAACAGTTCAGCAGTGTGTTTCCAACCATTTCCCCCACAGTTGTTCAATCTAAAAGCTCCTGCTAGATGGAACGCTCTTCTATTCCCGTCTCCGATCTACCTCGAGACGAACCGGAACGTTCGCGTACTTCAACGAACACCTCCACTGCACAATCTCGGCGGGCCAAGAATGCAGCACATCGTGCTGACGACGTCGGTACGTATGGAACTTTTTCCCTTTCTTTTTGCTTACAATTCCACCAGAGTTTGCTTTTGAAATTGGCAGTGGCCTTCTCAATGAGGTACGACGACTTCAAAGTCTTCTCGGCGAGCGAGACAAGGCCATTCAAGACATGAAAGAGGAGAAGGATGATCTAGATGGTACATTGGAGTCGCTGCGAACCGCTCTCAAGCAACAAGAAGCAAGTGCCGGTGCGTTCTACTTTATCTTTTCCCCGTGGCTACTGAATTTCAGTGGCAGACAAATATAAAGAAGAGAACTGGAATCTTGAAGTCAGCCTTCAGGACCTACGTACGCAACACGCCGATACCCAATCCACCGTTCAGCGCCTTGATTCAGAGCAGAAGCGGCTCACAAAACTTCTCGCTGCCTCCCACGACGCTTCGGAGCAGTATAAGAATGAAAATGCTCAGCTTCAAAGTATCATCGAGGACCTAACAGCAAAGCATGAAACTGACGTGGCTTTGGCACGCAAGCATGCCGCGGCTTTGGCGCGGGATAAGAGTGACTTGCAACAGGCCATAGATAGGCTTAAAGCAGAGAAGGAAAGGGCTGGCAGGAAGTTTGGTCGGTTCGGAAGCCCGGCGACGCCTAACACCACCGAGGGACTTCAAGACGAGGAGTATCTTACTCCCGCTGGGTATGGTGATGACGTTTTCAGCAACGCGGGCTCGACAAACAGGAGAATCAAGGCAGACACCTCGTTACTCTTTGGCGACGAAACGGACGGAGAGCTCTCTCCCGATCAGAGTCCTATGTCAAGATCACCGTTCTTTGCTGCCAATCATCCCGTCAACGAGATTGAGGTTCTGAAGCAACGTTTGGCGCATGCCCACCGGCAGGTTGCGACGTTAAAGGGTGGGTTAATGCGAGAAAGAATGGGCAAGGGTCGAGGGATGCTGGTGGAAGATGATGATGAGGAAGGCTTTGAGGACGTCGCTAATGCGAATGAAGGGAACGTCAGGCCAGGCGCTTCATCGACCAGACCGAGGGGCAGAGGACGTGGACGTGGACGTATACGTGGACGGGGTCCAACCTTGACAGAGCGACTTATGGCTGCTGATAGTCCATCGTCGGTCAGCGAGTTTGACGATGATGCGTCGCCGACGCGTGGTGCTTCCATACCTCCCATCCATTTCCAAGGCGCTGATGAAGATGACATGGAAGATGTCGCCATAGAACTGGACGATGATGATGATATTTTCAAGGCCGACCTTGAACCATCAGCAGAGTCTCCATCGAAGCGTTCGAGTGTTGCAAGTGTAGACGGCATGGATCCTGTTTTCGCGAACATCCTGCGGCGAACACCGTCAACGAGTTCCATACCTCCCAATACCAGTCCTTTACATCAGTCTCTTCTTCGTCGATCGACAAGAGGTGGTGCCGTTGGAAGAAGATCCAGAGGAGGCGTGTTCCAAGAGGGCAGACCTCCCTCGTTAGTTGGGCAGCCGGAAGACTTGGCTTTTGCTCTCAGTGGTACATCTCCTAACAGCGGAAGCATTGATGAATTTGTTCAGGTCGAAACGGCTGAAATAGCCTGTCAAACCGAGTCTGAGGAGGAGAAGACACTGGAAGCCATACCAGTACCCGTGAAAGAGATTGCGCATATGGGGGTCCAATCTGAACCAGAAGTCCGTCCCGCAGTCATCCCGATGTCCAATATATCTATACAAACCGACGTCGAGGATCGTGTCTCGAAACCTGCCTTACGCGACGCAGGAATGAGCACGGATCCTTCCCCCTTGATGGTGCCAGCGGAATCTCAAACTCCTTGTGTCTCTACAAAGGAGATCGATGTTCAGGTCTCGCCCGTACCTACCGCTGATTCATTAGTTCGACGTACTACCATCACGCAACGTGATTCACTGGCAAGCGGTTCTCGTTCGCGGCTGGCATCCAATGCAACCATTACCGCCAGTAAGACTTCACCACGTCCTTTTGTCGGTTCTTCCTATGCAGAGGAGTCAGATGCAGACACAGAGACAGGAACCGAAACCGAAACCGACATGGACGATTATCAGGACGCTCGACAGAGTATCATGCTTGGATCGACGCCTTCACAATCCAGGGACGAGTTCCACTCCATTCGAATGTCTTCCATGCACTCCGAGTCGAGAGATGACTTCCACTCCGTGATGACCATGACCGACAATGAATACGAGGACGAAGACGAAGACGATACTGATACCGAAAGCATTAAGGCATCGAGAGTGGGCAGAACCATGCCCTCTCCTACCCCGGCATTTGTTTCTTCACCTGTGTCATATGATTCCAAGTCCATCGAGGCCATTTTAAGAGACGAGCCTCCCGCATCACCACCAAAACCCGAACTCAAAGAGATGTCCATTCAGACCGATGAATGGAAACCTCAGCCGCCTACACCAGCCGTTCCTATAGCTCCTTTACTGTACCGAGTTGGATCTACTACCCAACAGTTCCAATTCATTCCCCCACCCTCGACTCAAATAGTGCCAAATTCCAACGGACCATCGACTATACCTCCCGTTGTTCCTACTCCTACTTCTCAAATATTCAGAGATGCCAACATTCGTCATCAACGCTCCTCAACAGACTCCCGAAGACAGTCTATCGAGTCTGCTCTTTCGTCCATATTTGATGATGGACCGACGCCAAAGGCAACTAATTCACTGGCTCTTGTAGACAAGTCCCGTCCACCAATGATGGCACTACCCCCACCTCCTCGGGCACCCCCACCCCCGGGGAGTATGCCTCCTCCGAATTTCATACCCGAGCGAAGAATGCCCATCTCTACTGGATCTTATGATATTCCTCCTCCACGTCCGTCATCTCCTCCGCCTCCTGAACTCATTCAACGTGCCACCACCCCTACTTTCGGATCTGTGCTTTCAATCAGTAGGACTACCTATGGTCCTCGACCACATGGGTCTAGCATGCCGCCTATGCAACAAGGATTGCGTCCTCTGCCATCTACGAGTAGCTTCCGATCTGCTGCGAATGCTGCAGCCTTGTACGTCCCACATAACCGAACCGGAAGAGAAATGTCGACGACGTCACTAGTAACCGACCGGTCGCCTCGATCGTCGATGTCCTCTGATCAGAATCCGTTCCGCAATCCAACGACGCCCCAGAATAGGGCGACGGAACTTCCTGGACGTGGAGAAGGACATCCCACGGATCCGGCGATCATTCATTCTATCACACAAACGATGATCGGAGAGTTCTTGTACAAATATACAAGGAAGACCATCGGGAAAGGATATGGAGAGCGAAGACATCGGAGGTTTTTCTGGGTGCATCCATATACCAAGACTCTGTACTGGAGTTCTGCGGACCCAGGATCATCGAATGTATCAGAGTCCAGTGCGAAGAGTGGTATGTATCTCCTCCATTCTCGTAGCGCATTTCCTGGTTAATATGGTGTTTTAGCCTATATAGAAGGGGTGCGATCCGTCCTAGATCCTAACCCGATGCCTCCAGGCTTGTATCAGTACAGTGTCGTGGTGTCTACCCCTCAGCGAGAAATGAAGATTACTGCGCCGACCAAGGAACGGCATGATATATGGCTTAATGTTTGTCTGAATACTTGCTAATCTCCCGATTTTCAAAGCTGATCCCCCTTTGTGTTCAGGCTTTGAAATACCTGCTATCACGGCCAAACGCCGTCAATGTCAACTCTCCGGGGAATACCACTACAGTACCTGACAGTCCGATGTCTCTTGGTGACTTCGCAGATGACGACCGACGCCCTATCATGTCGAGCCCACAAAGTCAGAGAAGTGGACGGAGCACGCGGCGCGCAGCAGACGTGTTTAACACGACGCCGAAAGGCAAGCGGAGCAGATCGCAAATCTCTGTAGGCGGTTCCATTGGCAAGCGGTCCGGAACACCGGCTGCAGAGTATCTACGGTGGAACGGCCCGGAGAGTCCCTACAGCCCGACAAAATCCTTCGTGGACGTCCATGGGGATGGCGACGACCTCGATTTTGAATTGCACGGCGAGTCTGATGATGAGAATGGATTCGAAGGACTGGAGAATGTGCGTGCTTGTTGTGATGGAAGGCACACCGTTGGCCATTCTGGGCGACATCCTCATCACCACCATCATAATGGGAATGGACTTGATCCCAATTCTGCTGGCCCTTCAGAACAGGCTCGGCCCGTATCACCGTCTGCGTGGTCGTTCCGTTCGAGTACCAATTCTCACGAAAGCGGAGGCGCAGCGCTATTTTCATGGAGTCGGAGTGATGGAAAGCTTCGGTTTGGATCGCGACGCTCTACGAAAACGTCAGTCACCTAGTGATCTATGATTTTACATTCTCTGTTTCGGATTGGAATGGTTGCTTTAGCACATTTCACATTTTCCCTGTTTCATCTACACATACGTTGCTCTGCATATGCTCCTTGATAATCCTGTTGCCATATTATGACTATACCATTACCACTCATTTTCTTTTCCAAATTTTCTCTCTCCCGAAACGCGTTTTGTTAGTATTGTCAATTTATCCTTTTCTTGTGTACGACATGATATTGAATGTTCATTCATACGTTCCTTCAATCAACCACATTGTGTCACCTCTACTGAGTGATTCCAGACAGCCTGCTTTTGTTCGTCGGAAAAGGAGTACTTCTTGGATGGGAGCTGACACGGGTTTCCTTTGTAGTCCCGCAGATAGAAACGCTCATTTCCCTCAATCAAGGCGAAGAGCATGCACTCTGCGCACTCCTCGGGGGAAGTCATGAACCGTCGGATGATGAAATCCACCAGAGGTGAGAACAGGCGCAACAGCCAGAGAGTATAGTTGTGATTTCCAGGGGTATTGACAAAGCCAGGCCGTATGTGTGTGAATTCAATGGCTGGATTGCGCTTGGCATATTCCTGTTTAAGAAGATCAATCCTCAACGTAATCACTTCACGATGAAGGCTCACTTCAACCATAATATCATTGTCTAATGAATATGCCATCCACTCCCCCCTTTGGGGCGTATTTTTAGCTTGGCAGCCTTCATACTTATCGTGAAGCCAAGCTGCCACTTGTCCTGCCCCCCCGAATACTATAGATGCTTACACAACCTACAGCACCTTTGCAGGTATTAATGCAGAAGCCCATGCTTGCCGTTTTTGTTAAGGATTGAAAGCAGTTCAGTGCTAATGATAGTCAACCAGTTAGGAGAGATTGCGCGCATTGATGTTTTTGAGATCTTGAACCATGTCGCGAACATTCAGCGAGACGGAGAGGGTATTTACTGCTGCCGTTTCACCCACGGCTTACCACCTAGATTAAACAACGAATGCAATTTTCAAGTTGTGCGGGTTCGAGGTCAATAACAGACGATGAAGAAAGACTCAATAATTTTGAGGCCCATAGTGAGCATTACAATATTTGTCTAACGCTTCTCCTCTTATGCGCTCATGTTCATAATCGCCCTTTGACGCAAGCACGTCGTAAGGGCGACAGTAAAAACGTCGTCAATGTCGATCCATCCGAGACAAACAGAACGTCCTTTTCATTCTGTGTCTTCGTAGTCGGCGCATCCTACAGAATAATCCCGAAGTGCAAAGATTTCGCTGCGAATGATAGGACCTACTTTGTGAACGAAACAGGTTGCATTGTTGAAGTTCGGTTGATTGAATCGTGATAATCAGAAGTCCGAGGGAAGGCTGGCCTGAGAAGAAACGAGTATGGTGTCAGGCCTGTATCCAGAGCCGTTGCGACATACACTGTGAGGCTGAGATTTAAGCCCACGCCGCAGGGTCTTTTACGATCATACAAGGGAAACGATTAGTAGACGGTGGCTCAGGACAATCCTTTCATTCACAGGGGGGAAGTGACACGGTGGCATAGCCCTAGAGAAAGGTAGAAAGGTAGATAAATAAGTCGAAGTCCCGGCTCTGGAACCCAACAAAATGACGCAATACCACAGTGTTCCAGATAGCACGTGGGAACGTCGGTCGTCGGTCCTGCAACAAGGTACACGACCTGCGAAAAAACCTATACTGAGCTCGACCTGATGATAAGCCCAAAGAGAACATCAGAACCCAAGTGACTTTGCCTTCGAAATTCTTTGTTCGATCTCATCTGCGAACAATCTCGCGAACTGATAAATGATCTGGTATCCTCACGCTCGTCTTGTGCTTGCCAAGGTATTCTTGATGAAAGCCTTCCCTATGGGACCGTCGTCAATCTGTGTAAAATGTGTACGGCCAGGTTTTTCTCATGAGGCCGAGAACGCCGAACTTTTGAAGTCCAAAGTTTTGGCGAATAAATGCACAACACATGGACGACAATAGTCGAGGTGGTCGGTGTTACAAGCCAGTGACGCAGGTCAGCTTGTCGACGACGATGCATTGAATATTTCTTGCAGTTTGGACCGGGAGCACGATGGGGATAGAAAAGGCAGCCGGAGGATCTATCCGCCAAGCACCTATTCGTTGGACTTAGAGATGTCGAATCCATCGAAATTGGATTGAATCCGTCGGAAGTCGGGACGTATTAATAAGCCGTTAGGCACGTGATGTAGGCACGGCGGAGCTTTCCAAGTTTCCTTTTTCACCCTTCATTCTCAAGTCACTCTGTCCTTTTATGACTGAAAGGGATCTCTATTCGCCACCCTTGTCTACCCCAGAATTATTTCTAAGATCGCTCTCCATCGGAACTCCTTTCGAGGACAAAAAAGATGAACCAGACCGGAATTTTGTCCCCAGACGGAACGGGATTTTGTATCCAAAAAGAGTAACTCACAGTCACTTCAACCGTTCTTTACGGGCTCAGAATGTTCCGAGCAGGCTTCCAGTAGCTCCTGCTTCGTGATGGTCATTCACTGAGAATTCCTTTGCATTTTCTTCATCCAATTGCCTTGCCAACTATGGACATCGAGGACGTCTACACAGCGTTTCAACTTGCCTACAGGTACTGGCAGGTAGAATAAAGTTGTCGTCCGGGGTGCGCGTCATACACTGTAACATCCGGTGAAAATCACGTAGAAACCTATCGAGGGCTTAGGTAAATGTATCACCGGCACAGACTATCGTGCCTCTACCATCGGCTGGGCGAGGAAAGCCCCTACATTTACGTTCCACCATTCGGTGCTGCAGCGCTGTCAGTCCGCCTACCACCTACAACGCAATCCCTATCTTGTCCTCCAACTTCTACCGGTGTTGTTTTTCAGCTTCCTCCCCGCCATTTTCTCGACAGTCTACTCCAATATTTGGCAATATGTATTATATAACGTTGCTGTAGGCGTTGAGGATGATGACTGCCGGTTAGACTCCTTTTCTTCAAAATTCGTGGAGCGCTGAGTGGAGCTGCTCGGGATACCACTCTCCCGGACAACCTATAAAGAGTGTCGGGCATAACACCATTTCGAAGGCCATCTTGAGGGTGCGATTTTTCCTTTGTGGTTCCGAGGGCGGACCGACTGTCGAACTTCCATGGACTTAAAGGTACAACTGAAAGTTGCCAAATGAAGGAGAAACCCTTTATTCGTCGTATTTATCAATAAAGCTTCGCGCAGCCACCGTCTTCTCTTATCATCATTTTGTATGGTATTCTCGGTCTCAATCGAGTTCCTGGCTACCGGAATACGTGTATCTCGAGGTTCAGACTGGAGCTCCAGTAACGGCATACTATATTTGTGGCTGGAAAATGCAGAAAGGCTGAGGCTGTCTTGGATTTGTACCATTGATCCACCACTTAGGTGATGACCCTCCCTCCATGCACGTAGAATGGATCTGGCTGAGTACGTCGATCGCAATTCTCTTCATCACAAGATCACGTCATTTGTCGAGCCTGTAAACAGACCATCATTCCGCTGGTTGCTCTTTCCCTGAAACGTAAGCTCCGGTTTCTTTTGGTACCGCTTTCGCGGAAACGAAACGTCCTCTGTAGCTTGTCAACCAGGAAGTGCATTTCTCATGTCACACTCAACCTGACCCTTCCGATAGGCCTAACGGCTGATCTCCATCCGAACCGACTACTCGGACCTTTACATTTTTCTAACTTCTCACTGAACCTATGAAACTCTAGGTGTTTACACGCTCCCACCTGCCCTCCGATGATCAGCCTAACCGTGGAATTCCTTAGACCCATTAGTCCCAACAGCCATCAATTTCACTCTGTCAACACTTGCACACTTGAATTTTATCATCATGCCATCACAAAAGGAGGAAACACGGCGCGATCGGATACAGTGCTGTTTCTGATCCCTTATATTCGACGCGTTCTCATCTAGGCATTGGCTGAGTGGCACTTGTCCCGTTTGTACTTATACCCCATCTTTCTACTTCCTCTTTCTCCCTCCTCTTCCCGATGCCTGACTGGTCATCTCAGTCAGAAATTTCCCTCGATAACAATGCTTTCATTAAGCTTATGCATGCGCTACTTGGGGTATATGTGTGAGTATTGCCTCATGTCGTGGATGGCCGTGTCGCTAATCTGCATGGATGAAGTTGGGAATATTTCGTTTCTATCTCTTTCGACTGGGATTTCATGTCGGGGCGGAAGAAATTTCGTTGGCCTATGGTAAGTGGTGTGTATTTCTGTGTGCTGATCGCTGGCCTTATCCTTTCCTCAGATCTTCTACTTTCTTAACAGATATCTTCTCTTATTTGCGCTCATCGGAATGTGCGTCCGTTTCTCGTCTTCTATTTGAAACGGAGAATTCTTACCTTGGCAACAGCGCAATCGCGCTGAACATAACCAAGTAAGCACTTGACGTTGCCACCTTCCGACGTGGATGTGTTAATTGATATTACGATCCTTAAGGGAAGTCAACTGTCAGGCGTTGTATACGTTCAACCAGGTGTGTTCCATAGTTCGCTTCCTCTGACGCCACACTGATTCCTTTGACCAGTTGGCCGGTAATGCCGCCGTTGGCCTGGCCAGTATCAACCTCAGTCTCCGAACGTGAGCAACGCTCCTCCTTACAGGGAAAAAGCTCGCTTTAACGCCTTTTCTATGCAGAATAGCGGTTTACGCCCAATCCAAATTCATAATTGGCCTTCTGATTCTTCTTATACTCGGCCACTGGTCTTTGATACTACAAGGTACGCCCATGGGATGTACCTTGGACGCTTTCTGTGCCCTCCAATACAACTTCTTTACAGGCGTTCTTATTAAAGCGGATTGGATCCCGGAGACGGATACCTGCGCAATCACCTCGGCCAAAAATACAATTCTTGCCGCGACTTTCATATACTCTATGGTCTTCGACTTTGTCATTCTTTCGCTGAATACGTACAAACTGGTCGGAAGAAGAGGCCCTTCTGGCGGGAGCCAATTGACGAGAATGTTGTTCTCTGATGGTCTGGTGTATTTTATCATTGCGTTAGTGGCGATCGAGCATCCTCCGCCTAATAGTCTGATGAGGCTAATAACGTTTTGTGTTTTATAGGTTCCTGTCAAACCTAATAGCGACTGTCTTCATGTGCCTCAACCTCAATGCTATTATGAGCGTCATCTTCAACGTCCCTGCCGCTATCGGAAGCACGGTTAGCCGATCCTCGCTTGTTTTTTGATTTGCCTCGCTTATCTATTTCCCCCAGATTGTCGCGTGTCGTGCTGTGCGACGACTGAATAAATTCTACCATCGAGGCGCTGAAGTCTAGTATGTCTGCCTGATAACTGATCGGAGTGCCTTGACTAACGGTGCCTTCGTAACAAGCGCCAGTGGGTCAGGGTCAAACTCAAATGATGCACCCCCACGCTTTCGAACAATGAACCCAGTCGCCGTAGGTGGTCGCACTGTGCGCGGTACATCGGCTATACGGACGCCACCCTCGGATCTAACAAGCGGAGTACACGTACAGATGGAAACCTTCACCCGCACCGATAACTTCAATAACGGCAGCGTCTCTCCCACCCATGTAACCTTCCAGGAAGACTCCACCGACAAAAGGGGAAGCGTGATCGTCGACGACTTAGAATTTGGTGACTCTGAGAGTAAGCATGAGGAACTATAAAAAATGTGCATCAAGGGGTGCAGGAGGAACGGAAATAGAACTGTATTGGGATCTGGAGGACATTGCTTGTAGTCAGGGCAGCCCTTCTGATAAGTAATATAAATTCGACGTTTATTTCTTGTGTTACCGGAGGAATGCCTTAACCTGGTTCCAAGCCAACGCCTTCAGATGTAAATACAGAACAACTCACTCCGATTTCGAGGCCACTTTGAACAATGCAAAAGGTGAAACTTGCTGTAATCCCTCTTCCGCAATTTCGCATCTAGCGCTAGGCATTTTCTCAAGTTTTAGGAAGCCCCTGTCAGCTGGATGGTCCATGTGGTTTCGAATGCCGTAGGCGCTGTCGTAACTAGAAGACGCCACGGGCACCAGGTTTAATCTGTGATACGGGTCGTCGTTCTTCCATCTCCCACATCGCTGCTTCACCGCTTCGCGGCAGCGTTCTGGCAACCGAAACTGAGATGTCAAGTAGGATTGAGAAGTAGTAAACAGGAAGAACTTTACCCAGCCGAAAGACCTATGTCATTGATCTCGCACCGAACTTTGCACCGATGTATATGCAAAATCTTCCGTTCCTACTGGAGAGCGGTCCATTCCGTCGGCACTTATTGTACGGGACAGTGTCAAGAATTATAGAACTTTCAAGTTGAATACGAGATCACTGGCAATATAATGTTCGGCATGTATAATGAATGGATCACAAAATAAACATCATAACTTGTAGAAAAGAACGATCATGTATACACCATCATCTGAATGGAATTCACCTCATCAGATGGTTTCGAAGAGACGCGCGGGTATTAAAACTCACAGTTGTCGAAGTGTTTTCTAATTTTACAAGACTGCGTAGGGGTATACCGGGTAACATCATCTGTGAACGGAAGCGTTAACTTTAGTTACACATGATAGCCCACAGGATCACTCACAAAAAAATACGCCTTAAAGAAGACGGCGTCCAAATGCGGAAGACACAGAGCCAGCGCCAAAGCATTCAAATCGAGTTGTATTGTGCACAATATAATTGTTCTGCCGGCTTTCTCCTTCTCCTCTCCTTCTCCTTCATTCTGGGCTCTAATTATCGATACAAGTCCCACCCAATCCCCTTCGGTAATACGTACACAAGGTTTCAGTTTTTTTGAGTTCTTCAGGCTACAGCAGAGAAGCACAGAGAGGTTTGGATTCCAGTAACGAATGCAAAACGAGCGTGGGTGCGATAACAAGAAGTGCACAAGAAATTCAAAGGCATGCCCATTTAGTATGGAGGCCTTTTAAACTCGTCGCGAATATGTTGAGCCTCTAGGTCATGATCGAACATACTGTCGGGTGATCCTTTAATGGCATTACCCATGGCATCGTATTCAACGAAGCCTCCTGGAGATTCAAAGGTCTCCATCTGGAGGAATATCCGGATTAGAATATGTCATGACACTCCCGTAACGATATCACCTGTACATGGACACCGTCAACAGCACTAAGGCCATTAGTGGCCACTTTCGGACGCTTCGGCGGTGCCGTTGACGCTGTCATTGTACGGAAGGCAAGCGTTGAAGCCACGGTCGTGCTGGAAAAATATCTCAGCTGATAACCTCGTATGGCAGTGGAACCCACCCACCCCAAGAAATCTGGGCCTTCTGACGTATATTTACTTAAACGGCGAACCGCACGGCAGGCTACGATCTACTGGGGAATGAAATCAAGTGGCTATATAGACATGATAACTCACAGTTGATGCAATAGCTGCAGGAACATTGGCTATAATAGACATGACAGCATTGAGGTTGAGTAACATAAAAATCTATGGAATATTGACCATGAAGCAAGAAAAGCGGCCCAAGTAAAGACTTACTGTAGCAAGTAGATTGGCGAGGAAAGCGATCACGAAGTAGATCAAGCCGTCGCCGAAAATCAGCGTAACTAGCATAGAGCGGCCAACTCGGGCAGCGCTAGAAAGGTGGGCATCAATATGAGATACATTAATACAGACAAAGCAGTGACCTAGGAGCGCGGAAGACCAGCTTATAGCCCGTCAACATGAGAACCAAGAAATCAAAACCCATCGAGTAAATGAAAGTAACAGCCAAGATCTTGGTGTCTGTCGAAGTGATGGCACAGCCGCCCACACCGGTCCATTCAGCTTTCAAAAGTATACCTGCGAAGGCTTGAGATTGACGACGGCATAAAAGAGCTGACCCAACTGACCGTGAAGGAGCAGGGACCAGTGGCCCATGATAATCGCGACGAGCAGGATTACAACCCAAAAGTTACGCGACCACACGGCCATTCTGTCAAATTGAAACATAAAAAGTTGGTATTTGAAACCATAAATAACACGTACGTCCGAAGAGAAAGATTAATCGATGCAAGTCCAATCGCAGCATTCCCAAAGACCTTGACGCTGTATTAGACGCTGGTGGATGCATTATCGTGGGTATGTACCTGGTTGAATGTATACAGTGCTTGACAATCTATCGGCCTGAAAAGATATTATGATTGATGGTTGATGCAAGGGATCATAGAGCGGATATTACTTTGTGACATTTAGTGCGACGGTGCTAAGATAACGTTGAGGTCGGTCAGGGGATAAGGAGCAGGAAACGGGATCCTCACATTCCAATAAGGGCGATGAGGAGGAAGTAACGGTTCAAAAAGTAGAAGATCTGGCCACTATGAGCGATCCACGGACCTGCGAGTAGCCCGACCACGTACCAAGGGCCACCGAAACGGCTTTTTGCCCGAGATGAACTGCCAGTCGAACGGCAGAGACGTGAACCACTCCCATCTGCAAGAATACGCGTCAACATGAAGTTCGAGGACGCATATATGCATGAACGCACATGTAGACGCCCAATAGTGTATGCATGAAGCGTGAAAAGGCCACTGGAATGCAATGAGTGACTCGAAAAGCACCGTCAGATCTGCAACGGAGTGACGTACCACCGTCATTGGTGACTTCTTCAGAGGATTTCCAGCTAACCATGGTAGATCCAGATTAGAGACGGGGTGGTGAAGGGAGGAGGGCAGGAGGGATGGGCAAGGGTAAGAAGGGAAGGGGACGACAAGGGTAGCGCAACGGACGAAGCCAAGATGGGGGGGTCCTTATAAAACCTTTGTGAGCGGACATTACACGACCTGCCATCGGATGCCACACTTCTTCCTGAGAAGATCGAAAATCAGCCACCCTCCCATGTCCTTCTATCCTCCGGCGCTGGCTGTTTTCCTAACATTTCACGGCTGGAACATATGACCGAAAGCACCCTCTAATCCTCCTCGCCATACCCACGAAATCGCGTAAATCAAAGCCAGAGGCAAAACTTTTTAACTTCAAATCGTCACGGTGTCCACCCGAAAGGGAATTTCAACAGCCACTGATTTTAACACGTACAAACTCCAGATTCAGATCCTTCGGTCCCCCATGGCCCAGAGTTTGACCGTCTGACCAATGTTCGTGTTCCCATCTTCGCTCTGACGGCAGCCTGTCTCTTTCTGCGCACCCCCCACCGATGTGGCCATGAATTCATTATCCATGTTCATATAATCTGACTGAAACGTCTAAACGAGCCGTCCTCCTACCGATTGACGATCCTTATACCCCCACCCGACATATAACTTTGAATCTATCGCAGAACATTACCCCCCAGGTATGATCAAGGAATTTGGTTCCCGTAAGGCCGCCTCGAGTTATTTTTGACCTTCGGGTTACCTGCCCAAGTTGATTTCGCGTCATTGTTCTTCTCCTAGCACCGGCCGGACCCCGGGACTCCCCTCATATGTTTGGTATCACGGAAGTTATGATATGGTAACAGTATGTCTACGCTGGTAACTGCTCTTGCTACCAAATCCTATCGCTTTTATTTCTTCTTCAGAGAAGAGAATCGTCAACTTGTTCTGGACTTCTGCTCTTCCACTTCGCCTATTTGCTCTACGGGCTGGCTTCGATTTTGAGCCATCATTGGGCAGCACTGTCTAATCAACTCTATTTCAGCATCCTTACCCTCCTTGATGGCTCTAAGTTAACACCCACGGTCTCCGCGCCACGTTATCCTAAAGCCTCCGAATTTTGTTGGAATAGCTACGACTCAACGGAAAGACAAAGCACCGTATGGGGCCCGAGTGGAATTGGCTAAGGGCTTGGATCAGTTCGCCACACTCTTTCCAGAATCTCTCGTACCTGGTTTCATATGTAATGCGAAAACATACGTTCGGTCAACTGTAATTTACTCCCGACGTGCTGTAAAGTACTCCTTCCAGCTCTCCTTCCTCATCATGATGGTGGAGGTGGTTCTCCGCCAATACTGCCTCTGCGACTCCCTGGGCTTTTGGAAACACCAATCAGCTCTCGTCCCTCTTACCTACGTCTTTTTCTTGGCACTGTTGCGCTTATTTGTTCAAGAGCCTGATAGTGGCAATTTGCTTTTGCAACGTATTCAGTCCTAATGATGCTCCGCTAACCCAAACGCTGCGACGTTGACTTGGTGAGAATATGATCTTCCGGTCTCGGCTTTAATTAACGACTCTGCTCGCACATGATGAGATTAGCTGCCACTTTCGGCGGCGGCTGCTTCAACTGGTCTGCCAATGTCAACTACCTGAGGTTTCATGCGTCCCTGCACCCATCGCAGTCGTTGTGTTGTGGTTCATCGCCAGCCTTGTCGAGACCTCATTTCCTCAAACCGTCTGAGCAGTCCTGCTTGTATTAGCATATATGCAACGTGCGTTTCTTGATCTGCCACGACCTGCGCGCCTGCTGATTATTCGGTGCACCCAGGAAGAACATTTAGCGTTCTTCCTAAACGTCTGGATGACTGGACCCGGAAATGCTTGCTGCTGCAACTTCGCTCTTCTAATACTCATTCTGGTGACCTTTCGCCGTAATTATGATGATTCGAGCTGTTGCCATCGCTTTTCGATACCACACTTTACTGTTAGCGCTAATTTTACTTTCTGGCTTCGCCGGCTGTTTTTCTCCGTTGAATCCGAGGCCCGCCCTTGTTCCTTTGCCACCTGGGGGTGGTACCTAGAGTCGTCATTCGCACCGTAATTCATCGTGATCGTGTCTCCACTTTAATATTAGCTATGAAGAAGAGACGGTTTCTCTAAGCTGTAGCTGTTATGGTTAGTCAACAGTCTATATCAACTCCACCGCCATTGTGTTCACCACGTACACCCTGAGACTCAGGTATTTACAGTCCCTGAAACAAGTTCTTATCCGCTTGTTCTGGTTACTTAGGCTTACATTGCCCATCCCTAGGAAGGATAGTGCCTACCATGAAGACTGGTTTCTCAGCAGTCAAATTTGAGCTGGACTTCTTCCCACCAAATTCTAAGCCCTATGTGTTTACTACCATAATGTCCCCGACATCACCTGGAGTGCACTTAGTAGAAAAAAGACCAACTTTTTCCGCAAAAAGGTCCGCTTTTTCAGCGTGGCGGCAAATATATTGTGGCGGCTGAGCATAGTGTCTCGGGCAGAGTGTGGACCCTGGGCGTCACCATTCCATTCATTCAAATACCTTTCGGTTGTGCGACCATGAGACTAAAGCTCACTGTCACTTCATGTCAATGTCGCAGCTACCCTTCGCAAAAAAGTATGTATTCGTTTTTTATTTCAAACTGTCCAGCCACTGATTGATCATGTCCGAGAATTTTGTCGCCACTTCACAGGAAATAAGCAGTTCTCATCAAGTTCCTGACACCTTCTAATTAACATGAACCGTATCAGTTTGGCTCAGTGTGAAAGTTCTATATTCAGTGTTTATTGTGATTCTCTACAAACGCTGTCTTTTCTCCTGGAGACCATCGAGGTTTCAATTCGACTGACCACTTCGCCTGTCCAAGATGTTCAACCTCTCTGGTAAAGCTGCTCACAGATAGCTGCTAGCAAAATATTATATACATTCGTTTGATAGTAGCGAACGAAACATCCTTGGGTAAACATAACAATAAGTTCTGTGTTGGCTCTGACTCTTGACTCTTGCCTGAGGAAGACACCAAGGCAGTGGCCTGCTCAAGCGGGAGTCGAATTTACTAGCCACTGTACGTGATTCGACAGTGCCCTGAGGGAAGAGTTCATCTGACCTTTTCTTTTGTGGCGCGCTTCTACTTATCCCGAGGTATCAAAATCTATACTCCGGATCCTGAGAGGCACTGAATATTCCCTTTACAGCCTTTGGCCTCCGTGCTATCTTTCTTTTGACCCCCCGGTCCATGGCCGAGATACACGGTCTGAACATCTTTTCCCACGTCATCCTCAATTCTTTGAAACAGGTATTCTGATAAGCGGACCCACCTTCGGCGGTAGTAGAAGCGCCTCGTTTGGATACTCATCATCGAATATTGAGACTTTATGTATGAACTCGTCAAGAATATGCTTTTCCGTTTTGGGGCCTCATTTTCCACGACAAACTGTAATGTTATCTCAAACCATTACCAAGATACAGCGCTTTCTCTCCAATGCGGTGTGCACTTGACCGCATCGGGGCATGGATCCACATTAGCATCTTGATCGTCTCGGTTTCTGTAGGTGATTAGCGCCGCGCTGACGCATCAGACACATCATCGACAATCTTCTACCACGGCACCGATTCTTTAATGCGGATTCCTGACGGAGTAGAAGAGTACACGAGGCAAAACTTCGCTTTTACAGTCGAACTATCTTTTGCATCAAATTCATTAGAGTGACAGCTTTACGTAGCTGTTCATCCAACAAATATAGTTAGCAGATAGACTACTTGCATAGTAGTTTGTAGATCCAAAAAGGAAGACCTGTCTCAAAAGTAATATACAAATCCAATATTTGGGATTGAAAGAAATAATCCAAGACAATGGGTGAACAAAGCAATAGAAAGCAGAACGTGGACAATAACAATCGATAATCGAAATATCATGCATTGCAAGGTGCTCGTGAGGGTAGGGCGGCAGCAGGTCCGGGCAACATGCGGAACTGAGAAAAACATGAGATTACACGCCGAAATTTAAATCGAGAAAGGAAATACCTGAGACGGATGGTATGGATGCGACGGCATAGCAAGATAAGAATTCCTTTCTTCGAATCTGTCATCTGTTTCATCACTGACAGCGGAGGGCACAACCGGAGGCAGTGGCAGAGATAACTGCACGTTTCTGCAGCTGGAATCGGATTCGCCTCCATCGTACTCTGAAGAAGAAGAGTCTGCTTCTCGGAGCCGCAACGCGTTCGTACAAGTCATGAGGCTTGAGGGCACCCACTTCGTGCTGGTGGACGGCGGCTGCACCTGACGAGGAGTAGTGTGTGCGCCATCAGTGTTAGAGCTCATACTTGGGTGCAACAGATCGACAGTGTATTGGCCGACTTGACTGGTCTCGTCGGCCTGGGGAAATGTACCATGGGTACGAAGATGCCGCTTGGCGTTGGAACGTACACCAAACGTCTTCGTGCAGCCTGGGTACGTACAAGGGTAAGCTGTGAAATGGCGTCAAACAACGGGCAAGAGACATCGGGAAGGCGACAGACGTCGGACGTTGTTGTGGCTGTTCATATGTGTCCGCAACCCGCTGGGTCTGTGCTTTAGTGAGTCAATAAATCCAAGAAAATTGGGAACGACTAACCGAGGAAATTCATGGTGACAGATCTCACATTGATGCATCTTGGATTTCTTCTTCTTCTTCGCCGCGAGAAGATCAGAGGAGTCGTGTGGCGCAGGCGGATCCTGTTTTTGGGTGGAGTATTTCCCATACGACTCAGCGTACATTGAATTCGACTGCTCTGAATCAGATGAACACCAGCTCTGCCTCACAGCAACAGTTTGCTGAGGAGGCCTAACGTCGTCCAAGTGCTCAAGGACGGGAACAGAGAACAATCCGGTTGACCTGGGCTCGGAGCTGACAGCAGGCGAAACCGAGGGGCAGTCGAGAAATCCGCGAAGAGGAGAAGGTGCTGAGGACCTTGAAGGCGATAGACGCGAAGAAATGGCGGCAGCGCCCGACAAGTATGGATGGCCTTCCATCCAACGAGACCTCCTCGACAGCCGAACTGCGTCCTCTCTTCTGGGCAGAGACGACATCGCAGCATGAAGAGCTGCGGGGGTCATAGTGTAGCCAGGATTCTGACCATAAGTCGAAGAGTACGACGAGAGAATTCGGCCAGTACTGTCGTAGGCGCTGCAGTCGGATGATTCCTGGTGCATGTTAAAAGTCGTCGGCATAGAGTGCTGAGGGATAAGAGCTGCTACAGGAGTCGGAGCCATAAGAGTCGATGGTGACACTATATGGTATTCCGATTGACGGTGGTGATCATCGAGGATCGGATACTCTGAAAGTCCGCGAGCACTAGCAGAGTTTATATGAGGCCACGAAATTGCCTCACTAGATGCGAATGAAGGGGACGAGGAGGACATCTAGAGCCAAAGCGTGTCGCGGGAAGGAAAGGGGACCTGATGATAAGTAACGGAAGCGTATCCTTAATAAATATAACCAGTTTCAGGACGACAACGTCAGCGGAAACATTTGATGGACCCACAAAAACACACAAACCCGTTTAGTCAGGGTCGAGACGTATTGTTGAAGAATTTGATGACAGGCTGTTCGCCGGATGCGGTGGGTGCGGGGGGATATTACGCTTGTGGATGTTGACAGCTGCTGCTCCACCTCTGTAGGCTACACATGTACACGGTCAGAAGGTTCACGATTATATCACTAGCACGCCAACAACGAGGCATTAAACAGCCCGAATACAGTTAGAAACTACAACGCAGCAGACACGACGCCGTTTGAGGAAGAAAGAAGCAGGTGGACCCCAGCAAGACCCCAAGTCAAGCTCCGTTTACCGTAAATAATAATTAGCGCCAATCAAAAGAGATGCCGATACCGATAAATTCTCTCGAGGTTTTACTCCGCCTGGCAAACCAAATCACGAATCCGAAATGGGCGAGTTGCTGTATCCCCCAATACTATCCCCGTGGTATATAGATTATCCGGCGGCTTTTGTCTGAGTTCAAAAATATAAATCCACACTTGTAGAGACGCCCAGATGACTGAACATCTAGATATACTCAAGATGAGAACAAGAGGCGCGCCGACCCGCCAATTCGGATCCAGCTAAATTCGCTTGGCGCCCAATAGTAAGTGTTTGTGGGAGACAGGTGATAGTTTGGCGCATGAGGGGCTGCTTCTAGATGATGAGATCAATACCGACAACAGGTATGTACCTTAGCTTACACGTACTGAAGAGATCGATTGTTCCTTGTCTCTTCTTTAAATGGTTGTGGTAGGGCCACTTTCAGACATATCTTTAGATTCTGCGCCAAGATAAATCGAGAATACAACATCAAAAAATTTCTCTGGCACACCATTGTTAGTGCGATTGCCATACCTTGCGCCCTGGTAGGACGTTTTTATTCAAGTTGACTTTTAGAGAGTGCATGCTGACTGTTTGTTGAAGAACGTAATAGAGGTGCCTAAAAATGGAACTTGACCGGTCTGCGCCCATTTTGGGAGCCAGACAGGGGAAGAAACAATCCGGGACTTTTAAAGCATTTGAAGGCGGGCGAGGGAAGGTGTTGAACAGCATGTTGTTGTCTAGTGTATAAATGCATGAGATGAATTAATAAATGCACAGAAATGATGTGTAAGGAATCCAAAATAGTATACAAACTGAAATGAAGGCACCTAAAGTGCATGCATCAAGGAGAATGAACGCAGTACGACGCAAGGTATATAACTCACCCACCATCGAATCACACACTGACGGGCGCCACGATTCAGACACAACTTTTGTGTTCCCACATTAGCGCCCTTCTTGCGATCACCACAGGAAAACTGAACTTACCGAAAACGATCCAGACGTCCCTTCGCTAGTTTTTGAAACACGTCGTCGTCCACAGTATCTTTTACAGACTCCGACTCTACATCTGGCTCGAGATATCTTTCATCTGCGATCTTGTCTCGAGACATGTTCACGGGTTCATTGAAGAAAACAAGACTCGCCCTACCCCTTCCGAGCTTATTTGGGGGCTTTGGGGTGTACTTCGGGAGGGAAGATTTCGGGGCAGAGATAAGGTAAGGGTGTGATCGAGACAATGGCTGTCTTACGCCTCGATACCTCCCAACAGGTGTCACATTAGTTTCTCGTCGTTTCAAAGTGTAAGATGCCCGCCACCCTGCTGCAACTGCGTTCTCTCTAGAGGCGTAATCCCTTTCAACATTATCCTCGACGTCCTCCAGCTCATCGTCGGGTGTCAGCGGAGATAGATTCGGACATGAAACAGCGCCTTGTTCAAGTACGTCGTCAATGCCGTTGGACGCCACACAGTCGCTATCATCCGTCAACTCGTCTCCCAACTGATTCCTCAGATCGGGGCCCGCCATAAATTCATTCTCATGCACGGAGGCATTTTGAAACAGCACCCTACCATCAGATTTTTGAGGATGTGGCTGCGGGGTGAGAGATTGAGCTCGTCTCGGGGACGCAAGGGGCGGACTTGAGACAGCGTCGACACCGAAATACAAATCGTCTAGGGATTTGGTTTTCGAGGGCATTCGCTTCGGCGTATCTTGCGGACGTAGGGGAGACGACAGCTCCTCCGTGTCCTGCGATCCGGAGGGCGTTGGGGAGATATAGCCATCTTCTTGCTCCACTGTTTGTGTCGTTAAGACATTCTCAATATCGAGCGTCATCTGCAAATCCACCTCGCCTTGAGCGATCAAGGAACTGAAATCGCCTTCGTCGGCCTCAGCACCGATCGTGACCTTGACATTCTCTTTTTCATCGCGCCGACGAGAGGAACAGACGGCGAAGGTTTGAGAAGTTTTATTTCTGTGCTGCGACTGGGCCGTCGGCGGAGTAAAAAATTTGGACAACCATTTGTCGTGTGTTCGCTTCTTCCTCTGGGCAACCATGTCTTCGTCCATCACATCCGCTAAAGTCCGTTTGCCGCTGGCTTTTCCTGCGGTCATCTTGGTCTTCTTCACAAGTATGGGAATTTTTGATGGTGATTTGTCGATTCGGGGAATATTGGCATTAGGTCCTGAAACACAACATCAAAACCAACAATCTGGCGAAGGGTGATATGACCCACCAAAGAACATAAGGATGCCATCAGACCGTGACTCGTTTAATGCTTTCTCCTTGCCTTTGCCAGACCGACTACAGGGGATAAACGATAGGTCCTCCTTTTTCATCGATGCATGGAGCATGAAGCCAGGATTAATGTCTTGCATAGGCAACAAGGTGATAGGGTCGACATCGCCCATCGCGATTTGCTTCGCTAAAGGCGCCTCGATATGCCTAGACGTGACTCTAAATCAGTGAAGCAGACGGCCGGTTGTTATTTTGTCTCACCGGCCCACATGAGCATCTAGTTCCCCGTTCCACTCATCATCAACGTCGGTCAAGTGTACCAGCCTCTCAAGCGACGGATCGTAAACTCTTTGATGCAGAAAGCATTTTTCGGCCAACTTGAAACTATCCAAATATCCCCGAGGCACTGATTTTTTGCCTTCAATTGCAAGCATCCTCACGACCTGATCAACAGTTTTCCATCGCCGCAGCAGTGAACACGCTGTTTTTAAACCGATTCCGGGAATATTGGGGAGGTAGTCACACCCACTTAAGATGGCCATGGCGCGAAACTGGGCATCAGACCATCCAACTAGCGAGATTCCATGAGAGTCCAGGCCACTGGCAGTAACGGATGCGAAGTCGGAGCGAGATATAGAGACGACGGTGTTAGCAACTGTGTCAAGTTTGAACAAAACATTCTTGCATCCAAAGACGAGCATGTCAGAATCTTCCGTGACAATGGCATCGACGTAGCCAGTGCGCTCCAGGTAGGCCATTTGTGCGTCAGCCTCGTAGGGCGCTACAGTGTATTTAACATTTTCTGCTCGCAGCGCCTATAAGAAGACGGTTACAGAGACCCGGTTGCAGTCGTAGCCCTCGCACCTTTATCACCTGAAACGCCATTTGCGGGGTCACATCTACGCATTTGACATAAAATTCTCGCGCCTGAGAGTGCTTTCCTTTGGCGGCAAGGGCTTTCCCGAGCGCAAGGTTCTCCTCTCGCTTCTGCTTTCGAGTAACTTCGGTCCCCTGTTTGGCAGGAAGGTGGCCACCATCAAAGACAACGTAGGGTTCAATGTTGTGCCGACGCAAAATCCGGATTCTTTCCATCACGTATCGTACATACCTACGAGATAATGAAGTCAGTCTCGGGTTGATACGGGGGAATCATGGGGATAACTGCGTTGCCCCCCTCCGCGCGGTTCCCTGATGGCCACTCACTTGCTTGTTTGTGTTCCATTAGCCAATTCAGTAGCACATGAATATACACCACGGTGCAGCCAAGCATACGCGTCGATTGCCACAGTCTTGCCAGAGAATTCAGACAAGTGTTTGATGGTCTGAATGGACCTAAGAGCTGGTAGCAGTCCGGATATTCCCATGAAACCATAAAAGAGAGAAGAGAATATGGTTAAAGAAGGACAAGAACGCGAGTGAAGGTAAGAATGACGGGAAGAAAGCTAAAAAAAGAGCGACCAACTTGAATGTCGTTGTCAAAGAAGACCAAATAACGCGTACAGTGCGTGCTGTCACGGAGTGTGACTATGATGTCAATTTCAGCGGCCACTGCCGAGCACGCTACAAAAATGTGCTGAATGACATCAAGCAAACAAGAAGCAGGCAGGAGTCGCTGCTATTACTATTAAGCGGCCCAACGTCCAATCCAGAATCGACATGCGGCTTTTCTAACAGAAAGAGCCTGCTTGTCAAAACTTGCGACCTCCATGACACCAAGCCAAGGCTCATCTTGTCCATCAGGACAGAGTTCTTCATTGATAGAGAATCCTTCACAGCTTGCAATCTTCATAAAGTTGTCACAAACATCAGGAGATGTGTATCTTCCGGCCTGTGCATTTTCAGGGTCCGGTATTGTAAGGTCCGAGGTAAAACAAGAGCTCACTGCGATATACACTCGGGAATCAGCAGATTTCCGGAGCAGTGACTTGAGAGAAGCAATGAGAAGATTATGGGAGCTATTAAAATGCAGAAGATCCGAAAGAATCACAACATCATACCCCATTGCCTCGCTGCCTGTCAAAGATCTGAGCAATGGTAAGGGAAAGGTGAGAATTTTCTTATACGGCTTCAAAACTCACAGAAGAGAATGGGCATCGGTACCCCATTCATACCCTTGACAACAAGTAATGCATCCATCAGAGACGTGCGCCCGATTTCGATCGATGTTTTCTTTTAAATTTTCCATGATACCACCGTCCGGATAATCTGTCACGACGACAAGTGAAGGGGGTTGAGGCAATGTGCTCATTAATAATGATGGCAACGCGCAACCGGCACCCAATTCAACGACTTCAGGACAGTGGACATTCGTCAGATAACTCGAGGGAAGAGACAATTAAATTACCTCTACTTCCTTGCACAGAGATTAGCGCTCGTTCGATACGCTCTGCAAGAAAGAGGGAGGGAGAGAAGAGATGGTCTGCCAGTAAGGTATTTGCCTTGGATAACAGTTAGCACCTGAAGGCTGTGAAACTTCGAAACGCACCTTGCCCTCCTACAGTACATACTAAGAGTTGTCGCAGTCTGTCTTTTATCGATCCAAAGACATCCATACCTTGGGCGCAACGGTAAGCCGAAGAGGACCGTAAGATATTTCAGATTCATCTAGAACTTTGGATTCGCCGATAAACGAGAGTGCATCGTTGAATATATCTTCGTACGATTCGTTCATGACGATAGTCGCTGTCGGATTGTCCGGGCCGCCTCTGACTCACTCGTCCTTACAATACTCTCATCAGTACGCGATGGTATCCGCGAACGTTGTCCTCAAGGCGGAGAAGAGAACTATGCGGAAAGCTCTTTCCTCTACTTTGAAAACCATTTCTCCTGCAATCATTGAGAAGCAATGTACCGTCACTTTCCTGTGCACCACGACATGTAGGCCAGCTAACTTGAAAGTTTTCTCAGCAAAGGCTGTTGCAGATCGTGTACTGCTTCTTGACGCCTTTCGAAAAAGTAAAACAATCAGCTGCTATCTCAGCATGCCAACGATGGAGCTGGACACGTCCATGTTGGTTCAGGAAATTGTGCGCTCAAGTGCGTGACGCTACATTTACCGTTCAACTGGACATCACGATGCTAACTAATATCTTGCACAGACAAAACCTTATTTGTTCCTAAAATATCATCAGATGACAGCATGGATTTTCTGGAAATTCATGGTGCGGATGATATCAAGTCGCTACCAAGCAGCTTATGGGGCATTCGAGAGCCTGGACCCACCTGGAATGGGTTTCCCAGAAGAAATGGTAAAAATAAAGTGTGGCGATTAAAATAGTAGTGCTCAACGACATTATTCAGCATTAGACGCGGCCTGCGATGACTTGGACGTGATTTTGGTTCCCGGTCCGTTGTGCCGTGGTGTGGTGCGGGTTGTTCTATATTTCTTCCTCCAGGTGTCGCTTTCGATAGGACGCTATCTCGTCTGGGCCATGGAAAAGGGTATTATGATAGATATATCTCTGAGTATGAGGCCAGTGGAAGGCCACGCCCTTTGCTAGGTGTGTATGATCTTTCCTTGTCTACTAATGGAGCTTGACGTCCTTGTAAGTGGCCTTGGCGCTGCAGGAACAAGTACTGGACTCCATTCTCCCCATTGATGACCATGATCAGAAAATGGATATGATTGTGACGCCTGCAGAAATTATCTACTAATGCAGCGAGCGACCGTCAGTGTATCACTAACTCAAAATACCGTTTGCTCACTCCGTTATACTTTCCTTATTCATGACAGGCAGGGAAAGCAAAGCATCTACCACGGAAAGGGTTCGCAGAGCTATGCATAGTTGAAGATTATCTACGAGGACAGACACAGACCTGAGATCGATACATGCGTGTAATGGGCACGGTCAACGAGACGTCCAAATTTTCGTGTCGAAACGAGGTAGATCTCTAATTCTGCGGTCACGGATCTCCACAACTTTTAACATTGTCCATTTTCTTACGAGCAAAAACTGAACAAATAAGAATTCATTAACTACAGCTATATGCCCTGTCGAGCCAAACTGATGTAATTAACGTGACTTTTCCGTTTTGTATATTCACTACATGTCTGAGGATAGACAAGCAGGCGCAGAGTGATTTCATGTGTAATCACGCCCTCCATGAACAGAAGCACTCTCGTTAATGGAGTTTCCAACCCTCTTTCCTTCCATAGCTCTCAATCCATTCTATGTCCAACCTCTGTCCCAGCGTGCCGAGCAGCGCCTTTGCCACAGACATGCCGATTGCATCTTTTTCCGTCGGATTGAATTCCTTGTCCATAGACACCCGAAACACAAACCTCTTGAGTGTCGGGAAACGCCATAGCGCGGTCTCTGCAAAGTGGGCCCAGTCGAAGGTACTTTCCTTCATGATAATCGTGATATCCTCTGAGGAGTATGCATTTAACTGGATTACAAATTCAGTGAGTTTGGGGGCCGAAGGGAGAATTTCTAGCGCATTCTTGCACAGCTGGAGGTCAAGCAAAAGTGTCTGCGTCTCGAGCTCGATACTTAAAGTAAGTGACACGAGCTCGATAAAAGGGGGTGTGGTAAAGGTTGGAAATTCAGCTATACCTTCAGTCAGTGAAATATTTCTCTAGTCAAAGAATACAGACTTACATCCTGCACAAGCCGGAATACAGAGTACCTCGAGAGATCCTGCGCTAAGACTCAGTAGGCAGGCCAGTGCTTCGATCGAGAAAATTGAAGCATCTGAGTATCTAATTTTCCGAAGATTGGTAAGTTGTGAAATTGCGAGAACCTCATGAACTAGCCAATCCAAAGGCGTTAGAGCCTTTTCGATGATCAACTCCTCGAGTTTCGTTAGATCACCCGTGAAGACAAACGGAGGGTCAGAATCGGATGAACTCGAACGTCGTGAGATTTCAATACGGTTCACCTGAAACGTTCTGAGAGGAGGGAATAGTCCCAAGAATGCCTTGGCATGCGCGACGTTGATGAACGAGCCCGAAAACACGAGCCGTTCAACAGAAGTAAACGCAGAGATTAACTGCTGTGTTTCAGGTGTACAGTGGATGGGACGCGTCTGGGATGTGCTCCACACGAAGACCGTCACTTGAGGCATCCTGGGAAGGGGAATATTCACCGGATTGGAGGTATTACGAGATGGGTGAGACAAAATACGTTCAATGGCGGCAAGACGCTTTTCAGACTGAGGTAATGATGGGGGAAACTGGTTGTCTAGTATCTTGAGTTCCATGTCCTTGAGACGTGCTCCGGGTGAAAATCTGGCCGCTCGAACGAACCTGATGATATGAGGGAGAGATGAACCGATATTCTTCCAACGCAACAGATCTTCCGGAGACGAGAAATCGGCATAGGAGAATAGGTATCGAAGAGACGCCGCCCGCCACGACTTTGAAACAAGGGACGAGGACTTCAAGGCAGGCGCGTCTGCATGATTGTGTTGAACAATTTCATCAATCACTTCCAGAGGAAGGTCAGCTAGCGTGTCGCATTTTTAAGACAATGTAGAAATGATAATGGGAAGGAAATGACCCACTCTTAGTTGTTTGGCGCTTGGACTGGGTACACGACATGGAGATCTAAGGCTCTGAGGCTTTTGAAGAGAGAAGTGAGTTAGCGCGTCAACGTCAACGTCAACGTGGTTCTGCTGCTGAAATGCTCTATAAGTTACGAGCGAGGTGGAAACAAGGAAACAGTGGGGTGGTTGAATTCATTCATCGCTTCCTTGCACGGTGCCTTTATATCGTTGACCAGGTGTTTATCCCAATGCGCATGCAAGTTTGAACCCATTTTTAGCACAAGGCGTGTTACATCAAGGTTCTTCTTTTCTGGTGGCTAGATTCGTGCACAAAGGAGCACCGTCAGCAACGAGACCATTAGAACGATGATGTTCTTCACCTCCGTAAATCTTTTGGAACAAGCGGTTCTGTAGATACACTGATTTTATCAAGAATTAAACTCAGCAATGTCTGTATCGGAATCGAAAGAGAGAAATAAAACGAAGCAGACAAAAATACACAAGATATAAGACTAATCAGGTACAGTGACAAGAAAAGAGTAGCGAAAAGTGATGTGAAAGAGAAAGAGAGAGAGAGAAAGCCAATGACATCAACCCACCTCATCCTTACCTCTACTACGTGACGGGACCCGGCGTGCAAGGCGAGCATGCTAGCCCGTCAGGCCCCAAAGAATGTCTCTGGGAGAGAATAGACCCAGCCTTCGCCACCCCCGACGATCCCATACCAGCGCGTCCCGGAAGGACTCCATCCTTATCTCACGGCAGATATATCCAACGTCATTTTATCACACATCTCCAAATTTGGTCCTCCTTCCCACCACGAAGGTTGCGACGACGTCTCCGCCTGGACCTCTCATTCCAACCGGACTCCAGGAATTCCTATTTCCGATGCTTTTCTGCTTTCTTACCGCCTTCCCAGCAGCTGCACGGATCGCAGCGCATCCCTGACCACTCCTTACGGACAGTTCCGTACTGTATGTTGTTCCTTGCGAAAACAGGGTCGAAGATGCCAAGCTTTCGGTATCGTCACTTTCTGATGACAGACACTCGCTCCATTCTGGGTTATGCGTCGGCGGGAGAGTCAGCGGGAAGGCATTATTGTAGTCATTGAACTCGTCTGTCTTCTTAATGACTCTGGTGGGTATCGGTTGCTGTTCGAGATCTGCCTTACGTCTTTCCCACTCATGAAGGTTGGACATACACTGCGTAGCGTACATTTGCATCTCTGTTAGAGCATCAGCGATGCATCAAACTCACCAGAGAAATACTTACCAGGAACGGCCATTGCCACGAGCTCCAACAATGGCCTGGCAAACATTTTGATGAAGAACACCTGAGAATTCGCCTCGCTCAGTGGCGTCTCAGATGATTGGACAGTGCAGGGTAATGCCAGCGACTTCTCATATTGAGCCTGTGACGTCCATTCGGCCATAAGCGCCGTGGCCCAATGCTGTGAGACGTGATACGGCCGACTGGGGTTACTGATGTCTGAACACTTCATGATAGCCTGGCATATTAGAGTCTTCCTTTGGGTGATCGACGCTGCCTCTCCAGCCACTGTTCGTGTAAATCTTTCCATGAAGGCAGCATGGACACTCATATCAGTGGCCATAACCGTCTCCCATAACAGACGTCTGGCCCGAGGCCGCTCCAGGACCGCACCCAGCCCGTGATGCTGCAGCGTTCGGAGTAGAAGAGAGCAGTGCATCTGTTCGAGGGCAGAATGATCATTAAACACGACTGAGAGAGGGGTCTGCGCGTTTTTCATGAAGACATTCGTAAAACCAGGATGGCCTACGTCATGTCCTATAGCGGCAATGCACAACAAGAAGAGGTCGCACAAGCCAAGAGAAGTAATGAGAGGGCCACTGTCGTAGGGCCGATGGCTCCTCCACATCCGTCCGTTCTGAAGCAAGATAACTAGGGAGGGCACCATCCCGGCCGATTTGAGGAAGGAATATGAAGCTTGGAGGACATCTAGAGCATGTTCAAAGTTATGATACGAATTTTCGTATCGGTATATTCCTCGCAGATGGTGTATGAATGGACCCATTTGTTCTTTTAAGTGATAGGTTAATCGGGTCCAGGCACATAAATACAAGGACAAGCACTTACGGAGAGACACGCCCACTGCCTCCTTCATTCCATCGATGCGAAACAGGCCCTCAAACAAGATCATCGTACATGCCAACACTTCATCTTGGGATAGCTTGTGGGGCTCGAAATTCCACGAGTTTAGAGAATAGATGAGGCGACGGCGGATGTCTGGAGGCAGATCGGCGGATAGAGTACTGCGGAAGGTCAGTGCAGGAGCAGGGCAGAAGGTATTGGAGACACACAAGTCATGATCATGGTCACTGACAGCTTGGAGCGTCTCGTTGTACATATCACATAATAGTTCAGCGAACTGGGTCCTGGGAAGTGTTATCAATTGACTGCTGAACCGTCGGTTATCATACGCACTGGAGGGCAGAGGAACTCCCAACCCATCCGTAACCTTGAGATTCACTGGCAGTCGCGAGATGCAGACCACCGACATCAGCACTCTTTGGTCTTGTCTGCCGTCGCATGCCTGATGGTCCAGACATTCCAGCACCGTCGCTGATAGCTTATCTATCGGGAAAAGACGACCTCCAGATGGAACTGTTAAGTGAATTCGATGCACACCGATAAGAAGAGAAAAGGAATAGAAAATGAAGGAATATAAGCGTGCACAGTCGTTGCGGAGGCAGAAATAGAAATTGTCGTTCTCGGTCGCGTGGTGGTAAGAGTGACAGTTGCTCGTGGCTGCCACATGGTTTTCCATTTCCTATCAGCGACCAAATAGTACCACCTATATAGCGGCCACTACTGGCTACTACTGCCCTTTTGTTACTTTCAGTTACAAGGGCTTTCTCGCAATTTCTGTATTATGCATTCCTTTGTGAAGCATTCGTTGTCTGGGTTGTCTTATTCATTTGTCCGCTTTCCTTCCGCAATTACCCGGCCCAGAATCGTAACACCCTAAAATCTCAGCCGGGCTGGACTCGATGAATGGCGACAGGCACTCTTGGGTTAAGGTCCCCATGAATAGGGCCGTTGCCTCACAAAACAGATTTTAGCTTGAAACGTCGAACAACAAGCTGAGACTGATAATCATACTCTCTTTGCTTCGTGATTGATCTCAATCTCAATTAGCGTCTTCGCTTTTGTATCAGGAAGCCGGTGCTGTATCGGCGATGAAGTGGCGGTAGATGTACAGGCCACCAGCTGCCTCGTTTACGATGGCGGAAATCGTTTTTTTCAATGCCGTGCTGAGCGGTGCTTTACAAGATATGCGTGACACTCTAACCAAAGGTATGATGGTGTTGCCAGTCTTTCATTTTGTGTAACAAAGGTCATTCCTCGTCGATGCTTAGATCATACCGTCCGCATGGTCTTTGAATAACAAGTTGCCGCGAAATTTATTCAATATTTGACACCAACTCATTATGACCGTGCTATGGGAGGACAGGCACAGGCAAAAGGAAGGGTCCTGTAAGTACCTGAGCTACAGCGTACGGCAGAGGGCAATCAACTATGTTGGTCCCATCCACCCGCTTGGGTATGGGGGCTAGCCCCGTTCGTAGTTTGGCGTTCGATGGAGGGTTGGTAAGACTGTCAGGCCGGATCTCTTCACGGGGAAATGCAGTTGCGCACAGCTCGCCGAACTAGTGTGGGACTCGATGCCTGCCGCTCCCACGGGTTGGCTCTATACCCATTAAAACCCCATACTGATCTATCCACTCATCCGGTACTGACTTCTCGTCTTTTAACGTTCCCTTCCATGTGAGCAGTACCATCTTGCGTTTCATTGCTTTTGTCCCATATTTTCTACGGTCAGCAGTCAGCCTATTCAGAGTAAGTCTCTGGTTTATTAATTCAAGCCAGTTATTCCGGATCTCGTTTGCTGTACGCCACTTCTCTGCGCAGTCGTCTCCTCTGGCGATGCACCTCTGGCATCTAAGTTCCCACATGGGGTGGGTGGCCTCTACCATTAGTATCCTATAGAGCCTTGTAGCCCCCCTACTTACTGATCCTTCCGCGTCGTCTATTACTGTTGCCCCTAGAGCTACACCAAAAGTCGGTTTGATCCATGTACCTCCTCTCATTTCCCACAGTTCTTGGACTTTGAATTCATGATTCGACTCTGATTTCGACCTTCGCTTGGTAGCTGAAAGTATTTATTCAAAGTATACGTATAATATTGCTCCAAAGCAAAATACTGCATTGAGTCATTGACTGCCGTCAGCAATCGGGATCGATATAAATTTGGCCCTGTTTGCAAGTCACGCCTTCCCTTTCACTTCCGTCTAGCTGCAACCCTTACACTTCAGCTTTCGTCACCTTGTTTCTCTTCTTTATTGCGCAGGGCGCAGTCCTTGTTCGTGAAGAATGGATATTCAGTTATACTGCGACGCAGACGACACGCGCCGTACAGGATGCTTTCTCTTTGCGATCGAACGACACTCAGCGGCGACTCGCAGCTCTCTCCGTGCTGAAAGAACTTATGTTTTCTCAGTCCTCCCTCATGCACCCAGCTCCATTCAGACGACAATACTTCATCGCTAGTACAACACCCCCTCCTACCGGGCCAAGCTCGCCAGCAATGGCAGTACATGTTACAAGCACCAGCGACTTCGCAATTCTGGGACCTCGTAGTTCTGGTCATGCTCGCCTTTTTCTTCTCGTCCGTCTCTTCTGATGGACCCGGCAATGTGGACAAATCTGTATCTTCGTCAGAAAATGGTGCCATCGCCCATGGAAATGATTCTCCTTGTCCTCATACTTTTCCCGACGGATTTATCATCGCAGCAGCAGTAGACATCAGTATTGATGAGTCTTATGTTCAAGCTCTTAATTCATATCCCTCCTTCCACAGTTCTTCTCACGTCGCGACAGATTAGCTGCATCAATAATAATCCTCCGAAATTGTCGCTTTCTTCCTCAGATGATAGTGGCCAGTTTGACGTCAGATTCCCAAATGGTGCTCAATGTGCTTTCGGTGGCCATGGCGCTAGTTTTATAGAACAGTGTGTCTTTTTGCTTTTGGCACTGTAGGGCAACACCTCCTATACTTCCCAGATTAGAACCATCTGCACGTCGTTTCTGCCTTCGCTGTTGCTCTTCACCAAACGATCAAACCAACTGTGATTGTCACCAAGATCGAGCCGATTGCTCTTGTGGTCCCTGGCATATACCACTTTTCGAGTAACTTGCGCTGAGAATTCCCGTGGCAGAGGATTCTCACACGCACCAGAACTAACTATAGATTGTTACTGTACTACATGAATCCACTACTAATCATCATCATCATCATATACGATGCGGTGGCAGTCCATGAAATAACCAAGTTGAACGATTAGCCAAAGAAAACATCTTTAAACCCCCAAGTGAAACAGCAACGACGACTGTCAACTATGACAGTGCTTCGGCAACGACTTTACAAAAAGTTTCCGGGTCGTTCCAATGAAGCTGAAAGAGGAGACCAAACATAAGTTAAGTGCTATCTCCTGATTGACCTACTCACCAAATGATTTGCATTCTTGATATCAATAAACCGATTCGGACGAACAGTCTTCCCTGAAGCTACCGCCGCAGTGTATCTTTTCTCATTCTCCAGTGCGCCCAACACCATATGCCAACCCGATCGTGTGCAAACCAGAGTCGTAAATCTGACATCGGGAAGGACCGACCTTGCCAGCTCTTCATCGTATAGCGCTCGGTCAGCTTGTCGATGCAACATCGGTTCCACAACTGAGCAAGATGCTGGCCCCAAATCCGCCGTGAATGCCGCAGCAGGGTCAGCCATCTTCTGCAGTTCCTCAGGCGTGATATGGTCTACGGATGCATCTTTGCCGATCCAGCTGTAGTCAAGTCCCGCAGAAGATCGAGAAGACAAGTCGTGATCGAACCATCCTGTAACGTACTTCATGAAGTGCTCAGGTGTGCGCAGAGCCTCGGCAAGTTTTTGCACTGAAACGCCAGGAGGTGGATCGGAGCTGTAGCCGTAAGCCATCATGGGTGAATCTCATGTTCGAATTAGTAAATCTCTGGCGTGTTCAACATTAGCAATAGCTCACCATAAATGATTGCGGCCCGCAAAAAAGGCTGGATTTGCCCATACAGCCGTTCTGTTATGACATCTGGCTGACCGAATAAAGACAGGATAACCGGACCTCCCGATGACCACCCTAGTATCGCGAGACCACCCGACCTGTTGTCCCTACTCCGAGGCGTTACATGCTCATTATCAATGAACCATGCGAGGAAATTTGCGACATCCAGTGCAACGACGTGTAGGTAGCCTTCTCGGCCATGACGAAGATCGTCGAGTTGTGCCTCCTGGAACCTGGCGCTTCCGGGGTAGTGCCGGCGGTTCACCACGACGGCGCGTATGTTATGTTTTGGGAAAAGCGGGAGGACCTTTCGAAAACTCTCTGGTGTAGGCCGGTTGAGCTACACGACAGTGACTAGCGACAGTCCACGTACCTCCAGTAAGTGCCGTACCATGGTATATAACCAAAGTGGTGTATGTCGTAGAATCGGGTACGGGCCCACTGTCTTGGAAGAACAGTCCCCCGGTGGAGTCAACGGGTGCGACAACCATAATGTGGAAGCGATGGCATTAGTGTATGGTGGCAAACGAGCTTTATATGGTTCATGAGTTGGGCATGGCGTGCGCACGGCGATTGCAAATGTGGAATTTGACACTGGAACATTCATCGGTCACTAGAGGGGTAAGCATGAAAACTTCTTAAATCAGGTTTTGTCATCACATTTCACCAAGCAGTGCGACCAACGACATTGCCGGTCTCATACCATGCGATTCAATCAATCCCGTCGTCCGATCGCAGCGGGTGAGGCGAAGGGTACATAGTAGGAGACAGGGTAGGATGCTCAGCCTCAAGTCTGGCAAAAATGCAGGACCCGAACAAAGAGACCGTCCTCGGAATACCCGACTATCGCTTAAGAACGTCGATTCGAGTTATTCGAAGTTGATTCGAAGACAACGCCTTCAAACGAAAATTCGACTTGTGACGACGTCGCGGAACCAAATCCGCATCTGAGAACTGGAGTGACAGATAAGACGTGGATTCTCCGATTGTAGTACCCTCGGAGTTCTCTTGTCCCATCGCCTCAGGTTGATGCTAACCTAGCAACAGAGTGGGGAAATGCCGTTGAAACAGTTGCGGAACCATTAACACGCGCCCGGCTGCGAATTCGACGGCGCAGTCCGCACCAAGTTTAGATAGAAAAGCGCCGGAGAGACAACAGGAAGGTACAGGGACGTAGTTCTGTTGTCATGAGACGCCCCCATAAGAAGAGTCGGAAGATGCTGTCCTGTCTGCATTGCGTTTGCATTAACACATAGGAATCCCTCAGGCGAGGAAAGTCTGTAGGTGTTTGACATGGGGGAATACAGGAAGGGAAGCGCATATCCCCTACCGCTTTGTCCATCAGAAAATGGCCACTAGTGAAATGTCTTCGAGATGAGATCGAGGTCCGAGTGCATGACGATCTCACGCGGCCCGAATTGATGCGCCACATTACCATATGATGATCACATCTGAAAGCGCTCTACTGGCGCAAATCGTGGCCCTCCGACTTGTAATTGTCAGATTTGCATGTTCGGCAATGTCCCAGAGCATCCTTGTGGGACGAAATCTAAATGATGCGGACAAAAAAAAAGGTCTCCCTAGCGGCTCCTTGTAAAGTCCGCATTGGTGCCACTGCAAACAACAGGAGGAAACTGTCCAAGCAGGAAGCCCTGGCTTTGCATTAAACCCATATAAAGGATAGGAATGTTTCCAGAATGTAAAAGCAGGCGTAGGTTTTCATAGGACCAACATTTTCTGCCTTGAGATGAGCATGGCGCATAAACGGTAAAACAGACACGCACGAAAAGCACTACTTGATCGCTTAGGCATCCGCGGTCAAGGATGTAGGTTCAACTTCAGATCTGCGCGTACACGATCATCCGATCCATGGAGATCAGTACCTTGTGCTGAAGCATGTCCACGAGGGTGTAAGCGGTCTCTAGACTTTCATCTTGTGCATCTGGCAAACGAGACAGGCGAAGTTCAATACTGGACATCCGAGTCTGAGGGACTTTCTCTGGTCCATCCAACCCACAGCAAGATCGGAAAAGCTTAACAAATAGTCGAAGCTCATGCGCATTTTGTACGACAGGGTTTTTCGCATTTACAGAGATGGTGCCGAGGTGCCCCAACTGATCGATTGTCAAACGGGTGATCGACTGGTCTGTGACGACAACATTAATTGTGAGGTGTCGAAGCTGGGTTAAGAAACGATAAAGTGGGAATAAGTAGACTAGGGTCGTAGGGTCACCACCGAAAACGGTGATTGCATGAAGTTGGCAATTCGATCGCTGTAGACGCCGTCAAGGCGGAAATGCTCCACGTACAGTAATACAATTCCAAGAGGGAGGGTAGTGTCAGGGTTCGTAAGGGCTCGTCCAGGTTATCATTTCCCTCTCCCAACATAATTTTGGTCAATGGGCATGTCCGCAGAGTATCAAAGGTCCTATGACATGCTTCCACCGTCAGATCGTAAGATTTTGCAGCCAAGGACCGCCGGCGACGAAACGGGTGTTTGGTACTTGCTTTATTTCAAACGATCGAAGTTGTGCCCAAGGAAAGCCTCCGACGGAGATACTGGAAAGATTTGGGGCATAGGGTGCCAGACAAGAAAGACCCTTAGCGGTATGTTCTTGATGAAAAGGTCCAGCCTCTCGAGACATCGCGAACTGTTCCAGCGTTGAAGAAGAGGTTCGATGCTGGGACAGGGAGGTAAGGAGCGACCGACCGCCAGTGGTGGATAGTATAATGGAGAGGAGAGGAGTGCCTAGCTGAAAGACGGCAATGATTGAACCATCCATTGGCATTGAGATCAGAAGAGGTCATGATCATCGCAGGTGCTGCTGAAGCAGGTATATGGCTTGATGCCAAGATGCATTACCGGCGCCGCCAATGCGATCTAAATTGACTCCAACGTCAATTCACAACTGAGGCGTGGCATTGATTATGGCCTCCACAGGCTACCCACCTGCACCAATGTACATGGGACCATGACTCTGGTCAAAGAAGACGAGCCGGAGTCCACTGCGTCACTCTGGCACATTTGAAATATGTGTGCCAGAGCTGCTTGATTGGCGATAAGCGGGACTCGGCATGAGCTGGTAATCTTTTAGCGCAGCCCCCATTTTTGTTTTTTCATTTGAAGATCGAAAAAAAGTGGACATATACGCGTGGATCTGCTCTTCAAGCCCGTACAGTCTCTTCGACATCCTGTTTCTGGCAGCCTAAATTTGGACAATCTGAGCATCTGCGGGACTGCGTTGGACTTTAAAAGCTCTTGGCTGCATTCGATTCAGTTTGACGGCAGGACAGACCAACACAGTTAGGACATCGATAGCCACTGGCATTCGACGGGTGGGGGGAGCTTTGCACGGGGCGTGAGCATTTAAAACGTTTGTGAACGAACTACCAGGACTGACCGTTTGCATAATGTTGCAAAAAGGACGACAAGATCTATTCAACAAACAGTTGGTACGCAAGACAAGGCAAGTTTGGTCAACGTACTGGAACGGGACAAGAGTGTTCGAGTCAAGGTTGCCTCAAAGGCGCCGTCGACGACGCTGGTTCTGTTCGGGTTCTGATTTGTTATCGCACGTGACTTTAGAAGCAGAAATCTCGGTCGGGTACTGGATAAGCGCGGCCACGACAATGCACGACTCGCTGTATGAACAAACTCCTCCCAAAGTTTCGCCTCCCTCGACGATGTCGACGAGATCGCACCGATCTCGTCAGACTCACCGTACCCAATATACCATGCCGCAACCACATCCTGCACCAACTCCATCGCCAGTTCCGTCGAACATAGCCGAAAATCTGCATATGCCCAGCAATGAATCCTATAATTTTGATCCTAATGAGCCGTACATTGCAGTAGCAGGCCAAGAGAGCCTTATGGGTGCGCAGTCACCGCCCCCACCTGGTGGATACCGACCAGCTGGAGGTGGCTGGGGAGATTTCGTAGGAGGGTTCAGAAGAGTCTTGGGAGTCGGGGGTGGGAAACGTGGTAAGGCAGATGTGGCGCCAATGCGAGTCCCGTCGACCCGTATTTCGATGCCGAGACCTTTGTTAGCACCTCCCCGGGACGTCGAGCGAGAGGCCCAACAGCAACCATACCCTCAGCCTCTTCCTCAGCTGTATCGGCGGCCGACACCCCCACCACCAGCTTCTGCTCATGGGGCAAACGATTCTGTTGATGGAGAGACTACAGCCGTTGACCACGAACCTAGGCAGCCGGTACATGTACGCCACAATCCAGGCCCTCTCCCACCCCAGATTCCTTCCCATATGATAGGCAGTCCAGTACTCGCTGAGCCTCAGCCAGGTTCTGATTATGCTAAGATGAATGACATGGTCACTCCGCCGCCTACAGAGATGTCGTTTTCGTCATATATGTCACGCGTTGGGCAGTTCTTCCGCGATCTCAACAATCTACCATGGATAGCAGAAAGGATTACAGTTGATTACGTTCCCGGTCAGCCTACGCAGCGGCTGGGAAGGAGGAGGTCGGGGTCGACGAGGCCATCGCAGCAGGTCATGTCGTGGTATGGTGGACCGCATGGATCAGTGAATTTGTTGTCAGATGGATCAGCATCCATAAGATATCGACAGATGCCGTCGCAGTCGCCATATCCATACGGATCCCCACCGCCGCCTATCCACCTGATATCCCAGCAACCACAAATGGGCATGGCATACACCAATCCGGCCTCCATAAACCAACCCCCCCAGGCTTTCATGATGCATCCTCACTACCCTGTGGGCTACATCCCATACCAGTCTGATACCGCAAACATCTATGCGCCCCAGCCGCAGCTGGCATCAACGCAAACTTCCGGACAGTATCCATATCCTCATCATCCACAGCAATCCGTATAATGCCATCTAATGCCATCCATTTTGCGATATCTATTCTTTGTGGCACTTTCGTACTCTCTATCTACCCTCTTACGGCGTTCATATCACGAACCAAATACCGCGCAACTTATAACTTGTCCCTTGTCTTTGCAATGCTCCACCCTCGTTTTTTTCGATTTATGTCGCAGTACCCCGGACAATCTTTTATACCACCTTAAATACTGGAGTGGGTTTGGTATAGACTACATATAGCACTTGTAAAATGGGTTATATTCTGTGGATGTCAGTAAAACTTATAAAAACCAGACGTTACAGTAAGCAACGCAAAGCGCGGGGGGCATTGTGGTGGTGCAATGCGGATCGGAAGCCGCATTCCACGTTTCTCTGCTGGACATGTCAACGATATTTGGATCAACTGTTCAGCCTGCTACGGTTTCTTTATTTTCTTCCACCGGATCCCAGCCTTTATATCTGTTCGAATCAGCGCAGGACGACTCCCTACCCACGGAATCCTTTATTCATCTTCTCAACGATACATCCTCCGAACCAATACCAGAGTCTCCTCGTAAACTAATCTCCCCACCCTCTATTGAATCGGATGTTTGTGATGGTAATGGATATTCGCTATGCCAGACGGTGCTCCATATACAATCTCCCACTCTCCAAGCGACGTACATCAAATCCAAAGGAGATCTGGGCCTAAACCACCCTTGGTTTAATCTCCAGGTGCGCACCCTAGGCCGCGAATGGAGTTTCGAAATTGGGATTGTAGACCGGATGAAGAGAGTCGGTGTCATAAGGCTGTCAACCTTCCAGGTATTCCATCTTATGCGATCTCCCTCTATTTTTCTTCCGAAGATAACATTGCCCTTTTTTTCTTATGCATTTCTTGTATGTTGTCCCCGGAGCCTAACCATCTATTTTTCGGCAGAAGTCAGCGCGACTCAAACTTCCAGTACGAGGCAAACCAGCGCTTCTTCACCTGCCATTGCCATTTCCGATGGCCTCTGAGTCTTCGCACCTTCTGACAGCTTGGTCAACTGTCACACTCAATCTTCCTTCCCTGATGCCCCATTTCTCCGACCTGTCATTGCTTGAAGACAATGGCGATGCGCGCCGCTCACTCAACACAGTCGCTGGGGCATTCTCTCACATCTCGTATGTGAAGATATACTCTACATGTCGACTGAGGCGGATCTGGTTCAGCCAAGAGGGACCCGGGGCGGAGCTTCCATGGGAGTTTCAGCTGTACTCAGATGCGTAAAGAATGGAGCCGTGATCTACAGTTGCACCTGCAGCGTGCACATCCTCGTTCTATCAATCGGGGCAAGTGCCTATCTCTATCGGATTTCATTGATGCGCCATCTTCATGGGTCAGGCATAATACACTCAATCTCCCAATCTCATTCTGCCACCTCCCGAACGCGGATCAACGTAACGTTACTACTCTGCCAATTCCGGCGAATGCGTAAAATGCGGTCATGCTTTATTATGAGGAGTAAAATGAAATCTGTTCTACGTGTACATTCCATAAATTGCCTGATTATACTACTACTACTACTAGATTCAAAGATGAGGGAAGCAAAGAAGTAAGAGTACACATTGATCGCGTATGCGAGATTGGAAAGCTGAATATCGTCCATACATGCGACTGACTATGACCGAAATCCCCGAGGGAAGTATCTCAACGCCTATTTATTATCCATAAAACGTGGCGCTCTCTGCACTCCCTCGAACATGACTAACCATCTCCATGCCAATACTGGAAAACGGAGATGAAAGATGATACGGCATACGCCTCATGGACTAGAAAGAGACGGCCATCAAACACTGGATCAAGGATAAAAGAGAGACTATACCGTAGTACTGCGATTTGGATCCGAGGTCGGATGGGAGTAAGAATTAACGGTGTACGACGGTTCATGCAATGGATCCGATGCAGAGCTGTCACCGGCATACAAGCTGTAGTTCGATGCTGGAGTCGTGTATGGTGCAGAACCGGGTCTTGTCATGTCGTAGGTCAAAGACGGAGTGCCTGAGGAGACGCTGCTTCTAGACGACTGCGACGATCGAGCAACGGGCTGCTGTACTTGCTCCCATTGCTGTTGGTACATCGTCGGGAACCTGCACGTCGCGGACATTACTGCCGTTGACGATGAAGCGGGGGTGCACGCATCTGAACGCCGGTGCCATTGATGATAAGGAACTAAATCATAATCAGTTCGTTGTTGTACTGGGGGGGGGGGGGGAGGAAATCCTTACGAGCATTAGTATTACGAGGTATGGTACTGTTGTTGACGAGGGCTTGGCTGGGTTGGTTGAGCATGGGTGCGATTCCCTTGAATTGGACATCTACAGCCCTTTCCACGCATGCATTGGATAGAGGCGGAATTAACGAAGAGTCGGATGAATTTCTCCTGGATGGCAGAGGAGAAACTCGCGACGGTACAGTATCACCCATGAATCCTGCCAAGGACGACGAAGAGCTGACTACACAGAAATCATAAGCATGACGAAGACGCGAAGAGTATAAGGCCACTTGCACTTATAACTCGGTTCACTGGGATTACGAAGACATCTTCTGCCCCAGTCGTCAAAGTCAGATTCTTGCTTGAGGGAATATTCGTATGGGGTCTGGGATGGGATGGGGGCGACAACTGATGTTGGTGCGGCCACGGGTATAGGCGAAGAAGATGGCGAGGAATGAACCAGGCTCTCGAGGCTCTCGGCCGTGGAGTATTCTGCACTCGGCGACTCGGAAGTGAAGATGGCCTCCGTCAACTTATACCTTTGACTTGGTCTTTCATCGTCGTCACCTTCCTCATAATCATCACGCTTTCTTTTGACTCCCGCAGCCTCAAAACTAGGCGATAACCTTTCTAGCTTGCCGACGTCTACGCGAGTGAGCTCTGGTAGCTCAGAGCTGAAGATCCCAGCATCGTAACTGGGAATTTGCCACTCAGGTAGCATTACAGGCATCGACTCGAGAGGTCCTGCTTCCTCCCCGCACCAGGTAAGGGTGGTCGATGGATTTCCACCGTGTATAGTGAAAGGATTGAGGCGGAACACGCCCATCATACTGCGCATGTCGTCGTTGGCTTGCGTGGCACGGAGGGGGACCTGCGTCGGGGGCGCAAGAGACTGAGAGAGCAGCGACCGGCCTATTAGTTCCGACTGGGCAGGAGAATGAGCGTGCTCCGGGAAAGGCGAACATCGCCCCACAGCGAGCAGAGGTTCGATAATAAATCTGGGGGATCCCGGCTCCTCCTTGATGGATTCTACAGGCTTTGAACGATAGGTGCGAGACTTGGACGGGGGTTTCGAAATGGGACGGGGCGAGGGCGAGGGCGACGAGGAGAGGGACTCGAACGCGAGAGTCGCCGGATGAACTATAGTATCATCCAGAGATTCGTTCCAGAGATTGTCGGGGGCCAGGGTCGCGCTAAGCGAGGACGCAGAAGCCAGCGTCGATCGTGGAACAAAATTCCAATTCCAGTGAGAGGGACCAGTGAGTGTCGGGTATGGAAGTGGTGATTCAGTCACCACTGATGATAGTAATTGACCGAACTTGTGCATCGCGCCTAGTTTCTGGTCAGTATCGCAGTCTGCTGATGATGGATATAGTTTTGTCAAAGGGTACAGAGACCGGTAATCTGGAATAGAAAAATGTTGATCAATGTCGGAGAATAGATTACGTTGTAGGACAGACATTACCTCGTATGCGCGTATATGGCTGGTCGCGACTTGTCTCGATGAGAAAGAAATGGCTAACCGTCCTACGACGCGTCTGTCTTCAAGTACGACACGGACAGAGCAGACAGTCGCGGCGACCTGGAGGACTGAAACAGAAAGGCCACATACTCCCATCCAATCGTTCCTACATTTCATTCATACTCTACAACGCTCCCATGAGATCGCCGCACCCCCATCTCATTCCCATGCACGGCAGCGGAGCTCCCCGTTCCATCCCTCTGGGTTGCAGGTGGCCTCCAGATGCACCAAGATTCATTCGTCAAAAGAACCGTATCCTCCCCAATTGCTCTTTCCGGGCATGTTTCGCAGATGGATCCGCAATGCTTCTTACGCCGCAACCGGTAACAACTTTCACATTGTCACATGATACTCCGACCCAACTCCGCAGCCAAATACTTCACATTCCGACAATGCCGTTGCCGGCACACCCCACAAACCCCATTTGGCGCCTCACCATTTTCACTTCATCACACTCTTCTTCGAACGATCTTCACCTTCGTATAGGCATTTATCAGGGCGGTTGTACGCGCCTTTCCATGAGAGTCACAACCCCGTTTTTTGTTCAACATTGAATGGAGATTCAATCAATCAATTTCATCCATTTGACCACTGGGTCTAACATACTGTCTTGTCACTCTTCGATGTAAATCTACCCCCACAATGATCGTTTTTTATGAAATGCATCCGAAAACGAGTCGCACAGTTTGCCACTTTCCGCTCAAGCTCTCACCCCCGCCACCACCGACGCCACAGACATTCGGGCATCGGTGAACACCCCACATTGAGCTTCCGCTGCATTGATCGCCGGCCAAAGAATCGCCATCGTCGCCGTGGATATGTCGGTACTTCATTCACCGTCCTAGATCACTAGAAGCTTGAATAAGACCAGAATCATGGTCTTACCAGCGAACACTATGGTTTTGAACACATACATCTTCAGAGACAGGAAATGGTATCGAAATCATCAAAACAAGACGGCAAAAGAAAGAAAGAAAGAAGGCATGGAAGCCATCTCTTTGAATATAGACCTTGAGAGACTGAATCAACAACTGTAGACTGAATCACGTACCCAGGCAGTGATGGTCACAGCTGTGACCGAGGCACACGAAGTCGTCGAAGTAGAAGCATCGCCAGGAACCCGCAGAGGAGGAAAAGACGCCCACATTGTTGTTGTCAACGACGAGAAGTTAATGAACCCTTCTACAGGAGGTTTGAAGCAGTAGTAAGGCAGGGGTGTGGAAAGGTTATTGCGTTTACCACACGTAACAAAGTTTTCGCATCAAGTACTGTCCGTTTGTCTGAGGTCCAGGGTTTCATTTCTCCGGGAATGAGAGGAAAGCGAAGACACGAATAACAGCACGGAAAGCATGGGAAGCGTTTTGTCATTTAACGATAGAGTTCCAAGGGACTCAATGAATACATACCGGGTTTCGAGAAGGGTCGAGAAAGCTCCGAATGTTCATAACCGAGAATTAAAACACCATTGCCCAGTCAGCACAATACAACTGCAGCAACCGGTGACTAAGTCAAGCATTTCCGATCGAGTGTAGGAAAAGAGGCCAAAAGAGCGCGAACGTGCGGTTCTGCTGGCGTTTAATCGCACGCTGGATGAGCCGAATGTAACGAGATTTGGACACGAAAAGGCACACGTAGAGATGTACCGTCATTTCATTCCCCGAAGATCAAGGAGAGCGACGATGAGACGTAGAAACGGTCAAGTCGAAGGGCGTATGAAGCATCGGGTGAAGAACGGGTGCCACTCTAAAGAAAACTGCGAATGATCTTCCCAAGTTGATAGGTAGGTACGGTACGCACCTAAACCGTCAGTCTTAATATAGAGAGACGCACCAAGATCCGGTCACAAATCGTCCCGACGAGTCGTTGGGTTAGGTGAGGGTTTTCTCCACACGAAGAGCGCGAGCCGCATGTCGCAGATAAAAAATCATTCGGTTCAAATCAGCTGGCGCGTCATGGAGGACGTAGACGTTGGTATGGTCAGAGCAGCAAAGAATACCTCCAGTGTCGGCAGAAGAGCGGAAGGCAACCCAGGAGCATGATTCCCAGTCCTTTGTATGGTGGTCAGGAGAAACGCTAGTGAGACAGGAGGAGACATGTCCGAACCTGTAGCCGCGAGCATGTTCAGAAGACATACAAATCAAGCCAAGGCCAATGAGAACTTGCACCGTATCGAGTTAGACCGTGATACGTCAAATCTTCCTCCGTCTTGGTCGAGAGTAAGATTAGTCTTTTGAGAGCGCCGTAAAACAGAGACCGGCATCGAGTATTAAGGACAAGAACATGAAATGGATGTGAGCTGTCCAACATAGTTATCTTATCAGAACGAGACAAAAAAAAAAAGAGAATCTAGAAAGGGGATCTGGTATGGAGAAAGTGAGGATTGTCGTAAAGGCAGATCTACCCGTAAAGATTGAGTTGAATGTGTGAGTCTCGGAAATGGAATTCGAAATTCAGGTTGAACCATATCCCCACGTGGCGATGACTTCGGATCTCACTTTCCGACTCGAAGTATAATTATGTGTTTTCTTCTCTTGCTTAATCTGACGAGCTATAATGATTCGAGTACCGAAATCATCGGCGCAGCGAACTTCCTATTGCCAACTTAACTACTACTACCAGGTAGTAACATAGCCTGAGCGTGGGTGTATGATTGAAAGATTTTCGTTTTCTACTGGCTCACCTTCGATTTTGTAGCACCATCATCCACTATTCGGAGTCCGTGTCGATGGCAGCACACCGTTCCGCATTTTGAGCACAAGATACCATAAATTCCGTTACTATGCTCTCATCACTGGCGGCTACAGCGTTCACACCGCGGACATCAATAGCTCTCTTTTTATAGCATTAGCCATCACTGCTTGTAAGCAAATGGTGAGTGACTCCCGCGGTACCCCGACCGATGTTACGGATTAGGGCAATGAACAGTCCACCGGCTACTAATTTCCCATCGTAGAGTCTTCCATCAGAGATTTTGCCCTGTGTGTCGTTCTCGATTATTGGCCCGTACTGAAGCCTGTCCCCGACCTCGCGTAATCATGCAGACGGTCGATGTCCCCGGGGTTGCAACGTTGACTAGTTAGGCCCTTCGATCGATTTAAACGGGTTCTACACTAGCCAGGAGACTGGCCCTCGTTCAGGTTTACTCGGGCACTACCGGTTCGAAATACATGAGCTTCATCCACGTATTTTGCCTTCCATCCTTCCACCATCACTGCGAAACATACGTCCTAGATGACCACGGCACATGTAACAATATTACATGCGGAGACACTATCTTTGATCATCAGAGAGGGAAGTCGTGCCATGATAGCAATCTCTTTCCCACTTGATGGAGCGCAACAGCTTTACAATGCTAGCGAATGGGAAGATTTGTGGGCTTTGAGACTGACATATCAATGTCTCAATGAAATCATTATACCTACTTTTTTGACGTCCATGTCAACCTTTGTGGATCGAGAATATTCAAGGCGTTATCCCAACTCAAGACCTTTTGCTTGCGGTGGACTCGGGTCACCCAGTTCGTGAAGAATTTGAACATTCTGTCGCTAATTTTTATAACATGGGGATAACTTCTGTTCACACTGCGAATTTGTGCATTTTCTGATCAAGAGTGTAGTTACAGGCACTTTAGGCTAGCCTGAAGGCGTCAAGACATATTGAGTCTGCTATATGCTCTTTGTACAGTGTCGAACGTGTCTCCTATGTTTCCTTTCCCTCCCCTTGTCGATTCGTGTCGATAGTATTCTCTCATAGACTACACGCTTGTCAGTACAACCCAAAGAACACTGTTCGAGTTGGACTTGACGCTTTAGCATATCTTCCAAACCCCACGACTCTGACGATTTCTGGAGACACCGCGACAAATTGGCACGACACTCAATTCCATAGCTTCACCAATATCATTGACTTCACGATCGAAGCCCCGGCTGGTGCACACCTAGAACGTCATCTGCACAATTTCACGATTAGCAACCCTCGTCTTCAACGTTCGTGTGTGATATTTCAGCCACAGTACCTTGGTGTGGGATGAAAACTCGATGTAGCCTATATTTTTGACAAGGAGACGGGTCCATTTGCTCTTCAATATCTGGAGCTTTATGGTAGATGGAGAATATCTGACCCATCTTGCATAGGGCAGCTCACGTCTCTTACGTCGGTTTGTCTTTCTGACGATGATGATGGGGGAAGCAGTTTGACTATACTATACTATTATCTTATCTAGTCAACCCTCTGAAGAAGCTAGTATTTCCCTTGCCAGCCGCTAAGCGAGGAAAACTGGGAAAGAGTGACCGCATTTTGATCGCCCACCTTTCTTCGTATTCGGGCCTAGAAGAACTCACTGTCAGCGCTTTTGGGGTGAAGTTCTTTCGAAAGGCTCTTCCTCGCCATATTGATATTCTCGCAAAACTCGTCTTGGAATATGGATTTTGGGGCGGCTCTCCTTCGGATTACGACTTTACGGCTGTTTCTCAGCTTCACAATCTTCAGCATTTAGAAATCACCTTGCTGTCCATAATTCTAGCGGCCAGTGAAGTAATGGTTCCAACGGCCGTAAGTTCCGTATTTTTCCAAGCCATTAGTATGAGCTAAATTTAGCAATTCATTAGGTTGTGTGGCTAGACCATAGCGACTTGCTTGTACAACCTTCGCAACCTTCATATACACGTTATAGACATGCCCTCAACGCTTCTGCTACACAGACGAACTCAAAATGAATGTGGACAAAATTATCCAGCACTACATCAACATCGGCCAGAATTGTCCACTTCCTCTTCGTGTCCACGTACACGCATGGGAACGGATGTCTGTCACATACCACATCATTGGCGCTCGCTTCATACAAGTCTGCTGTTTCAGGCACACGGCTGAATCTCAAGAGCTTCCTTGTGAAACTGATGGTAGACGGAAATTGTTCAGGATCTGGGCTGCTGGAATGCCTTTCATGTTCATTCGTCATTGGTTCGAAGCTTATTCGGTGGGATTGTCTTTTTTATTTTGGGCTTAACGGTTGCGCTTGTAACAGCGCTCGTGGTGATGATACGCTGGATGACATGGAGAGCTTACGACAATTTATCTTTAAGACCTGCTATATTGGTTCTCTGAGCTTCGCGCGTCTTCGAGCGCTCGTGTCAGGCTGTCGGGATACCCTTGGAGGAATTGCTTCAATCCGTTGAAAATGAGATCGTTATGATAATAGCTGCTTTATCGGAGGAATTTTTACCCGTGAACCAGTCCTCATAGCCAAATTAGATACGTGCAAGATCAGGATTGGGGTCTACTGCTGTTACATACCGCTTCTTCTTCCACAACCTCCGAGACCATATCTTGATGTCTAACAGTCTTTTAATTCCATCCACCACGCGCGCTTCCACTCGTTATTATCGATGGATCTATCAAGATATAGTCTCTTTGTCAATTGGGAACGTGTATAGACCGCGTAAACATATAACTCATCGCAACGCCCTTGAAAGAACCCAGAGCTTTAGAGCGGCGGAGCTTGCAGATAAGGATCGAAGTACTTACGGTCGTTATAGTCCGGTCTTCGTGGTATTTAGATGCGTTCTACAATTTGAGTGAGAATTGCGGTCGTATTAGTCCATGCCAGTCGCGCACACCCCGTGGGCCAAAATGCCGTCTATGAGCGTGCACGTAGTGTGTAATGTACCAACAATGAACTACGCCACACGATGTGACTTTGAAGCTTCGAACGATTCATCAACCATTATCCGAAGCAACACGATGAACGGGGACGAAAACTGACCTCTTTGGCGACTAGTTTCTGCCCCAGTGAACTCAGCTTCCACCATGTTGGAGTATCCCGTTGATACTGTTCTAACAGACACGGGGCTATGAGCGTACCTGCCCATGCTTCAAAGTCCATTGTAACCGCGGAACGAGAAATTTCAAATTTCTTTTGAAGGTGAAGAAAGCCCTGCTGTCGGCTCTGCTGTGTCATTTCGCTGAGATGTGAGCCTCTACAATTAATCCTTGATATTTCTATTGCGCGTGCCCTCTGCATCATCAGTGGAGCACCGGCTTTCCTATGATGTCAATTGATGAGATCGATAGGACTGAAGCCGGAGGAGTACGTGAAAGACACTCAGCAAGGTCCGAAACTAGCTGATGGCTCAAGTCCATTAGCAACCGCGGGTGCCATTGCGTGATGGAACACCACCCCTGCCGTTACCTCTTGTTAGGAGAGCTCTTTTTGGTGGTCTGACCTGTCCATCTATCGCATTTAACTCCTACTGAAGGATCGAATTCCGGAGCTTGCAGCTTACGTCTCACAGGGGGACTTCAAAGAAGTCCTTGAGGTCAGCTTTACACTACTTCAGGGGCAATATTCAATAAACCAGCGCATGTATATTTGGCCGTCCGGCTACTCGGAGTCAAAGGACACCGTGACTATTGCCTCTTTCAAAAAATATGGATCCAGAATCCGTCAAGCGATATTGAACTGCACGGCTTCTGGGAATGGGTTTGACTGAGGCAGGTGGAAGCGCGTTTGGACCCAAATGTAGCGCAACCTATAGATCGTGAGACGACTAAGTCATTCGCGGGATCATGTTTACGTACCTCTCCACTGACAGCACCACTTCGACCACTTGCTAATGGCCTCACATCAACGTGGTAAGTTGCGAGCTGCATCAAGTCACGGAACAATTGATCTGGCATGCCATAGACCACCAAATGATGTCGGATAAGTAATGTTGCTTGATGCTTTACAAAAGAAGGGTTCAATATCATTCACCTCGTCCGGAAACTCAAAATTATACCTTGATGCATTGAGCCCTCAAGGCACGGCAAAATCGAAGAATGTCAAGGGTTGATACTCCAATCCATTCCAGCGTTGAGACATCGTCAAGAATGACAAGTGAGTCAGGAGTGCATTCCTTCAGGGCTTCGACAACTACGTTGAATATCTGCCTCAATCCGGATTCTTCTGGCTCAAAGGAAGAAATGTCGACGAATGTAAGACTGCCTGAGTTCTCCTCCTGGGCCAAATTAACGTTCTATAAATATTTTAATCTGAGAATGGGCATCCGAACGTTAGATACATACGTGCTTTGATGCTATAGCCTGCCATTTCGCCCACCCTTCGGACACGGACAGAATAATCCGTTTTCCTTCCTTGCTTTCTTTTACATGCGAAATTAGCTTTTGGTGAAGAATGAAGTCTGCAGGTGAGGGAAGCTCATCGGTAATGAGCTGTATAATCCCCTGAGGCAAATCCAAAGGTGTAAAACTCATGTACACAGTGGTGTGCGTACAAGGCAAACTGCCATCGGCAATTTCCGTTATTTATTTAACTTCCTCGATGATACCAAATTAAATTATTTTGAAGCTTGAACTATCGCATGAGTATCACGGATTCCATCACCAGGGTCTGTTGCAGCGTCTTCTCATTGTGGTCGAGGTTGACTGGGATGGCAGTTACACTTCCCGGGGCAATAGTCCAATATCCGACACCCCACCATTTCCTATATCAACTTCTCTTTCAACTTCTCTTTCAAATCCTCCCATTCTGCCTACGGTCCCAGAGCGTGTTACTTTGGAGATCCACCAAGGTACATCTTGCAGTCCATTTCTCTCCCAGGCAATAGCTCAAAGTTTGCAGTTATGGCATAGCAAGCCAAACAGTCGAGCTTACGGTGTACTTCTTCTCCGCGGTCTCGCCGAATTCTATGCTTCTTCTTCCGCCGCTTTCAGCTTCAGATACTCACCCACGATATCACATCTCTATCGGCACCAACCCTTACGCCGAGTTCGTACATAACGGCCATCCGAAAGGGAGCGTCAGAGTACGGTGAACTCGTAGGAGAATTTGAGTGAGTCTATTTGACGTCGCAAACTGTATTACGAACATTGATTGTGGTCGTGTGCATCAGAATGAGTTTGACTAGTAAATTAAAGCCTCCAACTGTTTATATATGTGGTCAGGAAGCACTGCTAAGTAACACCTTGGATGACGCCAGGCAGCACGTAGGAGCAAACCTATCTTCCTTCCTGATTTTCTGTTGACTCATTTCCCTCTCCATCTTCAGAGTATATTGTGGAAGGGACAAGTCAATAATTTGTTTTGGGATGATGGCTCGACTACAAAGAAGGTATGCATAAGAAAGTCATGTCAAGATTTCTCAAGCTTACCAATTGAAAGTGCTACCATAGTGAGCGCTGCAGATCATATGAAATCTTAGCTGAATTCAGTGTGCCAAAAGGACTTCAACGGTCAGGGGAGCCAGCACAGCTCACGCAACTTAAAATATATCCGGAAAGTCAAGAACACTTTGATGACATCCTGATATCTATCCTCGTTCTGGAGGGGAAACGCACCACCTTGGCTGTGAAAGACGAAGCTATGCTTGCAATTTCATCCATCCGAAAACCTATGGGAGCTATATACACGCCGTCACTGTCTCGCGACATCAGATCTGCAGTAACGGATGTTGGAAGACTTTCACGACAGCGACGCTGTCGTTACACGGACGTTCCACCGTCCGGGGAAGGAGATGACTACAACAATCAGCTTCATTCTTTGTAATATGGGTGACCAATATGTGTGTCCCTGTTATCATGATAGCATGCTTCTTACTTGTGTGTCACAAGGCAATAAAACGGTTTTTTCGAATCGAAGTGAAACACGCCTTGCAATAACGGCGCCAATTTGCTGTATCCAGTCAGCTGTTCGCTCTGGGTCCATCTCCTATCGTCTGGCACCGACGTGTCCGTAGCTTATCACAACAGAACGTAAGACAACCATTAAATTTGATGTTGATTATTTCCCGCGATCATTGTATTAACTATGTAAGGCAGCCTCTCTCCATGTTGTCCTGCGCTTCATGTGGACGTTCTCAGTCTTGGCCGTGAATCAAATGTCAGATGCCGTTTACAACCACCGGAAAGCTTCCTGGGATCGTCTGGTATGCAACATACGAACTAACAGTTCAACGCCTTGGTCCCTCCGACGCGTGCTCCCGAGCGAAGTTGACCACAGTTTGACCATCCATTCCAAGTTGACGTCGGTCATGACGTTTTAGCGTGGCGGGCTATGCCATAGCTACGGATCCGTGTACGTTCTGAACCTGGAAGCTGATATTTACGCGCCAAGGACGTCTCGCTACTTGGCAGCGTGCTGATACCATGCGTATCAGCAGAGCTCCAGGACCCATACGAGATCCTTAACTTCATGCCGTGAATATAAGCACGCTGTATATGTTTCCCTCTCGGAGTCCTTCACCTCTAGCACATTTTAATCTTTTGGCTGGCCCCCTTTCTTTTCCTTGTTGTCGCCATTCATTCATATAACTGATCAGTCATCGTTATTTATTCTCCTAGCTAGTGTGGCCTTCGTTCATTTTTGTCTTTCCTTCCTCATGCAGGGTGTCGGGTTTCTCCTTTGGCTTATTACAGCACCAGTCTTGGTTCTGAACGCGCATCTCGGTCATCCACATCGACAGGCCGGAGCTTGCTGTTTTGTTTCAGGGTAACCAGCAGTTCGAGTCAAAGATGCCGAGCGAGAACCCAACGCTTCTAGTCAATCTTACGGAGAATGGACAAGGTAATTAAGAGTGGCTTGGATCTGATCAAGCGAAAATGGAGCCGGAGTTCGTGTTCATTGGATGCTCAGATAGCCGAGTAAACGAAGGTACCGTCTTCGACGCCAGACCAGGCACGCTTTTTATGAAGCGCAACATCGTGAAGCAGTTTATTGCGGAGGATTTTAATGCGTACGTTGTCTACGAGGTGATGGTATGCTTGATTCGAGTCTAATAACTTCGCAGGCAATCAATCGTAGCTTATGCCATTTCCGAGCTTCATGTTCAGCATATCATTGTGATGGGTCACTACGGGTGAGGTGGCGTCACGGCAGCGATCGCTACACCGCCAGAAGAGCCGCTCGATGCAGCGATTACTGCTGTGAAAAATTGGATTGCGTATCATAATTCGACGAGGTGTGACATATTCTTACTCATCATGGTTAGCGGATTCTGAGTTGTAATAGAGTAGAAATCTCTCACTTCGAGAGAAGAACGCTGTTTTTGAAGTGGTCGAAGAACCCGAGCCAAAGAACGCAAGTGCCAGTCCTCATTCTCCTCAACATCCCTTACTTAACATTCTCTTTGTAGCTGGTCTTCGTGCTCTTATCGAGGAGAACGTCAAGGTTAGTGTCCAGCCCGTCGCGGCATCCACCGTCATCCAGGACGTATGTTATCTCGCCCTCCTGACTAGTTGTGCCCCTAACGAACTCATAGCATTTCGTTGCCCTTGCTCAAGCTGGCGGCGTCAATGAGAAAGGGAAGACGCTCGCCACCGTATCCATTCATGGACGAAATACAGAATCTAGTCGTCAGTGTCGGTCCTCCAGGAATCGATATCCCATCTGTCCCCTTCGCTACAGATAGTAGTGAGGAAATAGATCTCTGGAAGATACGTCTGAGAAGCCAATACTTGCTTTCCAGAAATTGTGCAAGATGTCCACTGTTTGGTCTACAAACTCTCCAGCACCTGTATTGTCTACAAAATACTCCTTACTCGTGCACATAACAGTGTATATCGACGGCTTGAAGGATTAGAAGACTGATAAATCTCCAGGTATCTATTATTCCTGTGACTCGGTGCTCCTAGGTACCATTACCGTGCTTGCTTATTTAGCAGCAGTGGGCCTTTCAGTGTTTCATAAATCTCTAATACTGATCCACATTATAAATTAAACGTATACATAGCTCCAACTGCAGTCTTGCATAGAATTACATCCAGCAGTATGATGACCGATACCTGCACCCGTAAGGACCACCTCATTATTTGTAGTATGTTTAAAGCACACATATCATAAGCATCACTGCGAACATGGCATGGTACATATAGGAAACGGACAATTTTATATACTTAGAGCTTGTTAAGAGAAGCAGCAGTAACATTCTGTCCAGCTGCCTTCGCCCGCTTACGCAACATCTGGGTCGACTTGTTGCCACGGAGTCCACCGCCCCATTGCCGGCGCTGGTCTTCATACTTGTCAGAGCTAAACAGCATTATTATTCAGTGACATACAGCTCAGAAAAGACAGCCCAACTCACAAGTTGGCCTTGGCAGCGCTGATGAGGGTAGCGAGCTCTCGCTGGTCCTCACTCTTGACTTCTTGCAGGGCGACGACTGCAGAAGTTTTCTTGTGCACAACAGTACCCAGGCGAGCTTTGCCCTTGACGATGACGTAGGGGACACCCATCTTGCGGCAGAGGGCAGGGAGGAAGACCACAAGCTCAATAGGGTCGACATCATGGGCGATGACAACGAGAGACGCTTTCTTAGCCTCAATCAGGGCGACAATATGGTTAAGGCCATACTTGACGAAAAGAGGCTTCTTGGTCTCCTACAAGGATGAGGCGGTATGAGAAAATGAGCACGATCAGAACGAACAATGCATACCTCCTTCTTTCCCTCAGCAGCTGCAGCAGCGGTAGCCTGCAGACGAGCTTTTTTCTCAACGGTTGACTCTGGGCGGTATTTGTTCAAGAGTTTGAACAATTGCGTCGCCGTATTCTTGTCCAAGGTGTGGGAAAATTGGGCGATGGCAGGAGGAACCTTGAGGCGCTGGTTGAGGATGACTTTTTGGCGCTGCAAGCGAACATATTCAGGCCACTTGACGAAACGCGTAAGATCTGTCGGATGCTGGATGTCTTGTCCTACAGGAACAATCAAAACACCACTACTAACGCGAGCTTGAGAACATGACGTACCAATACCGAAGTTTTTGGGCTTAGCCTCGAAAAGAGGGTTCTTCTTTGCCTTAGTCGCCTTGCTGGCGCCAAAGGGAGCGGCGGCGGGCCTCTTACCAGATCCTGACTTGGCAGCTTTGGGCTGGTCATTGAGACGAAGCAGTCAGCAAAACGTCTGACTTTCTTGTGCCTCGGAGCTCTAGCGCCGTGCACTTTACAGTACATGGCCCAGCATATCACATCATGGCATCAGCCCAGCGATTAGAGATTGCACGCGTAGACTGCAGATGTCAACTTGAGTACGACTATGAACGTCATCCAGGTGAGAAACTTGCCATCCACCTCATTCCTCCACCGAAGAGGGCCATGTTTGCACCGACGCCAGAGCTTGGAAGGCCAAAAAGTTGATTCTCACCATTTTTACGATAGTCTTGAGGCCTTGACGGGAAAAGCTTGAGGATGGAGGATGAGTTCGTCCTGAACTTGAAAAATGTGTGTGACTAAGCCTATAATTTTGGAAATTACGTCCCGACCTAAGGGTTAAATAATGTACTTTGAAAACTATTTAAATAATTACAAACTCCTGATGTCGTACGGCTGTGGAAGTAGCTACATACGAGTGCTACAGTGCTAGCACCTTACCATGTCATCGAAAGACTCCGAAGAGGGACGACGCGTACGTAGGCCCCGAAGATTACTTTCTACCGACTCAACCAAAACATCGTCCTCTCGTCAGTCTTCGTCTGATGTCTCTCTCTCTGATGATGATACTCGAAAGCATAATGCCCGGGGGCACTCCAAGTTCTCTCCACTATCTCAGTTGGATGAAGTACCGCAGGAGGAGCTTGAAGGGTGGATGAGGCAGGGTATCGTTGACTCCCCTCTCAATTCCCCAGAGAATCCATTTGATGTGCCGTTGCCTCGCTCTGAAAGTCCCAAACCAGCAAAGCCCAAACTTGAAATTCGAACGGGTCCATCACTACTGGCAAAAGCATCCTCTGCCTCTGATAATGGCCCTCTTCCATCTCCAGGAGCAGCTCGGTGGGACCACATACGTCAGCACGTTTTGCCATCATCTGCAGTCTTCTCCGGTGCTTCGAGAGCTCCATCCACGCATGTGACGTCTTCCTCGACCTCCTCCACACAGAATACTTCACGTGCGCCTACCCCCAAAGCATCCCGATTTGTTCAGAGATTAGGATTCAAGCAGGCGGCTGAACATGCTCGAGAAGTTGTCGTGGATGAAAATCGCAAATTTTCCTACGAGCTGCAGAAGGTGTGCTGGTTGGCTAGGCATGATGAGCCGTCCTCCGCAGTGAAAATCGAGCAACATGGAACGCCTTACCTCCCCTTCATGTCTAGTACCTCACTCAATATGCACGCACCTTCCATTTCTATGAGCCAGTCTAACAAGAGGCATGACATGCGTCGCCAGTCCATGCAGTCTTTATCCTCCTCCCCTCAGACTACGTCATCCCTGAAGCAGCTTTATCACGTACTATTGCTTCACTCAACGCCTTCGCCGGACGGTAGGGAGCCGGCGCCACAACTTCCGCTTCAGAAATTCGTCCTATCAACGCTCCTAATCCCCTTTCTCACGCTTGAGAAAGATAATCGTCTTGATGAGGAACGGTGGTTTGCCATCGAAGCATTCGAGATTATTCGGAAAACTTGGCATCCTTTGGACGAGGCATGCATTTTTCCCTCTAAAATTCTGTTATGCCACTGACCAGACAGTAAGATTGAAGGTATCGAAAGAAGCATGTGGTGTATCAAGGCGGCCCTTATCCCCCCTGCTCCCATTCGCATGCGACTCGTTACATCACTGTGGCACCTAACCGTCCCCCCAGAAAGTCTTTCCCCTGCAACCTCACCTACTACGTTACAAGGACTTTGTCAAGGCTTGTTTTCTCTTCTTCCTTGGGTGCAGCTGCATACGGAAGAAGGTAAGCTTTTAACTCAAATCATATACCAAGTCCGTACTGGGTCGTGCGGTGAAATCCACAAAGCGTCGATCGAAAGCGAATTTAATGCTTCCCTTGTCAACGGCGACACCGTACAAACTATTCGCGATGCGGTCGTCGTTGAAGCTCTCGGAAAGTGCATGGAAAATTCAACCGACGCTGACAGACGGTGGCTATTGGTGAACTTCTTAGAGGTAGGTGACCACTGTAACCATCATTGGAGGCGTCTAATATTGCGTATCTCCTCTAGGAACACTGGCCGATACCGCCCCAAGACTTGGCACTTTCATCTGTCTTGGACGCCATACATTCACGCAAATTGAACGTGTTTACGCGTGTATTTTGTTCGCTACTGGAATCTACATCCCCAGAGAGCAATAGACGAGTGAATGACGCCCACCATGTTATCAAGTTCCTACAAACGAGAGCTATTCCAGAGCTGGAACTTCTTTCAGCCAAGAATCTCGAGGCAAAGTGCAATGTTATAAAATGTATTTTGATTATGTTAATGGCAGAAGATATGAACGACGTTGTTCGATGGTGCATCTCTATCATATGTCGTTGGTATCGAAATGCGGGTAGTTGGAAAGATAACTTCAACCAAGGGTTGAAACATATTGTAAGATGGACCAGAACTGTATGCGTGATGTGTCCTGACTTGCATCTTCCAGATTACAGAAGGGCTATGGCAGTTCATCATCGTCATTTTGACTTCGTTGGCTGAAGTACTGCCACAAGATGTTCGGAAACCAGTGATAGCGTTCATGCTACCACTATTAAATGACGTGAGTCTGGGAGGTTGCTAAATTTCATCACTATCTTAGACCTAGCTCTACAGCGCTTAGTTGACAATCCTCCGCCGCATCCTTGTCTTCCCCTTACCGCCCTGTTCAACACCTTGTCACAGGCCTATCCTCAGATCTTCTATAAACCCCTTTTTCTTTGTGCAGCATCTGTCAAAGAGATTGCTGTTGTCAACCATCTCTGTACGATCACAATAATGTCAAGGTTTCTTCCCGATTTTTGGGTCCGTGATGCAGAAATGATATCTGTCGCGGTCATGAGTGACATCGGGGGTGGCGGTGATGCTAATGGTAAGGGAAAGGCAAAGGAGGGTGCATGGGGGAATGCCCGGCTCGGACAGTCTGTATTGCTGGTTGAGTTGATAGGAAAAGTACAAGGTATAAGGCGGGAGAAGGAGAATACCTCGGTCAGTCGATCCTTTTGGCGACGATCATGCCATCTCATGACCTGCACATATAGATTCCGGAAGCTGCCCTTGTTGATATGATCAAGTTCGCTATTGAGTTAGAGGCTCGTTTGACTCTTATGCTCCAGACTAAGGTTGATGCTTCTTATTGTACCTTGGGTTTGATAGCTGAGCCATGCATAGGAGCGTACATTCATGGTACCGCCGTCCCAGCGATTGTTGTTTTGCGTTCTATTCAGAGAAATCAGACTGTTAACACGTTCCATGAAAGGGTATGTCGAGTAGATATGTCATTCCAGCCATACTAAATATGCCTCAAGAGCTCCTTGGTTGCCCCAGATCGTCTCATGGTATATCGATTATCACAATGATCCTGAGCAGGATGCTTTCAATGACGAAGTCAACGATGCAGTCACCATCATTCAGTCTCTTTTCGTTATGGCGCAAGATGCTCACTCCCATAAGGTAGTTTGAATAGTCCTCTGGAAAAGCATCTGCTTATGAAAATTTAGCGTCGGAGCACTAGGCTCTTATCCTTTGTGCTTGACCCCGCCATTCCCAATGCCAACAATGGATCGGAAATATTCTCTGTTCTAAGTCAGCGGTCCAAGCTAATTAAGTCCTTATCGAAAGGTTATATCTCTCGGGCAATGAAGCTTTTGGTAACCATGTCTCTCCTGCTGACTCCAGAGAATATGCGACGAATAGGGCCCATAGTATGGCAGCACTACTTAGACGAAACTGAAACTTCCGTCCTAGCATCGGTAAGAATATACTGGTTGCCTTAGTTCTCTCTCTTATCATAGCTCCAGGCATGTTACTTAATCATGCAATGTGCCGAGAAAACCTCTGTCGATCTTCAAGCCCTGGTAGAGACAGATTTGGCTAGGTAATATCGGAACCTCTATTGACATTATCCACCACATCTTGATCGTATCATCAGTGCGGACTATGGTACGAAGCTCAGAGCTGTCCAACGCGTGAGCACATTGTCGACATGGCGCTTCCAGATAGCATCACAGCATGTTGTATCTGATCGTCAGCATCGCCCTTTCAGACTGGCTCGGGGACCGCTTCCTTTCATTGCAACAGACATGGGGTCGAGCCAATATGTCAGAGAAGACGACAGTCTTGAGACCAAAGATAACCTTCCGTTGGAGATGAGGAAGCGTTTGGCCGAGATAGGATGGGTAGAAGACGACACTCCCATCAATCAGCAGATCGAGTGGATTCGTACACCTATGTCATTGCTCCCAATTCAACAACTGGATCGCCTAGATTTCTCGAATGCGGAGAGTTTCCCATCGTCGCCTATCGCCAGCCCCATTTCTTCTCCTCAGCAAGGGTCCCCCACCCTTGGAGACACATCTGACGAAGTCGCTCTTCTTCGACGCAACTCGAGCTCTGGCGGTCCTATGTATGGCGTAAAACGAAGAGCAGTCTTTGTGCCAGCGTTGACCCGTATCTTTCCACTTCTCGTCTCTATGGCGTTTGACGAGGACTTCACTATTGCGTGCAGCACCCGCAGCACTGTACTTGACTTGATGCGTAACGATGCTGCATTGTTGGCGAGGCCGGTTTTGGATCTCCTTGCGGAAGGTTCAAAGGATATATCAGCCGCGGTTGACTCACTTCGTGCTCTGCTTCATGTGCGACGAAATCTCCCCCCCTCCATGGCTCATCATATCTTCAATTATTTGGCCGGATTTCTGAAACATAATGCAAAGAATGCTATAACGAAGGAAGCTTTGCTTGAATATGCGTACATCATCCCTATAATCGCTAAGCTGGTTCCGCAAGTCAGTGATTTGTCGTTGCGAGACTTTCGAAGAGCTAAAATCGATACCTACTTTGTCCCTTCCGGTGCCTTGTGGTTTCCTCCTAACTCAAACCCATTCATGTTCCCTGATTCTTCGGGAGGGTCCGAGAACAGTTTAAATGAGGTTTCTCCTCGCCTCATTGCCGTGACTATGATTCGCATCTCTCAAAACATTCTCTTTCTTGACTTGCTCAAGAAAAATCCTCAGGATGTCCAACTTGTCAGAAAGAGCATGTCCAGACTGGTCCTCCCTTCCATGGATGATCCATACGATGCGCGAGCGCTTGAACTGAAAGATTTCATTCCAAGGAAAGGGACCGGGAGCAACGGGACGCAGTCACGCGGCTCTAAGTTAAGGGCCATGTCAGTGCTTCTTTCACGAAGTTATTTGCCACTCGTTGCACAAGTGTTCCGTTCTATGTCCCGGCATCTGAATGACAGGAGCGAATTGGCGGTTCTGGTGGAAGGGTTGAATCGGATTCTGCTAGTTCATGGCAGTGACATCGGTATTGTCAGCCAAGCATTAATTGGTCAGTTCCCTCGTTTTTAGCCTCACGATTCGGTTCTGAGCGTGATCGATAGCGTTCATGGTGGCCAGTACTCGGTTTCATCGTCTTTTCATATCGCGGGGTGGATATACTCTTTTCATGCCCGTGATTATTAAAGTCTACACCGAAGCCGACAATTTAGGGATCAGAATGGCAATCGAATATGCCGTTAATAGGTTCTTCGCACACCACAGAGAGGCCTTTGTGTACCAAAGTATGGACGCAATGGCTCACATTATGGCCACCACGGACATCGAAGCGGAATGGGTCGCTGAGAGTGTATATGCCCTCTTCTCGTCCTTGAGAAAAATGATCTCTCCGGCTACTCAAGATGCTGCTGGGATCCACAATTCTAACAAACTTCAGGAGCGAGAAGCTCTTCTTGTTCTTACTGCCGAAGAGAAGCCCCAGACATTTCTGGCATCATTGCGACCAAGCGGAGGTCAGGGAAAAACCATCCCTATCGATATACCCGAAGAATACGAGGCCAAAAGGTTGACGGTGGACAATTTCGTTCGGCTTTTCCTTACGGTCATAGCGCATGATTTAACCATTATACGTTCTGAGCAATTCTTGCGATTCTTGCGATTCCTTACTCCGCATCTGTATCATGCCTCCTCTTCAGCGAGAAACGTCTTACAGCAAGGGGTTGAAGCGCTGGGCATGGTGCTTCTCAGGGCATCATCTAAAAATAAAGCTGAAAGTTCGAGCCGTCTGGTGGAAGGGGATCCTCAAGAGGTAGCGATCGATGAGATTCTAGATCAGCAGCTCCACGAAAAATCCAAAACTCCTAGTGATTTCGTGTCGATGCGTCTTCAGTATCTCTACCTTATCGTCGCGTTCACGCGAGCTGGTGGCCATCTCTCTATGCAAGCATCTCACAGAAATTTGGAACTTGTCAAACTGCTCCTTCGTGAGTCCACAAGTGAACTTGACAATGCCATTTCGTCGTTCCTCGCAGATTATATGAAATCAGCTTTTGAGCAAGATCCCCCTCGAGATCTCAAGGGACTTGTTGCGTTCCTGAAAGATTTGGCCCCCGTCGTCAGCTCGTATTCGCTCACCATAAACTTCTCCGGATTATTTGAAGCCACCCATCGTCTTTGCACTAACCCGCAATATGCCAAGGACCCAGGTTTCTCTCAATTGGTTGTTACCCAGATATGCTCGGCAGGTCTCAAGGCATGCGCATTAGCCGCGACGGAGAAACTGCTGCTCACGCTTCCTTGTCGCATATCATTGGTCAATTTGGCAAGCCAAAGTGTGTTCTTATGGGGTGCGGATATCATGGCTGAGGTAGAAAAGCACAAGCCTACCTATGACTTCTTGGCAGGAGTTCTTCTACCCTTTGCACTCTCCATGAAGACGGCGACAGATATCGATATGGACCGAGGACGCCTAGAACCTTGGCATCGAGAAGCCCACGCTCGTGCTTGGGTACGGCTCCTTTCATATACCATGTTGGCTTGTCAGAAAACAAGACGTCTTGCAGACACAGTACTGTCCCGGGAGCGCTCCAAATCCCAAGAACGCACACCTACATTGGGAAGAAAGAAGGAGCAACTGTGGTCCTTCGTTACTGCGTTGCAAGTCCTGAAGATCATTATAATTCGTGCTCCCAGAGATCTCACATCGTCTCTCCCTGACGTGTGGGTGCGCATTGCGACATTCTTACGGTCAATGTTGTCAGAAGGCAGTGCGGAATTTGCTTCAATGTCTCGAGATTACTCTCCGTCCCCGTCCCCTACACCGTCCCCGAGATCTAGTGGCTTGTTCAATGCCACCTTCTCACATTCATCAAGCTTTCCTCCATCGTTACATCGAAATTCTCTGCTTCAACAGATTTTCCATAGTCCCCGCATGGTTGACTATTGCTTGTGGTCTGTCTTCGAATTGCTTTGCATCCATCGAACACCCCTGGTCCTGCAAATGCGACTTTTCATGCAAGAGAAAGTTTTAGGGTTGGATCAGGACTTAAAGTCTCAAAGTACCTTCTCCTTATCGAAAGTTGCTCGGCCAGTTTCTTCAGTTTTTGCAAAGCCTCGGCGGCGCTCAGGTCTTCAATCTCCGGGTATTTCGCCACGGATCCATCCTTCTAATTCCCTAAGTATTCAAGACGGTGGCCTTTTCTCTCTTTACTCCAATCGGCAATCCACGCCAAGTCCCATGTCTACACCGACATTCCTAGATACGCATCGTATCGTCCATCTTGGACTTACCCACCAGGGTCATTCTCTGCCTGTCAGCTCACGAGAATCGGGCCAGTCCCAAGCGAAAACGACCCAAGTCAGATCACTGTCCCTCATCAAGGCGACATATCGTAGAATTCGAATCGTGCAAAGTTATATGGGTTATCAGTCAATGTTATTTCCTCTTCCTGGAGAAGGGGAGAGTGGTCAGGATGTATCTCCGTCGACATGGACGAAGATACAAGCACTTCAAGAAGTCGTGCGTGAGACCCAAGAGCTCATCGAGGAGTTTGAAGAATCTCAGGCGGTAGAAAGTGAGACAACTATCACTGATGTAGATCAATCCTTGGGACGTTAATGTACGACATAACTCGTTTTAAGAGCTAGGACTTTCGGATCCTGTGCAAACGTGCGGTATTTACCGGTCCTATGATTTAATCATTTAACGTATGATAAAGACTAACTTTGTATATGTTCAACACCGAGCAAAAGGCAGGCAAGACCGCTTGCTATTGAATATATCGGATTCCCACCGGCCCGTCTTAACCAACGATAGAGACGCGGGTTGTCATATCGGAAGTGTGACGCTGAAGAAAGACACTCTTTCATTAACAGCACCTTTTACATGATCCCTATAGCTCGCAACGGTGTTCATGATACCTCTACTTAGACCTCCATTGATGTTATAATCCCTGCCAGAGAGGGACACATCTCTCGAAGGAAAGTTGAGGAAAATAACTGAATATCGGAGTACCTATGCCTAACGTTGGACAGGGACAGCTTAAGATCCACGTCTATAATGTACATGTACATGCTCACTGGCCGGTACATCGACTACTACTTTGAAGAGTACCTAAAACTCGTGAACACTTCCTATTAATTGTACATCCAGGATGAGTTTGTTGTAGTCCCATCCTTCCTCTATCATGAAACCCACTGGAACGTTTCAATAAGACAATGTCGATGAAGGAACTAACCCTCTCACACATGTAAAACGACAGAAATACATAATTAACAGACACAGAGAAGTAGAAGAGGAACGCCGTTATCAAGAGCTCAGAGCAGAATGCAGCAGAGTAATCACAAAGAGCAGCCCATTATCGTGACGTTCGAAAGCACATGAAAATCTCGATGATCAATCGTACAAGGATCCATATTGCGAGGAAGTATTTGTTTCAAAGTGATGAGGCTGGGGGGATCGGCAACGGGTAGGAGCTCCTGCCATGTCATTTCCCCACCTAGAAGTGAGATCAACGACGACAAGAGACAAGAGGAAGGCCAATCTTACTCGGAGGGAACAGAACTGGTTCTAGAATTGGACCTGGCGTTGCAATAATGGGAATGAACAGGATGTGACGCATATCTAAAAGCTTGATGGTAAGGGTAGGATATTTGGGGAACCGAATCCATGCTGCTGTAGGTTACACGACCGCGGCGGTATGGTCTTTCTGGTTTGTAAAATGAGTTCGAAGGACAGCGGAATGGTCCAGATGCAGGGGCGAAATGTGTCGGGGGTTCATTAGTTGGTGCAGAGGAATAGGATTCGACGTCATACTGTCCTGCGGGCGATCGTCGAGGAAGGACACTGGTCGCCACTTGCAAATATTGAACACCTATGCGATGATTCGCATAGCACTGGCCTTGAAGAGCTTCTTTGGCCTCTTGAGCGCTTGTACTTGATGAATATTCCACCCTGACAGTTATGGCGCCTGAGACAGACTGTGGCTCGATGATGTCAAGTTTATTGATCTGTCCGAAGGGGTCCAGCAGCGGATGCAGGTCGCGAGGCTGAGAAAACAAGAAAGCAGGAAGTTCGCTGACTAGGAGAGTATTCGTTGGTAACGTTGTTGCCGTGAACGCAGCACTGTTTGAAAAATTTGATCCAAAAGAGGAATTGGGCGTGATATCAAGAGGCGAAGGCTGGCTATCTTCCTGAATATCTTCCAAAGGCATAAGAGAATTGTGACAATGTGATTCGAACAGAATGGCCCTGTCTCCACCGTCTAGAAAGCCTATGGCGGCCTAGGTGTTAGTGTTGCGTGATAGGATTAAACAGAGTCAATACCCTGAGAGCGCTGTACAATTGCCCACGAGATATCGATGGTATGTCCTCTGTAGATAATATATTTATATACACGATGGTCTTCAATGTTGAGGGAAGTCATACCTTATCTGGCTACGGGTGAGGGAAAGCATTGCATTTCTGGCTTGGTCGTGACCCGACATGACTACAAAACCACGTCGGCGAGAAGCATTGTCCACTGTAGCAAGAATTACGCAATGCGCAACAGTTCCATAACTAGAGAAAATTGTTGCTAGTTCGGCCCTATGAGAAGATTTAGACAAATCTTCCAGAATCACAGAAACACTTGACTTGGTCAGATCAAAAGGTAGGCCGAGGACGTATAAATTGCGACGATCGTCAAGGCGTTTTGGCGTACAACCGTCATCTGCGATGGGTACCACGGAACTATAGAACAAGTCAGTATTCTGGAGTCTATGAGAGTTGATGTATGCGTCTTATACGTACAGTGGTGTACCTGAGACCGTATATCCTGACATACACAGCGCTTTTCTGTACAGACGTTAGCACGACAGTAAAGGAAGGAGATGAGATGGCACTCACTTGCAAGCGTCACGATTGAAAAATGTAATGTCTAGATGATGCCCGGCGGCATCTTTGACATCGACAGAACCACGAACATCGCCTAGGACAACGTCATCTTTAGCCAGTCTCTTCTCTCCAATCGTCGAGACTCGCCTATCAGGGTATTGAACAAGGATAGCACTTCTTGGTGGTTGACTGGAATACAATTGTAAAGAATTAAATAGAGCCTAGGGAGAAAAGCGTACTATTCATGGCCATGTTCTCTACTCTGACGCTAAAGGTGGTCTTGCCGTGGCGGTTACCTTGAGCATGTTTGATTGGCGGAGGATACGGAGTCATTATTAACCAAGAAGGAGAGGGATCGCTATAGTAAAACCAAGAAAGTGATAGAGAGTATGTGAACTGAGCTTCAGTTTGACGAACAAGCAAGAAAATGGGAGTACAAAAGCAAGATGTCCCGGCTTTTGCCGGGAATGTGCGGTTTTCGCACCCTCCAGAATGCATCCGAAGTCAGCCGAAATCAAGTTCTCACGCCACAAACGCGTCTTCCAACACCTATGATACCAATCTATCTCTCTGCTCTGCCGTTCTCTCCCTCAACACTATCTTCCTTGATGAGAGCAGGATATGAGACCATAAAGGATGTACAAGGGATTTCCCCGGAGGACTTATCAGAAGGTTTGCCTGTAAACATTCTCTCTGCACAGCTCTCAACAATACTGCTAGAGTTCGACATACCACTCTCAATATCGCAAGCCCTAATAAATTCACAGAGGCCCACTTTGACCCTACTTGGATCTACTCTTCCATGGACGCAGTCAGTATCGTTGTTGTCCGGAAGTGGAGTGAAAGCCAGGGTGTCTACCTTGTGCGCCCCTCTGGACCGACTCTTGTCTGGAGGCCTTTCAAGAGGTTCTGTTCTGGAGATATCTGGTGCTCCTGGGACACCGAAAGAAATACTTACAGTAAATATAGTGGCATCATTTGTCAAATCCAGGGAACGCGTCCTATTTGTTGGTTGGTTGGACTACGTTGGGAAACACGGGCTTGACTAATCAGAACACAGACCTCCAAAACATGACAAGCCCAGCAACACTAAGAAGAGCTCTCAAAAGTGAGTGTCCTCCCTGTTCTTTCATATCTTGTTCGCTTTCTCATGGGTACAAGAAGGTATATCGGATGTTCCGACGAATTTTTTGGAACTAGTTTCCTACATGCCAATGCACTCGCTTTCTGAATTCATGACATTCATGTACAATCTTTTGTCTTATCTACGACGAAACCCGGACGTAGGCAATTTCAGCTTCATGGTTAGGCACGCGAGATCTATTTATTCTTCAGGTGGCTTTGCTTGTCATCAACTCCATTTCCTTTCCCTTTCAAACATCTCCAATGTTAACTCTACAAACGAAGATCTCTCTTCACGACCGCATCAAACAGACCTTCTCGAGGGCCTACGCGTTCAATAATTTAACGGTAGAGTACTGCTGAACCACCTGGTAAACGCCTTAGTCATCTATGTTCAGATCGTCACCACTTCTCAGCTGGCTACGAAGTTATTGAAGACAGATGGAACTGCAGGAAACTTTGACACAGGAGCAAGGGGCATCATGGTTCCACAACTAGGTATGCCAGATGACGCGTTTTGACACGAAATTCCAAAACTTCTTTCTAGGGTCATATTTACCTCCTGGGAGATCTTACCGTGTGATATTATCACGCGAGACACGACTATCAGGGTAAGATCCTCCTCCCTGCTGGGCACCCAATCTTACATCCCGATGTAGAACTCTGCGATTGTTGTATTCACCTTCTGCTATGCACCAGGACAACGGGCAACACATGCTCGAAGAGCCATATGCAAAAGTAAGAAATTTCTAACCGAATTTACATAAAACCCAGCGTTCAATCATCAATAACGCAGTGTGGCGATTCAATTTCATCGCACTTCGATGACAATGCAATTGGAAAGTGGCGGTGAACCTGGTTACGCAGGCCTACTTTGTTTTTCCTTTACATTTTAAACTCGTCTATGCCGTCTATGTATACTGGGCAATGTCTTCTTGAAGGGGTTCTGTCCGGGTACCTCAACTGACCCCTGTATCTATCCATGTATAGGAGCTGCCGATCGCCGGTCCCCTTCAGTTAAAAGACGAAGGCGTTGAATTTTGCCATCTGTTTGACCACCTAACTTTTCACAACCTCATTCTATTCACCAACGCCTCAATATGCCCTTTGTGAAAGTGAAATCGAATTCTGGCGGCCTAACTTACAATTACACCATTTCCACGCCGACATCATCTAATGCTAAATCTATTGATCCAACATTGCCTACTGTTTTATTTCTCCACCCTGTCTACATTGGCGTAGATATCTTTCAAAGTGCGTACGCTAAAGGTTCTTTCCCAACGCATTTTAATTATATTGCAGTGCAATTCGGAGATCGCGCTCTCCGGAGATTTAACTTCGTTACGATGGATATGCGAGGCCACGGAGAAACCGGAGGTAACGCTCCAAAGGATTACGATCAGGATGATGCAGCAGCAGATATCGTGAAATTCATGGCAAGTCAACATTTTCATCTTCAACATCTTATTGAGCTAGCCTCATCAGGAAGCACTCCAGCTACCGCCATGCCACATTTTCGCACTTTCGATGGGAACCATAATCGCGCTTCAAGTCGCTATATCCTATCCGCAGAAAGTTCTTTCTTTGTTCCTCGTATCTGTGTTGGGCCTTGAAGAGGTACAGTGAAGGTTCACATTTTCTTCCGACCTCCCGATGATGATCATCGGTATAGCCGGAAGATGTGGCACAGGGTAGGCAAGAAATTGCCGATTGTTGGATTGAAGGTTTCAAAAGTTCGACAGTCGATGAAGCGGCGCTCTACGATGCGGTATATGGCGCCCTTCAACTCGGTTTTAACAGTGAGCAGTCTTCCATGGTCACAGCGTCAGCCCGTTCACATATGTCCATAAATCACTCCTAATACCCATGTTTTTTTTGAAAGTTTGGTCAAGCGTACTTTACCGCAGGCCATGACCAATTGGGGGGGGAAGAGACTGGACGTTTACAACACACTCACTGTCAATTTCCTCACGGAACGCAAGACCCATTCTCCGGGCGACCTGTCAAAAATTATCGCCCCCGTTAAGTTGGTCCATTGTATGGCAGATATCGCATACCCCTTGGAGTATTCAGAGGAATTTCTGAAGAACCTCCAAGATGCGGGGGTAAAGGCTTCTCTCGATAAAGTCGAAGGAGCCTGTCATTTTGGTTGCGTTACACATTCAGAGCAGTCAGTGTCACTCTCTTGTTCTAAATGGCCTTCTGATTCGCTGCACAGAGTTAATCCCCTTTTTCTTGGTTTTGTTTTGGAGTACACGACGGGCCCGATACCTCCGATGTCATCTTCTGTGAGCTCACCATTTGAGGCAGGTTTGATTAAAGCTGGCTGGACAAACGATGATTCAGATGATGAGTAAAATTACCGTTGTATACGACATCAACTTCACTCCTATCATTGGGAATTCATATGTACTATTAACAACTGCAATGTAGTATTTAGATGTACCAACTTTGTCAAAATCGGCTTAGAAAAGCGCTCTACCCTTGAGCAACTTGAACACGTCCCTGGCCAGAGACAACCAGCGTACAGTTGCCTCGTAAGCCAGCAAGGAACTGTCAAATTTGGGAAACGTTACGTTATGTGATTTTATTTCAGTGATGCTTTCCAGCCACCATCAAAAGTGCTCCGGCGTTTAGATTTTTCCTTCCTCCATAATCTGGATCTGCTCAATCGATTTTGCGGGACTCACTTAAATATGATAGAAGTTAGAACCCATCATCCGGCTCAAATCACAATCTGCCGCGAAGCTAAATACCAGTTACATAACCTTAACGCAAACTTTGGCCGGAGTCCTTGAAATGCAGCTTCCCTCGGATTTTCCAATAGATTTTGACTGGCAGGTATTCATGACAGTATTATACGGCTCTATAGGTTGCGGTGACTGAATTTCATGTTAAAGTCGTTGGAAAGATTTCCGAAGATTTCGGCGACCTCTGAACGAGTGTCAAATAACGGGATCGGATATGCGGCGCCCACTGACTCTGGCTTATGTGTCGTTAGTCAGACCGAGTCAAGAGTGCTTCCGGCATGAAGAAATTATAAAGGCAGCGGGTGTCATGATCGTTCACAAGTATTCGAAGGTGTACGTTTCTTTTGGCAGGGTACTGGAATTTCTGGTCGCATGAACAGCTTGCTAGCTTCTGTTCTTCCAGAAGTCTCAATTTTCTCAGTTTTCGGTTAGAGCTTGAACTCGCTTCTGTTGACAGTGTCTTTTTCTCAGGGCGACAAATACTGGCAAGACGAGGATGTCGTGTTCTTCTCGGTACACATGGGAAGCAGCAAGACGACCCAGTCATCGTGGCGGCGTGGCGTCGACAGAGGTTCGCTACTTATGTGATGTTCTTGATGTCAAATTGTTCGCCGTGTCCCAACTCGTACGGCTAGAAAACCACGGTGGGAAGGATTTCCCAGAATTTGAACGAGGTGACAAATGGGTTGCGCCACCGAAAAGGCCGTTGGTCATCTCTAGCTCTAGAATTTACGGACTTAATCTCTATCTAAAGTAAGGAACTCTCATATGTAAAGTAAACTTCCACCGTTTCAGGGTACACCGGATTCCCCTCTAGAATCCGGTGAACCACGAAAACACTGGCAAGTGATCATAATGACAACGAAATGAGAGTTCATGTATCCAGTTCCCGAAGCCACTTTACTTCGTTCTTGCCGGAAGACCTAGTACCAGGACATACACACTCCACATTCGACGTCCGCGTCCGATTACTAGAAGAAGAGGAATACTCTACTACTGATATAATACAACATACACTTCGCGTGAGATTCGTGTCGCATCATGAATAGGAAGGAAATAAATGTTAATGTATCACCAGAACTTGCCAAATACGCTTCCCCTAGGACCGAGTATCATACCCACCCCTTCCTGGATGGCGACACTGACCGGTCGCATTGGTGCAGAATCAAACACGTGGGGGCATGGTTGTAATAATGGCAGAGAACCTAAGTGAGGATTCTCCAGTTCACGTTCGTATATCGAGGGCTGCCGCGGAGACATCGCAAGTGCCTCATACTGGGGCTCGTCGAAGCATTTGCGAGCTGTGCGAAGCCGGTGTAATACCTAATATGCACTGTCAGATTTGAATCGATTCTATAGCGCGAACGGCTCTTGCCCGCTCATAGAACTCAATCTCCCCGTCCAGGTGGTCCTTGGCGAGTGTAGAAAAGTCTTCATTCTTTTGTGCATGAAACGTTTCCATTTCTGCCATGGTAGTGTTCAGCACTGTTTCGCAGCGTGCAGCCATATCTTCGTCGGCCTGAATATGATATCAATACAGAACCTAACTACAGCCGAGAAGATGACACATACACGAATCTCCTTCGTGCATTCTCGATATCGGGTCAATGTAGATTTGTGTGTGCTCACCACGCCCTGAACGCAAGACGTCAAAAATAAAACCACATAAAAAGGGCAATAAATACTTCATATATCGACGATGGGTGCGAAACGGCCTTGAGTGACTCATGTGTGGCTAGCTGTCTCCTCCGCGCCTAGTAACGGTGCCACATAAATGCAAAATGCGTCAGAATGTCACTAGATACTCACATGGTCATCGTAGAGATCTCCAATATTTTGAAGGGCCTCGGATGTTTTCTGCACGGCTTTAGTAAGCTTAAGGCAATCTGTACAGTGATCAAAGCAGTGGCGGCGACGAGATATGAGCCCTTACGACTACATCCCTCACGCCAGCACCACGCGCCATCTTCGTTCATGAGGCCTGCATCTTTCACATTATAGTGATTGTCTTCCTCGATCGTACCCGTCGTAGGCGCTGAAGCGAGGGGCTTAGAAGTTATCAAGGATAGTAAAGAATATGACAGTAATCGCTCCGCTTTAGACATTTCTAGTAAGCTATACAGTCAGCAACAGCAGGGATCCAAGGGAAATCAAATCCGACGAACCAATCCGTGCTTCACGAACACGACCGAATATATTCCTAAGGCCTTGTACGCCCTTCCCAACAGCCCGTGTGTGAGTCTCAAATCGTCTAACAGCTTCTTCGGCGTCTTCAGCATCAATATTAAATGCGGGGTGGTAAACATGAGCGTAAAATGATGGGCCTGCAGGAGGCATCGACAGATGTTGAGGTATTAGCCGTTTCCACTCCTACGTCGCAAGGTGAGCATATAGCGAATAATTCAGTGAGAGATTCCGCACAATGTCACTTTCGCATCCCAAAAAGAAGGTCACTACCTCGGCATACCTTGCCACGGGATGACGAACCACGCGTCCGATGTACCTCTCCAGGTCCCCGCGACGCGCCTCCACAAAATCCTCACTGAACCTGCCGGCATACTGCTTTTCTGGAAGCGGCGGTAGCGCGATTCCAGGAAGGCGCCTCATCAGAGCCGTATGAAGAATAACAAACTGCGAGTACCGTCTTTGCACCGTTATCTGTGTCTGTGACCCTGGCGACGTATCAGAATCCATCTGACCGTGAAATAGAGAGGTCACATTGTACACCGTGAAGGCCCCGGAAAGTGCAGAGGTGCGTTTAGACGGAGAGTGGACGAGGACACGAAACGGTGGGAGTTTCTCCTTCCATGCATGCCCAGCATCGACAAAGTGTCGATTGACATCTCCCTTGCTCAGTCGATTACCTGACTCTGCAGAATCGTTATCCCCTTGTTCAGATTCAATGCTAGCCAACCTGTTATGGGGTGAGGCCTCGGTGATAACGGTGTCTGCTACTGTACCCTTGAGAACCCACGCCTCTGCCCCGCTGGTGACAAAACTGGAAAATCTATTGAGGCTCTTGCCTCTCAGAAGACTCTGACGGAAACTCGGGAAGACCCAGTCTCCGGTATGTTGGGGAACGATGGGTTTATTATTTTCTCGAGAAGTTCTGGGTGATATTCGAGGCGTGATAGTGCTTGATGAAGCTTCCCTGAGGTGGGACTGAGACCAATCGAGATCGGGGGCTAGGATGAACTCTGATGTAAACTACGATGCACAAGGTCAATGCTTGCTGAAAAAACGAAGGGTCATGATGTACGTACAGTATAATATGACCGGGGTAAGAGACCCATCTCGCCCGACGCGTCCTTCACCAAGCTCCACCCATCTGCCAGATCTTCTTTGACAACCTCAAGGTCATCGCCAGCGTTAACGGAAAGTTCTCTGAATTCGGCCTTTCCTTCAAAGTCGTACAGTGCTCGTGCTGGGTGGTAGATCTCTTCGTCGTTTAGCTCATCGTCAGAAGGGGGAGCAGACCCCAGTTCAAGACGTTCCGTCCACGCAGCTGACGTGTTGATACCAGTATCGAATCCAGATTGTGGCCGGGAAAGAAAAGAACTCGTCACAGAAGATTTGGAAGTTCTGGGTAATGTTGCCATACAGATGCTGGGTGCCAGTTGTCTACACGTTTAATTGGATCCTTCAGTCGTGTCGCCGGATTCGCGATGATACCCTATTTAGGAAAGACAGGGGCTCATTCCTATATGAACATTTGGCTGCCAATAACGATTATACATATGTAGATAGACAAACAGAGGGGTATAACAAATCAAAGTTGGGTAAAATGTGAACGTAAAAGAGACATGAGTGGTCCGTACTGTAATTATGGATAGAATGCAAGTGAAAGAAGCTTATATGCTCCGTAATGGTGCCAATGAAGATTAAACTCGTACAGGTCGTGACCTTGCGTGAATCAAATAATATTATTAATAGTGATGAATATTTCATCGATGCTCGCGATCCAGCCTGGTGAGCTCAAGAAGAAGCTCTGTCCGTTTGTACCAGCTCGTCTCCCAAGGAAGTCTATGCGCGAACGACACTGGCACAGCAGTCGGGGTCACATATACTTTGCGCCGACGACCAGCTTTCTTCGTCTTCACCGGGATAATATTTGCAGCGGAACGTTCTTCATTTAGATCCACTTCAACGTATTCGCCATCCTCGCCATCGCTCCCTACGAGGGTAACTTCTGAATCATCGCCACTGCTGCTCCCACCAATTGATATAGTCAAATCGTCCTCCAGTTCCTCCAGCTCGTCTTCTTCTTCAGCAGGTCGCTTCAACCTCGCCTTGACCTCGCCCGCCATATGCATATCAAACATCCATAGTGCCTTTGCCATCGTCCACATAGGTATTGCAACAAAGTACCGGTCCATGTGCACACAGAAAGGGTCGCGCAGAGCAGATATATCACCTCGGCGAGGGTGGACGGACATTGGTGGCAGTGGGACTGGTTGAGGAATAGATCCATGAATCTGCGGCACCCCGTCATAGGCGGCATCAATCCACTCTTCTTCTCGCAACGCCCAGAACCATTTCAGATGATGAAGGCCATGTCGGGAGTACCCATGCTGTTCATAGTCATGTCGGCTAGGTGAGGGAGTAGGGCAGTGCACAGGGGAGGGTGATAAGGGCGAAGGAAGACATGAAAATTTTCTTCGGGAGGTGGTAGGGGGTGGCAGTAAGGGAGTCGGAAAGGCGAGCTCGAGAGGCTCGCTGCGCTCGAAAAGACGATCCTGCTCAATGTCTGAGTCGCTGTCTTCTGAAGACGAAAGACCGACATCATCAGCTGAAAAATCATCAAAGGGCGACGAGAATTTCGACCGAGGAAGGAGTTCTTCGCCGACAGTTGATGAGGCACCCATTCTCTTGAGCGCAGCGCACGTCCACTTCAGGCCGTCAAACTGCCGACAAGCAATATCGGATTCTAATGCAGGAGGATCCTCGGATGCAAGGTCTTCGCTGGAGTTGCTGAAGAAGCCCAGGCGACTCGTTGGCCGTGATGGGATGTCTTGGTATTCGTCTCCAATGTCGGACTCAAACTCAGAATCTGAACCGTCAAAGTATGAATGATAAGTCGTCTCTGAGAGTGGGCTCGGCTGGAACCTCGAAGGCATTGTGACGGCGTTAGGTTGAATTAAGTTGAAGTAAAAAATTGCTTGTTCGAAAACGTCACGCTAAGCGGTGATGTTTAGTTCGTTGAATACTGAATGACGAGGTCAGAACGCGCCCAAGAGTAGAAGGGATTCATACACAAGGGCGAACCGGTTAATACTTTTCTCGTGTTTTTCTGATACGCTGCGAAAACGGGCTCGCGCTCTGCGAATAAGCCGCCTAAGTAAAAAGCCGTTAAAGAGGAAGACTGCGATGGGATAGGCGAGAGGGAGCACCTACTTTCAGAACAGGCTCGTCGTCGTTCTCAATGTAAGAGAGGAGGTGACAGACGACGGTGTGTCACTGGAGAGAGATGAGACACTTAGTACTCAGGCACCGAAGGACTCGGAGACAAAAGTAGGCATCACGTGAGAGTGCCCGGAGGCACTCTATATGTGGTAATGCGCCGATGTGTCGAAGACCGAATCATCGTTTTCTATATTTCTCTGGTGCGTATACTATATCTTGTCCATCAGATATCCAGCAATCAATATGAAAATATACAGATTCTTTGCAAAATCGTCAAATGGAGACAAGACCACTACAATACTCCACTACTCTAGTTCAACGCTGCATCGACAACCCTCCAGCGTCAGGACTATTCAGAAGAACAAACGCATCAGCGCCCTGCGTGCGGTACAGAAAGTCGGGTTTTGGTGCCGTCGTCAAAGCCTTCGGGATCGGACCATCCGCAAACTCTGTGGCTACTTCCACTCTCTGGGACAAGAGAGAGTCTTTGCTGAAAGGAATAAACCCGTGGGACTTGAAGGGAAGAAGTTCGACATTATACTTTTAACGTACGGTACGGTATCAGAAACTAAGAGAAATGACGAATTGACATTACATACCTCGATCCTGAAGAGCTCGTAATCTGAAGCAGCAGGGTGCTGTTTATGTATGTGGAGCTCGCCCTCGAATACTCGTCTGAGAGGGTCGTCAGGAGAATCAGGCGACCACCAAATAACCTTTGATACATCGATGACGGAGGTTTCTGTGCAGTCCTGTAAACGTTTCTTGACTCCAATTCTCGGCTCTAGGTACGTGATGCGACGTCGCAAAATCAGGGTAATGGCCTTCGGGAGGTCAAGAGCGCGAAAGATTCGTATATCCGTGCTGTGCATATGCAGATAGCACGGAGCCACAGATCCTCGGGTATACACGAGCTGGGATGGGTCAAATGTTATTGAAAGACGACAATTGTGACAACTAGCCTTACCGGAAGGGGTAAAGAAAGCTGAGAACAGTTTGAGATGAACCATAACTAAGAAACTCGGCAGGGTAAACTTACTGTACAATGAAGCGTTCCACTGCTGCCGTCCAAAAGTTTACCAGTAGAGATCACCGGTGGGAGTGTGTGCCACCCCGTAGGATCAGAGTCAGGTCCTGCAAGCGGAAGACTGTTTTCATATGCCATCTGGCGGAGAAGAGACATTGGTTCAGGAGTGACCCTGGGAGTGTATAATACGGGAACTTGTAACCTACAAGGTTCTATGTATTAGCAACAGGCTGGTACATATGGATTCAGACCTGCTCACTTGCTATTCGTTTGTAATTTGCCTCGATTGACACGAAAAATCAGTTGATATCGAATGCTACCATTACAATTGGCTTCTCGGAATGAGTCAGGTAGACGAACGAGAGATGAAGTAGATGCGTTCCCGACCCTGTGGGACAAACCTGTCGGAAACGGGAGATCAAAAGGCCAGGAATAGTCCCCCGAGAGTCTTCCAGAGAACTTGGTACTTGGGTTAAACAGCGGCCCTCCTGGATCACCCCAGTCCTTGGACCAGATAGTGATAAGCTCTTCGAGAAAAGTGTATGCATAGATATCATTACAGTATTCGCCGGTAATAATCTGACCTCTGATCTACGAAGTGGGAAAGTCAATGGATGTTCATGACGGGAAAAGATACGGCCATCTACCGAAAGTGTTATGTCTCGCAATTGAGTCGGTTCTGCGAGATGAAGAGCAAACATACCCGAAACATGATTACCGGCAAAGTAGTGTGGGGCATCTGTGTGTGATCGTGCATTACTTTTCAACCTCACAATGGCCCATGGTTTGCCTTTACTGGTAGGCATATGGAACTGATGGACTGTATCACGATCATGTTCAAATGCAGAACGGGATGGCGTCTCTGGCTCATGAAATACAGTCGAGTATGTCGGTAACTCGGTAGTTTGGGTCGAAAAAGGGCTCGTAATAGAGTATGTAGGTAAAAAGGTCGAAACAGTCGCAATGGAGGAGTCACTCAAGCGACGCGAGTCACTGAATGTATCACCTGTGCTGATTGTGCTATCGATCGATGTCCAAGTGCTGGAGCTGGGTGCAGAGTCGGTCTCCGTAGCCTCCGTTGGTTGATAAGTGTACTATATTTTCGAGGATCAGCTACAATAAATTAATTCCCCCGATGGAAGACGAACGCACCTTCACATCACTTCTAGGGATCACATATTCATCAAGCACTTTAGTGGAGATGAGAAACAGAGTGTCGACACCTTAAAGAATCTACTGACTTTGTGCTATAATGCGCTTGTCCTGCAGGTGAGAGCCACACAGGGAACAGTAGCTCTAGATTGATTACGGTCCCGGACGGTTCAATTCCACGATAGCCAGGTAAGCAAACATGCCGCAGAAATTCCACGGTGATTCGTAATTCGGTCACGAGTTTGTAGTACGGCAGTATCACGAACCGCACCGCACGTACTGAAGCTACTCAGAACTCGAAGATGACCAAATGTCGAATCTGACTCGGAAACGATCGAAACAGGCACTCCCATTCGAAGACACCAGATTTTCCTATTTTTCATGTAGCTTTCGTCAAAATTTCGCTTTGGATCAACTATCCTTTGCAGGAGGGGGAATCGAGCAATGCAACGAATACTTATGGTTTTTATCATCGTCACGCTGTCTGTTCGTCAGCAGTGCGCTCCCGTAGGCGCGTCCCTTCTCTTCGGTTTCTCGCCGTCATTGCTGATATGGCGGCCTGTTTAAAACGTTGAAAAGATGTAGCGTGATCCGTGTGGATAGAGATGCCCGCTCTATATCATCAGCAGCAATTTAACAACACCACGGGAAGGATGCTGTCTTGGTCAATATCAAAGGGGGCTTGGGGGGATTACAAACCTGGGAGTCGTGAATTTCGTACGGGGAAGAGCAAGACGCTTTACCACAGGTGTTCACAATTGGTGACGTTAGAGACAGCCTAGTGCGTATTTAGCAATGTGGGCTAACCGAAGAGAAGAGAAGGCTAACAAGATGGAGAATCAAACAGTGTAGGTCACATAGATGAACGTAAATGATAACACCATGTGTAGTCTTCAGTCTTTTAGACTACAGTAGTCTCAAACCTGAGCTTGGGTAGTAACCTACACAGTTGACCTTCTATTGGGGGGAAGCATCATCTCGCCTGAGATTGTTAGTATACTGAAAGTACCGACGTATCAAATGGAACGACGGCATTCCACTGCATGGCGTCCCCATGTTCCGCTTTTCTGCCGTTCGCCAACGAAATTCTCCGCAGTGCCGTCTTGATTGTTGATAGACTCCGTCTGGTTAAGGCACAGCCACTGTTGCAGGCGCGCTCTATTTATTCGCAGTCTATAAAGGTGCCATCCACAAGGAAAGTGCCGAGAAGGTTCAAAATCCATTGCACTCATCTCAAATTCTGCTGGCACTCACACACCTAGAGTTAATGTAGGGGCACGGAGACTTGTGCAAGGCATAAGCTGACACTATCGGCCAAGCTTGGTAGGCGGCAGAGGAAGAGATAGACATGGTATCGGCACTGAGGGAAAGAGAGCGTAGATCTCGCGGGCTTCACTGTTGGGGGCTCAGCAGTCTAGGATGAGTAGCGCATATGAGGAGACATGGAATTACGACTGTGGATACTAGTTGGCATTGCTGTAAATGTAGGGTTGGTTAAATGACTCCCGCATATGCATGGAACGTAGTGAGTGAATACTCGGTGGGGACATCCGAATGTTGTGTTTAAAGGTCTATTGTTGAAATAGTATCATAGGAAGTGATGATGGACTGTGAAGAATGTGTTCGCTGTAGGTGTAGAGAAGATTCAAAACCTACTCGTCTTAGTACCACTGATACGAACTCATCACTGCCTTTCTCCCTTATTTCTTTTGACTGCATGTCCCTTCGAGGATTCCAGGACATCAGCATCTGAGCGTTGTGTAGCAGTAGGGTTAGCCATCTATACACATCAAATGAGTAAATGAATATCACAGTCTGGACCAAGCAAACCTCGTATTTTTTAATCAGCTCGTCTACCTGACGCAAACCCACATCTGGGTCCAGGTCATCGAGAGCTCGTCGCAAGCTGTCGATGTCAGCTTCAATGTCACCAAAGCTTTTTTGAAGTCTCTGCGACAGATTCATGAACTCCCGCTCCCACTCCTCCGGATCCTCTGGTGGCTCAATGCCATTGTCGCGCATCATCTGGTCCACGTCTTCCTTCATTTGTAGGATCTCGGCTGCTTCCCCTCCTTGATTGCGCACCTCTTGCGCATCCCCACCGATGAAACCACTTGCTTCCTGCTCTTCTGTGGTTGCCGAAGGGACCGAAGGAAGATATCCTAATCTATAGAGATCCTGTCTGACGGTATCGTCGCGTTCTATGATTCTTTCGAATAGAGAAGTACCCTCCTTCGACTCCGGTAAGGGACTCTTCCCTCCAACTTCGTCAAATTTGGACATTTGCGTATCTCCCATGTCGAAACTGTAAAGTTGCTCTCCCCCACCCACCTTGAGGACCAAACTCCCGTCCTCGTCACTGAACATCACGCCCTCCACCGGTGAACCTTTGATGCCTTGTCTGATGCGGACCATCTCAATTTGAGGAAGCATCATGAAGTAAGGACTATGTGAGAATAAGGTAGGGAGAAGACCATATTCGTCCCAATTGGTGTTCCAACCGTCAGGCGGGTTCGGATGGGAAGGCCAGTTAGCTTTGGCGCGCTCAAAAGCATTGTGTGCCTCTCCATCAGAGACGGAGTAGAGAGGATAGGTGTTCTCATCGCCATCCACATCCTCATTTTCTGCATTTTCTTGTCTGTAACGTTCCTCCAGCGCTTTGTTTCGAGAGACTGTCTGAGAAAATTGTCGTGGAATCCCGGCTGCACGAGGAGAATGATATCTTGATAAAGAGACTTTGGGTATGCATACAGATGTTGGATTCAAAAGTCGGGGACGAGCTATCCGTGCCAGTAGGCGCGTACGAGAACCGAACATGGTGTCGAAGAACTGAGGAAGAAGTTTTCCGCATATCGGTCCGGCGGTCCGCACAAGTTGCGGTCAAGAGTCTAACAGTCTAACACATGAACCCTTTCACCGAGTGGGTGTTGTACTCGTAGCTATTAAATAATTTGGACAATACTTCACAGGAGATCATACGAGCACTGTCCCCAGTCCGTACATTAGTTTTATTGCATTTTCCTACAAAGCATCCGATTTTTGTACATTCATTCACTTGATATTTATAGGTCTCCTCACTGCGTTTCTACGGTCCTGAGGCAATGCATCTATATACAATCAGAGAAACCGAGTGATCCCCAGCCGGTCCAAGAGGGATGACATTTCCGGAAGTGGTAAGTCTTGTCTATAGCATCGAGCTCCCTAATGTCTCCGTCAGAAAGGTCAATGATCTTCTTATTTGCTAGACAAATAGTGAGCATTTGTTAAGATTAGACCATGCGTCATGCGTCTGAACCAGAATCACCTTCAATCCTAGCGTTAGACACAGATTTGGTGAGAACTAAATTCAAGAACATCAGTATCTTGAAGTCATAACATTGGCATAAACCCGGACCTGATATATTTGGCTTGTTCGCCCACAGTGACAGCAGGATGGTGACAGGGGAAACGTTGTACTTGTCCGCAATTTTCTTTACAACGTCACTTTCCAACAGCGAGTACTGCTCCGAACCCAATGGAGAGTAAGCCGTAATGGCAATTCCTTTGCTAGCGCAAAATTCAATTACATCTGGCTGGGTGCAGGATCTATGCCGAGGTTCATTTTTCTGCGGAGATTGTGGACATGGAAATGAACGTACGGATGAAGTTCGATCTGGTTAATTGCAGGGACAACAGTGGCTATTGCTAGCAGCTGTTCCATGAATTCGACAGAGACATTTGACACGCCTGTGATTCAATCGGTCATTATAGCGATAGAAGAAGCAGCAGAAGACCAACCAATAGCCTTCACTTTTTTAGGATATTTCTTGTAAATATCCTCCATTTTCTTCCATGTATCAAGCCAGTTAACCTGCTTCTCTATCAGATGATGAATTTGATCTTCAAACCTTGATACGCACTGATTTATCAGGAGTCTTGCGGTCGAACATCGGTGCAGGCCAGTGCATAAGCCCTATAGTACTTCATCAGCAATCTTTCAACGTGAATACCGTATCGCTCACAAAGATCGAGATAATCCGTTCCGAGGTGCTCAAGCGAATATTTCAGGGCAGCCTCTGGATCTTTTTGGTCAGGGTTATCGAGTTTCGTAGTCAAAAAGAAAGAGGCTCGGGTGACACCAGATGCCTTGATGCCTTTGCCGACTTCAGCTTCGTTACCATATGCAGTCGCTGTATCGATATGCTTATATCCATTCTTCAGCGCGAATTCTACAGCACCCTCCACTTCTCCCGGCTGGGACTTCCATGTCCCTATTAAAAAAAGATAAAGTTAGATCGAGACGAATCATGAAAGCTTGATAAACACACCAAGACCGAGTGTAGGCATTTCAGCGCCAGTATTTAGCTTGATGGAGGTTGAAGCGGGCATCGTTTGCTCTGATGATGAGAGGAGAAATCAGATAGAGGACTATGAGCCGCGGTTTCGGTCGGGACGGGACGCCGGCCCGATCGTTTGGATTCATTATTGGCGGCCCACGCCATCGTGTTGTATCATCTGTTCTGGGGCTACTTCTCAGGATATGTGGATGGTTCATTGTCTTGCTTCGGTGTATAATCTCATAGGAATATGAAATATTTACTGCCCTTCCCCAGTGCAGAGAAATCTGGTCTTTCCACATCTGTCATCGAGCCGATCATAAAAACATTACTCCCAAGAACCATCAGTGCTCCTCAATGTCACAATTGTAGGACATCTACGATATTTAAATTATCTTCTGATATGACATTGCCCATCTCTTGTGGAAGCGATAGGGATCTCGTCCCCGTCATCCATTGCTTTCTTAGATAGCATGAGATGGTCACGTTCGGTGCTGGGATTTTCAGCTGCTCTTCCCCGGCTACTTTTTGTATACCTGAGAATTTGAGGTACCACTTGTGTGAGTAACTCTTACTGTTCCGATCCCTTCGTGGAACTTGCGCTTCATAACGTCACTTCAAGGTCTCTTGGAAAACGAAATCTGAATGTTCAAGACCTTTTCCACGTTGCTTTTCAGTGTGCCCAGAACTAACATGCTGTCATCATAGGTAAGCTGCTCCTACAATGCAGCAAGCTCAAACAGCTTATCTTACCCTAGCTGGTGGGGCGTGATATTCCGTCGACTCATCTAGCTTTGGGCGAGACTCGGAACCAGCTGGCAGAACACAGTCGGCGCTAACTTGATAGGTAAGCACTTTCTGTTGGTTTCAAATACTGCTATTGTTCTATAACTTCCATTCATGGGACGTTTACTTGCACATTTCGCCTGAATGCTAAACTTTCTCTCACTGAAGATTTATGGAGAATGCCAAGCTGCTTGATTGCTAAACAGAAGCATCAATTAGCGGCTGTCGGGTGTAGACAAGAAAAAACTAACCCATCAAGCTCGTCTGGTTCAGCATCATTATGGAGGGGGAAGATTTGGCGAAGAAAATAGCCAAAGCTCGTGGTGTGGTTCTTGACCAAGGACTTCGGAAGAGATCCCTTCAGCTTCTTACTAGGTAAAACTTCCTGCATCGTCTCCCACCACGCATCCCACCGGTTAGCAGGTGACATTTGGAGCCAATTTGCGATATCGGCACGTAGTGCGTTTTGCACGGCGGCCACTCTAACCTTGTCCTCCTCTGCTACAGGCAGTTTTCCATCTCTCAGCTGGGCTATGAAGCAAAAGCGGGTCTTTTCAAGAGGGGGAAGAACCTGCCACCACTTGTATCGCTCGTCGATTTTTCGAGGATCAAAGGGGAATATTGTCCGGCATAGTTCAAAGCCTCGAAGTCTGAAAGAAATTAAAGGACTTTCGTGCAAGGTTGAAAACAGAACGAGGGACCAACTTACTCGTCCGGTGAGATCTGTGGAATGTCTATAGAATGGGTCATATTTAGTAGGGAACGGCACCTGGTGGTGACACTACTTTATAGTTGCGCCATGATCTTGCATCGTGATTCTAGTCCCGGTAAGTATTGTCGGAGGTAACTTACATAAAATGTACCAGAATAAGAGTAAGAATGAAAATGGAACACAGAACAAGGGACGGTCTTCCTACGGAAAGACTGATGAGACCAATCCAGATTCTTAGTCAAGGACATTGCCGCTCAATCATAGAAGTCCGGTAGTGCATTTTGGGCCTAAGTTTTGTCTGTATCGATTAGGCATTACAGTTGTAGCTGATTCAATTTGACCAAATTAACAGCGATCGTCTCGGTCAGGAACATTCCCAATAGAATGTTGATGTATAGGATAGTTTCCAACTACGGGTACAGTTGGTATCGATTAGGGGTTAAATCACTTCGTTGTGGCCTGAACTCAACCGAAGAGCCGCTGGTTCGATTCCAGCTACCGACATCTTTTTTGATTACAGTTCTCCGACGGATTGTTTCACTCTTCTCTATTTGTTTACCATCGTCACCAATTACAGCAACATGTTAGAACAGAATGTTAAAGAAAAACAGAAATTGTCAGAACTTTATTTAAACAATCATTTCTATGCAATTTCGTATTCGATCCCAAATCATTAACGTACTCATCGGCTCAGGCCGGATGCATATGAAGGCATCTCGAGAAACAATGAGATCCAGCCCAGTAGCGTGGTGTTAAACGTACTTCCGTTAGTGTGAGGCACGTCCGTGTTTCCTTCTTGTCCTCGTCCGTCATTTTCTTGACTGAGATCACGCTAATGAAGGCAGTGTATTCCCGGATCATGCGAAATGAAAAGCACTCCCATCCTTATAACCTATATCGCCGTGCTTATACAGTGAAACCTAGAAGATAGATTCATTTCTTCTGTGCTGCGCTACCCCGCAGACAGAGCAGGTATAATATACACACCCCGTGTTTTCTTCATGCTGTGTACGACGTAACCGTGCAGAGCCTAGTGTCATTCAACTGGCCATGAGGTATAAAAGAGTCCATGCCCTAGAACAACTTCCAACTCATTCTCTACCACGTCCATTGCGTACACAATGGGCTCTTCTGTATCTTCTGGCTCTGGAATGGCATCTAGCAGTCAAATGAGAGGTGGGAGCGTGTACATCGGAAGCAGAAGCCACGCTGGGAGTGGAAGCCATGCTAGTACGTTTCGCACCGTCCCCTCGAGCTCGTCATTCCCAAGGTTGAACCCTACCGTCATTTAGACAGAGGTACCACCACGACCACCACGACCACCGCACAGAGCACATCCAAGCCCTCTGGTAAAGCCGTTTTACATTGGTCCTTCAATTTCTAGGTAACTGGCACTCACGATTTCGCTCTACAGGTCTTCTAGCCAGATTCTCTGACTGGGTGAAGAGATTCGTTGAACGCATATTGCGACGCTTCAAGACTTCGAAAGGTGCTGGGCCATTACAGTCCCAGCGAGAAGATGCAGTCGCCAAAGCCGAAATCGATGACAGGGAGACAATCGAATAGATGATCTTGCGCCTTTGTATAAATTAATTCTTTTCGCACTGTTTGTTTGGGAAACATCTGTCCTCGTTCTTGACAAATCGAAGGCAAGGGCTTTACATTCTTGGGCTTGGTGAAACAAAAAGAAGAAAAACAGATGCCATTGTCCCATTCTAGCTAAGAAGCTGCTACCAGAAGCGTCAGTCAAAATCCAGAATACCGTTGTAAGTTCCATAGGTAACACGTTTGCTTCATGGGTCATGGAGGGTGCAGTCATTGCTGCCGTTTACGCCATAGAATCCTGCACTGAGCCCAGCTCACCAAACAGTTCAGCTGAGGTTAGTAGGGTTGAAATTCTGCGAAGAGCAACATACGAGAGATCTGCCAGAACATGTTAACGAACAAACATTTTGCGCGTCTATAACAAGCTTTTGGGACCACCGACAGCTATCCCGGTTATTGTTTCCTGTCTGTCCCGGTTGTCCCGTGTCTTCGTCGACCTGATAAAGCAGTGTCACCTTTTCCTTGAGTCCGACTAGCTCTATTATGAGGCTATGAAACGCGCGTAGATGTGATGCCAATGATGGATCGATACTTGTTGGCTTAAAGAGAATTCCCCAGTCGCCTCGAGTGCGGATAGCACGTCGGTCGTAAAATCCTGAATAAATTTCGAAACCATGAGCCTGGTATCGTACTGAGTTTGGGATGCTGCATCTTCCAGAGATGCCATTTCACTTAGCATACAGACATACACTATAGTGTTTGGCGAAGCAGTTATTCTTCCGCAGATAAAGTCTCCTTAATACTCTTTCAAAGATTGTCGGGACTGTTCCTGTTGAGAAGGAACGTCCAGGGAGGAGGGAGATATACTGTGTTTGTCGAACTTGAAGCGGTGTCTCCCAAGTACGTCCTTGTTTCACGACAAATATCATCTACAACACCGTTGATGTTAGTCCGTTCATCAATGAACGACACATTGCAACACTTACGCCCATAGAAGGTCTCTGTGGAATACATAAACGCTCGTTGTTGAGATATCGAACCCACCAAAACACGACTGGAGGGTACAAGACCTGACCCGCCCACCATGTTATCTCTATTCAAGTACCTCAAGGACTTTGTGTGCTACCGCCGCCGCTGCCGCCATCGCGGATGGACCATTATGAGGTGCATCCTTTCGCTCCATTACCTGATATCGTCCATCTGAGCCGTCTTTTCAGGGATGAGTGGACCGAAACTTGTAAAGAAACGGAATTAGAGCCACTTGTTCCCAACGAAATAGTGTAAGAGCATCCGCTCGCTCCTCTACCAGTTGTTGACTCGTGATGTCACCAGTGACGGGTGAGCATTGATTCCGGCACCTCTGCAGTCCCATCAAACAGTCGGAGTCCATCCCATATTTTTATTAACGTGCCGTGTGCCGTAGTAGTAGTCGTCGTCGCGAGTGTCATGATCGTAGCGAGGCAAACGTGCAAACTTCCGCTTTGAGCCAGTCACTATGACTAGGACTTCATCGTCGTCCGATTTCTTCTCTACGCCCATGACTCACAGTCCAAGTGACCGTCCACAAAAGGATTCCAAATACCTTCCTGGCAGTCAACAGATGAAGAGGCCGCCGAAAATCATCTTTGGGTGAATTACCGTGGGGGACATTTTCCTCGAGGTGTGTGCTAGAGCCCCTCTAGCAACAGGCCTGGCAGGCTTACTTTCGTAAGGAAAAGCCTTCCGAACGTTACTCATGAGTAGAGCATCCGGAGGTGCTTGGAAGTCGGCGCGTCACAACATTCGAGTCCCCCACCCATCCTTTTCCCGGGAATGTCAGAGCCGTCTTGCTTTCGTGTCCGAGCGCCCTGTACGCATCCTCCTCGTTCACTCCCTCACTTTCCTGCATCAAATGCTGTCCGCATACCGTACTTTCTACTTCAGGCCCGGATTTATCTAGAAGGAAAGAACTACACCCTCCGCGGCCTCGCTTGCTCCCCGACCAACCTCCGATATTCGACCTCCTTCCGTTAATGCGGACGAATTTTAGGGGCAACAAACCTATGGATAGTTACTGTCTGAAGACTGAATGGAATGACATCAACAGTCGAATGTCGAATATCGACCATAACTACGGACAATGGAAAGTGCAAATTTATAGCACAACCGGAAAAGCTGAATGAAGTAAGTATACTATATTTCTCTAGTGGATATCACTCATGAAATTTCAAGCATGCCATACTGGTACAAGCAGCACCTTCCGTCTTCGGGAGAAGGGGGCTCAGAAGATTAGATCCGAAACGAGTAGAAGCATAAGTGAGATTTCAATCCCACTTCTGCAATGTACTAATGCCTGTACCCAAGATCCACGCCAAGTTGAGAGAACTAGGAAGCTTTACATGCGCGGCATCTCCAACTACCTGCACGTCGATAGAATGAAACCCTCACGGAGCGAGGTAAGCTTTACTGGCCTCCATTACATACCACCTACTTAGCGAATATTGTGTTGTAGGCTGGGCCAGGATTCGGGACGACATGATAGCATTCGCCGATCTAGTCATGGAGAATGAAGAGAGCAGCAAAGTTGGAGCTGAAACGGACGAGGCGGGAAGCCATTGGAACGGCGTAACGTCGGTTTCACGACCAGAAAAGACGGAGACATCGACATTCAATGCAAAAGTTCTCGGACTAGCCGTACTTGCAAGTTCGCTCGCGGCCGGGATAATTGGAACGTGTTTTGGATAGTTGAGACTGCCCATAAAGACGCCAAGGACATTTCCCTTCTCCCGTCTTTCCAGCCCGTAACCTTCCACTCGAGTTTGATGATTGATATCATTTTACATTTTCGTATTCGCTCCCATTGGATGCCATCCTGCTCCACTATCTTGTTGGAAAAGGATCATGACCCTCCACCTTATCTGAACCCTCATCTTTTCAGCGGTTCGATAAATCAGAGGTTCTCCATAATCTCCACGGCAAGCCTTCGGGGCGTTCGGGTCATAGGGTCTTGTCCCAAGTACGATCTCATTCAAAAAAAAATGTGAGCGATCCGGAGGAGGTTGACAACCGATATCAGAGAGCGAAAATACAAGGACATGGTGGGAAGGAGCGCTAAGGTTCATTCAGAAGAAATACAATGCACTAAAGCGCGCAACTATACAAACGCAGAGATTGTGCGTATAGAGCCCGCCCACGTTTTGTGATTAAAGACCCCGCATCGCGATGGGAGACCAGGTCTGAACGCAGAAATACAAGGGCGTAGGTTTACATGCCTCGGTTGCATTCAATTATACTGATGCTCTCTCACAGAATACTTTGGCCGAAAACACCTGCGTCCATGTGCAAGGCAAAGTCCAGCCACAGAAAAACGCGTAGTACAGGGCCCGAGCACATCTCCAAGGAGTGGATCAGGGGGTTATCCTCAACTAGGAGACGCAACTTCTCCTACGTTCGCAGGCCATTGTCCAGAAGCAGGATTGGGACCGCTTCCCTCACGAATGATGAAAGCATGCTTGAAGTTTCAATGTACACGCAGAAAATACAAGGGCTATCGAGTCCCGCGTGGTGGACAAAGTAGAGTCGACGCAGGTGAGAAAAAAAAAAGAGTTGCTATCACCGCAGGTATACACCATCCAAAGCACATGAAAGACACAAACATCTCGCCGAATCTAGGTGATGATCAAGTCGGGGGTGCAATGTCATCATAGCCCTGTCCAGGCACGTTTTCCCCGAATGGATGAGTCCTTCATGCCGACTCGATTTGGTGTTCCCTTTGATCAAAGGGTATAAAATGACCCTTAGTGCGAACACTCTGGAGACCACAGTTCCTCGTCTGTCTGTCTTTGCTCCGAAACACACACTATTCTTTCTCGCACCCAAACTAGCATGCGCTGCATCTCTCTTGTCGTTTTGGTTTTGAGTTCTCGTGAGTCCGGTCTAGCATTGGGAACAATGGGGATTAATGTGTTTATATTTTTTTTTTCTTTCCTCTTAGTGGCGGTCCTCGTCTCGTCGTCGCCTGTACCTGTCGTTGAGGGTGAGGTTGATGTAAGTCTTTCCATTACGATGGATGACTTGCCATGCTCATTTTATTGTAGGCTCGAAACCCCGAAGCCAACCCGGACCCTGCGGGGTGCCTCACAGCCCGATTCTCTTGCTACAAAGTTTAGACTGCCACCATCCTACCATACGTACGTCGGCACACTCACTTACTTTCGTGTACCCTATGCTGACTGGGTGTCCTAGGCCTTACCCCGTTGTCCACCTGATCCCATTCGTCGACCACCACACCCGTCGTCTATAGCGTTACCAACTCTCGTTAACTTCCAACGTCGCTAGTCCGACTTGTTTTCATTCATCCATTTACTTTCTTTCGTTTCCTTTCCAAAAACTGGACATCTTCCGGTACTAAAGTCCGGCGTCTCCATTTCATTCCCTTGTCTTTGTCTCCGTAAACGCGACATGTGCATTTTTATTTCATGTTCCCTCTCCAGGCTACCCATGTTTATTATATAGACACCTATCTCTGTATCGTCTAGTGCTCTTGCTGTTGTCGTCGTTTATATATTTAAATGCATGTGTATTGTCTCGGTTTAACGTATAGAGTGGCAGGGTGCAGCTGAATGAGGAGGTATTTCTTGACAGGGTAGAGCTCGGGTAAATAGAGCAAAGTAGCGGATGAAGGCGCAGCGTGACTTTGGTCCAACGGTCTGGACCTTGTATGATGGCTCCCTTGCCTATATGTTTGGGCTATACGCACTCGCTGAATTGCACGTCGTATACGGACTTGGGCAGACTTGGATAGCGGGATCATCTGATTCTGGGCTAGCGATGGAAAACGATCGAACGGTGGAACAAGATCAGTGTAGGTTCGTGTAGGTCCACGGAAGGGCCCGGACAATGTAATAACAATTAAGGGAGCAACGGGCTGTGTGGAGGGGTTGTAAATGAAATGCAAACGAGGCTTATGTATTTGTCGGGTAAAGAAGGTGATCAGTACTATAATGGTATAGGATACGTGACTAGAATACAACAAAGAATAGGTAAGAGAATGTAATATTAAAGGGCGTGATATGATTCCGACCAGCGGATTAAAGGGAAGCCTTTAGGGCTCTCAAATGCATAAGAACGTCTTCGCGATCACGGCGGTTCCACTCTCCAGACCAGGCCTTTTCCTTACGACGGCCCCAAAAATGACTGCGGTCCTGGAAATGCCTGCGCTCACCCTCGTCGACGCTCTGTGAACGGACGTCGTGTTTAATAAGGACGGGTGATTTGGAAGTGGCGCGGACGGAAGCTGAGCGGGAGAATTTGCAGGGGAGGAGAGGGGAATCTTCCGACTCCTCGTGAAAGGAGGGAAGCGGGACGGGTTTTGGGAGGGGAGAGAGGATGGTGTCGATGCTGCAACTGCGGCGCCTAGGGCGGCGGGCAGGGACAGACGACACGAGCTCGGGGGGGACATTCTCGCCGAAAGTGCGGGCGAGTTTGGCCATACGCTTGCGTCGGTCATCGGGCTTCCTGTCTAGGACGGGGGAGACGGGAGAGAGCGGGTAGTGGACATTAGGAAGGGCGGTGGTGGTGGCGGTGGTGTGTATGCGGAGGACGAGGGCTGGGCCAGTGCCTGGTGCAAGGGAGAGGGAGAGGTTTGAGTTGTGAGTGTTTACGGACTGGCATTGGGGCGTGGTGCCGAGGAGGGCACCGAGTTTGCGAGTGGAGCGTAGGAGACGTGTGCGTTGGTGGGGCGTAAGGTCTGTCATTGTTTAACGGGTCAACAAAAGAACAAGCCTGCAATTACTTATATGCACAAACGCTCCCATTGTTCTTGTTATACTATAATATATTTATACATTTATACCCCGTCCCGAATTTCAAATTAGGTTACATTGTGCTCTAATGTGTTTCGCCGTGACGTCGCCAAGACCACCGCAGTCGGCGCAACACCCGCTAGCCAGTCGCCGAACTACGCCTAGATGACCGCCCTACTCTTACCTCGTCCAAGTTGGCACCCGGTGCTTACTTGGCTCCGACACTTGTTCCGAATTAGGAAGATCTTGTATCCCCAAACTTGGTATTGATTCTCCATTCATGGCCTTCGGTCCCGCCACCCGCCACCCGCCACCCACCTCGATCCCTGTAGATCCTCCCGACTTTTGACACGTCTCCGCCGCCGGACGCCATAACCGACCTATTTACGTATACGCACTCGCTGGAAAAAACGACGACTCCCTCCGATCAATGGCTCCTCCATCACCGACACCAGCCCCCGCCTCAGCTGCCGAATCTCGACCCTTGCAGCTCGTCCCCGTTGCATGCCAACCCCGACCCACCCGTTCTCCACAGCATTTCATCCCCAACCGCGTCTCGTTTCCGACCCCTCAACCCCTTCAGATTCCGCTCAACACTCCACTGAAAGCATATCGGGCGTCAATCACACCATTCTCCATCCCCTTGCTCCATACAATGCTTCTCACCACCCCATTTGCGCTTGATTCCCCAGAAGCTCTGCTTGTATGCTCCCCATTCAACGCGATTGCCTCGCTCTTGTCCTTATTCAGAAACCCTTGTCATTTCTTTACTTCATCGCCTTTGCCGTAGCTTAGCTCGTCCCATGTGCTACCGACTTTGCTCCATGCTATTATTCTTTGTGCTGGATCCACTGCGGAAGAAGATTATTTTAGAAATCCCTTCTTTACCTTTTCTTCATACAATGCTCCTTGATACATTAATCAAAGAATGAACTCCCCTTCTTCTGCATTCGAATGAATCAGAATTAGGTAAATCCTCGGTGGCAGAAATCCCACCCCAGCCAAGGACAAAGGTCGGCTATCCCACAGCGGATGGAGCGGCCGCGCGAAATCTCATCCACCCATCAGCTTTCTTTGTATTTGATACATTGTTTGTTGCCGTTGCTAGCTCCGATCCCGTAAACATTGCGTTGAACGGCCATACATAATTCACAATAAAATACGAAAGCAGGATAAACAAAACAACATGACCTAGACAGGACGAGAACGACACAAAGTAAATTTAAATAACTAGCGATACATTCCGACACTTGCAGCTCTATAAGGAATGAATTGCGAGGGCGAGAGAACAATGGGAGTCAGGATGAACGAGTGGGTCTGGTGGTGGGTCCGGTGGTGGGTAGCGCGACACAACAGCGCACTCGGAAAGATCGTCGTGTGGTGCTCTATGTCTACTGGAAAAGGACCATCAACATTCGACATACACACGAATGGAAGACACGGAACGTACATTGCATTGCACTCATTAGAAGCAAGAGAATCGGGCGGTAAGGCAGCCAGCTGGGTCGGGCTGAGCTTCAGGCTTTGGTTCTCGGGCCTGCCAGCGACAGGTTAGGGTGATTAAAAAAAATTTATATGGCCAGTGAAACGGACGTACATCAACCTCGAGTTCGGGAACTGGTACGAGTTCAGGTCCAGGTGACGGGACAGGTGTCGCCGCGATGAGGACAGTCACTAGAGAGCCGGAAGATTAACATCCCACAGTAATAAGAACAAGAATATTAAGGCACTCACGCGAACTCAACACCAAAACGACTAGTGAAACACAACGCATGTCAAGGGGTTCAACTCTTCGACAAAAGAAGGAACGAGGGAAGAGAACAATAAAGTCCCTCTCTCCATCCTCCAGGGGTTTTATAACACTAACCCACCGACGACTGATTTCTGAAAGGGAATTCCAAAAACGGACGATACCTTGTGGGATCACAGAGCTGAAAGGTTGGGCCGCATTGGGAACAACGTAACATTGCGACCAAAGATGGGAATGATGGGTCGAGGATTTGGTGATTTGCGTACAATGTCACTAACGAACGGCCCCATTGGGATGCCCGCGCAATGGCCGGGACCTTCGTAGAGCAAATTAATCATTTCGCGAGGCCACGGGATACCAACCACCAAGAAGTAACAACCAGCACAAGAGTAAAAGAATTGAATGTCATTCATAGAATCACCCGCCGTCGCCCTGAAGAGAAAAATGTCCAATGACCGCAGCCATCGTTCGAGAACCAACACGGTCAAACGCTCATTTTTCCACCACCAGAAACAAAGATTGGCCGTTCACGGTCCGCAACAAGTGACAGGGTGCACGGGAAGGATGATGGAGCGCAACGCTGGAACGTCGATCAGAATTGGAGCTAGTAAAGCTCACGTACCTCTCTGTTCCTCGATAACTATAGTACTTCAAATGCCGGAAGAGTTAACACTGCGATTCTGATGTGGCAATCAGAGGCTCTTGCTCGACATTTTATATAGAAAGTTGCAAGTCCGGTGCCACTTCAGTCCGCCGGATCACCACCGATTGATGTCCCATAATACTTCTTTCGACCAACGCACTATGCTGTTGGCATGACTTCCAACGTATTGAAGAATGATTCAAAGATTGAAAAAAAATTTAAGAAGATATCAAACCTCTTTGAAATGTGCCTTGGAGATAGGTGTCTGAGACGCACATATGCACCGGTTCCAAGGACCAAGTTTGGAGGTGAGCGAGGGGAACACGAAAAAATATGTCGGTAGCTGGAATCGAACCAGCGGCTCTTCGGAGCAGCGAATCCACAACGAAGTGATTTAACCCCTAATCGATACCGACTCGCAAGGTATCGTGCAACAATGATATTTAGGCCGTCTGGAAAGGCATCCATAACTTTTTTCCTTTTTTCAATCGAAATTTGTCTTTTGAACTGACTACTTCAAGCCGAACTGTTGACTTTGTTCACAAGATCAGTCCTAAATTATTCATTCCATAGTACTGTCCAGATACAGAAACTGAAGCTATTATACTAGACAAAGTATCATTATTGGTATTCCTCCATCCATTGGTATCACCATGATCCCATAACCTTTCAATCGGCACCATGGTCGGCTAGGAATGCTCCTCCTTGTCCGCCTCTGAATGACTGCCTATCTCCTCCCATTGAGAGGCCCCGACTGGGCAACCCGCTCTCACCAACGACATCCCCCTTGGGACCCAATATCTGAGAGAATGAGTGTCCCACAGGCGACGCCAATGACGGAGATTGGGAAGACGTCCCGGAAGAACGCGACATGGACTTTGAAGACTTCTTCTTCTTCACCGGGAGCGATGAAGGAGTCAGATTAGGTAGATGTGTGGTCGGGGCGAGCTGTTGGCTGTGGTACCGGATCTGCGAGGAGGCGTCTGACGAAGTCAGTCGCGAATCGGAGCCGCCGCCGCTGCTGCCGTGATGGTCTCTCCTACTGACGTACATTCCTCCATCAAGGTCTGCACCATCATCCGCTTCGGTTTCGACCTCTGGGTGTGACGGAGGGGGGGTGTTGTAAAACCCGGGAGAGGGAATATGTAGGTACCCTCCAGTGACAGAGCCACTGCCTTGGAATCCCTCAAACTCCTCACCATCCACGGACCCAACAGCCAATGCCTGTGCAAGTCGCTTCATCTCCTTGCGCTCTCGTCTCCGCTTGCGCCGTTCTTCTTTCGCGTGCCTCTCCTCTTCTTCCGCTGCACGTGCTCGCTCTTCAAGCTGTTCCAGAGTCATACTGTCTATCGCTGACGAGTCAAGCGGTGCAGCGTCAGAGTCAAACCCTGTGGAGGATGTCCGTGAAGTAGAAGTGCGGGAACGATGAAAGGTGTGGTCACCCTCGTCTTCGTCAAGATGGATGGCAGGTTTTCCGAAGAGGTTCAAACCAAAGAATGTTAAAATACGCCTAGGTTGTCGCTTTTTCTTCCTTCTTCGATTATTGTCACCGATATTCGAGTGCAGAGACAAAGTCTCTGCCTCGGTGTCGGTTCCTGGATCCTGCAGCAAGTGTTCGAGATTTTGGGGTAGCCGCTGGTAGCCGCTGTTGGTGGGGTCGTCGTGAAGCTCTTTGGCGAGGCATGGCATGCAGGTGGAAAAAGCGGCGCGGAATGTATCTGACCAGGAGAATGAATCCATGGCCATGGTGGCGGACAAGGAAAAAGGTAGTACCTTGGTTGAAATTGGACGGTCAAGCGGGTCAAGCGCATGATAAAAGCTGTGTGGCCCGGAGTTGCCGATCAGCTTTTCAAATGCCGCTCGAATTGGATACTGACCGTAACTACTGCGTCTTTTGCTTCTTCAACGTTTTTGGGAATGTTCACAAAAACTAAGCTTGGATCAAGTCTCAAAGACGCATTAATGGTGTCCACCAGGGAAAAAGAGAGAAGGTATATATAAACGCTCAGAACATAAGTTGATTAATTATGTCGGTTAGCTAGATACACAAAGCAGATCGACAAGCCCAGTTCCCATATCTATAGCATTGGCCCTCCAGTACTCAACGTTCAACCGTCGTCTGCACAAACAAAGCTCCCGTCAGTTCATCGTGTTACCCAGATCAAAGAATGAGAAGTGCCTGAAAATACCTGGTATACCACCTCGTTTACCGTCTTCTTCGTCGGAACCTCCTGCAGTCCTTCCTTCAAAATCTCATCGTCCTTTAAACCCTAATAACCAATTAATGCTTCAGCCCATTCCTGAAATACGCTAAGGTCATATAGCCAAAGATCTCCTACCATCCTTCATTCTCTCTCTTACATATAATTGTCCTCGAAATTCGGGTCGAGCACCACATCTGGAATCCCAACGATCTCAGTAATGGCCTTCGTGAGGCCCTCTTTTTCCGGCATTGAACGTCTCATCCATAGACCGCTTCGCCGTCAACGAGAACTCGAATCTCTCCTTGGCTTCGGCCGCAGCGGGCATATCATCGAGACAAGCTCATTTTATACGACAACGCGTCGTGTTTGGACAGGATCCAATACACTACATCTTTGATCTCCGATGACGGCGCGTCTTGGCCTCGCTCGTTAACCCCGAGACTCAGCTGAGACTTGACTACAGCAGCGTTGAAGTGGGCCTTGCCATCCTCACCATACTTTTCGCGGAAGTAGCTTAAAGCTGAGATGAAGCCTTCGGTGTACCTTGCAGAGGAAAGCATCAGAATCGCAGTGACTCAGCTGAGACGAGGACTGAAAACGCGTTACCCAGAGAAGACGATCTCCGCGCTGACATTGGTGTTTTGAGGCGCATATGCCCAGACGGTGTTGATCTCGTAATTCAGCTTGAACGATAAAGTCCCCAAGAGACTTGAATCTTAGTCTCAAAGGTCGTCGCGAACTATGACAGGCCGAACACTGCGACTGACGTGGTTAGGATCTAGTTGGTAAAAATCTGATGTGGTTAACATCGATATCCGTAACAGAAAGATGTGGTCGGGGCGTACTTGTCCGTGGCATGGTGGAATCTGAGGGCATTTATTGCTTGATCCTGAACGGCACGATTTGAGGACATAGTTATCGTCTAGAGATGCGTACCAAAGCTATCAGCAGACAAGACAAAATATAAACACCCACACTCAAGGACAACTCTCCAGTAGCACAGAAGATGAGGGTTCACGTCTTGATCATGTCTAGTGAATGTAGCATTCGCAGACAAATCAGGAAGAAAGTAGCATAATTATAATCTTCCATAAACCATAGGAAGTATACCGCAATAAGTATCCATCCAACGGTGAGCCTAAACAGAGATAATTAAAGCAAGTCGAGAACATCTTCCGCAATGTACGACGTATTGCAATACCAGTACTCGACGGTAGTCTGAAAAGAAATAGCTGGTTAGGCGCTAAAGTCCACAAAGAAGCGAAAGCACTTACTTGCAGATAGAGCGTCCCATTTTCCAGGATAATTTCGTTGTATGTCTTCTTCGTCTTGGGCACAACCCTTAGCACAAACGCCTTCTCCGTCAACGCCTCTTGCAAGCCTTCCTGCAACATCTCGTCGCCCTTGAACCCTGCCCTGCCTAGCTGGTACTTCAACCCATCCTTGAAGTATGCCAACGTGGCCGCCCCAAAGCTCGTGTACCAACCCTTGTCCGTCTGTACATTCAATGCCTTGAAATTGTCCTCGAAGTTGGGGTCGAGCTTCACATCGGGTATCCCCGTCAGTTCTGCGATCTCCTGAGTGAGATCTTCGTACTCCTCTTCCCAGGTCTCGTCGATGGAGTGCTTCGCCTGGAGGGAGAACACAAACCCCGGCGCAGTATCAACAGCAGCGAGGAGACTGTCCCCAAGCGAGCCGGTGTTGGTCCCGAGGCAGTCGGGCTTGAAAAAGATCCAGTAGACGCCCTCTTGGATTTCAGATGAGATGTAGGGAGCTTTGTCGTTGAGGGTGTTGACGCGGATACTCAGCTCGGATTGGGTCACGGCGGCGTTGAAGTAATCCTTGCCGTCGGATGCATATTTATCGAGGAAATATTTGAGGGCTGAGATGAAGCCTTCGGTGTAGCTGGGAGATGAGGGTAAGAGGACAGATAAACTAATAAACGTAAAAGAAGAGGTACCTGGACAAGATGTATCCTGCAGAAGAGCGGTCGTCTTGGTTGTACGCCCAGATAGCGCCGACGTTGTAGTTGATCTTGAAGTCTGTGCCGAGGAGCTTGGTGATCTGAGCCTCAAAGTCAGCCCTCTTGGACTCGAAGTTATCCCGGACTGAAAAAGGGACGATGAGTGATGGATATCACTGGACTAGGGAACTTGCCATCTTTTCGAACAGCAAGAGGTAGCTTTTCGATGGGAGCTTTTGGGGTGAAATTTGGTGTTTTTGGCATTTTGGACAGTAGTGGAAAGAGAGCGATGAGTGGCGACTCTCGCAAAGACACAATATGATTTATATCCTCGAAGATCCTCCTTTCCATTTAAAGTAATGATAGGCCATCTCAGGGGCCTTGCAGGAAGTTTGGTTCAGGAACCCGTGCAGGTGAACATCCATGACGACCGATGGGTACCCCTGCGCCAGGGTATGTATATGAGGTCTTGAGGGGGGGGTAAATGACATTATTGGATCTAGAGCTGTTGAATACGTTGAATACTGACGACAAAGCGAATAGAGTTTCCAGTCAAGACCAAGGAAGGGAGCAGACGAGCGATCGTGGTGGTTGATGAAATGACAGATCCCTTTTCCCACGATAACTGTGTTGCTTGAACGCGCTCAGTAATTTCTAATGCTTGAATTCTGACTCTTTACCGGGCTGGATATCGACTCTGAGATACATCTAGATTAGAAATAAGTACTTGAGTGCTCAAAGACAAGCTGGCTGGTTCCTTACCATCATCAAGTCCGACGTATATCAACTACCAAATTGACCTCGATTCGTCACCATTTGTATGGCCAACTCGAAGCATCCGACTTCGACACCTTCTCTTTTCCGACTCTACACCCTCGCATGCTGGCCGCAGTGAATGAGGACTCACTATGTCAGTGAGAGAAGACGCGGCAAGAAGACTTTGGGGCGCCAACATTCAGGACGACCGGGCTCGCGATGAAACATCCATCGTCTACAAATGCCCCTGGATAATGTTACGATACGACGAGAGACTTGATGGACGGTTCGTTGTGATCATATGTTGTACAGCAATGATAACTTCTGACAGCGATTTCTATCATTAACGCTCCTGTTTCTGCGTCAACATGTCGTGCTACACGCGCACAGGGGGTACTCAAGTCTTGGCGATTGTAGCAAATCAGGCCCATATTTCTGTCCTTCGAGTACCCCTTCTTCTGCATTGAAATTCCTCGTCACAATGAACTCGGAAATGTAAGCACAGTCCAGTCGCATCCTTACCTTCCTCACCCACCTTTCCAGCCCGCTGAAAGCCCGTGTCGACATACGGGATCAATGGGACTCGCCCAACGCACCTATACGCACCTCCATTGCCGCCCTTCAAAAGACTTTGGGCCACAGGATCTCCCCGCATGCCGAATGGCCAGCTCTATGGAGCCAACTCAAGGACCGCTTCTCCGATAAATCCAAATTCGTGCCTACCATCGTCAGCATCGTCGTTGTCTGGTACGAACGGCTCCTCGGAAGACTGGACAATGATGTGTTCGCCGACTGGACAGAAGAACTCCTGTCTGCGCTTGAAGGAGGGGCATCGTTGCGCATTGAGGTAATTTTTCCATGTCACTGTGCTAATTAACAATAGCTAACGTGTTGACAGCCTGCCCCGCCCAAGGTCACCCGTCCGACCACGACGTGGGACAAGGACATCCGGTCGTTCCATCTCGGAATTCCTAACGCAGACCCGATGTCCCAGGCGCGTGTAGCCAGCATGCTTGATAAAGATTTTGATGACTTCTTTGTCGGGACGGCAGGTGTCACAGACGATCAGGAGGACACAGAATGGGCACATGTTCCTCTCACCCAACTTGCTACTGCTACTTCTTCCCGTGCCCAACTTGAAGTACCGCTGGACCTGGCCCCTCCTGAACGACTCCCAGTTCTGAGCTCCCTCTCCCGACCATCAGATCTCTTCACGTCGACTGTACCTTATATCCTCACCGTCTCTCTCCGTGGCCGCAAAGGCCTCGTCGTACACTGCTCCCATGAGCCGACTCTCGAGCTCCTGAACGAGTATCTCAATAAATGGACAAAGACCAATGCCCATGATAGTATGCATGTATGTCTGCTTTCCTCGAAATCCAAGTACGCTTTGACGCCAAAACTCTTCAGCGCCCCATCTTCAAGATCACGCTTGTCGAGTCTGATTTCTGCTTTGGAATGATGGATACTCTTATCGTCGAACCCTACATGACGTACCATAATGACGTTAACCCCACAATCATCCTCGCGTTTGTTGAGGGCATCTTTGGGTACAGGATGGTTTACACTACAGGTTCGTACTGGATGTATCGTTGCATTACTTTGTTCAAATAAAGCTGCCGCGTACGACTGGTCCAGAAAACAACTGCAGTAGACTCACTTGATGCAGTTTGACGAGGGTCGTCAGTTTGTATAGGACAGGACGCCCTCTTCCAAATGCGAAGCAGCCGACAGAATAATACATTTCAGGCAAAGGAATTATCAAGTACGATGCTACCTAATTATGCAACAGAAGAGAGGAGAGTAGGTAATAAGATTCAGAAAACAAAGCGTTCCTTGTCATGATGGAGCCGAACAGAGGATTACACACAAAACATGATGATAAAAACAATAAAACAAATCCAACTATTACCTCTTAGGAAGTCGTCGCGTTGCTTGCAGTGTAATCCTAAACGGTAAACGATAATGTTAGTGAGACCACCCTTGGAGCCCGTGAAAAATAAAACTAACCTCCATTTCGGCATCAAGGTCAGCGGCCGTCTTCGCGGGCCGCGGTTCCTTACGGGGCTTGCCTCCCCTTCCCCGTCGTCCTCTTGCGACACCACCAGTCCTTCCCAACGATAAGCACACCGAGCACCATACTCAGAAGTTACTTGCACAACTGACCTAGCGGCAGCAGCCACGACAGGAGGAGCGACGCGGGAAGCCAGCGTCTGCTGAGGTCGCGACGGATCCACAACAATCTCAATCTTCATCGGTTTCTCTGTCAAGTCGGAAAAAAGCGGCGATGAAAGGAGCGAGGGAGGAAGGAATTCGTTAGTCGATTGTCAACGACACGACGTAGAGGAAGCAAGTAAAACCAAAAGCCAAGGGACGCCCAGCCATAAGCCAAGAGTCCCTTCCATGCATACCGGACAAACCGTAGCTCTGTCTCTGTCTCTGTCTGTCACAGTGCCTTGTAGAAGCTGCCCAGTGCGGGCGGGCGAACGCCAAGCTCGAACGAATAAACGGACGCTACAGGCGGTTAATCGGGCAACCCTTGCTCTCCGATATACCATGCTCCATGCTCCCGCTCTTCAGGTCTCGTCAACCACAGCAGAGCCCAAAACACCGACGGTCTCCACCAGAGCACTAACCAGACCGATAAGACCTCCCAATTACCGGTCTTGTCGGAAGAGGCCACACTACGGCCCTGGCGCTGCCACATGCAAGGTTGATCAAACCTGCAATTGTGGTAACCCAGAATGTTCAGTTATGGGGCAGGACAATACACGGTTGTTGATAACAGACCGAGAGGCATTCCGTGCGCAGAACAGAGACAGGAAGCCACGATCCTCCTGGAAAACGCAGTAATGAAGGGCGCGAGGGCCCATGCATGCAAACGAAGCGAGGTTATAAGAGGACGCTGATACTAACTGCCATCGATGAGTCGGTTGTTGTACTGATTATATGCAGAAGTGCCGTCGCCCTTCCTCTGGAAGTGAACAGAGGCAACGCCCTTGGAGCGACCATTGCTGTCGTAGTGAAGGGTTACCTCGCGGAGGGGGCCAACAGTTGAATGGAAGAGCTCCTACGCCACACAAACCGAGTCAGCCTTTCGGGCATTCAAAAGGAAGGCCAAAAACCAATGTACCTTTACTTGAGCCTCATTCACATCAGGAGGGAGGTTGGAAACAATGATCTTATCTGCCGGTTGCTGGGAGGGCGTGGCCGCAGAAGCAGATCTCAACTTGGCCTTCACAGCTGGGCTCGGGCCAGTATTTCCCACAACTTGGGATTTGGTGGAGCCACGACGACCAGCGCGACGAATGCCTCGAGGACGGGAGGTGATGATCTAAAAGAAAATTTTGGTGTTATACGACAGGCCGGGGGTTGCAAGCGCAAAATAAGCCCACATCATCAAGAGCCTTGTCCATTGCAGATTCTGAGCTGAAATAAAGTGAGGTAGCTGGACGTCTGTGGGCTGGTGGTGGTGTGTGGTAAAAGGAAGTGCTGAACAAAAGGCCGTGCTGTGCGCCCTTACCAGCGGAGTTTATATCGGAGTTTCGGATATCAAAATCCATTCCGGGAACCGACATTGCGACTCGACCATTATCTTTGTTTTATTATCGATATGTCTCGAGGTCGAGGATTCGGTCGAGGGCGGGGGTCCTTTGGGTCTGGTAACCTCCCCCCAATGGGCCTCACGCATGCTGATGTCCAAGCTATATCTCGCGAAGCAACGGCCATGTACCCCGTACGAGTTTGCCCTCCTCGCGTGTATATCTTGACGGTAAACTGAAATACAGCCCATGCGTCCCCCAGTGATGTCTGAATTCACCGAGGATGAAAAGAAAATGTGTCAATACCAGATCGGATATGCAACACGACTGAAGCAGTCAGCATACTACGTCGTGGAGGCGACAAAGTCCAAAGGTCAGAACGAAGGACGATCGTGTATAAACTGCAGCTGAATGAGCCTATAGAACTCCCGAAATATTCGGACAAGTACCGTTCCTCAAGCGCTACCCAGCCGAAGTTGAAGCGTAAAGATCTCCACCAGGAATTTTTCCCCAAAGATATCTTTGAAGACTATTTCAATCCCAGGCGGAGAAAAGGTATAACTAGTCTTTGAAATGATGAATGCTAATTCATCATCGTTTCCGTCAGTTCCCAAGATCAAAAAACAAGGGAATTTTTCTGTTAACTTGTCCGACTTTGAAGGATCTGTATGCCATGTCTTTTCTTTCACATTACCTTACGATAATTACTTACTACACCAGGAAAAATCGGCAGACGATGCCTCAGAGCTTGCATCGCAAGGCGATGGCTCTGATTATGACGTTGATGAGGAATACGACAACGACTATGCGGACAACTACTTTGATAATGGCGAAGGAGATGATATGGATGATTTGGGTGGAGGAGGTGGCGACGGAGGTGGTATGTTATTTGATCGTTCATGTCATTGTGTTTATTATTGAGCTCATATCCATACAGGAGACTATGATTGACCGTAAATGCAGGACTTGTTTCCCCTATATGCGGTCACTTTTCAATGTTCAAGTCGGCTTACGTCCAATGAAATTTATTGCATCTTCCCCCAGATGACATCAGAAACCCTTCTGTACTTTTTTTTTTTCGAAAAAAATGACTGAACAATATCTAGAGAAGAAAGTACTTCAAGTAAACAAGATGGTCCGGCTCCGTAAAATATCAACTAATAATAACCGCGAATGAACTCCTACAAAATACTTCCACCGACCAGAGCGCCTGCGATTACAACCAATCCAGCCATAACCTTGCTGTAACCCAGCGTTGCGACTTGACCTACGGCGGCATTAGAGGAGGTTGCAGTAGATGCAGATGCACTCCTTGATGCGGAACTAGAAGAAGGCGAAGTGCTACTTGCGCGACTGCTGGTGCCCGAGCCACTGCTGGTGCCCGAGCTACTGCTAGTGCCTGAGCCAGTTGTTGATCGAGAGGTGACCCCAGAGACGGCAGTTATGGAGCCCGAGGACGCAGTGAAAGCAGATGTGCTTGCGGAGACCGTGCGGGATGCACTTCCAGATGCGCTTCTAGATGCGCTTTCAGATGCACTTTCAGATGCGCTTCCAGGTGCGCTTCCAGGTGCGCTAACTGTGCGAATCAAAGCATGATGAGCAGAGACACTTGTTTGACGATACTAAGTCACTTACCAGCAGCACATTCAGATTGCTGGAGAGCCGCAGCCGCCGCCTGGTCTGCGGCCGTGCAGGTTGTCTGCAAACACGAAGCGGCACTAGCCTGGAACGCTGTGTTGGTGCAGATACACGTGAGGTCGGTCCTGAATGATGAATCGGTCACGTTAGCATCCGCATAGGACCAGAAGACACTGGTGCTTGACATACAGGGTGCATCCGTTCGCAGAAGCTGCTTGCTCAGAGCAGCTCAGAACACAGGCAGGGATGGTACTCGTGTCTGTGGGTACGGCAGCGGACGAGACAGTGGTTCCAGTGGAAATTTGGGTACTAGTTCCCACTGCAGCAGTGGTGCTCTCCTGGGCGTGTACAGCAACGACAAGGAGGCCAACAAGGGAAATGATCTTGGTGAGACAGTGCATTTTATGCATGGTGTGTGGGTGGTTACTGATGGCTGTTCGTGTCAAAGAAAGAGGAATACTCGAAAGACAGCTGATCCGTATTTATAGGTCTCCCCCGTCCCTTCCGCTTTTGGAACCATTAATATGGCGGTTCCAAATCTTCTCACGGATTCCTTTGTCTAAGACTACTGGAGGTCTCGCTCGCAACGTACTGCCTTGGGTGAGCACTGTCTTTCTTGTTTAGAACCGGTTCTTCGTCGTACTGCGCAAAGTTTCTCCCGCAAATCATGCTACGGCAACCACCGTTTCTCCTATATGGTTCATCCTTCCTTTGCGGAAATAACGTCGAAAAAAGGGATGTCGATCTGTCGTGGAGGAGGGGCTTTTATTCTAATCGATGTCCCTGAGCCACACCCCTCAGTTAGCGCGCTAATTGATGCGTATCAGCACGTTCGATCTCGGTCCCCAGTACGATTGCTTAGTGCTAGATCCAGTCCTGCTTCGTCTTTCTCAGAGCATCCCCAGCTTTTCTGATCCTTTATCGTGGAGAGGGGGAAAAGGAGGAACTAGCACTTTACATTCATCGAGCTTCCATGCTGCAAGTTGTCGAAGCATGCTTGGGAAATTTATATAGCGGCTATCAATTCCACCACCGAACGAATCCAGAGCTTCCTTCCTCAACCTATTCTTGTTCGAAGTCACCAGACCATTAAGTTCCCTGCGGATTCCCACGGATCGCAAATGAAAAGATTTCCATACGATGGAAGGTGATGAATGTTTTCTCGTCGGTTGTGTTGATGGCTATGTATAACTTCCAATAATAAGAAGCAATAGCATACGCAGTCCTTGGTGTTTCGGGCATCTGTTGTTTGAACCACTTCCTCAACCTTCCGAGTCGTGATGCAGACTTGAAGTTACTCAGCACGGTGTCTGATTTTCAGGCTCTCGAGACTGGGATTTCTGCAGTTTTCAGGCACCTTCAATACAATTTCAATACCAGCGATACGGTGTCACCTTTCAAGGGTTGATAGAAATTCAAATGTGCTCAGGAGGACATTAGCTCTGTGCACAGCATTCCTTGATTTATGATTTTTGTTCCTATGACTCATACATTCATTCAAACTCGAACCACAGCAAGCAGCAAACATGTTCCATTTGAGGCGCTTCTTACGAGTTCCTAGCCCATGCAGGCCACAACTCCCAACGGGTCTTCTATAATCACTCAGTCAATGCAAACATCAACTTGGACCGTGACATGTTAACGCCCCACCCTACCCTACTCCGACAGGTAGGCGTTTTATCCATAACATTACAACGAAATATTTTCAACTAGAACTGAAAACTGAAAACTAAACTGCTCCTTCGATGAAGCTATGCTTTCATCGATGTTAACACTATCGGAGAAACCACTGCTGCGTCGAAAGCTTCGTTCACATCCTGCGAACCCTGCTCATGCATATGACAACCCTTATGGCACGACGTCGAACTTGGCCTAGTTCTTGAATTCCCCAGATCTTATTCCTCTGCGAATACGCGCTGTTGACTGCTGTATGGGCTTCTCTACATGCATGATAAGCGCTAAGCTCAAGCCCGGCTGAGGACGTCTCTTAAACAGCACCCGTAGTCCGAAGCTGGCGTTCAGCGCCACGGGCCATATAGACACCAATAGGACGGAAGAAGCCTTACTCCTGGACAGTTTACGTCGAACCAGTGGTTCATAATACAGCCGTTTTAAGCGCCACGGATTCTATCCATTCTAATTTGTCTGCTACCAATCTCCACGTTCCGTCGTTATACGACAAATCTTAGGTGTATGCTGTAGCCGCTTGGTTTCTCGACGTATACTGCAAGCCTCAACACTTTGGCATCCATGTTTCAGCGACTGACGGGGGCGCTTAAAAGAGTAGCGGACGTCCTAAAATCCGTTTTTTCGGAGTTTTCTTGAATCTGGCCGCGAGGCATCCAGAGTAAGGCATACAATGCCTCGTGTTAGGTAGGATCAGGCCCGGCAAGCTCGTGACGAAATCACTGTCAAGACTCTCCCACCTTCTGCATCCTTTGCTTTGACCGCTATACTGCTTCCTTAGTTGCCCACCGCATTGAAAAGAGAGCCTGTGCCTCTTTCTGATGCTGCTTCACCGCTATCGCACGCCCCTGCCTAATTAAACCTGATCCTATAATTCTTACAATTTCTAGCTGCGAATCGCACTTGCAGGTGCATCGATTCTTCTATCTACGCCACACAGCAAACTGATATTTTCCCCTTTAATTAGATGGATTCAGATATGTCTCAGCTTCAACCCCTCAAGGTGTATCGCTATCGCCCCGAGCATGAAGGCTCTAATGAGTCGGCGTGGTGCGGATGGAAGCACCTCAACCTCAAAGACAAGAGACCACGGCACATGTCGACGCCCAAGTCTCTTATTATTGTGACGTGGAACATCGATTACCATGAGCACTACGTCACACAAAGACTGAACGCAGCCTTGGAGTATCTCCAGAAGGATGTCTTCGAGTGTCTCAAGGATTCCGACTCCCCTGGGCCGTGCTGCATCCTTCTTCAAGAGGTCCAGACACGCGCGCTCAGGGAGATACGGTCAAATGAATGGATCCGCCGACACTTCATCATGACGCCGATTGACAACACCAAGTGGCCCCATTCGTTCGAGAATGGGAACATTACCCTGATCGAAAAATCGATCCTCATACATGACGCGTATATCCTCAAGTACGGTATGACCGACATGGCGCGCTCGGCGATCATCGTTGATATCAGGATGTTAAGCCGCCTAGGATCACAGCGCAGAATTCGGATTATCAATACTCAATTAGAGGGAAATTTGGATGGAGGAGAGTTTAGGAGACAACAGCTAATGGAATGCGCGAAGCTTCTCAAGCGCACCAAGTCGCAGCAGAATTTGGCTCCAGCGCAGAGTGGAGGGATCATCGCGGGGGATATGAACGCACTGGATGCCGACGCGGACGAGGTTGTGCGTTCGTTCGGGTTGGTAGATGCTGTCGTACCACTGAAGGATGAATCTGAAGGGCACACATGGGGGTACCAGGGGGGAATGCATTGTCGGAAGGCTCGCTTGGATAAAATTCTCAACTATACTCCAGATGGAAAGAAGCGGGTTCGGGTTTCGGATGTGAGGCGTATTGGCATTGGGTTACGGTGGAATGGCCATTGGATAAGTGACCATTTCGGACTTATCGGCACTGTCGGTGTACTTGCATGATTATCCTCCACTTGATTCATATTTAGTCCTACATACCAGTAGGGTTGTAACTTTTAATGTATCAAAGATGACAGTATGCGCACCTTTATATCTTAACGTTAGTTGTTGGATTTCGCTACATGAATACGACGTCACGATGTGTCTACTATGTTCTGAAGATAAGAAAAACTAACGACATATCACCTAGAACACTTATCGCCACGGAAACAAACGAGGATGAATTTTTCGTGCACAACGAGGGCGACATTTATTGGTGAACCAGTCTAACACGGGAGTGAAATGATAATATAACATTATAAAGAAATATAAGTAGTGGTCAATGCCAAGTTCAAAAATTGCAGTCTTACACTGTCAATCTGTTTCATTTTTGATTATCGGAGAGCATCGGTCGGGGGCCCAGCGACTGTACGTATGGATTGGAAAAGGTAGAGGAAGTAGATAAAGCTATAGATGAGTCGAGCATTGGTAAACCCAAATGCTTAAACAGGCTGTTCACTTACACCCAGCTTCCATCGAAGACGATCTCTCAAGAGTGTCGCGCCGGCGTGAACGGCCCAAGCAGCCTCAGACCAATATATGTTCTTGGCGTTCCGTCTTTTTGCGTGCACTGTACACAAAAAGCCAGTGGCCGGAGTTATGTTTGAAGTGCTCGTCGTTCATGTCTGGTAATGTAGAGAACCATCCAAGGGAGGCGGAGTAAACATCTTGCTTGAAAGGGCCGGTGATTGTGGAGAAATGGGGATCGCAAGAGACATGGGTTTTCAGAAGTGGGGATAGCGACTTGTGCTTTAACTTTAATTGTTATCGGCCGGGCTATCCCAGATAATGACTGGAAACATAGCAGTGAGCTGAATGCCGGTCAATACAGGCAACTGCCAACTTCTCGTGCTTCTGTGGGCTCCTCTCCGCGCAACTTTGCATTGTTCCGAGGTTCTACACAAGGAAATCAACTTGGAATACCTTGGTACTCTCCGTTGAAATAGGTCAACTGCAATGAGTGGACATCCGAGGATATTCAATGTCATGATGCACGCTGGTAGGTCGTGAACGAAGGACCTTTACTGAAAGGATGGTAACGACCAGCAGATAGTAAAAGTGAAATGGAATACATACATATTCGATGAAGCGTCCACTCCGGAAGGAGAATGGGCTACAAAACGAAAGGGACGTGAGCAGGCCCGACTTTCAGACTGAAGTAGCGACATCGTGGCATTGCTAACGAAATAGGTGTAACTTAGAAAAGTTGCACCGAATACATCGATACAGTGACTGATGATGATGGTACCATTGGCACAAATCTCGATCAGAACAGGAGTACGCATGATAGTCCTGGATTTCTCCAAAAGAAAAGTCCAGATGTGGTTCAGAAAAGATAGATATACATCCTTGTGCTCCAGTTAAGAGAAAATAACGATAAGAAAATGAACAATTAATGGATGTGGGGTATAATACACTTATGGTTCCGGATCAATGGCTTTTTCTTTACCTTTACGCGGCGGAGGGGATAAAAGGCTGGGCGAGCTCGCCATCGCAGCAGAAGTGAAGGATGACAATCTTCTTGCACCTTTAAATGTGGGACTCGGCGGAGAATAAGACAGACGAGTAGGGCTTCCGGGCAGCGAGTTGTTCTGTTTTATGGAGCTTGAAGAGTTGGATCCGGATTCACCGGCTGCCGCTTCCGTGAGGAGGAACTCAACCCAAAGACGGGAGAAGGACTATCAACGAAGTCAGCCAACATGACACAGGTATAGTTATCAATTCTCAAACCTCTGTCTCGTCAGTCTTTTGCAGTTCGGAATTTTTGGACAGGGAGCCGGAGCTTGACCGAGTCCAAAAAGATGGTGGTGGTGGTGATGGAATGGAAGTTGAAGTACGTTGTAGTCCAGCCTTTTCGCGCTCTGGATCTGTCCATGACAGAATAGTGGCCATTAATGAAAGCATTTCGAATCGTTTGGGGTCAGCTCGTGGGGTGGTCAGGAACGATAGAAGGACGTTGGTAACCAATCGTCGGTCGACATTGTTATCAGAGGAACTGCGTCGCAATCGCCGTAGAGCTTCCATGAGGTGTTCATTGATTATAACAGCTACATACCGCGATGAGAAAAGCGAAAGACCGCTGTGAATGAAAGCACCTTCATGACGGAGTTTTCCGATGAGCAGAGTCTTTTCTTTCACCTCTTTCTCTAGTTCGTAGGTTCGAGTGGTGTTCGTCCGAGTTTCTTCCAAGGCGAGCTTAAAAATATCGTGAGAGAAGGGTTACAGGTACCGGCGCGTAATCACCTCAGCAGTCAAGGCACGATGCTTATATTCCGCTAACGATTGAGTCACTTGTATTAGCTGTGAATCATAGTCCCTGACAGCTTGCCGAAGTTCATGCTCCTTCGCTATCCTTTGGTAAGTCAAGCGACACCGAAAGAAGACGAAAATACTGACCTGCCTGGAAATCTTGCAGTACGGACTGCAGATTATCGGATTTCTCCTTCTCAGTCTCCAGCTCTTGCGCCTCCCGTTCTCGGGCCTCTCGTTCCAATTCTAGATCTCGTCTCAGCGTTTCCGTGGTAGTCTTGTATTCATCAGACATAGCTTTGTCCTGCAAAGCAATCCTTTCCCATTCATCTCGCTCAATTCTACACCTCTCCAACTCAGTCTGAGTCTCCCTCAGCTCACGCTCCCGCAACAAGCTTTCTTGGGCATTCTCCTGAAAAGCGCGATTACGGAGATTGTCGAGCTCGCTTGAAGTGCGTTCAGCCTCTTCGTGTGAAGTTATCAGTTCCTCCTTAAGCGTTTCCACTGCAGAGTTCAGATCGTCGTTCTGTGCGGTCAATTGTTGCACTAGTTGTTCTCTTTGATCCAATTCTTCCTACAAAATCAGTGGAATTAGCATGTTGATAGCAAATATGCATTACTCACGGCATCCTGCCTCAATTTATTCCCTAGAGTTGTCCTCATCTGAGTGAGCTTTGCAAGCAGATTACGGTACTGCGTCGCCAGATGTTCCTTTTCTTCCCTGGTTCGTTCCAGTTCTCTTTGCAGTCGTGAGACCATATCTCCATCTTCGCTGTGGTGAGCAGCGCTGCCATTAGCGCCATTGATGTGTACAGACAGTGAATCATTTTGACTGCGGTCACTATCCACAGAGAGCCGTAAATCACTCAAGACCTGGTTGGCAGACATCGAGTCGGATAGTGACGTTGGAGACATAGGTGGAGGGCTCGTAGCGCCATTACTCGCCATTGACCGGTGATGGAGATACGTATGAGGTTAAGAATAGTAGACGCCCGTTGTGTGTAAGAGGTTGTGTCCGGAAAAAGGGCACGTGGCGTCCGAGCCTCCGCTATTGCCAGCGCCTGTACTTTATTGATTACAATCTCCTTCCTTCTCTTTCCCTCACCACCGTCTTCTACCTGATACAGGTGCCTTGCTTCTATCCTCTGTCCCGACGGGATCCCATGAGCTTGAAAGCAGGCTCAAAGCAAGTTCAGATTCGCAGGATATGCCTACACTATGCTCGGTCCCCGTCGAGCTCCTATGTCATATTCTGGGCTTTCTGGACGTTGGCGACCTGCTGAAATGTCTCCTGGTATGCTGCAGTAATATCCATATTCAGTCGTTCTGAAATCATTCCTCTCAGATAAACACCCATATTCATCGAATAATAATGCAGTCATCTCGACTTCAGTTCACTGTCGAGCTTGCTAAATATCGCATGGAATCCAATATTGAGGACTCCACTTTGTACCCTTTCGTTAAGCGCCTGAATAGCCTTCGCGACCGGGAACAATCGTGGCGAAGTATCACCTGGAAGCGCCACTACCGGCTTGGCCTGCCCTCTGTAGCGTCTATCTATGAGTTCGTTGGAGGGATTTACGGGAACGGAAGAGAGCACGGGAAACGCGAGCCTATCCCGGCTATCTCCTTCTTTGAACTGCCTTTCTCCGGGTGTGACCCAGGAGAAGATTACAGAATGTGGACTCATGCATTCGAAAACATCCGTATCCTGGACTTCACAATTGATCCCTCACAGGATCTCTTAGTATTAGTCACTCGAGCGCCTGCCGAGTAGGTGGTTTGATAGCCCTTATTGTTCATTTACAAACTCATCCATTTTTGCTTAGATCCAAGTTCGTCTTCGAGGTTCATCTTCGTACACTTTCAGAAAATGATCCCTACCCGAAAGCTGCCGCATCCATTCTCCCTTGCTTCCCCAAGGATCTGGTCTCAATGCCACTTTCAAATTCCATAGGTGCCATCCGTGTTCAGATATCCGGCGATCTGATCGGCTTTTTGATGAAAGAAATGGATACTATTGAAGTCTGGCATCCCGCCTCAGGATTTTGCGTAAGTCCGGTGTGTCCTCTGTCTTTTTTAAGCTCACGGTCAAGATAGTCATCGTTTGTATTACCGTCGGGGATAGATGACTTCACATTTCTTTCTCAGACCTCGTTTCTGATCGTACGCCCGCTTGGCTACTTGGAAGTCTACCAGTTCCACACCCCGACGGGCTCTTCCCCTCCACCGGTTCTGCTAGGGTCGTTTTCGTTTCCGGAGTTGTCTGAAGGATTCTCCTTCTGGCATTGCTCGTTGAGTGGAAACCCATCCCCAGGATACATCCCCCGCAGCCAGCCCGGCGTCAATAGCAACGTCATCAACAGCGTCTATCATCCATCACTAGCAGACCGTATCCTGGCCTGCTGCATCTACATCCTTGAACCATCTCCTGATCCTGCCCGCCATCGCGTACATTCTTTTGTATTCTTCTTCCACGTCAACCTTTTCCTTGAAAAGAACCCACATTCAATTCTGGACCTGTGCAAGAAAACACAGCCCCCTGAAATGTCAGGTCGGACTACGGACACTTTTTTCTTCTCGTCATACTCGACTAAGTCTCTGGATGCATCGCGACCTCACAACCCCACGCCCACTAATATGACTTCTGTTGAATGGGATGCATGGGGCCCAGCCAACACACGATGGTTCCGGGAATGTTTAACCACCGACTGGCAGCATGCACTTCACGGAATGCGCACTGCAGAAAGTATTTCGATAAAAGTCTATGACGGGATGTCGAAGGCTACCATGGAAACACTAGAAGAAATGACCGAGGACCCGGACGACAATGGTGTCTGTACTGTGGAGGAGGATGTGTTGGATGATTCCGAAGTGGCCGAGGTGAATTATCATGAGGATCCGATTGATGCAAAGCGTTATGGCGCTGACATCGAGGTCCCCAGTGGCCCTGGGGATAGTATCGTGCCGATGCACAGGTTCCTGCGGATACGAGATTTTAACCCTTTTGTGGTGCAGAAAGGGAAGCTTCTCTGGGAGGAGTCTGAGAATCCGCACTGGCGTCGGAGGCGGGTGATCACACAACCGACTACCACACAGGTGGAGGGGGCCTTCAAAAAGAACATAGAAAGCTCATTACCTTACACTGAGGTGATAAGCAGGCAAGCTTTTGATATGACAGACGTCATGATGGATGACTGTCGAATCCTATTACTGAAAGTGCGGCTTCATTTGTTCGTTGGTACCTACGTGGCGCTGATCGTCATCTTGTATTACTCAGAGGACATTGCACGGAAAGCTTTTAGGCATAGACGTTTTGACGATGTAATCGACTTTTATCTCCTTGTTACATGGGCTTCTCCTCCAAACTTTGTGTGTTATTCCATATATTCATCGGAGTCACTGAACTTTATTTTATCTCTGTTACAGTTACGAGGTACGCTCGGCGCTAATCTGCATGGAAATTCCGATATCGAGACAGAGTTGATCCGATATCGCCTTTGGTTAATCACCGTTGAATACGACGGCGTTCCACAGCTGCGTGGTCACTTTTTTCCCGATGTCACAACATCGTCGAAGCTAAAGTATAACTGTTAATCTCATGGATATATGATGGCGCTATCAAGCATCATGAAAATGCTGCCCAATGGGTGTTACCTAGGGTATCCATCAGGCGACGCATATTTGTCTTCTAGCGCTACTAGTTGATGTCGGCATAGAGTTTTATGGCCATGTCAGTATTGCCTTTTTATCGCCCCAAAAGCGAAATAGATTACCTGGTAATCTATTTTGCCTTGTCGCGTCAAAATGGCCATTTTGTCATGTCTTGGAAATTTCCTCGATTGCGACTACCTTGATGACGTTCTGACCTGTGAAGTGTCCCTGCAGCTGTGGAAATCTACGGAACGAAACGAGCTCGAAAAGGCTCGAGCAATGGCTAATATCAACCGATTGTAAAGGAGGAAAGTACATCAGTTGCTACAAGCACAAATTCACATTTGCGGTGAATTGTCCATGCTGACAAGTAGAATCCTACCACAGCAGTCACATAGACGATTTAATTATATCGACTTACCTGAAAACCAGCGCGTAAAGTAGGGACTTATCGGTCATCGCCAAGGATTAGACTCTTATCATTGGTGCCGCCAAGGAAACCACCTCGTCACCAGTCTTCCCAATCATCAGAAGGCGAAGCATGACCAATCACATTGTCTATGGTGACACCCTCCGAATCGTCAAATCCTACGACTTCGGCCGCATAACGTTGCTATGAAAGGCCGTGGCGATTCTTACCTTCTTCTCTGATAGTTATCATGGCTGTCATCTTGGCATGGAGTCTGCTATGCGTTGCACTCGTTCTTGCACTGTATCGACGACGGACTAGAAGGGCCTCGCTTACGAACCTTCCTGGTCCCGAACCAGAGTCGTTCCTTCTAGGTGATTATGGCCTACATCAACATGCAAGCGTCTATTTCATTAATTGGATTGTACTAGGCAATTTGCGTCAATTTTACCAGGGCCAAGCGGGAGAAGTGGGTACTGCTTCCGCAAATACGTGGTCCTAGAATACTGATATAGATCATTGCGTATAGGCAGACTTCAAGTGGCAAGCATCGTTCGGGCACATGTTAAGCATCAGGGGTGTACTCGGGGTACAGATCATACTTTCGTCCTGTATGCATGCCGCTCACTTGTACTACTAGGAAAATTGTCTGTTTGTATCGGATCCTAAAGCACTCCAGCACATCTATCATTCCGGTTACGTTTTTCGCAAACACGTCATCCGGAAGGAGTTGACCCGGCTCGTCGCTGGCAAGGGAATTATCTGGGCTGATAGTAAGCTTTCATAAAGTGTGGATACTCTCTTCATCTCCGACCCATTATCAGCCGATGACCATAAACGCCAAAGAAGAGTTATTTTACCAGCCTTTGGAGCATCCGAAACGAAGGCTTTGTTGCCATATTTTTCGGAGTTTGCAGCCCTGGTGAGGATAATAATGTCGATATGTAAACCGTCCTTATTATGTCTTTTCAGCTTGTCTCGAAATGGAAAGAGATTATTGGAGTGGGGAGTTCTGCTACACTTGACATGCCTTCATGGATGTCACGAACTACACTGGATGTGATCGGTCAAGGTGAGAACCTTGAAGCGCTTAGCCGTTGATATGCTAATTATAACTTCTTTCAGCCGCTTTCGACTATCAGTTCCATGCCCTGGAAGACAAAGACAGTCTTCTGAGGCAAGCATTCGTCAAAGTGGCGTACGTCTTCAAACTCCGAGTTTCTGACGTTGCGGTTACCTGATGTACATTACAGAGGAGAAACATTTGGACGGCCGTCGAAGAAGGCGATATTCATCCAGAACATACTTCAGTATGCACCGACGCCTCTCATAGTATATCTTTTCGGCCATGCATCAGCTTTTGAACAAGCAAGAGAGACGACTCGGTTGGCTCAGCAGGTCTCGAGGGATTTGATTGACACTAAGTCCGAGGCTTTCATGCAAGGCGCCGGTGGACGTGATGTCATGAGTTTGCTCGGTATGTTCTACTCAAAATTTCTCTACTCCGGATTATAATACACGAGATGCAGTAAAGGCGAACTTGAAAGAAAAAAACAGTCAGGGCCTTACTGATGAGGAAATGTTGGCAGCAATGCAGTAAGCTTTCCAGAAGACATCATACTTCTACCGTTTACATATGACCTAGGACCATCATGGGTGCAGGACACGAGACCACTGCGACCACTCTCACCTGGACCCTTTATGAGCTCGCCAAAAGTCCGGATCTCCAAGCAAAACTCCGGCACGAGGTTAAGGACATGGAAAAGGCGATTGGTGGCGCTGATTTTTCAGCCGCAAACTTTGAGTCGATGCCATACTTGCAGGCAGTGATGAAGGTAATTAGTCCTTTCTTGATAGTGGGTTTTCTAATGTGATACGTAGGAAGCGCTGAGAATGCATCCGGTATCGTACTACGGACTCCGCGAAGCTGCGAGAGATGATGTTATCCCTCTGTCGAAGCCGATAATGTTGAGAGATGGTAGTGTCGTGAAGGAGGTACCCGTTGCGAAAGGGACGACGGTGTACATCTCTATCGCAGGCTATAACAGGTAAATTCGTTATCCTCTGCAGAACCCGCCTGACAGCAGGGTAGAAATGAAGATGTCTTTGGTAAAGATGTCCATAGATTCAAGCCTGAACGCTGGCTTGATGAAGCTGTACCGAGAAAAGGTGCAACGGCCGTTGGCGTGTACGGAAACATGTCAGCATATCCTACTACTTATCCGTCCTCTTCCCGCCGATATAATAATTCTTTTTCAGGATGACTTTCGGTAGTGGTGTCCGATCATGTGTGGGTCAGTCGGTTTCGTTTCGTTGTCAACCCAGCTCGCTTGCTAACTTCATCAACTCCCAGGCTGGCGTTTTGCGTATGGAGTCTTTCTTTCCTGATTGCTCGAGCTTTCGACTCAGGGTTATTTTTACAGACTGCTTGAGTATCAGACTATCTTGGTGCAGCTGATGAAGAATTTCGAGTTTTCTGTTGATGCTTCTATCGTTAACAAGATTCGCAGGGATGCTGCATTGGTCATGCAGCCAATCATTGAAGGAGAGTATGAGAAGGGGCCTCAGCTGCCCTTGCGAGTGTCATTGGTATCTACTGATTGAGGTTTATCTGTACTTTTCGAGTAGGTACTATAGTCATTTAAGCATGTTGCGGATCTCTTTGAATGCCAAAAACCGATAACGTTTGTACCTTCACGACTTTAGAATTGCCAACCGGGCGAGATGCTGAAGCTGTCCCTGGAAAAATATCGTGCGAGTTATGTCCCGAAAGTCATCGAAGACAAAAAAAACATGCTCAAAGAGAAGCTATCCTTATATGTTACAACGACGAAAGTGGGATTATACATGAATGCACATCTTGGAGGAATCGTGTATAAGATACATACTGTCCTTTGATCATCATCCTGTCATAAATTACCTTCGTTCGGTCACATCTTGCAGCATCTCGTATATGAGCCGGACCTGTTCGTCCCTCTGTACCATTCCCGGCCTCTGTTCCCGCAGAAAGTCAATCTCCTTCACCACGGGGTCGTTCTCTACGCTCCTGGGTAACGGGCCAATGGGTGAAGGAGGCAAGACTTGTGGAGACGACGGCTGTTTGGTTGGACTGAGCACCTTATGTGAACGGAGCAACGAGGCGAGGGCAATGAACGCCCCGGTGCGTCCGACACCCGCTGAGCAACCCGCAACAATTGGAGGATCGTCATCAAATCCTTCGCAATTGACACGCTGGACGAGCTGAAGAAACGATAAGAGAGTGGAGCGGTCTGCAGGGGAGGGAACTCCGTGGTCAGGCCATGCATCGTAGAGAAGATGTTGAAATACATGACTCTGAATGCCAGACATGGTCGACACGGAAACAGTGCTCTTTATGCACGACGCTTCTCTGATGTGTTCGACCTTGAGGGTGGTGACCTTGAGTGGGGCTGCGCCTGGGTCACCGGATTCGAGAGCAGCAGACTGGCCAACGACTGATGGGAAATACGGGTGTGCCTTGACACGCCCAGCCTCAGAGTGTCGGGTGAGCTGGACGATGGTTCGTATCCGACAATGGTGTCGGGAGACAGGGGTCGTTATTGGATTCATGATGAAAGTAAGGAAGGCGTTGGCAGTGTCGGGAAGCGGCGCCTGGGTTGCCACCCACCATTTCCCGCCATGGAGTTCCAGGATCCAGCTGGCATTGAGATAGCGGGTGCCGCCTGCGAGAACGGCGGTACGGTTGTAAGGATGTATATCCATGTACCGATTGGAGCTAGCATTGTCGGGATGGGTTGCGATGGAGACAGAATAGTGTTCGATGAGCTTTGGATCAAGGCCAGCGGCGTTGTTGCCATGCTGAGAGAGGGTTCGCGCACGGACGCGTTCCGTCTCGCGTTGTGCGAGGACGTCTAGGGGGCCAATCGCTTTCTTCCCACGCAGCAATGTCTGCATTGATCAGCAAGATAAAGTGTGTTCCTTCCCTTCTCCTTTTTCCGCTTCTAATTCGCCATTAGGGTCAGCTCAACACTCGACAGGTCAACGGGGAAGGCGAACCTCATAGATGGAAGCCCAGAAACGTGTTGGACGAGCCAGCAGGTGGGCGTAACAGATAAACAGTCAGATATGGTCAGTCTGATCTTTGTTTACAGGGCCTGCCACAATTCGTTCAGCTCTCCTTCCATGCCACAACAAGCCCTCATACACTCAGTATCACCTTCCAAGGCGGTTTTGTCGCCACAGAATGTCACCTGCAGGTACCAGACAAGACGGGTGTGTGGATTACAGTCCAACACCTCTACCCTGAGGACGTCAATCGCGCCCAAGAGTTCGAGCTCGATTCTACCAAGTTGCACGAAATTTCCGTACTCAAGATCGTCATGGTCGCCAGCTCCGATTTCTTTGGCCGGATTACGATCTACAACGTACAGTTGCGGTGACGACGCGTGAATCGTGAATCGTAAAATCGTGCACGCTCATGGGAATCCGGCCCTTGTCAACAGGTAAGTAATATGAGCCATCATTCCCAGTAATTATTATATCATAAAGGGCCCAGATACAGCCCTTCTTCTCTTCAAATTTATTCAGCCTGAGACTAGTTCATGTCGCGGCCTTCAATCGAGCCAGTTCTTTGTGATATCCGCTTGCCGTGATGAACACAAAGCAGTTCAATTAGGGAATTGCGGTTTTCCCATCAAGGACTGCGATGGAAATGTTCATCATGTCATAACTAAATGGATTGAAGATAATTCTACCACCCTTTGACTTACTCTATGTAACACCATCAAGATAAGTCCCGGCAGCTCCTTAACGAGAGCGGATTACTACACGCTTTTTGTATCACGTTGGCCAAAAATGCCACGAACAGGGTTCCAGGGTTTCACGGCGTAATTCTACCATTGTAGTACCAAGCTGCCCCTTCTCCCTCACATGACGTGCTCGACTGGCAGGTACAGTCTGATGAAGACCATCACTGTCAGACTAGAAGGCGAACAAGCCAGAGAAAATTCCACTGATTTTTGCCAGTTGACAGAACATCTGGTGAAGAGGTGAAAAGACCGGGTACGCGATCGGCGGCGTTGTTACATAACTCGAGCATTGTAGGCGCACGTTCTCTTTGCAGTGGACGTGCCTCCCAGGTACCTATTACCACACGCGAGCCGACGCATATTTACTAAACGCAAAACGCAGATTTCCGAAATCTCAAAGATCTATTACATTTTCCTCGGCGGGCGCTTTTCTAAATATTCGCAGGCAGGCCTGTACGGTCTTTGCGGTGCGTCCCTGTTGCAGTGCAATGCTTACCCTGGAAACTTATTTCTTGTTATCACGCCATTTCGTTCGCTCAAACTCTGGGCTGCCCATGCCATATTCTGACCCGTCGGTGCGTCATGCTACTTACGAAACAGGCCGGATGGTTGGTAGTCATACTATATACTCTTCATTTATTACACCTGCTCGATTCCATTAATAGCTCAAATTTTACTTGGGGGATCTTAGCGCTAAAACGAGTTGCATGCTTTCCTCTCTCAAAGTTTAGTCGCTGACGCAGATTTCTGGGAATAAAAAATATGCACAGAGTACCGCAAAGGATGACGGAAAGAAAACATTCATGCAAACTGAGAGGATCGCGCTCCTTGAATTCGCACTCGGAACACCTGGATGACCAGCGGTCAAGCGCCCCCCCACAGTTCTCGTGATAGGGTAGCCCGTCAGTTGCGGTAGACGAGGCCTCTTCATCACCTGTCGAAGGAGCCGTTTATGTCAAAGAATTTTTTTTACTGCAGCCAGAAAATCACACCCCCAAACACTTGTCGCAAACACTCAGTCCGACAACACTCGCTGTGACTCCAGGCGTACCTCCCAGGGTGCAGATTCTCCAAACAAAGACGGTGGAGGCGGTCGTACCATTCCGAGCTTTGCACCCGGTTACAGCCAGAATTCACTGTGAGTCGGGTACCCTTCAGGCTCTCTTGATTTTGATTTACACTGCCTGGCATGAACATATCCTGAATGGACGTTCAACGTTCAATTGTGGACCACACCGACAATAGGACTGGGTCAATTCTCTCAGAATAGTAGTATCCATTGAGTATTCTAAGCAATAAATCTGAGCTGACGGAAGCCTGATAGAGGGTGCTACTAATTATATTGACGGTGGTCCCATTCTACAGCGTGGAAGCCCTGCAGTTCGCGGAGGCGGTCGTCCATTCCGCTCTCGTTCCTTGTTGGTACTGTCGTCATCTTTCCTGAGGCGACAACGATACCCCGGGGCCCTGGAATTTGGACTAGTGGTGACCACGAAAATGTTTCGTCCATCTAGGAGTTGCGGGCGCCGTCTCGAGCTTCCCAGCCTTTGCTTCAGTACGATATGGTGCATGCGCGGAATCAGGGAGAAGGCATTTTCTTACCATATCCCTCGTCCGTAGTACACATACCTCGCTCTGGACTTACGATATAGAGCCAGTTCTCGTTCTTGATCTGTTCAACTCATCTGTGATAGTAATACATATGGTACAGACGATAACCTTGAGAGGGTCACAGTGAATCAGACACCTTCGCGGTGAGACGCCCCCTTGATCCGATGGTCCCAATATCTGCTTGTAGTGTTAACACACCTGAATCATACGCAAGGATGTAGCGTACCTCTTCCGAATTGTATCATAGATATCACGGAGCGATTTCCAAAGCTACCAGTACCTCAGAAAACATGTATCAAGTGGAGCAGAGAAAACCCACATCGATCGCTTTCCCAACACCTTCGGCACCCTGCAGTTCGTGGACATCCGCTAGCAGCTCTATGGCGGCTGGACAGGGGAGCTGGGCCTCCTTTGATGGAGGAGGGTTCTCCAGGTCCACAATATCCCCTGTAGCAGGTGGAGTATCCAGGGTGTAAGCCTCGAGGAACACTTGTACAGTCAAATAAGGCAGCTTGTTGTGATCCAGAATCCCACGGAGGTAGTTCCACGCGGACGCATTGTTAGGCACTAGAGATATACTCTGCTTGACGTATCTTGAATTTGAATTAGAACGACGATGAACATAGACGGAGCGGAAGCGCACATCAACTCCCGCTTGATTACCCTCTCTCTATCCTTCTCACTGTCCCGTATCCCAGACTGAAACACGACGAAGAAACGGTGATGCCAGGCAGAGTTGTTCCGGACGTCCTCGTTCACCATATGGTCGACAAAGTCCAGCTCGCCGCTCCATAGGTCATCGTTGTTGAAGTAAGCCAAAAGCCATTGTCTGTAAGACCATGTGTGGTAGTTTTTGGCATCAGCCTTGAGCGATTGGGCAATGAACTTGAGCTCTGGGTTTGGATCTCGGAGTTGGATGAGAAGAAGACGTCGGTGGTGCCAGACCTGGTATGTCTTAAGGTGCTTGACAGCAATTTCGTCCATGAGCTGCAGCTCAGTCGCAAGCGGTGAATTGAGGGCGATGAGGGTTTCATAGCGGTACTGCCTGCGAAATCTAAGACGGGGCGATCCGTAGATGATGAAACTCACCATGCAGAATAATGAGCTGGGTTCAGCCGAATGATATGTTCCGTCAGTTCCAGTACTCGTTCACTCTTCTCTCCATCTCTAACGACGCCGCGAAAGTAGTTGGTCGCATCCTTGTCTGTTGAAGAGGTTAGGGCCAAGCGATGTCACAGTATAAAGCGACCGACATTCATCTGTGTAAAGGATCGGCGCCAATGGGTTGATGTTCTCGTACTGTTCCAAAGGCTCAACGTCCTTCCATTCTGGCCTTGCTGAATAGAACGGTCTGTCAACGAGGCTCATCGTATAGTGATGGTGGTCGAGTGGCAAGTCACGCCGTCCTCGTAAAGGGCTTGGATTTCAAAACAGGGACAATAAGAGTAGTGCTGGTAATACAATACATAGTAACGGGTATCAATATGTAATACATGTGTACAAAACAAAGATTAGGCGACAGTCAATTGTGGGAATGTACACCTCTTCCCTATCCTGGCACCTTTTTCGCCGTTTGAGGTATTTTGCTCATGTGAATCTTGAAAATCCGAGAGGTATTCGGAGAACAGCTGCGCTTCGAAAATCCGGCAGTCGAGGGAGTCGTGGACATCGTAGGATAGAACGTTGAACGGGAAAAGCGGAACATGCGCGGAGAGGAAGAGTGACATGGCATGAGGGGGGAGGACGAGGGCCTCAATCTCTTTGTACGCAGCCGAATCAGGATCAGTTATAATTTGCAAGATGCAGAGCTAGTCGGTAAATGGCTTTGGTGCTTTACCCCGCATGAACAGCTGATATAGTCACGCACTATCATGGACATCAAGTTATCCTTACTACTGTCAGCAATCACACTTGTCGCTCGGGTTCTAACCTAGCCTTCTGGGATACTTGACGGAAGAACAACCAACATATCTCACGGACTTGAATCTTCGCAGCGCTGGGACTCGTCTCATGATCTCTTCTCGTTCCATAGATCGACCGAAAATCATCCCACAATGGAATTTTTTTAGCTGAGACTCTTCTAGTGCCAAAAGCGTCGTTGATTCTCGCCATTGTATTGGCCATTCCTCGGATACGTTCTCCGGTACAAACTTGATGGCTACCTCAGCTTGTGAGAAGTATAAATCCAGCAGTGGACGGTAAATATTGAATGCGTGCTCAAAATGATTTCCCTCAAGCTGGTGGCTCTGGCCATTGGAGCTTTCTCGCTCCTCTCTCAAACAACTGCTCACTGTGCGCTACTATCCAATCTTTTGCATCTACAGCTTGTAATGTTTCATATCTTTAGATACCTTCCCTTCCCTTGTTGTCGATGGCGTGACTACCAGCCCTTGGGTAAACGTTCGGATGACAAACAATTATAACACCCAGGATCCTGTAAGCACGCGTATCTGTTACCGCTTGCTCAATTCGATGAATGATGTTTCCAACAGGTTACAAACGTTTCCAGTCCCGATTTGAGATGTTACGACTCTGCGACTGGTGCAACCGCGACAACTATAACGGTTGCTGCTGACTCTGAGCTCGGGATTATGAGCGATGGTACCATGTACCATCCTGGTGTATGTTGAGTTCATCTTTTTGGATCATGAGTTTCCTGATGTCTTCGTAGGTTGTCAATGTTTACATGGCAAAAGCATCCTGTGATGTCGATTCTTTTGCCGGTGATGGCGCAGTTTGGTTTAAGGTGAGTTAAAAGCAGTTGTTTCGTTATCTAGATCGTCAACTTTTTAACTACAAGGTCTACGAAATCCCCCCTGTAACGAATGGAGGGACCAGTATTACATTCCCATCTCAGAGTAAGAGTCTCGATGGTCAATTTCCTTTCATTCTTCATCACATTTTTTCTACAGACCAGGCTGGTGTTTCATTCACCATCCCGAAGAACCTTCCTAGTGGACAATACTTAGGTATATTTGCTAGTGTCGTATGTTAAACGTTAAATTCTGACGGAGTCTCGGACAGTTCGGATGGAGCAGATTGCACTCCATGCTGCGGCCAACTTTGGGGGAGGTATGCCGCTTTTCATTTGTGTGTTTGCGTCCCTCAAGGCCTATCCCAGCGCAATTCTACATTAGCTGTGGTCAAATAGAAGTTACGGGGGGAGGTACTGTATACCTTTACCTCCTGGCGGCATTTTCGATCTGCTAATGACATCATACCGTTATCTAGGAAGTGGTACGCCTGGTCCCCTGGTCTCTATTCCAGGCGTCTACACTGGCAATGTGAGTCTTGCATTCAATGTCGTTGAATTGATTAGATACCTTTGTCCAGGAACCGGGCATTAAGATTAATATATACTCTCCAGTCCCCGCGAACTATACGCAGCCAGGCCCGGTGAGTTTGTTTCGATCGTACTCCGATGATGTCGTACTGACGCCATTTCAGGCCGTTTGGTCAGGTTAGTGAACCAAACGTGTGTAGGAAAAGGTTTCATTTTGTCGTACGTCATGCCTGTTTCTCAGTCTGTTTCGGGGGGTACAGATATTGTGTACCTTTTGGCAAGTGCTATTGTCTATGAGCGCCCTTAATATCACATGTTGTGTTATTTCAACACGTATCTCTTTCATCCAAATTCTGAGGGTCGCCGATTCAAGTCTTCCAAGGGCCTTACATAATTTTTAAAATCCTTCCTACGACGAGTGCTCAGTGATTTTCGGCGCCGAGGCAGCTCTCAAGCAACCTGTACAAGCGTATTGTTCGGCGTATCTCAGAATGGCATACGTTTCAGACATAGCCTTTGCACTGATGCTTCGAAATACGTACATCATGAAATCAGGCGCATCTTGAACTCCTTGAGGCGAAGCCTGGACTAGACTTGTTATACCCGCCCCTAGTGAGGCAGCCCGCTGATGGAATGCTTTATCGATCGGACCAGGATCTTGTCAAAAGCATCGGAACCTGGGGTTTTAATTTTGTCTGCATCAATCTGTCTACACTTGCTTATACACTTTCCATTGCTGCCGCGTGAAAAACCCTTGTCTAGGGTCGGTAGGCTACCAGTAGATTACAGGAAAACTTGAAAGATCAGCACCATCATTGTTGATTGATGATCGGGCGCTGCTTGCCGTCGCACCCGCGTTCAAGTCAAGTCGCATCAGCGTATATAGTATTTAAAAAAGCAGTCAATGAGCGTGAAACGACTGGGCTGGCCAATGACATGAGCTACAAAATGTGTCATCGGAGGCACTGCAATAGGATTGAGAAGTCGGAAGCAGATGTCGAACTTCAGGTCAATAGAATCGCAATTGCTGTCACTAGCTATGAAAAAAATTGTTTATCTAGATGCCTGGACCTGGCGCAGACTAGCGTTGGGATTTAATAGAATACTCCCCAATAAACGTAAGACACGCTGATCCGTTAGCATTCAATGTATACCATTCCAGGATTCATCGTAGTCTTGATACGAGGCTAGTAATTCATGGCCCCTTAGTAAGATGGTGATGACGATTGCATGCCCAGAGCTCCAACGCAGCTCAAAAATTAGATGACTTACGCATGATTGATATGCTACTGTCACCCGGATAGCTTTCTGCGCCGACTTCAATTTTCAACGCAATGCATATGGTTTGAGGTCAGCGGAAGTCCACGAGTTCCACATTGGCGCTGCGAATTTTTAGCCCATAGATATATATCAGTGCATCAGCCCATCAGGGTAGCCAATACTGCGGTCAAACCTCAACTCCTCCAGACATGAGCAAAGATAGCAAGCACTTCATATCAAATTACTGTACATAACTATTAATTATGTGTACACGAAACTCTTAACAAATGGCACGGGGTTGAGGAGAGACATACCAGAAAAGTCTCCCAGGACTGTTACAGGTCAGTCTGCGCTCAGCCTCGCTACCGAATTGATCTTTTCCTGATTAATCCAAAGATTTGACGCAAATAGGTAGACCTGGAACACCCTCGTTGTTTACGGGAATGAGAGTTACCGCAACAGCCGCTCGAACCTCATTGTTGGGAGGGAACGAAAAGGTGAAGCTACAAAGTAACTCAGCAAGAAGTACTTGCATACTCGTTAGCCTGATCCTCGATTAGTGACCCAAAAGAATGAGTTCGATGATGACGTACGCAAAACGCCACCTACGCAAGTACACTGTCAATGTGTTCCGGCATTGAATCCATTAGATTACTCACCCAATACATGCTCGTTGACCACCGAAGAAAGACATACTAATGGACACACTGAGATCATCATCTGAGTCCCGAAAGCTACAACTCACAGATTTGCGTAAGGCCCCAAGGCCTGTCCTTTCGGTAGTTCTTCCAACCATCGTTCAGGCCTAAATACGTCCGCATCGTCTCCCCAAATAGATTTGAGACTAAAGATAGTCAGAGCGGCCGTCATCGAGTAACAAGACAATACTCACCGGTTATAAGAAGAAGTCGCTGAAATTACAGATTGGCCCTTTTTTACAGGTATTTCAGTTATGATTTCGCCTTTGATGGTAGTGATTGGTTGAGAAAGAGGTAAAATAGCATCACAGGTGGCGATACGCTCAGACATTGGGAGGCCAGAGTGGAAACGCAGGATTTCCTAGGAGAAAAACTGAGCCCCCAACTACCGCCATGTGTGTATAATCAAGCAAACCTTGATGTAAGCATTCATCAACGTAAGCTTCTCAAGATCGGAATATGTGAGCTCTCTGTCGAGATGTTCCTTCATGGTCAGAACCTCGTGCCGAATTCTCTCTTGCCAATCAGGATTCTGGGCAAATTGGTACAAGCACCAGGATAGTGTATTTCCCTACGAACTTTGTCAGAACTGAACCCTCACGTCAATTTGAAACCTACAGTTGTATCTTGTCCGGATATCATGATGGTTGGTATCTGTTCTATCATTTCTTGTTCGGTCATCCGCTGACGCTTGTCATTATAGCCGGCATTTGCATTCACTGAGGAAGCCGATCAACAGGGGAATTTGCATGGAAGACAATCACCGACCAAGAGCAGTCAAGAGATCCTTCTCAGATTCCATGCCGAGTTTTATAGCTTGGTACTTTTCTTTGATGAGCTGTTCAGATACGCGATTTCCAAGCACTCGGTTACGGCGAAGTACACGCAGAGCGTGCGTGGGAAGGTGTAAGGCCAGTTTCAGAAGCACTGGGGGTACATAGAGAAGAACACCTTCAGCTAGGATACTGTGCTTAGACCTCGTTGAGGACATGGCCCTGAAACTGTTCAGAGCGAGAAAAAGGCCGGAATTAAAGCACTGACACAATGTTTTGGATACTACGCCCTAATTCACTCTTTCCAGTGTCCTGATCTGCGCTGAATTGGAAGCCCATTATGCCTAAAGGTTGAATCGTCAGCGCACATAATTGAAATCCCACGACCACCAACCTACCTTCACATATATTATTCAGCGTAGCGTTGTGAATTGCCGGATACACGTCTATGACGACACCAGACGGTTCAGAAGTTCCTTCCACGCGCCAACGTTGAATGACCTAAGATACCAATGTTAGGTAGATATCGCTCTTATGAAAATTAGTTGCACGTTTTGGGCTATTCTTCTGAAAAGAGGCGGCAGGGCACGGACATGCGACGCAGAGAATGCTGGTGTCATAACAGATCGCATGCGTCGGTGATCATTACCTGTATCTAGATCTAGCATATGTCAATCTACGAAGTACCGACGCACGCACCGTGAGCATACAAGAGTGACTGCTCTCCGATCAGCATTCGTACAATCTGCTGCTGCTGAGGGGATCGAGCAAAAGTAGTGTCATCGAGGACGTGTTTCAAAGTACGTGGGTCAGAGACCATGAGCCTGTCTTCCTTTTTGGAATAATCAGCACCACAGATAGATTGTTATGCAAACCGGCCGACCCCAAAACATCCTTTGATGCGATAGACAGGACCATAGATATCTTGCCACAGAAATTCACTGTCACCATACTGGTGGGGTAAAAGTAGCTCGATCATATTTCCTATGCATGATCATTAGCATGGGCCAACAAGCTCTAAATGTATATATACCGAAGAGCCATGAAGAAGAAGGCGGCCCTGGTATGTGCCGCAGTGAATGTCGAGGTTTCATAACCACTAAGGCCAGAATGACGGCAACGATAAAGAGTATAGCATAGGTGAGGAGTGGTTGTTCAAACATGGCATTGACGAAGAGGGTGGTCGAGCTGATGCTCCAGTCATTGCTCTCCGGATTTTATATACCCGATCCTGGGCTCTAAATAGAGGCGTACTGAGCCCTTGAAATGACCCGTCCGACGTATAGGATCCCGATGCGTAGGTCAGTGCTACGTACCATCTGTACTTAGGGTTTCGAGTTTGCTTCCCTTTCGCAGTTTCCCATACTGAATGTGAACCAGGGTAAATTGGCACTGAAGGGTCTCAGGTTGGAGGAGGGTCGTAGGCGTGTCCACGGAGCATTGGGGAAGTGCACATGTTACGAAGACTGAACTGATGGGGCATTGTCGAGGCTGTCGGACTCGGACTGACCTAGTTTCGGGATCCAAGGCAGGTTAAAATTTGATCTTTGATTTTGATTATTTTACTTTCAAATTCAGTGCCCGCGAAGTCAGGTAAACTTAATAACATTTATAAATAACGCTCGCTCACCCTAAATTTCAAATGCGCGGCCCATGGAACCGCAGTGCGCATTATTGTAATGTTGGATATGGGAATGATGCTCTCAGGAAATATTATTACCGTAGACGCACAGATCGTTATGCTGAACGAGTCAGTCCTTCACCGTGGCCGCCGGTGATTGCTTTACTAATTGCAGTCGTCAGTTTCAAAAAAAGTCAGGAACTTGAAAGTAAATTCGCGAGCTCCATAGAGTTTGATCCAGAACAATTTGCTTGGATTTGCGGTGCTGCAAGATTGCATCTTGATAAGAGTCTTTGAATATCCCAAATGCTGAGATGACGACGCAGCATTGTCAGCATTTATTAGTTCTATGTATGCCGGTACAACGCACGCATCCGAGCGTGCCCAACACTCCGACAATAATTCAGCTCGAGACATCTCTTCCGTCCAATAAAAGGGCGCCCAATTGAAAAGACATACAACGACCCACCCTACTCTCAATGAATTCCCAAACCTTCATCCTCCCAGATCTACTCGCCAACTGGCCTTTCAAATGTACTCGCAACCCCCTCGCAGACAAAATTGTACTAGCCAGTGCGGCTTGGATAGAAAGCTATAATATTTTCGATGCAAGGGCCCAAAAGGCTTTCAACCGCTGCAACTTCGGATTGTTCACTTCGCTGGCGTACCCCGATGTTTCTGCCGCACATCTTCGCACCTGTGCAGATCTCATGAATTTCTTTTTTGTCTTTGACGAGCTGAGCGACGAAGCCAATGGCCCCACTGTACGGAAACAAGCTGCCGATATTATGTATGCTCTGAGGTGAATCTCTGTTTACGTTTTCCATCAGAGAACGATAGATTGACAACAATCAGGCATCCATACGCACCTCCTCCTCCGGGCGAGACCATTCTTGGTGAAATGGCGAGATGGTAAGATCGCTTCATGGGGCGGTCGTTCATAAGAGTTGATCGTGACACCCCCAGTTTTTGGCGGAAAGGCCTACAACAAGCACACATCACCCCAACCTCAGGCCGGCGTTTCATTGCGGATTTTGACGAATATACACATGCCGTTTGCCAACAGGCAGAAGATCGAGATTGTGGTCGGACTCGGAATCTTAGCGATTACCTAACACTTCGTCGAGGTACAATTGGCGTACGGCCCTCCTTTGACTTCTTCATCCTGACGGATGACGTGCCCGACGAGGTCGTTAAGCACCCACAGGTCGAAAAATTGGTGCAAGCTGCGATTGATATGACAATTATTGCCAACGTAAGCATGTTGAACTTGTTTGAACCTGTCTGACGAGGCTGCCACTTCTCCATTCACGTTGCAGGACATTTATTCGTATAACGTGGAGCAGTCTCGGGGAGACGATGCGCATAATATTGTAGCAGTGACAATGATGGAGAAGGCGCTCGACATCCAAGGTGCAATGGACTTCGTTGGGAGAAGGTACCATCAGATTGCTCGGACGTTCGTGGACGACATGAAACATGTTCCTACGTTTCCGGGTCCGATAGGGAAAATATTGCGCCAGTATGTGTTCGGATTGGGGATCTGGGTGACGACAAACATAGAGTGGTCGTTTGCAGGGGAAAGATATTTTGGAAACGCTGGACCAAGTATTAAGGTCCACAGGAGAGTCAAACTGCTGCCAAAACGGAAATAGACGGAATACACTGACCTGAGATTTCCAACAATAGCACACATATGAAGCAGAGTGATCTCGAGATAACAAGGGATTTATTCCTTTAAAGGGAAAGGCCAGTTTAACTTGGGGGGTTTTCCGACATCGAAAGATTTTCCTAAAGTATTGGCACGCATTGCATGTTTACCTCAAAAATATCACTGTGATGGTTACCCTAGTGAAAAGACTCGGCCTTGGTCGGTGTCCAACATTACACAGTTGTAACCCCTCGCTGAGAGCAGGCATCAGGCGGTTCTTCAAGGCGCCTATACGGCCAGCTGCGAGTGCTGTGAGGGCCAGACACATAAGCATGCCGTGTACAATAATCATCGTCTATCAGCGAGTACCGAAACACGGCCAAAGTCCCTGAAATGCCACTGCTGATTTGAGTGACCGAGGTTTGACAGATAGATGCCAGACCTGACTACGGTCGTCCTGGACGTATTCGAAGAGTCCCTGGTGAAAGTGACTACGTACTTACTTGATAAGCGCCACTTTTTTCAGGTCCACTCTTGGTCAAAGGCTCAAGTTACGATGGCAGCAAGCAGCGGTTTCGGAAATACCCGCGCATCAAGCATCAATCGATCATTGGAAGGAAAAAAAAAAGCACGATTCCACACGATTCCGCCGCGGAGATGCACAGAGCTAGCTGAACACTGCCATCCAGAGATGAGACAGCACCAATGTTCCCCCTTCCCTCCTTATTTTTTGGACAATGGAAGGACCGACCGAAGAACGGAAATTATCAATCAGCTGAATGAGGATGGTTTGGTATTCCAACAACCTGGCGAATCATGTATAACACAAGTTCTTGAAGATCAGACAAATGCAACATACGCAAATATCCAAGCTGTAACGACACAGTCGCCATCGACCTCAATGTAGAGATGCTTAGCGAATATGTGCGCACCCGTGCATGATCTTACTCCAGATCCAAAAGACATCCTATTGGAGCTTGAGTTTCACTGTATCCCATCAAAATGACAATAAAATCTCACAAATTTCCATACAGACCCAAAAAGGTGCCCGTTTTCGGCATCGAGTCGTCGAGCCACCGCTCGGGGATGAATGAATGGCTATCATCTCCAAATATAGATGGACCCATGAGCCCAAACAGAAGCCCATTAAATTAAACCAAGGCCTACCTATTGTAACTGGCTATGGACATCGAAAAGATGTCCCCTTGGTCACGGGTACCTCGTTGACGACTTGACCGGACTGGGGGGATGGTATCATCTTTGGACGCCTGTCGAAGTACATAGTAAATCGAAGGATGCAACCGCAGAGATTCCTGTTAGGAGTAAATCCGAATCCGTAGAATTAGAATGTGTAGATCATGCAGATCATCTTGCCTTCATGACAGCATGGGTGTATTGCATATCTTCAAGATCCCCTGGAGTAAATTGACGACCTCCGTTTGCGGTCATCATCCTTCAAATTTCATTCCGAAGATTTGCCTGCACAATGTTAACATTTCACCTCGTAAAGTAAGATAACGAAGCTCTTACTGCATGGAGGCCAGCATTTCTTCATGGTCAAGTTTCGGACCACCTTCGGTATCCGCGTTGGCTTTAACTGTCTGCGAATGAATGCTCAAGGTTTTCTGCATACGGTCTAGACGCACTCAGAAGAGATAGAATATCTCGACCACTACTACCGGTACGTAACGCAGATGGCTTTGTTCGCAGCAGTTCTTCAGATACCCGGATGGCCCGTTTCTCGTGCCTGATCAAACGAGGTGGAATGATTGAAGATGAAAGATACTACCGGAACAGGGAGATATTGGAGCATACTCTGTTTCAATACGATCCACTTAGATGGACTTCCGAATGATTCAGAACTGGGTCGTGGTTAGAAGAAGACAGAGTTTAAGGAAACGACGACCCACAAAGTGCTCGCAAGCTTGCCGTAAGGCATTATCTTTTTCTTCGAGCACATGAAACTCGTACCCTAAGGCGGCTGAACAACGACATCAGTGTATATACGGTGGCTATGCAGAGACTCACCCAGGCCGATCATATCCATCGTTGTACGGCACATCCACGGGTATACATCCACACCGGCAGAATGAGCGTGTGATATTTACCCCAATTGCGCTTTGATTCGTAGTACGTGTCCAAATACCTGTTGCCAAGCCAAGTCTGCCTGCAAAGCGTCAATGAATAAAGACAACAACTCACTAGACATAAGAACCCGTACCTCTGCAGCCTCTCTTTGGTAGAATTCGTCCAGATTGAGGATTGTGGCTGAGGACCAGAAAGTTGGTTGATTGATATTCTTTTCCATCACCGATAGAGAAGAATGCACACCAGAGCCGCGACGAATGGAGCAAGACAAGGCAGCTGATGATTTGACGGCACTGGGCCTGAAGTTGCCATAGTGGGGGATTGAGCGAGACCGTGCAAGCACGCATCCGAACGAAGACATCACTACGCCTTTCTATACAACTACGCGATTATTGATCGGTGAAATTCCGAGGAACTTGACAAAGAAGAAGACGGTCGTCAAATTTTGGCAGGACTATTGGCGGCCTTCGAGGAGATGTTCTCCCGCACGTGTAATCCTGAATAGCTACCGACCTCTTTCCGTCGCTGGACAAAGGAGAAATGACCCAAGTTGCAATTGAAAGGACTCTCTTTGGCACGGACCAGAACCCAGGTGAAGATCTGGAGCCGCCGCATGTAAACCTGTGGTCGGCTCGCACCGCGAGCAGTAAGATACCTATGAGCCAATCTAGCTTGAGTAGAATCCTTCTTGTTATTATTTATACTGTCAGGTTATTGGTCATGGACTTAGCCGGAAAAATAACCAGAGCTCACAACATTAATTACGGGCATTATCTTACCATTCATCCGAACCGGACAATTACCAATCGATGCAGTCATGCCTTCAAAATAAAGAAGCCGAACGAAACAGAGAAGCATCACGCCAAACTTGCAGTAAGGTTGAGTCGAAGCGTGGTGTTGTCATTCTCCTCACGCCAGGGTTTGAGCATTGCTCGCAGAAAGAGAATGATTCTGCTCAAAACTAGTATGACAGCCAATACCCCAGCCTCATGAGGGACGCAGGGTTCTGATGCCTTGAACTCTCCTGAACCCAAACCCAATGTGTATCGACAGAATATTAGCGAATCTCCCACAAAGATAGTAAAGTCCTTCAAGATCCTCAACGTTGAAAACATTGAAACGGAGAAACAAGAGCACGAAACAACGAACGGGTATGGACAATGGGTTATCCTGATTTAGATAATGAAAAAATACACTGGTTGTACAAAGCCTGCGATCCGAGACCAAAAGATAAAAATGAAATAGTAGATTACAGCCACCTATTTGGCTCCCGCCGATGAAAACTAGAGAAACATAAGCGTGAGACAGAATATTGAGCAAGAACGCACCTTCGTCACCGACTTGGTACCTTCGGATATCGCATGTTTGGCTAACTCTCCTGGAAGGATTAATCTCACAGAAGTCTGAATCTCGCGTGAAGAGATGGTGGACTTCTTGGAATAGGCAGCGAGTTCTGTGACTCATGATAAGTGGCGGGGAACAGTGGACCAAGAAAGGACCGTACTTGATGCTTCGGTAGCTACACGTTCAAAGATATCGTTGACAAAGCTGTTGAGGATGGCCATGGCCTTGTTGGAGATACCCGTATCAGGGTGAACTTGTTTGAGGACTGCAATACAAACCGGACTTCAGCAGCCACGCATGGATAAGATATCAACGAACCTTTGTAAATGTAGGATGAGTATGTTTCCTTCCTGGACTTTCTGCGTTTCTTCTTCTCGCCATCACCAGACGACGCTGGCTTGGAAGTCTTCTTGGCAGCTTTGGAACCTTCAGTCTTTGCGGGGGCTTTGGATGCGGTCGAAGCAGGAGCCTTGCCGGCTGTAGAGGCAGGTTTGGGTGCCATTGAGAATGGAGGGCGAAGGTAAAAGGCGAGATAGGTGACGGTTGAGAAGCAAGAAGCGGAGTACGCGCAAACACTGTGCCGTGTTGTTTATATACCTGTGCCGGGAAATGCACGTGACTATGAGAACGCGTCAACAAATCAACGCGTTTTTGTTGATTGCTTTGGCATCTGTCAGGGTATAAATAAGGATTCATAATGTTGCCTTTACCCCATTACACTACCTACTCTCAATCTCCCGCAGCCGCCCCTAACCAAGTACCTATACTTCACTTTTCGTTATGTCTGGAAAATCGGGAAAATCCAAGTCTGGCAAGGCTTCTGGTGGCGACGCCAAGGGGCAGACACGTTCATCCAGGGCTGGTCTTCAGTTCCCTGTCGGTCGTATTCATCGTTTGCTGAGGAAAGGCAACTATGCTCGGCGTGTGGGTGCTGGGGCACCTGGTTAGTCCTGTTGATATCTGTTGTGTTTTGGTCGTCGTCTGACTTTACCTAGTATACCTCGCTGCCGTTCTTGAATACCTCGCTGCCGAAATTCTTGAGTTGGCTGGCAATGCTGCTCGCGATAACAAGAAGGCTCGTATTGTGCCTAGGCACCTACAGCTTGCCATTCGTAATGACGAAGAGTACGTTTTCCATTGAGTGGTCTCACCAGCGGGGTATTCATACCGCTATCTTCAGACTGGGAAAGCTTCTTGGCGATGTTATAATATCCCAAGGAGGTGTCGTGCCTCACATCGAGGCATCGCTGCTACCTGTGAAATCCAACAAGTCCAACACAAGTCAAGAGGTTTAGATTTTAGTCCACTTTGCGCTACCTATACTTGTATTAGTATTGTTCTCTTAGGTTATTTGTATCGTGATATATCTTATTGCACTTGACTTAGTTTTTATACATCGAATTGTCTGAGACGTCGCCTAAAGCGATACGCATCTCCCTTTGCTGTGTGTGGAACAACAAGATTGTCCTCTCCTCTTTGTACTCTTGTGATTCTGCCATTGGGCAGTAGCACGAAGTCGGTGCTTTTGTTATGAAGCAACCTATGGAAGGACCTCGGTATTGAAGCTTGAAGTTGTATAACGTTGTCATCGAAAGACTGAAATGTCTTAGAAGCCAATGCCTGGAAAAACCGTACGCCACGGGCCATGGCTCCTTGGATGTTGGTTCTCCCGGCAAGCCGACGTGACCACACCTACGCAGCATCGTTGCCTCTCCAGGTTTGAAAATTACCCCGTAATATATGTATCTTGAATTATTTTTATAATAGGTTCAGGGAAATGATTCTGTCCTATTCAGATGTTCAGAGGCCTTCATACCCTGCCAGTTTGATTTCGCGGAGCATTAAATTTCGCATCGATGAGCCGCACGAATCAACGTTCAGATGCGTTGATTTGTATTGATGGACCACGCGAGGTCAATGAAATCGCTTCTTGTTCAAGGTATTAGTTTCAAGGTCTTCTTGGCAAATCTTCGAAAAGGCCGTCACCCCAGGCACAATATCTTCATTATTCCTTCGCGGATTTGTCGACTGTCCCCAGCTGTCCCCACACCGGACAACAGTTTTTCACAGGGGCGAAAGGGACCAGACTTCATGTACGGTCAGCAGACAGATTGTCCAACGGTATCCATCTTCTCATTGGTTGCTGGCTCCATGGACAGCGGAAGTCTCCTTTTCCAGATCGATCGAGCAAATCTCGTCAGATCACCTGCCTTCTTTTCTCCTCCTCTTAAGATTTTAGCACGTTTCTCCGGAAAAGCTGCTTCCCGCGCGACGAACCCTGCAGTGGGGTACCGTACCTGGTCCCTATATAATGCCCCGGATTTTTTACATTGATTCCCCGTCCTTTGCCTACTCTCTCCCATCATGGCAAAGCTCACTCGTGTTGAAGACAGACCTACCCCTCCAGAGGTATATGGCTGGCGGGTTTACATGAATGGCTTCATTGCTACCTTCGCCGCTATTATGATTGGATACGACTCTGCTTTCATTGGCACTTCCGTCTCTCTCGCCAGTTTCAAGCGCGAATTTGGTCTCACCACAAAAACAACGAGCGAGTTCAACCTCATCTCGGCGAACATCGTGTCCTTGTATCAGGCAGGGTCCGTCTCTCCACTTAGTTTCATCTACTCTCGTTGACCCAACCTTACAGCTGTTTCTTTGGCGCGATTTTGGGTTATCCTATCGGCTACTATTGGGGACGTAGATTAGGTCTTTTCTTCGCCGGGTTTGTCTTCTGCGTTGGGGCCGCTATGCAGATTGCCGCTTCGTATGTTTTTCCCCCTTCCAGCTTTTCAACTCTTTTTTACGCTTTGCCACAGGTCTAGCACGGGTCTTGGCATCGTTTACGCGGGACGGGTTATTGTTGGCCTGGCAATTGGTACAGCGTCAAACTTAGCCGTATGTGTTTCAACTCAGAATTTTTCACTAAGGGTCTCATCTCCTATCATTAGCCCATTTATGTTGCCGAAATCGCGCCTCCTGCCATCCGTGGTCGACTCATTGGCTTGTATGAGCTTTGCTGGCAAATCGGTGGGACGGTGGGATTCTGGATCAACTATGGAGTTACGCACCATGTACCTGCAGGCCACAAACAGTGGCTCATTGCGTTCGCCGTCCAGCTTGTTGTGGGTTGGTGTTCATCTTGTAACTCTACCTCTGATCAGTTTCCCCCCCCTTAGCCTGGAGGCCTGCTATTCTTTGGCGCTCCCTTCTTGACAGAGTCCCCTCGCTGGCTTGTCTCCCGAGATCGAAACGATGAAGCCCTCGAAAAGCTTGCGTGGCTCAGGAACCTTTCTCCTTCGCATCCTTATGTCGTTGAAGAGTACGGGGCGATTGAAGAGACCATCAAGCATGAGCGGAGTTTAGCGGGTGCTGGTTTCCTCGGTCCCCTCAAGACAGTTTTCGAGAGCAAGAAGCTGCTCTACAGACTATTCCTTGGCTCCAGCTTGTTTGCCTGGCAGAATGCCACGGGTATCAACGCAATCAACTACTATTCGTGAGCTGTCTTTCCTGACGTCGATTCCACCTTCCAATGATTTGTTACCAGGCCTACGATCTTCAAGTCCATTGGCGTCACTGGCCAAAATTCTTCCCTCCTCACCACCGGTGTCTATGGTATCAGTGAGGAGATCTCATTCGTCCTGACTTCTAAAGCTGACGTTCTTGTGCCAGTCAAATTGGTCGGCGCACTTCTATGGCTGCTATATATTGTTGATTACTTCGGTCGTCGCCGGGTCCTCTTGATTGGTTCTCTTGGTGGTGCCATCAGCATGTACTATATCGGTGCATACATCGCCATCGTCAAACCTGCAGAACATCCCACATCGACCCTCTCTGCTGGGGGCAAGAGTGCAAGTATGTGTCAGTTGCATTATTCTTTGGACGTTACTCATATTGGGCAGTCGCTTTCTTCTATATATGGACAGTTTTCTACTCTCCGTCATGGAATGGAACGCCATGGGTCGTTGGCGCGGAGTTCTTCCCTCAGCATGTCAGAACATTCACCCAGGCTTGCATGGCTGCAAGCAATTGGCTGTTTGGGTCAGTATTCTCTTTCTCTATTTTTCTTCTTCATTGAAGTCTGACATGGTTTGCCTAGTTTCCTTATCACCCGCTTCACGCCTCAGATGTTTACGGCAATGGGATACGGCGTGTACATCTTCTTTGCGAGCCTGATGATCCTTTCCATCTTTTACGTTTACGTACGTCTCTGTTCTCCAATCCCACATGCCATTTATGATATCCTTCCTAGTTCCTCCTTCCCGAGACAAAACAAATACCCTTAGAATACATGGAAGATCTCTTCGCACCCGGTGTCAAGCCACGGCGCGCCCACGGTGTCGTCATGACCAAGATCCGAAACGAGAATAGAATGCGCATGTCTGGTAATAACTCATCAGAGTATGTGGCAGACTCAAAGGCCGACCAGGAACAAGTCGAGACTGTTTAATGGCACCATACCCTGTTACGGTTTGGCTTCGTTTGGGGATTTATTGAGGAGGTTTATTTGAGTAGTTTAAAGTATCAACAGTCTCTGTAACAGATTTATTAACGTCATTTCCATGGATGTACTTTTGAAAATATCCACTTGATACGATCAAACTGATACCTCTGGAGCCTGGCCGAGACCGAGACTGAAAACCACGTCTTCTTTATTCTTCCTTCTTTCCATCATCAGACTCAGAGCTGCATTGCTCGTTCCATACAGCACTCCGATCCTTTTTCAAGAGTGACCAAAGTCTAAAAGTCTTACGTCGGTTCTGCCTGTAAATGGCCTAATGACGCGTCCAGAGATACCTCAAGCCATCCTTTAAATTCGTGCGCCATTCCCGATGATACGAGGAATGAGAAAGTCAACTTGGTTTGGAAAGTGTCACAGAGACGGGGCGTGTCTATGCAACCTAATTCTAGGGATTATCGGTGCTCGAGGCGTTAGCGCATCGCGAGGAATTCGCCTACGCTTAGCTGTCCTAGGACAGCTCATGTACACTAGCACCACATTCGTTTTGTCGCGCCCTCAAGTCTGTGTCTTGCGGTGTTTGCAGTCTCGCAGCAAATTTCTGATGCACTTCCCATTCCGTAGACGAGTCAATTGGCATGATATCTATATATCAAATCGCTCTCGGCGCAGATTTACAGGAACAGTCCGCATTTTTGCCGATTTCTCAGCGGAGGGGACGAGATAACCTTGGAGAGATGGGATCAGCTTCTTCCTTTGTATGGATTCGATATCCGAGGACGGGACCGGCGCAGGTATAACTTGGACGATGTTCTGCGTCTCAATGGCATGAACCTCTATCGTGCCATTGGGCAACAGAGACGTGATGTAAGGGTAATCGTAGCCTGAATGCTAATTTAGCCATAATACGCGCAGTATTGACGAAAATTCACCTACACACCGACTCCGGATGCTGTGGCCATTGTAGTGTTCCGCGGACAGGATCTCCGTTGGATGTTATGAATAGTCCTAGGGTACTCATCCCCGTGTATGAGAGTATGAGGAATTCGTTAGTATCTATCACAGTGATTGAGGGTTTAATGGGAAACTGGGGGGGTTCCAAAGCTTGAGAAATAGGTATGATGTCGAACATTGAGGCCTTTTCGAGGTCTATGATTTGGTACTCCGTTCTTCCGGCAATGCAGAGAGATTGACCTGTACGTCGGGCAAGAGAGGCACCTTGTGGAAGAGGAATTTCCTAGTGCTGTGTCAAGTAGGCATGCGCGCATGATGACGCAAAAGGCTTTACCTTGAGGTAGAAGAGTTTTTCACGTAAAGCATACATTGAGAGGGCATTTCTTTTGATCACCGTAAATTCAACAGCTTCCAACAGATGCGTCGGCGTAGATGGCGAGGCTGCAGGACGTCTGAGATGCTGGTGATCCACAGCGAATGTAACGACGTGTCGGATAGGTTTAATGACAACGCCATCGAGGGAAGGGATGGTGAAGAAGTGAATTTGATTATCTGTAGACCACGTTAAACAGCCGTTATTGAGGCACTAAATCTCACTGCACCAGAAAGAATTAGGGCTCGCGATATACAGGGCAGAAGGACTATTTCGTCGACAGCCTTGTCGTTTGGAAGTGTCTGCCTTGAGAGCACTGTATAAGACTCGAGCTAGACATGTGGTCAGATCAAGCATGTCCCTCTACGGGCCTCTGAACACACCTTGTTGGGATCGTCAGCCTGCAGAGAGAACCGGACAAGTTCCCCGTTTGCGAAACCGACGTATATCTCAGAACCTAGACTTGCATATTTAGTGAACGTAAGCCAGAGAACCGAAAGGAAACTGTGCCTAGAGCTTGGGCGCATCTCACTTCCGACGTAACAAGACCTAAATTCTGTTGAGCTACAGGAGCTGTACAATGAGGACAAAGATACCCGACTCAGAGGCGCCCGTGATGAGATTTTGAATCTGATACGGGGGAACGTCCACTGGATTTGTCGGCGCTGAAGTCATGATACGCGTAGCTGGATTATTTCAGCTCAATGCCGAGCGCGATATGAACACCGGCCACTAGGCAATGATGGTAAATGATAAAAGACGGTCGTGGCTATACTCAACAGCCAAGCTTGTACTCGCCTTGGTATGGTTGCTAGCCACCTCAGAGTGTATACAATACTGCTCTGAATGCTACTCATTTTATGACGGCCATGGCGCAGAGCAGACGAATGTCAGAATCATATCTTGGATCCTCTTGGGTGACGGCGGAGCGTACACCTATCGCAAATATCCCCGCCAATTCGCAAGAATGTGTCAATCATTGGCACAGTATCTTTGCTAGAGGTATCTTTTGTTTCTGGTTGAATTTGGCGATGCTCACTTCTTACAGACCTCATCGACTTGCGGATCGTCACAGTTGACGCCCAAACCAGCGTCGAGGAGGCATGCGAGGTGCGGGCCTACCTGACATACTGATACTGATAATAGTTGATTTCAGCGTTCCCGCAGACTCTTCTCACTGAAGATATCTTATGCTTGACTGTCAAATCCGATGGCGCGACCGTCGGACTGTTCGATGTCAGTCTCCTTTCGGTCCCGCTTTCACTGTTCTGAACATGCATGAAAGTTTTCTGATGTCAATGCGTTCTTGACTCTGGCGGCCACACGACACACCTTGCCACCAGACGATTTAAGGGAGAACCATCGCGTCCATGAAATCGTTGCGGCTGCTCGAACAGGTCATGTACCCGTTCAGCTGGTTAGCAGTAAGTCATCATTTCAGATAGCTTGTTGTCCATTTGTAATAACTATTACTCTAGATCTATCCGAGAAGAATCCCCTCGTTGTTTTGCCCTATGACGCCACGATTGTGTCTTTGTTGAAGCATTTTTCTCGCGGGACACATAAAGGTTTGTACCGTTCCGTTGTAGCTATGATACTTTGCTAAGAGAATATAGTTCTTGTACAGAAGGCAGAACCTCCAAATGACTACTTGGGCATAGTCTCCGATCGACGACTCTTGGCCTGGTTTTCTTCGTATGCCTCACAGAATCCTTCTCTTGGGGGCTTCCTTTCTAATCCTCTCCATTCATTCTCCCTCCCCTCTCTGGATCTGTATTCTTCCGTTATTGCAGCTACCTCGACGGCTAGTGTTCTGGATGCTATGAGATTGATGAGCGAAGAAGGCGTCAGCAGCGTTGCCGTTGTAGATGATCAGACTGCGGTACTCCTCAGCGCCGTGAGCGTAACGGACGTCGGAAAGGTATATTGGCTTTTGTGTCTTTCAGTTCTCCGCTTGAACATGTTTATAAGATTGTTGTTCCCTCGGAAAGTAAACATATCTTGTCGATTCCTTTACATAAATTCATTGCTCAGATCAAGGTGCGAATACTCCTTTTAGATCTATCGCTAGTGATGACATTGATCACCAGGCTTCCGACGGGTCTAAAGATGGTGCAGACAAGTATCCAGGTTAGGCTACGAATACTTTTAGTCCATACATCCCAAGATTGACGTAACACGCAGTATATTCCGTCCTCCCCACCAATAGCATGCTGTATACGATACAGAAGCTGCTAGCTAGTGGGTGATGAACCTTTTTGGCTTCCTACTGGCTAAGTCATCCATGTAGCCAATGCACACAGGTTATTCGTGACGCAGGACAGTTCGTCGGGCGTGTCCTCTCCTGTCGTATCCTATATCACCTCTGGAAATCTTTCTGGCATTGTTTCAATCGTTGATAGTACGTTTTTCCTCTACGAGGACTTCTTTCTCACGCAAGGATGCTTGCTTTCTCAGTTTTGTCGATCTTTGGCCGTATGGCAAATATTGAAGACGTCGATCCGAAGCTGATGCAACGTCACAGACGTGCATCGTCTTCGGCCTCTTCCCACTCTTCCTTGTCGGACGAATTGTCCCGTTCAAGGCCTAGCAGTCGGACAAGCGTCCGGCGAACCCTGAGTCTTCGTAACCCGAGAGCAATGAACAGGAATTCACGGGCTTCTTTCTCTAGTGCGGAGTCAGCAACTCATGCAATGGAAAGAAGCGCGTAGGAGGTTTGGCTTGGAAACCAGGTTCTCTAGTGAAGTTCAAGCTGTATATCATACATGTACATTCCTTGGATGGATAATTAAATATTAAATCAATGCGGTCGATCATCGCCCATGTCGGCCGACAGCGTGTTCTTTTTTTTTACTGCTGAACCACCATGTCAGCGACGACAACCGTCGTGGAAAATACTGCTGAAGTCGCTCTGGGCCTTTCTGTGCCTCCTTTCACGCCACATGCTATCTCCGTTTCTTTACCTACATGGCGAGACAATGTCGGATATGAAGAGGGTGAAAAACGAGTTGTTGACCTGATGGTATCTGGATACCCTAGATTTTTCGTTCACCTGAGCATCAGAAAGGTGTGTAGCTAGGCTTACTCCGCCCTTTTCTGCCACTCATCATATGCAGCTTGCCGGCATATGCGAACACAAATTCGGCGCCCCCGGAGAATCATGCATGCTATTCCCCACACATAAAACGGCAGAGCATTGCCGTGGATTCATCCAGGCCCGTTCAGCTATCGAGGGAACGCCTGTATCTGCTCGGCTGATTCAGTTCATGATATGTCCGGAAGACAACACGGATGCAGAACCCACGGGAAAATGTGCTGATCTTCACATTGTGCTCTACCCGTCCTCTGCTGGACCCTTGGCCAAGCAGTTTTGGCAGCACACCGGCTTGGGTATCTCCAGTCGACTGGCCGATTATTGTCTGTCTCTTCTCCCGGTGACATCGCCAGAGTGTGTGTCCTCGCCCATCTTGACACGTCCCGGGAAGGCCGTGAACAGGCACTATTCTGCCAAAGGTTTTTCCAAACCCAAGGCCCCTCAAGCAGAGAGCCTGAGCCAGGATCACAGTGTATATTTGGAAGAACGATATGGGCGCAATCTTCCTTTTGCATATGCCGCATCAGCGAAGAGGGCCCTTCGGAGGAGGATATCCGGTGTCCTACGGGATGCGCCTTCTGATAATCACGATGAACCGGCTGCTGGCCACGAAAACCTCATTTTTGGGCCTAGTTCACGGGGGGTATCAGAGGTCACGGAGGGAGACGTGTTTCTGTATCCTACAGGCATGTCGGCCATTTGGAGTGCACACATGCTGGCTCTAGCGGTCAGACCAAACGCCAAGAGCATTTGCTTCGGGCAAGTACCTATTCAGTCGACTTGATTTTTGGTAACACTCAATTTTGTAGCTTCCCGTATGCTGATACCCTCAAAGTCCTAGAAAAATGGGGCCCGGGATGCTACTTTTTTGGCCATGGACTCAACTCAGATTTAGATGCCCTCGAGGCCATTCTAGAGGAAGAAGCAAAGCGTAACCTCTCCAAACCTCCAGTTTTGTCACTCTTCACGGAATTTCCATCCAACCCACTACTTCGCTCAGCCGACCTTCCGCGTATCCACACGTTAGCCAAAAAGTACGACTTCTTGGTCGTCGTTGACGAGACGATCGGTAACTTCATGAACGTGGAAGTTCTCACCTACGCAGACATCGTCGTCAGCAGTCTGACCAAAATCTTCAGCGGTGCTGCGAATGTGATGGGTGGAAGGTAAGCCTTCAGATCAGATTTGTCCGGAGTTTGATGTCTCTTCTAGTCTCACTTTAAATCCACGCGGACGTCATTACGCTGCACTCAAAGCCCATCTGGATGCCACATACGAGGACGTCTACTTCGAACAAGACGCTGTATTTTTGGAACGGAACTCGCGCGACTCCCTGAGAAGAATCAGAGTCATCGATGAAAACACAGAGGCCGTGTGCAATTTTCTTCGTGAACGCTCCATTGCAGGGGGAGCCCCAGAAGGTACTTCTGTTGTGAAGGAGGTTTATTATCCTAAATACGTCACTCCCGAGCTGTATGAGAAGTGTCGTATCAAAGGCGACCAACCTGGCGGTTACGGAGGACTTTTCTCTTTGACATTCACGACATCAGAAGCATCTCAGGCATTCTTTGACACTCTGCCATTCTACAAAGGCCCAAGTCTGGGGACGAACTTTACGCTAGCCAGCCCCTACGTGGTTTTAGCTCATTATGCCGAGTTGGATTGGGTGGCAAAGTATGATGTGGATCCTGGCCTGGTCAGGATTAGTGTGGGAATGGAGGATAAGCATCACCTGCTAGAGTCCATTGGCAAGGCCTTGAAAGCGGCGGAGGAGACTTTAACGTCTACCCGATGATAATGATTTTGGTTACATATTACTGATTTGCATGATCCTCCAACAGGACATATTTTATTTAGACATCTAGGCATTGTATCCAACTACAACACAACTCGTATGTATCAATAATTGACGGTTCAATATACAGACGCCACATGAAAGAACAAGAAGAGATCGATCACTATGGGTCACCCAGGTAGCACTAATCCTTAATCAAGTGACCTACTATGACGGACAATACCGCTGGACATGTTCTTGTCAAGTGACTGGGCCATGATCTTTCTAAATGAAAGGAACAGTTGCCGATCGAACAAAACCGAAGGCGTTCATTGCCTAACTTAGACAGGGGCTTGAGAATATGACTTTTCTTTTCTTCTCACAGCACACATTAAGATGTAAGGTGTTTTTTCTTAGGACCGCAGCCAGTTTACACGCGGAAGGCCTGCGGAATCTCGTCCGAGGTTCGAAGTTGCTGAGTGCCAATTTCGTAAAGTCACTCGTGCTGACCCTGGACCAATTCGATTCAATCATATACAGACGTACGCACCTATGGCCACGTCCAGTGTTACTTGGTACTTAATTATTTTATTGATCCATAGGCGCTTCAGTGAGGCAGAACCCGTAGTCAAAAAGTCCGATCATTGCGACGGCACGCCTAGGCTAGCGTCATTAGGTGATACCAAGCAATATTTGATATTTCTTCTTATGTTCCAGCTGCTCAGCACTCAGCGATGACATTGGAATGCGGTATCTCGTGAGCTATTATTTAAAGGCGTATCACATACGAACTGTGACAGCATTTAAAGAGGGGCCGCAATTCTTTGTTGAATTTGAAATTGAAATTGATCTGACATTGAAAGGAGTCGGGTTAGGGTTACTCGTGGGTAGCCTAGACCCATCACTTCTATACCTTGCTGTGTCGTCCACCTCGATGGCCACGCTTACTAGGGTCCGAGAGCGTGTGCAGCCGCAAAGACCTCTAGTTGACATCGAGATACCTGCACCATTTCCGAAAGAACTGCTCCAGAGGGAAGAACCTGCAGTCCAGGAAGGAACATCGTCCATCATCGAAGAGGTTGAGGAAAGAGCCTCCCGTGTATCTGAGTCATCGGATGGCCACCAGGATGGGACCATCGTGCGTCGGCTTTGCTTTTATATAGGTGCCCAGTGCTCATTTTTTCTAAGGAGTTGATGCCGTCCATCGCATTCGTCGAGAGATCATGCCTAATGACCCTCAATAATTTGCTTTCTGGGCCAACAAGATGGAATCCAATCGTTCCAGATCGCCGTCACTCAATGCCATCCACGCCGCATACATCTGCGGCCCAGAGTGACGCTGAATCATCATCGTCCGCCTTACAGACGCTGGTGTCGAATCTGCGGAACAGAGACGCTGGCGACATGATGGTTGAGGTGCCCCATACAGACGCTGATTTGATTAATGAGCTCAAGACTCGGGTGGAGGGTATATCAGATTCTCTTGAGTCGAGCGACGCGCAATTGGCCAAAACTCTGGTCTCTCTCCTGTCCCATCTCAACCGCCTTGGTTCTCTTCATTTTCCCTCTTCACAGAGCCGCGTTACCCCTTCAAATTCCTGGCATTCCCGTGAGCCTATGGATATATTCGACACCTTGAAGAGACAGCTCAGCGACTTTCAAATTGAACGGCAGCGGGACATCCTACCGGCTGGATCTCCGCCTGTTCTTGCTGTAGAGAGAGCATCGCTGTGGTCCAGAATAGACGAAGAGTTGGAAAGTGTAGTGGCTATGTGCAAGGAGCGGACGACAGGCGACCACCTACCCCCTCAATATGATCCTGCGGATTATCAGTACGACCTGCCGCCGGAATACGAATACGGTACACGAACATCTATTGATGACGCCAAACAGCGACCGTACTCTTTACATTCACCCACAACCCCCACGACCCCAATGAATGAAAAGATGAGATTGGATTTTGAAGCAGTCACAATGGCAATCGACCGGCTTTACCTGGTCGCTCCACAGCTACACAATCAGCGTGTAGAGCTTAAATCCAGCAAAGTGGCCCAGATGGAGAAGGCTAGGAAAGAGGGTTCCTCTATATCGCGAGGGAAGCAGAAGCAAGGGGATATCCGGGAGCTGGAGAGCATCTTTGAGATGCTCGGAAAGGCGTCACAACGATCAATGAAGGATCAGTCTGTCATCATAGAGGGTGGAATGAAGAGCCGTTTTGAGAAGGCTCGGCTGCGCGACCAGGCTAAGGTAGGAATCCTCAATTTGATGTATGTCCAATACTTACGATATCGGCAGCGTGAGGCTTTTGTAGAGCATCTTGCAGAACATTCCAACGCTGGTCGTTTACATTCCCAAGATGCTGTTCTCCAATCGAAGACGAAAGATCCCAATGCTATGCTGACACTCCCGGAATTCATACGAGAAGCTGTCCCAGAATCAATGCGTGTTCAAGATCCAACAGCACTCCTTACGCTTCCAGAGTTCGTCAAGGAGGCACCACCACCTCACATTATCCCTCCACCATTAACAGCTTCTATATCACTACCTCCGCCAACTCTTGGCCGATTCAAATCAAAGAAGAACAGAGATCGAAGCATGTCTGCGCCTTCGCTGTCGTGGCTGCGAAGCTCATCATCGCGTTCTGCAAGCGCCGAAGCTAGATCAAAGGAAGCCTCAAGGTCATCAACTCCCCGACGTAAGTAATCACGCTCATAGTTGCTGCATAGGCTGATCTTTCCAACAAGTGGGGTTCGAAGTTAACTATATCGCAGAGAATCACGAAACTTTGCAGCATGTCCTTGTTTTTCTCTCCGTGACAGGTGCTGTTCCTGGTGTAGACATCGAAGCAGAAGTCCTATCTTTACCCGACAAACACCTTGGCGGCAGCGACCATCTTGTGGTGAAAAGTGGACCGCACACTTCTTTGCCACTGAAGCTTCCCGGACTTGTTCTACCTGGAAAGAAAGAGATCAAAGTACAAAGCGGACACTACGAAATCAAGCTTGCCACGTTGCCCGCCTTCACCCCCTCCCCACAATCGACACCTCTTCTCGATGCATCCGAACTATCAACGTCTAGTCCGACCAGTTTTATATGCGCGTCTTGTTCACTTCCCTTAATCCAATCCTCTCGTATAATCCAGTATCGTGATTTACCCTCGGAGCATTGGCAGGAGCTTGTGGATGCATGGATGTGTCATTCCGACCAGAAACTCCATGAACAGATAGCAAAGAATGGGAGAGGTTTCTGGCCCGAATCCGGCCAAGCACTGGTCGGAGGCAGCTACATTCTTTTTGAAGAGTCGGCCATGTCGAAGACGAACTTATATGCCGCTGACACGGCAAAGGTGTGTATACATTTATAATACCTTTTTTACAATTGGACGATCAAGAAGGCCGACGTTGGATATGTCTACCAACGGTCGTGCGCTTCACAATTGAACCGCCTCTTCTGGCGCACGAATGAAGCCCTTGGAGGTTTCGTTTGTACACAAAGAGGTTGTGTTTGATTGCTGGGCACGACTTCATCGGTTGATACAAAGCGTCCTATATAAATCTCCTCTCTTTTAAACAACTCTCTTGTCCCTCAGGTCCACGTCTCGGGAGCTACTTCTGAGAGGACATTTCTTCGTTCCATCTATGATTAGATTGCTGATGTACGTCTGCTTCAGAGACGCGATGACTGGCAGCCAGTTCGGTGTCTTTGTGGTGCTGTTGTCGGACGGTGTCAAGAGCACCGAACTAACTCTAAGTCTTCTCTGGTTTATCGCATGTTAAAGTATGCTATACGGCCCGTTAGTCCGACCACTGAGTAAGTACACTGTTATCGCTCGCTGTTGTCACGTCTCATTTGCGTCAGGCCCATCAAACTGCCATTATCTGCTTTTATTGTGGAGGATATGAAAGAGTTTGTGCAGGCTCATGCATCGTATCGATTCCTCGTTTTGGATGAAGAAGATGAACGTCCTCGTATTCTTGTGAGTGATTAATCCCCTTGCTTGCAGACTCGCACATTTTGTTCGTCCTTAGATGTGGCTGTTCAAACCTAGTATACAACTGGCATATGCCATTCGCAGTCAATATGCGCTCCCGAAAACTGCTTCGATACAGGCTGCGAAAGTGCTCTTCAAGCTTTTGGGACCTTCGGAAGAGTCGTCTAATCTCAAAAGGTGAAGATTCCCTGTGTTACCTCTTACAAGCACCCTTTCTGACAGTGACGCTGCTTTTAGCATCTTGGATAAATACCCAGGTTTTCCACAAGCGGAGTACCTATTCTATCCCATGAATATCTGCCGGCGGTTGGCTGGGCTGCTCCGGGAGAGCAATCTATCTTATCCTGAAAGCATGCGGACAATGACGGGGTTAGACGTTGGATGGTTGCACAGGGCATGATGCATTACATATCACTCATTTGTATTCATTCGTTATTTAAGGTGTGCTGACTCTTGGATTTTGGCCAGCAATGTTGTTTAGATCTAATTATCGTTGGCGTAATAGTATAATTATATTAGGTTTCTAAAAGGGCCGGCTTATCCCGGACGACCTTGCCATGGCCACTATACATCTGGGTATCGCCTTGTTCTGGATCCACAGCGATTCAAGAAACAAGGAATCTGACTTTCATTGGGCCGTGGTCGCGACGGAAACAAGTTGGACCAACGGGGATGGCATTCAGACGTACGACATCGCTCCTACTCTGGATCGAAAGTGGGAACAACGCGTCCGGTATAGGGATCTGGCTGAGGATCATACCTTCTGCGGTATCGTAGAGTTTGCCACTACGAATCTTCCTGCAGATGACGTGGACGAGTTCATACGAGATCGTCCATCTGAGGACGACGGTTGGCGAATCCAAGGTCCTCTACGATGGTCCAGTCCCTCTTGGGCATTAAAGATCATGTGTGATCTAGATGAAGCTGAGGTCTGGGATATTCCAGCTGAAATCGGAAAGGATGGACTGTTCGACGTTGTGGTCGGCAAGGGTTTCGTGATGCTCGAGATCGTTGAGGAAGTGGAAGATTTCCCTGTGCTTTCTCTCGCAAGTTTTTGTTATCTGTATGTAATGGAGACATCTCATGGTTCTCCAGCTTTGAATTCTGGTCTGCCCTCTCAAATTACCCATTCGTCCGTGGAACGTAACATACGGCGCCCTTTCATTGGACAGCTCGTTAAAATGACAGTTGACATTACAGTAAGGCATTATTGTAGGCTGCATCACATCAGATGCTGATATCGCTCTAGGACACGATAAATAAAAGGAAGATTCCCAGGAAGTTCAAGCATGGAATCTCGATGAAATACGCCAGGTCTCCGATGAACGCTACCGTAACTGTGTGTTCCTACTGTATTCACAAGTCGTCGACGTTGTGCAAAAGTTTCGGAGAACGGTTGCAGACAAGCCTCGACCCCGAATCCACCGAAGGGTTGTAGTAGCATATATGCGTATAAAGCCCTACTTCTGGACCACCATCGAGCATCAGAACATGCAGAACAGTCTGGAATTCGAATGCTAAAGATGTCACACGCTCTTCCATCTTCAATGTTCCAGCGAAAACCTCGCATTCCAGAACTATAAAAACAATTGATTTTACGTCTATACTACTTTACTACGTATACTTCACAATGACCTTGACACCAAGAGAGAGCAACAGAGCAATGAGACAAAACCCCAAAGCCCGACGATACGATATGCATACAGATACATAAATTGAAAGCCCAACGTCGCGAACCCAACGAAAGGTAAGCGGCGTCGGTAAGAGATCGCAAAATAAACGAGGGTGAAAAAATGCAATAACGATAAACGAATGTGCGTGGTGGGTAGGTGGATGACAGGAATGATGAATACGGAAAATAGAGGACAAGAGAGTGAATGCAAGTGGGTAGGCGTGAGGAGGCGTATATGTACAAATCTAATGCAAGCCGACGTAAGCCATGTCATGTCTTTTTGTCTGATGACGATTGCGGTTGAACACACAACGCCAGCAGTCTAGTAGTTGTGCAAGCAATAGTTGGGTATGCATTCGACAAGTTGTCTGAAAGAAAGAATTAGCGAAAAACGTTAAGTCACGACAAAGGTACACACAAGACCAACAATTACACCAGAAAATAGCATCGAGGATCATCAGAAAGAAACCTATACATGGTGGAGAAGGTGGGAAGATCTCGCAAAAAGAAAAATAGAATGAGGGTAGAGAGGTAGGGGATGCGGATGACGCTGAAAATGCAAATAACAAGAAATGGTGGTACATGCAAAGTCCATACCCCACACCTTCCCTTCTAAAGAAGAGTTCGTGAGATGGCAGGAAAGGGCAAGAGTGGGGAGTTATGCAAGCGTGGCCGTATTCGATACAATGCGGAGATGAGAAAGGACACAGTAAAATGAAACAATAAAAATGTTGTCGACGTGAAGAGAGCAAAGGAGATCCCGAGCATCTTTAAGGCGGGAAGAAGGGAGGCAATGAAGTGGGTGCCGGGCCATATGAAGAAGGTTAGATACTAAAAGGATGCGATGATAGGATGGCAGAGATAGATAATAGAAGGGGAGAGTACTGTAAATGATAATGCCTGACATCCAATCTCAAGATCAAAAAGAGCGAGGTGGGGCGTGGCACTACGTCGAGTAGGCATCGTCCTCCAGCCGTGCATATTAGGCGGAAGGCGGAAGGCGGAAGCCAGCTCGGACCTTCGATCCTTGGTCACCATGAACGTCCGTCAATCCGATGCAAGCGGAGGTAGGAGAAGAGGGCAACATTGCGTTGACCTAGGAAGTGCGAACGTACTATGCATTCGCAGGCGTCGGTCGGACATTCCTCCCTTCGTCTCAACATCGTAGACATAAAGAAGGACCCGACTCCTTTTAGATGTATTTGTACACCTGGTAAGCCGACATGGCCTCCAGAAAACCGGATAATTGTTTGATTTGCGATAAAGATGCGATGCCGAAAACAGTATTGACACATGGTTGGGGGAACTGATACGAGAAATATGATTAGGCATAGGCATCGACCTCGCACGGGGAGCATCCGAAACAAAAGCTCAACCCTTTACTTGATGCAAGGAAGGCCTACAAAGCGCTTGTGTCCTGGACGAGTGACCGGTAACCGCATAGGTACATTGTGGCAGTGGCATGAAAGGTGGAGTTGTCCTTAGTCTAAGGAGTCGTGTGCTGGATAATGATACAAGTGGACTGAACTCCTGGAGAGACGGAGAACCACGACGAAACCCGAAAAAGGCGAAAAGGAATAGAATAATGATAGTGATTTTCAGGATGATGCTAAAAAAACACGGTGGCCGATTAACGAGGTCGTGGTTGAGGAGAGGGGGGTATCAATGAAAGCGATATGGACGAATCTAACGACCCTAGGAGGTTTTAAATCGAAGGAGCTGAAGGACGTCTAAGCGGAGGAAAGAAATACCAGAGAAGAATACTTGCCTCCACACTCCAGCACACTCATAGCAAATAGATAGATTAAAATTACAGAAAAGCAGGTGGAGGCAACTCCTCCGGGCTGGGTGAGTTTTGGAACGTAGAACTCGCAAAGTACCCTTCGATCTCTTGCTGGGTCATGCCGGGTCTAGGGGCACACAGTGCCTTCTGCCTGGGTCCTGAAGACATCTCATCCGAGCTCGAAGCATCCTCGCTAATGGACTGGGAGGACAAGTCCTCATCTGACATGTGAAAGACCCCATCGCTGGAAACACGAACATGTCGGCTAGCCTTCTTGGGTGCCGAAGGGCTCGGCGACAAATTGAACGAGAAGGCTGTCACTGACCTCGTGAGAGGTGCAGTGCGAGGGCCGTCGTCAAAGCGCTTAGACCGTGACGGGCGCTGGCGGGTAGGGGTTGTCGGAGGGCTGTAGTTATCAAAAATCGTGCCAGCCTCGATAGAATCATCGCAAATGGGGAACGGCTTCCAATTGGAAGTGTCAGGAGCGGTCTTTCCTTTGAATGGTCGAGCGGGCAAAGACCGAGAGAGCGTCAGCGGAATAGGTTTCAGGTGCTGGGGAACAGGGATAGCCCTGCCCGGAGTACTGAGCTCGCCCGATGCCTGGGGTTGTCTGCGACGGGCGAGCTTGCCAGAAGGATGCGAAGCGAGAGTAGGAGCCACGCGGACAGGTGGGGAAACGAAATCGTCCAAGGAATCGAAATCGGCCGAAAAGGAATCGAAAATATTAGCAGCCGTAGATTTGCGTGTCGGTGTTGAGGGAACCTCATCCTGCGAGGGATTCTGAATCAAATTCTTCGGAGAAGGTTGACGGGTATGGTTACGACGACCTCGAACAGGTGAACGGGAAGAGCTCCTGTTCGTTGTTAGCGCACGACTCAATTTTTTTGCAAGTACGAAAAAGCGCTTCACCTTGCCGTCTTGGCCTTGACTTTTGCTAGTTGCCGGCCCCGTTTCTCTGGTGAGAGCTGCGGAGATGGCTTCTTCTCAACGATCTCTGGGGAAGGCTTCAACAGCTGCTGTTGTGTGTCCGGCCGCGCCGGCTGGAATACACGAGCAAGCGCATGTCTTGGTTTGGGAGATGGATTCACCCGCTGCTGAGCTCGTTGAATAGATAAAAGGCCTGGTGTGCGTGTTGCTTGCACGATGACGGCTGGAGGAGCTGATGGATGCTTTCTGTGGTTGAGTACGAAGTGTGGCGACGATATGTTGAAGTTCGGTTGTTTCTGGACGAGCATCATGTTGGAGAGAAGGAGGTGGTGGAGGGTGAGGAAATCGGTGGGGAATGGAGGTCGAATTCGAGCAGGCGGTGGTATTGTAAAGTAGGGGGAAACACGTACCTTTTCCGATGTGGCTTTAAGCTTGTCTTTATTTGCTTTCGGTGGCTGGAACTCAAAATGGTGTTAATCTAGGGGCACGTGTATACCTCTACTCCATGCCGCTATGTGCCGCCGATGTCAATGCTTCCCGCTTAGCTCATTCCGGACTCTTTTTGCGCTTCCTCCCGCAAGCTCCAGACGTTTCACGTATCGTAGTCAAAGCGCATAATTGGGACGAATCCATCTTACTGCCTCTCTGCTAAGCGCAATAATAATGAATTAGCTTGCAGATAATACTTTTATTGTACTGTGTGTACTGTGGGGTGGTGCTTTGTTCATTGTATTCCGTGATCGGCAATTGCAAAGCATGAACTGCCATGTCTTATCCTTCTCCACGGCCTATGTCCTGTGACTACGTAAACGGCAAATCCAACTTTGGGTTATTCTATCTCCAGATTCCACCAGATTCTCCCCCATTACTTCTGGCCAATCATCGCGGACCTCGGTTCTGGCTTTGCCCCGCGCATATCCGACTCTTAATTACTTACTCCAGAGGGTCCTCTTCCGTCTTGCTGTATCTGTGCTTCTCCATCATTGTGAAGGCTTGCACACGACCTTGTGATGTGTCTGTCGAATCATCTCCCTTCAAGGTCCTTCAAACAATCACCCGTAACCATACACCTCACAATTGAACCCACATCAACCCTTCTATCTGAATGCATTCCCCCCTCTATGCCCCCCCGCCTCATGTCTTTACTGATCTAGAACCACCGGTTGTCCAACAAGGTATGATGGTTTCCCATCTATCTGGTCTCGAGGATGCGTTACCCTGCTTCCGATAAGTCATCACTTGAACAATCAAAGCCGAGCAGCGGCAGGCAAATACTACCATGTTCAAGAAGTAACAGTATCCTTGCAATAGGTGTGACTCTATGGTAACTCGGCGCCGATAAGGTTGGCGTCACCTTGGTTCGGTCGCGGTCTTTGTCCATAGCCCCAACGCTTTCGTCTCGGCCATGCCTGCACCATATTTAGGTTTTTGTCCCCGGTGTCCTTCATCAAGCTCTTGTCAATTGTCATCGTTGTTTTATGTGCCGCTCGCTGTCAGCTATGCGGCTGGTAGAAGCGTTGGTACAAATGAGGTAGATCTGGTGAAGTCGAGTACTTTCTATTTTGATTGGCATCATAATTAATCCAAATTTGTGGTGACCTGGTATTAAGTAGCTTTAGTACCAAGTATTAACCAGTTACTAGTCAATCTTATATATGTGATAATATCAAACCTCTATTTTTCTGCGTTTCCCTTAGGCCATCTCAGCCGAATATATCTTTATGAATCGCCGAGTCCGGCCGATGCCGCCGCTAGGGTGGAGGCTCCTCATTAAGTAACATCAGGAGTCCCCAGGAGCAGGGCTCTCGAATAGTTAGTACATCCATACTTAGTCCAGTTGCTGTTTAACCTGGCGTCTGTCTGGAACTCACTGCCTCGAAGATTGCATCAGTACGCCACAATGTAAATCCATCAGATCCACCTCGGGCTGTGCCGCTTCACTTCCCTGGATGCGCATTGCTGTCCTTCACAAAGGTTTCCGGGACGGCGACCGTTGTTGCCTGAAGGTTATTTCTTCAACTGACCTTCTCGTCATATATCAGTCAAAATTATTCCAGATCTGTTTTTCTCTGGGCCTCCTCCAGACGTGCTAGCTCGCCCAACTGGCACAATCTGTCATGTAAACACTCATGCCTCTAACATCGGCTGTGGCGCGCGTCAACGAGTACCTATAAACCTACAACGTCCAGAAGATATCTAAACTAGCTTTCTCTCCTGCACCGGCTGGCTCCTTTCTTCTGCGGTCCAGTGTTGGTGTGACAAGGCTCGCGAACTCGATGACGTTGATGTGTCCTTCGACAATGTAGCAAGAGCCTTCCGTGCATCCCGGAGAGTCCAGAGGAGTTCTGTTCCGGCTGGCAGTTACGCTACGATTCTTCGCCACTTGCTGCGATAGTGCGTCTCGGACCTACTAGAGCATGCATTCTGCCCGTTCATCGTCCTAACAGGTACCGGTACCTTTATCTCCTCTACTGCTTCGCGACTTGAAGAGGTATAAGCCGCTGGACTTGCCTTGGCGCTGCCCGGCTCGGAAAATCTCTCTTTCAGCCTTTGACCCTTTGACCAGCGGCCGTGGTTTGAGATATTCCGAAACTCGACCATCTGCGTTCATTCTATGCATCCGGATGTTCATCGACGTTGCTACTCTATATGGCTGACCTCCGGTCCGAATTCCGATTTGTGTTTCGGGTCCCGCCTTTTACCCTCGCACTGCAACGCTCCAGGTCCCTGAATTGCGTTTCTTTTCGGCCGCCTCATCTACTACCGGTAGACTGTAAGCGACTCACTCACTTGCGTGTCAGCCATTACCTTGCAGACAAGTAGGCACCTTGCATTGTTTTCTCATGTGATATCACTTAGTCCCAACTGGACACGTACAATATAGACAGATACGCGCTCTCGTTAGACTACCAATCTCTTCTTCTTGACTCTTTCCACGACTTGCTATGTATCAGTACGTGCCATCACCATGGTGTTCTAGGTCCGCAGCAATGGCTCTCGGCCCATTCATTCCAAGCACGTACTTACCGTTCTCTCCGAACTTCGCTTGACACAAGCTGCCCGATTTCCTTTGCTTTCATTTCCCGTGGTCATTCCCTGTCATTAGCATGCCCACCGTGTGCACAGACGTCGTCTTCATTGTTACTTCAGCTCCCTGTTAGCCGGGTCATTGTTGCAGCCCAAATCACACTGATGTTCTCCCTCATTGTTTCCGATTCCTCAGGCAAGCCTCGACGTCATCAGACCGCTCAATCTGTGCAAGGACATCCTTTGAACCTGCGTAGCTGTTAGCCACCTACTTGTGTACACAGAGACCTACACCGTAGCCTAGTGTAGCCGAACCTCGCGCTGTGCCAAGCCTTTGTCGGTCTCCGAAATACCCGTGTCACTACCTTGTGACCTGTCAATGTGAGTAACTGTCAATATGGCCCACGCCCACTTGTTAGGCTTTTGCATCTCTAGGATACCCGGCTTATGAGGTTCAATGAAAATTGATCATATAATGTTATGTATTGCTGACAGAAGTGGCTGTAAAGCTACACTGAATGACATATCAGGATCGTATTGCATTGGATCATCGCATCTTTTTGATCCGAATGATTCGTAAGCCTTTTATGTAAGTAGTAGAAGGTTGAATTTTTATATGAGTAAATATGTGGGCGTTCAGGCTGAGATGGGCAATATGCGGAGCGCCTGTAATCAGTGTAAAAACACCTTTGCTCACTGCACTTTTACTGACGAATCATTCTTTTTAAAACACTTAAAAAGTTAGAGAGTTAACTTATTGATCAGGAAAAACATGCGCCCACAGGGTCACATTGACACGTGGGAACCAAATACGGAGAAGCCCTGAGCTCGTTGAGAATCCTGCCTCATGTTCGAAATTGCCTTGTGGGTGCAATTGCTCGTATTGACGTCCTACATGATTATTGTTACGAGCTTACATTTAACGATAATCTGACATAGAATATACGACCTTACAACGACTTGGGCACGTCTTCCTTTGAAGGCTGGAGCAAATAGAATTCAAGTTGACATACTGGAGGTGAGTGAGATTCATAATGTCTTTCCAGTCGATCGCTGATATCCTCATCACGAAGGAACCAAGATGCCCAATATAAACGCCATTGTTGGTCTTGTGGAAGACGATGGTACAGCACGAAAACACCGTAAATCAACGAGGAAGGAGACCATTTTGAGTTTGGTGGAAATGTTGCTAAGAGAAGACGGTAACATTTGTGAGTTCTGACTGCGCAGAAATTCGTCTTATCTCTGAGTCTATTTTGTATGTAGCTCAGGAGGAAGCACCTGTTCTAGAAGACGACAGGGATGTTCGTGAGTCCAGTTCTTGGTACTCGTCGTAAAGAGCTAAGGATATTCGGTGCAGCGACGGTGGATGAACACCTTCAAGCCGCGGGTGCAGACACATTCTACAGGTTTCACAAGTACGCATACATTCGGTTCAATCGATTTGCCTCCGTCTCAATCTCAATACAATCTAGGAGGATCAACAATCTGGACACAGAGGTGTGTATATTCCATAACGCTGCCAGTATTGCTTACTCGACCCTTGCTAGCTGCGCAACTTCGCCAATGCTGCGCGCCAACTGGGGAGTTCCGCAGCGATTCTCTCCTCCGCTTTCCACCTACGCGAACGCCTCGCCCACCTGCTTCACCTTTACCGAGAAAATGCTGCCGATCTTTTTCCCCGGAAAATTACTCATGTCACGCATATTAACAATGTCGAAGCTGAAACGCATATGAGGAGACTACATCGACGTGCTAAACCCTCGCGGCCCCCGCAGCATTTCTCGAGGCCCGTCATCGACGAGAATTTGGATCTTGAGGACTTTCCAGATCAGTTCGAAGCCCTGGCGAAGGACATTACAACTTTCATGAATTGTTTGAATGAATTCCCAGAGTTTACGGACGAAGCAGTTAATGCCTCGATATCTGCCTTTGAAGGTGACTTAAAAGTGAGTTTACTACGGTTCCTCTGATTGAGTTTACCATTAATGGTTAATTAAGTATTGGGCCTCGTGTCTACGCGTGTATCAAGGGCAATTTCGGTACCCTGCGGTACAACGGTACATACACGACCTCACATCTGAGATGGGCGAACACATCGACAGCATCACGTCAACCCTATCTATGTTCATCGAAGTCGGTGTGCCCACTATCCGCTTCGCGCAAAAACACGGGGCTACCAACTTACTTAATCTCTCTACCGTCGCTACCTTCTTTTCTGCCGTGACAGCGACAACGATGCAGTTTTCATACGAGCTTCAGGGCAGTACTGCTGCAGTGGTAAACTCTTTCTGGTTTGCCTCTCTGGTATTTTCAATTGCAGCCGCTGTGAATAGTTTACTGGGTCTCACGTGGAAACAAGCTATGTAGTAAGTGGGACACGCGTATATCCTTCATTACCGGCGTCTTACCTATTATATAGTCGTTCTCCGGGCCATCGAGTCCCGTGGTGGGTTCTCATATGGATTAAACGATCCCCCCTCGTATTCCTCGTGATGTCTGTGGCGTGCTTCTCTATAGGTCTTTGTTGTTTCGCATATGCATCCGGCCAAGTTCGTCCTTCGTTTATATCCCACTCATTTAAACCACTTATAAAATGTACAGCACCACGTTACCTCAACGATAACGACAGTCTTTACTGCGTTCACCTCCTTCGGTCTTTGTGCCGTGTCCGCGTGGTTTGCATCCGAACGTTGGACGTTCCTTCGCCACAGTGGCAGAAAATGGCTTAGTGATGTCCTCCTCGAAGTCACAGACAAATTTCTTAATCTCCCCGGTATGGACATGATACGGCTTTGCGTCCGTAAATTTGAGCAGTCCGTTGAGCGAATGAGCAGTTCGATATCGAAAGTCGGCACCAAGACCGTTAGTTTGATATCTCACGGAAGTGGGAGTGACGATGAAAAGCATGATGATATAGAGACTGGAAATGGTGCCATTCTACCATTGACCAGCCCTCCCAATTCCCCCACCTTGAAACTTCGAGGGGCTTCGGATCCATCTCCGGAGACTAGCGGCACTATTAGTCCTGCTCCAACAACACCAACAATCGAAGGACCTGCACCTTCAATTTCATCGGAAGAGCCTTCGGTCGGTAGACAACTCTGGAAGAATGCAATACGAACGGTGAAGATGCGATCGGCGGTATCCTCAAATATCGCAGCCATGGCTAGCGCGAGGAATCCCCATCGTCGGCGAACGACGTCATCTACGTTGAACGGTAGAAAGAGGTCGACTGGAAATGGTCCTGTGCTACGATCCCGCGTTGCAACGCTGACTCCTCAGTTGAGGTCTTTACAACCAACAAGGGATCTCACTGCTCATCAAGCGCTTGTCAAGCATATTCAATTCTCGCCCAACGGGAAGTTTTTGGCTACGTCAAGGTGTGTATAGGGGAGGGAAATTGTCAGGCAAAGCTGACGCCACGTAGTTGGGATAGAACTTCGTTGATTTTCCGAGTCGGCGTAAGTATCCATGTTTCTGTCGTCCTGTGCGTATCAGGCTGATCTGTTAAATCAGGATACGTTCGAATCGCACCGTATTCTTGCACATGCAAAAGGCTTTGTGAACCAGGTTGCTTGGTGAGGCATCTTTCCTACTCTCGAGTAGTACTCACTTTCTCGTTTAGGTCGCCCTCCGGACATCTCCTACTGACGAAACTGAGCAAGAGTATCAAGATCTGGACGGAGGTGGGTTAGCCTCATCCGGCGCTGACGGTGCTCGCAGAAATCAGAGATCTGATTTTTACGCTTTTTCGTTCAACGCGTGCGCAGGATGGTGTATGTTTGAGGACAATCGACAGATCTGACACAACAATTGAATCAATAACGTGGTTGCCCGATGGGACCGGTGCGTTGCCTGCTTTCCTTGGACAATTGAGCATAACATTGATTAGTGAGTAGGATTTTTGTCTGTGGAAGGTAGCAACGTAACAAAACTGGCAAGTTGTATGTTTCTGCTCCTATGCTGTCGACATTCAATCTCTCTTCCGCGTTGTTAGGATCTTTTGGGCAAGGTGAATTACAATGAGTGTTCTCGTTTGCCATTGGTATTGACACCCTCGCCATTCTAGGTGGTCGGTCAATACGACTTCGAAAATATGAAGCTCCATGATGTTGCTGTCACCCCTGATGGCCTACGTCTTTTGGGTATCGGTCCGCTAACGGCGTCCCCCACTGGTTTGAAGCCAAGTAAACCTAGAGCAGTAGAGAAACGACTTGCAGGTTAGTTTCGCAGTCTGTTTAATAGTAGACATGGACTGACTTTGACGTGTTCCGCTACTCAGTGTACAACACGCAGACGAATCAGATTGAACAGTAAGTATACCTCCGTCACTAGAGATTAACTTTTGTGAGACACACTTTGTTAGTCAAACGCCGGTTCTCAATGATGTCCGTGACATCACATTGGCAAGGAACACGAAGAACGGCTTAATTGCTTTGGTCAGTTACGAGTACAAGGTGAGAGAGGCTGTGCTTCATATCTTTCAGAAGCTCACTCACGCCAAGGCACCACCCCAATTATGGAAAATTGACATTGTCAAAGATCATCGAGACAATAGTTCGCAGATGGTCGCTCGTTTCACTCTAAGGTATGATGGCTCCTTAGTGGTCTAACTGTCCTTTCATTCCCTTTGTAGACATACCTACATGCCCAAGGGCTCTGTTGAATTTGCTGGACCGAGTTACTTTGGTGGGAAAAACGACGAATTGGTCTTATGTGCAGGAAAAGGTACATGGTCTATTATGATTGTTGACCCTTCCTCAACTCACTGCATTTACAGCTGGGGATATTCACATCTGGGACCAAGAATCCGGAGCTCTGCTACATTATGTGCGTGCTCAAGCATTAGGCGGTGATCTCACATGCATGGCATGGAATCCTGCTGCAGAAGACCCCTACATGTTCGCCACCGGAAGTCATGATGGCGCTGTACGGATATGGACACGACCCCAGCCCGAGCCTTCGGATAATGCCGATAACGGTGGCGGGAGCGCCAATTTCACGCCTCGCACGGCATCACCTATGCCGTTTGAGATGGACCGGACGGATAGCCCGTTATCACAGCAGGACTTCGATGACATGTCGATACCGGAGAGCGACAACGATTTGCCGATGAGGGAGCGCATGGTAGCATTTACTGCAGATCGCGCACTGAGGAGAGCAGACTGAGCGGGTTTCTTGTGCAGGATTGCCATCCGCATGTTAAGCCGTAGATAGGCTATGATGTATTTACTGATTATTACATGCTGTAACGTATAGATGAGCATGGTTTTGGAGCAACTCTCGCCGGGAAATATGCAATGGAAATGGAAAATGAAAACAGCTCATTTGTTTACCCCTCGCTTTGCGTTGACTGCTACAATGCCCTCAACTACATTTAAGGCCTAAAACTTCAAAATCAATGATGTCTTCACTGTCAGCATTCGTGAGAACTTACCTGAAGAATGTCTCTTCGATACAATAGATTCGGGATAGAAAACACGGCATCGGGGTGGTTTTCATCGAAGATTCGGGTATGAAATTTCGCGTTGCTTAGGAATGTAAAGCGGTTGCTCCTAACATACCATTCTTCATCCCCATCCTCGTCCTCTACTTCCACGTGCTCATTCGCGTGTGCCGAATCAGGGCCATCCTCGTCATGACAGAGAACAGAATCAGGATGCACAGCCAGGAACTGCAGGTCATTCACCCACGGTTTCATTAGCATAGCTTTGCATGCAGCTCGCGTTTGCACAGAGGCTCGGGCATATGCTAGAAGCGTGGAGCTGTCGTAGATGTGCTCCGAAATTCGGGCCAACAGTTCATGTGGTAACTGTGTGCGTAGAGGCTCGGTATTGCAGACGATGATATCGGGATGTCCCTGGGAGAGATCATCAAGGTATTCACAGAGACGGGCAACGGCAGTTATACCCGGCGTGCTCGGGGAATAAGCGTACCAGGATGGAAGGAAGTCCAGCACGTCTGTATGAGTAACTTTTCCTGTCCCTCCTTCTAGCCGAACAAGAACACAATGGTAGAGAGAAAAGACAGCACCAAAGGAGTCTAAAACACGATGCCGTGAACGCATGCATTCAATAACGGTAACGACGGCTGCTTTCAGGTTGGGTTCATCATCCAAATGTGTCCAGGTGTACACACAAAGATTCTCGCGCAACCATACTGCCAGGCAGTCATCCTCAGACACTGTAGCAGGATAATGAGAGGCTGCAAGAACCGCTTCCCACTGCTCCCCGTACTTGGGGGGCGATAGAGCTGTCCAGGCGAAGATCCAAAGGGTACGTAAGCTGGCTCTGGTAAAGGAATCACGACTGGAGACGTTATGAAGATTGATAATGTTACGAGTATTCCTGTCCATCGTCATTAACACCCCCACCATTGCTTCCAAGAGACGAAGACGGGTGCTCGAAACGACAGACATTGCAAGAGGAGCGATATCCTCCTCGACCGTTGCCTCGAGTCGTTTGTAGGCCTCTAGTTGTTGACTACTGATCTCTGGTGGCGACGTGACCCAGTTGGCTTCATATCGGTGACATTCTGGCATATCCTCAGCGTAGCCTAGTCCGCCATAGTGATTCGTAGAGATGAATCCGCAAAAATCGCCCGACGAAGGCATGCAATCGAGGCGGAATATAGGAATGGAGTTGACATGAAATACGAGATTGTCTAAGTCGATTTCGTATATCCATTCGATAAAGATATCGTTCTGTGGTTGTTTGCGAGAGATGGAGTAATTATCATTGACTTGAAGGGTTTGACGACATCGTTTTTCTACCCGGTATTTCTCCAGGTCGCCATCCAATCGCCTTGTGGCCCTTTTGAACCAATTATCGAAGACTTGGGGATCACAGTCTGCAGATGGTACATTGCCGCAGACTATTAAGCCAAGACCATCGGGATACGAGTCGAGGTGGCTGTATTGTATGAAATACCAGCCTCTCCAGCGATAGACATAATAACCACGAGTACCCATGGAGAAAAGTGAAAGGCAATGGGAGTTGTTTGAGAAGAATGTCTGGGCTGAACTTGAATTTCTCACGGTATCGGTAACCCGGAGGCGGACACCAAATGTTGACAAACCTGGACATCGCCAAGGTTCCCCATTATCCAATCAGTAATGGTACGCAATGCAAAGCGCGTCACTATGGATAAAAAAAGTGCCGTTCTAAGCCACCACAAGACGGCTGGGTACGCGCCGGGAAGCAGATACCGTGAGTTTTTAGATCTACAGACATCCTGTTCGAGCAGATATACGAACTCAGGACGACGGCAGTTTAATCCTATATTGAATCCCGGTCGTTTGCGGAGACATGGGCAAAAAATGCGAAAAGCAAGGAACTAACCTCGTTCCGACTGACCTTGAAGCATTTGTGATGTTCGAACCGACCGCAGATATACAACTTTGACGTCTATATGTAAGGCGCGGCGATGGAGTCTAGTGAATCCGTGAGGCATTTATGCATGTCCCTATTGTATGTGGCGTTCTCATAGCTGATTCAGAGCTCTGGGACAAAAGATGGCAAGACTATTTATGACAAGAACGTCAGGATAGTCAACGAAGCTGGGCGTGTACGATACGACATTAAGTTGACAAAAATATATCGCTGGGGTAGGTGTCTAGTTACTTTTCTGCTCGCCAAACTCTCAATAGTTGTGCAGAATTTAACACTGGTGAATCTGTTCCACATTCCGTGCACGGTCGAGCTTGAGGACGCTGGGCAGGGATATCGTGTATAGCAAGCCCAACGTTGCCAGGTAAGTAGACGACAATCAGGCAGTGGAGTTACTGGCGCGGGAGCCATGGAAAGCTGTTGCCGCAGCTATAGACTCAAATATCCAAGGAGACATGTAACATGAACATATAGGCAGATTCCTTGGTAAATTCGACATTTCGGTTTTGCGACTCCACCATCTTGAAATCGTAGACTTTCGTTCTAAGAAGAGCATGATCCGACACTTCTACGTTCTACATACTTTCATGAACCCTACGCAGGTGATATTCTGGTGGACGTTCTATCTGCGATTTCTTCAAACAGGAGAGGACCGTGACCTTGTGTATACCGATTGAATACACGAGGTGGCCCATACCTTCTGTCGCCTGGTCAGCTGGATTTGAACCTTGGTGGCTATCTACCTCTAATAATGGTAGTGCTGAAGCGTAGGACTTTTTCATGGTACTATTCATTTAAGTTACCGACAGCCCGAGTCCAGTTAGAGCCGGATCAAATACAAAGGCTGTTGCCACTGCGCATCCGTTGCTTGCGATGATCACCTAAGGATGACTACGACAACTTTTTTTGTGGATGTTATTATTATAAAAAATTACAAACTCAACTATTAAATAATGTCATGCATGGCGTCAGTTTTGGTGGCCAACAGGGGAATGACGTCGGGGTGTCCCAATTAGGGAAGAGATTGTTGGAAAATTGTTTGTTTTCGTTGGTGGAGCGTTTTTGACCCGTGCCTGTCAGACGAGTTCATTTAGTCTCCACTTTCGGACAGGGTCCACTCTCTGGCTCTACCACGAACCAACACCGTCGAGCTCGCTGTTCTCGACGACGACCACGCTCTTTCCCCGCCCAACTCTTATGGATTCCCTCCGTCCCGTGCGTCCGATCCCTGTCGTCATTCATTTCCCTTCGCAAATCCGTCCAACTAACATCGCATTATTTCCAGGATGGACCTTCACGATCTTCATTTACTTCCCCAGTGCCGGCTCCCACCAACGATGATATTGAAGCCGTAATTCAGATGGCCACTTCAACCCGCGCTTCGCCTGACGGTCGAACTGGGCCTCCAAGGGATACCAGGACTCAATTGTTTGTGGGGAACGTGGGTTTGCGTGTTGTTCATTGGCGGACAAGTATTTACCCCGCCTCCAGCTACCCTACCGCGTACGGTGGCAAGACTTGAAAGATCTTTTTCGGCAAGCTGGAACGGTACTGCGAGCGGACGTTTCTCTCGGTCCAGACAATCGATCACGAGGCTATGGGACAGTCCTACTAGCAACCGCTGAAGACGCTGGCCGCGCCGTCGATAAGTTCAATGGATATTCGTGGCAGACTCGTATACTCGAAGTACGTCCTGATCGTCTTCCCCCTGACTTCGACAGTTCTGCTGCGACTCCCGCTATTTCCTATCCTCTTCCTGATATCGATTCGCTTTCACTGTACGGGTTAGAGCGGCCTGCTTCAACCGCAGGCGGCGGCAGGAACTTATTTGTGGGGAATGTGTGTCTTATTGATTATTTCGTCATCACATTATCTGATAGTATTTATCAGCTGCCATTCCACTGCCAATGGCAGGACTTGAAAGATCTTTTCCGTCAGGCAGGTACCATTTTACGCGCTGATGTCGCATTGGGGCAAGATGGTCGGTCCAGAGGCTTCGGCACTGTCGTCTTTGCTACAGATTATGATGCAGAACGCGCAGTTAAAATATTCAACGGGTAAGCTAAATGTTGTCTGGCTGTCATGTGATCCCAATCATTCATGTATCTCAGTTACGAGTACAATGGACGTCCATTGAAAGTGCATTACGACAAATTTTCACCTTCATCAGGTGCTACACCCGTCTCACCGTCAACGTCTTCATTTGGTCAAGCCCCAAGCGCTCCATCAAGCCAAGCGACTTCGACGTATCCACCCTCACATATTTCCCTGCCAACAGGATACCTGGATCTCTCTGCGCCTAGCTCCCCTTATGATATCTATCCGCCGCAACTTCAGATGACCATGCCTCATCCCCACCACACCCATTCTCACATACATCAGCCAACGGCACAGAAGGAAGTCAGGCCTCCCCTCTCGCTCACTTCTTCACATCCTATATCATCTTCTACGCCGTCTTCTGCTGATTCTACAAGACCGTCATTGAGTGCAAATCTATCTAATTCCACATCTGTACGATCTTCGAATAACACCCCTTCGTCGGAAGGGAACTCGGCATCTCCCCTACCTCAAAACCAGGGACATACTTCTTCGTCTCATCACGCGCAGCACCCTCATCATCCTGGGCCCATATCAATACCACCTCCGCCACCAGTAACCTCTTTCACAATGCATCCAGGCCTTCACCAAATGTCGCCTGTGCTCATATCGCCGCTGTATCATCCTATGTCACCCCTTCATCATGTACCAATTCCAATGACCCCGCATGGCCTTCCTCCCATTACACCCTCTATGCCTCCGTTTACATTCTTACCACCGCCTTCCTTTGCGCAGCCTCTGAAAACAAGCGACAGCGACATGTCCATGAATGGATTTCACCCACATTCGTTTGCGTCATCGTCTTTGTCGCAAAGGCTTCCCACGACTCCGCCTCCGCCATCACCGTCTTTGGATTCGTCGGCAATGCCCTCGACTACGTCACTTTCTTCATTATACCCGTATCCTAATTCAGATTCCGACCCTCCGGCTTCCCCTACTTCGAAAAGACGACCGTCGCCATCACGTCGACCTCACCCGCTGCAAGCGCCCCACTTGACACCATTCTCACCGGGACTGGCAATGAGTCCCGGAGCGTTTTGGGGACGGAACCCGTATATGAACCCAGCTCCAGGAGCGCCAGTGCACCCTTACCATAATAATCCGTACATACAACCACAGTCAAGTCCTGGTTACCCCATACCAAGTCCTGGCGGCTTCCAGTTGCATCCTCAGCCGAGTCCTGGGGGATTCTTCTATACTGGACATCTCCAGGAACCGAAAGGGTACTTCGACAGTGTCATGGCAATGGGCGGGCTCACGGGAAACAACGATTCGGGAGGCGGTAACGGATATTTCGGTTTTGGTCTCGGAGTTGAAGGTGAAATATTGAAGGAAAAGGCGGAGTTGAAAGAATCAAGCGCAGAGACCGGGAAGGTACCGAAGGTGAAGATGGAAGCAACAAAGAACTCAGCAGGCTTAGCAGAGATTGATGATGTTTTTTTTACTGCTCCTGGCAATGGGCCCGGTCCATTGAGGACACAGTCACTGTCGGCTTCTGACGAGAAGCGGCCACCGACACAGCGGGCGTCTGGATCTTACCCTACGCAGGGATCTTAGAGCTCCGACATTGTAGATGATCGGACTTGGTAATATGGTCTACCACGACGCACGAATGGGTTTCCTTTGCCTCTTTTATGGGTAAGAGGCCTTTTTTCTTGTTTGTCATGCACGTCTTTTTATCTTCATTCATCCTTGCATCCTCACACGTACCTAAGAATCTCATGGTTTTGCAACATCTGTTTCTACTATAATTTAACATTTCCCTGTGTTTGTCTGCTCGTCCTTCTTTGTCGCCGCACTGAATGTTGGAATTCTGCATCGCACTGTTTACATATTTATCGCAAGCAAAATATAAAAGATACATACCATATAGGTACTGGTTGTACAGAAGCCTTTGTGAATGGCACCAAAGATATCCTTCGGGAAATTCGATAAACTCCTCGTTGCTTGCTAGGATACCAGGGACGACTTGGGCCCATCACACTCTATCATGATGCCTGAGAGAGAGAGTTGGGCCTGGAGACGGGATAAGTACCAGGATGAATGAACACCAAAGAGCAAGGAGATACCGTTTGGCTGCCAGTGAGAAAGGATGGCCGGCTCACTATCATTCTGTTGTCATGTGAGTTTTGTTTATGGCCATGGCTTCGTTGTCAAAGATATGTTTACCTAGCGGTAAGGATCTTGGTGGGAAAAAAAATACTTCAGAGAGTCTCGGACTGAACAACGAAATGTGATAGTTGTACAACAAAGCAAAAACTATTCAACTAAGTGCTAGCGCGCTGTACAGATATCTTTGGCAGGCCTCGGAAGACCAGAAGCGAAATATTAAATGAATCAGTGCAAGAATCATCCAAAATTCCACATCAGCTTGAAGGATTCTCTGACCGGATTCAGACAGCCTTGAGGAAAACCGAATTTCCCGCGATATCTCAGTGAATCTTAGCTAGTCTCACCGCCAGTAGATGACGATAGCGGCTATAATGTCATCAAACGAACAGGGAACGGGCTCGAGTCTAAGTCTACAACTGTCTACTGGTGGCTTTCCGTCCTAAGACATTTGTTACCGTTCAAATCATGTCAGGGTGATTCATATAAATTCGCGATCTGAATGGTGACTTTATCTGTGTCCCATTGTGCGTAAGTGCTCAGATATTCAAGTTGTATCGTTATTCTCAGAATGATGGCAACCACAGAGTTTGAGGATAGGAACGTTTAGGGTCGCTTTTGGACGCATCAGTGACACACGAATGTTCGTATTTTTCACATATCCCACAGAGAAAGCACTGATTTTACATGCCATTATCCCCGGATAATTCGACTCAACTTGCACTCTAAGAGAACTCAACATTCCATTCTAAAAGCGTCTTCAAGGCTTTGCAAATCACCTTGTGCTTTTCCCAATCCTGACATTGGCATTGCTAAATGTGAGAGTTCCTAAGCGGTTTGATAGTCCATCAAGCCATTCCGGCGTACCCGAGAACAGTAGCACGATTTACACATGGTACAGCGACGGTGAGCGGCTTCGTTGCGGACGATACACGGCAGGAACTGCCCCGCGTCAGATCTTTGGCGCAATTCTGAGTTGAGTGTTCTCAATTCTTCAATAACGCACGGAAGAACCTATAGTTAATCGGAAAATTTTTTCAGTATGAGAGCACTGGAACATACAGTAATGGTGGAGACGTCTTCAATTCGATACCCGACCTCGCCGTCGAAGAAGTAGTGCAACCTCGAGTTCTTGATGCATATTGTCGAGCCAATTTCGCATTTGAGATCCTCAGCGTCCTGGTCCGGATCGTCTGTGTAGAATGTGACAGTCCAGTAGTGTCCCGGCAGCTTGTCTTCGACCCTGTGCACTGGTCTTCCAAACATTGACACATCATCAACAATCTAAAATTATCGGTTTTCGTTGGAGACATTAGAGAAAAAAAAAGAGAAACCTAGCAGAGTGTGTACCAAGTATCGTCCGCGTAGGACAGGGATGTGAGCACAATCAGGAAAGTCCAGGATATTATCCAGGTCCAACTGGTAGCGTAAAACAGGGCTCCCGGCGGAATTCATGGATCTGATGTTGCAGGCACCAAGAGTAAGAAAGTTGTAAAGAAAGCAAAGGATGATTTACACGCTGGCGTCTCAAGTGCCGGAACTTCGTCCCGATATTTCCCACGAGCACGTGTGGTTCACAGCATGTCGCGAGATTCATCTGATACCGCTTTACTATTTTGACTCTTTTTTTCTCATCTTGTCGATGCACGACAGGAAGAATTCTTCGCCCAAGAACCCTATAAAATCATGTGCTGCTGCCCCTATGACACGGGAATTCTTTCGGACTCGTACATCCCACCGTGCATCGATATCGTTTCAAGAGGCGCGCGGTAAGGTACATGGCGAGAATTTGCCCTTCTGATGCCTGTCTGGATGGAACATGGAACATTCATACCATCTCTCTCGACTCCTTCCTGTCCCTGGTGCTTGTTCCATGTTTTAACTTCGGATACACCTCCGGATTTTTCCGCTTGAAGATCACCTACGAAAGGGCGCAGAGCCATGATTGGGTTGTCCAAAAGCGAAGTTCCCAGACCAGAACCCTATCGGACGAGTGGGCTATATCAGCGATGGTGAGCCCACTAACTGCTCTAAAGGCAACAGTCGCTATCTCCTTGTCAATTACTATTTCGGATAGGTGCTGTCTTCTGGCTTTCTAGACCTATTCTGTTATTGTATCGATGTCCGAAGTCAAAGGAAGGCTCCAGCCCGAACTTCAAAGTCAAAAATACATATTTGATGATGTTGCTCAAGAGCGTCAGCAAGTCCCATGTGCGTCCACCGCGATGTCTTATTCGACAGTTGGATTTGAATTAAGACTATAATGATTGTGCCAGCTGCGCATGGACGCCTCGGTAGCTCCACAATCCGAACTTATTAAGATTACTGAGGAACAGAGGCGAACGGCTAAGAACGCAATCGACGTCACTGGGATGAGGCGTTAATTGCGTGTGTGGCATTGGATTAATCCAAGGCCTTCTTCTGACCATCCTCTGCCGCTGTACTCTACGGGTGAGTGAAATTTTAGCACTGTGTCGCCTCATTTCGGCGAAGAGCAAGAAGGAGCTCTTGATTGACGCGTCCAGTTTATACCAATCAGCCTTGATGGGACCATGTGTCACCAGCCTTCCTCGGAACTCACATATATATATGCCCTGAGATTTTTCAACGTGCTGATTCGCTTGCCCACAGGACCATGTTATTGCCTCGTTTTCAAATACTGTTCTTCCTTTTCATTCCAGTCGCTCTAGGAAATCTCGTCGACGACCTTCTTGATGCACTAGAACAGGCTTCCACGTGTGCGGGGTGCCATGCACTCATGGCACCACTCAAGCTACTGGCTGACTTCGGAGACGGCGTCTTCGTGGATACCTTCACAGACATATGCACATTGCTGCTTGTAAGTGCCAAGAGTACATTTCTTCCAAATTGTCAGGCTTAGGGCTTTCAGATAGCAGATAACGATGTATGTGAAGGACTCATCAATCAGCAAGGCCCTATCGTAGCCCACGCTTTGAGAGCCATATCTGCAACGTCCCAGACCTCAACTAAACTATGCAGCCTCGTGGGGCTCTGTGATCCCCCAGACATTAACGCTTATAGCGTATCCTTCGTATCAAACACATCTAGCGCCAAGCCGACAACTTCACAAGGACGCGCCCCCTTCAGGGTCGCCCATATCAGTGACGTTCACATCGATAGATCATACACGGTCAGTTGATCTTCTCGGATGTCTGTAATCATGCTTTTTGACGTCATGGGATGTCAGGTTGGTGCCGACGCTAATTGCACGAAGCCCATATGCTGTAGAAACTACGCAGACTCTGCGGGTGACTCGATTGAAAGACCTGCGGGTCCCTTTGGCGAATACGGATGTGACACTCCCGCGACCTTGATACACTCTCTGATATCACAGATTGCTGGATCCGGCAGTGAATTTACTATCTTTACAGGAGACGTCGTTGAGGGTAAGCTATTCAAGCCCTTATCCTACTCTGACTAATAGATATCAGCCGCCGTTTGGCTGGTAACTGAGGAGTACGGCCCGATCATCTACTATGCACTTCTATACCAACAAATTCTCGTTTTTAGGGAAAATATCAACGACATCGACATATTCAACGATGAGCTTTCAAATGGCTTGGGTATGCCCGTATACCCTGTCATTGGAAATCAGTATGTTTCTTGTCGCAGTTTCAACGGCGAAGGTTTAATCCCATATGCCTATTCAGTGAAGCCGCTCCCGTGAACAGTTTTCCCAGGAACACCTCTATAAATATCGAAGAATGGGACGCCCAATGGGTCTTTGATACTACCAGCGCGAAATGGACTGTGGGTGCCCATTCATATTCCGTGTAACTTCTGATATTTACGGCTGCAGTCATGGATAAATTCGACGGCGTCCGATCAAGTTAGGCACTACTCAGGCAGCTATTCAATAATTGTACCGGGAAAAAATCTACGGTATGTCTTGTTATGGCCGGTTTCTCCAGTGCTCTGATTTCATTCTTTCAGTATCATATCTATCAATACTGTCTACTGGTATAGATTAAAGTATGTCTTGGTCAAAACGATACCTATCTATGTCAACTGATACGCACAGCTTCTGGCTATATGATACCAATGAGCAACAGTACGTTTTCACATGCATCTTTGATATTTATCAAGTGAGGATCTGGACAGACCCGACCCGAACGGAATCTTAGAGTTCACTACACGAGAGTTACAGGCAGCGGAGGACGCCGGACAACGAGCATGGATCATTGCGCACATGCCTCCTGGAGAGACTGATACCCTGCGCGATCAGTCCAACTATTATGATCAGATTGTCCAGCGGTACAAGGATACCATCGCAGCTCAGTTCTTCGGACATACGCATGATGTGTGCATTTCCGCTGTTTGTTTGTTGATGAGTTACTCACTTCGATTTTGATTCCGATTCCGTTAGGACCAATTTGAGATCGCCTACTCCGACTATGACAATCGAGTCGCTGACAACGCTGTCAGTGTTGCATGGATCGTGCCTTCGGTGACCCCGAGAGGTCAGTCAGATAACTGCATGTACTACGTCCTATTTTCCTGAAACAAATTTTTTATAGAGGCAAACGCTGCTTTCAAGATCTATGACATAGACCCAGACACGTATGAAGTCATGGACGCGCATGTCTATATCAGTAGGTCGCTTCTAGCCCAAGTCGCTTGATGCTAACGGTGAGGAACATCAGCCAATCTTAGCGACCCAACGTTTGAGATCCAGCGTAGGTGATCTGCCACTTATCTCCTTCCTGTATGTTCACCCTATTTCCAGCAACCTGGAACCTTTACTACAGCGCTCGTGAGACCTTCGGTCCCTTGGTTGCCGACCTCGCCGACACAGATTCCCTTGGTCCATCATTCTGGCACCAGGTTACTGAAGGATTTGAGTCGAATGATACAGCGTTTGATCTCTACTACTCCTTCAAAACTCGGGGCTATGATGTAGAGGCTTGTGATGATGACTGCAAGACAGAGACCATCTGTGGGCTGAGGGCTATGCGATCGCAGGATAACTGTGTAAGTTATATTCTCTCTCCTGCAGGAAAAATAATTCATTGGGTATCTTAAAGGTCAAAACCGAACCTGGGCTGAGCTTCAAGAGAGGCCTCCCGGGCCAATCAATGGGGACTTCGGAGAGCTGTGAAGGCTTCAGCATGGGAAACATTTTGTCCGGAATGGTTGGAAAATTTGCAAATGGGGAGGTGAGTTATATTATACACCTGTATGCACCACCATCGCTAAAGTTACCCCATGCAGGTGACGGACGATCAACGATCTCAATTGTGGCTAAAGCTTAACGCGACGATACCTGCTTGACTAGACAGGATCTACGTAAGGTATTAATATTTAATTCATGCCAGCATAAGCAATCATATACATTCTTGATTCGAATCACGTCTGTCTCGTGTCTAACTATATCGATGGTCCGCAGAGGATGTGGACGAATCCGAAAAACGTCTGCTATTTGTTCAGGGTTGACCTACGCATACGATCATCTCTTCTATTCTGTGCGCCCAATACCCGCTCCTATACAGGACATCTCGTCGTCATTGCGATAATCAAGCGGCTAGAACTCTCAAAGCGCCGCTGCCTCAGCCTCAGAGGGCGCTTGGCAAAAACCTTGACTGCGTCGAACTTTGGTCGGCCTTACGGGGTAACTGCGGCAGGCACCTCCTTGTTGAGGTGCTCGAGCGGCCCGTTGCCAGCTTGTACTGTAATTATAGCGCGTCTTGGAAATAGCTGTCGCGTCAAATGTTTGAATGGAGACTATCATGTGCTTTTCGGACTTTTTTGCGGCATAAATAGTAATAAATGCATAAATGTACGGAGGGTCAGTCATATGCGCTCTCTGCTACTCGCTTGGGACTGAGAATCTTTGAAGTTCTTTGATTAGAAATTTATTCGAAAAGATCGGAATATTGGAGGAATGACGCGGCCCGTGAAGTCCTGAGGAGAGGGCATTTCGGTATAGAACTTGCTTTTTAGACATGTGGCGTTTCTTAACACCTTGGAGGTTGATTTGTCCTGTAGAAAATTCGGATGACTACAGGACGTGTGTCACTCCAGCCATGCTCGTTGCCAATGCTATCGAACAGAGTTTGTATGCACACCTGAGACTTGGTGATTAAGCGGTAAGCATCCTAAGCGCTACTCGCTGTCGGGTACTGACACTGAGTATCATAATATATTCGCCCCAGCATTTCGTGCCATTGGCTCATCATGTTTACTACGCAGATTCTTCCTGCCTCTTCCATAGTGGTATAGGTATATGGGGTCTTCGGGAAATCTTCCTGCGCCTTCAGCTTGCTTGTGTAGGTCGTTCTTCCTGTATACGTTATATTTCCATACTGAATCACGAGTCCGAGGCACAAAAGTATGTTCCGGGCAACAAAAGAAGTAGAATTCCATCCATTCTTCCGAATGGAGCGCCACAGTCTGACACGCACTGGCAGGGCTGCATCTACAGCGTGCATAATATATAGTTATCGGATTCGGAGGCCCGGGCCTTGGAGTTTTCGTTATCCTACTCGGTTAGAACTGGAGATTGGCTTCATAGTCCGATGCCAAGTTCACTGAACGAACCTGGGGTGCGTCACAACTTGTTCCTAGAGTTCTTATGGTGTAGGCACCCGTTCCATCAACAATTAACGATTCGTCGCGACTCTACACGTAGATCTATTGCGACGAACAAGTGAGGCTCTCGGATCTTTCCAGGGCGTACAGCCACATTGATGGGACCAGGTACGAGCTCAGATGCCACCCATTCCGTTTTGATTAAAAAATTCTCCTCTAAGTTGTTTCTCTTTTGGTCGTTTCCTGTTGGTATGGGCAACAGTACGCAGTGGTGTATTCTAGAAGAAGCCGGCTTTTTCACGGAAGATATCCAATTTCAGGCTACCGTTGCCAAGTAGTACGCGTCATGTTTCGCAATCGGTTTATGCATCGCTGCGCAAGAAAAATTTTTTACTAAAAGCCGCTCGACTATATTGGGATGTACGACTTTAACACAATCTCTGCGTGGTTTTAATCAGCAATGTGCACCGTTTTTAACAACGACAATAAGAGCCTGAAATCTCCATGCGGTGGTCCAATAGCCGTCGGAACGAAGATAGCCGAAATTATCGTTCCTAATTGTTTTCCTACAGAATGGTATCCAGAGGCGAAACTGTATAGTCTGGTACGTGATACCCAATCAAATACATCGCTGTTCAGATGAATTGTATGATTTCTGGGCCAAGAACTATATTCTTCACGTCAACACTAAGTACTAAGTAGTCATGCATGATGCAATCAAATTTCAAGGCCGCGGAGACGTCGTGAGGGATGTCTGTTCTAGCTTTTATGATCCTTAATCATATGTTTCATAGAACAAGGGACAATCTCCGAAAAACTCGAACGGGAGGGGGAAAAAATACCGTTGGGTAGATATCAAGGGGATATGACGGTGATCGGCGATTCCTTCTCTGGGACATCTCTTATTATCCCTCATTATCTCGAACCTTAGATCTGAAAAGCGGCATTTCATATTTCATTCCGGTACAACATGCAATTGTTTTGATGCGCCTAATGGCACCAAGTCAAAAATAATCGGTCCCGATCAGCGCAAAAACGCGATATTCTTTTGTCTTGATGTGGGCAGAGACGGAATGGTTAAAAGAACGCGATGATTGCTTTACCCACTTCCCACCCACCTCTCACCCGTCACGATGGCCCCGCCCGTAACTTTCGTGCTACCCGATCTCATGGCAGGATGGCCGTTCAAGACTATGCCTAATCCTCACTCGACCAAGATCAACGCCGAGAGTGCAGCGTGGGTCCAGAGCTACGACGCCTTCAACGCCAAGGCGCAGAGAACCTTTGACCGCTGCAACTTCGGTGCTTTCGCCGCCCTCGCGTACCCGAAGGCTGAGCCCGCACACTACCGCGCCGCTGTTGATCTCATCAACTATTACTTCGTCTACGACGAACTGAGTGATGAGGAGAGTGGTGAAACTGTACGGAAACAAGCTGCCGCTATCATGAATGCCGTGCGGTACGTGTTGATTGTTCCTTCATTTTTTGGTTACTGATTCCCGTGTTCTAGAAATCCTTACGCGCCGCCTCCCCCGAATGAGCACGTCCTAGGTGTCATGGCACGAGAGTATGAAACACCTTTCTTTCTGTCAGTTACAGTTTCGTTGACGTGATAACTACTAGTTTTTGGATCAGAGCCTTGGAAGAGGGCCATGCCAGTGCATCCACTGCAAAACGTTTCCTTGAGGCCTTCGCACAGTATACTGACTGTGTGGCACAACAAGCAGAGGACCGTGATGTCGGCCGCATTCGCCCGATAGAAGAATATCTCGCGATGAGACGTGGGACTGTCGGTGTGAGGCCTTCATTCGACTTCTTCATGCTTTCAGAAGATCTCCCCGATGAAGCAGTCAAACACCCACAGGTTGAAAAGTTGGTCTTGGGCGCCATTGACATGAGTATTCTGTCAAACGTGAGTCTTGCGCTAGTTCCCGGCCCCGATAAATTTCTGACAATTGGTACCGCAGGACATATACTCGTGGAACGTGGAACAGGCCCATGGTGACGAGAATCATAACATTGTGTCCGTGACAATGGCAGAAAAGGGCATGACTATCCAGGAGGCAATGAACGATGTCGGAAAACGCTATGAGAAGCTCTCCAAGGCGTTTTTAGACGACATGAAACATATCCCAACGTTCCCTGAGCCGGTGAACCGGCGCCTACACGAGTTTGTGATGTTCCTTGGAATCTGGGTCACTACCAACGACGAGTGGTCCTTCATTACCCCGCGCTACTTCGGTGAGGCCGCTCCGGAAGTGCGGATTCATCGAACGGTAGAGCTTCTGCCTAAACGCAAATGAGGGTGGGTTACCATGCCTCAAAATTCAGCATTCGATTTTCATCATTGTATCATTTTACACATTTTTTTATACCGTACGAGCCCTGTATATGCCGCGTTATCTTAGAACCACTAGATCTTAGGAGAATCACTTACTACTTATTCGTTCGTTTTATTAATATATGCCTAACCGCATGTCTTGACAAATCTACAAACAAATGAGACGGAACGACGTCTGAAAAAAATTCAATTTCATGCTATTGCAGGCAAAATGTCGCAAAGCTACCCTGATGGAGATTGGCTTGATGCATATATGAGTGCGTGTAGACGTGCGTATACTTGAACTACCGAATAGCATGTATATCAGAACGCACGACGCAAACACGAGTCCATAAGCCACTTACCGATTATCAAAATTCGCCGATATTCAAGCAATCATTCCCCTAAGGGAGCTACAATAGGAAAAATTATGCAACCCAGCAGACCCAAGCGATCTGAAATCCAGCGATCCTGACCCATGCGTGCTGCAAAGTACGCTTTCGGGACTCTCGTACGCCGAAACAAAGATAAAGATGTCACACGCCGCCGCTTCCTTCTGTGGCTTGCCTCTGCCATCCTGTGTGATAAGCCCAGTAACGAAATGCTCGATGTGCTAGGCAGATACGGTGTCCCTGGCAGTGATTCGGACGCCGATAAGCCGACTACATACTTGCCCGGTCGGGGGCTCTAGATCTTGCCTGGAAGTAATCTTAACCCGGCGAGATGTGACTGCGATGGCAACAGAACATGGACAAGTTGGAGAATGGACCACCGGCCATCTCTTCTTGTATCTCGTAACACACCCCGTGCGCCGATGGACCCAGCCAAAGGAAGTAGGAAGGAGAAGCGACCAAATCTCCTGGTCTTCGGGTTGGGCAAGAGCCAGTCGAGAGAATCCAATATTCAGACCTTATCCTGCCCGCAAATTTGGACCAAAGGACCTGTATGGAACGAGCATTGCAGCCTGCTGGGTGGTAGAACCTGAAGGGGTCGCACAGCCACTGGGTCAGACTTGCGGATGGCTGCCATGTCAGGTAATACAAGAGCCTTCTTACCCGTCTCCAGTCCACTAATTTGCACCTAGAGGTCCCCGTATTCAATACAGACCGCACCATTCTTTCCATGGCAGGTGTAAACGCCCTGCAAGTCGAAAAGCTGCCTCCTGAAACCAGTACGCATTTCTTGAGTGACCTTACTATGCAACGTTACCAATGAAGCATCTTAGCTCAACATTTCGACCGCGACCCAGACACTAACAAGCTCCTTTGGTTTGCTTCGCCCCCCATGAATGTGACGCCAGCTCCGACTCCGAAATACAGTCTGGCATATCTGCATTTCCTAGCAACGAAGCGAAGAAAAAGATCTGACACCACTCCAGCAAAAAGAAAATAAATACTGTCGTCTTAGAATAGAAGAGTCCTATGATACGTAAAACGATCAAGTGTCCAACGCAATAATGATAATATGAGACCATCTCTAGACGAAATACACCAGCATCATAGCACAAACGTATAAATATGAGAAGGAAGTATACAATAGTTTGTTCGTAGCATTGTTCCTCCCTCGACTGGTACTTCCCAGCCCATCTACCGCCGCATGGTGCCCATTAGACGTCGCCAGAACTGCTGGATCTACGGTGGCCGTGTTGTCCATTTTTGTCACAGTTGTCGTAGGAAATGTCTGCGCTTCTCCTCCTCCTTCAGATTCACTAAGCGCATCGTCTGTCAAGAACACGAGCGCAAAACCCGGTGCAGGAACATATATAGAACATATATTTCCAGTCTGGTCACAGCCGATAGTTTCGATGTCCTCTTCTCCTTGAATCCGCCCGTCAGTGGCAAAATTGTCACCAAAGGTCTGTCATAAACGGTCACCTGAGAGCCCTCTAAATCGGAACAGCTCAGCTTACCTGGCCTGCCCAAGTGAGATTACCCTTTTGAGACACAGACGAAGCTCTGAAGTATCTGCCGAGAAGTTAGGATCGACGACTGTGTTCGCGTAAGAAGCCACTCACTTCACTTTGACCTGAGCCGGTGTTCCGTTGGATTGCCCAGTGTTTCCGCCTCCGATAGAAAAGGTTGCGTAGTAATCATGGGCACCAGATGAATCAGTGATGAAGTTAAATAAGGCAAGGCGAGCAGGTGTGCCTTGTTCGTATATTGCATATCCTGGGGTGAATATATTACCCCCGTTTGCACCGATGTCCAGCACTTGCGATGTATTAGATGGGCCAAGAGCCTCTGCCATAATCAAAGCGGAGTAATAGATGGGTCCAACCGTCCACTGATGATATGTTGATTCATTTGTTGGCGGAGCTAGCGTGTGTATCAGTCTCGTAGACGCTGATGACAATAAAACATCAGCAGCGTACCGGTAAAAGGCTATGAAAAGAAATTGGTTGGTGATAATAGAATACATAGAATGGGAACGTACATTGTAGTAAACTGTTTGTCCACCAGTGTGCATCAAAACGCCCGAGAAGTTGGCGTAAGCCAATTGCAAGGCATAGTCAAGTCCCCACAGAGCTGCTCCGAAAGAATCGCTGATGCCCGCAAAGCCCCCACAGGATGCAGTGTTGGTTTCGAACATGATCAATTCTTTCCCTTCACTTTGGGCATAGGCGGTCGAGTTCAGGTAGTTCGCAACCAGATTGACACTCGCACTATGATCCAGATAGTATGGGAACATCTGCTGAGGATCAATGGCACTGCCTTCATCAAATGTAGCAGCACAGTTATCTTGCGGATACCTGTTGTTGACACATGAGCACGACGTCGTCGCACTCACTTCTGGCTCACCTTTCGAATGCGAGGTATGCTAGGTTGTCATGATATGCATCGACAAAACCAGTATTCCAGATGTCCTGTTGAGACCACTGGTCGGCAGTATTTGGTCCGATAAGCAAGTGCCGATTTATATCGTTTTCCGAACCGTTCATGGCTGCTATCAAATCATTAAACTCTCCAAAGTAGTCATATTGGTTGTACGTCTGGGAAAACCAAGAGACGCGTATGAGACAAAAGTAATGCATCCGAGAAGAAGTAAACATACCGAAGGACGGTGACCATGAGCGACGTAGAAATCGGGTTCATTACCAGCCTGGATACCGATAAGCGCGTCTCCTAGAATTTCTTGGCCTGTGACAGCTATTGACAGATCGAAAGGCGTAGTCTGGAAGAATGGAATTCCTACGACATAAGCTTAGGAACCGTGTGAAACCTGTAAGTATAGAATGCATACCAATGAACCAATGAACATTGACCAGGGACGTAATATTTGCCATCATGTAAAGAAGATCTGGAGTGAATACAAGAGGTGGCGTTTGAGTCTGAAAGCGTACAACGCCTTAGTTGCACTTTTGAGCGGCAAAGAGACGTCATCTTACAGGATTCGTGGCCTGACTCAAGTTCTTCTCCAGGATCTTGCCATCGGACAACTCGGGAACCAGTTTCGCCGTTTCCTGTGTATTTCCACCAACGCGTACTCGTACACCTCCAGATCTTTCCTGTATGTTTGCCATAAGGTTCAAGAAAGGGACTTGTAATAGCGACCTAAACAACCGAGATCAATCGGGGTAATAAGTTGAACAATAAAACGGACCCTCACGAATTTTTTCCGACTTGATGATTGAAAGCAAGTTCAACAAAGAGCAAAGCCTTCATTTGTTATTGATTACTCACGAACTTGATTCGCTACCGACATTTCGATAGAAAATCCAAAGAACTGGCCAGGCTGTGGAATCGATGCCCCTGGTGTACCCCCATTAACAAGCTGAATAAAAAACGCGGTAGCAGGCGCGGGGTCAGGTGGCGGTGGTGGGTTTAGCACAAGAGGCGTGTAGGCATTGAGGCCAGTGTACACTGAGGAATCCGCTGTGGTCGTCGCAAAGGGTTCTTGCCCAAGGACGTAATGGACTGTGACTTGAGATCGTACGATCCCAGCCAGAGATGCTAGGAGAACGAAACGCATGGAAGAGGCCTGAAAGGAGAAGGAAGAAGAGTGAAAAGGTGTTTATGTTGAATCGTGATCATCTATTGGAGTTACCTTGCACAATTGGGGTTAGTCGGAGAAGATCCCACGAAGCGAGGTAAGCTAGTTCCCACACCCAGGGCAATATAACTGATCAGGAGATGCTGGGCACGACGAGCGTGTTTGCTGTTGAACATCTGGCCCTACACGCTCGCCTGTGGCGAGCTGTTGGCGTAGCAACCGAAAGGCTTGGCCTCCACAAAGTTCATGGACCGTCCTGGGCACAGAACGGTAGTTTTCAGAGACAGGAAGACATAGATGAAAGCGACTGAGTCATGGTGATTGTGAAAGAGAAACCGTCCTCTTGTACCTGTGCTTCAAGTATACACATTTAACATGGGAACGCCGGACCTATAAGTTAGGTGACGTTATGAGAATCAACATTGGAAAGATGATTAACTAAACCGACGTACATGCCCGAGTCGTGGTAAAGATTGTCGAGATGCTGGACAGGTCCAAAGCTGTTAACTTTACTGAAACTGGTTCTATATCTAGAGACAGAAATTTTTGTGTATGGTCGCGGTGATTATCAAGTGGTTTTCGCAACATCGAAGCTTCTGAGAATCCGAGGGATACTCCAGCGGCGGATAGATGGCCAACTGCGCCAAGGCCGAACATACTGCAACAACTCTTTTATGTTGGCATGGAAGAATGCTCGATATACTTGGAATCAGACCGCCCGAGCGGCGCAAGTACACCAGGCCAGGTGATCCTGTTACTACCGTCAATCTGCCAGTGAAAACCCTTCGCGTGAAGCCCGATAATCGTGCCCGCATCTATCGGTCAATGTCACTCGTCAGCCTCCTTACCGCTAAGTGTAATATAGACCGTGGAAGTACCCACATTTTGCAACTCTTTCGGGTCAGGCAGAAAACTAGGGAAAATGGGAGGCAGGCCGCAACACAGCCACCCGATGTGAGAAAGACTACTGCCTTCCCGCAACAGAGATCAAATATTCATTCGGACATATCCATTGTATATCCCAGTGCCAACATCCTTCATCCAATGTCGCACCAAAGCCTTCGGGATCAAAAAAGTCGAATATCATACAAAACTACGCTGTGGAACCGTGTTCGAAATCTACTCTATGACGTTGGACATATATTACAAGTATACAAAGAAATCCAAGTGTCCGTGTCTATATATCTTTCTCTTGGCGCGTATATCTTTTCGACGAACAAACCCAACCGATAACTTATTAACCCATCCAACAATATAATGGCAACGTCTATAAAACAAAATGAAGGAAAGGGAAATATAGCGTTGAATTAGAGATAACTCTTGGAGGTAGTATTCTCGTCTTCCACGATCTCAAGCATGTGTTCAACGATTTCCTGAGGCGTAGTGACGTGCCAACTAGCAAGAGTGCGCTTGCTACTGTGGCCAACGGCGGTGGTGAAGATTGCGTCAGGAGCGATGGCGAGTTGAACTGGAGGTGCATTTTTGGCCTCAGCGTCAACCAAAGTGACCGAAAGAGGTGCCTCTAGGACGGTAGTCGTGATGGGTGTGCTGCCGTTGCTCGAAGGGAATAGATTCAGGGCCCGAAACATGTCCTCGTCCGTCTGAAATTTCCGTTTACAGCGATAAGAACATACAAGACGAGTGTAAGGGACCAACCTTATCATCACCAGCGCAAAAAATAAATTCGGCGTCAGGATTATAGTACAAGATCCGTTTCACAATTTCGCCCTGATAAGCATGTTAGTTAGTGTGGTGCTTTCGTCGATTATCAACATTCACCTTATTGACGGCTATAGGCCGAACCTCCAGGTTTTTCTTGCCCACAAGGACTGAGAGAAATGTCACTTGAAGTCAACCAGAACCATACAAGAATCAATACCTTCTATGGGTCGCTTGTGGGCGAGGTTGTTCTCCAAAAGATCTTGACATTGCCTGCATTGGAATTGTCTAATGTGAAAGACCTAGTCAGATAATCATTACGATAAACGTAGCGGTCTAACCTACCCCCATTCTGGATCGGTGGATCGGTAATGCCATGTGATAGAACTCTTCTTAACTTCGACATGACTGCCCGTGGTCCGCTGAAAAAATATGTGCAACGATAAGAAACGGGACCGACGATCAACAAGACGTAACGCTTCACCTCAGTGTAGTACCTGAAGATCTCGTGGACTTCTGCCATCCAACTCATATCGAGTGACTGTGTGAAATTCACCCATTCCTTATGTCCAGGTTCGCGTACGAATCCTCCATGTTCAGCAGAAAACCCGAGCTTTCCGAAATGGCCCAAATGTTGATCCAGGAACTCGCCGTCACGTCCAGAGATGATATATACTACGTTGTTGGGATCGTCGCAGAGCTTCGCCAACGCCTGAAGCGTCTGTTCAGACGGAGTAGCCATACTGGGAATTTTGACAATCGGCGCGAGCGTTCCCTGTAGAAATCAGGACGCATCAGTTGACGGCCGACATAGGTCGTGACAGTTACCTACATCGTAGTCAAAGAGGAACAGCCTCTTCTTCGCCGTCCGGTATTTTGATTGCAAAATCTCCTTCGGGATGTATGGTGTCATCTTGGCAGTGTTGGTAGAGTTCATTTGACTGAGTATCATCTTGACAAGAACGGCTGCCCAGGTGTGCGAAGTATGGGTGGTGACGACTTTGTGAAGTTTAATATGTCTTTGAAGCTTCTCCGCGTCGCCCATCAAAAGTCCTTTATTGATAGCGGCGGCGACGTCCTGACGATAGCAAACGTTAGCGGGCGAAAATCAGATACCAATTTCGGATCACTGACCCCGAGATTCCACGGATTGACCTGCAATGCTTCGGACATATGTTTGCTGATACCCATGAATTCACTGAGTACACTCGGACTATGTTTCGTCTTTTCTTGGGCTATGACAAATTCCATCGACGTCGTATTCATTCCGTCACGCAAAGGCGTGATAACTGCGAGGTCCGCCACAGACAACAGAGCGTAAAACTCATCCTTTTTGAGCGTTTGGTGGCTAAAAAAAGAGTCAGGGTAGAGAAATATGGCCGGATGGTGGTACGGACTAATGGTGCACGGGGATAAAATCAAGACTGCCGTATTCCCCGTTGATATGTGCCACCAGCTCGCTGACCTGCCGCTCCAGTTTCGGGGAGTCCGTCAACGCAGGCGAAGTCACCTGAATCATCACCACGTTACCGATCCACTCGGGGTAATCTTGGAGAAGCTTTTCAAATGCACGAAGCTGGCAGAAAAGGATAAGTCTTGATATAAGGTTTGACTGGCATATGCAAGCACCTTTTGAAGGACGCCTTTTACGACGTCAAGCTTATCGCGTCCTACGATGATTTTCTTACCTTCATAGAGCGTTTGCAAAGCTTCCAATTTCGGTGGAATACCGGGTCGTTGTCTGTACAAAGTCAGACGCGACGCGCAGCAATAGAAATAGAAAGAACATACATGTCCCTCGCAACGCGCTCCGCATCGATACCCACAGGGCAATGCATCACTGAGGTAACATGCCCCTCAACGTCGATGCCGCGATGAGTCGTCTCGTAACCACAAACTCGGATACAAGTGGATATAAAGTGCCGGGAGTAGGAATAAGTCTGGAAACAGACCAAGTTAGCGCCCAGCATTCCGTCGAGGATTTCCTTCCGTCCTTGAAAGCAAATAAATAACAAATCGCCGTCAAGATACCCAATGACTCACTCGGCAGACATCGGAAAACTTCGCTGCTTGGGAAAGGTGTGTGAACAAATAGACCGAGTACGGCGTCCGGGATAAGCTCTCTAATGAGTCTAGGGAGTAGTAGAAGATGGTAGTCGTGAACCCATATGAGGTCGCCGGGTCTATAAACTTCAGATATGCGCCGGGCAAATGCGGCGTTCGCAGCTTCATAAGCCGGATAGTGAGAGTCGGCAGAGGCGTATTCCGTCGCTACATCTTGCCAGAGAAGATAATGGAACAATGGCCATAGAACTAAGAGGGACATCAGAAAGTTACAGGAATGGAAAACCGACATATATGCGCACTCTGTTTGCAATAACCATCATAGTGCCCGTGGGCGACCTTGTCGTCCAACCAGACAGGCACGTACACCGTCTTCTTGTCATCGTCAGGGTCTGACTCCTTTGGTTGGTATGTCCTCAAGGCTTCATCAAGCGCCCGCTTATCGGACTCTGATACGGTGTTTTCTGGAATATGTTCGTTTGGCACCGGAGAGTGAATGTCCCCGGTCCAACCGACAATGAGCTGCTCGTGAGTCGCTGCTAGAGAACGAATACCGGAAATCATGGCAGCATGTCCATACCGTGGCGCCAGCGTCCATGCAGAAGATCCATTTGAGTCAGGCTCCAACGAGGTAGTTGTATTCGGTGCCTCTGTGGAAGGGCTTTCAGGGACCTCTGTCGCTTTGGTAGGCGGGGTAGCGGGGGGGCTCAGCACACCCGCACGGTTGGTCAAGGTGGCAACAACGGGCAGATCGTGACAGACGTGGATGATACGGCCCGACAATGGGATTCCATTGGCGCGGTGCTGGACCTCAAGGGAACGGACGTGTTTGCGAACGTCGTCAAGGGAGATGTCGTCGCCAGCGCGGGTGTAGGGCTCGGTGAAGCTGTCCATTGTCGAGAACACCATTGTGGGCGATAAGACAAAAAGAGGGAAAGAAAATCCAAGGTATAAGTAAGAAGATCAATGCGGTAAAGATTCAAAAGGTGCAGACCTGCTCAATCATTAATGGCATCGTCCAAATTTGGAAGTTACGTAACAACCGGTCCGAAAAAAGAAATGACTCCCCTTACCGAACGGTGACATCACCACGTTCATCTTTGTACCGTGCATGCGACGATTGGTTCTGCAGATATCTCCCAAAACGTTCGCCTTTCAATATCCTTATAAAAGACCCGAGAAGGAGCCGATCGATTCAGCTTTTTGAGTTTTTTGTACTATTCAGCTTTTCTACCCAGAGGCCTCAGTCGGGGTACTCAGCAGCTGCACCTCAGGACAGAGAGCCGTCGTGTTTCCTCTTCCTCTTATCGGCTTTATACCAATGTACTTAACCGGACTACATGCAAGCATCAGCATCAGTCTCGGTGATATTCTAGACGCACTTCAGTTTGTATTTCAGTGTACGCGGGGAGTTCCAGATCAATGGCATGGGTTAATGCCCGTCGAAGTCAGGAAGAAGCTGATGTACTAGGCCAAGGGCAGATGATTCGCTTCTACGGACTGGAGTGTTTCATACCATGAAAGATAACTCAGGTGAACAACGGCGGACATCACATTGAAACTACCAAGCGGCAGCAGCCTGGTACAGGCCATAAGTAACGTCGGAGGAACCAAGTAATGACGGAATCAGTATCAACGAGAATAGCTCCGATTCAGCTGAATGGATCCCAAGGACAGATGGCTCACGGTCTAGACGTGCATGGCCAGCAGTTCCTTGTGAATTTAGACAGGTGCACGTTCGCACTCCTGGCAGGCGACCAACTTGCACCAGTCAAAATGTAAGGGAAACAATGACCCAGGCTTTTGACCACGACAAAACGCGTCGGCTTTACTATTAAAGAGAATCCCGACTCATTTTACTATGATCTAAAGGTCTCCACCCATTTTCCCAGGTTTTTCTAAGGCAGATTATGAATTCGACGCAATGATCACAACGTTCACAGCTCCACATGGCTTCAATCAGAGATCAGCCATCTTTCCCTTAGTCGAATTCCTTGCTACTTTATCTGTCAAACGGTGCAAAGTACACATAAATTGATCTGAAGATAACGCTAGGATAAGTACAACCAACGGAAAGGCTTTGCCACGGAACGAAAAGGCTACATGTGTCAAGTCAATTTCAGTAAAGTGAAGGAAATAATAAACTGAGAAAGGTGTATTATTCGAATATTCACTCCGCTTGCATAGGAGCCACCTGACCACCCTTCGCGGCAGTGGGAGTGAATGTGTGCCAGCGATCGTTGTACCGAACGTCTTGCATGGTCATTAGCGAATCCATCGATCAACAGATAGAAGAGACTTACCCAATGGCCGTCCCCCATACATGTAATGCTGGAATTTTGCTAGCGAAAACGAAACCATGAGACCTAGAAAAATACAGAGAGAATACTATCACATACCGATGGCAGTCTCAGCTTCAGCAACCTGGGCAAACTGAACAACACCGGAACCTTTCGAGCGCGTCCCATCAGTTAAGATTTCAGCCAACTCAACCTGACCCGTGGTCTCGAAAAGCTCGACAAGATCTTCATTGGCGGTAGACCATGGAAGCTGGATGGAAAAGCGTTAGATAGCGCTCCGACATTTAAAAGCACGACATACGTTTCGAACCATGATCTGCTGACTAGGCTCTGGCTCTGGACCATAGTTGCCCTGGAAGCCGCCCACACCATTATTATATCCACTGTTGTTGTACCCGTCCATCCTCAAACCCCCGCTTTGAGCCTGCTGCTGATCAGGACCGGAATAATCAGCGTAAATATCTCGGTTGAAGTCGCGACCTCCGCCTGAGAAGCCTGCCGCACGGAGGCCACCGCGAAATCCTCTCACGCCACGAAGGCCGCGCTGAGTACCACGTAAGCCCCCACGGAAGCCACCTGGTCCTGATAATCCGGCAAAGCGATCCTATAGACCAACCATCAAAAGGACGACATGCGTAGAGGAGATACAGCCTCACCTCTCTAACTTCAAGAGCGCGCCCGTACCAATCAAAACCATGGTACATGCCTACAAGGGCCCCTAAGTGGCCATATCATGTAAAAACGACACTGCAGTACGCACTGATTGCATTTTGTGCATCTTTCTGTGTCTCAAAGACCACAGTCCCGGATCCCTTCGGACGACCATCTGCCCCAATATTGATATCTGCCCTAACTATATTACCGGCCGTGCGGAAAAGATCTTTTAGATCCTGCCAGCCAGCTTGGTAGGGAAGCTGTTAAGTCTGTTAGAAGACATACGCTTAGTTCTGTCAATCGCACTTACATTTCCGACATAGAGTTGATTGCCAGGATTGTTATGAGTGCCAAAGTAATTATGGGACGGAGGGCGTGGAGGCGGTGCAGCATTCAAACCTTGTCCAGCCATTGCCATACCGATTTTTCCGGGGACCGGAGTTGCACCAAATCGTGCCTCGTTCTCGCGATCCTACATACTTATTGAATACAAGTCATAAACTGAGCAGAAGACATACCTCGCGAATAAACACTGGTCGTCCCAACAACGGCATCTCCGAAAGTTCCCGAATGGATCGTTGTGAGTCTTCTTGAGAGGCAAACTCGACGATGCTAATCAAATACCTATTAATACGGAGCACCTGTATTCAGTTAAAGACTTACCCGCAGCCCTTGGATACTCCAGTCGGTGTAACGAGCACTTCGGCGAATAGGACCTCACCAGCTGCCAACCCCAAAAGAAAACTCCCATCAATATCCTCTCAACTCAGACCATTCCATCAAGAAGAAAAAACTGAAAACATGCCCATCCTCCTCGCTGGCTCGTCAGAAGAAGAAAAAAACCCCTTCCCCAAATGCAAACGGCAGGTTCAGACCATATCTCTAAGCACCAAAGCGCCATGAATGACAGGCCAAATGCATGCTCCCTGCCTCTGCCTCTCTTCTTGCTTAAAAAAAATCGAAGAAACTTGAGATATCCCCCACCCACCTCCCCTCATAAATTCCATCAGGTCCCTGTACTTGACGTCGTAACTAAGGTTGCCGACGTAGACCCGGTTTTCTCTCTTGCTGATTTTGGCAAATTCGACGGCCTCCTCATGGTCCGCATTCATAGGACCACCTAAAGAACGAGCAAAAGGTTCTGCAGCTTTGCGGTCTCGACTGCGTGAGCGACTCCTGGAGCGGCTGCGAGACCGTGAACCTGACCTGGAACGGCGAGAACGTCGCCTGGGAGAGGCCGACCTGCGCCTGGAGCGAGAGGTAGATCGCGAACGCTTGCGGCGCTGGCGCGACTAGTAAGTACATAGCTCATACCATTGACAGTTACGGTGCTCACATCACCATTGCGCCTTTCCTCAGGCTCCCAGTGGTCGCCGTGACCGCCCCCTCGCCGGGAGCGACCTTGACGAGATGTACAGCCTCAGCACCACGGATACTCCTCAACACAGGAAACATACCAGAATCTCGTCTTTCACGGTCCCTATCTTTGTCGCGGTCCCGTCTGCTCTCTCTGTCTCTGTCGCGGTCCCGTTCGCGATCCCGGTCTCTGTCTTTATCACGGTCAAAATCACGGTCTCTCTCCCTGTCACGGTCTCTTTCACGATCTCTGTCCCTGTCCCTACCACTGCTGGTCGATGGCTTGTCATCGACCTCGTCTTTGTTTTTCATGTCCACGTCCATTTTGTGGCAGACGCTTGACTAGAGAAGGGGAAGATGGGTGAGTCAAGCACCAGGATTTTTTCCGGTCCCCCTCTGTCGGTCCCTTAATCGGATCTCGAATCGGACTTCCAAAATCGTGGCGCACTACTGCACATGACGAACGGTCAAACTAAAATTATTCCACGGCTTGTTCTTTTATGTTTTATCTTCAACTAGCCTTGCGCTGGACCTTAAGCCCACAAGTCTCACAAGTATGATGAATGTGCCGGATAACTTGCACCAAGTCTACTTTCTGTAAAGAACTACTTTAAATTTTGTTCTACTTCCTGTACACATTGAGATCTAGGCGGGTCGTTGATTCCCTCCATCCGAGCGCTTCACTATGATGGCCCCAGTCATGATAGACGAGAATGCCAGCATTAAGGCACTTGCAGTAAGAACTGCATACCGTACAGATGAGACTCCCGTTAATAGGGAGACTACGACAAACATATTTAAGGGTATACGGAATAACGCAGATAACTGGAAGCTTTTGATGAGCTCCACCCTCAAGTGCTCGTGCAGATGTCTTACCGTGGCTCTGTGTTCGTTTGTGATGAGAAAACCCCGAAGCGTTCCTTGCACAGGATAATACATGCCCACGCATGCCTCAAAGGCACAAAACGCCCAGAAGCAGATTTTCTCGTCCTGGAAAGAAATGCTAACTGCCAATGCCAGGGCACTGACAGCACTAACCATACTGCTGAGCTTAGCATGTATTGTTAACGGAGAGTCTATTGATCCTGCAACGGTGGAAGGAGGGGGGGAATGAGAGACGATGGCGGTGTATAAGAGGGATCCAAGCATCATCGAGATCATGAAGGACGAAAATATGTATCCAAGGGGAAGAAGTTCGGATGACATGGAAACTTCCTGTAGTGATGGTACCCAGAGAAAGACGAACAGATACATAGAACCCTCAAAGCATGTCTGGGTCAGACCAAGGGTAAGAAGAAGCGAATCTAAATGTAGAAGCCTGAGTGTTCAGCCAACAATAGCCCTGGCGTACTGACCGTGCTGAACGATATTCCACGCTGCTCTCAACCGGCTGGTCTGGAAGATATCCCAGTCATCGTCTGTAGTGCTGCCTCCATGGCCATAATTCTCTATCCACGATACTCGCATGAGTCCCCATGCAAGCATCAACAAGGCCCCACTTGCTATAAACGGAGACGCGAAGGAGCTGGAAATGGAAACGATTCCGTTACTGACAACTCCCGCCCCCGTGGCGACAAAGCCATTCAGTAAGGTTGCTCGGCCCATGATGACAGATATATCCGACTGGGGGAGCATAAAACACGTGGAGGCGGACACCAACCAGGACTCAAACGCAGAAAACAGGATGGACGTCGATATCCCACTGAGAATACGACCGAAAAGGAGAATCGGCAGCCATGGGAAAAGAATGCAAGCGCAAGAGAACATGTAGGTGATGCAAAATAGCAGGCAAGTTCTCTTCCGTCCACTGTGCAAATGTTCAGTCTTAGCGCCAGAGGAAACGATGAAGAGCGTACTGTTGGTCAGCGTAAATACCGACAAAAGGCGCTGCTAGGCCAGCCGACATAAATCCTGTCACAAAGAGAATGGCAACTATCCGCTCGGAGAAACCATATTGCTCTCGGTATAGTGAGTACACGTATGGACCTTGGAGCCAGTCCGCTCCTATCGCAAATGAAGCGCGTCTTCCACGTCGGACGTGGAAACTCACCCATCACAATCCCATAAACTACCAAGTACTGTCTGGTCAAAGTCTCAAGAGACTTTGACTCACCATTAGCAGCCGGTACGCCTTGTTCAAGACAATGGTCCACGACCATCGACAGCTTGACTGATTTGCGTCGCGTCACATGTCGGTCAATGAGGAGAGTAAGGGCACAAAAGCTAGTTAGAACAATTAGCTGCAGCTCATAGAACTGGGGCATGGCTCGAGGCGGAGTTAGCTTGACTGTTGAGATCACGTCTGACATATGCATGGAGCGAGTTCGCCGTATTGCAATTGATAATCTCGACAACAGGACCCGATCAAATCGTATTATGGTGCATGGCTAATTCTGCATTTCAGTTAGAAGCAAGGTTATGCACATGAGAAAATTCCTCACATCTCCACAAACTCGCGCTTCCTTGCCTTCATTTTAGTTGGATGTCCGAATTGGCGTGAGAAGCACCGGATCTATATATACGTTGCTGTAACTGAGCTTGGCGCCCCATAGTACCTTCTTGTTGCGTTCAAATGTCTCCTAAATTGTCTGCAGGGTTGTCAAATTTTTACTGCCATTAACATACAACAAAAACAGCAAAACAAATTGCACCTGTTTCTACAGCGCGTCGCCTAAGTGCAATATCTTGTTCCCAGCCCCGATAAGAAACCTCCCGGCCCAGCCTCCCAACCTTTTCCAATCCTTGTGAAAGTGGAAGTTCGTACGCCGCCCCTCTCCGTAGACAATACCACTCTGCACTCCATACACAGCCATTGCAACACCTAGCGCAAAAACAGCACCTGCAATCATGGTTTTACGATCTCTGAGTCTGAATCCCGATCGTCGCTTTATGGGGTGCCTACGTCGTGCGCCTGTCCGACTTTCCTTCGGGTCGCTGTCCTCCTCCTGGTCCACATAGGGATAAACAACGAGCTGAGGATACTCAACCATCCGCTCTGCCGAATCGTCGCTGGGTAGATCAGCGGAGGAGGGGGTCCACGTAAATATGACACTTTGTGGACCCATGATGGACGATAGTGCGAGTGATGGATGTGAAGGAGGGTACATCTCGTAAAGATGATCGGCCTGTATCAAAAGCGACGTCAAACTTACGGATGGCTTTCGAAGGGAATGTCTGGATGATTCCTGGTGAGAGAAGCTGGAAGGAGGGGAGGGAGTCTGTGTAGAGGATATTTCATCCCTCGAATCTAACGGAAAGGTGGTCGAAATTGCTTGCTCGGGTATTTCGTCTTTAACGACATCCTTCACGCTGCTGCACGTTGACTCCTTATATCCATCATCCTCTCTCTTTGTTTCTTCAGGAACAGAATCACAGGCAGTCAAATCCTGGCAAGGTTCCTCCTTGGCGGCGGTTGCTGTCGACTTGTTACCGGCAGATGTTGGGCATTCAGGACGTTCCTGATCTAACGCTTCGGTAGAGATCGGCATATCCTCCTCTGCTTTTACGACGCTGTCCGTGAATGAGGGAAACTCATCCATTATGTTCGGCAAGCCACTAAGCAGTGAATGTATCATGCCCTCTTCGTCCTCTTCCTCTAGACGTCGTATCTCGTCTTTACGTGACAGAAGAATCTAGCGCCAGGAGATCAGTACATATTTATTATTGCTCTCGCCAAATTGATCTCACCGCGGTGGCTAGATAGATAGTTATAACTGGTGGACGACACAACAAGTAATCGAAAACGTGCTGTATTAATCGTAATGTCGGCATGTCGTGAGAAAAGAGGGTGATTAAGTTGGACAAGGCGTAGAAGGGAAGCGGAGAGTTCCTATAGATAAGATGAGCACCAAACTATATCGATGAATGCATGGACGCGCCTTTCTAGTAGCTCTGCATAATTAGAGTCAGCCAGTCGCAAAAGCTTCTGGGTTACACTGCATTGACGGTGTCGGTACGAGTGCAGGTGGACGCGACTGATATAATCCGACTCACCGAAGAAGCCCAAGTATTGGTTCCAGACCATGTCCCATGGAATCACGCACTCGATGCAAACTCATCTTTTCAGCACAGGAAAACTGAGTTTCTGGAGGTAAAGTTAAGAATAAAACCGAAATAATATCATGGTATCCCTATAATTCGAATCAGAACCACAAGGCGCGGACGCTCGTGCCGTCCATACCTGAAAATAATTCAACTTGGACCGTTTGCGAAATATGGCTACCAACAGTCGATTGAGCTCGGCCTGAAGTAATTCTTTGTCGTCTCTGATATCTTCACTACAGATGAGCGCCTGCCATAGGTGAAAAACACGAATAGTTCACCTACTGGATACAGCACAAAACTTCGGTCGGTATCCAGGCGTATTTGACGTTCATCAGTATGGCTTGGCAGCTCATCAAAAAGAGAGAGATCCTGGTGTTCCCCGTCCCGTACATTGAGTAATTTTGGCCTTCACAAGGTAAATGCAATACTGAAGCCAAGTAAAGAAGGTACGCACCATAGCTTTATGCGGTCTTCTCCAAACCCTCCAGGAAACAGACTGGACTTTCTCAGGGCATCCCAATCAATTTCTTCGGGAATTTCTAGCTTCTGTACTGTGCTGGATGGTTCAGGCATGGGGAAACATCATGGTGGTGGAGCAAGAGGGGGCGCCTTTAAGAAGTAGTATTTTCGCACGGTCGGCGAGAACCGGGACGGTGTCGGTGTGTAATCTTGTACATCAAAGGACAAGTAGAATAACAAAGGAAATTATGAAAACCAATCGTTAGAATGAATCGGCTTCCGGAGGGAGACTGAAAGAACCCTAACCTCAAGACCATCGAAAACAGAGTATCTTACGTAATGACCTCTCTTTCCTCTTGACCGTCACGGTCATGCCTCATCCCACGTCCACATTTCCCCGTTCTGGCGTTCTTGTTCTCGGAGAACATGCTGTCCATTCTCTAGTACCATCCACACTCATATCCCAGGCTGAATCTCTTCTAGACGGTCACCGAATATCGGATGCTGTGGACTTAGCTGATCAGCAGCGGAAGAAATTACAAAGTAACATCTCTGCGGGTGAGGACGAGGTGCGTCACTGTCGACTCAACAGCACCCTTCAACTCATTTTCTGTAGGCAGAGGAACTACGCTACGTGTACCAACGAATAGGATTCCAATGTTTCACCGAAACACTCTTCGAAGACGCGGGCAAGAATTTCTTCGACGGAGACTTGGACCCGCGACTTCTTATCAGCTACTATCCCGATCTACACGGTTCTCTTTATACTTCACAAGACTCTATCGATGTCTTTGCTGGCGTTGCGGAGCACATGCCAATAGAATCTTCTGTTGATGATATCAGTAAGTTTGTCGTTTACACAATTCGTGTCGATAGCCAGCCTGCACCCTACGGTGAACGTCCTGAGAGCATCAATACAGCTCAACCTGTCACGCACATCATGATGAGCCCTTCATTTAATATACCATTTTCTTTTTGGCATATTATCTTCCGTTGACTCTTTGCCCGTTCCTATATTGGAACTGATTCTTAGTTATTGCCAATCTAGTCAGGAATTATTCACCACATCTATCCCCCAACACACGAACTGCTACCACTGCGGTCGAACTCCGAAAGATTCTTGGAATGGCCGCCCATGAAATGCTGCAAGTTTTTCTGAACAAATGCCGTCATCGCCGTAAGATCGAGCCGGAATATGCGAACAAGTGGAAGGACACGTTTGCCGCTGTCGACACAGTTCTGGTCAAACTATACGCACAATTGGAAAAGCAGGAGCTGTACTCGTTGCTTCAGGAAACAAATCACATAGTCCTCGATGAGATCGAGCCGGTGCTGAGAAACGCTGGACAATACAACGCTCTTTGCATGCTCTATAGGAAATCAAACGATCATAAGAAGCTCCTTGAAGTCTGGGCAAAGTAAGTATTTTCCTGTTGTGCGTGCTCTTGTCTGACCGGTCTCTTTGCAGACTGGCCGAGGGAGAATGGACAGACGAAGATATAACAGACCCGCTTTCTGATATGATAATGCTTCTCACGGAAAAGAAAGACCGGCAGCTAACACAACAGTGGGGAATTTGGTTAACCAAGATTGACCCGGAGCGGGGACTCAAGGTATTCCCCGCCGTCTTTTATCTAGCATGTACTCATATTGATGGTAGCTCCTCACTTCCCAAAATACTTCAAAACGGCGGGAGAAACTGGAAGACGACTCTGCGTTGTTGAAGCAAATTTCTGAAGCCAATCCTGCAGCCGGTTCACAGTATCTCGAGCATCTCGTGCTACAGAAACGAAATCCTTCACGCGTCCTTCATGAGCAATTTGCAACTGCTCTGGTTGAACAGTTGCTTTCCTACGTTTCCCAAGATGTCGTGTCCAAGCTATGGCGGGCCAAAGGCAGGTTGACTTCCTCAGTAGAGTTGATACCTGTAAGCTAACGAGACCTCAGCATCCTCCTTTACGTCAAGCCGCAACGAATCTACAATATCATTCTTCTCCTATTTTGTCTCAACCACGCCTGATTCCGATCACAAGCGGGTGCGAATAAAAGCGGCCTTGTTCCTCCAAGGATCAACAATGTACGATTTCCAAAGTGTCAGAGATAAGCTGGCCCCGTATCAGAAGTTTCTCAAGCTCGAGATGGCGATCATTGAAGGCAAGGTGAGGTTCACGTTCGTTCAGGTCACTTCTTCAGTCTGACGTCCACCGCTTAGCTGGGGAATCATCGTGCAGCGCTATCTATTTTGATACATGATCTAAACGATTCAAACTCTGCCGAGGTCTATTGTGCCCTGGGAGGCGAAGTGATTCCCAGCAAAGTAGCACTATCTGCTGCTGAGAATACAGCTGGCCTTCAGCTGTGGATATCAGCAAATTGGTTTACAAAACCTAATAACGAATCAATACCCATAGCTGCCGAAGAAGAGCTCAAACGAAGTTTACTGAAGATTTTGCTAGAAGTCTATGTTACTGCCCAGTAGGCAAAGCTCGTATCTTTGAGGTCGTTGTGACGCTAACTGTCTCACAATTCAGGGCTCCAAGTAGAGGTCGTACGGCACGCTTACTCGACTCACAAGCTGTCAATTTGGATGCCGTTGATGCAAGTATCCGATATGTTCGTAGTTCCGGTTTACTCACATTTGTATAGGTGATACCTCTTGTTCCACCAGACTGGCCTCTCAACACAATGTCATCTTTCCTGACTCGCTCCTTCCGGAGAACCCTTCATCAGCGTCACGAAGGTCAAATCATCAAAACCATCAGTGCCGCACAAAATCTCGAAGTCGGTATTTATTTCCTCATTGACGCGAGACCATCCTAAACTCCCAACAGGTGAAAGAGAAGACGTGGCTCATACTTCGTGAGGAGGGGATGGTCGTGGAAGAACCATTAGAGGAAGAGGATGATTTGGACCCCGGATACGTTGTGGACGAGAAGTCCGCTTTGCAGGTCACTCTTGGACCCGCGGCAGATTCGGGAGAAGGAGAAAAGTTTCTGAATGGTACGCATCAACGTCCTTGGGACGATACTGTAGATATTCGATAATGTATATATGTGGTAGATTCAGGTTTTGTTTGACACAAGGGGAGGCTGATCTCAAATTGATGTGCGACGACGGACTGAATGAATACGACGCAACAGTGGATTGATTGAATCTGAAATATCATCAGTGCAGGACAAGGGTCGCCCATTAACTGACTCAATAACTAAGTCTAACCTGCCACTGTGAAATCGAATAATCCGCCCCTGCTCTCCGGTAAAGCAGTGCAGAATGACGGCTGGGCGGCAACGCGACGATAAATCCGGATGTCGCAGATCCGGTTTACCGTGTCGGCGGCAGAAGAACGCAATATAAATCACAGTATCACGATGAGACCTGGTATATAATATCCTTTGCCGACTCTCTCTTTCTTTCCCGTCGTTGCCAATGTCGAAACTCAACTATACTCCCGTCGACGAGATCGACAAGGTAAAAGGTTTTCCCGCTGCTGTCATAGTGACCGCTGACCAGTACGTATACGAACCACCTTAGATTCATGCAGAGTTATCGAATACCTTCAAGTCGGGCAAGGTCCAGCCAATAGCGTACCGGAAATATGTACTGCTCCAGCTCGGCTACCTCTTGAAGGACAATGTCTCCAAGTTCGAAGAGGTGTTGATGGCAGATCTGGGCAAGCCAAAGGTGGAGGTTACATTGTGCGTCCGCATATATGATTCTGTCGAATGTTACTGACCGTCCAAATAGGACTGAAATTGGACCTTCGATATCTGAAATCAAGGATACGTACTCGAACGTCGAGAAATGGGCCAAGCCAGAGAAACCCGGATTCTCTATCAACTATACGCCCATGCGACGGGTCATCTACAAGCAGGGAAAGGGCATTGTGCTCATTATAAGTCCTTTCAACTACCCCATCAACATGTCTTTTGGACCTATCGTACGCTTCTTGCTGGTTTACACTACAACCCATTCACCCTGATATACCCAGGCGTCTGCAATCGCTGCCGGCAACACCGTCGTGTTCAAACCTTCCGAACAGACCCCGGCCACGTCTTCTTTGTTTGCGGAGCTATTCGCGAAATACGTTGACCCTTCGGTCATCTGTGTCGTCAATGGTGGGGTCGCGGAGACATCCAAGGTACATATCTGTGGCTGTTCACCATTTCCGACTTGACGAGTAATTCAATAGCTCTTGGAACACCCGTGGGGACACAGTACGTTTATTCTTTCTGTCAGATTCGCTTCATACTGACGACGGAACCAGTATTGTTCACCGGTAGTGGGCGTGTTGGACGTATAATTGCTTCTGCTGCAGGAAAAACTCTGACCCCCGTTACTCTTGAGGTGTGTTCAACAAGCAAATGTCTGAGCCGTGTTTGACGACACATTGTCTACAGCTTGGTGGCAAATCGCCCGTGTTTGTCGATCCGAAATGCGACCTTTCAATGGCAGCACGGCGTATATTCTGGGGCAAGAATCTGAATGCTGGTCAGAGCTGTGTCGCCCCCGACTATATCCTTGTTCCAAAGGACTTCCAAAATAAATTTATTGAAGCCCTTAAAGCTGCGTGTGTGCCACTCACTTGCCAAGTGAACCTTGCCTAATTTTACCTATTCAGCAACGACGCCTTTTATCCTACCCCTGAGGCTGAAGCAAACTCTATCGGGAGGCTTGTCTCACCACAAGCATACAAGCGGCTCTCCAACTTGTTAAAGTCGACGAAAGGAACCATTGCCTTCGGAGGTCGGCTAGATGAAGCTACAAAGTATATTCAGCCAACCGTTGTGAGGGATGTTTCGTTCGACGATCCTCTTATGTCTGAGTAGGTGCCTCGTATCGCCTCTTTTTCACCTCTTCATTTATACTTTGCGCAGGGAATTGTTCGGCCCTGTTCTGCCGATCGTACCCGTCGACGATATAGACGAGGTTATTAAGTTTGTCAATGCCCAGTGAGTGTCATAGATGCAGTCCACGGCTCGTATTTTCACTGTTACGTCTAGTGACCATCCCTTGGCTCTCTATGTGTTCAGCCAGGATAACGAAGTGAAGACGAAGAGTTGGGGATCCCTTCTTCTACATCGATCGCTTACTGACTAGTTGTCTAGTCATTAACAGCACTCAAAGTGGAGCCATTTGTATGAATGAAACCATGACTCATGTTGGAGGTTCGTACTGTCCTTATATTTTCTTCTTGTTGGTTGATTGTCTGTTTGTCTCCAGCGGAGGGCCTACCTTTTGGCGGAGTTGGTCCTAGTGGCAGTATGTACCTCCACGCTACTACTACATTTGTCGCTCTAACTGTTCTTACCTTCAGGTGGGCATCACAATGGCAAAGTAAAGATTCTTGCTTCTGTCTGGATTCAATCTCCTGAGACCGTATATTAGTTTGGCTTTGACACGTTTACGCACACGCGTGCGTCGCTTGACCCTCCTGGATGGTACCACCTTTACTTCCTTCGGAGACTACCGGTTGTCTGATCTCTGTCCTAGGTTGGACATGATTCTATCGTCTCGCTATCCTCCTTATACCGTATGTCTTTCACTACTGCTCTGTTCAAGCTAATACTTCAACAGGACAAGAAGCTGAAGTCTATAAGCTGGCTGTTCCCTAAGTTACCCGCGCGACCGACAGGTCCACCAGCACCGATGGAAGGCCGGTCCTTTACAAAATGGTTTCTGTTTGCTTTAGCTACTATTTTTGCGGGATTGCTAACTAAGAGGAAGATTTTGGTCTGAACGTTGTGGGAGTTGTATGGCAATAAATAAACGTTTGATGTACGATCCGGATGTCTAGACCATACACTTCGCGTAAATGATGCTGATATTTTTGTTGCGGCCTGCGGCGGTCTGACTGAGTTTCCGAGTCGGTCAAAATTCTTGAGAACACATTTCTGGGTTGTATTGGGCGTGGAATTTCTTCTCAAATGCACCCTTGGTCAGTACAAATTTCGACGCCTAGGATCAGACGGTAAATATCTAGTTCGATGAATGCAATGCAATAAAACAATCGTTATTAATACACATCATGAGTTTCTGTTCCGTTCTATCTTGTACAGCATTCAAAGTGCTTCTCCGAATCCGCCTATCCGATTCGCATCCCCCTTACGCGACCTGCACTGTCGGCGTCAAAGGAACTGCTGGGCCGGTCGTACGCACCCCAGTTCTCCCCCTCCAACTCAGCTCCTCCGCAACTTTGCTACCCTTCCTGCGATTTGACCGTTCCAACTTGGTTCTGCCTGGCTGCCTGCGAGGATTCGGCTTCCCCCCAGCCCTCTTCTCATGACCGTTTCGCGGTGGCTTCCATTCTAGCCCCTTGACAATCTCCGGGAAACGATCATGGAGCATGGTCTTTGCGTCACATGAGATGTCTGCGAGATAGGAGTGGTGTCCGATGTTCAAGAGCTCGGTAATGTTGTATATCGGCAAACGAGAGCTTAAGCCTGGAAGCCATCCCGTCAGATATTTGTGTATCAAAAGAGAAGGCTATATCACTCACGTAGACCACTGGCTGACTCTGGAGTAGTGGCACGCGAGGTAGAAGAGCTCCTGCTTGCAGTGCGTTTGTGAATGGGGACATACAAGCCAGACGACGACGACATGGAAGACGACAAGGAAGACTCTGATGAAGGGGTGGAGGCTCGGGGTGAGGGGATGTCAAAGGGGATCACGGCAGACATTATATACACTGAGAGAACAAAGACCGGAGGTCGATGCACTGGGGGTGGTGTGAACAACAAAAGAGCGAAAACAAAGTCATTTTATAATGCAGCCTTACGCGCTTACGCCGCAGTGCTGCATCATCAGACACGCAGCTGCCCAGATCAGGTCCGACGTCTTTCGTGATATTTCCAGAAAGTTCCTAGATTTGTGTCAATATTTCCTTTTTAGGATGCCTTTGGGTTCAGAATGACGCAAAACACGACACTCCACGACACGGACACGTACAGTCCGACTCGGTAAGCCGTATAACGATGCCGAGATTGATTGTGAATAAACAGTCCGTGGAATTGATGAGTGGTGATGTATGTGAAAAATATCATTACAGAAGGAATACAGCCTGCAAGCCTAGAGCCAAATCAAGAGCTCTCGCGACAGTCTCTGTCTTTTGGTGAACCCTTGGGCCAGATTATGCATTAACAAAGTTCTTCACGGCCTTCAACCAGTGCGTGTATTCCTATTATTTATCAAGTTAAAAGGACAGCCGAAGATCAGAAAAAAGAAAAGAACACTTGCCTCCTGCTCCTTGTGTTCGGCATATTCAGGGATAAAGGTAGCAAGACTCTCATCAATACCGCGCTCTTGCAAATACCGTTCAAATTCTTCCTGAAGAGCTATATCAAGATTATCGAACTATAGGGAAGAACGTTAACAAAGAGCTTGCGTGGTAGCAATCAACCACAAACCTGAGGTCCCAAGTACAGCCCCCGACGCTTCCAGTCGGCTTCGGCGGTAAGGTTTGTGCCGACTGCAGCATCCTGGTAGTAAGCGGCGTTATCAATAACGAATTGGCCGTCCTGGCAAACCATGTCTAGGGCCAGAGCACCATGATTAAGTCCCTAGAAAGAAATTGGTTAAACTGTCAGTGACGGTAGATTTTGCATAGTATTCGCCTTGGAAATGGTCAGGGCCACATGGATAGGATAGGAGACAATGGTCTCTGAATCTTCATTCTCTTCGACCTCTTCATCGAGTTCCTCGTCTTCATAGGATTCTTCGGGATTCCTGAGATCGGAGATGGCAAACGTCAAACGGATACTGCGTGTAAAATGGCAAAGATCAGAACAAGCAAAACTGATGGAAAAATAAAATAGCGTACTCTTCATTGCCAAATTTTCGGGCAAGAACTACTTCTTCGCTAGACTTGCGGTCCTCAATCTGACGAAAAAGTTTGCTTTGATTCAACAAGCATAAAATTAAGAACGCAATGAACACGCACAGTCCAAGTGCCAGCTTTCTTGAACTTGGCCAAGAATTCTGGAACCTCCTTAGATGCAACATCCTCCAGCTCGTAGCTCAGCTCCTCCTCGAGTTTTGTTGACAGGGCAACGTTAGCTGTATTATCAAGCGTCAATGGCCCGTACAGCCAAGCAAAAAAGACGACGCACTGGTTCCGTGTCCCCAAGCCCGCGCAGAGACGGAAAAAGCTCGCGACGGCAACACCTGTCTGGCAGGGAAAGCAAGGCACGCACGGGACACACACGTTGTAGATCGCGCATAAACAGCACGAGAAGAGGAAAGGGAAAGCTGACGAAGGGAACGAATAGCAGACATCGTGAGGTGAATTCAGCAAACGAAATTTTCGGTGACCTGTGTCTTGCGGAAGTCGTTGCCAAATACACGTGATTGGGCTTTCTCTGTTTTTGTCGATGTCGCTCTGGGCAGTTAAATAACTTTCTTCCTGGGAACACGAAGAGTTAGTTGTCTGAGGGATTCGAAGTGACCTTACACGACTGGCGCCTCAAATTTCAAAGCTAAAGGTTTTGAGCCGTTAGTATAGAAGATACGAGGTTTTTGGATACTGGTAGAGTGGCGTACGTGATAGATGTTCGTTGAAAAGTCGTTGCCTTCTTGTTTAATTTCCGTTCGGCGCGCTGCAACCAAGGTCGGATTTTCTTTTCATGATCATTTTACGAATTTATGTTACCCCTCGTTCCTGGAGAATGCAAGATTGAGGAAGGAAACGCAACCTGAATTTCTTTGATCGACACCCCCGAGAATTTCTCGACCTGTATGCAAAACACTCATTGGTATTTAATCACAAAATCAATATATATATCATACAGAGACACTACAATGGATCAAGAAGCAATGGTACATAACCAACAAAACCAGATGTCCCAAAAAGAATACAATATACGATGGCACCCATCAATACAGGCCTTTTGACCAACAACAAGGTCAAACTCTGTCGCGTCGACACAGGGCCTTGTCTAAGGTCAAAGGACCAGCAAGGTTGGCGTTATTAATTGTCAATTTTGTTCGTTCAGGGATAGACAGCAAAAAACATGACGACAAGGAAAGACAAGAAATGGGGTGTAGATATAACACGGAAGGAGATGTAGTGGCGCGGCTGGTGCCAATGGCAGAACCCCAATCATTAATTCGACGGAAGCGAGTCGCTATCCTCTTTATCTGCGTCAACGTCCTCGCTTCCGGGGTCCTTATCCGACGTCTTTGTTTTCTTTGACTTCCCAGGCGTTCCGTTGCTTATCCGCCCTCGCTTACGCGATAGTGGATCTGCACCGTCAGAGGCAGCAATGACAACGCCGTTGGTTGTCGGCGCAGGTTCGGCAGATTTGTCGGAACTATTGGATGCTTCGACAGGTTGGCCAGGTAGAGGAGGAGGAGCAGATACAAATGTCGCGCCTGGAGGAGGCGCGTAGCCATATGGCGGAGGATAGCCTCCCATAAAGTACTGCACTACCTGTGGTTGGCCCTCTTGGCCTTCCGGTATCTGCGCAACAAAGTGACCTGGTGGATAGTATAAAGGATAGTAGCCCGCGCCTGCCTCGGGAGGTGCTGCGAACTGAGCTACAGCATGGATAGCCGCGGCAGTAGTGGATGCATTAGCAGGGGGAGAGCCATTGGAACTGGCAGCCTGCCACTCGCCATTTTCAGGTGGAGCTGGTTGGGGAAATTCTAGATCAACATGAGAAATGAATGAGAGTTGCAAAGAAAACACACACCTCCGTCGCTGAACGTCGGATCCATACCCTTGTTTTTTCGTTTGTATGGCCCGCGTTTGACACCCTTCTTGCGTTCTTTACGTTGACCATCGATGCAACTGTCTTGAATGCCGTACTTAAGACAGCGCTCGCACGGACGCGCCTCGTCACACCGTTTGCAGGCAGTAGCGCAATTTGTGCACTGGCAAGAGATTAGATATGAATAACTGCATCGAAATGAGTATACACACGGCCATCTTGACTTGTTTTCGCTTCGGCTTCATCATTGAAGGCGAAGGAGCGCCTGGGGGCACAGCAAAGGCTACTGAGAACCATAAGAAAGGAATGACACCACTTGAAAGGAGCACATACATTGCCCCGGAGGTGGTGGATAAGCATAGACCATACCTGGTGGTGCATGGAACATGATGAGCCCTGGCGGCGGTCCACCCTCTGGATGCCCCTCGACGGGCGGTGGATAGGCAAACATCGGTGGGTAGACACCAGGCGGCGGCGGCGGCGGTGGGAAAGTTCCTCCATTATAATGCTGAAAATGAGGCGGCAGAGGATAAGCGACAGGCGGGTCTGCTGGCTTAGGCTGCTCGGTCGTCATGTCGGACAGGAGACGGCTTCATCGTCGTCAGCGTCGGCGACGGTGCTGGAAGAAGAGAACGAAGACAAGGCTTACTCGAACGCGTCGATACTCCGACTGAAAATGGCGATAGAATCCGGCGGCGCTCAGACTTGATGAGTCCGCTTTCAGGCTGAGATTTGGCGGACGGTGAAAAAACAGGACAAGGGGCCTGGGGCTGTGCAGCTGCTGACTGTGCACCAAAAAAAAGAAGGCTCACCGTTCAATGTCAGTAAGTACGGAAGGTGATGGAGAGAAAAATATGTTGTTGCTGAGTGAATCTACAACGTACACGTGCTGTCGTCGTACCAAACCTTATCCTCAAAATTAAATACAGACTGCGCCATTTCTTGACTCCATCAGACCTGCCACCCTGTCCTACCCGTCTTCTGCCATCTCAAAAGTCTCAAATATGTTTCACTGGCTATGATAATCTATCTGGTTTCCGTTTGCTCTCCTCAATTTCTTTTGGGCTACAGTTCGATTCAGTTCAACCCGCTTTCTGACTCCGTGATTGTCTCTAGCTTGATCTTTGCTCTGCTGACCCTGCAGTCAATGACGTCCATCAACGCCCTATCGTCAAGTCCTCTTCGCCGGTGGCATGCACTATGATATCTGCGAGCTAATTCCAGAATTCCAATGTCCTTAGATCCCGGTCAAAGGCAAAAATACAGGGGCCCTCTCGATTTTTTCGTCTGCATCGAACCCCTCAGGTGTATATTCTGTAAAGTCCAGATTTATCGTGGCGCCGTACTTCAATGAATGAGGCCTGGTTACTTCGTTCCCATTTCCTGCGGATCAACACAAGGCACCTCGAACGCTCGCTATATACCGGTGCATCTGATACTGCCAGTGCGACTCCACCAGAATTGCTATTTCGTGTGTATCTGATCAAATACCATCGTTATGATTCTCACTTTCACGCTGCCATGTGTCCTTATATCATGCCTAGAGGGTCGCATTCCAAATTGTACACTTTGATAGTAAGTTGCCGTCTTCCCTCAAGATCGACGCCCACGCGCCAAGTCGGCCATGGACACCCGAGAGCCGAAGACAAATCTGCTTTAGAAACGACATAAACAGCAATAACTTGACTGATGGACAGACCTCCATCCAGAGAACATGCTTGGGACTGTTCCATCCTCTGTCAACGTCAGGCAATTTGTCCATGGTTATTTCCTGTACAGTGGCAAACAACTCTGCCGCCTTGATTACGCGGACGTAACAGGTGCCATGGCATTTTGGTGCAACCCTTGGTCTTCATTTTCTTTGGCCTTGAAACACGTCGGATAGCAGGTGCTTTCGCCGCCGACTCTCCTTTTCGTCCTTTCGGCTGCCGTGCCATGACGGAATCCGTTCATGGCGTCCAAAATATGCATTTCTTTCCTGGAAACTCGCGGCCTTGATAAAAGTACGGGGAGAGTATGTCCATCGTGTATTTATTTAACGCGGTCGTTTCACTAAGTAGGGTTTTCCGGCGCCCAGTATCATAGGGCGGCAACTTAGGTCTGTTGAGATCTGTAGTCAGGTACTACCACTATTTTTATTTTTCTCCCGTCATGGCGCGAGAACTTCGCGCGAGGCTGCATGTATCCGAACAGCAGATTGCCAGCCCTGTAAGTTTTACAATTCTTGTAAAAGACGCGGTGACGATGAACAGACACTTTTACTGCGATCAGGAAAGCGCAGGCGTGGTGTTATTCGAGGAAACTTAAGTGGATATCAGAGTCCAGAGACAAATTCCGAGGTTCAATGGTGCTGCCCTAAGGTACCGAGCTGCCGTTCTGAGCCCAGGGAGGTGCGTGCCTACAAATTTACACCCGCCCATCAGCGAAATTTCTTGGGGTCATCTACACCAGACCGGTTCAAAACCGAGTCGAATCAATGAACTTAGCGTTCGCGGCCAAGTTTTAGGGAAGGACATATATATATGCCGACATCAGTCAATATCAAGCCACCAGAGAGCGTGGAGTGTGACAAGTTGACGCTGTAACTAATCGTTGGGCCGTAAGACTGACAAGAGCATGAGCATCCGGAGAAGAGACAGACATTCTGCCTTGACGTTGATCCAAAAGCCTGCTATGCGTTATAATCTTCTACCAATGCAATGGTCATACCAAGCATGGTACTGGCAAACATTCTAGATTTGGTCAACACCTCCTTCGTCCAAGACCGATAGAAATGTTATTTTCTGTTCTTCTCTTGAGAATGTGATTCCGAGCCTCATATGACTTCCGGGATAAGATGAAACAGTTTATATAAAGCAAACCAACGACCCTACAACCCAATTGAGTCGTCAAGTCGAAAACAAGTCATTGAACGGTAATAGAGCGACGCCATCTAATTATCAATACGGACGTCCTAAATGGATCCTATGCATATACATCTATCAATAAAGTATCTATACCCCTGTATCTAGTTGTCGGCGGGCTTTCTTCTCCGTCCCCTGAAACCCCAGTGTATCTGATTGGCAAGAGTAACCTCAACACCTAAATCATCCGCGAATGACCACACCAACCCAGGGTTCCTCTGGAAATGTCTTCCGACCATGACAAGATCCGCTTGCCCTTGATCAAGGACGTTTTGTGCAATATGACCATCGGTAATGCTTCCAACGGCGCTGACGACCAGGCCGGGATTGCTCTTCTTGACATCATGCGCAAGGGGAGCTTGGTACGCCGGTCCATGAGTGAATTTCTGCTTAGGATTATTGCCTCCCGAAGAAACGTCGAGCAAATCAATGCCGTGCTGAGCGAGAATGGGAGCGAGGCGGACGGTATCTTCGGACCTCCAGGAAGGGACATCTGGCAAAGACTCTTCCAGACGCTCGGAACCTGATATTCTGTTCAATATTATAGTTATTGCAAGTTCGACAAAGACATATGGAAGCCACTTGCCTGAAGAAAAGTGGCATCGACTCTGGGATAACGCTCCTGACCACATCGACAACCTCAAGTGGGAATCGAATCCGGTTTTCGAAGCTACCACCGTACTCATCTGTACGCTTATTGCTCGTAGGGCTCATAAATTCACACAACAGATATCCATGTGCGCCGTGGATTTCGATGACATCAAAACCTGCCTTGACGGCCCTCTGCGCAGCCGCCTTGTACGACTCCAAGAGACCCTTCAAATCGTCCTTGGTCAGTTCCTTGGGGGTCGGGTAATCATCCGCGAATGGAATAGGTGAGGGTGCAAACACATTCGAGGGCCACCCGCCCACGTCTTCGCCAGCGAGGTTGTGTCCTGGAATCCAGGGAGCAATTGTCGAGGCCTTACGGCCAGCATGTGCGATCTGGATGGCGATCTTCTGGTTCTGAGAATGCGCGTACTCAACGATGGACGCGAGAGGCGCAATATGGTCATCTGACCAAATCCCGACATCATTTGGAGTGATGCGGCCTTCAGGAACGATGGCGGTTGCCTCGATGATACTCAGACCCGGGCCGCGCGTGAAAATGCCTCCAACTGAAATAAAGTTTGTTAGCAGTGATCAGATGGTATTCCGAACGGAACGACGAACGATGACCGGTATGCCACGGGGTCACGATGCCATCTTGGGCTGAATATTGACACAATGGCGAAAGCTGATTTGTACGATATATCAGCGAATCACAAGGGCTGAACAGATATGTGGACTCACAAATATTCTGTTCTGAAAAGTGACTTCGCGAATGGTAAGTGGTTGAAAGAGAGTCGGGATCGGCTTGCCATCTGGCTGGGGAACGGCAGTGCCAGCAGGAGGGATCTGGGCGGGGGTGAAGAAAGAGACACCGGAAGCAGGGATATTTACTGCAGAGGGAGCCATTGTGGAAAGGTGAATGTTCAATGTTGGCTTTTATATTCGAATGACGTGCTCGAAGGACTCGGCTTACTAAAATCGGAAAAGGTGAGTAAGAAGTTGCTGAGTGAGCAGAGTCTGCTTCAATAATGATGGGCCTAGACACGGAATAACAGTGTACCTATACCATTCATTCAGAAGTCGACTTGCTTGTACGTCTACGCCTATGGAAATTGCACCATTACCAGTGTACCAAGGGCGCTTGGAAGGCATCCAGGGTCCAATCTGTAGCTCCACTTGCATCAGCATTGGAGTCAAAGTGTCTCATGGCAACACTAAGCAGAGAAGAGAATATCCAGGTCTCCGCTCGGGACTTGGACGTCGTCCGTTCAAGCAGGAACCAGACACTTGTACTATAGCCTGAGACGTAATCATCTGCTTCTTCTGCCATATAACTCGGACATTAAACTAATTTTCTGGAGTAATGCTTCAAGCTCTAAGACGGCGCTGGCTTCTAAGCACTCCTGTGGGCGAGTGGCCTTCCATTACATGGGTAATTTACAAGACATCTCCATTATCCTTGTCTCTCGACTCTGTCTTGTACAACGCGTGGCGTGCATACTTCTCTCTACTGGTTTAGTTAGTCTAGGCACTGTGGAACTCGTGACTTGGATTTCTATGCTTATTCTCAGAAGAATGGTATTCTGGCTCGTTGTTCGGGGATGCGCAGATGAGCAACTGCGTCAAGGTCTGATCCAGCTGCTTCCACGAGAAGGTCGTTGGATTGACTGGATGACACCCTTAACCATTGCAACGTTGTTGCCTGTTTACTTCTTTCTTCGAACCTCTTCTTTTTGCTACTTGCAAATCGTGGTTGAACTTGAACAACTTCAAGACTACGCTTACGATGCTAATTTGGACACCATAATGACGAGTCCTGGTCAAAATGCATTACCATTACCTAACTCTTCTCTACTTATGTATCATGCTCTACATCTGTCAACATGGAACAACCCCGCAGCCTCGATTTAAGCGCTCCACGTGCTGACGTGTTACGCTTTCCCAGCGGAGACCAGGACTAACTTCTTTTCTCAAGAGGCACATCAATTTCTATCCTAACGATACATGAACCTCGGGCTGGAGGATGCTAGGGGACATAAGGTGGTTTTTATTGTTCCTGCGAGTGTTTAGTACAACTTAAAAAGCAGCAGCAGTATACAGAAAATTTTAGTCGGAATGGAATCTTCGACAAAGCGACGAGGTTTGGAATTCAAGTTTGCTCATTAGCCTAGTGTGTATTAATGAACTTTTCCCCAAATCAACTCGTTTGAATTGACAGCATCGTCAAGAAGTACCTGTCTTATTTCCGATCTCCATAGTACGGCCTAGTTCAATCTATCCGAATCCTTGGATATCCTTCACTGGCCTTCACTGGGGATGATCTGGTTGTGTTATCTAGCCGAGTTTCTAGGTATTACGACTCGGAAGAATCCAGACAGTTATCATTGAGGTGGCTAATTGATTGGCTATCGTGACGTAGGCGGCTGCTGGGCGTGAACTCCGAGTCGGAATCGAAGTTGGGTCGAGGGCTCGGAGTTACGATTAATGCGTTAACGCTACTTGTCGTCGCTATAATTCTTCTTTCGATCAGCTTACCACTGCACAGTCTGCCAGAGCACGACGCGACGCGAGTACGATGAACAAAAATTACGTACGGTAACATCTTTCCCGGGGGGGATGGCTCCCCGCGATCCTGCCTACTCTTGAACGATGGAGGTTGAACGGGTTCACCACAAAAACCTCTGATACTAGGTTTTATATTTCAATTCAGTGAACTCCAGTGAAGAAGTTCCGGACCACCGTCGCAGCCGAGATAGCCGATCCTAGAGTTCAGCTCTCCGGCCTGGAAAGAAGTCGTCGATGAATCAACTCGGCATTGGAACCATCTTTTCATTCGCTCAAGCCGGGTGGCGTGTTGGTGATTGCTACCGAGGTATCACTGTAAGCAACCTATAAAAGCTGCAGACAAGACTAATATTCGATTCATTACCAGCCCTTCAAATCGCTGTTATGACCGCCAACGTACCAGCAGAAGGCGTCTCTTTCTTCACCCCTGAGCAACTCCCTCCTGCTGGGACTGCTGCTGCTTCTCAACCTGATGATAAGCCCATACCGGCTCTTTTTCAACCGCTCACGATACGAGGGTTGACTGTGCAGAACAGGATCTTTGTATGTCATCTTACTACCCGGCCGAAGCGATAAGGTTCTTGAAAGTTAATGCCCCTTCCTTTGATGCAGGTATCGCCCATGTGCCAGTATTCAGCGAAGGACGGCAAGATAACCCCATGGCATTTCGCGCACCGTATGTTCCATGTGGATGTTCTGTTCTATAATTGATAACATCTTATAACATTATCCTCTCTCAGTTGGCGGCATCTTCACACGTGGTCCCGGACTTACGTTCACTGAAGCTACAGCAGTCCTTCCAGAGGGCCGTATTACTCCTGAAGACTCTGGTATCTGGTCGGATGAACATGCAGCCCTCTGGGCACCTATCGTCGAGTTTGCGCATTCACAGAACCAGAAGATCGCAATGCAGCTGGGACACGCTGGCCGCAAAGCATCCACGATCGCGCCTTGGTTACCTGGGACTAATTTGGCGACAACGGAGCTCGGAGGATGGCCTGATCACACCTATGCTGCATCGCCGCTTCGATTTAGTGATGACTATCCGTTGCCGAACGAGATATCGAAGCAGGGGATCAAAGAGGTGGTCGACGCCTTCAAGAAGGCGGCCGAAAGAGCTGTGAAAGTTGGATTTGATGCTCTCGAGGTTCACGGCGCGCATGGCTACTTGTTGTTTGGGTTCTTGAGCCCCACGAGTAATCATCGCACAGATGAATATGGCGGAATCTTTGAAAACCGAATTCGCATCGTGTTGCAAGTTATTGATGCGATAAGGTCTGTGATACCCCCCGAAATGCCGTTTTTCTATAGGTGAAAACATTTGATTGATATCAATAGTTAGCTATTAACATGCTTGTTGCCAGAATATCAGGCAGCGAAAATGTTGAGCAGACGCTCCCCGATGTCCCCTCATGGCGTTCGGAGGATACCGTCAGAATCGCGCCTATTCTTGCAGCTCACGGTGTCGATGTTTTGGATGTGTCTTCTGGCGGCAACAATAGCAAACAGAAGATTACTCCTGGCCCTGCTTATCAATCACCGTTGGCGCATGCCGTGAAGAAGACCAATCCTGGATTGCTGGTTGCCACTGTAGGAGGTATAACGGACGGTCACACGGCGCAAGGCGTGTTGGAAAATGGACTAGCCGATGTAGTATTGTGCGGCAGAGCCTTCCAACAGAACCCCGGTCTCGTGTTAAGATATGCACAGGATCTTGATGTAGACATACATCTTGCGCACCAGATACAATGGGGCTACAAGATGGGAAGGAGAACTCGACGAGCAAAAGCTAGCTAGGAGGGCTTTCGAATTCCTTCCTGTATTGTAGAGTATTCCTGTTTCTAGATTTTAGAGTATTGGAATGTACTGTCTTCACCATCATTAATATTAAACATTAAGCTTCCGTGCTGCCGTAAGTGTCACCCAATCCTCCAGATTTCATTTGTCAGTTACTATATGAAATCGGCATCCGACATTGCCGATGAGCGGGGCCGCTTTAAGTAACGCGTTCTTTTGGAAAAGTTGACTCACTGACGAGCTTGTCGTTCCTTTCTTTCTCTTCATGCCTCGTTTTCAAAATGTGGTGGCCGTCATCCTAGGCGCGTCCGTGCTCTGTAGTATCACCGTATTTTACATCACACGTCCTCGGGAGGGCAAAATTCAGCTGCCTATCCATTCCGACGATGATCGCCCTCCAGATCCGTTCGACGTGTCCCAGCCTGTTGATTTTATAGACGGGATAGCTATTAATGCAAAAAAGTTTTGGGAAAAGGTGAGGAATGTTCAGTACAGCTGTTTCATGTACTGGAAGGACTTTTTTAGATGAGGAGGAGGAAAATCATTCTGTCATTCTTGCTTGCGGCCATCCTTATCTTGAAAACTATTTGCTTTGGTTGGGCCATCGTTGAGGACGAACCCTGGAATGTAGCCAGCTATGCTATCCACGTCTTTTTCTCTCTTTATCTTCTTGCAGTCGCCATCCGGTCGGTCAATCAGGACGCCCCCGGCCCTCATTCAGAGTCGGTCTTCCACCTAACGACATTGACAACGCTAGCCACTATTTTCCTTGGGATTTCGATTCTTCTTCCTACAGATCCCCCTCCTGTGGCGACCTCTGTAGAATCAAGCGAAGCCTTCACATGGATATGGATTACTGTTTTCATCATCTACACGATTACATGCCTTCTATCTTTTACCACGCCACAAGGACCACCTCTACATTATGAACCCAAAGATATATATTCCACGAAAGAGGCATCCGCACGAACTAACAAAGACGAAGTGAACGTAACCGGAGTGACAGGCAAGTGTTGATGCTTGACACCTTATGCCGCCTTCTTTAATATTGCCATACAGGAGCGTCACCCTGGGAAACACTCTTTTTCTCGTATTCAACCAAAGTCGTCATGCTTGGTAACACTGCGACCAGTTTAGAAATAAGCGACCTCCCCATTGTACCCGTGGGCCTCCGCGCGACATTCAACTACACAAGAATGAAGAATGCCGTCCGGACAATCAACTGGAAAATTGGCTTATGGAGACCTAAACCTGGTTCGGGATGGAATCTCGGATATCGACTTGTTAGGTTGAATTTAATGGCCCTTTTCGTGCAATTCTTGCTCGCGTCTGTCAGTGCTTGTGTATACTATGTACCTCCGTATTTCTTGCGGCAGCTCGTTTCTTACCTCGAAGTCGACCCTGAGCGCAGAGATACGAGGTGGGGTTGGGTGTATGTAGCAGGCTTATTTGGATCCAACGCTATTTCTTATCTGAGTGAGCGGCCTCATACATGTCTTGCACTGAAGGCTATAATCATTTCTTTCACAGTCACCGGACAACTCTGGTCACTCTCAACGACGGTTTTGCAAGTTCGATTCAAGATCCAATTGAATACCATTCTCTTTGCCAAAACACTTGTTCGCAAGGACGTAGCATCCAGCGCACCCTCGACATCTAAGAAGACACCTACGGACAACGGAAGCTCGAAAAGCGACGTCTCCGATGACAAAAAGGATGACGAGGATGACTTCTCTAGCAAGGCACAGATTATGACTCTTATGACTACCGACGTTGATAGGCTCAGCGAGTTTGCGTGGCATATGTTTACTCTGATTGGTAGATTTCATTGATTTATATGGACACGTTCATGGGTCTCAACGTCATCGGGTTTGCAGACTCGCCAATCGAAATCGTCATCGGTTCCATATTTCTATATAAACTTCTTGGTAACGACTCGCCTTTGACCTACATCAACACAGGCTAATCAATATCAAAGGGATTTCCTGTTTCTTTGGGCTGGCAGTGACATGCTTGTTCCTACCAATGAACCACTTCGCGGGAAGCGTCGTCGTTGGTGAGTAAGAGTAGATGCACGCGGTTGTTCATCAAACTGACCAATTTTGTAGGTGCCCAGGATAACCTCATGAAAGCTCGCGACGAGAGGATATCCCTTATGAATGAAGTTAGTCTCCCTTGTCGGCTACATTATAGTCGCATTGATCAATCTCTGTAGATCCTTGGTGCCATTCGCATGCTAAAGGTATTGTCTACACAAGTTGAAGACCAGTCGGTCATTGACGCTCGGTCTAACAGTTCATGGCATGGGAGCGCAGTTTTGAAGCGCGAGTCCTCGAAATCCGAGAGAAGGAGCTGAAGTACCAAAAGCTCAACTACACTATTGAGGTGATCATTTACTAAGAAAAGTGCTGTTCTTACAAACTAACATATAACTCAATCAGACGATGTGGAATGCCATTTGGTACGGGATCGACCGCAATGCACCGTATAGCTAACACTCGTCTAGGAACGCTTCACCCATACTGGTTACCTTGGTCTCGTTTTGGCATTTCACTGTCATTCGAAAGCAGGACTTGACGCCCTCCATCGCTTTCACGTCCGTAAGTATCATTCTCCTCTCTGAAGAAGTAATTCTTACCATTTATCATACTCTCCTTTAGATTGTTGGTAAGAACCTTCCCAATTTATTGCTACCCCTCAGTGATGCCCAACAGTGTTCAATGAGTTAAAGTTTGCTCTTAACGCACTCCCCGAGACTTTCATCAATATGTTGCAAAGTTTGGTGTCAATGCGTCGAATTGAAAAGTATCTGAACGCCAACGAAGTCTCTCCTGTCCTACCTGTTGAGCAGCAGTCTCAAATAATCGCCTTCCAGTCTTGCACTGTTACATGGCCTCAAGAGCGCATAGCTGCCAGCAAAACACCCTCCACTGCATCTACACCACGTCACAAGTTCATACTTGTTGACTTGTCTCTCCGTTTCCCGCCAGGGGAACTGTCTTTGATATGCGGTAAGTTAGGGTCGGGAAAGACGTTATTGCTTCACGGTATGTGTTTCTTCTATCCGTGTTTTGAAGTGAACTCACATTCTACTTCCACAGCATTGTTGGGAGAGGCGGATGTACTTGCGGGGCAAATGCTTTGTCCGCGTTCACCTCCTGATGCTATAGCATCTTTCAAAACAATCTTATCAAGAGAAGAATGGGTTGTCCAAGGAATCTGTGCATATGTTCCGCAGGTAAGTAATTATAATGTCTGCCTTCGCGCAATAGAATCCCACCATTAGCAATTAGGCCGCCTGGCTTCGTAATGCGTCGATTAAAGGTATATTTCATTAGACCTCACCATGTCCTGCATACTGAAGACGTCCATTCGCAGATAACATTCTTTTCAATCTACCATTTGATGCCGAACGTTACAGAAAAACGTTAGAGGTGCGGTATTTAATGTACTCATTGATCACGCCATGAACATTATTTTGGTCAAGGTTTGTGCTCTTACGACAGACCTCGAGATTTTAGAGGATGGAGATGAAGCGGAGATCGGAGAACGTGGGGTATGTTGTAACGACATTCTGATGGCTAAGTTTGCTGACGACTTACCTGCAGGTGAATCTATCGGGAGGCCAAAAAGCTCGCGGTAAAGTCAATCCTATTCAGCTTCTGCATCAGACTCTGACACTGTACAATAATTAGTGTCTCTTGCACGTGCAGTCTACTCTCGTGCTTCTATCTTACTTTTAGACGATGTTTTGTCCGCAGGTATGTATTCATATGTTTTGAGCTAAATGGTTGCCTGACTTATTCTGATTTTTCCGTTTCTCTAGTTGACGCACATACAGCCCATCACCTGTATCATGAATGTTTGAAGGGCGAACTTATGCAAGGTTTGTTGTGCTCGATGTATCGCCAATCAATTTGAAACGAGCATTTGTCTAGGGAGGACTGTGATCCTGGTCTCTCATCATGTTCAGCTTTGTGCCGAAGGGGCTGGATATATTATAGCGCTTGACAATGGACGCGTTCAGTTTGAAGGGACCAGAGAAGACTTCCAGAAGTCCGGGGTCATACGTACCTTAGTACAGTCTGCCTTCATCGACGACAAAGATGATGTCGCAGATGACAAAGAGGAGGAAGTAATCGAAGCAGGATTCGGCTCCAACGATGAGTCCGAATCCAGCTCAACCGTGGCACCTGCGTCTGAAGTAACGGACACGAAAGCCGCCGGCAAGAAGCCGCCGCGTAAGCTCGTTGAGGAAGAAAAGCGTGCCATTGGAAGGATCGGAAAGGATATTTGGCTCACCTACATAAACGCATGCGGGTCTTCTATCTACTGGTCTGTATTCTTGGTCGTTTTCATATTGGCCGCTTTGAGCCCGGTAGCAGAAAATGGGTGGCTAAAGTACGTGCCATGCTATGTCTCTCCTTCCGCTCTTCTGACGAGGTACAGGTATTGGTCGCATACAGTCCTAGAAGCGGATGGCTCGAAAGGTCCAGTGTACTACATTGCTATGTATGCAATCGTGAGTCTGCGGCGTGATGGATATTTACCTTGTCTAACGGCGGAACTATTAGATTACGGCCATTGGTCTGATTATCACAACCCTTCGATGGCTTGTTCTCTGTGAGTCCGATGCACTCAGCCAACCAATGGTTCTCTCATAAGATTTTAGATAGGGGGTCGATTCATGCATCTGTGGTCCTCTACCAAAGTATATTCCGTCTTAATCTCAACTCTTCTTGTCTCTTATGTCTCTTCACTACAGGGCTTTTGGAAACCGTCCTTTTTGCTAATATTAGGTTCCATGATACCGTTTCTCGTGGGCGCCTATTGAATAGGTTTGGTAAAGACTTCGAAGGTACCTTTTCCCCGCTCTTTCTGCATTCAACGTGTTCGAAAGTCAAAAAATTTCGGTAGGCATCGATAGTAGTTTATCAGACAATTTCGGACGGAGTACCATGTATGCAATGTCGTCTTTGACAACGTTAGTCACAGTCAGTGTTGTGGGAGGCTTACCTTTCATCGCTGCCGCCTTCGTGCTCGCTGTCATATACTACAATGGTATGTTTCATATTCGCATTGTCTTTCACCTCTGAACTAATGGAACACGTTCTTCTTACAGTTGCCAAGGTTTACGGTCAGACTTCCCGTGATATGCGTCGTCTTGGTATTCCTTTCTTGAAAATGAATTGAACACTGGACTAACTTGGGCTAGATTCTGTAACTCGCTCACCGTTATATTCAATCTACGGTGAAACTATAGCCGGGGTGTCAATAATCCGGGCTTTTGGAGCCTCGTCGAAATTCTTGCGAGATATGCTTCGCTGTGTTGACACTGTAAGCACCCCGGGGTCATGTAATAAGCCATCCCTGACGTTAGAAATATTCATAGAACTGCAACCCTTATTACTGGATGTGGGGAGGTAAGCTACTGTCAATTGGTACCTTGTAGATTCTTACATCCCGTTAGTAAACCGATGGCTTTCCATTCGGTTCAATTTACTTTCTTGTGCAATCACTGGTGTCACTGCTGCAGTGACTGTGTTGACTCCCCGGATTGATGCATCTCTGGCGGGGTTCACTCTTGCCTTCGCTAGTTCTATTACGAACGATTTGTTGTTCATGGTATGCGTTTTACGTATAGATGGCTTCGTCAACTGAAATTAACCCGAAGGTTCGTCGTTTTGTCGGTTTGGAGCAATCAATGGTGGCACTTGAAAGAGTGAAAGAATATTCAGAGCTCGTTCGCGAGCCTCCTGAGTTCATTGAACCAAGGCCTCCTCAGTCATGGCCATCCCATGGAGCCATAAAATGCGAGGACCTTGTTATTCGATATGCTGTGAGCATATTCTTATCCAGATGGCTGTCCTTGAACTAACGGACAAATAAGCCGGACCTACCTAATGTTCTTCATCACCTAAACTTTGAAATCCAGCCGGGCGAAAAAGTCTAAGCTCATAACTCTCTTGTGGAGGTTCTTCATTAACATTGATCGTAGATTGGCATTCTTGGAAGGACCGGCTCAGGAAAGAGTACCCTCGCGCTCTCTTTCTTCCGTTTTGTGGAGGCGACAGAGGGTCGTATCTTGATTGATGATCTCGACATCGCTTCGATTGGCCTCACCGATCTACGAAGCAAGATTACTATTATTCCTCGTGAGCGCTCAGTTTAAGATGTCGTTCTTTCTCCTGAATCCTGTACAGAGGATCCCACGATTCTCAGTGGTACTGTGAGATCTACGTTGGACGTCTTCGACGAATACCAAGACGCTGAAATAGTAAGTCTCCCCTCGACGGTCTATGTAATACACTTAATGAAATATGTTTTAGTTTGAGGCTCTGCGACGAGTACATTTGATTCCTGCCAATAGTTCTGTTGAAGACGATGTTGTGAATGCTAATATGTTCCGCAACCTTGATTCTCCTGTTTCCGAGGGAGGCGACAACTTCTCTACCGGGTCGGTCTTCTTTGCTTCGCTTGATATACCTCGTATACATCTGATTGGTTATACTATAGAGAAAAGCAGCTGTTATGCATGGCCCGAGCCATCCTCAAACGGTCAAAAGTCCTGGTCATGGACGAGGTAAGCATTAATCACCGTTTGTCGATTTTGTTTTTCATGTCTGTCCCAGGCAACAGCCAGCGTGGATTACGCTACAGACGAACTGATCGGGAAGACCATTCGACAGTAAGCTGAAACTCGTCACCTTTTCGCATTTCTAAGACTCAAATGATTACCAGAGAATTTTCTGAGAGCACGATATTGACTATTGCTCATCGACTTAGGACCGTTATTGACTATGATAGGGTACATTTCTCTACCGCGACGCGACCTCTTCTCCCACTAATATTGAACTCGTAGGTCATGCTTTTGGACCAGGGTCGTATAGTAGAGTTCGACAGGTAAGACACTCTTCATTATGTCTTCATGTGATTCGGTCTCTCATTCGTTTTGCCCAGACCCAAGGTTCTTTTGAGCGATTCAGCCTCAAAGTTCCATGCACTCTGTAAAGCAACAGGCAAGGAGGAGTTTGCCGCTCTAAAGAAGATGGCCGGGGTATGAACCATACGAAGGTGATATACAAATCTAGATTTTCGCAACTACTCATAATCATTGGGTGTATTGATTCTTCGGAACTGATTCGTACAAAAATACATTGACACGAATGTGAAAGGAATGAAAGGTCAAATTAATGAAACCCGCAAACCCTTGTCTCATAAAGTCTTCAGACATTGGATCGTTTCCGGTGTCACATCTTTGCCTGCCCTAGGACCAATCACCGCGGATTCAAGGGCAACACGCCCTTTCAAGAAGCCTCGTCGCGACTCAAGCGCAGTCAAAATCGCATCCTCATCCATGTCGGAACCCCATACCAGCTCTAGATGCCGAAGGTTCGGTCAATAGCTTCCATTCCTGTTATCCGTATAACAACAGATCAAGCGCCAAAGGCTTAAGGAAGTGAGGATGGCTTGGGGGACAGTGTCGTGAACTGGTGATGCCTCGTGAACCACAAAATTATGAAGGGAATGACCCATCGAATAGATAGCATTTGCAAAATCGACGTCGATAACCAAGCGCTTCGAAGAATAAAGGTCTCCATTGCGGCACCCTTGATGATCCCAGCCATCGCTTTCAATTGGGCACCGACATTTTTGCCCAGCTCAAAGCAGAACTCGAGGCTGTTCAGGTTCGGAAGTGCAATATTTTGAGCCAATTCAGAAAGAATGGTGTCTTTGGATAGGGTGAGATTGAGAGAAGTCACGGTCAAATGGCGGCAGATGGCTGGTTCATTGAACCAAGTTTCGGTGCGGGACGTTTTTTGCATGATTTTGAATGTGGCATGATTGAGATTAGGAAAGTGCGGAAGTGCAGCTTGTATTTCATGGAGGGTGGATTCTATCATAGGAGTGTAAGGTGGGTGACCGAGGTGATCTGATCACTAAAGCCGATCGCGGTCCCGCCCCTTTGCAAAACGAGGGAACGTAAGCGGAGGGTTTGAGGATAAGGAGCCTCAACATCATAATCTCCAGATTAAGATGACAGAGGTATGGAAAGTTCCACCCAAGTCTGTCTAGAGAGATCTCAAACAACAATGAGTTTGAGACGCACATCGACAAGTTTTCGATTCGTGAGCGGGTTTCCTGGCCAGCGAGAACGCGGAGCAGTCGGTGTGCCTGGGCTTGTCCTGTTCGGTCGGAGGTAAAATTAATGGAAAGAGGATGGGTGCTGGCCTGTCGCAGGTATAGAGCAAGGGGTTGCATAATGCGAGTCCATGGCAACTTCTCAGCGCGGTTCAGCCATACTGAAATGCGCGCCCACAACATTGGCAAGGAGTGTATCGTTACTCGCCAGTCATGGCACACAAGGCTGAGACGAAGCGCTGTTAATGATACAGTGGAACCGGAGACGAATTCGTCTCAACAACAGTCGTCAAATATTCGCGCCATGATCTCGGGAGGAAGACGCCGTACCGAAGGCAGCAGGCATTCTTGATACGCAATATATTGCTCCAACATCGCCTCTTCTCTTTCCAGCTGTAAAAAAAGCGTCTTGAAGCCGTTTCCTTTCGGATTTGTATAGCGAAAGATGCCTCCGGGCATGCAAAACATGTTCCTTGATTTGATTCCTTTCGGAGCAGGAGGAACGTATCGAATGCGAAGTTTGTGCAACACTGTACTCAAGGTGAATCCGTGCAAGGGTAAGATACAGCTGCAATCCCGGCAAAGAGTCGTGGTGGCAGACAAGACAGATGCGTCCATTCTCTCGCAGAAACAACTTGTTGAGGACTGGAAAGAAAATGATAAGTGCTACGGTGCAGAAGTCCAGTCGGAACCTACTGCAAATTGTTTAGATGAGATATTACACTCCAAGGAATGAGAATCAAAGAAATATTTAGGCGCCAATGTGGCAGGAAAATTCCGAATGATGGAGGTAAGAAAAGAACAAGATACCAAATAGACGTACACAACGCGATGGGGTTAAGTAGTCTGCGAAGGCAGCCGAGGGACGCGGTTTGGCTCTCCATACAGGTCTTATGACGTGTCAATTTCCCCAATATTTGTGTATCAGATCTCAATATGATGGTTTCCCGGCTCAGAGACACCAAAAGCTTGGTTAGATGCATCATAAAAGACGTACGCGTCCTACTAGCCCACGTATGGCATGCACTTGCCACTGGATCACCAGAAACAGGAAGTTGATAGTTGTTTTCTGGCCTTCTTACTAATTGAACGCTGAGCGAGGAGCGAGCGAATTGGGTATTGGTATAACAGGTGTATGGGGTTGGTTGATGCATCTTCCTGCGAGTCTTCGGTGACAGCTACTGTCTTCTGTTCTTTGGAATACCAGCGCTGATGCCCAGACTATTCTTGCACAGAAGAAAGATCAAGTGTATTGATTTATAAAGTTCGGGGGGAAGGTTCTGGAGTCTCTACAGTGCTGCAGAATTGTTTAGACAACTTACGATCATAATTTACTATATCACAGCCTATCGAATACTTCCATGTGCTCAGTGCCATTATGGTGGTCACCAATAGTTCTTTCAGCATCGAATTCGGCATTGCAGACTAGAAGCATCCAATACGCTACTTATTGTCGCCGATTCAGGTGCATACCAAGAGAAAGTAAGCACTAGCTAATCCAGTTAGCGAGCTGCGATACCATCACCTCAGACATAACTTCCATTTCGATTCGGGGCTGAAATTTTCACATTCTGAGTATGATTCTTAGCATAGAAAAGACTCGTAGAAGATAGACGCCTACCGGCAAGGCAATGGCCTCATGCCCTTTACCTCCGTTGTGCCTCGATGAATCAGTCCGATCGTTCCGAAAAAGAGAAGGGTCCGGGGGGGAAGGAATATAGAAGTTTTCCTTTTTGTTGTTGGCAGAGTTGGGTTCTCGGGCGTTCAGTGTTGCTACAAGGGAGCAAATATACCTATAATGTTTGTGAGAATGAGACTATCAACTTTTGCCAGACCTACACCTCGCTCAACATGAGAAAGCTAGCAGAGAGGTTAGAGTGTATTAGTTGCATCCAAAAGACGTGCAACTCACAGCATTAGATGGAACGTGTGATGTTTCGCGGCCACGTAGGCAACGAATTCGGTGACAGCCATGACTGTAGTAATAGCACCTGTTTCCGCAGAATATCGTATCGACCGGTTTATTTTCTTGGAGCTAAATTTGAAAGACGTATCCTTCTGTGCGCGGAGCTATATAAAATTTGAATCGCTGGACGTGTGACAAGAGGGAGATACTCACAGTCATCACCACGGTAATCGTAATCAGGATATCGCACAAGGCGCAGCCTATTAACCAAGCCTAAAGGGGGTCGAGTCACTCAATCCATGCAGGAGCTGTATATGTAAGTAGCTCAACACACAATCCTGAACGGGCTCAATATTATCATCTCATCTACACTGCCTCCATGCAACGCCAACTGGAGCACACATTAGATGCCAACATAAAGTATGGATTCAAGAACGCACCGTTATGCCGTAGTATACTGCGAAAATGCATTGGGCGAGGGAAACCTAAATTTTTACGATTGAGTAAATCAACGAAGGCTCCTTCAGTGAAAACTCGCTTACAGCCTCAACGCCAACGATGATCATAAGGTTCCGCTTCGTTAGAGTCCAGATTCGCCATAGGTAGAAGTTTTGAGTCATCCAAGAAACTGGAAACATGTCTGCATTGGGGAAGACATGGCCGGGAGAGAAGGGTACTCACTGATGCCGCTTAGAACAGGCAGAGCTCCAAAGCTCGTACCAAGAAAAAAAAGTGTATGAGTGTCACCCCATCCCCAACCAAAGGTGTTCCATGCAGTGATAGTGGAGATAAAAACGAATGCAGTTTCGAGAGTAAACAGCGTCCAAACTGAAAGACCAGAATCGTTGGTAGATGAACAAAGAACACGAGGAAGAGAGACGCACCCAGGATCTTGAGGCCCAGCTTGTCAGTAGGGAAACGAGAGTGAGTTAGATAGATATCTATTTCTGCAATCAATGCAAGGCCTGAGATAATTAGAAGATCTCATTGTTCACATATTTGGATGAGGAGGACGCCGTAGAGGCAATAACCCCACATATACCCCAAAACCAAAGGGCCTGTACTGCAGCAATGTCTGTCAGAGAATGAGACCACAGCAAGAGCCACCGACTCACAACAACGGAACGTTTACACCCGAAATTTCAGTGGGAGCCATGGTGGAGATATGAGAGAAAAAGAGATAACTTTTGTAAATTCCTGTCGTCCAATTTAAAGCCCCATAGGTCATTTCAAAATGAGCGCCCGAGACAAGACAATGAAGTGGTGGCTTAAGAGTCACGGTACGCCAAAAATTCACATAATGCCAAAAAGTGTCGGAGAATCGACTACTATGAATGGTGGCATTAGCTGGATTAGCTATAGCCGTTTGTGCCAGCGACAGAACAAAGATCCACATCCTAATATAGTAAAACAACGCCGAAGTGAAGCTTTTGTTCAACCAAGTCGGGCATTGCGACACAGGAGGAGTTACGCTATGAGCCACATACATTGTCTGTAGGGCTGCCAGGAGATCTAGAGGCGATTCGAGAAGATAGACTACTCCGAGAGCTTCTTGTAGTCGAGAACAAATCAACAGAGCCGATTGTATCCACGGGTGACGTTGCAAGTATTACATTTCTGATGCCAACGTATTTCTTATAACAATCTACTCAAAAATTAGAGAAACTGAAAGATAAGAAAGGAAATAGCTCACTTGAACAAATCGGATAGCACTCCCATAGCCGTGACGGCAGCACCTGCACCTGCGCCCTGCACTATCAACGGCCGGGGACTATATCTCTCCGTGTGGAACATGATAATGTTATCCGACCCTCCCAAACTCGTCGCAAACGGATGCGTCGTTGGATACTTCTCCAGACCCGCCTTGACCTCGCCCTTGGTGGGGTCCACAACACCGACGAACCGAAGAACCTTGCCCTCCTTGGCAGCCTCCTTCCTCATGGCGTCAAACTGAGCATCGAACTCTGGAAGGCGCGCGAAGAACTCGTCGCCTGTGGGGATGCCTTCGAGGGCCGGAGGGATGAGAGAGGCCGTCTCCACCGAAGCGAAGGAGTAAATGGAAGGAGAGGGTGCGATGGTACGCGATAGGATCGTCAGCTTTCGTGCAACGTCGAAGCCGTTGAGGTCGTCCGCCGGGTGGGGCTCCTGCCGCCGCACATTCAAAAAGTGACTTCTTGGAAACGAATCGATGCTTACCGTGTACCCCTTCTGCCTCGCCTCGCTCACCACAGAAGAAAACGACGGCCCGTCGGGGCTTCCAGTGGAGTACTGATTGAAGATGTAGCTCATCGTGCCCGAAAACACGCCTTCAATCTTGAGGACCTTGTCTCCGGTCATGACAAGATCTTTCAGCGTCGAGATAATAGGCAGACCCGCGCCAACCGTCGACTCGTTCAGATATCGGGCGCCGGTGGACTTGCTGGCGTTCAAGATGGCCTCATACAAGGTGTACGAGCCTGAAAAAGGCTTTTTGTTGGGGGTGATAACATGGAGTCCCGAAGAGAGCCAGAGCGGGTAAAGCGCCGCGATGTCGTCCGATGAGGTATTATCAACGACGACGACCTTGTCCGTAAGTGTCACTAGGGCCTTGAGGCGCTCTGTGAGGGACTTGACGTCGGCATTTTCTGTGGAATTGGAGAGCTGAGTCTTCCAAGACGACGTTATGGGCGTGTCTGGCGAGAACAGAGTCCGGGTCGAGGACGTCAACGCGATCAGTTGGAACTGCGATCCCCGCACAGACAGAAGCTGCTTGATGAACTCAGAGCCGACCAAGCCAACGCCAATGACTGCGACCCGGATTTTTGACATGACGGTGACTCAAGAAAAATAATTTCAAGTTCGAAATGATATTCCGCGATATCGATCAAATATGATTAAATTTTACATTTTGCTATATATTACTCTCCTACGGAAGCACTCACCTTAAGAGGGAAAATCAGCTATTGGCAGACATCATCAAGGATTACACTTACCTCGAGGATACAGCAATAGAAAGGGAGGTGAAACTCTCCGAAAAGAGCTGGAGGAATTAAAAAATTGCTTCTCAATGCAGACGAAGAGTAGTCTGAATCGAGTTACACCCACGTCCATCGGTTGTCATCCTAGCAACGAGGCCAGGTCAACGAAGCCAACCGAAAGGGTGCGCCACAAAGTGCGCTCAAGGACAGATATCACGCAAGCATTCCTACCAATCCAGACGGAATCAATGACCTCGTACGCTGAATCAGATCACCCAGCCCCAGGTAAACGGGGAGTATGGATGCCGTCACCCTGCTCTTCCAAAAATCCTTCGACGGATGTGAACCATCCACTAATCGGTCCACAGCAAGCTGCATCGCGAGTGGACTTTGGTGGAAGACTACAGCATCCCCGTGGTGAGATATTGACGCTCGACGGCAAGATGAGCCTTGAGACCCATCGCCACATGGAACGTCAAGCGGAGAGAGCACCATGCAATATGGCTTCTCCATCTACCTTAGCGATCCCGACTTCCATAGACATATACACTTGCTGGGCCTTCGCAGTAGAGGTGATCCTCTTGTGCTTAGGCAGTTCCTGCCAGTCGTCCGGAGGGCCTGCTTCTTGCAGTAATCGACGTCCGAGAAGTTCTACTCGTCTCGCCCCTCCTTGTTTTGAGACCCTACTCTAGGATTATCATATGCACGTTCCGAGCTCGATCACTCCTAGAAACAATAAGCGCCAGAGGCACGAACTGGATTTCTTTCAAGAATTGCTTGTCCACAACTGTCGACGATCAGCAACAAAAGCCGAGATGAGAGAGGAAATCGACGAACCACCAGTTGGATTCGTTCCAAATATCTTATATCCATGATGAAATACAGATCAATAGACTCCAGGGAATACTGATATCTGCAAACACTCCGTACGGCCACTCCTTTCGGCGGTGGAATGATACGGTGTACGTCGAAAGAGACGTGTCGCGCGCCGATAGTCAATGGAATGCTGCGCAACACTGCCCAGTCTCTGCGACGGCTTTCAAACACGGGTCACCTCACCCTCATATCTTCAGGTATCGAGGCGCCCGGGTGGATGTCTGGTACGTCGCTCAACCGATTACAGTCGGAACCCAGCTAGAACCCAGCTAGAGAGACGATATGCTCAGACCTTACCCGCTCGCAAGTAGAGACGACGGCGTCCTGTGCGAAGCGAGCATTGTGGCTTTCCGCCTACAAGAATAAAGAAAAGAAAGGTGACCGTGCGATGCAGATGACCGATATTTGTATGTACTTGCCAAAATCAGCAGTGATAGGGTGACTCTTATTACATATTATACTGTACGTAGGAAAAGCAGGCACATCTGTAAGCATGGCAAATGTAGCGACCACCAACAATTCCTTCAACGACAAATATCAACCCAATAATGTCAGGTCCACGTTATCTGTACCGCCAGCCTGCACATCTTCGTGTGCTTCGAGACCATTGTCGGATCTGAAGGGCCTTCCCCTCCAACGCTCAACTTTCGTTCTGAGCATCTGCTCAACATCGTCGACATCACAACATGAACCAAGAGCTGCACGAAACTTCTGGTACCATGGTTTCCGGCCACTGTCATAAAAATGAGACGACACAAGATAGAGCTAGGATGTGAAGTTTACCATTGAAAATCTATGAAATGTCTAATATGGGTTTGGATGGTAGGAAAGGTCGCTGTACCGGGATAATCACGACAATGCTGCAAGTACTCCAGCGAGATGTCCACGGGGTCTGGTACCGTGCCGGAGAAGATACTGTACAACTCAAAGTAAGACGAGTTCCTTGGGCTCAATAGAGTGCACGAACTAACCACGGGTTTCCAAGTAGCGTCTCCCCAACCATCACACCATCCGCTCCCGTATAATCGAAGTTACTTTGGATATCGCTCCACTCGCGAACGTTGCCATTGCTGATTACTGGCACCCGAAGGGTCTCTTTAAGAGCCTTCACCTGTGAAAGATCTGCTGGACCATTTCTTCTACGACGCGCTGATACCGTTCGAGCATGTAGAGTGATCCAGGACACTCCGTCTGCTTCAAGCCTTTGAGCCAACACCGAGGTCTTTTCGACAGGCTGGCATAGCCTGAGCTTTACCGATACCGGGACAATAAGAGAATGAGAAAGAGAAGAGACTGAACAATAGTCAGCGACCATCGCAAAAGAATACCAGGAGGCGACATGCCTATATGTTCAACAATAGGCCAATCCCTTTGACCGAGAAGATAGGCACCAAAGTGACCATCTCGGGCAGCTTCCTGAGGACAGCCAAGGTTTAAGTCTAGTCATTTGGAGGCCTGGACAATTAACTGATAAATAGCACCCACCAACTCCGTCGCAATGGTCCTGAATTTTACGAGCTCCCTCGACGACAACATCTGGGTCGTTTCCGCACAATTGCACTACTACGTGATGATCTTTGGGCCGCTGGGCAAGATCACACAGATGGAATGCGAGATATTCCTTGTCATTGACCAATTTCTCAGGCTGGAGCATTTGAGTATATGTGAGTGTGGCCCCGTATTTGTGGGTGAGCGTTCGAAAGGGTAAGTCCGATTGATTGACCATCGGCGCTGCGATATACGAAAAGTCCAAGGCCGCCATGACTATTCGTTAATAATAAAATCCAAGCTAAGGAGTATTATTAGTAGAGATTGTAGAGCATTGTGGCTGACATTTTTACCTGGTCCGTTAAGAGAGATTTGGTTCGTGGGAATGCTACGGTCTCACCTCTTTGGCCCGTCGGCCCGCGGTCCGTAAGCCCCAAGTTAACCATTATGTCGTACACCCTTCTTTCGTTTCTCACATGTCTTCATCCAAGATAACCAAGATTGAGGTGATATTTAATTCTTTTGTCAAGAACATTGCTAACTCTGTCTCCAGTACTTCAGGGTCCCACCACGATGGCTATTCGTTCGTGTAGAAACAGCAGACGACACTGTCGGTTGGGGTGAAAGTACTTTAGAAGGCCATACCGAGGCAGTCGAAGGCGCTATGAAAGATCTTCAAGAACGATTTACTGGTGCGGATGCAGACAACATCCAGGACATCTGGCAGACTGCATACATGATGCGATTTTACCGTGGGGGCCCTGTCTTAATGGCAAGTGCCAATTTTTAACGTGCTACTCCAATTATTCAAGGATGTGATGGATATCAATAATAGAGTGCACTATCGGGATTAGACATTGCACTCTGGGACATCAAAGGCAAGAGGCTTGGAGTCCCAGTATGGCACTTGCTGGGCGGTAAGGTTCGGGATCGCGTCAAAGTGTACGGATGGATTGGTGGTGATCATCCCAAAGACGTCTTGAGTGCTGCCCTCGAACGAAAACAACAAGGATTTACAGCCGTTAAGATGAATGGAACAGGTCTGTTTTTCGTTGTTCTGCTTGTTGGATTCAAATCTCCATTCATGCGGCAGATGCGATATCATGGATTGATTCTCCGGATGTTCTCAAGGGAACCGTGGAGCGTATTCGCCAAGTCAGGTTCGTCAATGTCAACACATGTACCTGAGAACTCGTGTTTATTCAGATCGTTTTAGAGAAGAAGCCAAGATGGATGTCGGTGTGGATTTTCACGGTCGAGTACACAAGGGAATGGCCAAGCAGCTGGCTAAACTACTGGAACCGTATCAACCTCTTTTTATCGAAGGTACCATTCGCCTTTTTTTGTGTTCAACGGAAAACATTGATGGCTTACTTACGATAATCCACGCAGAACCTCTATTACCCACACAACCGGATGAGATTGCGGATATTTCGAGAATTGTTTCGACCCCCATAGCCCTGGGTGAACGTCTTTACACGCGTTATGAGTTCAGACCTTACTTCGAGAAACATGCCATTGATATCGCTCAGCCTGATGTTAGTCTTATTTTCGCGGAAGAAACAGATAACTCACTACTCCTCCAGGTTTCCCACTGCGGAGGAATTACGGAACTAAGAAACATCGCATCACTCGCAGAGACATATGATGTTGCATTAGCACCACACTGCCCGTTAGGTCCAATCGCATTGGCGGCTTGCGTGCAGGTTGCCCTGTCTGCACCAAATTGTCAGTTCTCTTCGCTACATACTTTTTCGGTTACTAACGCCACCCTCAGTTGTTATCCAAGAAATGAGTTGGAAGGTTTAGTCAGAAACAGATAAAATTCCAGTGGTACTTAGTAGTGGGTTTTTCAGATGCACTACAACACGGATGATCCTGAGGCCGCGGATTTACACACATACATGGCAAACCCACAAGTATTTGACATCAAGGAAGGGTACATTGGTGCGCTTCAAGGTATGGTATCATCTTGCCGCTAGTGAGCATGTATGTTCAAAATTCTTAGGGCCGGGTATTGGCATAGAAATTGCTGAAGGACTTGTTCGAATTGCTTCAGAAAAGTATATGTCTAGCCGCTCAGCTTGGCGCAATCCAGTCTGGAGAGGTTCGGATGGAGGTTTAAGAGAATGGTAGACGTACTCTGTTACTGTTTTGGGAATGTAATTTCCTAGCACTTAGCCGACAAGTACGTCCACGCCGAATGAATTCCCAGGTACAGTTGTCACGATACAGATCGATCGCCTCGTGCCGAGCCTGAGGACCCTTCAGATTTCCACGTTTTGTTCTCTTTCCATCACCAAGCCAAGTCCGACGTAATATATCTTTCTGATATTGTCAAGTGCTTTGAACTCCGAGTCCGCTTTACAAGCATCAACCCTCAGGCCTCAGCGCTCGAGTCCAGAGCGATATTGTAGATGATCCGAGTGCTTATGCTACAGGCCTTGTGAGTACGTTGCTTGGTTTACAGCAACGCCCGTTGTAATCTGATTGTAATCCGTGAGAATGTTGTCTTTCTAGGTACCTTTAGAAAGCTCTAGCCACAATAGCCCACCTTCGATCTTTGGTTCTTTCACATAAATAGCTCCGCGGGATACTTGTTCGAATTCTCAACATAGCTTGAGCGATAAAACATCTGCAGTGTAATGGATGCGTGAGTTGATCTAATATGTTTTTTTCAAACCACTTATCCTCTTACTCTTGCCCAGGTCTGTCTATCCAGATCCCAGGTGAGTTTATTGGCTTGAGAACATGGCTGTGAAAAAGAACTCACAAAGTCTTCATCTTAGCATAACAAGCTACCGTCTTGTGGCTATGCTTTTCCCTCACTGGACAATCGTGGAAAGCCAATTCAGCAAATCGGAGTGGAAGGCTTTGTCCGACATTTCCTCGTCTCTAGTGGACCGAGGGTTGGTGTACTCTGATGACCCGTACGATACGTGGAAACTGGCCGAAGAAGTTGGGCATCTTGTTGGGACTCAGGAAAATTGGTCCATGGTCCCACCGAATGAGAGGATTGATCGGTTCTTGACGGTATGCTCTAAAGGGCTGGGGACTCTATACAAGCGAGAGGAAAGGCTCGAAAGTGCGTGCTCATATTCGATAAGTATCCCTTCTTATCACTCAAACCCTACTTATTTAGATCCCGTCGGACCAAAGAAAAGTCCGATACCTTCGCCTGCGAATTCCATTCCCTCTTCTTCTACTGGATCACTTGATTCTTCTCTTCCAACCGCGCAAATACCAGCACCTCTAAGAATCGTTACTGACGCTCCTTCTATGAGTCGGTAAGCTGTTCTCAGGTTTCCACTTATGCAAGTTTTCAATTCGGCTTCGAAGATCTCGCAGTCCTTACCGAAATTCGCTGAACGATGCCTTGAATCCATATCGGGTGATGTCAAGGGATAATACCACAGGGTACACGATCGTCTGCATTATATCGGAAATGAAGCTGAATCTTGACACCGCGATAGAACACCTTACGAATCGCCTCCTCCGATCTACACCAACCACAACTTTGGCGTTCCAACTTTTGGAAACTACTATTCCTCGTCGCCTATGTCCTCTCCTACTGCAAGCTTACCGTGGGACTCTTCTGATTCTGGTTCCAGTTCACACATTGCATATGGTAATTCCAGCCCTTGGACTGGAGGTGATGTCGATGGACTTTATGATGCCGCAGAAACGAAATTTGGCTCGACTATGTTAAAGCCTCCTTCCTCAGAGCCCCAGACACCGCCGGGCCTTCGAAGAAGCCAGCGAAATCACGCAAAGAAAACATATAAAGGATAAGGGATGTTGGCTTTTTCTTTTTGGAATGTATGTAGTTCATGGGTATATGATTGATTGCCCCCAAAATATGTAGAAAGTAGTCTACTAAGTAAGGTGTGGTGTTGGTGATCAAATACTTGAAATAGGGGCTCAATGCCAAACCGTGACGGTCACACAACGTTACACTCTTTTCAACTTGACCGCGTACGTCGCCGATAGGTCGTGATGGCGGACGCTGGTGAGGATCACTGCACGGTTCTCCTGCACTCCGATAATCATGCATTTTTATCCTTTCTGTACCAGGATTCTTCAAGGGTACGTCTGCCGACCAAGACAGACGGTTCTCCGACAAAGAGATAAAACTGCTCAAGTCTATGAAATTCCCACCCGAGTTCGACAAGAAGGTATGGATTACATTACAGTCAGCAGCATCGTCCTCAATTCTCTTTAGGTTGATATGCGCAAAGTCAACTTGACCGTTATCAGACCTTGGATTGCTAAAAAGGTTACCGAACTTGTAGGTTTTGAAGATGAAGTGGTGGTGGAGTACGCTATGGGCCTTCTTGAAGATCAACAAGAACCGGTATGCTTATCTACCTATTTTATTGCGATTTTTAAACTTAATTATCCCAGACACCAGATCCTAAGAAGATGCAGATAAACCTGACCGGATTTCTGACCAAAGATACGCCGTCTTTCATGACTGCGCTGTGGAACCTTTTGCTCGAAGCTCAGTCAGATGTTACTGGTGTACCACGAACGTTTGTTGAAGAGAAGAAAGCAGAGATGAGGAAGGCTCGAGAAAACGACACCCGAGTTATCGACGAACGAGACCGCCGAGCTAGGTTGGATGACATCCGGGATGGTGATCGTGGCAGTCGTGGTCGTGGAAGGGGTAGGGGACGTGGAAGAGGACGTGGTGGATACGATGACGGCGGTCGGTCGCGTGATCAAGGCTGGGGTGGCCGTGGTGGTGGGCCAGGCGGAGTGGGTATTATTCTTGTCAATTATTTTATACGACTAATTCTGTGCTATCTAGCCTCCCCGCCGCCGTTTCTCGCGCTCACCACCACCTCGTCGTAAGTCACGGTCACCGTCCTCAGTCGGAAGTTCTCCTCGTGCAGCTCGTCGATATCGCTCTCCACCGCGTCGGCGTTCACCTTCGTACGACAATTCCCCGCTAAGGCGACGGTCACTCCCTAGGCGCCGTTCGCCTTCACGCTCGCCTTCCCGTTCCAGTTCCCCTGCTCCTGCTCGACGTCGACGTCGTTCACCCTCTACTCCCTCTCCCCCTCCGACTCGCCGTTACAAAGGCAGAACAAGTCGTAGTCCTCCTGTTCGTCGCCGTCGTTTGTCCCATTCACCTTCTCATTCTCCGAGCCGGTCGCGCTCTCCTCCGCGAGGATACAGACGGCGCAGCCCTCGTAGGAGTGTCACACCTCCTCGGAGACGCAAGCGTAGTTTGTCGAGGTCAAGAACGCCCCCACGTCGTCGAAGCCCCAGCAGGGAGCGTGGCAAAGCTCGTCAATATAGCACTGGCTCCAGTGGCAGCAGGTCTTCTATGCGCAGTCGAATGGAAGTGCATAACAACAAGACAGAATTGAAGATCAAAGGACAAGCAGAATTAGAGCGCAAGAAGAGTAAATGGGACGATGGAGATGTACGTGTTGCTTGATTGCCAACGTAGAAACCTCCGCTTATTTTTATGGTGTTTCAGGAAAGCATGTCGAAAGCAGATTTGGAAAAACGAGAAAATGAACTGAAAGAAAAGGCTTTGCGTAACAAGGTCGTCAGAACACGAAAAGGAAGCGGTAGCTAAGGGGCTCAGGGCAAGTGATCGTCAACTTATTAGCGTTTGACTGCTCCCCAGCGCTCCTTCCGCTCCAGATCCTTTGTTCCTAATGTAGTGCTCGGAAAGACGGCCGAACTTTGACATGTATCTAATCCATTTGGTTCTTATCTTGCACTGTTTCACTTTGCTAATATATTTGCTTTTATGACAGTCATATTTGTTCGTTGGCAATTGACCTTTTGGAGCATCAGTGATTAAAGTTCTGATGGTGTTGACTTTTCAGCTGAGTTTCCGGATTATTACTGGCTACCGAAAGAAAATGGGCTTCAAATTATCGGAGTCTTGACGCATATTGCTACCATGGCACTTGCACCATTTTTCTGTCGAAGGACCGGGATGCTGGTCATTTGTGTGCCCTAGCTACCTCAATGTGGCCGCCGACCGGATATAAATTCCCTGCCTTGCAACCACTGAATAGTCGAAAAAACTCAGCCATGCTATTTACTTTAGCTACCGCCGTTTCTCTCGTCACTTCTGTTGTTGTTCATGCAATGTGGCAGGAATTCTGGATTGGGGACGTTGATGCTGGTTCATCGTGCGTACGGCTGCCCGTCAGCAACTTCCCCATGACCGACGTTACGAGCGACGTATGTCGTAAAGAAATCCCACTAAAGGCCGTCGCATTGACAGTTTTTCACAACAGGAATTGCTTGCAATGTCGCAGTGATAGCCAGCACCGGGTTGCTCTGTAACTAGTCTGTCACTGTCTGAGATGCGATATTCATTGATTCGAATGTTGTCTATGAAGCCGGCGATGCAGTGACCGTAGAAATGCACCAACAACCTAATGATAGGTCCTGCGTCAATGAGGCTATCGGTGGAAACCACTACGGACTTGTATACGTCGATATCCGCATCTAACCCTCATTATCATTTAACTCTTCCTTACTAGGTTTACATGGCTGCTGTTGATGATGCTACCACCGCAGTTGGCTCTGAGGCAGCTTGGTTCAAAGTATCCGAGTCGGGATTGGTGTCGAACAACCTTGACTTTTTTGGTGACGTACCATCCTGCTGTCTCTCATATGCTGGGCTGAAAGGACTGAAAAGGTTTTGAACGTGAGCCTTTAGCTTGCAGTCTCCGTAGTTTCTGTGGATCTGATGCAGGACAACTGCGGACATTACACATTTAACATCCCGGCTGACATCGCCCGGGGCAACTACCTCTTTCGAGCCATTGGTAATGCATACCTACTTGTAGCTTTACATGTTGCGGCGGCAGAGGGCGGGGCTCAGGATGTCTAGTCCAATAGATTCTACAATTCTCGTTATCAAATTAATGTAAGCATCTTGCTCTGTTCCCGCTGGATACCGATTATGTTGTTTTCGCTTCCAGTCGGCGGCTCAGGAACAGTTACTCCCGACGCCGTTAATTTGCCTGGTGCATGCAGCACTGAAGACCCAGGTCTGCGCTTCGAAAAGTTACATTGCGGAAACCTTGGCTCATGATTGGCTCATAGGTATCCTTATTAACGTATACACACAGCTGAATAGCTATATCGGTAAGTTCCACCGTCATGTTTCCCGCAAACTACAATCTCACAAGACGGAATACTAGTTCCGGGACCCACTTTATACGGAACCACTGAGGCAGCTGTTGCTACGCTGCTTGAGACACTGCTTCCTAGCCCTCGACCGTCTTACTACAGTTCCTACATCGTAGAAGTAGCTTTAGGTAGTTGATACTACACATACTCAGCAAACAATCCTACGTAAAACTGATGAGGACCCTGGATGATCTATTTATTCAAATGCACAGCAGCTGCGGAGTCCGCATGTAGCAAATGTTATAAGAGCTTCGCTGTTCATGCAGCCTATCATTTTCCTCCCCATGCGCTGGCTAGCTGAGGTACTGCTGGTCCTCCCCCTTGCGGGGTCAGTCCACGCTGCTCAGATTCCATTTCACCTCAAGTCTACTGCCTCAAAGGAGGCAGAACTTTCCCTGCCTGTCGATGTAACCTCGACGAATTGGGACCTCAACGTCAAGCCCAGCGTCAACTCGACCAGTCATCTGATCTTCGACACCGTAAGCGCGTTCTTGCAGCATTGGCCGAATACTCGTTATCGCAATGGTAAGAGCGCACTTATCAAGCCACGAAGCATATCACTCATATCGCAAAGGGCACAATCTGGTACCCGGAATCGTACCAGTCGGAACACTTCTCTATCATGGACGCGGGGATTCAAATCTGCCTACTGTTCCTGAATGGACGGCCACGGACCCTGAGCACGCAAATGCCTTTTGTCGTGGCTCCCAGGAGACGGGATGTTGGCAGGTCACTCTGGTTAGCACTCGGCCTCTCAATGTGCTGTATTTCGATGGCAGTAGCGCTGCCAAGATGAAAGGAGGACCCATGGATACACAGGATATCGTTGCATGGAGGAAGCTCATCCCAGAGTGGATGTTCAACGAGGGCAGAAGACTAGCCGACCTTTGTGTATGGGGACAGAAGTTTGGTGTGGATGGATTTGTGAGGTACAGTGCACATCCTTGTTCCATTTATCTGTTACTGACAGAAATGTTAGAATGGAAATGGACTTGTGAGCACGTTCAACCTCACCTGTTTCCCATACTGATCTTTGAGGAAGCGAAATCATGCTATGCGATTTTACGGTGGGCGTAGACGTCGTTTCGTTCCTCAACCTGGTATCAAATGGTCGAGGTCCACGCGGAGGGGGCGGTGGGAGCCCTGGAGGTCCGGGTGGACCACCGCCTGGCGGACCACCCGGTAAAGATTCCATGGAAGGGCCTTCCCCAGCGGACCCATCTGCAAGCACTGATGCTTTCAGTGAAGTCATACATTCTGGATCATGGCACAATAGGTACCCGGGGGAAACACGCATTCAGCTCGATCTTGCGCGGATGATCTCATTTTACGATACCTCCTTAGTTCCGAGTCTGGTTCCCTACAGATTCAACCAAGAACGCTGGTTCCACCGTCTTGAAGGGGTCAGCGATGACGATATCTCCGCAGTTATGGACCGTCTAGAACAAGCCATGCAGACTGCGCATGGGGGCGAATCCGGTGTTGATTGGACCACTTTGGTCCATGTTATTGTGGACCGCTACGGCGATCGATTAGAGATGGTACAATATTTGTTGAACTCAACCGGGAGCCCTGATTCAGATGGCCTCCGCGCAGCAAAACGGGTTCAGACCCAGCTGAAAGTCATGGTGCAGCCGTATCAACTTCATTCAGTCGTTCCACCCTCGCTTCCTTCCGACGACCATTCCTGGGCCTCTCCGATCTTCAAATTATGCGCGACAACACATACTTCGTACATCGCCAAGAACAAGTTGACGCGATCGGAACACCTGATCTTGGAATCCATAGACGAGACAAATAGAGAAATCTGTCGTGTTGTGACCCGAATGTGGGCTCAAGGCGTTGTAGCCGGATTAGACGATGCGCCCACGCCTATGAAGCTCGAAGACTCGCCATCGTCTGATCTTCTTCCCCAATGGAAGACTCAAATCAACGACTTGATGGCCTGGTTAGACTGGAGTGTGTGGGTCAAGTGCAGGCCTGATTGTGGATTCGAGGTATGAACTTGAATCACTGGTAGTTTATCCCCTGTTGATGATTTTCCTGCAGGAATACTGCTACTTACCTACATGGCCTTTCTTCGGGCGCGGTGGGGGAGGCCCACCTGGGAGAGGTCCAAACTCTCCAGGCGGACCCGGTCAACCGCCTACGCGTTTCTTAGAGGACGTAGATGATTGGGAAAAACCGCAGCCCAGATGTATTCGGAAAATCGAGCCTTTTGATATGTGATGAGTTGATAATGGCGGTATACCTCTTTGTAAATCTGCTGTACCAATGTATCTCATATCTATGCTACCCTGTCTTACTTAAGACTTAGAGCGTTAACTATGTAAATGTTGTAAATATACGCCTAATTTGATTCTTCCTTCGTATGGGCAACGTCCAGCGCGTCGTCCCACAGCCTCTTCACCGCGCCCCAGTATTGCTCTGGGTGAGTCCTAGCATGGGCAACATGAGGGCTGTCTTCAAAGATCTCCGTCCTAACATTCCATCCTAGACTCTTTGTTCTCTCCGCATGTTCCCGGATCTGCTCCCAAGGAACCATATCATCAGCCCTCGAATACATATAAAGGCGCGGCGTGCGCTCATCTACCCAAGGAAGCACGCGGGGGTTATACAGTCCATCCCGGACCTTCTGAAGAGCTGTTCGCCTCCCAATGAATGGGCCCACGAAGAAGCCGTACACGTAGAGCAAACAGACTAGGACTTTGGCGACGACTCTCGTGATAGGATTCTTGATGAGTGTTGTGAAGGCATGAATGGCGTTGCTTAGGCCGCTACCACCCGGACTAGAATCCAGGACGATGGCGCAGGGGAACCGAGATGACTTGAGTGGGGACGATGAGCCAGCACGGGATGCCATGATCTTCCCCAGAGTGATCAACGAATAGGCGCCACCTATACGAATTACGGTCAAGACTCAGCAAGCGTGAAATAAATGGGAAGAGACGTCGAACCATTGGAGAAAGAGTGAACCAATATGCGCGGCACCTTAGCTGAGGAAGAGTTCATAATCAAAGACGGACTTTGTGGGGGTATCGTTCCGAGAGCTTCTAGTACTTCTACAGCAGGAGCTATCACTTTTCTCTGAAATAGCACTTCAGCCTCGCAGTATAAATCCATCCAAATAGACCATACTCTAGTATTTTCCGTACTCCAGAAAAAGGACGGCCGGTTCTGAATTAGTATCTGGGTCGCACCGGGATATACTTGCTCATAGACTTTGGTATACTTGTGGATGTGCCGTAGTTGTGCCCCCACTAAATCAAATTCAGAATCAACCCGGTACTTTAGGTATCTTGGTTACGAACTCCAGCCACAGACAAGAATGATGCTTGATACCGCGCTTGAGCAAATGAATGCGTACGACAGATGGATGATAAGACCTACTTGGGGCTCTGTTTGTCATGAGCATCCTCTTCATTGGCTTTCCGAAGATAGATGTCTGCACCAAGTTTGATAAATTCCGATTCTTCCTGGCTCGACATGATGGGGAAAGAAAACGCGTAACCGGCCTGGCATCTCAACGCGCACCCGGTCCGAAATGAATCTTATATCGGTCGGCGCGCTTACAGTAGCTGCTTATTTATTTTTATCGGCCGTTATTTTCTGTCTTTGTATATTATAATTTTATGATATTCAGTTTTTCTTTCCCATTTCTTGAGCGATTTTTGCTGCTGTTTTCCCAACAAACCCCTATAGAAAACATATAGCGGAAGGCCGGTCCGAGGACATGTGGACCCCGATCACCGTCCTGTAGTAGTCTCAAACCAATCAACTGACCTTCCGGAGGGACCTTGTCTCTGGCCGTGATGGTGTTGGAATCTTCAATATCATCGACGACGAACATCATGTCTGCGACAGAGAGCGCAGCGTCGTCGTCTGCCTCAACCAACTCTGGACCCATGTCGAATGGGGCCAATTACTTTTTTGGCTTTTTGATAACGTTTGTGGCCATTCTCTTCATTTTCATTGGCTGTGGGATAGCTATGCGAAGGCGATATCAGCGACGGAGGGGTACAGTCTTCAACCTGGACGATCTGCAAGCAATGCCAGGTTTATTTGGCTCTCGACAGCAGCTCCTTGGCGAGAAACCAATAATGTGGGAGCCGTGGGTGGAGAAGCACGACGATTACTCGTGGTCCACGATACAGGTCAGTAACTCATCCAATATATTTGTAGAAAATATTTTTTAACATTTTTAGCCCTTGTCGGCTTCGCGGTCGAACAGACCTTGCCCAAAATCGATACCCCGCCCAGCTCCGATACGATTACCTTCGCGGAACCCCACTGCCATACATGGTCTCTCTCTACCGACATGGGCTCCTGCAGATAGTGAAATCGAGAAAGAAGTTCCGTCGCCAGAGGAATCCGTACCCTCAACTCTTCAGATATCCGTTCTCATCTCCATGCCTGGCCCACCGTCTCCGGACAATCCCACATTTATTGAATATCAGATCGGTGTCGCACGTCTACCGTGGGAGGAATGGATGGCATCTTGATGCTGTCGTACTGTTACATTAGTTGTATAATAGTTGCGTACGTCCCAATCCGTTACCTTCCTTCGCACGTCTGAGCGCTGTCAAATAGATTGTATTTATAGCACCCTCTGATCGTCTCCTACGGATTGTACTTTAGTTTCGGAAACAGACAAAGTTTAATATTTTTGTTTCGCCGGCATCCGCGAAGGTTGAGTGGATGGTAGCGATCGTCCAGAATCCTGACCAAGATATGTCAACGGTGAATGCGCTTCTTGCTCTGAATCCGGTGACGCTGTCTTGTGTCCAAGACAGGAATGGCGGGATATAAATGGACCTTTCCGTTACTACTTTTCAGGAGCGTTTCTGCTACTTCATTCGCACCACCTAGGACGTTTTTAATCAGGTGACCTTCCGAACGTAGACACGACAACTGATCAGTTACCATTGATCTGAAATATAATAGGTTGGCATATGAAAATGACTTGAGCAGTCGCGTCAAGTATTAGTAGGCTTTTTCTCCATCCAACAGTAGCGCGTAGCAGTTGATGCGCCAAGCGGTAGGCCACCCATTCCCCGAATCATCTCGGATAACTAAAGACGTGTTCGCAGCCCTGGCGAGTGTTTCATTGAACGTCGGGACTTTGAAAGAGCGGTTACATATGATGATGTGAGTAAACACCCTTCAGAAGATGTTAGCAAGGTCATCAGACGCAGGGGTGAGAGAACGAACCCGTTTGGGTCGTAGCAAACAGCAGATTCCTGCACCAGCCCCAAGGAGTCAATGCGGAATGGAATCAGGCGGTCATAGACAGCCATGAGGGTGTCAGAAAAGTCGGCGTCGAGAACCAGTATCTTTGCGAATTCTGCCGTGTGATTGAACAGATAACGAAGTCTGGGGTATCCCGGCATGTACATCCTGCATTGAGTCGCCAAGCAAAGTGCCTTACGAATTATCGATGGTAGACGCTAAAACTGGCAATTCAGTACCATATCCCAGTCGCACACATGCATTAAGAATACTCTTCATATGCCAAAGAAACATCGGTATCATCATAAGTCCCTATTCAATTGTCTGGGCTCATGTTAGGATTAGGGACCAGGTAATTAGCTTCCTCCAAGTTGTTGATGACAAGAAAGTCCAAGTAAAACTGACTCACACTTTTTTTATCAGAGTTATGCTTTCCTCTCAACGCATTGGACATCAAGGCCGAATGTGTAGCACTCGTGCATATGCTGTAAACGCGGGAGCCATCGGTTAGAATCCGTGGAAGATCACCTGGTGTGGAGTCTCGCCAAATGTCGGTGTTACGGTGTGCGACCCACCCATTAGAAATGTATATCTCGCGGGCAGCGATTTCTCCGCGTCTTGCTAAGGTTCCAGAGCGGATCAAGGACTCAGGGACTTGACTGGTTCTGCGAGCCAGCTGCTCATCTGAGGTCTCTATTTCAGGATAACACCCAACCGCAAAAGAAATCTAATACCTGTTGATTGATATTTAGAGGATATTTACTAGCGGCGTTCGCCAATTCCTCCAGTATTTCGCTTATTATAACAACAGGCGTGGCGTGCTTTCCCCAATTGGGAGACAACTCTGAATTCCAAATTCCTTCAAGGTTTGAAGGTTCTGGTCTCCTTGAGGATGCAATTGCGACATAGCGTCCGTACTGAGCATACAAGGCAAAGGAGTCTTGATCGCCGTCAGGACCATTGGAAAGAAATCTTCTTTGATCGGTACAAATAAGTGGTGGAGGATGGCGTTCCTTGCCAAAGTGTTAGTACTATCACGAGTCCCCGGTAGAACTAGCAGATACCCAAAGATATGATCTCGACCAAACAATGAAGAGTGATCTGCGACGTGCGCGTCAAAGAGCTCTTCGTACGCGTGGCGCAGAGAGCGAGTTGGCCACTTTTGTCACTGTGGCTATCGACATATCATTGTATCGGCTATCAGGACCAAAGCCTCGTCGTCAGTAGATACTGTTTGAAGGGTTGACACCAGCAGAAGCAAGATGCCCGGATACGCTAAAGATCGCCGTCGCGTTGCAGTGAATCGAACCAGGTCAGGCATACATTGTGGTTCCGCTGAAAGTCATGGTAAGCCTGCCTGGGCTGACGGCATAAACCTAGAGGCATTGAGGATCTGATCTGAATAATCGACCGTAAAAGCAACATACCCAGTTATCCATAGGCGCCATGAACGGAGCATTGAACGAAATCGGCCTTGATATATCTCATTACAATCACATAGCCCGGACGAGTTGCAAACGCCGCCCTGGTATACCGGATACCTTCTTGGACGTCAATCATCGTAGAGACGGCGGTTGCAAGGTTTAGTATGTGATTATAATTCGACACATTCCAGGATGGTCGGTAAAATCAATAGATCACCCATTCCGGTCCATCAATCGTCGTACACGTGACTTCAATTGCAGTTTGACGAGTCGGACGATCTGGCCGAGTCTGATTGTCTGACTGCATTCGCACATTGTAGCAACTCGATTTCCTATACAGCGATGTGTATGAGCATTTTTCTCGCAGTTTTACGTTTCCTCCCCTGCCTACTCCATTCCTTGTCCGAAGTAAATCCCACGGTATTGTGTGATGTTTTCGTCAGGCAGTTTTTACAGCCCTTCATGTTCGTCGCTGCTCATGAATTCTTACACGCGTTGCTCTCAGACCGGATGGGTAGGCTTGCCCATGCCTTCTTTCTGATTAATTCAGATGTTTTCTTGCCGAGATAGCATATTTGATTGATAATAGAAGCGCTTGTGCACACGCTGTTGCTGTACTCTCCCATAGTGCCACTACCGTGCCTAATGCACTCAAGGGCGGCGTTTGGAGATAGGTACTTATAGCTTGAACCCCCCCCCTCCCCCTCTCTATTGAATATCACGTCCTGTCATGCGGTTCCTCGTTCCTGCTGTCGTCCTTGTCGCAGTTGTCTCAGCACAGAACGACCATTGTGCGGTAATTAGTGGCCAAACATGGGTTACTCCTGCCCAAGTTCGCGAGTGCTATAGGTCATTTGCTGTGAATGAGACAGAGAAGGCCAATGTGCGTTTTTTGACGGTTCTCGTTACTGTATAGAGATAATAATGCCAGCGTAGATCATTGAAGTCATCAATAAAACACTCTCGTTTCATACATCTGTGAGCTATGAGGTTCAAGCTCCTTGGCCTTACTCGGATACACACGAAGATATTCTAGCCGACCTTGCACGCATCAGCTCGCAGACATACGCGTCAGATTATGATCTTCATGTCGATCTCTCCCTTACTGTCAAGAGGCTTCATGATGGGCATTGCGTTTGGGTCAACTATTGTTACGACTGTTCGTTGTTCTGCTGCCCGATTTTTCCCGAGCTCAACTTCTATCTAGCGGCCTTCGTTAACTATCTCCCTATTCCCCTTGTTCTTCTGAATGGAACCGATGTTCACATCGCTCTTGAGGCATACAACGTATCATCCGTCGAATTCGCCGAGGTAATACCTGTGTGGGAACGCGCACTTATCGGAACCCTCGATAGCGGTCTTCAAAAGGTAATATTTCGGATATCAATGCCATAAATCATCTCATGTTCTGCTTCATGTACAGCTGAATGGTGCCAAAGTTCTCAAGATCGATGATCAAGATCCCTTTTCAGCTGTGAATGCGAATGCCGACATTGCTGGTGGCTTCCAAGCCTATGGGACGCGTCAAAATGGGTCCGTATCAACCATATTTGGTGAAAAATGCATAAATACTCCTTCTAATCCACCTCAGTTTTTTCTCGAGTTACCAACGATCCACAGCCAGTTGGAGCTACGTGCTAGGTAACTTTGCTCAGCAGTCACTGCCGCTGAGTGACTCTGTCGAACTCTCCGTTCAGCTGGTTAATGGAACGACAGCAAATGTTGTTGTATGTGCATGCCTGCTTACTGCATCTGTTCTGATCAAGCTGCTTCCAACAGTTACCATACCTGTCCCGCATCAGTTCCAGCACTGTGAACTTTACTTCAGCTGATACGTATCGCTCCGGCAATTGTCTCGCTGTTGTTGGGACAAACGGAGTCAACTATTATGAGAGTACCTTATCATCCACTCTAGCTGACCCACTGGTAAAGGCTCAGCAGGTTCCTGGACAAGCTGTTGAGCGCTCGAGAGCGTTAAACATCATGCTCGACAGTGCTCCGGCCTCCGATATCGCCCTTCCCACTCAGCTACAACCTGTGAATCCAGTGGTCGGTTTCGGTGAAGGTCAATTCTATCTTTTAGATGATGGCGTGACAGGGGTTCTCGCGTTGGGAAGTTTCTCAGGAAATAGTTATGACGTTATGATGCAAGGTCTTTTAGATGGGCTGGTCGAACTGAGGTCGAGGGGGGCACAGAGATTGGTTGTTGATCTGGTGGGTTTGGCGTCGTTCCTGGTCATCTCGGTAATCTTGATGTCTTATAGACGAATAACGGAGGAGGTTATATATGTGGTGCTCATGTATGAACTGTCTTCTTGCTGTTGTTGAACCATACACTAAAATGACCCGCTGTAGTTCCTACACCGAATCATTATCGGGCCTACGAGCACAACAGAACCTCAAGCTGGATTGAACACAACTGCGCGAGACCCAGAACTCGCCCGGCAGGTTGTGCAAACCATCGTTGATTCTTCTGGTACCGTTGATCCGAATACGATTCTCCTGTATAATCCTCTCGGGTGGCACGACATCCATAATGAACAGTTCAATATCACCGATAACTGGTTAGTTCCCCCAGTGGCGAAGGTCATCAATAGACGATCAGATGCATTCAGTCAGACGTAAGTACATAGTCAGCTTTTCCATTCGTTAATCGACGCAGAAATTCATCAGTTGAGTAGACTGGGGTCCGAATGTCCACCGGCCGAGTACACGACTCCACCTCCTGACGAAGGGCTGTTTGATGGGTCACAAGTGGTCATTGTGTCCAATGGAAGGCCAGTCGACGTAAATATCTACAAGCCTCGTTCGCCAGCTGATACATTCCGGTGATAGATGTGCTAGTTCATGCTCTCTCTTCAGCGTGTGTTTTAGCTGCCCCATCGTTTTGAACCCTTAACTGACATACCGAACAGGTAACCATGGCCAAACTCGAAGGTTCCAAGACCGTTGTCGTCGGCGGGAAGAACGATGTAGACCAAAAGTTCTGCGGCGTGGTAGGCGGACAGAGCACGGACTTTTCTACGATCGACAGTGAGATCAAGGTACGTTGGCTTTCCTCCATGGTCTCCTTAATACCGATGACACCTTGCAGACAACAGGTTTGAAGAGCAATAGCCGTGCACCACCCGACTTACTCGTAAATGGAGTGCAAGGAATTACTTGGCGGCTAGGTTATGGTATATGGAACCCGAGCGAGCCGGAGGGTAGGCTTATTGGCGCATTCGTTCTGTCATATCGCACTGATCCAATCGGCCTCTGCAGAGTGGCAAGATCGTCCAGCAGACTATAATCTTCCATTGACGCTAGATCTGTGAGTTGCAATTTTTGTACCATTCGGAGTAATTGATTCTCTACGTAGGGCCAATAATCCAACCAAGATCTGGGACAAAGTTGCCAGTCTCGTGTTTTAGTAACTTTTTTCTCCTTAAGGACGGCGAAGGGCTTCATAATCCAACAGCATCTGTTTAACACATAGTCATATCTGATGCCTCGAGTGGCGTTCATTTGTCACTTCCCATTGAGTATCGGGCCGACCGCGTCGGTTGGACGACAAATAGTGCAAACTGCTCTAGATCTCCTCAAGTTGCATTCTACCATTCGGGTTACTCGTTTTAACAAAGCCCTTGCCTCAACAAATTTGAGATCTCGCGTCGACGTGATGTCTGGTGTCTATCACTAGAGTTCCAAAATGACACGATCTCTTCTACCATACGATGGACACGTAGCAAAGGTACAGAGCGCTCAAATTTGAACAACGCCCCATCTGACAAGGTCATTCCCTTACGAGTTATTGTGTCCACAGGAACATATACGACAAATGCCATGGACCGGGAAATTAATACTGCCCCGGCGAGGGATGAAGCTAATCAAATGTGGTTTCCCGTCATTCAGTTTGTCAGGTTTGAAGCCAACAGAAAACCAATGAGAAGTCATAATAGCATCGATTCACGGAGCGAAGGTTGCGTACGTTCCGCCAAGGAGCATCGCTTCGGAATCATATAGATAAAGAGTTAACTGTCTTGACAAGCGATTTTTCTCCAGGCACTGCTTTCGTGCAATGAAGTCGTTGGTAGTTTGGCTGAATATATGCGACAAAATACTACAATTACACACGGTCAATAGATGTGACTGATAGTTCTGGGATTTAGAATAGTTTGGTAAGAAGGAAAAGAAACTGCATGGCTTCGAGTGGCACTCGCATCTGATTGGTCATCCATTACTACTTTGGTTCCAGGCCCAATCCTGAAGATCTGGTGCGCCCTATGGGTTTGAAGATTAAAATGGCCTTCAAAAGAATTGCACAAATAAGTAAAAAGGAGCGGTGATGACGGATATGGCGACCTTCTGATATCATCTAGGATTTGCCGGTTTTCCGGAACGAAATCTCCGTATTGCGACCGTGGGGTATATGAGGGTATCATACGTACGCCCTTTTTCCATGACTGACAGACAGCATTCGGGCAACATCAAGTAGGGTACCGAGGGACTCGGAGAGAGGTATTTGAGGGGTCATTAGCCGGTGCTGAGATAACAACGGCCAGAATTTGCTCGGAGTCGTGTATTCCAGTTTTGAAATATCATTTAACGGTATGTTTTCGTAGAACCGTTGCCTTGTGACCAAATTTCCTGTTTAATAATGCCAACCGCAGCTTTTCAGATTGCCAGTACATTTTTTTTTGCCAGTAGAAAAGATGTCCGCTTTATCCTGATCGTGACGGCTGTTGGGATTCTACGTCTGTCAGTTCCTTCAGCAATGCTGCAATGGTATCTGGCAACTTGCATTGTTCTCATTGTTATGTCTCGAGATAGCAGTATTTGTTCTGTGGAATGACGCAGGACTGTTCCGAGCCCAACTGTGACGATGGAAGGCGATGAAGCTGACAAACTGGTCGAGGCGATGTTCGAATCTGATAGCACGAACAATCAACCTAGCAACGACTGAACACAAGGCCACAGAAAATGCTTGAAACAGTACTGGAGTCTTGATCCGTTGAAGATGTCTCTTACTTGGGGGTCTAGAGCTCTAAGCCTTAGTCGAGAAGACTTGCTTGTTGCGATGCGTGAAGCTAAGTTTGTCTTTAATTGAAGGAGATGAATGGCGGCATGGCCTAGTCTTGGTTCGACAGACGATGTTTCGCTATGGGGCGAGCGGTCACCGTCCTTGGAAACGGAAGTGGCCGAAATCTTACCAGTCAGTTGCTGTTCGTGACTACTCGAGAGTTGGTGTGACGTCCCCTAGTGTATTGTTGGAGAGAAAAAGGCCTGATCCTCCGGTGTACCATGTCTGTGTCATCGTGAGGCGCATTCTGCAGGATCCATATAGTACTCTATAGTAAAGAACCACTAAAATCACACTAGCCACTATCAGATTTCTCTTGAAAATGAGCCTGAATTCCGAGTTCGAAGCAAAAATAAATCGCCAGCCTGAGGAATCAATGAAGCTAGTCGGAAAAATTATTGCGTGTCAGACTGCGGTATGATAATTTCAATGGGCCACAGGATCGAGGAGACACCTATAGGGTCTCGGTGCTAACGATGGTGACGAAGCGAAGAATCAAGAATCAATGCCGATTGGGTCTCTGTCAACCGGTGCTTCAATTGATATCAAATTCTAGCCATAAATCATCTTACATGTCTTTTACTTTTGAGGGCCAGGGCCGTGCCACTGAGATAGGCCGTACAAGGGTTTTTTTTTTCCTTGCGAACTTGCGCCGATTGGCAGGACGGATCGACAGTTGTGTTTTCCGGAAAAGGAAGTTTTACATAAGACCACATGCCTCTGCCGCGAACATCATGATCATGACGTCGCTCTTCTTTCCTGCTCTCATGGCGCTATTAGGACGATATCTGCAAGACGTGTAAAATAGAAGCAAGATATTTGTTGCCGCTTCGATGGTTGACTTAGGATGGTTTTAAAGGGTCACTTCAACTTCTTGAATCTAACTTCAAGACTGATTTTCTCGTACTTCCGTCCCAGTTTTAATGTTGGGTAAGTCTAGTTCAAAGCCTAGCCTATTTCATTTGAGTTCCGCCTGATCGGAGAAATTTTTTACCAACCATATTCTACGGACGGATTCTCCAAATGCGGGGTACCGGGGACGTATGGCTTTCTACCTGCGTCGCTACTTCATTTCACAAACAGTGGTCAATTAATATCTTGCAGTTTCAATGTCGGAGTTCAAGGTTTTGCTCTCGATCCCTTACCGGCACCTCCAGTGTCCCCTGGACGTTCGCCCTCGTTTGATGTCACTTAAACTTAGAGCGCATCCTGTGTTTGCTCCGATACCCGGCGATGCCATATAGCGAATGGGGCCTTCGGCCTCAGAGTCCCTGTAACAAGTTGCAACCAGAAGAGCGCCACACATTCTCGGCGAGCATTTTCTCTCTGGACTTCAAGCTGGAAATCTAAGACGCTCGCTTTAGATGGTATCTCATGACGTTGGATTTCCTATTTTTAGCGACACGCTTCAGATAATGTGGGCATTCAATGATTTCATCGCTCAATTTCGGTTACGCCGTTGGCTCATTTGGATACATCATAAACCATCTGAATTTCTCCCTGAAATGAAATTGTTGTGATTTTTTATCATACGATAGTCGCATCCAATAATACAGGCTCGGTGAAACCGATACCGACATCTTACGCGGGACTGTCCTGAGAAAGAAGCTTCCCTGACCGTGGTTATCTATCCAAGTAGGCTATATTTCCTGCTTCAGGCGTACCCATTCTTTAAGGGCGACATTCGTCTTGGGTCGCGCGAATTCTGATCCCTTCACTGTCTAGAATATGTGTTTCGGACCGATAGTCACGGTTTGCCTTTCGACTTCCCCGATGTTTTATCATCGTACCACAAATGCGTTGACCAGCCTAGATTCCGATAACCTGCATTTATGTGTTTGTTTCATCTTCTGGGCAGTTCGGGAGGCATAGGCCCCGAAAATGTTCTCTTCGATATGTCCAGTAACTAACGGAGAAACATGTCTACTAGGGAAGCATATCTACCGAATTTAGTAATCAAAACATATGAATGCAGGCGCCGAAACTCCGCCCGCCTCACTCACACTGGCAATCAAGTCGTCAATTTAACTTCTGTTATTATCGCTGTATGTACCGGAAAGTTCCAGTTGAGTATTCTCATTGACCCCGAGTCCCAAATTTCACACAGCAGTCCATTGGGCCGTCAGAACCAGGGAAGTGAAAGATATTTCTAAAAGCCTGTTTAGGCGCGTCGAACACGATATGATCCACCACACTCTAGATTTATCCCGCCTATTTTGAACTCAGCGGCCGACATGATCAACTACGAACAGAGTCATTATGACATTTCTTGAAGCTGATACATTCTGGCTGTGCCCTTTAAAGAACTGAGTGGCTTCGATCAAGCCATGTTTCATCTCCAGAGTAGGCCGATGGTACTGCTACCTGTGGAACGCCTCACGTTCACATGCATCTGTGGCGTTAGGCGTTTTCGCATGACATCCCTCGGATCGACACTGTTCCTTGACTCGTGTGCTACCTATTGATGTTCCTTATCCTTGGTGCGTGTACATACTCAATCTTCTCTTTTATTGCTTCTCTTCCTCGGTCCGATATCCAGTACCTGCCCTTCAGGGCTCTGGATCCCACTTCCAAGCCCGGATCCGACCAGTCTGTGCGTATCTTTTCTAGCTGAATGCGTTCCTCGGATTTATATGGACAAGATTAGGTTCATCATCGCGAGTCCAACTGTTATTGCGAACATCCATCATTCTCAAGACCGGCTGTGGCAGACATGCGGAATTCTCAAGCTCTAAGACCTCTTCTTCTCACTCTCCCTATTTGTCGGCTCCACGGCCGTACAATTACCCACACGGACTCTCAAAACATCCACGACGGTACCCCAAATCTTGGGTTCTCGCACATTGTGATAGTCAAGCCTCCGAAATACTTCTTTCTGAAGTTGAAACATTACTATAGCATGATTTACTCAACTTGAACGTCCTAGCTGGGCTGTTTTGATTGCTTCTTCCCATCCTGCCTAGCCTTTCTGGATACATGAGGCCAACATACGATTCCTATAACGATACGTATGTCTAGAACTGGACGTAAATATTAAGTCCTTTGGCACGACGATTTTTTGATCTAACAGTTTCTCGATACAGACGTTAGACATGACTTTGCATGGGTCGTGCCAAGGCTAACATTGTTTGAAGATTGCACAATAATCCTCAGAGTTTGTCCCACCTGTACGGTCAACCCAACTACACTGACGGAATTGCTTTTCGACATCTTCACACGCACCCGGACCGACAAACCCAGCGAGAATGTCTGAGAATTCCGCCACTTGTTATTGTTTCCGTTTTGCGTTATTGATTCCTCCTAGTTCTCAACACAAATTTCGTGTGTTTAGCCAGCCGTAAACCCGGACATCGGATTTCAGCTTCTTGACATCTATGGTCTTCTTTAATTGTGGGAGTCTTCCGTGACCGCGACTAGATCCTGTTTCAATTTCAACGTTTTCCTTCCTATTTTCTTCCTTCCATTTCCATCGGACCAACGAACCTTGCGGTCCCGAAAGACCCTGATGTTCCTGTTTATCCTCATGCGCCTCTCGCTTCAAATTTGACAGTACATAATGATAAGGGGCCTAAATGATAATGCTCCCGGTCACACTACAATTCGCGTCCAATTCGGATTTTCGGACCGATCTTGGAGCGGAGTGTAGCGGGCCGGCGTGACTTACGTTCTCGGGATTACGGCCCGCAGCCATATGTTCTCCGATCAGAAATAGTTCTCCACAGTTCTCCTCCATTCCCTCTTCCGCTCTTTAAGCAGGTCAAACACAGTTATCACCACTACTGACACATCAGCTGATAGTAAGGTTATGATGCGGTTAACTCGGGGTGCGGTCCGATGATTTGAGATCCGTAAAGCCTCATTTCAGCTTTTGCTACTAGGGGTTTCGAGTTGCCGCAGCGCTGGCGGAATTGACAATTGACGAGTAAAAAATAACTTAGGAGTGAAATGAAGAAGTGAAGTACACGCGTTAAAAGTGAAATCGACGTGTAATACGCGGATAAAGAGCGTATCGTACTTGAGCAGGACAGCGAGTATCACGGAGTTCATACTTTCATCCAGATGACACTAGTCTCCGTTCACTGTTCATTACGGTCTCGGTTTCTCAGCTAACAATGTATGGCCACGTTCTAATCATTGCTTCGGCTTCCCTTCTATTACCGCGCCATCCACCCTCCATCTACGGTCAAAATCTCGCCGCAAATATAGCTGCTGGCGTCACTTGCCAAGAATACACAGGGTCCTGTCAGATCTTCGGGCTTTCCCCATCTACCAGCGGGAATTCGTTCAGATATCTGCGGTAATCGCGTCGGCGAGGAAAGTAGCGCCTCATTCCTGTTCGAAAACCAGGCGATCAGTGGTCCCATTCAAGACGGAAAATTGACACACATATCAGTCTCAATGTATCCAGGAGCAATTGCATTAACCTGTACATTCGCACTACTCCATTCATTGCTCAAGGCCTTTGTGAGCTGCCCAACCGCTCCCTTGGCTGCTGCATACGCCGGGACTGTCAGTCCTCCTTGGAAGGTGAGTAGGCTCGCGAAATTGATGATCTTGCCTCTCTTCAGGGGAACCATGTGCTGGCCGGCCGCCTGACAGAGAAGCCAGACCGACTTGAGATTGACGGTAATGACCGCATCCCAATCTTCTTCTGAGAACGAAACTGCGGGGGACCGTCGTTGGATTCCAGCGCAATTGACGAGGATGTGTATCTCGTGCGAGGGAACAGTATCTAGAGCCCGGCTGAAAAGGGTTCGCACGCCAGGAAGGTCGTCGAGATCGCACGAAACGGTTGTATAAGGGAGATGGAGCTCCTTCAAAGCATTGATGGTGGGAGATGTCATCGTTGTGGGACGAAGGACGAAGCAAACGTGTGCACCAGCTTTGGCTAGCGCAATGGCGCATGCGGACCCAATGCCGCGAGACCCTCCTGTGATAAGGGCAGTCTTGCCTTGGAGAGAGAACATTCTGTACGTATCAGATTTGGGGGTGGAAATGCAATAAATAGGGACCAAAGCACTCTTTTAAAGCTTAGGAACGGCCCGAAGATCCGGACAGCAGTAGTACATAAGACCCAGCACGAGTGCGTCCTATCCAGACCCTTCCGAACCATTCTACACTCCCTCTAAAATGGACGGAATGATTTCTTCCCTTGTGCTACACGCTCCCCGCGACCTTCGACTCAGTCGTCGACTGCTTCCTCCTCCTCCCCCTCACCACGTACAGATCGCTGTCCTGTCAACTGGTCTGTGCGGCTCCGACCTCCATTATTACCTCCATGCTCGTAACGGAGCCTTCGCTCTTCAGGCGCCTCTTGTTCTAGGACATGAATCTGCAGGCGTAATAACTGCCGTTGGTCCCTTCGTCACAGACTTCCACCCAGGGCAGTACGTCGCCATTGAGGCGGGTATTCCTTGCGAATCTTGCGAGTGGTGTAGGACCAATAGGTATAACTTGTGCGAAAGAATGCGCTTTCGCAGCAGCGCGAAGACATTCCCGCATCTGGACGGCACAATGCAGACGAAGATCAACCATCCTGCGAAGCGAGTGCACGCGCTACCTCCAGGCGTTTCTTGTGAGCAGGGTGCACTAGCAGAGCCATTATCTGTCCTTTTACATGCTTCAAGACGAGCAAGGCTTACCCACCATACCCAAAGAGTATTGGTGTTCGGTGCAGGAGCAATCGGTATGCTCGCCGCTGGTTTGGCGCGTTCTAGAGGGATTCCGAGCGAATCCATTGCCATGGTTGACATCAATCGTGAACGACTGGCGTTTGCGAAAGATCACGGTCTTGTGGGAAAGGTATTCTGCCTACCTCCGCCGACGCCTATGAAGGGATTAGACGGACTTGAGCGGAGTAGATCGCAGGCACTGGTATTCGGGGGCGGATACGACATCGTATTTGAATGCACGGGTGCTGAACCATGCATACAAATGGCTGTTTTCGTGAGTCCCTTCCCGTGCATGTTTTATTACATGCTTACGTCGAGTAGAGCACGAAAACCGGAGGAAAGGTCCTTCTCATCGGAATGGGAGCGCCAAGTGCCTTCATCCCCATCAGCAACGCAGCCACCCGAGAAGTAGATATAATTGGAAGTTTCCGATACGCAGACACGTATAAGGAGGCCCTCGAACTACTTGCTGGCGGTGTGTTTTGAAATTTATTCTGGGATGAGTTGACGTAACTGAAGCTTGAAAATTGTAGACACGCTACCGCCGATAACAGACCTCATCACTCATCGTGTACCGTTCAACGCCGACGCCGTAAAAGGAGCATTTGAGGCCATGGCCAAGGGGAGGGACGAGAAGGGCAAGTTGGTCATCAAGGTTATTGTTGGTGGCAATTAATTAGATGCTGAGAGCATGGACCGTGTAAAGTCTTGTGCGGAGAGAGATGAATGATCGACCGATCGATGCGGGGTCGGATATAGAGTCGTTCATTTTTGTGCTGTAGCCTTCGTCGACGATTCGGATGGATTTATTTATCGAATGTATACCACTTAGAAATTTAAAGGAGAAAATCCAATTTCGGGTCGTAGGAATATATCCGGCGTCAGATCACTGTCATACGGCTTGCATACGGCCAGAGTTTAGGCAACATGACATCTGCCACCTGTGTTGTGCGACGGTCAGCGAAACCGAGAAATAGAATGTTCAGCTACAGACCTGGAGAAAATCCGTGGTTCAGCCGCTTGACTCCCTATGCACATATGCAGGGATATCACAGAAAGGACACGAATATGTCGAGCTGTATGAACATATTATTAAACATGTGGAAGCGAATGGGTTGTCCGGATACACTTCCGAAGTTGCGAGGACGAATTGTCGTTATCCCAAGGACATTTCCGGGGACAGGCTAGAGCGTCTAATAAAAAAATTACTGTGAGATAATGAATTCATGAAACAATTAACGACGCTTCGATCCAGTAGGAGGTTCTTTTTGTCCAATATATGATTACGAGCAAAGGATTGAAGCCGCATGTCCTTGAGGCACGCCACTGGAGCTTCGCACCAAAAGGTATTCCGTCATTTAAAGGCCCTACGCCAAGCACTATCAGTGCAATATTGCTAATTGAGCGCTGCCATATAGACCGCCGTCCAAACATCAAAATCCCGAGGATATAGCTGACAGTCATGAGAAACGCTTCAAGAAAATTTCGCGCTTTGTTACAACCGGGCGAAGAAGAGAGACCCGGGACCCGAGCCTAGCCAAGTCTAGTGTGAAGTTGAGCAACAAGAAATACAGAAATACGGCAATCGTCACCATCATCCCAATCGCTGTCGGCTTCAGAGACGGGTATGTTCTAGCCCATCTGCTCTTGAATGACATCTAAGGATGGCTTTATTGTCCAGGTCACAGTAACCTCGCCAAACCGGAGACCTGCTGGAGATCCCTTTGACACTCGAGGCGCTGTAAGATGGGGACTGGCTCCTGTTCGGCGATGTGACGTGAAGTGTTCACCGTTGGATGAGGTGCTTGTCCGGGCCAGCGCCAGTAGCCAGGGCTGAAGGCCAGATGCCGAACCATATGCATAACTCGACGATTCCGAAGTGTTTACGACATAGTACTTGTAGCACGGCAACGAAGATAAGGTCAGCACTATCGATATTATTTGCGATGGCATTCCACATCTACAGTTTCTTGACAGATTTTCCTGCTAAACAAGTTGAAACGAGGAAAGGGAATCAAGGAAGGGAACGCAGTCGGAGCATACAAAATATATTTTCATAAGAACTGCGATCGCAATAACCCAAGCATTAATGGGGTAGTGGTAACCTGGGTCGTTGCCATTTAAGAGAATAACTCGACCCGCCGGGGGTTCGATTCCCCATTAATGCATCGGTATTTTTTCCCCCATTCTTAAGTTTTAACTCCTGAGAATGAACTAGGGTTGCGCACGAAACCTCCAGGGGGAGAGGGGTATGGTATGGTTTTATACTGACCCCTGCCTCAAGGGGGGGTTGGTTTTGATATACAACAATTTACCGTTGCTTGTCACGTGCGAAGTCACATGACTACGGATATTCTTTTCGACACTCGTCTTTGTGTTTTTGTACACTTTGTTGGTCTTTCCGGAAACCAAAACATATCTATGCTTTTGATTCGTAACAAAATGTATATAATAGCACAAATTACTGCCCATGCAGAGTCACATGACACATAGCGAGGAAGGGGAAAGTCACCAGTAATATACCGTAACTTTCCGGTAATTCACCTCGGTGTATCGAAACCTAGGTTTCGTACGCTGCCCTAGAATGAACTTCAAGTTGTGACTCGTGAAACTCCTTAGTGAAGACTAAGTAAAGAGTCTACTTGTAACTCAATCGATTTGTATTCTTTGTTGCGATGGATATCAACGATCATTAAATTGTCCATCTCGATTTATTTAATGCAATTGAGGTTGTAGTCTTTGTCTATTTCCTGATCGTTAGGTCTGGCGAGCAGAAATTTCTATGCCATACTTAGAAAGGGAGAAACAATGGTGTAAAACTGAGTCTTTGAAGTATCTTCCAACTCAAAGATGGGTTTCTGCCTTGCGTTGGAAATATCTCAGCGGCTTTGCAGTGTCTCTCTACCTTGGAAGTTGATGAGTCCGGCCCATGAATCTACGAAACATGGTCCCTACAGACATGTGTCCTGGGCTTTCAAATTTCAAAGTCACCAGCACGCACCGAAAACAACGCCTTTGCTTACTGACGAAAGGCACCCTGGTTCGAAGTTAGACAATGAATCGCGCCCTCCACCGCACCCATGGACGAATAAGTGTATGTCAGACCAATTCTTTCCCACCAAGCTTCCCCTCATGATCCAATGTAGAGCACTGTTCAATGATACCCTACAGCAATGAAGAGGGCAGGGGTAGACAGCAATTGGTGGCCTATGATCTCTGTCGCTATCGTATTTGCCGTCCATTGGATTCTTGGATTGTATAAGCATCTCCGGGAGCATAGATTCTAAGACCCGATTTCAGCGTCTTCGGGGACACGTAATACATCAGTTTCAGATGCGGTACAGGAACGCACCGTCAGCACCTTACCCTTGGGCGACGCTTCAGTCACCCATCAAGGGAACCTTACCATCTCCGCGCCATTTCAACAGATTCCAAATGTTCGAAAACAAGCAGGCGCAAGGAAGAGGTAGAAAAGTACAATGCCCAGGACCGTCTCTTTATCAGGAATGCGGGTCTATATGTCAAGACCTCAATCGTCTGAACTGTGCGTGAGTGAGCTCAGGTGGATATAAAGCTGATGGAGCTCCCTACAGAGCCCAGTGCCCAAACGTCGATCTTCTCGTCCCAAAAAAAGGAAAACTCAGAACGAACTCTAGAAAGGGAGTATGACCGGACCAATGTGCTTACTTGCGGTATCCTCTCTATACACTTGCTCATCACTCCTTTCTTTCGCCGTATTTTCTTTACTTTACTTTCATTCTATTTCCTTACGAGGTACCGAGGTAGATTAGTTTACGCTTGTTTACCCGAGATGAACTAGCAGAGGTGGCCGAATTATACAGTCTAACAGTCTTTGGGAATGGGGTGGCCTGCGGGGGTGATAAGATGCATAAAGAAGAGGAAGACAAGACACTTACAGGTCCCGAAATTGCAAAGTTTGAAGCTCATATAAGGATTTAAGGGGGGGCATAATGGCATTGTTTTGGGTAGCTGCACCGTGTGGTGCACATTGGAGGTGTCGTTGAAATGGGGGATGTACAAGTTGTCACGAAACATTGTTGATTCGCCGTACTTGATGGGTTCCTTGTCCCCTTTGTTTAGCCGTCGCTCATTTCATTGTCCGCCAATACGTCGTCTCCTTTGATATCTACAAGAGATTGAAAGCAACTTCCCGGAAAACATGCGACGCGACACCCCTCCGTTGATGAGACTACAATCAAAGTGAAGGAAGTCGACAGCGAGCCACATGTCATAGAAAAGCTTGTGCCGCACGAACATGGGCAGTTGTGTCTTCGTTTCCTGGTGGCCGGTGAGTTGCGACAGAGTAAGACGTGCCCCGCAAAGGTCCATGACAAAGACGATGACTGAAAGGTTCTACTAACACCACGCTCCAGTAATTAATAGCGACAGGTGGCGATCCCAGATAATTACCCGCATTCTTCATGATTATCTCGTGTCTCTTCAGTTGGCGCAGCGAAAGCTTGTATTGAAAAGACCTTAACGGAAAAATACTGGCTCACGCTCTCGTTCCTTACTCCTGAAACAGTGAGCAGTGCAAACGCGCTTGAGACAACAAGTACACGCACCTCCATTGATCCGAATGTCCACTGGCAAGCGAAACGCTGGCATGATGCCCAACACTTGCGTAGCATCTTGACACTCAAGTAATCGTGATGGTCCACCCGGAAGGCAATGAGAGTGATACAGTGATGGCAAGTGACGACCGGCATTTACCGTAAGCATACACTTGCTGGCTAACCAGCAACTTTTAGAGAGAAAATCGATAAATCGGAGAATATAACGAATGTCGTGGTTTCTTCTGTCGGCCCCTCTGCATAAAAATGGCCGTGGCTGGTTTGTGACGACCTCAGCAGGCTACGTGAGGTAGGTGCATATGCTCACTCAATGAAATGTTATTGACCAGACCTCTCTAGATGGATCTGCCCTGTTACTGTCGTTGCAAGGGGAGCATGATGCGCCTCGGGCCGCCATCAAGATACGGGACTGTATCATGCGTGTATCAGGCCTGCATCCTGTTTGATTCCCGTTGAGCCGTCGGTAAGTAGTAATCATCATGCTCGCCGACTGAGATGTCCATGACCAGGCTTCTCTCTAGATGAATCTGCGATGTTATATGTCGCTTCAAACTTATTGTGGTTCGAGGAGTCAATCAGCGTATTCCAAAAACTGCCTCGAGCCGCCATCAAAACTATGAGATCACGAGTGGGATCGCGCCATGCTCTCGCGCTTGCACCGGGGTATTAACATGCGCCGCTGTCGTTTCACGACAAAGTTTGTTCGATTCCCATAGAGCTGCCATCCCATTTGGGCAGGGCCCTGGTTTCTCAATTGGTTTGCTGTCGCATTCACAACGTTTCAAAATTATCAGTGTGATAATGGGACCTTGTGGTAGTTATCCGCTAGTGGGACGGTCTCTCTCTACAGTATAAAAGGATGCGTCTCTTTAGCAAAAGCTTCATCGTGCCCTGCCTTATTTTCTCTTACGGACATGTTCTCCCAGATCATCTCTCTTGCTGCTGTCGTCTTTGTCTATACTACCCTGGCCCACGCAGAGTCGCATACCGTTAAATTTGTTAACAAGTCAGTATGTTCCTAGGTGACGGTCGACTCGGAACGCTGATCGACCTTCTCTCTTCCAGGTGCGGCTACGGAACTGTATGTTATCGTCTTCATTCGCTACGACAAATTATATTTGATCCTTGTTGCATAGCCTACCCTCAGTCAAAACTTCAAGACCTTGTCTACCGGCGGTGACTACACCGCAAGTGGGGCATTTGAAGCTGCTATCGCGTGAGTTTCTCTTTCGTGTATTGCTTGAGATACAGATCTCATTTGAGTCATCACATTTAGCTGGCTCAACACAGATGCTTGCGGCTTTCAGGGTTCAGGATGTACCCTTGTAGAGTTGACTTTGAAAAATCCTACCTCAGCCGGAGCTGGATCCAGTGCAGACATTTCACTTATTTCTCCGTGAGGAACTACTGGTCATTTTCGATCACGATGGCTGATGTATTCCACATAGTCATACCTTCAGCGTGGCAGCCGCATTTTCGTACTTCAACGGATGTGACGGCCAGGGAAAGTCTTGTGCGTCTGACCATAGCTCCAACTTTGTCGTTCAAGGGGGTCTTAATATGTTTACAGGCTCCAGCGCCAACTGTGCAAGTACGAGCGCTTTCCACGTCACTACCGACTACGGGGCCCAAGTACAGTGCGAAGCTGATAATGTGAGCGATACCTGTTAACTGACATGTTCCCTATCTTGATCGGTTTTCAGGTCGGACTAACTGTTACTTTCTGCTGAACACAAATCCTGGGACTTCTCTATGATTATCGTTTATTTAGCGGCGACACGAATTATTCCTACCCTGACCGATACATGGTTTTTATTACTCTTTACATAAATGGAAAGGCTGATTTATTTTCAACGTTGATTGATCGACACTGTTGAAATTGGTGGTCTGGACCGCAGGAACTATACTCTGATCTGCAAGAAAAGAGCTGAAAAGGAATCAATATGGGAGCTAATCGCAATGTGGAATAGCAACGCCGCCTTATACACGGTTCAATGGGAGAAGATAAGGGAAAACACGATATGTTCCGATTCTCGTCACATTGTGATTCGCTACCGGAGCGTTTTTCTGCTAAGTGGGTTTGGGAACGCGGAGAGACCTGCATGGGGAGCTAACCGGAGCAGTCACTTTTCACGCCAAACATCCACGTATCCTCAGTGCAGACTAAAATAGCCGGAATACAGGTGGGGCGTAAGTACCCGCAATGGCGATGGCGCTCGGACAGAAGAGCACAAAACGGAGTTCCTCTAGAGATTACAAGATCACCAAAACGGGCGTAGCGGAAGAGCGAGTGGATGCTTTGGTATATCCGTGTGTAATTCCCAGAGAAAAGACGATGTCTAAGTATGATGGGCTTGGAGGACGGAACTCCGATTTCCCCCGATAATGTATGCGCTCCACTGGTTGGAGTATGATTCCTTTCAATCAGACGAATAGAAGATTTACATTGACAGCGACGTCTGGTGAGAGACGGAAGAGAAAGTAGCCGTCCATCACCTGAACCTTGAAGAATAATGATGAAACATACTAGGCGGGAAAAAAGCCCACAGGACACACCTTTGCCCCACAGAGATCACTGAAAAATTGATCGATGTGGTCCGAGAATTGAGAAAAAAAAGGAGAGAGAGAATCAATACAAGTAAAAAGAGTGAATAATATGAAATTGCCCCAGACTGCATTCATTGGGGTAGAGGCATCATTACCCCACACAAGGCACACTCATCTGGCGCCTCTCGGAGTCCGCGAGTGAATGGCCCCGAGAAACACAGGTCGTGTGCGTCAAAATTATAATACGCATAATAGTAGGATGAAAATGTCGGTGCATGTTGACACCTGTTACATCTAGAAGGAAAACAAATAAAGCCAAAGATCTGGTTCGGTGTACCCGGGCGAAAAAATCGTTCGGTGATTGGCTCAGCGGCCTCGATGCTCGACAGCACACTCGAGCTGCGGACGAGGTGGCGTTCTATCATACACATGTATATATCGGCTGTTCTACTACGGTCGAGCACATTACCCTGGCGACCTCGTAGACTCGTAGAAAAAATAGGCGCACCAGGCCCAGGGCTATTTTTGAAACAAGTAGTAAGGGACGGGGGCGTGACATATGATTCGCTAAACAGACTGCCCCAAATTGCAAGGCGAGCCCGATCCTATTCCGCTCTCCCATTCCCAGACATCCCGGATTCTACCGCTACCCTATATATATAAATGCCAGCCTTTTCGTGTTATTGCTATCCCATTCTTCCATTCTTTCTCCTTCCATCCTGCCGCCATGACCATCGTTCTCACTCCCTACGTGTCCGGGGGCGCTCAGAAGCTCAAGGCAGCCTCCCAGTGTATGCGGGCCATTCTTACCGCTACTCGTCGCCCTGTACTAATTACAAGGCGTTCCCTAGCTCCCGCAGGACCCAAGCATGGTCTGACACCCCCCGCCCTCGACGACGCCGTCCACGCGCTTCGCTGTCTTGCCCAGCTGCGCTCCAAGGATAAGGGCATCGAAAAGTACATCTACCTCTCCATGCTCAAGGAGCAGGATCCCGCCATGTTCTACAAGCTCTGTCTCGCCAACATGTCAGAATTCACGCCCATCATCTATACCCCAACCGTCGGCGACGCTTGTCTGCAGTACTCGCACATCTACAGGCGTCCCGAAGGCTTAGTACGTTGCAATTGACTCATTTCCATCTATCGCGCGTGCTGAATAAGACGCGCTGTTGTCCAGTATGTGTCCATCAAGGACAAGGGCAATATCAAATCTGTCATTTCCAATTGGCCTCGAGTCGATGAGGCCAGAATCAGCGTCGTCACTGATGGTAAGAGCCTCGTTGTCTCCAGTCGCTGAGCTCTATTCACCGGCATTACGTGATAGGCTCTCGTATTCTCGGCCTGGGTGACCTTGGTATCAATGGTATGCCTATTTCCATCGGAAAGCTCTCTCTCTACATTGCTGGCGCCGGGTGAGCATTTTTCCAGCCAAGTTTAGTTTTTCCAGACGCTCATGCGGATGTGATTTAGAATTCGTCCCACATCAACCATTCCCATATGTCTTGATCTTGGAACAAACAATCAAGCTTATCTGGATGATCCGCTATACCTGGGCCTCCGCGAAAGGCGCGTGCCCGACAATGAGATGACAGAATTCATGGACGAATTCATGGACGAGATGTCCGTCGCCTTCCCGAAATTGATGGTTCAATTCGAGGTGAGCTGCGCTCCGCATTTCCGTTATCCGGATGACTCATGATTCTTATTCTAATTAGGACTTTTCCACGGACCATGCATTCGCGTACCTTGAGCGGTATCGGAACAAATATCCCGTTTTCAACGATGACATTCAAGGAACAGGAGCTGTCGTGCTCAGTGGATTCCTCAACGCCGCCAAGATCTCATCTGCGGTGTCCGGGCGCCCGTTGAGCAGCCATCGGATTCTGTTCTTCGGCGCGGGGTCGGCCGGTGTCGGTGTTGCTTCGCAGCTCATGAGTTTCTTCACGATACAAGGCCTGTCGGTCGACGAGGCACGGGAACGTGTTTGGTTGGTTGACTCACAGGGCCTTGTATATGATGCTCGTGGCAAACTGGCGGAGCACAAGAAATGTATGCCTGTTTCCGGGCTGCATGGATGACGCTGACCCCTTCTGGTAGACTTCTCGCGTAAGGACTATGAAGGCCCGCCTATGAAGAACCTCCTTGATATTATTGACTATGTGAAACCCACCGCTTTACTGGGTCTTTCAACGATATCTGTGAGAATCTACTCCTATATTCTAGATATTAGGGTCACTAACGTCAGAACAGAATGCTTTCAACGCGGAAGTTATCCGAGCAATGAGCGCGCTCAACGCTCGTCCCATCATCTTCCCTCTGTCTAACCCAGTCCGTCTATCCGAATGCACGTTCAGTGATGCTGTGGAGAACTCCAACGGCAACGTACTGTTTGCATCGGGCTCCCCTTTCGATCCTATCGAGTACAACGGCAAGACTTTATACCCAGGACAAGGCAACAACATGTACATCTTCCCTGGTCAGTGTCGTCATGATTCGTTTCATTTCAGTGATCCTAATATCTCTTGCAGGTTTGGGTTTGGGGTCAATCCTCTCGAGGGCAAAGAGTGTGACAGACACGATGGTTGAGGCCGCATCTCTCGGATTAGCAGAGTCATTGACGCCCGAGGAACATGATGCCGGATTGTTGTACCCCAGGATTGAGAGGAGTAAGTTTGCTGCCTATCATGTCTGCTTGTTGATCAGTATTGATGGTCGTCAAAGTTCGTGAAATTAGTGCAAACATTGCTAAGGATGTTATTCGTGCTGCTCAGAAAGCGGTCAGTGCTTCAATTTTTTTGCTGATGCACATCAAGCTGATATTTATTTTCAGGGCGTCGATCGCTCGCCGGAGCTTCGGGAACCGAATGACGATGACGTTTACAAGCGGGTACAAAGCAAGATGTGGACCCCTTAAAATTTTTATTCGTATTTGCTTTGATGCTATGCTCTCCACTGGTTTTCTTTTTTTGGCATTCATCTTCCACTTGTAGACCTAGCGTATGGGGTAATTATATATAATTTGGATTGAATACAACAGGTGATATAGAGCCTTGTGCAATCCTCCACCCAAGATGTCTTCAAGCTGCAGACCACACCGATCGAGCCTCCGACTGTTGCGACTTTGGAAGCACGGGAGAAGGAACAGTCCCGGATCCAGCCTCACTTCGAGAATAGGACCAGATCAGGCTGGGAGTGAAATTCCTTATGATAGATTCTGTCGTCGTTAGTAGTGTTCCTGCAAAATAGATTAGTTTTGGCTTGTACGTATGGACGGAGTTCTGTACATACCTTGCTGACTCGTGTGACTCTTGAAACTCCGAGCTGAGGCAGAGCGCGCGTGCCGAACCTTGGATTTTCTGATGTAGACGACGAGCAAGGCAATGAGGAGGGTGATAATAAGAAACATGACACCCAGCAAGGCCGCAAGGATTTTGATAATAGCGGGGGAAGCGGTGGTCACAGAAGATACATTATTGGCAGAGGAAGTGGTTGATTTAATGGCAGAAGGAAAAGTGGAAACACTCGCAGATGGTGTGGGAGCGAAAGAGATGGTTGCCTCAGTATTTGAGGTACTGTTTGGATGGGGAGATATGAAGAAATAGTCAAGAATGAAAGGAGAAGCAGACCCCGCGTCTGTCACGTTGATGACGATTTTGTGCTCTTTCTCTGACAACTCAGATGCCACAAATAAGGGCTGATTGAGGTAAGTTTGGTCGAGTTGCGGCTCTGTGGTAACGAAAGGGGCCGCGGCGTCGACAGTGAAGGATGTTGTGGGAGGATTCGAAGATGTACTACTGGATGGCACGGCTCCAAAAACGATTATTCCGCTTCCTGTGGACATTAAGGCCCTGAGTTGTAAGCCGGAAAACCGGATGACGTACCGTTGAAGCTTAAGGAAACCGTTGAGCCCGCAGTGGAAGTGCTGTGAGTCGTATTTGACGGTCCTGCACCATCGAGAGACCAGGGACCATTGTAAAGCACCCTCGCGTCATTGTCAGCGACGCAGAATTGGCAGAAAATGTCGCTCCCGGTGGTGAACGGGTTGGCCGTTTGGCTATTAGTTGTGCTGTTATTCGACGTGGACCCTTTTGATCCATTCGAACCGTTAGAATTGTTCGAACCCTTTGCGTCATCATCGGCGTCGGAGCCGTCCTTATCACGGCCTTCGTTCATGTCACCGCTTGGATCAAAGGGGGTCGTTCGGCGGTGAATGAAGACTGGATACCTTGGATTCATATAACCGCATTGCTGGTCACCACGAATGTAATCGTGGACCCATACAGGAAGGACAGCAAAGAGCATGTCCAAAATATGTGGTCCTGTTAGCAAAAAGAAATCTATGGCAACGGCGGAGAAAAAATATAATTATAGCGTACCATTGGAAGCCTTCGAAGGAGGCATGCTTAGGAACTGAAACAGAATAAGTATAATATTCTTGGGGATTCTTTATCAGCACATTTAGGCTCGTACCGGTGAAGTGTACATCTCACCTAGATATCTGCGGCGTCAGAGAAAGAACTAGGACGTGGATGACAGGTTTTGGAAGCGATCCTGATATATAAACCCTGGCACACGTTCACAGAAAAGAGTGAGCCATTTGGTCTCTATTCGGCGAGCAGATGACTACGAGCATGAGAGTAGGTACCTTCGGTGTTAGTAGTACATACTCCAACAAGCACGAAGGGAGTGCAATGTAGAGGGAAAGGCTCCATCGCGTGTGCCTTGGTACGTTTAGCCCTAGCACGATTGATAAGAATGTCTAGGTCGGTTTGTCTCGTACCAGTGAGCCATGTAATGTCAACAGTGGGAAGGCTGGAAGTACAGACCGTGAGTAAAGTCATGGAGACTTCGGGGAATAGGGAAACTTACCAATGGAACGGTCTGCTCGTTACCAAGCAACTGGCATTCTCGAAAGCGTCCGTATAACTTAATTGCAGGTATGCTGATCTATGCCATGCTTTCGGTGCGGCACAACGCTTGAGACGGGTCATAATTGAAAGGTGTCAATGCGTATTCAGATTGACATTGTAGGACCTAATCACATCAAAGACGAGGTCTGTCCATATGCATGAATGCTGGAGGTGAAAACAAGCAGTTCATTAGTAAACCTGGGTCATTGGAAAACGATGGGCCCGAACGGTACTGAGGGTGGTACTGATATAAGCGAAGTCCTATGGCGACAGCAAAATATAGACGATAACCAGCTATATGATAGGCCAGTATTTCAATGTAGATAAGGAGGACAGAAGAATGCTACTGCACAGCCACTATATCGCGGCTTTGTCCGATACCAGTTAATGTCGTCTTCAATGCTTGGCTCTATTCAAGAATAACAGAAGAAATACTTCAGGATTGATGGAATGTCGGACTGTGCTACTATCTGCAATTTGTATGTTCTCACTATCGTTATTTTTCATACGCATGCTCACGAGGTCTTACATACATACTTCGTCGAAATAAACTCTTGTTCAATCGTGCCTCTTTTACGCCACCAGTCACACAGTGAAAGCACCACCTGTGATGTGGGTCCTGGTAACCGCATTCAACGCATGCGTTTATTATTTGACGCATGCATTTGATCTTTTAATGTGAAGTGCTGCGAGGAGCGTCATCAAAATTTCATTGATAGTGAGATGCATTTGGACCTGGCTGTTGTTTTCCTCTTACGGAACGACATCTGGAGCCTTTTCTAAGGTCCTATCGCATGCTACAGACAATTCTGCTACCTCTAATGTGAGTTACAGAGAAATGATACTGGCTGTACAGCTAGGCCTTTACAGAAGAGTAAGTGTTGTAACATTCTGGTCTAAAATGCACCAGATCTCACGGAGCCATACGCGCACGCATTCTTCCCGAACACACCAAACCCAAGAAACCGCGAAAACGCACCATGTCCACGCGAAATTCTCCCAACCGGTTATTGCCTAGATGGGCATCAAGTTTAGCTCTCTACCCTTCTATTGTTCTCGCGGAGGGACGTCGGTCGTGTAACATAACCTGCGGTGCGTTCGTTGTATTCCTTTCCCCGTATATTCGAGTCTGATATGCCGTTATTTTATTTTAAGAATTTTTTAACAAACCAGGAAGCCCATCTCATGGAACATACCCAACAGCAATGTCACGTATATGCTGATGTCGGACTGAAGGCCCGACTCAGCAAAGAGAACACGCGGTCTGCGGAACTACAATCTCAAACTCAGATTCCTGGTTCGCACTGATTCTAGCCTGAGGTACTGACATAGATCTTTAACGACTAACGGTATCTGGATATCGTGTCCCAGAGAATCAAATCATCATACTTTCGAGGTGAGGTGACCTACTATAATTCGGGAGCTGATTTAATAACTTCTTCGAAGTTCATTTCAGCTAAGTGTTACATGCAAATGTGTACACAGAACACCATCACGCTCCAAATTTTAAAAGGCGCTTTCTCACTACCATCGGATACCTCTTTGTCATTCACTTCGATGTCAGACCTCGCGGAAGGTTTATTGGCGCCGTCGTCCGTAAACCTTTTGCCAGAGAATTGAACTTTGTCTAGCCTTGTCCTCGATGTATCGATCCGGGTTTGCCGCATCCTTGTTGATACACCTCTCTTCTGGCCGAGGTCTTCCGGATTTGTGGCGTCTTACATTGGGAGCCCAATCTGACGGTTTAATCGAACATCCGGTCCCAGCCTCAGCCCCAGCTTCCCTTCTAGCCGGCATTTTGAACGAGCCCCGAAAGACAGGCTGGAACGCTGCGGAATAAACGGCTCAGTGGATCGCTTCACGGTGTTTGTCCTTACTCCTCCACTATGAGTTGAATCTAACATACGAAAATGACTTTGCATACAGTGAACATGATACGGAGAAATCTACCAACGCTCTGGACCAGGGCCCTACGGCAAGATCTAAGGAGATTGGAAAACGACGGACGACATGCACACGAGAAATTATCCCGATTCCATCTCTGATGTCTGAGAGAGTTCCAGAATCTTCGAGTTCATTGTGGTGCAAGGCTATCTGTCCGACGGCAGATTAGGTAGTTCTGAATTATCAATGTTTTGCTTAGCCGGCCAGTGCAAGGACGGTCGCGAACTTGAATCACCCAATGCCTTTCTTCCCTCTCCCGAGATTGGAGAGTCACTGTCTGTCTTCCCATTGTTTCGAGTCAATGAGAGGGTGCGCTTACTCCAGCATTAATGGTACTGAACAAATGCGCTTCAGATGCGCAAAAAGCTGCACTGGAAGCTTGGGTACGTGCAGCCTCCTTTGCTCGGCATGTATAACGCCCAGTTCGATGAAGTTATTTCATGGAAGCAAGCGTCCATAATCTCTCATATAGCAAGCCTTTTCTCTCTGCTACACAATGTTGACATGTAATGTACATACTTCCTTGCAATTGCACAAAATTCGATTGCTCTGGTGCCGCGGCAAATTTGACGCTAGTGGCGGCGTGATCACTGACCATCTCCAATCACTTCTTCCTTTCTACCAAGTTCAGCGACAGTGGCGGCCCTTCAGAACGTATTGTGGTGCAATGTCTCGACCAGAGGCCGTGACGCTCTCTACAGAGCTCGCAGTCGTCACTGCCCAGTTGGAGCTACTCCGTACCCAAGAAGCCGAGCTCCAGCAACACATCGACGGACTTCAGGCATATAAAGAGATCATTTCAGCTCGACGGCGTGCGCTTGAGGTCAAGGAGTTCGAATTGGAGGCGTCGCGACACCCAGTGAACTGGTTACCAGTGGAATTGCTCGTCGACGTATTTCTCTTCTTCGTCGAAGACGACAATAGCGCCTTCGTCCTCACTCACGTCTGCCAGAAGTGGCGTGAGGTTGCGCTGACAACATCGTGCCTTTGGACATGCATATCAACGCGCAGCACCCGGTGGAACAGTAACCTCGTCGCGTTGGCGCTGGAAAGGTCGCGCGACTGCTTGCTCGACGTTGTCCTGGATGAGCACGATACGGATCCCTCTGCCATTCCCCTTCATTTGGAAACCTGCGATGATCACCACAAACGTATTCGCAGTTGCACGATGCACGCTCCGGAATTTCGTTCAGTGCAGAAATTGGCGGCGATAATCAACCAACTCCCTTGCATCCACCTTCGGTCATTGTCGCTCAGCGTCATGACCAAGAACTCGGTACCCTTGGGGCTAATTACTGAGCCTTCTTCAGATACGACGCACTCCATCCCACTTGCGCACCTGAACCTGACTAAGGTGCCTCTGCATTTTCTCTCCCAACACCTATTAACAAATGTCGTGACTCTAACGATATGTTATCCTCCAACGGCTCGCCTAACGCTCGCAGATTTTACAAGTTTTCTGTCATTCATGCCGCGATTAGAGGAGCTCGTCCTTCTGAATACGTCCTTCGTACCACCCTCATCGGTTATCCAGGCGATCAAGCTACCTTCCCTCCGATGCATCGAATGGAGTTACCCCCGTGACGTCCTCATTTTACAACTTTTTACCGCCATAGAGGTGACTGCCGTCCAACGCCTCGACCTCTGGATAGATAGTCCCAACCCTAGATATCACATCTCCCAACCAAGCACCAACGTCTGCATCCTTCCCTTCCTCGAAGAGCTCCTCGTCCAGTGCACAGATGAGGACGCCATGGGTTCTGTCCTTCGCAAATTCGCCTTGCCCGTGTTACGCAAGCTGGAACTGACCAATGCTGACGAGCGCCTCAGGCTCGAAGGAATCCGGTCAGATTCACTCCCTCTTCTTCCCCGAATGGAATCCCTCTTCCGTGACCCACGCCAGCCGCAGCTTACTCATCTGACGTTATCGCATTATATGCTTACTCCAAATGCCGAGGCAATGCTCGGGTACGTGCCCGCTCTGGTTTCGCTCTCGCTCGACGCCTGTACGGGAGTCAAGGGTGTGTTAGAGAGCTTGATGCGAGAAGCCGTGGGGACCGAAGGTGTAAAATACTGCTCTAAGTTGGAGAGACTGTCGTTTTGGTCCTGCCAGGATTTGGAGAAGGGATTGTTGGAAAGATTGGTGAGGTTGAGGAATCTTGTAGGACGCGGTACCTGGGGAGGAGAGCGAAAGATACGTCCTTTACCTGAAGGGAGGAAAATACGGCCTCTGCCTTCCTCGCGTGTTGGTGGTGTGGCGCACATGAAGCCAGTGCCAATCACGTATCTGAGAGTCGAGGGTTGTCCGAATGTGACTGCAGAAGAGATGGGTGCATTGTCCCGAGAGCTGGGTGTCATTGATATTGCTTTCCAGTAATCATTTCCTACTTGCTATCACAACTACAGGTGGAACATCCATGTACAAATACAACAAACTGAGGGTAGCCGTTATTGACATCGGTGACAATGCATAGCATAATAAGGGTCAATTCCACAAAGGAATAAAGCAAAGCAAAAAATATGCGTATAAAACGCAAACACCAGTCCCAGAGTAGTCTGAATCGAGTTCCGCAACTGAAAATCAGATTGCGGGCTACGAAGTGCACTGAAGGACGTTCGAGGAGCCAAAGGCGATAGTCGAACGCCCAATCCCCGGCGCATATCTCAAGGTTCTTACACCTATATCCCTCCCCTCTGAAGGATCTTTGGGCGTCTGATCAACAAAGAACAGAACGATAAGGGAAGACCGTGTTTCTGGTACGCTGCCTCATGCCAATTATGACTGGACCCAGCTAGAGCCGATCGTGGGGGAATGGAATACTCAGACCTTAGCCCGCTCATGAATCTAGACGAACATAGCGTCCTGTGTGGAATGAGCCTCGTAGCTTTGGTACTGGTGGTTGATGTTGATTAAAAAAATTTTTTTTAACGAGTTTTGATCGAACGTCTTATGTAATAGCGGTCGTTGCCGAACCAATCAGGATGTGCAGCTCATACTAAGAGTCTGAGATGTTGGTTAAAGTCTCAATAATAAGGTAGTAAAGGTTTTTGTTAGGTTCTTTATCTCTCCAGCAGAGATAAGTTTCTGAACTCCATAGATAGCACCAGTAGAGCCATATTTTAAATAATCAGTTGCAGTATATAACCCATGACTGCATAGTCTGGCTGGGGTCTGGTTTGGCCCAGATTTGGACAGATTTGCTGAACCTCAAGCCTGGACTGCTGCCTAATTAGCTATTGAAAAAATCTGAATGGGATGGAGAGAAAGAGAGGATTTGACCTCTTATAAATGAGATTTTAGAGAGAACATAAGATGAGCACTATGGAAATAGGGGTATTGGTGTATCAGTGGTCATCTTCATCATCATTACCATTGTCCTGATCTTGGATTGGTTGAAACAGGTGTGATACAACTGGAGTCCATGGAGGATTGTTTTGATGGTTGCTTCAGCTGGCAGAAATGAATAGTTGAGGTTAAAAGAGGTTAGGAGTTCTATTGTTGGCATTAGATTGTCAAACAGTATGTCAGACAATAACCAAACAATCACAAATACAATATGTTGTAAAATAGATGGTGTTGGGATAGCAATTCCAAGTGAGTACAAAAATATACTTGAAGAAACTATGTTAATCAGCAGCTGACTTAAACTGTGACTGAGACTTATATAATAATTTGTAGAAAGCTCTTGAAGTAGTACAAGATGTATTTAAGTACAATGTCTCTCTCTCAAGAGGCTAATCTAATCTTCTGTACTGTACTCTCTTCTGTACTTTCCACAGATGGTAATGAGAGGAATAAACACAGTAGTGAACTATGAGACTTGACTGTGTGAGATAAAGAAGAGATTCATATGGATGTTGAGAATTAAAATTTTAATAGGCTGAATGGTCTAGTATTTATACAACAAGGTATGTACTTTTAGAATATATGACTATCTACTAGGTGTTACAGTTACCTTTCCTTTAACCTCTATTTTGATTAGTCAAGGCATCAAAACCAAGTGCTTAAACTGTGAGAAGGGCTTAGTCAGCATACAACAAGCCAACTTTGTCATGATTATTCAATGCAACTGACATCTAATGACAGATACACAATCACCCTTTTATATATAGTAAAGACATTTAAGGACAATGGGTACTGGAAACAGAGGAACACACAATAAGTATGAGTATTTATAGTGATTCACAAACTGTATTTAAGAAAGCTCGCTCTCACTGATAACTCCAGCTTCGAGCTAAAGTTTACAATCACCATTCTACCTCAAGTCTATATCTGACCTTGAGTCATAATGGTGAAATACACATAAGTGAACTCAGCTGATCTCTCAAAGTGCAAAGGGATGGCTGTTTATCATATGTAACTGCTCATATAATGCTTGGACATAATAATTAGCTCAAAGCTTCAACTTCTCTTTCTCAAGCCCAATTGTGCTGAGAAACCAAATGCCCTCTACAAACTCTACTGACCCAAATTTTGACCATGAGTTCTTTAAACTTCTTTCTTCCATCATTAGAACATTGATAGGATTATTGGTGATCATCCAGCTGTGCTGGAGATGCCATTCAATCACTGCCTGGGCCCTCAGACATTACAATGAATTCTTACATATCTGCAAAATTCTATAAAATGTAACTCCAGACCTTTCCCTCTATGACATTCCCAAATCCTGAAGAATGACCTATCAGTTCCCAGAAGCAGGGCCTAGTGGCATGCATCAGGGGAATGGTCAAGAAGAAGCAGGAGGACAACATTCCCTCTGACCTGGACACCCAGACCCTGGCATCCCAGAGAGACACAGTATACTTGTACCAGAATCTCCTCTCAATCATGAAGACGAAGACATCCCAGAGGACTTCTTCTGGCAGTCTTCCTCCTTTTCTTTCACCTTCTGAACTCATGAGATTACCGACTATGCCAGGGACTCTCTCAATGCCCCTTAGATGGCTTGACAGCCAGGTGCCAGAACTCCTTAAAGCCAGTCTCACAGCCCCCATCCCTCCACCAGGACCAGCTCCAGGATGAGGAGGATTCTCTCAGATGACAAGTAGCAATGGCAAGTATGGAAAGAAACTGTTTACTGGTACTTCCCAACTTAGGACTTCATCATCTCATTTAATTACAATGATGCCATTCGACAGGAGGAGTGAAGACAGTGGAATGAGCTACAGCCAGTATGTTGCAAGTCTGAGGAGCAAGCTGCAGTCCACAACCAGCAGAGACAGGAGGCTATGCAGTACAATGAGTGCTACAGAGATGAGCAGTGGAGAGTTGAGTGAGCTAGACTGGAGAAAGCTGATGTCAGCAACTGGTATGGGCTACACTCTGAGGTCACAAGTGTCCTCACTCCTGTATGAGCTGACTCTTCTGCCTCTGCTCTGATCTTTTGAGAGCCTAGTACTCCAAGCAGTGGAATCCCAGAGCACTGGGCCGATGGCACTCGAACCAGGCGACACTCAAGACCCCCAACCTCCCAGCATCCCCAGCATAGACTCCACCTTCAGGAGTGATGAGTCTGTTCTTGGACACTATGGGTTATGGGTCCTCAGAAATGCTCACATCCCTGCCTGCGCTCTCTGAGGTTTTCTCAGAAGTAGGGTTGTCAGGCAGCTCATTAACGATAACTACTGACATAACATCTGCCTCTATCACAACAGAGTGGAGGTGGCAAGAGTGACTGGAGGAAATCGATACAACCTCAATATTGGGAGTCAACCAGCCACTGCCTATGAAAGCCCCCTAGCTACTGGGCCAAGTATCCAGTCAAGGAAGCAAAGCAACAATACACTAAGAGGTTGCAGAGAGCATTTTGTTACGATTTTTCCTTTTTATTGACTGTTTGACCTCTATTTATGCTTAGTCAGAGAGCACAGGACCATGGGAGAGCTTAGTCAGCACAACTAACCCACCCATCAAGTCGTCCTGACAATCAGACCTGATGATACACAATCATCCTTTTATGTACAGTAACGATGCTCAAGGACAACGGGCACTATAGACACAGACATGCATAATAAGTAGTGATATAATTAGGAACACCTGTATAGTATTTAAGGCCAACACTCTCACTGGTAAACCTCAGCTTCAAGCTAAAGTTTATACACACTATTCTACCTCGAGTCTACGACTGACCTTGGGTCACAACAAGCGGATATACATATCAGTGGACTCAGGTGATTTCTCGAAGTGCGAAGGAACACCTGTTTATCATGTGTATCTGCCCACGTGACATCTGGGCCTAACAATTAGCTTGAAGCTTCTAGCTTCCCTCTCTCAGGCCCAATTGTGCTGAGAGACCGAATGCCCCCTACAACCTCTACCGACCCGAATTTCGACCACGAGTTCTTTGAACTCCTTTCCTCCATTATCGGAACATTGATAGGACTTTTGGTGATCATCCAGCTGTGCCAGAGACGCCATTCTATCACTGCGTGGGCTCTTAGACACTACAATGAATTCTTATGTATCCACGAAATCTTACAGAATGTAACCCCCGACCTTCCCTTACATGACATCCCAGAATCCTGACGAATGACCTACCAACCCCCAGAAGCTGGGCCTAGCGGCACGCATCAGGGGGATGGTGAAGAAGAAACGGGAGGACAACATTCCCTCTGACTCAGAAACACAAACAATAGTATCTCAAACAGGCACGGAATACTTGTACCAGGACCGCCCCCCAACCATGAAGACGAAGACCTCCCAGAGGACTTCTTCTGCCAGTCACCCTCCTCTGATTCCATCCTCTGAGCCTCTGGGATTGCTGACCATGCCAGAGACTCTCTCGATGCCCCTTGGATGGCTCGCCGATTCAGCCCCTAAACTCCTAGCCGCCAGTCTCACAACTCCCATTCTACTACCTGAAACGGCTCGAGGATGGGCAGACCCCCTCCAGGTGATGAAGAGCAATGATGATGAGTATGGGAAGAAACCATCCACCGGTACTTCCTGACTTAGGACTTCACCATCCCTTTCAACTACGACGACGCCGTTCGACAGGAGGAGCAAAGGAGGCGGGATGAGCCGCAGTCAGTACATCACGAGTCAGAAGAGCGGTGAAGGAGGGAGGCTGCACAGTATGATGAGCAGCATCAGGACGAGCAGCGAGCGATTGAGAGGGCCTGGTTCGAAACAATCGATGCAGGAAACTGGTATAGGCTACGCCCCGAGATCGCCAGTGTACTCGCACCTGTACAAGGTAACCGCACTCTGATGCCCTCTTTCAGAGAACCCAGTATCCTGAGCAGCGGATTCCCTGAGCATTGGGCAGACAGCACCCGAACCAGGCAATACCCAAGGGCCCCTACCCCTGAGTACCCTCCCTCCTCTCGTACTCCCAGTGCTGACTCAGCATTCGGGAGTGACAAGTCTATTCTCGAACACTACGGGTTATGAGTCCCTGGGAATGCTCACATCCCCACCCGAGCTCTCAGGGGATTCCTTGGGAGTCGAGTTGTTGGGCAGCTTATTCACGATGATTAC